TGGTCATGTTCTGACGCCTTGCTTTGCCGAACGTATAGGTTTGCAGAGGATCACTCTCAGTCTGAGAGTAGTCTCGCGCCGCGCCCACGTCGTGAGCCGCCTCCTGGTGCTGTCGTGCCGTGCCTCCAGTAGAGGTTCTCGCGGCTCCTGGCATTGACAAGTATCAGCACATGCACAAGTTCAATGGCTTTTGTTTGAGTTGTTCAAAAGTCTCCCTTTCGATTGGATACTTTCAGTGTTGTTCGCCCGAGTCTCCTTTTCACCGTTGATATACGCAAGGGTCTAGTTTGTCAACACATGTTGATATATTAGGACGTGAATGGAACACTCTTGAACCACATTGCCAGGTCTATTTGATGCCGAAAGGTCTCTCATGGAGGCGATTCTGGCTGAGTTGGCTCAGCCATGGTAGAATTTTCCCGACGGGCGATAGCTATAGCAAGACGTCTGGCATATAAATGATCTCAGGGGCAGCAAACAGAAAAGGCGCTGTTGGGTTTCCGCACCGGTTCTTATTTCTCATCACAGAAGAGGCTGCTTGGGCTCACTCATCTAACATTTCAGAACTCTTAACGCGAATATCCTAGCCTTACCGCTCTTGGAGCCCTTGTGTGGTATGATGTCCAACCACCCGGCCATGTTGGGTCACACATCGCAGCTGATTTCGAGGCAGAACGCCACGCCCGAGGCGGTTATGAGTCCAGGCTTCAAATCGATCGACCGGGACGAAGGGTAGCACCGCTTTCTATTTTACGATGTAGCAACACGGACTCGGACCGCTAATGCCGCGCCGTGATCTACGAAGGAAGGGTATCATGACAGGCACTTAGAAGACGAAGGCAACTATTTTAAAAGTGGAATATGTCGTGCCTATAGACCCCTCTCGGTCAGTATTTGAGAAATTATTCCAGGGGAGGTCGTCCCAGGGGAGGTTATCCTAGGGGAGTTTATCTCATAGGATGTTATCCTATAGGAGTTTATCTCATAGGGCTTCTCCTACGAGAGGCTATACTATAAGGAGCTATCCTACAGCGATTTTTCCCATAGGAGGTTATCCTATAGGACGTTGGCCTTCATCAGGTTGTTCTTCAAGAGATTGTCCTCTCAATAGGGGTTCCACGACGCTGCTGGCAACATTGACAGTAGTTACTCCTTTTCTAGGGACAACTGAATGAAAATGGCCCAGAGAGCGTAGTTATGCTTAGGTAACCCTTATAGGGAAACAGTGATCATATTCAAATGTTGGCTTTTGCTACAGCCTTGACCGTTTTGACAGACATGCGACGTCTGTGGCGGGTCGACTGGAAGAAACCTGGCTGCCTGCTCATCTGCTCTACAAGACCTTCACGTGTGCTTCCCCAGAGTTATGTTGCGTTGACAACCTTGCATAATAGACAATATGCCGACTGCTTCCCTCACAGCGAGATATGCCAGCATAAGCGGGTGGGTACTGATATGAGGCTCTTGATGGCCCTGGCGGACTGGGGTCAAAGTTCACGAGGCGGGTGGATCTCGCTCAGATATGGGTCCCCCACGTTGTATTGCCCTGACACATTTCCTTATTTCCTGATCCGTAAGATGTCGGACGTTTGACGTGCGAACTAGACCTTCCCTTCTCGGACACCCGGTCGCGACGACGGCCATGACTTCGGCTCCCCCACCCCGTTCCTGAGATAGCTGATCCTGCACGGCCTTGGTTCCCCTGGGAAATGGACAGGGCGGGCAGCCCACGCCGGACTCTTGCGTCCATCCGTCGGAAGTGGGCGCTCCCAATTGCACGAACCGTGGGGGCGCCTAGTGTTGAGGATCGGCCATACCATGGTATGGCCATGGGATTCACGGGGGTGCGCATCCTGGCGTGCTGGGCGCGTCGCGAACGGATTCTTTTCCCACGAGCTTGGGTCACGGCTGGAAAGAGAAGGGGATTCTTGTCGTGCGGGAGTATGGGAACGATGGAGCACCATGTGATCTTCAATTGAGATAAAACATCCTTTTTTTCGGTGCAAATTAACTATTGCTTGGGCATACGAGAGGTCTCGTCGGCTCGCCCCCACTACTACGGATCTTAAGCGTCCTGCTGGGCCTCACGCTCACTGTTGATCGAGTCCTCTGAGGCGTCATGCTGGGGGTGAAAAGTTCGCAGTTGTCTGCAGACCCTGACGATCCCTGACACCTTGTCAGGATTATGTTCAGGGAGGCAGTCAGTCAGCTCATTCTCAAGCCCTCGGACTCTAGTATGAAGTCAAACTTTTCGTGTCGAGATACAGGAGAACACCCGAGCAGCTGCCAAGCAGCACTGTCGAACATGGGTCAACAAAAGATAGCATGGCGCGCAAGGTTCGTCTCAGCCATGGACATCGTAGGTGGATTAGCGGCTGTGTCTTTTTGTTCTAGGAGTTTAGATACCCTCGAGGGGCTGTCAGGCCCCCGGAGACCTCCTCCTGACCGACGATGGAAATCCTGGCGAGTGTTGTTGCTAGCAGAGTATCGTCAACAACGGCTGTTGCCAGACTCGTTGGATAATGTCCGTTCGAGCCTAGTCGCCGCCCCATTGGAACACTGTCCTGGGGTTGCTAGTCTGAATGTGAGTCTGGCACCAAGCCGTCAAAGTTACCGGCCATGTGGTCGCCATTCAACAAAAGAAGACAGTGATCTGCCGCGAGGTATCATCACCACGACCTAGGCCCCTGTTAGGGCAGGTCTGGGGGGCATTTGTGGAAATGAAACCACCCCACACCGGTGAGAGCCGGGGCCAATTTACCTTGTGATGCGTTATCTCAGTTCATGGTGGTGATACGCGGGACCGGGTGGGTGTGAAATCCATTTATCAGATTCTAACGTTACCTGGTAAAGAAAGAGTGGGCCCACAAGCGATACCACGCGGGCACACCACACCAACACGATGCGCGCGGCCCTCATGTCCGGGGTGGGAGCATGGGAGCATGGGAACATGCGGAGCCCCCAGGCGAAGCGAGGGCCTTGTGGCAGGGCACGGGAGTATGGTGAGCGCGATCTGCTGCACGAGCTTGTGCTGACTCGCCCAGGCCGTCGGGATGGGCATATTTTCACAGTATGTTGACCGGTTGAGGATCAACGGAGCCCCGGGCGGGCGGTGGGGGTCCCAGAATGAGTAGATATGCATCGGCAGGACATTTGCGCACGCGATAGGCGTGTCGAAAAGGGCAGGGCAGGGCAAGGGGGGCCTGGGGGCCTGGGGGCCTGGGGGCCCGTCTCGGTGAGCGCGGTTGTCAGGATGGGCGTGAGACGGGCCGAGCGGTAGGAGTTGGCGTGCTCGCGACCAGAGTTCCCGCGTGTGTGGGGACCAACGTTGTCAGCACGAAATACCGAGGCGTGGTGTGCTCTGCCGTTGCCGTGACATGAGCCGCGACCCCGTGTGACGCAGGAGAGTTGTATAGATATATATGTGTCTGGCAGATATTGCAGCAGGCGAAGGACATGTGCCGTGGATTGCATGCTGCTTCAGGTCTGGCTGGACCGACAGACTACGGCCCGCGCCCGACCGAGGAGATTTATATTGCCCTGAGCACCTGCGTGCTACTCCGTATTGCAACCGTAGCCAACGGCGGTGGTGGGAGTGAGGCTCAAGGGGGAGCAGAGCCAGAGGGGCACTGTTCAAGTACTGTGGTACTATCAGGTTTGGTGGTTTCCCTCGACCGATGCCTACTACTCCGTACATAGTGTTGTTCGGGGGTTTGGGGGCGACCAGGATCTGGGGTGGGCAGAGAGGCAGGGCATCAGAGGAGAATCGGCACAATCCAGGCCCTCGATCGACATGTGTGTTCTCGAAGCAAGAACCAGGATTCTGCAGGTTTGATCTGATGGCCCAAGCGTAAGAGGTTGATGAGGATCTGTCAGCCAGTCAGCCCATCAGCCCAGTCTGCCGCACGGTAGATGATGATGATGTTGTTGATGGCCATGGCATGTCCAACTGCCACTGTGATGGCCTCTGCCTTAGGCCGGGCCTCGACTTCGGCCTAGACCCGGACCCGGGGCCTTGACCTGGACCCTTTCTTGTATGAAGGGTCTGCCTGGGCATCTCCACGTTTTGCTGGGCAGATGCGAGTTGGCCCCTCCCCTCCTCCAGATTTCACCATTCCCCATTCCAGGGTAACTCGCTCGGGTAAATCCAAGGATTGCAACCTCAGGGCGACAGGGAACAGCAGGCCAGACACGCCAGGCAAGCAGGTAGGTGGACTGACATCTGGAAGGGGGGAGAGAAATGACACACAGTACTTATGTACCTCAGTATGCAAATGCTTTGTTCTGCTGGCGAGAGTTGCTCAGGGCGGCTGGTGACTGGAACGAGAGGTTTGTTGTCAGGATGACATGTGGATTTGTGCTGTGACTGATTGATTGTACTGCAGTTGACGAGTCTGGTCTGTCTGGTCTGTCTGCACAGAAGGGAGGCTCCTTGTCAGGCATCTGAGGTGAGGGATGTGTTATGCCATGTACTGTGTACAGTGTATACTCCTCCCCCTCCTGCAGCAGCTCTTCCTGCCTGCACCAGGCCTGCATCCAGGCCTACGCGCCTGCTCCCTGCACTCTGCACCCAGCTTCCAGCCCCCTGCACCCTTGCACCGGGCTGCACCTGCACCCCGCTCTCCCTCAGCTCAAGGCCACCACAACCAACCCACCAGGTACCTAGGTATCTAGGTAGCCAGGTGCTGCTTTTCCGCCGACGGCCCCTCTGGCCAGAGTCCCCTGAAAGCAAAACCCCTCGGATCAATCAGGCAGGCCTTGTCGTCGGGGTGTGGGAGCCCTGGGACCTACCTCGTCTGCACTTCTGGAACTCTGGACTTGGCCCCATCCCAGATCAAGATCGGATCGATTGACGAGAGCAGACCTGCAGACCTGCAGACTCACCAGTGCAGGCTTGCAGGCTCGCAGACTTGCAGGCTTGTTGTGTCCGGAACACTCAAGTTCCACTCGAGGTCCCCCCCAACCCTCAACCCTTGTTCCTCTCACCTTTCCGGCCTTCCTATCCTTACCTCAGCCTACCCTACCAGTCAGTACCGTCGACACGGACTCCCAGCACAAACAATACCAGCAAAGCACCTGCTAGTCTGCTAAACTACTTACTGACTGCCAGACTGCTAATCTGCTAGTCTGGACTGGGCGCTCACTTCTCCCCTCCTCCTCCTCTACTCCAGATCCCCTTTTGTGTGTCTGCGTCTTGCCTCACCCAACCCACACAGCTCGACTAGGGACAGGTCAGCGTAGGCCCTAGCTCTGCTGCACTTGGGACCGTTACTGGACTAGACAAGGGCACCCGAGCCCCCCTGGCGAATTGAACTACTACTACTCATCGCCTATTTCCTTTACCCGCCCGCTGAACAAAGCTCTGGCCACTCACGTCCGCCTCTTGCGCGTCAACCGCTCGTCCTCAATCACCGAGTCTCCAGCAGCCGACCCTTGACCCTTCTTGCTAGACGAGACCCGAACCACTCCATCGCCCTGGTGTCTTTTCGAAAACACTGCCTGCCACCTCCTTTCTGAATACCTTCGATCCAGCAGCCAGTCTTGCATCCTTCCCACCGAGGCCCCCTACTGACCTCCAGTCCACTCCACTCGACCCGACCCGACTCGACTCGAATCGACCTGAACACCCCTTCGTTCCTTGCCTCGGGCCCAACCAACCGCAGCCTCGCACTCAAAGCCCTCTCAAGTCACAAAGGTCTCCCGGCTCGATGGCTCACATTTAGGTCTCGGGCGCATCTCAACTAGGCTGGCCATTGCCACAATGCTTATGACACAGACCGCAGTCTCCGCACTATCTCATCAGGGTCAGCACAACAACTCCTACGCTACACGCGGTCAGCCTGCTGCCGACCGCTTCGACGCTGATTCTACACCGTCAAACTACTCGACCGGCCAGGCGTTGGTCGACCCACACTCCCGACAGAACCAAACCACTACATACTACCAGCCCTACCCCATGAACGGCATCGTGGGCACCGCGCCTCCGGGTGCCATGTACGTCCGTGCCCTGTATGATTACGAGGCAGACGACAGGACAAGCCTGAGCTTCCACGAGGGCGATGTCATACAGGTCATCACGCAGCTGGAAAGCGGCTGGTGGGACGGCGTCATCAACGGTGTCCGAGGCTGGTTCCCAAGCAACTACTGCCAGATCATCACGAGCCCCGACGACCTTCCCGACTCCGAGCAACAAGACAATGGCTTTGGCGAGCAGCCGGAAGAGGAAATCGACGAGGACCCATACGACGACAACGACGATGCCGACATGTCAGAGTTGGAGGAGCTGCCGCTGGAAGGCACGAGTGCGGGCGACAGGTCCAAGGCCGACTATTGGATCCCCCAGGCCACCCCCGACGGCCGCCTCTTCTACTACAACACCATGACCGGGGAGAGCAGCTCCGAGTTGCCCTTGGAGTCGCCCTCGTCCGCCACCGAGGCTGGGCCACGAGACAGGATGAACGTCAACATGCCCGATAGGACAAGGCCGCCTCCCGAGATGATGGCCAGGGGTCTGACGCAGGACGAGGACGAGGACTCCGAGGCAACTTCCGCGTCCGAACTTGAGGGCGAGAACCTCATGTTTGGCCGCATGGTAAGACAATCCACAAATGAAATCCCAGCCGCCTTTGGTCTGCAAGTAGACTTACCAGCATCAACCCGCAGGCTAAGAATCGGCGTTCCATGAGCAAGGATGGCATATCTCCCGCGCCGTCGCTCGACTCGATACACGGGCAGTACTCGTTCGGCAAGGGTAACGGGGCTCCAGCAGGGACACGAACGACAGACTCCGCACCGACGTTCACTGCCGGGGCAACTTTTAACCTTCCTACAGCCGCAACCATACCCCGCTCTTTCTTTGACGATGGCCAGACTCCACCGCTCACATGGAGCCGGCTGGTATCCAACATGAAGAAGGCGATTGACCGCTACCGCGAGGCGATCAACAATGGCAACAAGTCGGAATATGTAGCCCGGGCCGAAGACATCTCAGATCATCTGCGGCTGCTCTTAGCAGCGGGCTCTGGCACCACAGACAACCACTCCGGCCAGCCCTCAATCATCTCCACCAACAAAGCATTGTATCCTCACTTTAGGGACATGATGTCCAAATTCTCAAAGCTTGTCGTCTCTTCCCACATTGCCGCTAGCGATTTCCCGGCCCCGGAGTCCGGTCCGAAATGTCTGCAAGAGGCTGATGGGGTCTTGCTTGGTGTATTCTCTTACGTGGAGGTTGCAAGGCAACAGAGAGGGGAAGAGATCCCCCGGCTGTTCCCCGGGTTTGTGATCGGCAGCACGACCGGCGGCAGCTGGCAAAATAACGGCTTGGGCCCCCGAGACCCGATCACGTCAAATTTCCTGGATGACGAGGAGGGCGTGGTAGAGCCGACGGCGCTTCTCGACGGCAAACTCCTGGAACGGCTCGACGAGCTCAAGCGCATGCTGGTCTCCGGGATCCGAGAGCTGGACAAGCAACTTGTGGTACCGGACAAGATCGTCACTCCGTTCAAGCACGAGGTTATTAGCAACAATGTCTGCTCTGCCGGAGGCAGGGTCATCGAAAACTTCAAGCCTTGGATAGCCATGATCGAGTCCATCGACCTGTCGTCGCTCGAGAACAGCTTCCAGACCCCACAGCTTACCGATTTCAGCATCAACAAGCAGAGCCTGTACGACAACATATCCGACTTGATCCTGGGATGCCAGTCCGTTGCAGGGCCGCTCGCCGATGAATGGTCCGAGGTCCGGGGAGAGTCGCTGGAGAACAGGCTCGAATACGTTAGGCAGTGCGCCCGGGCCCTTGAGACAAACTCTTCCCACATCGGGTTCTCCCTCCAGTTGTTGTCAGAGCAGGTCCAGATCAACCTTCAGCAGCAAGCGGAGGCTCGTGCCAGGGAGGAACAGCTCCAGCGACAGCAGCTGACCCGAGGGGAGACGATGGCTTACGGGGCACATGGCAGGACGGACTCGCGCGCAGTAACGCGCCCACCTCTGATGACTTCTCAATCATACACCGAAGGCGACTCCAATATCGCCAACAACCTGGCCAGAGGGGCCGGGACCTACTCCAAGGTCAAGAAGATCTTTGGAGAAGATCCTACACCACAACAGACCGCGATGGATGAAACCCCAGACTACTTACGGCTGGAGTACGAGCACGAGCTTGCATGGGACTACAAGACGACGCCGCCCGCAATTAGGGGAGGATCTCTGATGGCACTGGCGGAACAGCTCACTCGACACGACAAGCTGGACTCAAACTTCAACAACACTTTCCTTCTCACCTACCGGTCCTTTACGACTGCCAGGGAGCTCTTCGAGCTATTGGTCCACAGATTCGGCATCCAGCCCCCCGAGGGGCTGTCGCCCGCCGACTTTGAGAATTGGCGGGAGAGAAAACAGAGCCCAATTCGTTTCCGAGTGGTCAACATCCTGAAGAACTGGTTCGAGACTTTCTGGATGGAGGACAACCAGGAGGAAGACACAAAGACCTTGATACGTGATGTATACAACTTTGCAAGGGATACTGTCAAGTCAACAGAAACTCCTGGCTCAGCCCCACTGATGGCCGTCCTCGACCAACGACTGAGTGGCAAGGATGTTGGCAGGAGGCTGATTCAGACGCAGAGTCAGCCAACCCCAGCACCCATCATGCCCAAGAACATGAAGAAACTCAAGTTCCTCGACATCGATCCCACCGAGTTTGCGCGCCAGCTCACAATAATTGAGTCGAGGCTGTACGGCAAGATCAAACCCACCGAGTGTCTCAACAAGCGGTTCCAAAAGAAGACGGTTGAGGGCCAGGCGCCGCCAGCGCCGAACATCAAGGCACTTATTGATCACTCGAACCAGATGACTAACTGGGTCGCCGAGATGATTTTGGCCCAATCCGACGTCAAGAAGCGTGTCGTTGTCATTAAACATTTCGTTTCGGTTGCTGACGTATGTGCACTTGAATCCACCCTCCCTTTGAACATCACAGCTGATCTTGTCTACAGAAATGCCGGCAACTGAACAACTTCTCCACTATCACATCCATCATCTCAGCACTGGGTACAGCGCCAATCGCTCGTCTCAAGAGGACCTGGGATCAAGTCCCCCAGAAGTCACAAGCTGCGCTCGAAGCGCTGCGGAAGCTAATGCTTAGCACAAAGAACTTTGCTGAATACAGAGAGAGTTTGCACATGGCAAATCCTCCTTGCATTCCTTTCTTTGGTAAGTGCTGTCAAATCAGGCGTTGATGCGCTCGCTAGTCATTGGCCGAGACCAGTTCTAACGATCTTTCAGGTGTCTACTTGACGGATCTGACCTTCATCGAGGACGGTATACCCTCGATCATCAAGAAGACTACGCTGATCAACTTTGCCAAGAGGGCAAAGACGGCCGATGTGATACGCGACATCCAGCAATACCAAAATGTGCCGTACTCCCTTCAGCCTGTTACAGAGTTGCAAGACTATATTTTGAGCAACATGCAAGCCGCCGGAGACGTGCATGAGATGTACGACAAGAGTCTGGTAATAGAGCCACGCGAGAGGGAGGACGAGAAAATCGTTAGGTATGTGACAACGCGGGAGCAGCAAATAACCCGTGGACGCCTGGGCCTGGCGGGTGGCTCCTTGGAGCCAGCCGTTTCAGTACTCCAGCTCCATGCTGCACTACCATTGCACCCCTTGCCCTCCCGTACCCAAATGGTCCCTAAGAGTTTGTTGGCTGACCGATTTGCGTGCAATGTAGGGTTCTGGCTGAGTCTGGATTCCTCTGAGAGCACAGCCAACCGGTTGACAGACGGGAGCCTCGTGGCACACTGTCCACCCGGTCGCTTAGGTTGTGCAGTGACGACACTATCCGACGGATCGCGCGAGAATGTTCAGCATGCGCCGCGCCCTCCCGCTGCGTTACGCTGGACCTGCGCGCCAGGCAAGCATCGGCCGTCGCTCTAATCTCGGACTGCCAACGCTCTGCGAGGGCCAACTTGTCCGAGGTTGGGCACCAAGGGCGTTGATCGCGCGTGAGAGACCCACTGCGGAAGGGACACCGTGGGGTGCCGGCGGGAAACGCACGTCGTGGCTGCCTCCACTCCCCGCCTGGTCCGACTCAGACGGGGTGCCACAACGCCTACCCCGTGCCACGAGCGTTGCGGCCGCGACTAGGTGGGCCGTGCTAGGTGATTTGTGGCACAGAGGCAGCAGCCCTCCGCATTCGGCACCGAGCCAGCAATACCACCATCGGGGAGGACGGCCGGGCCGTATGGATAGAAGGATTCCTACCGGTTGGCTACCGGTTGGAGAGATCGGAGTCTCAGCGACGATTGTTGATGAAGTATCTTTGTCTCATCAGGCTCCCGGTGTCAGATGAGTATCTGTAGCTGAAAATGGGGCTGGCAGGTTCCAGGGGGGGGGATAAGCTTTTCTTGGATACGAAACCCCTTCATAATTCGAGGTGGACGGGACCAGAGAACAAACAATTGGAGAAAGCAGCAAGGGCCCCGTTCAGTCTTTTGGGTTGCATGGAAAGGGCTCGTGGGGACGTCCTTCAATTAAGCGTTCGATATCCTGCGCTCGCGGCTGCAGATGCTTGTACCATCTGATACCTTTGTACCGATCACAGCGTGGGTGGGAATCCTGTCAATATCAATGACCTCTTTCGACGGCCTGATGCTAGCTATACTGCGCTGTGTTCTGGTGTGATCTCGATATCCTACGCCATCTCTGCTGTTCGAGATATGCTCACGTCATACCACTTTTTGAAGCTACGATGCAGACAGAAGATAGCACACCTGATGCTGCAGCGGCGCCCCCACCCCTTCTTCCCCTTTCCGAGTACATGCTGACTTTATGAGAGGAGTATATGTATGACTGGGAGTGACGAACAACGGCGGTTTCGGGATACCACTGGTAGATCTGCTATCCAGGTCTGGGAAGTATACTACAATCGACGACTTTTTGAAAGGTGGCATTCCACGTTCCTATCTATCACCCACGCTAAACAGTCCATTTTGGCCAAGGCGAAAAGAGACCATATGCATGTACGGTGACACATTCAAGCTGAATGGCTTGCATGTATTTCACTTATAAACGAGAATGATTAATAATTATAGCATAGACATACATACATACATTGTCACTGTCACGACATCTGGACATCCCCTAGACTGAAAAGATGGCTTCTTCCCATGTAGGTAAACCAATAGTTGTCTATTAATATTATCCGGACGTCACAGACACTACGGGCTTTAAAAATGTTATGAACGCCGGCAATGACAATCTGTGCTCACACCAAGAGATAGGAGAACAAAGGAAACCAAACAGCAAGCAACCTCACCGTGAAGAGTCCAAGCACTTACCTGCCCCCGGTATCATTGAGACCAAGAGCCACAAAGGCAACTTAGTACTCATCCTGATACTGCTCCTCCTGCTGCTCAGCACCATCACTGGCAGCATCGTCACCAGCAGCATCTTTACCAGCAGCATCTTTACCAGCAGCATCTTTACCAGCAGCATCTTTACCAGCAGCATCGTCACCGGCAGCATCGTCACCAGTAGCATCGTCACTGGCAGCATCGTTACCGGCAGCACCGCCAGCCTTGGCCTTCCCCTCCCTCTCCAGTCTCTTCAGATCAGCGGCGGCCTCCCGCGCCGCCCGCTTCTCCCTCCAGCCGCGCCGCACCCGCTCGGCCGCGGCCGCCTGCTCGGCGGTGAGGCCCCAAAAGTAGGCAGGCCCCTTGCTGTTCCCGGGGCCCGCAACGCTCTCCAGGCTCTCGCGCCAGCCCTCCTTCGGCTCCGGCTTGGGCAGCGCAAAGTTGCGGACGGCGACGCTCACGGGCACGGGCAGCCCGTGGACCCACGTCCTGCCGCCCCCCGCGACGTCGAACATCTCCTGGGCGAGCTCGAGCAGCCTCCCCCTGTCGACGGCGAGCTCGCGGTCCCGTGTGTAGAGCATGCACTGCATGTCGACCTCCTCGCCCTCCTTCGCCTGCTGCTTCTGGTGCACCTTCTGCGCCATGAGCCACTCGTGCCGCGGCCCGCGCCCCTGGGCCGCCTCCTCCTCCTCCTCGGCCAGCTGCCCCAGCTGGTTCTTCGTGGGCTTCACCTCGGGCAGCGTGACGTCCTGCACCTGCGAGATGCACAGCTCCTCGCCGTTGCGCTCGCAGCGCTGGCAGCGCGTGTCGCCGCGGTAGATGACGCAGTGCATGTCGACTATGGCGCACCGGAGGCACGGCACCGGGGGCGCCGACACGGGGGGCTTGCGCTGCCGGAAGAAGAACGGGTAGGACTTGAGCTCTTCGGCGGTGGGCGGTGGGGAGGGGGATTGGGGCGGGGAGAGCGTCAGTTGGGAGGAGGGGGACGAGGACATTGTTCTGGGGGGGTGGACTGGGTACTTACCTAGGTACTTACCTTGTGGGAGATTTGTTGTGTGTTGTGTGTAGAGTGTCAAGCGTTTGAGTTCCTTCTGCTATGGGTTACTGAAGAGAATGAGATTGTGGCATGGACGAGTGTCGCTGGTCGGGTGTGTTATATGTGGTCGTCGTCGTTGGGTGTGTCGATGAGACTGGGTCCGCGAGGCAGCCGGGCCCCTTTCGTCTTGTGAATATTGCCATTGTAACCGTATGTTTGTCTTCTCTCCGTTTCTCCAGCGTAGATGCGGTGTAGACAATGGACAGAGCAGTCCCTAGATGAGAGAAATTTGGGAGAGTATCAGGCACAACGGATTGCTGGACAAAGGGTCGATTGTGCGCAGATCAATCATCGAGCACAAAGAATTATGCCAACCATCGACGCCTTGTTGAAACACAATAGCTGGGTCGAACGGCAACAGCCATGGACAAAGCATGCTCGGAAAATGAGTAAGGAAGCGAAAGAAGCGCAGTGGCCAGAGCAAGGGAAGCCAACTTCTCTTGAGGCGTAGTGAGACGGCAGGGCGAAACTCATCCTTACTGGCAAAAGATCCCGCCGATAGAAGTCAATCCGACCACGGCTGCATGTGGTCTTTCGTCGTGCCGCCTCATGTAATCATCACCTTCGACCAGCTAGCGTGGGAAACCTGGAGCCGGTACAGAGATCCTCGAGAGGGAAGCGAACTATTGTCTTTTTTACCAACTAGCTTTTGTTTAGTAAGTGCTAATAGTAGGGTTCTCTTTTTAGTTCTTCATGCTGCTTGTGTACTAAAGTGGTTAGCTAGTACGTTGCGCCCTGAGTACAGCTGAAGCTTACACGGGCCATTCACTCTTAGGGCACATGCGGATCACAACACTTCAGGGGCAGAGACACGCGTAGTTCGAAGATAATCTTAAATTGCTATCACAAAGCTTTGCTCTTCGAGTCTGGTCAACGCCAACACCAGGCGGGCCGGTTGTGTCCATCAAGTCGGTCGGCGCGGAGAGAAGCAGGAACGACAATGGCTCCCCTTCAGATATATATACACAGTGCAGCCGACCGACGAGGACCAACCACGGAGACCACCCTTCGTGCAAAAAGGACCTGCTATTACCCATTAAGACCGCGGTCATCCCGCGTAGCTCTTCTTCCCTGGTGCTCGCCCGAGCTCGTCCTCTCTTTTTTTGGCTCTGACCAACGCCTGCCCAACCCAGAGGGTAGAGGATCTCTGCTTGATGATGTGCGCATGTGATTTTCGGTTGACGTGGGATAAGGTGTGGGATAGTAGTACAGGTCGGAAAGTAAGAGTTGGTGTGCAAGATTATCATCAAACAGGGCCCCCTTTTTCTCACCCTCGGGTCTGACTCGTACTCCGACCGCAAAAGATGCTTTCAATATGGGGGTATCTCCTCTCAAATTCCCAAGCAAAAATAGAAAATGTAAAATGTCAAGAGCTCTCTTCCCTGCACATGACCGCCAGCGCTGCCCCTTTCTGGTCTATGCTGGAACGTGACAGGAACGAAATGTGATCAAAAGACGACGCTTATGATGCTGACGACAAAAATGCAGGCGACTTTGTAATACATGGTGTGTTTGTAAATTTGATCAGGTGATGTGACGGATTGTGAAGGGCGATCAAAGCCTCTGGCGGTGTGGCATGTGACAAGTGCCTTGGGTGGGTGGTGGAGAAGCATACTGGAAACCGGTCTATATCCTGTCTATGCGAACCGATCATTCCGTAGCGTCAAGGTCGTGACCGAAAAAATAGGAAACCTGGTGCCGCTGCGCGGACTTCTTTTTTCCTGGTGGAGAGCGACTCGGGTGTTGCGGATGTCGTGGTTGAAACGTCCGGATGATCGACGCTCGTTGGGCCGCGAGGGAACGCTTGGCCCAAGGAAGTGAGGCCAAAGTTTGAGACAGCAATGCGCCTATCCCCATCGCACCACGCGCATGAGCGGGTAGCGCTGGAGAAAAGTCTCGCTAAGGCCACCTCACAAACCCTACTCAGGTCCTACCCCATCCCTGCTTCACTGCCGCGACGGCGAGGCCGACAACAGCGCCGATGATGAGCAGCCCCACGACGGACATGAAGCGATTCAGTGTCCTCCACCAGGTCGCGTTCTCGTGTCGGAGCTCATCGACCGTCTCGATGTGGCGCTCGAACTCGTGCTCGCGGGATCGGACGCCCAAGTCGCTGCTGCTTGAGTAGCGCTCCACCATGGCAAGTGGCGACGGCTTGGGCAGTGGTAGGACTGCTCCTATCATCCAGGCGAAAGGGAAGATAAACCCAAACACGAAGAGGACCACCTGCACGTTGCGGCGGCCAAACATGCCGCTGTCAGCGGACCACGAAACCGAGGGTGGGTCCCATGCGCTGTATCGATCCCGCGCACGCACATCCCTGCGAAGATGTGGTGACCACACGCTCGATGTCATCCTCCGAAGGCCTCTCCGGATTCCAAACTCCTCGTGCATGGGCGCGTGCTCGTTGTCCATGCTACCAGTGGCAGAATGGAGCCGGACTGACGAATCGGGTCTTCCTTCGTGGGGTCGGCGCCGTGGGCTGTAGATGCCCAGAGGGAAATGGTCAGTCGTTGGTGATCCGCTGTTTTGCACGGAACCGGGGCGGCTGCTGCCAAGGTCAGACATGCTCGAGATCGACATGTTTCGCAACCATTTCCGCTCCCCACTGCCATAGTAGACTTTAGCCCAGGTAGGGATCGCGTTGGAGTTCAGACTGCTGGCCTGGGAGCGCCCGCTGTGGGAGGAGTGCAGGTTACGTTCGGACGAGTTGCTGCTCGCGAAGAAATCTGATAGCCTCTGGCGAGACGGCCTCGGGGTAATTTGTTGCAGATCCGCTAGACCGTCGCCGTCTTCATCGTGATCTCTCACCGTAACATGGTAGCCGTTGCGAGGGTTGAAGACCGGGCTCGGCCTCTCCAAGGGGTCAGAGTCGGATCGGGAGCGGGAGGCGTTTTCCAGCTCGGCAGCGAGGGACGAGGAGATGCTCAGCATCTGTCTGCTGTGTGAGCTCCATCCCCGGCTGCTCCGCCGGCCGTGGCTTCCATGTTGTGAGCCAGATGCCAGAGAGGCAGATCGAGTGCCGCCGCCGGAGCTCCCGGGCTCCGTCTCGGACATGACGGTGGACAGTTGGGAGCTCCATTGATGCGGCGTGGTGGGCAAAGTCATGGGAGCCGGCCCTTCGTGTTCTTCGGCCCATGAAGCTCTCTCCTCCGCCAGACGTCTTTCACGCTCGCGCTGCTCGTCGAGTTGTCGCTGGCGCTCTGATGGCCCTGCGACCGATGGGGGCTCCCACTGACCTGCTGGCCGGTTCAGGAATGCTTGCCCCGCGAAGAAGTCCTCAGCGTCCTCGTTGATAATCGACGAGACCGAAGTTGAAGAAGTTGCTGATCTCCAAGACTTCTTTGTGCGTAAGTTCTCGATGGATCTTGACCTCGACCTGTAGTATCCTAGTCCTTCCGAAGACGGCTGCCTGCGGAGCTGTTGTGACGGCTGCGGTGCCGGGGGCTCTTGGGAGTAGCCTGCTCGTGAGGGTCGGACGGCGGTGCCTGGCGGCGAGGCGTCAGGGCTTCGGTTGGGTGACGGTTCGGGGGTGGGGTCGCCGTGGACCACGTAGTTTGCCTCGTTGTCGTCGGAGGTGACTGGACGGTCGCCTTCTTCCTCCTGTGCGTAAAGAGAAGGAGCTTCGGGCGGTGACGTCGGGCGCAGGAGCGGCGCGTACGAACCGGAAGGCGATGGTGGGCTGAAGCTCTCGACTGATGCTAGTGTCGCAGGGCTGGCTCGGCCATAAACCTGCCAATTGGCTGCTTCCGAGCGTGTTGAGAAGGCTGAGAGGAATGACTGTGCCGGCCTGAGCTCGCTTGTTCCTTGGGGGGTTTCCGCCTCGGGGACCGGAGGCAGGCCTGGACTGTTGGGCCCGTAGACTTTGTAATTTGTATTTTCGGAGGTCGTTGAAGCCCCTGACTGGAGGGATCGGAAAGAAGGCTGTGTTAGCAGAGGTGGGACGAATTGGCCGCTGCCTGAGTCGGACGGAGCGTGTTCTGACGCGAGTTCCGGGAGAGCCTCTTGAGAACCTTCGGATTCACTGTGACCGTAGATTTTGATGTTTGTCGACTCGAACTCGGTGGATGCGGTCTGCTGCGAGTCGAAAGACGCCTGTTCGCGGAGGTCCGGGTCCAATTGACTGTCGCCTGGTGCCCCTGAGCCTTGCCGCTCTCTGGCTGCGTCAGAGAGCCCAGCCTCGGAAGGAGCCTGGCTGTCAGGCTCGTAGACAACGTAATTTTGGTCAGATCCACCCGAAGGAGTATTGGAATGAAACGAGGTCCGTTCTGCGCCAGTGGGTTGGGCGTCTGGCGGGTCAAGATCGTCGTCGTCAGCAGCAGGCGGTGGTGATGCTTCTGGGACGGCGGGTAGGGGGATCTCTGTTGTGTCAGAGGTGGGCGACTCGTCGGAATGCTTCCACTTGAAGTCGGGGGTCTTGGGGACCTTGCGAAGTCCACCGACCAGGCGATTGGTCTGTGGCGTGGAGGAACTTTCGGCGATGGGATCGTCAAAGTCGTGTATCGTTGAGGAGCCCGGAGAGGACGGCACAGGCGTGCTGGGGGTTATGCTTCGGTCCGGGATGGTTCCCGTGGAAGTGAAGGCAGAGCTGGGACGATCATATTGGCTGGAGGCATAAGACGTGTAGCCTTCATGCGAACTGGCCTGGGACACTCTAGGGGTGGATGGGTAGAAGGGTAAATGTGGGGACCTGAAGCCCGCGCCCGGACCGCTGTAGTCAGACAGGGCCGACGAGGATCGTGGGTCCAAGGCCAAGGAGGGCTGCGGCTCTGGTTCCGGATCAGGCCGGGGTCTCTGTGGGACGAGGGAAAAAGTCTTGTCTTCGTTCAGGACCGCCACAAACCCTCCGCGGCGGGAGGAACCGGGGCGGCGAGGGCCAGTAGAAGGCGAGCGAGAGGCCCTCGACGAGGAGGAGGGCTCGGCATCGCTGAGATGAGATGATGCAGAATGTCTGGACGACAAGCTGGTGTGGGTGGTGTAGCTCGAGGCAGAGAGGCGCCCGCGGGTGGAGGGTGTGTGCAGCGCATTGATGGCGGCGAGGCTAGCGACATTGGATGGCGGAGGCCCAGCAGGGGCTACCGCGGTCGGGCGACGATATCTTGGGCCGTCTCCTGATGTACCTGCACCTGTTGCAGATTTCTCCCCTGAAACGCCATCCTCCCGCTTTGCCAATAATAGCCGGGAACCGGCTGTGGACGGCAATGCGACAGGCCCCTGGTTGCGCCTGTTACTGCTGCTGCTGCTTTTCTTCTCGGAGGTCTGGTTAGTCCGTCTCCAGTTGGATCCATAACCATCATCGTCGTCATCGTCGTCGTCCTCGTCGTCACCGTCGTCGCCGCCGCCGTCGTCGTGGCGGCCGAAATCCGAGAATTCCGCCGTTGCACCGCTCTGCGGCTGTTGGAGGTCCTCAGTGGAATCGGCGGCACGAGGAGGAGAATACGGGACAAGGCGGATGGCACTTGGCTGCTGTTGAACGGGAGTGAGGCTCGGACGGTCTGGGTCCGGCGCCGACATTCTTCGGCAGGCCGGCGCCTAAGCGATGGCCTCGGCCTGGGAGGGTCAAGGCTGGGGCTAGGGCTGTAGCAGGGCCGAGCTGGCTCAGCCTGTTGGTCTTCAAAAGCAAGATGACGGTCAATCCCGGGCCATGTCGGCTTCATGCGGGCTGGGTCGTCGACCGGATGGGTGGCCGGGTGAGTGAGTGAGTGAGTGAGTGAGTGAATGGATGGCCAACCTTGTGGGGACCTCGGGATGGGAGCGCCTGGTCCTTGGACGCGTTGTTGGCGATGCCGTGTCGCTGGAGTCCAGGTCGAGGGCGACGAGGGCAATGCCGGCTCTGGGTCGAGGTCGGCACGGCGATCTGCAGTCAGCTACCAGCGTGTCGGCGTCGAGGATCGGTCCGCGTCGGCCGTGAAGGGACCTGTCCTGGTTCGCATGCGACGGTGGACGGAGGGCACGGCGGGATACGAGATTGCCTGTGATGACTGGTTTTGTGGTGCTATAGACAGAGGGCGGCAGATATGGGCTACCTAGGCCAGGAAGACCATTACCACCAAGTGGTATCGAGGGACAAGAGGCAGTGAGTGCTCCGTAGGAGCAATAAGATTGGCAGCCCAAGCCGGCGAAAAGAAATGAAGTGTAACGAAGGGGAAGTATAGTACCGGTATGGTAGTAAAGATAGAGTAGTATGAAGGGAAATAAAATAAGATAAAAAAATGAAAATACGACGGACAGAGGAGAGACAGAGACAGAGGGAAAGCAGAGACCTTGCTGGGCCAAACGAGGGTGGTCGACGCCGTGCAGATAGGCTGAAGAAATGCGGCGAGATTAACGACAGGCGGTAGCTGGCTTCATCCAGGGGGGATTGCCTTGGATGCGTGCCGCTATTGGTATGGGTATGGGTGTGTAGGGCGATGGGCTGGCCGGGCGCAAATCGACAGGACGAGAGCGACTGCGTAGGGCATGCAGGAGGCGTGCGGGCCAATACCGTGCATGCTATGCGCCCCGGCAAGGCGAGTTGTCGACGCAGGCGAGGGATGTCTTGTCCAGTCGCCGGTCCAGGAGTGCTGAAGTCCAGAGAGGGAGGGAGAGGGAAGGGAAGAAGAGACGAAGACCAGAACCAGAACCAGAACCAGAACCACGAGCCCTTGACCACGAACCAAGAAGAGGGCGAGGAACAGCCATGCTTCCTGGCTGCCATGCGGGTGCCGAGAGAGGGGGGGCAAGGGCCCACCTGCGGTGATATGATAACCTGCGTGGTATAATTACGAGTGGGCAGCAGCGGGCCTCAACAACCATTGGAGGTTTAGCCTGGGATCGGGGGGCCCTCGCCAAAGCCTCGCCAACTCTCCCCTGCCCGGCGCAATCAATCTGCAGTCTTCACACCGACTGGGCCGACGGGGCCGATGCTTGAGGAGGAGGAGGAGGAACAAGAGTGCACATGTGGCGACAGGGGTGGATGGCTGGAGACGGTCAGCTACTGCTTGCTGTGCATGTGTGTACACAAGTTTTCAGACAGACCCGACCAACGAATAGTCTACCATGTTACCGGGCAGAGACTATACCATCAGGGACTATACCGAATAGTGCAGTATGCTATGCCAGTCGCTACTGCGGTGGTCCAGGCAGACCTCGGCGCGTAGAGAAACGCGGTCGCGACTTGGAGGTCGCACCAAAAAAGACGGGATGACAGAAAGCTCTAGAGAAAAACGGGCGAGCTGGCGACCCGGGAGAAACAAGATCAGCGCACTAGGTGCCACTACTGCCTGCACTCAAGCACTGCTGCTGCATCCTCCTGCAGTAGAGCAGTCCCCTCCTGCACTCCTGCACTCCTGCAGAAACGCTCCTTCCCACCTGCTGCAAGCAATCCATAGTGTTGTTCCCCAGTGCTGGGTAGTCGAGCTGTCTGCCTGTCTGGTCCTTTCCGCTCCCGAGCCCCTGGGGCCAAGTGGGGCTTAGACACATGCCCCATTGGTGGAGCGCCCCCAACTGCAACGCTGGTAAAATGAGCATCTGGAAAACCTGGACCGAACACACCTCTCTCGCTCGCACTCTTGCCGTGCTGCCATCTCGTCCTCGTCCACGTCCACGTCCACGTCCACGTCCACCAAAATGTCTTGTTTGCTGTTCAACCCGTCGTGAGACCCTCTGTCTCTGTGCTCACAGTGCCCGTGTCGTGATGTCACTGACCTTCATCAAAACAAAAACAAACCCGTCGAGTCGTGAGATCTGACAGCTGTCCAGCGCCGACCAGGTCTGCCCCTGCACCGGCCTCGTGGCCAACTTGGCAGCTCTCATCTTGTTCACGCAGGGACCCGTCATCAATCTGCGATGCTTGCCCCATCCAGCAGGCCCGGGCAACCGGCAGCTGTGCACCTGCTGCAAGCTTTGCTGGCCCTGCAGCCAGGTCCTCGGCACCCAGGGCACCTCTTCATTTCACGAGATGCACGTCCGAATCCAGATTCATCACCTTGTCGCAGGCCTCTCTCCAACGGGCAACCAGATGTGCCTGGTAGATATGTACTGGCAGACTGCCTGTGCAATGGATGCAATAAGGGGCAATTGCTTATCAAATAACCCCTGGGGATACAAGCTGCATGCCCAATGTGGATATCGCACACGCGCGCATTGCCCACCCCGATTAGACGCTGTCTCAACAGCCGCCAGCAACCAGACTCGGACGGGGCACCACGGTCAGCGGTCAGCGGTCAGCGTTCAGCGGTAGACGGTCAGCAGCCGAGACCCAGTCTTTCAGGTCAGGTCAGTCATGCTGCGACCATGCGACCATGCGGCGACGACTCGAGGGGCCGAGGTCTCTACACCACTGCATACTCCCAGACTCCGTAGTTTTACACGCGCGCACAACGGGATGGAGCCGCCGTGCAGACCAGAACCACACATTGTCATGACATTGTCATGCTCATGCAAACAACCGCCCACGGCCGGCGATGGTTGCAAGAGCCGCCAGCTCCACACGCACATGCATTGGCGGCCACGATGCCAGGTGGTCAACCCAAAATCCATCCCTCCCCGGCGCCGTGGAGCAGCCCACTTTTGACCCGTTCTGACATGTCTCTTTTTTCTGGGTCTCTTTTGCTTTTGCCTCTGGCTTCTGCTTCCCGACTTGGTCAAGACTGGGGAAACCTGGCCCTTTCCAGACTCTCTGGACCGACCGGCAACAAGAGACATGCCCCTTGTGTCCGCATGGAATCCCAGAGGGCGTCGACCAAGCATGGGCTGGATTTTGGGATGGCGAGGGTCAGGGGGCTGAGCCAGTACCTGGGCACCTGGGCTTCCTGCCCTTCCTGTCCTCCCAGTTGCCCTCCCAAAACCTGGGTCCAGGGCTGCACCTGGGCAGGGGCAGCATTTAAGCTACCGGGGCTGCCAATTTAGTGTATTATAACTTCATGCTCACACATACTGCGGATGAGAAACGCGTCTAGTCTCATCCCATTTTTTTCCCTTTGATTCGCTCAGAACGCGTTTCCTTCGGACACGCCCTACGCCATCGAGGAGCTGCCCGGTTGGCTCAACCCAGCCTCTGCTGGGGCTTCAATGTTACGCTGCCTTGCCTCGGTACTACAAGCCCACCACCGTCGTCGGCCTATCGTCCACTCAGGACTTGTGCCCAAGACATTATTGCGTCCCCGATATGGCCAGATCGACGCCATGGGTTCGCCTCTTTTCTCCGGCCCAGACATTTATCTCATCAGATGCGACGCTGGTTCTAATTTTATATAAGCTCAGTAGCATTCTATAACCTTCATAATTACTAGTCCTCCGGCCTCCTGACGCCGACGGCGATGTTCTGCGCCCTATAACTAAGACTTGCATACCATAAAGAAGAGGCCTCTCATTTCCCACCTCTTCTCATGCCGCTGCCTGCGGGCTGTCCGAGGCGGGCGATTCGTCGGCGGGGGTTGCTTCCAACATCCACGGCATGAACGCCTTTGCCGCCAGGCACGACGTGCTCGTGTGGGTGAGCACGGCAGTTCTCGGCGCCTAGGGCAGAATCTCATCGATTCCAAGCTGGGCTCAGTCCCACGAGCATGTATGCTGGCGGCCCAAATGACTGAGCGGTTACGTTGGCCTTCGCATTTTGATTACTCCTGCGGAGGAGCATCACATGCCTTCGTCACCATCAGTCTGAGGGCGCCTTCGTCACCATGCTTCGTCGCGATGTCGGCGGGTGAGTCCCCGTAATGATTCCTTGCCGTATAGGCTCTCGCCCCGTGCTCAAGCAGCTGCCGTATGATGGGGAGTCTTGTGCCCGCCGGTGGGGCCCGTCCGACAGTTGGATAGTCATCACAGGCCTCATGCAGAGGTGTTGATCCGGTGTGGTCCGTGGCGTCCACGAAAACGTCAGGGGGCGAAAGCAGCGCCCCGACAACCTCTTCAGTAGACCACACAACGGCAACATGGAGGGGACTGCGGCCCCGGTAATCTCGTAGGGTCGGGTCCGCGCCCCGGCGGAGGAGCTCGGTGACAACCTCAACTTCTGAACAAAAGCAGGCAACGTGCAGCGGCGTTATCTTCCCCCCTGTTTCTGCGTCCACGGGTGACTGGTAGTCTAGCAGCTTACTGACTATTTCTAGCTTGGTCGGTGGATTGACCGAGGTGGCACGACAGGCCTCGTGGAGTGGAAATGATCCCCTGGAGTCTCCCACGGTAGGATCAGCGCCGTGCTTGAGCAGCGAATCGACGATGTTGAAGACTTCATGGTCAAAATTCTTTTCGTTGCTCGTAGGATGTGGAGTACTGTCTGCTCGAGGATACGAGCCGGTATTCGAACAAGTCATCAAGAGTGGCGTCTGACCAAGGACATTGAGGGCATTGACTGGGGCGCCATGGCAGAGGAGTAGTTCGACGATAGCACCGCGTGCGTTGAAGCTCCGAAACAGGTACCAACCTGGCCTGTCCGGGTCGTCCGTGCAAGCTAGATGCAATGGCGTGTGGAGCCTGCGATCGACTGCCGAGACGTTGGCACCATGTCCAAGAAGCACCCTGACGACGGCTACATCCCTCCGTGCAACTGCTAGGTGCAGAGCTGTCCTGCCTTTGTCATCCTGTCTTTCCAGTATGTCTTTCACTGCTATGATCGACTCAGAGCGAGTCGAGTCGTCTTGCGAGTGATCGGGGTGCCGTGATAGGTATGCATGTAATAGGACATGATCCGGTGCACGAGCCAAGAAGTCAAACATTCTTTTGCTGATCTCCCTCTCGAATCCTGACGGAGGGAAGACAGCCACTAGCTTCCCAATAAGTTCATGATCTTCATCTTCAATGGCATGTTCAATGCGTCTGTCTCCCACCACCGGGAATGCATCCAGTAATTTTCCAAGAACTTCGAAGTCTTCAAAACCGATGGCGAGTCTCATGGAAGAAGTAATCTTGTCTTGCTTCCAGACGCGGTCAGCCTTCAACCAGGAGGACAATCCCAAGTAGGCTGCGAAGTAAAGTAATTCGGTTCCCTCATCCAAATCTTCTCGCAGGGCTTTCCAGCGATTCCAAGCAGAATCACGCAGGCGCAGAGCGATGTCACTCGGATCTAGGTCCTCCGCGTCGGCATTTTGAGCATGGGTGAAGAACTCGAACATCGCATATGACAAGAGGGCTGTATGAGCCTCGAGAGTCTGTGAGTTTCCATGGACCGAGGACTGAGGGGATGGAAAGGAAGCAATTTCGGCTGAGCAATGTTGCTCTCCGACGGATTGGTTATTCAACCAGCGGATCGCAAGGTTGTAGCCTTCGGCTGTTCCTCTCAGTTTGTTCAAATTTCGAGGGACTAATCGATTGTGATCCGAATCTTCAGGGGAAGGTGGCCTCTTCCTGTGAGCATGAAAATCATCGTCCGACGGTGAACGTCTCCCCCGACGGTGCTCTTCCTGCTCGGCTGGGGACTGTCCCCCACCATGGCTACCTGCTGATCCAAAGCTTTCTACACTCGGAGAGCGATGCCGTGCGCGCCGTGCTGCCCAATTCTGCTGCGCAATTGACTCGAAATTGGCCTCTCCCACTGTGGAAACCCGCTCACGTCTTGCTGGCACTGAAGCACATAAGCCCCAGTCTCGATCCCGTGCAAGTTGAACCTTGGTGCGTTGTTGAGACAGTTTGCGTGCTTCAACGAGTGCATCGAGCTCTTCGATTAGGATGTAGTCGAGGCAGGTATTCATTATCGAGAAATGGGCATGTGCTAGGGGTTTTCCCGCAGAGGCTGGGTTCAACACGGTGAAACCAGGGCCTTCCATGAAGTACTGCCGGACAGACTCATATATCACCTAAACCACACAGGTCTCTCCAGTGTTCAGGTCAAGAGATCCTGCGCCTGCTCGATCAGACATGGAGTCATCGGCAGGTTCATGGCCGTTGTCGCTGCTAGACCTAACGTTGAATCCCAAAAGACCTCGAGAAAGATATGCGATCCGTCTTTCCAGTTGCTCGTCAGTCTCTGTATACGATTCAGACTGTTGCCATTCGCGCAAGCTTGATGGAGGATCATCTCCTATAAAAGCCAGAATGTGATGCCACTCGTGGAGTCGCAGTTGTTTGGTAGGTAACAATGCCCATTAGAACATTCTGACCACCATAGTCGGGAATGGTGCTGTGGTCAGCAACTGAGAGAACAAGTCCTCGAGTTCCTGTGGCACAGAATTCAGATGTTTTAGCAAGACCCTAAGCCCCTTTCCTTCATCATGTTTTCACAGTATATCTTCCACAACCAGGGAAACCCAAAGAAACACTCCTCCAGACTTTTCCAATATCTTTTTTTCAACAGCTTGTTGATCAACACGCTTTGCAGTCATACCCAGTCCGAGCCGACGCCTTACAAACTCGACAATATCTAAGTAATTGTGGTCCTCCATAACGATTTCAGGACAATCGTTGATAGTAATAGCAGGGAAGTGCCTACTGGACAGACATACACTCAGCTGAACTCCCGCGCAGTGCGCTGTTTTGGTGATATCCCACCAAAAATCAGCCACTTCCCAAACCGAATCAAGGTCGCACTCGTCAAGGGCATCTATAAAGATTATAGTCCTCCTTTTATCGCCCTATATTATGTTAATCACAGACTACAGAGCCTAAAGCTATAAATTCTAAAAACATTATATTATACAAAGGATGGGGGGGATTGTAGAAATAGAAGACTGGTATTGACGACAACGGCTGCCTCGAAGAAAGCCCTAAGCTCTACCTTCTCCCAGTGAATCATCTCTTCACCATTAAAAGCACGTCTACTCTAGGCAAATTCTAAGAGCGCTTTCAGGAGGTCTAAATATTGAGAACACATTTGATGAAGAAGAGATCTTAACATTCCATTTTGGGAGTATTCCAAATAGTCTCCTTTAGCGTTGAAGAAGAACGATGCTACTCAACCTTCCGAGGTGCTGATGTCCATAGTTTTAAAGAAGGCCTCTTTGAGTAACGTCGATTTTCCCAAGCCTAGCTTCCCTCAAAGCCATAAAAGACCACAGAACTGGTCCTGTTTCCTATAATTAAGCCAGTCAACAAACGCGTCGTGCTTGAATAACCACGTACATGTCCCCTCAGCTGGCAAGTTGAGATCCTGCTTTCGCTAATTCATATTCAGGAAAGCCAGAGACTGTAGAAAAGCCTTCCCACACTGGTTTGTGCTCCCAAATTCGCTCTCAAGAGGCGTCATATTCTCAGTTTTTGCACTAACAGGTTAATCGCCAACGTCGTGCGCTGTAGTGGCATTGACTCCGGTGATCGAGTCGTAGACCGAGGTGATCTCCCCACAGATCCAAAGATAGATTGGATCATCAATTCCATGGAAACGACACATGTCCATGTAGTTAACTTGGATTGTCTCGGCTCTTTCGCGAGCATCCCCAAGTAGGCTCGAGCCGTCAGGGACGACCTTCTTTCCAAAAGGTCCCAAGTTCACTCCTATAAGCCCAAGTCCTTCCTAAAAGGTTTTCACACGGAAATCATATCGATTCCAGGCAATAGAGAACGATTCTTAAGCTCACTCGAGGTCATTTATCTTCAATCGGAGTGCATTCAGTATAGACAGATTTATTCTCATCCTCAAGGCATTACTAATAATGCTTCTAACCCAATCTCCAAGTATAGCTAGGTCGCGGCTACCCCTATGCAGAGTGCCTAAGAATATAACAGAAGCTATCGAAGCGACGACGTCTTTCAGTCTGCCGTCAGTCGAAGCCGACGATTTTGCCAGCATCTCTTTGACTATGATGCCTCCAAGACTATGTGCGATGAGAACCAAGGGAGAATCAAGCCTCCGCGCCGCCGCCAGTAAAGAGAGGAGATCCTTACTGTGGGAGTGGATAGAGTTCTCGTTTATCGGCCCAACAAAGTAGTTTATCACCCTAATGTCATATCCATACACCAGGATTCGTACATTTAGATATTGGACTGGAAGTAGATCGTTCGGCCAGAAGACACTAACTTCCTTCGCATCCTTGCCATTTCTTGACAGGTCGCCGTGTTTCTGACTCGAGCCACCCCCGGCGAATGATGATTCAAATCGTGGTACAACACGGTCGTATGATTTTCGACTGCCATTGCCACTGTCGGATACCTTGACACTGGGAGTAGTCACTGACGAGAAGTCTGATTGGCTTTTTTTGCATGCCCATGTCTTGTACGGGTGTCCCTGAAGGCCGTGGATAAGAACAATGCTGCACCAAGAATCAGTTACCAGCCGTAGGGGTGACTTGAAGAACTCACTCAGCAACTGGGAAGCCAGACTCCGGTTCATAGACAACAGTCAGACCGGTGTTGCTAATGAGCATGTCCATGATGCTCGATATGAATGGATCTCCGGGACACGAGTTGACAGTTGAAAATCGAGGGGTCAACACCCGTGCCGTCAGCGAGGCTGTAGGATTGGGCAGAAGCAACCAACTCCGGCTTTTATCGGGGTAAATCCATGTCAGCGGGAATTCTCACCACTGCAGACGCTGTATCACACAACCTGCATAACGGCGTGAGGCACTGGGACACTTGTTGGTGCATTTCATCGGGTTGGGGGCAACAAGACCATGGGGAACCTGTGAGAGATGGCTCAAATTAAACGCTATCTGCGTCTTTGAATTCCCGCAAACTCAAAATGTCTTCGGAGATCATCAAGATCGAAAATTGTGCCTTCGGTCGATTTTAAGTAGGTCACGGTTGTGAGCCTTGGTTTCCTCGCAAATAGTGTGGGCAACATATAAGGGCCAAGGGGACTAACGGGGAAAGATAGAGGCGATCCTATGGGTAGTTGATCTCGAGGAGTTTGGTATCTAGGAGTTTGTCCCACAGTAGAGTGTACCACAAGACCTTTTTCTTTGGGGGTAGGTGGGGAGGGGGTTCAAGAGAGACTGTCGCTGCGTAGCGGACCCGAGTCCAAGCCTATGATGAAATTAAAGAGTTCATGCTGCCAACCTCTTTAGCTGGTTTCGCTTCCATTCCGTATACGTCCGAGGACATATATGGCGCCTTCATACGGTAGGAAACGCTCAAGACCTCGACCTCTTTAGATAGGATATCATCCGAGAACAGGCCTCTGTGTGGGTATTCGTTCCGGAGCTGGGCAGCGAATTTATTATTGGCTCCGACCACGGCTCGCAGCAAAGTCAGCTTCAAACAATTTGTCATTTTCCGTCTTCATCCGTTCCTTTTGGCTGTGGTCAGGTTGTGGATGTGAGAAACAGAGGACAACCACGTTGAATCACAACATTAAACGTCATCAATTTATACCTTCCAGAAGCTTCTTGGTGCAGATCAGGCCCATCCAGAAAATATCCAGTCCCTTCGTATGTTCGACGTGCATCCCAATGCTAAACTGCCAGAGATGATCCTGGTGCAGCTTCTGAAGGCATCCCAAAAAAGATTTTACGTTACATCCATCTCTTGACCAAGAAGCATTGCGTCTGCGCTCTGTCTGTGGGTGCGATTTATTCGGATTAAGCACCCATATATTGTGGGAGTGACGTTGATACTGGCGCAATGGCTAACCAGTTTTTGTTGTGCAGTCAAATTGCTTCCGATCTGAAAATATGCGGAGAGATCTTTAGTGTAACGCAGCGGGTGTGGTCCATCGAAAATAAGACACAGTGTGACGCAGCAATGACGACTCGGGAGAGTCGGGACGATCTGCACACCACCCAAGCAAACCCCTTCTTAAACGGCTGATCTGCAGAGGCTTATGGACAAACCCGCAGCTTGTGCTAAGGTCTGTAAGCCAATTTGATTTTCCCCATCACCTGGAGGAACCTGGAGGAATGGACCGCATACTCCTGGCCCCTGAACCGCTGATCCGCGCCGTGCTCGTCGCCCTCTGCGACAACCAGCGACTTCAAGCCCGCAGCATCGGCTATCTCGACCGCTTGGAGAAACTGCACCGGCCGCCGCCGCCACCAGGAGATGCACCCGCGACTGGCCAGCCACAACCTGCAAGCCTGAAACTGCTGGGGAAAAGAAAAGCCCCCGAGCCGCCACCACCACAGATATGCATCCAGTGCAAACATGCATTCCTCCCTGAGACCAACAACCAGCAGGCCTGCGCATTTCACCACGGCCGGCTGGACATAGATCCGACCCACCGTACCTGGGCAGCAGGCGAGGGCGCAGAGCATGCCTCCCAAAAGAAGCTACGTCAGCACGACACCGAGGACAGCCGCGAGGACAACCCCGAGGGCTTCCTCTGGTCGTGCTGCGGGAGGAGCGGCGCAGGCCCTGGCTGCACCGAGGGTGAACACCTCGCCATCAGGGCCGACGACCGGTCCAAGCGGGCGCGGTACGCCGCCGACCCGGACGAGCTGCGCATGTTTGAGGGGAAGGTCCTTCGGCCGAATGAGTTTGTGAACGACTACCTTGTAGACGACAGCAGCGACTCGGAGGCGTGGAGCGCGGGGGCCGCCTCGCGTGGTGTTGAGAGCCAGGCGGTGGAGGCTGGTGGCGCCGCCGCCGATGAGGTACCGTCCGAGGCAACTGAAAGGAATAGCGAGGGAAGAAGTTCTCGGTCAGATGTTGGGGTTTAGGTGGTCGACAACACCTGGATGGACTACTTGAACATCTCATGGAACTTCCAAAGCCGATAGGACCTCAATTCCTACCAAGCTTTTGATCAAACCTTCTAGCTACTGCACTGCCATCCACCCTGAGCTGCTTACAAATCCTAGTGGTAAACAGGTTTTGGAGGTGAAACCTCGCTTGAGCTTGAAATGCGTTTCTCAACCCTCACAACGCCGTTCTCCGCCATCTCATTCTCACTGATGCTGACACCGTCCGTGGCCGACCCACTGCGAGCATCCGCCACCCATACCCTCGTTTGCACACGGGTGTCCCTCGGCGCAGGGTTCCACATTTCCTGGTGAGCATCACCCGCAGACAAATCAGGGTGGTATTTGCCCATGGCCGAGGGCGCGTGGCTGGTATGGAGAGGATGTATGACGGGCCTGAGAAGTTCCTGGCTGCATGAACTGCTCGTGTTCTTGCCCTTACCCTTACCGCCGCCGCCCAGGATCGTTCCCATGTTGAAGTCTGGCGCGAATGTGGTGCGGAAGACCCAAGGGTTCCGAGCTGGTAGCTGCGTCATCTTTTCGGAAGAGCGGGCAGCCTCCGTCGTTGAGCGAGCCGCTGCCACGTCGAGGCTGCTCAAGCGGATGTTCAGGGGTTGGATGTCATCAAGTTCGTTGAACTGGCGCCCGCCGACGCTAGTCATGTTATTTGACGAGCCAGGACTTCTAAGACGACAAGTCAGTGGGATAGTAATGAGCCGGATCGCTCGACTTCACCTACCTTTGTGGGGTCTGTGGTGACGACGCAAAAATGGACGGTCTCTTTGCGCGAGACCACACACTGCTTAGGCTTGAAGGCGGCTTCGGCGATGGAAGATACTCCTCGTTCAACCTTGGAAAGATCCTGCCGAGGCCCAAGGCCCTGAGGTACCCACGGTATAGGTCGTGTGCATCCTTGGTCAGACCAAAGAAAAGAAACACGATAAGGGACTGGAGGGAATATGCGTATGTGCCGTACATGTGAGCCCACGGGACGCCCGAGCTGGGAATGTAGTCGATCTGGTTCCAGCCGGCGCCGTGGACGCTTCCAAGGTCGAACGGCGCTGCCCAAGGCCATGCCGTCTGGACGTTGTTGGATAGGAACAACACTTGCAAGGGGAGCCACGGCGCGATGATTGTCAGGGTCATGAAGTAGAGCTTTCTTCGTGCTCTGACGTTTCGGGACTGGGCACTCGACTCGCTCATCGAGCTCCACAGGTTCTGACGAGACTCTTTATCGAATCTCCTGTACCGCCACCACGTGGAGACTAATGGCCATATGTTAGCAGGACGCAAGGCTTGAGGCATTGGTGATGTGCCGGCTTACTTGCGTAGTATCCGGCGCAGAATGAAAAGATCGGGCATGGAAAGACGAAGAAGACCAGAAAGACCCAGTTGGTTTGGAACATGGCCTGGCACCCGATGATGCCCGAGATGTTGAATCTCTGCGCGGCCACGAAGTAGTAGAGAATGGCCTGAAGAAGCGGGACGGGGAAGATGATGAGCGCATGAATGAGATTTTTCCTTCGCTTCTCGCTTTTCCTGAGCGCGGTGACTCGTAGGGACGTGATTGAGTTCGACACATTGCGCAGGATCGCACAAGTGCTGGCGGCCACCAGAGTCTCCAGCGGCACCGTAGTGGCCACCTGAAAATCGCACCACCCATAGGCAAGGGGCCAGCTGGCAATGTCATCATTGTACCATGTGATCGTGTTGCAAAGATGATAGAGGTTCACAATGGCCCCAGAGGCGACCAGCGTAGCGCCAGCTATCTCGCCGCTCCTGCAGAAGAGATGCATGGGCACGACACATGCCATGACGCCCGCGAAGTGTAGAATGGATCTCAAGATGATGTTGAAGAGCTGGGCGTTTGAAGGACCGTAGTCGCCCGCAACGTAATCGATGGCGTCCTCGAGACGCATGACTGCAGCCCTCTCGAACTCCTGGAAATGAGAAGGAACTTTGAGATCCTGCTTAAGGTGTCAGTGTGCTTCGTTAGTCTCGAAGTGCGCATTGTGGTGAACTGACGCAAGAAATCCGGCCTGTATTTCTGGATGATGTGACAAATCTTCTTGATGTCTTGTTGATTCCGTCGTGACCTCATGAGAAGAGAAAACCGAAACCAACGAAGAAGAGCGAGCTCTTCGAGAGGAGAGGAGAAGGCAGCGTTAAATGGGGGTTTCTGGGGCATAATTGAGCAGCAGGCCCCTGAATAGAGGCGGTGTCAGCAATCCATGGAAAACATTTGAATAAGAGTGGCTATTCAGAGCGAAACAATTGATGCCTGCCATGTTATTCGGGGAACTCAATGTGAGATGCGATGGTCAATTGTCTGAATAGGAGCTGCCACAGCATGAAGTAATGTACCTAGGTACAGTGACCTATAGGAGTTCTGCAACCGGGGTGCGACATCTCTATTCAGACCCCAATTAGGAAATTTCTCACCAGGGCCAGTTCGTCTCAATGGACAAGTGAGAAATGCTGCCCACTACGGCCCAAGAAAAACAGACCATCGTCAATCAGCTTTTGAAATTAATTCGACTGCTCGTAAAATCATGTTCCGGGTAGTGACGCCGCGTCCTGGGCTCAAGGTTGACTTTTTCTAATGCGGAGGTGGGTATGGGTATGAGTCCCACCCAATTGAGTGCACCTGGGCAGTTGGAATGCTAGTGTTTTTGGAGCACTGCATAGGGCGGACAAGCTTAGGCCGCCCTTTCGACCTTGAAAAAGCTGCACACTCCATTTGGTCCTGCCTCTTATCAGCGGTGCGACCACTGTCTAAAATCCCAGGTAAAGACTTCTGAGTAGCGTCTGCCAATGAACCCCGGTTGCACTCGGTCTCGTATTCACCTGTCAAGGCCAGCCCCAAAGCGGGCATTGGTTTCGCATCTATTTTCTCACATTTCCCCGGGGGACCTTCATTCACCGGCGGTACTTTTTTGGTATTGGTTCAAACCACATTTCCAGTCCAACTTTCGCTGTTGTAATCGCAAGACTCGGGACGAATTGTTCATTTGATCTGGAAACCTTGGAACTGTCCAGTCCTGTGGCCTCAAATGTGTTGACGGGGGACAGCCGCTCGATTCCGCCGCGGCTCCATTGATGTCACTGTGTGATTTACAAGTTTGTCAGGGCTGAGAACTGTCTCTAATTGAATGAAAGCCCCAGATGGCGAGCACGACAGTGATGGAACGGATGAGGATGTTTTATGGAACTTGAAATGGACAGTCTGATGAGTGCCTAGGCAGGCTGAGACTGGAGGACTCGATAGCTGAGGCTGCCCAGTTCTAAGTTGGCTGAAGATTTCAGGAATAACTATGACGAGGGACGCGCAATGATGAGCAGTAGAATGAAAACCAAGCAACCCCTACTCTGAAAATTGTCGAACACTTTCACCTATACCCCAGTTTCGTGCTATTACATGATTTTTCCCTACTTCAAGAACTTTAGAAATCTGCCACGTTCACAGCTCCGGACTCTGCAACCTTCACCGCCGGAGTCACCCCTTCTTCGAAAAAGTCAGCTTGGGATCAATTCGATGAGAGTGTGATGCGAGCACTGTCATGTCGGAAATTCATAACTTTGTGTGAGTGACAGAAGCAAGTTGGTGTCGTCGAGGCATCCTGATGTTGGTTTGGTGCATACCTAGGTAGCAGTAGGGGTTATTCTTATAAGTGGCCTTGTCGTCCCGATAAGCAGATAGATGGCCACATGGTACAAAAAGATAGCGTGCAGGTGTCCTACCCCTGCCTGTCGAACCCCCTTGCCCCCCCCCCAGCGCGTCGAGCAGACGCGCGATGACCCTTCAGCCTGTCGCATTGGATCGCATCACATTCAAATTTCCCGTCTTTCCTTTTGCCTCGACAACATAGCAAACAGCAAAACTCCATCCCATTGACCGCTCTCTGTCGTCCCCGAAACTTTTCTCAGCCACCCCAACGCCGTCTCCGCGCACCTCGACTCAGAAAAGCTCGATTTAGACTTCAACCAGCATGTCTTTCGTCGCCCGTCGTGCCGTCGCCGCTACCCCGCGGGCCGCCCGTGCCTTCAGCACCACGCCCGCGCGGCCCCTGGCCAAGATCACCATCGTCGGCAACCTGGTCCAGACCCCGGAGCTGCATGCCACGTCCACCGGCCGCGAGGTCCTCAAGTACGCGGTCGCTTCCAACACCGGCCGCGGCGAGAACACCAAGACCTCGTACTTCAGGGTCTCGAGCTTCGAGGCTGAGGGTCCCCGTCGCGATTACTTCCAGACCCTGCCAAAGGGGTCAGCAGCCCCCAACCTCCCGCTGAAGCTTGTCCCATCGTCGCGATGAGCATTTGTGCAATGAGGAGGCGCTGACTTTTTCCACCTGCGCGCAGAACTCTGGTCTACGTCGAGGGCGACGCGAGCAACGACAGGTACGAGGACGCCGAGGGCAAGACCCGCACTGCACTGAGCATTGTCCAGCGTAAGTCACCACTGACATTGCAATGCCCGCCCGCATAAGCCTGACACTGACCGCGCCGCGACTGATCCGCAGGCAACATGGAGGTCCTCCGCAGGCCCAGAGGAGACGGCGGAGAGCCCGCCTCAAGCTAAATGCTCCAGCCCAAGATAACCGAAATACACAGGAGGTGCTGAATGTAACCTGTATCTGTGGTTATGGGCGGGACGGTCTTGCAGGATTTGTATAACATACTTTATGATTGCGAAAGGAGAGACGAAGAATTGTACGGGTTTTCCGGCGGAGCTCCGATCCCCACTCTTCCCAAGGCTGCGCTTCTATATGTCGCACTTTTCTTCTACGATACCACGTTGATGATTATCCACTGGGGGCGCATTGAGTTGTCGATATTGACGATTGCCAATCCAGAGGCTTCACCCTGACTGACCTCCAGCGGCTGACCTGGTGCCCTACCTGACACATACCCGAACCGGTGCATGCGTGGTGCCCTAATTGGCCCGTAAAGTCTCCCTGCCAACAGCTACGTCCAGTGAAATTGGGGTTGAACGTGTATATATTTTAGTCTATCCAGTCTACAGACTTGGTCATTCGACACATTCGGCCTGCCGCCGAGGGCCCTGTTTTGAGCAAATAAGTTTTGCCTATGCGCTCTAAACCAGATTGCAAGAGTCCATACAACCGAAACCGGCCGCGACACCCCCTTCCTCGCTCTGATCGCCCTTGGTCCTCAGCAGGTACCCGGCCTCCTCATTGTGCAGGACCTCGCCCGTGCCCTGGTCCCAGACACAGCTGCCGTAGATGCCCAGCTCGCAGATGACGCCGCCCTGCTCGAGCTTCCCGTTCCGGAGGATAATGTTGCTGACCGGCGGTGGCATGATGAGCTCCATGAGGATGTACGACTTCCAGTGCGCCTCGGGCAGCTCCTTGAGGAATGGCGGGATGGCGGCCCTGTAGCAGTTGTTGCCACCGCCCTCGCGCTGCGGCTTGAGCACGTAGCGCTTGCACTCCTCTGCGTCGAGCGCCAGCTTCCGCGCCGCGAGCCCGGCCTCGCTGTCGTCCATGGGGAAGATGTTGGTGAAGGTCGCCCAGAGGTCGTCCCACGCGCGCGAGCCCTCCGGCACGAAGCGGCTCAGCCCGAGCTGCTTGGTTGAGCCCCCGACCGGCGGCGTCGCGAGGACCTGCTGCACCTTCTTGGCGCCCGCGAGCTGCGTGAGCACCGTCGGGCACTTGATGGCGCCCGAGCGCTCGAGGTGGTACCGCGCGTCCCAGGCCGCGGCGTCCGGGTAGTCTGAGGGGCCATAGCCCGCGCGCAGGTACACGACGGCGACCTCGAACTCCTTGTCCGGGTTGCTGGGGAGCCTGTAGAGGAGCTGGCGCCGCGGCGTGTCGGCTATGCGCGTGCGCGTCAGGGTCTCGCTGAAGGGGAGGCGGAAGACGGGGATGCGCTGCGGGGATGGCCTCTGCAGGGCGTACTCGAGGTGCCGCTGGTCGAAGACGTTGCGCTCGCCGTCTTGCACGAGGAAGATGATGCAGGTGTCGAGGCCGAGCTCTGACTTTGGGTAGGCGTTAAATGCGGCCCTCATGCCCGAGGCCAAGCCCTCGACACTGTCATTGCCGGGGAGGTTCAGGCTGCTGTGTGCCCCTGGCTGCCTGAGGGATGAGTACTCGGTGTCGGCAAGGAATCTGGGCATATGTCAGTGAGTGGTATGAGCCTGCCGGCGGGGGTTTGCGATTTGATCCTACTTGTGAAGCGCACATGTTGAAGACGACAGTCCTCCGAAAGAAGAAGCGATGGTGTTGAACTCGACTTGCTTGACTTTGGGCACAGCAGACTGGTCTGCCGTATCCTTGTGAACCATGTAGTCGGAGCGGAAGAGGCCCAGAGAGAGGCTCTGCTGCCCAGTCAGTACGTTGTGTCACCAGTCTCGGGTTCGGATGCATGTGGCTTGCCTGGACATAACCCTCTTCCTTGACTCTGCAATGAACTTTCCACAAGTTGCCTATGAAATCGTCTCCATCGGCAACCCTGATGGCTTCAGTATTGAGTCTCAGCCACCATGTTTGCAAGTTCAGATCATCACTCACTCCTTGACCATGTCGGCGAGAAAACTCTCATCCTGGCTGACCTTGGCGTACAACTCGTTATATGCCGTCTGTACCCCCTTTGCCTGATCGAAGCAGACCTGCGGGAATGGGCTGGGAAACAATGTGACAGGCACATGTGTAGCTAGGACACCCTCCGGATCCGTCTCAGCAGGCACCAGCGACGGTGGTGGGCGGACGGCGAGCCCGTTGGCGATTGCCCAGTCTTTGATGACCTCGACAAGCCTCGCCCTCTCGGGGCCATCGACATTCGGAGGGTAGGTCTCCGTTGCGAGAGCCTGTGTCACCATATTGAGGGAGACTCCTGTCTGTAAGTGCCGGAGCTGCCAGCCCGGGACCAGTTCTGCGATGCTCGTCAGCCAGAATGACCACTTGCGAGGGCTGGGCAGCGTCGGTCCGCTGGGCGCCCACCTCTGCTGCAGTTATGCCGGTGGAGATGTCTTCTGGCGGCCTACGAAGATATCACAGACTTTCGAGCAGGTAGTTCTCGACAATGTCTAGACGGAATCGGGTCCGGTCTCACAAACCGTGTAGACTTTCATTAGCATTAATAATCCTTTAGCTGCTCCCGAGTCCGGAGCACGATGCTCTGCCCCCCTCCCCTATCTTGGGCAACTTTGAGCTCGACAGCAGCCAGACCACGCAAGCCTGCGCCACCTTCCCAACAGCACAGGATACCTCGAATACAGCCACACAAGAGAAAAAGCCACTCGAATCGAAACTTATTTCAAGGTACACCAAGCCTTGCCCGTCCTTTTCGAGGGGTGGAGGGGGGTTCACCATCTGAACCCTGATTTTAACTAACCCTTATCAGTGATAACGAAATGGGACCCACCCGTACCCCTCGCCCCTGTCAGGTTCACCGCGGCTCGACCCGCCAGCCCACCTAGGAGAAACTTCCTGCGGTCGCGTCACTCACTGCGGACGCGCTGCGGGTGGGCAATTTTATTTTACTTCAAGTTAACGAACACTGCCTGTTCTCAGACGTGTAGATACCTTGAATCTTGCCGTCTTGTACCTACCTCATCTTCTCTCCCTCCAACTCATCGCCACGATCCACCCCCAACTCTTCTTCCTTTTGCCAAACAGGCAGCCTTCCTGACGGAAAGAAGAGTATCGTCCCCTGTTTCTAGTGTTTCGAGACAGCCTGCCTGCAGCGACCCTCTACTGCACTTCATTGGGTACAACTACCACCAACGCCCTCGACCAACCTCAATCGAGCAACCTCAACCGACCAACCTCCACCGACCAACCTTGACCAACCAACCAACCAACCTACCTACCAACTCAACTGAGACTCACAGCTTTTCCTCGCCGCAACAGAGGTCTCAAACGACTAGTCAATGGCCCTGCTTTTTCTGGTACTGTAGACCTAGCGGATTGACTGCTCAGCTGAACGCCTCTTCAACACCGCTAACAGTCGTCGCCTCAGCCCCTCTCCTTTAATGCCAACGGTCGTTAAGTAAACCTCAGGTTCAGTGCCCTTCTTGCTAGCCAGGTAAGCAGCCCCTACAACCCTTCATTAGACAATCAATCCTGCCTCTGGACCACGAGGCCCGACAATCACCTTTGTCCTCGACAAGTAACACAATGGAGGTCTCGACTGAATGTCATTCCGCAGTTGATGGTGGATCCACCCTACCCAATATGGCTGGGGCGAAGGGCGATGATCCCTTTGACTGGGACATAGATCGTGTAATCCAGGAACTTTGCACCACCAATCGAAGCTGGATCCCCACGCCTCGTTCCAAGCTACCAGATCCCGCAGCTTTAGCTGAAAAGCTGAGAGAGGGCGAGTATGATGGGGAGACCCTACTGGCTACTCCACAGGATGAACTCTGGAGGGACCTAGGAATTACCAAGGCAAAGTTCAAGGTCAATCTTCGTCATGCTATCGCCCAATTTGTCTCGCGAAGTCCGAAGTACAAGCAATATTGGGCCTCTACCAGGGACCAAGATGCTGACTCCGAAGTTGGCACCGCCGAGCCTCACCACCAGGCGTTTACTCCAATGTCTGACACTAGTGCACCGGCTCTGGCGCCAGCTACAGGCACTGGGGAACCCATGGAGACGGTTGAGACTAGTGTCGAAGCCACACGAGTCGACGAACACCCTGATGAGCCACCCAAGAAAAAGGCCAAGCGCTTGGAAGTGACAGCCATGACCACGACGAGTCGACCTTCCAATCCAGATCAGCACTTCAGCATCGCACCCATCCCTACCGAGCTGGACAGTATTAGCCTCCCTTTGAGAGACATGGCGCAGGTGCCACCTCAGAGGGACACGACTGCAGCTCCGCCAGTGGACTTCGAGATGGACCTCGAGAGCAGCCATGGAGCATACTGGGGCAGTGGAAAACTTCCCAAAACAGGCTTTATCGAAGCACACGACTCGACAGACGACGACCCGAACTTTGGCTGGGGATCCCCTCGGCCCATCGGAAGTGCGAAGAAGAAGTTTGTCGCTGATAAGCTGAAGGGATATTTTCGCCGTTCAAAGCAAGAAGTGGATGATGCTAATGACATCCTGCCACTGTATGGACAGTCTGACGATGAGGAGTACGGCTCTGAGCTGGATAAGCTCAGAGAAGAAGAGGAAATGGAAGAGGCGGAAGCAGAGTCTACTCCTGGCCTCGATGAGTCAGAGATCGATCGCATTCTCGGACAGATGGTACAAGCTTGTACCGCCCACTGGCATGAGAAGCAGCTTCCGAAGGAGAAGCACAAGGCTTTCAAGATGTGGGATGATGCCCGCAGACATGGCACTAGGGGGATCACAGCCAAGGCCATGTCCCAAGAGCTCTGGAAGGGGATGGCACGCCTCAAGAAGACACTGGACCAGATGAAGGACAATCAGTACAAGACGGAATCTGAGCTCCGTGGCATGTCTGATTTCCTACAGCCGGACATCGACAAGATTGAGCACATCAAGTGGATCATGAATGTGCTTAATAGTGAATCTGCACCGGAACGTGTTGTCCGGCCGCTAACCCAGAGGAAGCCGAAGACCAAGCGCACAGACAACATCGACCTTTGGAGTGAAGATGAGCTACAGGAGGAGGAGGAGACGCAGGACTTCATTGTCGATGATCCTCTTGAGGATGCCAACCCTCGGGAAGCATCCGTAAGCTCTCAGCACTCTGGAGCCGATAATCTTTTGACCGCATCACGGAGCTTTGGATCTACGAGCGATGACATCGAAATGCATGACCTGACGCAGGTCGACGAGTCACCTTTCGGGAGCCGAGGAGGCAGTTTGATTGATTTGGTTACTCCAACCAAGCCGAAGAGGAAACCTTTCACCCCAACCGGATCTGCCAAACGTGCAGCACGTATCGAATCATCCCAGGAGGAGCTTCCTCTCAGTGACCCAAAGGCCGTCGCTAACAAGGGCTCGGTACACTGGGAGGAGAGGCGGGATGTCGAGCGGCTTATTCTGACACTTCTCTTCACCCAGCACCCGGCCAGGAAAGATGACATATTCCAAAGCGTGCTGTTTTTGCAGAAAGATGAACATGCGGTCGAATCGTTCAGGCAAGAATACATTGATTTCATCTGCAATTACTCCAAGGACTCCTCAGATCTGGCCAGAGGCTCGAGGGAAAAGAACCGGTACGACACGGCGGCTCTGCTCACCAGGTTGTTCGCCATCTACCTGAACAAACACTCAGCCTCGACTTTCTCCAGTTTTGGAGGAAAGCCTGACGAAGATCTGATCGGCCACGTGAAAGCAGGAATGGAACACCTTGCTGATTTCTGGTCCCTACTCACAACCTTGGCCCCCTACTTCGGCTACACGCAGGAGAAGGATGGGCTTGCCCCAGCTGAAGGGGAGCCTGAGCCTGCCTCTGAAGGCTCCGTCGTCTCCTCTGAACCTGAGGAGGAAACAGTGGCTGGGTCCTCGCAGAATGTCAGAGCAAAAGAAAAGCGGCGCCAGCGAGAGCAGGAGCAGCGAAGAATGCAGCTCCGTGAGCAAGTCTACAGCTCATTACTTCCGAGTGAGAAAACCCGCCTGATTATCAACGAGTCCAAGCTAGAAGGCCAGAACCTGGTGTATGTCCACGACCACATAGCCGGACGTATTAAAGACCACCAGATCGACGGCGTGCGTTTCATGTGGGATCAGGTCTTGTCAGACGCAAAGCAGGGCTGCCTACTCGCCCATGCAATGGGGTTGGGCAAGACAATGCAGGTAGTGACTCTCCTGACTGCGATCCAAGAGGCAGCGGTTTCTGAAGATCCCAAGGTATCCTGTCAGATACCCGATCATTTGAAGGTGTCCAGAACACTCATTCTTTGCCCCGCTGGTCTCCTTCAGAACTGGGTAGAGGAGCTCATGAAGTGGGCACCTGTTGGTCTTCTTGGATCTCTGCTTGAAGTCAGTGCCGACTTATCTGAGGACGAGCGGTCTGAAAGGATCCACGATTGGGCGGGTGAAGGTGGCGTCCTCGTGATTGGATACGGGATGTTTACGCAGATCTCGAAACGGCCTGATCTGCTGACTCTGATGCTAGAGTCTCCTTCGATTGTTATCGGCGATGAGGCACACTTGTTGAAGAACGAACACTCAAGGAGAAGCAGTATCGCCAGCCTTTTCAAGACACATACAAGAATCGCTTTAACGGGGTCGCCACTCGCTAATAATGTTGACGAGTATTATGCTATGATCCAGTGGTAAGTCTTATGCTCTAGATTCGCGGTTCTGCTTGCTAATGCTCATCATCACCCAGGGTCGCACCTGGCTTCCTCGGGGACAAGCAATGGTTCAACTCAGAGTATAGCCGACCAATAGCCAGCGGGCTTTACGAAGACAGCACTCGTACAGAAAAGACAAAAGCCAAAATTCGTTTGGCAGCACTGACAAAGCTTGTGGCACCAAAAGTGCATCGGAGAACAATTGCCACTCTCAAGGACAGCCTGCAACCCAAGACTGAGTACATTGTGTATCTGGACATTAGAAGTGTACAGCGGACAGTGTACCAGTCCTACCTCACTGTGGTTAAGGAAGCAGCAGGTGGTCAACAACCAACAATGGTGTGGGCTTTGATCAGGACTCTTGGCCTCCTCCTTGCCCACCCATCAATTCTTGAAAGGGCACTGAAGCAAAAGCTGGAGGAGACCACAGATTCGAAGCAGGGTGCCAGCAAGGAGGGAAAGGAAGATCCTTCCGCCCCTCTGCCTCTGCCTCACCAGATTGTGACCACCACGTTGGACATACTCACTGCTCAGCCCGGCTATGCAGACCTCAGCAGCTCCTTCAAGATGCTCGCGCTTTTCAAGATCATCGAGGAAACGACAAAATTGGGAGAGAATCTCCTAGTCTTCAGTCAGAGCATTCCCTCGCTGAACTTCATCGAGAAGATCTGCAGGCAGAGAAGACTTGCGTACAAGCGACTGGATGGTAAGCAACTTTGTCCCGGATTTAGCCCAGGGCAAAGGTGTCTTTTCGGGACACACATCCTGGGAAGGCTATAGTCACACTGCTCCCCACTCCTTCACATACTTATTTCGGGTCACTTCCTGGGTGCTTTGATTGCTGACTTTCCATGCTCCAGGCAAAACTGATGTCAACAAGCGCCAGAAACAGGTCAAGGAGTTCAACGAGGGTACCGGGCAGGTTTACCTGATTTCCACCACTGCAGGTGGCGTCGGACTCAACATCTATGGAGCAAATCGTGTTGTCATATTTGACTTCCAGCACAGCCCTGTCCACGAGCAGCAAGCCATTGGCCGAGCATACCGCATTGGGCAGACCAAGCCGGTCATTGTTTACTGGTTAATCTGTGACGGTACTTTTGAGAAGACTCTGCACAACCAACAAGTCTTTAAGAACCAACTGGCCTCCAGGGTGGTGGACAAGAAGAACCCCTTGCCCAAAGCAACATCGATGCGGCAATACTTCGCAGAGCCTCAACAAGTCGAGCACCAAGATACAGCAATATCAGCGTACTTGGGCCAAGATGATATCCTCGACCATTTGCTCATGTCGAATGAGATCCGAGCGGGCATTTCGTCCATCAGCACCACAGAAACCTTCGAAGAAGAGGATATCCAGAAGCTGGAGGCCGAGGAAATAGCTCAGGCAGACCAATTGGTTCAGCAGCAGATCTCTCGAAGAAACAACCCTGCGGAGGAGGCTCCAGTGGGAATCCCAAACCCGCCAGAGCTGTCGGAGCAAGTACGAGAGTTCCCCTCCCTTTCTCTTTCAAACCCTTTTGATTCCCCTCTTGCGTTTCTTCGCCCTACCCAAATTGTTGATCCGAATTTGGCCACGGCTACATCATTGCCTGGCCAATTGATTGCTTCTACAATAGCAAATCCTCGTGCAGGTTCCCTTCCTCTGTCTACCGTGGACTTAGAGAATGGTGGTGACCACTGCCGGGCCCAATCCCTACCTCCTGGATCACAGCGCACCGTGTCTTCGTCTCAAGTGGATGCTGAGCTGACCGCTGTTGCTAATGTTAAATTCTTCCCCCAGATGGCATCCGTCACTGCCCTTCCTTCCGGTCTCATAGTGCCCATAGGGCGTCAGCAACAAGGCTCGTCTCAGCTTGATGTACTCACCTCGGACGGCAATTACCTAGCACCACTTGCACTCCCTCGGGACGACCCCTTTACGGATTCCGGTACAAGGCACCAACAGGGTGTTTCCGGAGCACAGAGTCTATCAAGACTTGCTGCCGAGCCGATCATACTGCCTCTCACTATGAACACAGCTCAGGGCGGCAGTGCTCCAGTGGCAGCAACTAATTCCGGCCGGCCCTCTCTTCTACCACAAGACATGCCACCTCTAGCCATAGGTGGCAGCTACCCTAGGTCCCGGGAACCCATGGAACCAATGGGAATTGATATGATGAGAGCGAGGTCCGGAGACAACGGGATGGGTGACTTCAGGACTGAATTGACGATGCGAGCGAATGCTAGCCTCCTGCCACAGATTCCAGCTACCGTGGATCGGATCAACGAGCACATCCAGGGAGGTGGCCTCGTGCGAAGCAGCACATGGACGAAGCTGAAAGCTCTCATACTAGGAAGACCAGACCGTGCCGATATGATTGTCAGTGGTAGAGTCTCTGCCCAGGCTCTGGCCACTGCTGGGAAGGCTGCTCTGGAGGTTCTTTTAGATGGACGCACCTCGGTTCCCACGCCACCGCATCCTCAAGATGAGAGGCGTATGAAGGACCCTGACGTAGGACACCCCTCTGAACTATTCGACTTCTGATATCGCCACGGTGTTCTAGACATCGAACTAACTTTTTGCGATCTCCAGCACTCTCGACGGTTCTTGGAGCGGTCATCAACTGAAACCCAGCGTGCCGAAGCAAACAGCCATAAAGAGGGCGACTTGGCGGTTCTCCGCAAGGTATGGGCGAAACGGCAGTCTAATCCACACGATCACCCTCAGTCACCAAAGGTCAAGGCTGAAAAGGCTGAGCGGCGACGGCAGTCCATGCCAACCAGCGGGGTTGGAAGGACGAAGTCAAACCCGTTTGTCATTGATGATGACTAAATTTCCTTTGATATCACCACCTCCCCCCATTCCATTTTGCATCTGCTCTTATTCCCTTGTCGGTTGTTTGGACGTTCGTCACAGCTTTCAATGAGATTTCCTTTTGGAGTTTATCTCGAAGATACCCCCTCACGAAAATGTTTTTCCTTGCCTCGGCTTTGCTTTGGTCTCCAAATAATACCTCATGAGACATTGGGAAGATGGGATCGACACTGGGGACTTGGCAGGATCTAGGCGTTCTGGACTTCCAAAAGCTGGTTGATGTCGCAGGTTGCTGCTGCAGTCGGGCTTGCCGTGTTCTGACGATGCATTTCGATCACCCTGAAGTTCAGGTTTTCTTTTCATCATACAAGGACAACATTTTGGTTCTTGGACGGCAAAGCGCACGGGAATTAAGGATTGGCCCATCAAGTGGCCATCATAGCTGTTTGCTTTGGAAACTGCTTCGGCCTTGGTAGATAGGCAGGACAATTCCAGGGCGCGTATTGTTTTACATTGTATTGCTTTTGGGGGGGGGGGCTGTCTGAACATGACAGACACAGGTTGTGCATGCGTGCTTTGTGAGCGCTTTAACTTGATGTGAATGTAAGAGTGGTTCACCGGACTAAAGAAGCAGCAAGACCGCCAAAGCCATCCACACCCGAGCACCAGTCGTCCCAGCTAGCAATGCACCACAACAAGGCGGTGCTGACATCTGAAAGCTGGGCTGCGGGATACCCAAGCGTCATTACAGGACAGCCGGCCCTGGTCCAGCCGGATGAGCCCGCCATCCACTGCCAGCCCGAAAGAGCCTCCAACCCCGGGTGGTAGGGCGCCCCCCGACAGACTCGTCAACGGAGTCCCACAGCTGCCTCCTTGCCGGCTGGGGCACCATGACAAGGTCGTTGGTGAGGTGGCATATAACCATGGGGTCCAGTTACTTGACAACTATTACCATGTGGAAGATCACGCCTAGTCTAATTTTTCACAGCTAGTAGGCTGCTCAGCTCACTGCAATATGGGCTGGGTAGAGATGCACGGGTCTAGACGTCTTCAAACCCCCTCAAACCTCCTCATAGATTCCCAGAAGACCCACTCCCACCAGGTCCTCTTGAGCCTATTATTGCATGGCGTGTATCAGGTCCAGCATGTACCATCATTACAGACAAGTCGTTAGATTATCTAGCTAGGGGCATACCGTATTTGTTACGGCTTTTACTAGCAAAGAATCAATATTGTTGCTGTCAGTCTTGCCTTCAGCTAACAGCACTTTTCCTTCAGCTCGCTGGAGAAGCCACCCGAAGTGGAAATGTGACAATTCATATACACATGTACAAATGTCTGCGTCTTGGGAAGACCGTTGAAAGGCTGACAAGCCGCTAGGTTTTGGTACTAGTTAGTGTCTCTGCCGGCCAGCTTTAACGGCTGGCTTGCGGAGCCCCGAGGCATGTTTCCTCAGATTCTAAAATCAGCCGGCGTTGGATGCCAAATCCAGTCTTGCTTGTTTAGCAACAGCACTCAGGCGATTGCTGTGTCAGGGTTCAACTTGCGGGATGTACATTTCCACACTTCCTGGGCTAGCATGCGAAAGCAAAGCTACAGTGTTCACGATCAATATGTTCAAGATAAGTCCAAAGGTTTTGTGGCAGTTATATCGCTCAGAAGGCGATGCCAAATATTGTATTTGTAATGTTGAGGTGCACACCCGCCCACCACGAATGTATATATATATATCCAGGACAGACCCCAGCAGCACAATCCATTCAGGCATGTGCGCTGGCTGGGTTGTGAGCTGGCGAGGACGGGTTGAGACTAGGTTTCGAAGTCAGATGCTTCATAGTGGCAGAATGGTAAAGAATTGAACACAGATCGGTCCCTCCCCCTGGACTACTCGGTCGCTGTCGCCCGCTCGAGAGAACGTGATTCCGGCCTGATGAGCTCCCCTCTTCGTGATTGGTTGGCAACAGAGCTGTAGTCTTTTGCGCACAGTACACACAGAAGACACACACGTGCACAGACACACACACACACACACACGAATTTAGGCGACGGGGCTCACGGTCCTGACGGACTGGGCCTCACGCTCGAGCAGCGCCTCCAGGACCCTGCCGTTGCCCAGCTCGCCGCCGTTCTGGGCCTGGATCTCCCTAACATTCTCCTCGATGCCCAGCTGGGCGTCGGTCCAGAGGGGCTCGACGGCGGCGGCGTCAGTCTCGCCGACGCCGATGAAGCCGCCCTCGGCAGCCCACTCGCTGGTGCGCTTGATGCCGAGCTCGGTCCAGATGGCGTCGACGGCGTTGACGAGGTGGTCGCGCAGCTCCTTGGTGTGGCCGGGGGTGGGGGTGATGCGGAGGCGCTCCTGGCCGACGGGCACGGTGGGGTAGTTGATGCTCTGGACGTAGATCTGGTGCTTCTGCAGCAGCAGGTCGGAAGCCTTCTTTGCGACCTCGGCGTTGCCGACCAGGATAGGGACGATGTGGCTGGGGTTGGGGATCACGGGGATGTCGCGCTCCTCGAAAGCAGCCTTGACAGCACGGGTGTGCAGCTGCTGCAGCTTGCGGTCGCCGTGGTAGTCCATCTGGTACTCGATGGCGGCCTGGGCGCCGGCCATGGTGGCTGGCGGGAGGGAGGTGGTGAAGATGAAGCCAGGGGCAAGCGAGCGGATCATGTCGACAAGCTTGGAGGTTCCGGCAATGTAGCCGCCGACGCAGCCGTAAGCCTTGCCGAGGGTGCCAGTGATGATGTCGACGCGGTCCTGGATGGTGCCCTGTGGCCTGCCCTGCTTGTGGGCCTCAAAGTCGAGATGCTCGGCCACACCGGCGCCGTGCGGGCCATACATGCCGACGGCATGGACTTCATCCAGAAAGGTAATGGCGCCGTACTTGTCAGCAAGGTCGCAAATCTTCTCGATGGGGCCAATTGAGCCACACATGCTGTATACGGACTCGAAGGCGATGATCTTGGGGACGTGCAGGGGCAGGGCGGCCAGCTTGGCCTCGAGATCCTCAACGTCGTTGTGCTTGAAGACGATCTTCTTGGTGCCGGAATGGCGGATTCCCTGGATCATGGAGGCGTGGTTCAGGCTGTCGGAGAGGATAACGCAGTCGGGCATCTTGCTCCCCAGGGTTGCCAGGGTGGCATCGTTGGCGACGTAGCAGGAGCTGAAGACGAGAGCAGCCTCCTTGGAGTGCAGCTTGGCAATGGAGCCCTCGAGGTCGACGGCGTGCTTGTTGTGGCCCGAGATGTTCCTGGTACCACCGGCGCCGGCGCCGTACTCGTCGAGGGTCTCGTGCATCCTGCGCAGGACGTTGGGGTTGCGGCCCATGCCCAGGTAGTCGTTGGCGCACCAGACGGTGACCTTTTCGTCCTTGTTGGCCATGTGGGCGCGGGGGAACTCCTTGGCCAGGCGGTTGATGTTGTTGAAGTAGCGGTACGACTTGTCCTTGTGCTTCTTGTCGAGCTCGGCATTGTAGTAGGCCTCGTAGTTGAACTTTGCGTCGGCATTGATGGGGTAGACGGCGGGGGCGGCAGGGTGACGGGGAGCAGCATGAGGGACATGAGCTGGGGGGCCTGAGGTCAGCGAGAATGGCCATGGAGTCATGAAAGGTAGGGCAGGGCAGGGCAGGGCAGGGCAGACTCACCCTTCTCACGGCCGGGGATGACGGGGGTCTCGATGGCGCGGGCCTCGTTGGAACGGCTGCTGTGCAGGCAGCGCTTGGAGGACCGGGAGCCGTGGGCGTGGGCGTGGGCATGGGCCGAAGAACCACGGGCGTGGTGGGTCGAGACGGAGCGGGTGGCCACGGACTGGACGGCGAGGGCCTTGCCCATGACGGGGCAGCGGTAGGCCATGCCCTGCAGACGGGACATGGTGCCTCCACACGGCGACGAGGTGGCCTTGGCGGCCGGCCGGGTCGAGGTGGAGAGGGCACGCAGGGTGGCGGGCGAGGCCTTCTTCATGAAGGGGCACATGGCCTTGGACTGCCGGAGTACAGCGTCCATGGTGGTGGTGGTGGCGGCGTCAATTGGGGCGGGTGGGTGTGGTTCTAGGTGCGAGGCTGAGGTTGAGGATGAGTTGGTCTGGGGGTTGAGGTTGTAGGAGGAAACCGAGGGGGGGAAGCGAATACGTGGACTATTGTACTCGGGAGCAAAAAGTTTGGCGGGAGGGCTGAGGTCAGACCGTCCGCGCCGTCCGGGCTCAGAAATAGCCTGGGGGCCCACCTGCTTGGCCTAGACACCGAAAAGGCATGGCATTTCAGAGTTAGATGACTAGATATTATTATGTATATGCCGTCTGTCTCTGCTCTTCCTTTTCATCTGTCCTCTCCTGTACAATCAATCCATGGCTGGCCTCCTTGGTGGTCCTTTTTTTTGTCTCTCTCCATCCCCCCGACTTCCGACCGACCACCCAGCAATTGCATGCAATGGGATGGCAATTCCACTGCGAAATGCCTGACAATTGATGAAACACATAGCCAATGGATGTGCAGTGCAGCACCGGAAGTCTCCCTCTCACAAGGACAACATTACACACACAAAAAAAAAAAAGGCTTCCCTCGGCCGGTAATTCGGGATCTGATCTAGATCCAAAGCGTATTCGTACCTGGCCTGACTTGCAAAGGCAAAAGACCCCACCATCTCCGAAGCCGACCAAGACACCCAACTGACACAGTAATCCGGGGTGCTCTATTGGCCCGTCGCTTGCCCACAGCACTCAAGCTCTCCGCTCCGGAAAGGAAACGGGCCAAGCCCCGAGCTAGCGGGTAGCTGAGACCTCCAACTCCGCACCCAATGTGGTGGAAGACACAAGTACCGTGTACTCTGCCTGATCCTCGGTCATTGTCAGACAAAGGTCATCCACTTTCGACTTCCTTACCTCCATCTCAGGCTTGTCAGGGTCCGAACCGCGGCATTTGAATCGACAAAGGGCCCCAAAGGGGCTCCTCCATCGAACCATTGTGACAGCTTCAATCCCCGCCCTCGCTGCTGTCGTGCATCCTGCATCCTGCGGCCCGGCACGACTTCTTGTCTGCACTCGTGGACTGATTTGGCCGACCTGGGCATCTCCGTCAAATCTTGCCAAGGCTTGAGGTCGCAATCTGCCTGCGGTCCGCGGTTTCTGCTCTCTGCGCGCTCACCTCAGCGGCCTGCTGCATGCAGCCTCACTCAGCCCTAAAAAGTAACATACAGAAACATACATACACCGCCCAGCCATCACACACACTGTAACTCAATGCCAGTGGGCTGGTACGCTTGTACGCTCGTACGCCCGCACAGTCCTACTACCAAGGCCTCGGTCCTCACAAAGACAAGTCATGGTACCTGCGCCAACCAAAGCCTGATGTCCCCAGGGTCCCTGGCCATGTCGATTAGAGTTTGTTTGCCCCATCCACGTCTTCTGAACTTGCATTCCCATTGAACTCTCTAGCGGTCAATGCTGAGATGCATCGGGTGAATGGGATGTGTGCGTACTGGTAGGACCAAGCATCGTCCCGGGGGTGCAGAAAATGCTGGACCTCCAAAGAAGCGGTCTCGTCGCAGAGCTCACTTGCATAGTATTGATCCACGCAGTCGAGTAAGTTGTCTTGTGGTGGGCTGTAGCCGTGGTGCTGCAGCAGATCCAGATCCAGATCCATCGTCACCGCGCAACCACGCCATTATGAAGACAGTCGAGCAATCTTTCAACACTGCACCACGGCGCTTACAAGAGTGACGGGGCGAGCGATCCTTTTATAAATCTCCTCAGCTTCTCACCAGCATCTGTCACCTGAGCGCAATGGGCCTGCTTCCGGATGCGGCTGGTGTTTGTTCCGTCATGCAAAGGTGGGCTGATGCCCCTGTTGTGAGAGAGCAGTCAGTGAAGCCATCTCCGGACTGGCTAGGCTGTGCGTGGACTGCCGCTTTTCCATATCTGAACTCAGGCCCATCGACTGCGAGCATGGGAAATGAGTACGGCACACTGCAGCATATATCCCGAGTGCATCCAGTCTGTTTTGGTGCCGGTGCAAGTCTGATCCTGAGGGTATTCCTATCCCTGAATTTCCACGCGGCGCCATGAATGGGCCGTGCAACTGCTGACTGTCACTCGACCATATTCTCCGAGAGCTCCTAGGGGAGCTTCATGAAGCCACATGGACACCATCCCGCCGATTCATCCCGTAAGGATTCTAATAAGTCGGGCTGCGTGTTGGGGTCTGAGGTGCAGTGGCTATGTAGGCCGCCGGTGTATATATGTCGCCATGTCTTACACCAAAGGACAATTCTGATCTGAAATCTTGCATTCTGTATCGAACCACCTCAGCAAGCGTGTCTGGCACACTCGTTATTCATTCCCTTTTGAGATCTCCCAAGATCTCAGTCATTCTTTACAGCTGCAAGCAGCTCCCAGCACTCATCCCACTCTCCTTCACCAGCTTTGCTCTTACGGTCCTCAATATCCTGAACAATGGCGGAAAACAAAAAGGTTCTCAAGGCCACCGGCATCCTCGCCCTGGCCACCATCGTCAAGGCCCAGGCCTCCTGTGACCTCAAGACCGAGACCCACCCGCCCCTGACCTGGCAGAAGTGCGCCGCCGACGGGACCTGTACCGACGTCGCCGGAAGCCTCACCGTAGATGCCAACTGGCGGTGGACCCACGACAAGAGCAGCAGCACCAACTGCTACACGGGCAACACTTGGGATTCCAGCCTGTGTCCCGACGACGCCACCTGCACCGACAAGTGCTGCGTCGACGGTGCCGACTACCAGGGCACCTACGGCGTGGCCGCTTCCGGGTCCAGCCTGAGCATAGACTTTGTCACCGGGTCCAACGTCGGCAGCAGGCTCTACCTGCTGGAGGACGACAGCTCGTACCAGGGCTTTACCCTGCTGGGCAACGAGTTCACCTTTGACGTGGATGTTTCGAACCTCCCGTGAGTGTCTCACCTGGGACGATGTGGAATATATCCGACAAGACTGACCTCTCTCTCTCTCTCTCTCTTGCAGTTGCGGCCTCAACGGTGCCCTCTACTTTGTGTCCATGGACCTCGACGGCGGTGCCAGCACCTACTCCAACGCGGGCGCCGCGTACGGAACGGGGTACTGCGACGCCCAGTGCCCGCGGGACCTCAAGTTCATCGAGGGGACGGCCAACGTCGACGGCTGGACGCCTCTGAAGAACAGCGCGAACTCGGGCGTCGGCGGCAAGGGTACGTTTTGCCTCTCCCCCTTTGGTCTTTCTGCTGTCCTGGAGCTAACCCCCGACTTCTGCAGGCTCCTGCTGCGCCGAGATGGACGTCTGGGAGGCCAACTCGGTCTCGACGGCCTTCACGCCGCACACCTGCAAGACGCCCTCGTACCACAGCTGCAAGGGCGACGACTGCGGCGGCACGTACAGCTCGACCCGCTACGCCGGCGACTGCGACCCGGACGGGTGCGACTTCAACTCGTACCGGCAGGGCAACGAGTCCTTCTACGGGCCCGGCGGCGTCGTCGACACGGGGTCCAAGATGACCGTCGTCACGCAGTTCGTCGAGGAAGGCGGCTCGCTCAGCGCCATCAAGCGCTTCTACGTGCAGGACGGAAAGGTCATCGCCAACAGCGAGAGCAACATCGAGGGCAACGCCGGGTACGACAGCATCACGCCCGAGTTCTGCTCCTCGCAGAAGGCCGCTTTCGGAGACGACGATGTCTTTGCCGCGCGAGGTGGCTGGTCCGGCATGAGCGACGTGCTGTCCAAGCCCATGGTCCTGGTCATGTCTCTCTGGGACGACGTGAGTATCCTGGCTGCGTCGTTCGTCACAGTGGAACAAACTGACAGTCCTCCTCCTCCATCTAGTACTACGCCAACATGCTCTGGCTCGACGGAGCCGCCTACCCCACGACCAAGACCGGCCCCGGCGCGGCCCGTGGTACCTGCAGCACCGACAGCGGCGTGCCCTCCGACGTCGAATCCAAGTCCGGCTCATCGTCCGTGGTCTACAGCAACATCAAGTTCGGCCCAATCGGCTCCACCTTTGACAGCAGCAGCGTCAGCGTCAGCGGCTCCGGATCCGCCGCGGCCAGCTCATCTGCACCGCAGGCCGTCGCGCAGTCCTCGACCGCCGCCGCCGCAGCCAAGACCGCCGGAAGTGCTACCCAGTCCTCTGCAGCTGCTGCTACCGCCTCTGTGAAAGCGGCCGAGACCCCGGCGGCCGGCGCCGCTGCATCGAGTGTCGAGGCTCAGGCCCAGGTTCAGCCGTCGGCTGCCGCCGAGGCCGCGGCGAAGCCGAAGACCTGCAAGAGACGCAACAAGTCTGTTCAGAACTAGATGACAGATGACGAAAGGGCTAGGCAGTTTATGGAGGGGTTGGTAGTGAGGGCGTCGGAATATGAGATTTTGGGGGTTGTTGGCTCAGCTTCAGTTCTTGTATGTACATTACAACTTTTAGGTCGTGGATTTGCAGCATACACATACCTGTAAATATTATATGTGTCGCATCTCCATACTGGCTCGGAAATCTGAAAGCGAAAAGAATATATGTGGTGTGAACTATGAAACGACTCTAGATGGATGACGTCTTTGGTCCAAGGCTTTCTCATTCCCGCAGGATCAATGATGCAACAGACCAGAGGTAGGTAAGCTGTGGGAGCTGTTTCACAAAATCTCCACTTCCGTTTATTTATTTGTTTTTCAAATATAGCTGGTTTGGTTAGATACTGTATGTGATGGACCTTGGGATGTGCCCAAGGTTTTCTAAAGTTGATCCATCGTCCCTGGTCACGTACATGCAGAGCGTGATCTAGAATCGCTTGATCTGCTCTGTCCTTTTAGGTGGCCTTGGAAATTCAATGTTATTCTTCCAAGGCTCGGTCCATAATGCCTGGCATCATGTCCTCCTCCCCCTCACGACAGCCGCCAGGACCACTGTGCAGCCTACACGATGATAAACACGGTGTTCATTTTGTCCTCAGGAAGCTCTTTGAAGTCGTTGAGTAGACACTCACCCACTATTTGGCAAGTCGTCATCTGCTTGAAACGGTCCGCATACCGGGCAGGATCAACTGCATGTGTCTCCCCTGGCCAAGCAACACCCGGGGTAGCCTTGACGACGAAGGGCACGCGGCATCCGCTGATCTGGATGACAAAGTCCATCTCATGCGCCATTGACGGCACGAGAGCTAGCTGGCGCACGCCTTCTGTCTCCATCGCGCAGATGGCGAGTCTCTTGCCGTCGACTATGGACTCCTTGTCGGTAACAACATATGCGGCCTTGTTGGTCCCGTCAGACCAGCCTGCAGTCTGCCGGGCTCTCGCGTATAGGTGGTGTTCCACCGAGTTTGAATCCCTCATCCTGGCCTCCTGGATGTGGGAGGCAAAAGCTCTTGCGCGTGGGGGGCTGACGATCGCTGGTATCTCCCCGCCTGCTGGGCTCTTGAGTGGCACCTCCATTTCCTGTGGTCCCAGGGCAACCGTATCAAAGTATAAATTGTTCTTCCAAATATTCATAATGGAACTGAATCGCCGGCTCTTGTCTCTGATGCTGTTCCTCGCGTCTTGAAAATGGACCTCCGTCATGCCAAGCAGGCGGAGAGGCAGGGTGTAGCGCTCGATACGCCCGATGATCCGGCCCGGCACGACCATTGTTTTCGCATCCCGACCCATGGAAACAGGGTAGTAACCATCGGCCACTCGGTTCTGGCGGGCTTTCTTTTCCGTTGGCGTCTCCGTTGGAAGTGTCTCTAGAATGGTCCTGTTGCTTCCATACGATATGTAGTTCTGGTAGTGCCAATTTGGTACCCAAGATGGCAGCATGGACGACCGTTTGGATGAGTCGGAATTCACAAGAGATTCGGTAGCAGAATCCGCGTATGAGAATATGTCGTATGATTTCGTATCCTCAATGTGGTTCCGCGCGAAATTGACGTATACCTTACGTACGCTCAGTCGATAGTCAATTGCAAATCTCGGATGTGCTGCATTGATACCGGTAGAGATGCCCACCAGGCCGTAAATCTTGTCTCGCGGGTCTGAAGCCTCTAGATAACGTGCCCTGGAGAGCATGGAAAGGATGCTCATGCCCCCCTGTGAGGGACTCCAGGTCTTGTGCAGTTGCCAGGACGGTAAGTAGTGATCCAGGCCACGTTGTCGTAGATAATCCCTGCGAGAAATATCGATATCTCGAACAATGTCAAGCTTGTGGTTGTCCTGGAGACTGAAGCCATAACGGTCATGAGTTCGGGGCAAGGGGAGGAGTATTTTGGAAAAGTCGTCCCAGGAAATTCGTCGGTTGCCACATTGAAGAGACAGTGACCTTGAAACAACTGCCTCCTGGAACACCCACAGTCTTCGGAACCATGATCTTGACAGTACGTCGAGCTCGACATCTTTGAGTTCTCCTCTGAAGTGGATCAAATGTTTTTCCAAGCGCGCAGCCACGTTTCGGTCAACATTTCTGTTCTCGTCTAGGGCCCACAAGCTATGTCGCTCCAGAAAGTTCCAGGCCGAGTAGCCGGTGTTGCCACCATCTTGAGGCCCAAGGTAAATGACTGTTTCTGAGGCGGCTGAGAAGATGTCTCGCATCTGCTGGACCTGGTGATTCCGTTCAATAAGGTCACTCTGGTCAATGCACACAGCGTCCACCCATAGGCGGATTGATCGGTCTCGACGGCGAAGGTTTCGAAGCGCTGAGTCCAGATTCGGCCTAATCCGGAGAAGATGGTTTCCGAACCAGATCGCGTGGAAAGCTTCGTCTGAACCCCACACGTATGAGAGGGCCGTGAAGCCTTGGCCCTTATTCTCGGCATCAGGGAGCCTGATCTCATCCATATGACATCGTAGGTCGTCTTTTGTTCTCTCAGCCGGAAAGAGAACGAGAACACGGGTGGAGTCTGGAGTTGACAACGGCCGATAGCTGTAATCCAAATCATGAATGAGGGGCGAATTGATTGTGGTCTCTTGAGTTTCAGTGGTTTCCAAGGCTCCGGCCTCTTCTGACAGCTCAGCATCCAATAGTTGACTTTCATTTTTGCCCGGCCTTTCGTTGATGTTTCCGTCCTGGACCGGCTGTTCTAGCTCCTCGTACGCAGGTAGTGACTGAGTTGGCAGTGATTGTCCTGAACCAGATGTATTCCTCGATGCTTCGTCATTGCAGCAGATCAACTCATCGAGATGTTTACTGTGCTTTGACTGGTCTGCCTCGTCCGCCCTTTCATCGAGAGACTGGTTGGTTTGAACAGACGGTTCCGAATTGAGTGCATGTTTCGATGGGTCGTCAGTGTTGCTCGTTTCCTTCTCCAGTTGTTGTGTAATCGCTTCCAAGGTTTGGTTCGAGCTTGAGATGGTGCTCTTGTCGGCACTAGGTAGGCCATCGTCGCCTCTGAGTTGTGAACTTGATAGCTCGATCATGCCACCTCAGCACCATCGTGAAAAAGTTTCTGGAGAGTTGCGTGGTGACCAAAAGGCCGCCAACTGGAACACAATTTGGGAGCGCTCAGGATAAGCCTAATACAGTAGTGTTTATAGACTAGACAATTTATATTCTCTAAGTACCACTAACAAGCCGGAACCACAATCATTGCCCCATAAGGACAAAATAGTTATTCGCATTTGTACATCCATGGCTGGCCCAAGCAAACTTGGCAAAGTAAGCCCTCGAGGAAGACACGACATGGATTACGTAGACATGTAAGTGGAAAATGTTTTCTCGAAGCCAGCTGAGGCTGTGCGCTGCACGCCATTGGTGCGTTGTGGCCTTGCGCGGCTGATGATCCCCTGCAGCACCGAAGGATCTAGCTGCAGTCATTCCAGACGAGGGGACCAATGATACAGGTTCTTGGTGGTAAAGGTGCCCATTTGAGTTTTCTTCAGGTTGCGTATGCCATTGCAATAGTGTGTCTGCGCCGGAGGCCTGACCACGTCTCGGACTACGCGGCCTTATTTCGCCTGCGGCTCCGAGGAGAGCTCTTCTCTGTCCTGCTCCTTCACAAAAGCCGGCTCCTCCTGGTAGACATCATACTTGTATCTGCTGCCCGTATGGTCATCTCGCAACCCCGTCTGGCCCTTGCCGTAGATCTTCTCGCGGGCTGTGAGCTGCTCCTCAAGCGGCTCCGGGTAGAGGCCGCGCCTCCTCAGCTCCGGCACCAGCAGGTCAACCACCTCTTCGAACGTGCCGGGCGTCGTCACATATCCTAGGTTGAATCCATCCACGTCCGCCTCGCGCACCCAGCTCTCGAGTTCGTTCGCCACCGTCTGCGGGCTCCCGACCGAGACTGGCCCCAGACCACCGATGCACGCTCGCTCTGCCACCACGCGCGGCGTCCACCGCGGCACCTCCTTGCTCGTCGTCGTGAAGCTGTCCAGGATGCTGCGCACCTTGTGGGCCTCCAACGAGTCTGCAGCCGTGATCTCCTGATCCAGCGGGATTTTGGAGATGTCGATACCGGTCCAGCCGCTGAAGAGCACGAGGCCGCCGATGACCGAGGCGTACTTCTTGAGCTCCTCATACTTCTCCTGTGCCTCCTCGTCCGTCTTTCCGATGATGGGCGTGAAAGTCGCGAAGAACTTGATGGACCGCGGGTCGCGGCCCTTCTCCGCCGCCAGCTCCCGGATCTTCTGCACCTTGGGCCGCAGCACCGCCGGCGAGTGCGACGACACAAAGATGGCCTCGGCGTGCGTTGCGGCGAACTCTGAGCCCGCTGGAGATGTCCCCGCCTGGAAAAGGAACGGTGTGCGCTGCGGAGACGGGTCTACGATGTGTCGAGTGTCCAGGTTGTAGTACTGTCCGTGATGGTGGATCGTGCGGATGCGGTCCGGGTCTGCATAGCTGTCGTTCTCTGGGTCCGGGTCGATTGCGTTGTCTGCCCATGAGCCTTCCCATAATCTTCCCGTCGACTTCTTGTAAGCTTATTGTGGCCTGATCTGTAGTTTCCTCCCACCAAGTGCTTGCGAAACTTGACCTACTTGTAGAGGACTCGGAGGTACTCGTCTGCCTGACGATACCTTTCATCATGGTCGATTCTTAAATAACGACGTTAGTACTGCTAAGGACCTCAAGGTGTTGCATTCTAAAGCTTCAAAAAATGAATCAAGGGGATCCGTGGCAGGCGAAACCGTGATACTTACGGGCTATCCAACCCAATTGCCTTGAAGGCGGTCTTCTTCCAACCGGTGACAATATTCCAGCCTAGCCGTCCGCGAGTGAAATGATCCAGTGTGGAGAACCTCTTGGCCAAAAGGAAAGGTGGCTCAAATGATGTGGATGCTGTTATCCCGAATGCCAAATTTCTGGTCACTGATGCCATCGCCGATATGGGCTGAGATTGAGCGGTTAGCAACTTAGACTATATTTATTGATACTAGACGCGGTTCACTCACAATAGTCGGATCGGTCATAGGCCATTGGGCAGCTCGTCTAATGCAATTGTCCAATGAGCCCTCGTACGTGTCATATCCGCCATATGTGTCAGCCAAGAATAATGCATTAATCCCGCCCCTTTCCAGTAGCTTCGCGAGATCTATCCAATAGTTCAGGTCTCTTTTTGTTGCTGACTTGTCCTTGGGGTTCTGCTTCCTGGTTAGCCGTGAATACGCTTGGGGCACGGCTTCAGTGCCTACGAACAGTGTCCCACCTACCTTCCACTGCCCGGGCGACAGATGTCCTATTGTTGACATGTCAAAGGCATTAAGCAGAATGTGCTTTCTGCCGTTGCCGAGATCATGTTGGCCGTCTAGCTGCGCCGTGCCGTCTGCCATAATTTGGGATTGGGCGTCTCACGATTCGATCAATGATGTTTCTGATAGACGCACTCTTTGTCCGCTCCATGAAATGGCGTCATGACAGCCTCTGTAAATGATTGAAACAATATGATATATATTTCGCCCCTATGGGGCGCCGTACCCCGCGCCCGTCTTGAAGGAGTTCTAATCATCGGATTGCACCATCGGGCTCCGTGGGATGATCATTGCATATGTTGTGATGCTGTCTCCGAATTTCGGCAGTCAGCTCACACGCCATCTGCAACCCGATGGTGTGATTCCGGATCAGCAACACCATCACGCTGCTCCGTTCGAAGGATTTGGCGAGGACCAAATATGCCTCCTTATCAATGAATTTACGTGCAGGCTGAACCCATTATGACTCTCAAATTTTGCCTCGACATTGCTGTAAGGCATGTGTGTGTCTGTGTGGGTGGGTGGTTTCGTTCTTAATCCGTATACATCCCGAAGGCGCAAGGTCCCTTGACACAGTGGTAAACGCTCAAAGACCCAGTTTTTTTTAATAAAAAAATGATTCCAAGAACCTATAAGGCATATTTCAGGATGGATGCCAATTGCTCCAGCCTCAGCATCCCACAATTGTTGAGCGCGGTACACTCTTGCTAGTGTTTCCACATAGTCAATATGAGATCAGATTCATGTGTGGAGGTGGCCTTCCTGCCAATTCCCGGCCTGATTACCAGCAATTAGACGGCATCGGCCTTCGCCCCATCCGTACTGGCGACCACCCCTTCGGTATCGGAAGTCTCGGCCTCGGTCTCACCAGGGCGTGTGCTCGATCTGCAGTGCGTAGGTTAGTAACAGTATTCTTGCTCCATTGATAGGGGTTGAGCTTGCTCTTTTCGCTCAAGGAGAACACGTATGACATGCGCCAGCGCGATAAGGCAGACGGCATTCGCTAGAACGAACGAGTATCCCTTCGCGAACCGGGGTGCTTCGACAGTTGGGAAAACCAGAAGTGGCGTCCAAGCCGTAGTTGACTGAGAAACGGCATTGATGAGCACGAGCGTAAAGGCGCGCTGGGCCGGAGAACCTCGTAGCTGGTGGTTGACCCAGCCATACAAAACGCTCGACATCGCCACGGCAGAGTAGGTGGTGGCGAACGCAAACCATAGTGCCGGCTCCGGAACCTTCCAGACAACCAGGATGATCAGCCCGATGATGTTCCAAATATGGGCCACGGTAATGGCCCACGCTGGACCGAGGAATAGGTCGGACGCGAAGCATATTAGAAGAGTGTAGAATATTCCCAACGCGGGCGAGATGGTGCCGAGCTCGTTGACCTTCGGGGTCGAATAGCGGTTCAGACTCTTAATCCAGAGTAGGAAACCGCCGGTTGATGTATTGATACTGCCATTCCAGAAGAATATATCAAGCCAGACAAGGGCCCAGAACTGCCATTTCGTAGCGAGCTGTTTTATCGCGCGCCACTGAAATTTGCCCGTGGTTGCGTGCCCGGCTCTTTTGAGCCTCTGTGCTGCCAGATCGATATCCGACTGTTTCAGGAATAACTTATTAGGCTTGTCAGGCGTCCCAGGCAGGATAAAATATCCCAGAATCCTGAAGGTAGCAGAGTCAGTTTCAACTCACAGTGTAAGCACTGGAGGGATTTGTCCTGCCCATAGTAACCTTTCATACTCGGATGTCGACCAAGATATACCGCAAGGGTTGGCAAATAAAAAGTGATAGGTACATACCCTATAGGGATAGTAATAATTGCGCAAATAATGTACATCCAGCGCCTTTCCCATCGTTAGGAGTCAGCCATTAAAGAACTAAGGAAGTGACTAAAGGGTAACAATTGTATCTGGAAGCTACTTACCACCCTGAGAGGCCATTGATACCGTGTAAAGATGAAGAGGCGCCAGCTTGGATCAGCCCGGCTGTCAGCGTCCCAAGCGTGAGTCCAACGTAAAACACGCCGCCTCTTCGAGCGATCTCGTCACCTCTGTACCACGCGCCGAAGATATAGTGCATTGCAGGAAAGAAAGCGGCCTTAAATCTATATTAGTGTCTGCATATGTGGATGGTGTGCCGTAGATAGGAGGTTGTAACGTAGGAGGTAATACCATAGGAGGTTATCCATCGTCTCGGAGGAGGGTCTCCCATAGAAGGGTCTCCTGTGTAGGACACTTACCTCGAACCAGCCGACGAGAAAGCGATATGCCGCAATCTCAGCGAAGCTATTTGCGCGGTACTGTAGTAATGTGAAAATGCCCCAGCAGACATCGAGAAAGGGTATGATCCAGTTCATAGGGAACAAGGTAAACAAGAACATGAAGGGTATCTGGCCCACGACCGCGCCGACCGTGTACATGGTCTGTAACTGGACCAGCTCGTTGCCCGCGAAGCCGAGCTCGTCTTTCATCCCAGAGACATATGCGTTGTCTTCGAGTCGTTTTGTATGTGTCAGCAACATGCCCTCCTCTGGTAGTCTGAGATCATCTATTCACTCACTCAGGTTCGCTTGGTCGATATACTTCGTCCAGTATGCGAGAAATGCGTAGGGCACGATGAGAAGATCGAGCTTGACGATCAGCTTCCTCTCCTGAGGCGTGTCCTCATCCGCGAACCATTGTATCCACCACCACGGCTTTCGCGCCTCCGACACCATCTTTTCTCAGGATGGACGGGTACGCAGGATGTTGAAGTTTTGAATAAAGTTGATGAGGCTCATGAAGTTGTCTGTTGAATCATTCGACGGCCTGGACAGCATTCTCTACTTAAGGGATCCAGGTGCCACTGAGCCCCCCGATTGGTGCCCCCATACTATTAATAATGAGTGATCACTGTAGGTGCCAGCTCGTAGCTTAAGGGTTCACCTCGCCCGCCACCATTGGATAATATTACACGGGCCCTGCAGCGGCTTGTGCCGCAATACGTTGTATAAAATGTACCGATTGTGCGGCAAACATGCAGTTTGGTCACTTTCGTGGTTGGCCAGTAGGTCCTCCGGTTTGCGGATAGGGGATGGTGTCAGTTGTCGTGCTTAAATCGCCATTCTTGGCGTGCCGGAGGTGGGGGTCCCTGTCTTCTTGGTCAATGTCCCGGCAGGACGGGACTGCTACCCAATTTCATGTGATAGCCTTGGTGAAACTGATCTTTCTGTTTCCCGGTCTGTGGTTTAAGCCTCTGACGGCGCTGAGAGGGGAACAGGCAGCGGGCGGCGGAGCCTGGTCACTATCTCCAAATAATCCGCCTCATTGTCGTCCGTGATGATGCCGTGCCTCACGAAGAAATCCACCATCACCATTGCCGTGTTGGCCTTGAACTCTCCGTTGAACATTGCCTGCTTGACGGTCTCAATATCCCACAGGTAGAACTGTTCAACCTCATCGTCTCTAGGTTTCGGAACCATTGTATCCACCTGGTCTGCTGGCACCTCGAGATCATATACATAGATGACATCAGAAACGCAGAGTCCTGTGTCATAGCCGCCAACCGCAGCCTGCTGGTCCTGTCCGCCACCACTTCCGGTCTGCGTCACGTAAGTCACTAAACCGACGGCCTTGACATGCTTGCTAACGAAGTCTGCCGGCAGGGACGCCTCTTCATCACTCTCGTGGACAATGCACTCTAGCGGTGACTCTTCGGCCCTCGTGCCTCCCGCAACCGTGTTGTCAAGCTTCCCTGGGTATGTGGCCAGATGACGGCTCCGACGAGGAACCCAGATCTTGATCTCCCCGGCCTCCTTTGACCTGACAAACATGGTCATGTGCGAGCCGCGATTGGCGATTCCGAAAAGGGGCGCAGCAGAACGCTGCATCTGGATCAGACCGTTCTTGCCCTGGTAGTTCATAGCACCCATTATTCTGAAGTCCTCACCCTTGGGCTTCCGGCCGAGCGTCTTGGGGAAGAGACCTTGAGCTTGAGCGGTGTCGATGAGCTGGGCGAGTGAGGCGTTGCAGGCCGCCGCTGTGTCCGTTCCTTTGGACGTGTCAAGCAGCTGCACTGTTCGGGGGAGCTCTCCGGTAGTACTCAGGACAAAGTCAGCGGTCCAGGGCATCTGAGCAACGACACTTGCTGGGATGAAGCCGTGCGGCCTGGCATCATCAGGCAGCAGAAATGCATAGTAGTCCGTATGGAAATCTGCAAGATGTGGCAGTTGAAGGATGTCCACGTGTGGGAAACTGCGAGGAATTAGCGTGACTGATCATTGCAGATATCGTGGACAGTCATGGAGGAATCACCTGTCGGTCTCGTTGATGATGTCCAAGTAGCTCTTGGGTGGCTGAGCGGCTGCCATTTTCGGGTGGTTGTTGGTCTGATTTTGAGATTCCGACAGCCAGTGGGGACAGCCCAATACCTTGCGAAAAAGGCAGGACCGAAACTCTTCTGTTACGGCCGTCTGTTACCTGAAGCTTGGAGGTTTGCTGACTGAGGCCTGACATCCACAGAATGAGGTCAGTGGTGGGTTTGCGGCCTGCAAAAGACGTATGTAGATACCTAGGTACTCAGGGTAACGAAACCCTGATGTCGGGTCAGACGTGCAGACACCCCCCCGGGGTGCGGTTCACCCTTGGACTTGGAGAGCACCTGTAGTTTGAGACAAGAGGACCCGAAAGGCGTGAAACAATGAGTAAGCCCGTAAACCCCAGGTCCGGCCCCCTCACTGACAGCAAAGTATCTGATTCTGATTCGAAAGTGGACTCGATATTCACCTTCTCCGTCCGCATGGTATCCTGAAGTCGCGATCAGTCCAGATAATCCAGTTCAGAGACATACTCACCCATCACCTCCAAGATGGCGTTCTTATTTGACCTCACCAAGCCGCACCTGGCCTACTACTCTGTGAGTTTGGCCCTGACCCTCCAGGCGTCCGTCACCTTCATGTGGTCCTGACGACAAATGTTCTAGGTGCCCGCAGCGTTCATGTTAGTGTTGGCGCCGCACTCGTACGCCATGGTCGCATCTGGGAAGAACTATGATATCGCACAACCTCGCACTGCTGCAGAGAACTGCAAGAATGATACTACCTTCGACAAGAGAGTAAGCTATCCTAGACTCGGCGTGTAAGTGGCACAGCCCGGTTGGCTCACCCAGTCCCGCTAGGCCGCCTTACGCATCCAGCGAGCCGAAGCAGCAACGGCCAACGGCTTCGAGACCCTGGGTATGTACTCGGCCGGGATTGTCGCCGCTGCAGTGACGGGCGTCCCGGCGACAACGCTCAACTACCTGAGCCTGGCTTATCTGGCCTCACGTGTGGGCTTCAACACCATCTATGTGTGGCTCCAGGATAACAAGAAGCTGGCGCCACTGAGGAGCGTGTGCTGGAACATATCTGCCGGTATTATCGTTGCTATCTGGGTCAAGGCTGGGAACAGGGCCGGTTCTTAGGTGGCATCTGAACTACAGCAGAGATCTATCTACTGAGGTACTCAAGTATGTAAGTGTGGATAACAGAGCGGTCTGGCAACTGAAAGCACTATCTGCCATTGTTGTAGAAAAAGTTCCCAGAGAGCATCGAAATGTGAGGAATAAGTACCTGAATCACTGTCACTTGTTAATGAGTGCACGTGTGGCACGCGGCAAGGACGCGACCGTTCAAGTACGTCATTACCGAGTGTTGGCCGATATTTTGGGCTTTTAGTCATGCCGCCGCCTACTCCCGTCACAAGCGGCGAAACGAGAAAACTAATAACAGGCTCGGTCTCGCCATCGCTGCCTAGTCCTTCGGACTGAATCACTGGGAGCGCTCCTCTTGATCTCCTCGCAGGTTACAACTTCTCTTTGGACTCGCCACTGTCCCCTTTGCATTACTCCTTCCTCACAACCTTCACCGTTTCGGTCTTGGTTGCCTCTCCCGTCATAAGCGACTCCATCTTGGACCCGAACCCTCCACTCCGGTCGGGTCCTGCTCACCACATTCTCCTTCATGAACTGAGCCAGCAGGCTGCGTCTGTCATGGCTTCGCAGGAGGGCGATCATGCCGCAAGCCCACCTGTGGCCGACTCACCAACTTCCCCCACGAATGACAGAGAAAAGTCGGTGGCTTTTGCTGACGAGCAAGCCGCCACCGCCCAGTCTGACCGAGATGGCACACCCGCTGATGCGCCCGATGACCTTGACGAAGCGTCGGCCTTGAAAAGCCTCAGCGCAAACGTCCGCGACCAAGAAGATCTCGAGCGCGATATTTCGCATCAAGCCAGCCTTGCGCTGAACGAGGCCGAGGACGCCAAGGACAAGAACCGCATTGCCAGGGCCGAAGCTACCAAGTCTAAACTCTTGACTAAGAAGCAGGACCAACAACAGAAGTTGCGGAGGGCTTGGGGAAACACTCCATTGAAAGAGAAGATTCAACAAGAGATTGCGCGCATCGATGCCGACATCGAGCTGGTCGACAAGGACATTGCGGATTTCAACGATCGAATCGAAGAAAGAAAAAGAGCCGGTGAGGAGGATGATGCCACGACTGCTAAATCCAAAGGCAAGTTGCCTGGCGAAACCCAGAGGGAGTACCTGATTCGCACTGGCAAGATCACGCCCTTTGCCAAAATTGGTGGCCCGAGGCCAGAGGGTATCCAGGGTGAACTCGCTGATGCCATCATCGACGCCGAAGATGAAGCCGTTGCTGAGGAGCTTGAAATGGAACAAGCGGCCGACCAGCCGCGCTCTCACCGCAATCTGCGGCTGCCAGGCTTCGTCGAGGAGGACGAGGGGGAGGATGCAACTGCAGCCGCTGTGGAGAATGCGTTTTCTTTGCGTCCTCGCAAGAAGCGTAAGGTCGCAGCAGATGTTGCCTCGTCTGATGAATTCGAACCGAGCGGTGCTTCGGCTGCCTCCCCGGGTTCTGCATCCGAAATCGCATCTGAGGAGTACGATATGACCGATCTCACTCGCACTGCCCCCAGGAAAACGCCCAAGAGCTCTCACAAAGATGAAAAAACTGTTGATTTTAGCAAATTCGACGACGGTGATGAGTCGGCTTATCAGAGGCGGCTCTCGGACTGGGTCGAGCGTAGAAGTCGAGCCAGGAGACGCAAGCAAGAGAACAACGCGCTCCCAGCCGACAGTGATAGGGGCGAGGAATGGTTCAAGCCCTCTCCCGACCAGCCCGACCACTATCTCGAGAACGGCCTAAAGCTACCTGGCGACATCTACCCATCGCTTTTTGATTATCAAAAAACCGGTGTGCAATGGCTGGCCGAACTCTATGCCCAGAAGGTCGGTGGTATCGTTGGTGATGAAATGGGCTTGGGGAAGACCATCCAGCTGATTTCTTTTGTCGCTGCCTTGCATTACAGCAAGAAACTCACAAAGCCGGTTCTTGTCGTAGCCCCAGCAACTGTGCTCCAGCAGTGGGTCAGCGAGTTTCATCGATGGTGGCCTGCCCTCCGGGTGTCCATTCTCCATTCTTCCGGAAGCGGTATGCTCAACCTTGGAAAGGAGGCGAGCTTCGAAGACGAGGACATGTGGGAAGATGCCGCCCGGCCGAGGAAATCGAGCAAGGCCGCGAAGAAGATCGTGGACCGAGTGGTCAAAGACGGTCATGTTCTCGTCACCACATATGCTGGCCTCCAGACTTACGGCGATGTGCTGATACCTGTAGAATGGGACTATGCCGTGTTGGACGAAGGGCACAAGATTCGGAATCCGAATACCTACATCACTATATGCTGCAAGGAGCTGCGGACGCCCAACCGAGTCATCCTCTCGGGAACCCCCATGCAGAACAATCTGATTGAGCTTTGGTCCCTCTTCGACTTCATCAACCCGATGCGCCTCGGCTCTTTGGTTGCATTCCGGAACCAATTCGAAATACCCATCAAGCTAGGCGGCTATGCCAACGCGACTAATCTTCAAGTGATGACAGCTCAAAAGTGCGCAGAGACCCTGAAGGACACAATCAGCCCCTACCTGCTGCAGCGCACAAAGAAGGACGTGGCCGCAGATCTGCCCAAGAAGCAGGAGCAGGTCTTGTTCTGCAAGCTCACCGCCGTCCAACGTGACGCATATGAGCAGTTCTTGAGGTCTGACGAGATGAATGCCATCCTCAACCACACGCGCAAGTCACTTTTCGGCATTGATCAGCTGAGGAAGATATGTAACCATCCAGACTTGCTCTTCCCACAGCGGAAGAACAGGACGGATTACAAGTGGGGTTCTGCACGCCAATCTGGAAAAATGCAAGTCGTCAAAAAGCTTGTGCACTTGTGGAAACGCTTTGGTCACAAGATCTTGCTGTTCAGCCAGGGCGTCCAGATGCTTGACATATTGGAGGCGTTTGTCAGGCGGCAGAATGACATCAACTTTCTTCGCATGGATGGTAAGACTCCGGTGAAGGAGCGACAGAAGCTTGTCGACAAATTCAACAACGACCCCAACATCCACCTGTTCCTCTTGACAACCAAGGTCGGCGGTCTCGGGGTCAATCTTACAGGTGCCAGCAGAGTCATCATCTACGATCCGGACTGGAACCCTTCCACCGACGTGCAGGCCCGGGAACGAGCGTGGCGGCTGGGGCAGAAGAAAGAGGTTACCATCTTCCGTCTCATGACGGCTGGCACTATCGAGGAAAAGATCTATCACCGGCAGATCTTCAAGCAGTTCCTGGCGAACAAGGTTCTTAAGGACCCGAAGCAGCGCACAACGCTGAACCTTAGTGACATGCATGATCTCTTCACCCTAGACACAGATCATGGTGGTGCTACAGAGACGAGCAGGCTCTTCCAAGGCAGTGAAGTCGCGGCCACTATTACGCCTAAGCCCAAGATAACACCTGGAAACGCGAATTATGACCTCGAGGACCAGCATGCTAGGATGGCGGCGAATGCGGCAACGACGGGTGACGAAGAAGGCGAGGACGACAAGCTGCGTGAGATTGAGGGCGTGGCCGGAGTCGAAGAGTTCAAGGAGGGCGAAGACAGCGGCCCTGGCGACGAAGACCGCATAATGGCCGGGATCTTCGCGCGTGGGGTTCACGAGGCTCTGGAGCATGATCAGATCGTGAACGGCAAGAAAGCAGTGAAGGCCGATCGCACCATCCTCGAGCGCGAGGCAAATCGCGTTGCCGCCGAGGCAGCTGATCACCTCCGTCGGTCCCGTGAGCAAGCCCGTAATGTGCCGATTGGAACCGTCACCTGGACCGGCGAGCATGGCCAGGCCGGTGCGCCTCGCCTGCCGAATGTCAACCGCGGGCGAGGAGGGCCCAGCTCTGCTGGCGTTCTGGCTGGTATCCGCGACCGCCAGGGCCTCGGAGGCGGAGGCGGAGGTGGTAGCAGCGCCGGCAGCTCTCGCTCGGCTACGCCGCCGACTAATGGGCGGTACGGCGTGAAGGAGTTCAAGGAGATGATCCCGACCTTCATCCGGCGCCATGGGGGCAAGTGCCCATCCAAAGTGCTGGTGGACCACTTCAACCCATACTGTCACACGAAGAAGGCAACGGAGGCGTTCAAGGCGGCGCTGAATGCCGTGGCCAGGATGGAGCAGGCCGGCAGCACAATGCGAGGCATCTGGACTCTACGGCCGGAATACAAGTGAGGGTGGGGGATGTTGAATATGGATTAGATTCTTCTCCTTCCCCCTTCAATGATGATTGTTCGAAGCGAGGCGTTGAGGGGATGGATATTGGAAGATAATTTGGCCCAGGGAGAGGTGTTGAACAAAACCCAGTGGGATTAGACTGCTTGATACCTATTTTGAGAAACTTTGAATCCAATCCTGCCCTTTTGAACGGCCATGTCCTGTCTCTACATCTCAGAACCTGCAAGGCCAAAGCAATACCACTTAATGGCCTTCGAGCCACTGCAGCCACATGCTCTACTGAGGGCTAGACCAGGCATTGTCTTTTCTTTAGTCACGTGATTCAGTCATCGGATTACGGTTCGGAGAGGACTTGAAATGGGTTCAAGTGCTTTGACTTGTTCTTCATTGGTGTAGCTGTGCCATAAGCATCATGTGACAAACCTCGCTATGTTAGAGAGGCTGTAGATAATGGAGACCAGGCGCAAGCCGTTCTCCTCGTAACTGTCAACGCCACAGTGTAACCCATACGCAGTAACCACCCAATCCCTGAATTTTCCGAGCCAGTCCATCCAGGAGAGAGAAGAAGGTGCCGGGCGCTCAGAGACGACGACCACGGCGACCACCCTTTCTGCGGGTAGAGTCGGAGGGAGTGGGGGTGACGTCCTCGATACGGCCGATCTTCATGCCGGAACGGGCCAGGGCGCGGAGGGCAGACTGGGCACCGGGGCCGGGGGTCTTGGTGGCGTTACCTGTTGATGTCGGCGTCAGTGAGCTGGTCCTCTGGATGAGTCTTGGGAAGAACCCTCAAAACATACCTCCGGTAGCACGGATCTTGATGTGCAGGGCGGTGATGCCGAGCTCCTTGCAGCGGGTGGCGACGTCCTGAGCAGCCAACATGGCGGCGTAGGGGGAGGACTCGTCACGGTCGGCCTTGACCTTCATACCACCGGTGACACGGCAGATAGTCTCGCGGCCACTGGAATCACCCAGAATGTTAGCCGCTGTTTGAACCATCTGGCTGCCCTCAAAAGATTGTGTGTATCCCCCCAACGGCGGACATGCATGTCCTGCTCCGTGGAGAGAAAATCGGCGCCATTTTTTTTCCTTTTCCTTCAAGGGCTGACGAACCTGAGATCGGTGACGTGGACGAAGGTGTCGTTGAAGGAGGCGAAGATACGGGCAACGCCGAAGACGAGCTCACCTGTGAGAATGGAGGGGCTTGTCAGTTCATGATTTCGCTCGCGCGGGACGCTGCGACCGCTGGACTCGAGCGGGAGGGACTGGGAATGGCTTACCCTCACGGACCTGAGGTCCGAGAGAGATGTTCTCCTGCGCAGGGCGCACGGTCTTTCCCTTGGGAGGCATGTTGAGATTGATTGTTGGCGGACTGGGTCGTTGACAGTTAAGGCGTGTTGAGGACGAGGAATCAATCAAGTCAAGAAGGAGACCGCCGCGAAATGCCAATGAGCTTTGCAGAGCCGGCTAGGTTGCAAAATTCAAGGCTGTGGCCCGCCGGGCGGTGAGAGGGTAGACCCACTTCTTGTGGCATCCCAGCCAATCAAAGCCCAGTCCACAAATTTCAGTGCTGCGGAGTTTTCAAAAATCTCCCCATCGCAGAACGAGCACGCCCTTTTCCTTTTCTCGAGCTGCCGCCGCTGGGACGAAACTTTGCACCGCCCAACCGACACTCCTTCGACAACCCATCTTCCAAAGGACAGTCGACAACACCGACCTTCAAGATGCCTGCGACGTATGTTTGAATCCTTCGACGAGGCCGGCATCTTCTGCACGATGATGCCAGCTTAGCCACTTCTCCCCTCCCACCGCCTGGTACCCGGAGCATCTATTGCGGATTGTCGTCGTCCTCTCCTGCTGGGAAAGCTTTTGCCCTGCGTGTCCCCCGCGACACCAGGTTTAAGCAATTGCTGCAGCCAGCTCGATCCTTCCTGCGCTTCTCCCTCTTTCCCACAGGCTTGAGACACAGCTTGTGGATTGAGAGATGTCTCGCAGGGTGTTGGAGTTGAAAGCCTGCAAAGGCCTTCTCTCTTAAATCCATTGCCACATAGTAGCAACCCCTCTCTGGTAGCGCCACAAGCTGCCTGCAGAAGACTGCGAAACCGCGAGCATTAATTCTCGATCCAAATCGAGGTGTTGTCGGATGAGGTTGCACCCGTCGTCTACTGCTCTGTGCACTTGCACTCAGCATCTGACCCCCGGGCTCACCGATCAAAAATTGCAAGCGAGTTAGCCACGCAGAGAATGTCGCACTCGCAACAGTTCTCCACCGGCGCTCTCCCTCATACTTCACACAGAAGTATGCCGGACTACGTACTAATCTGAACCTCGGCCAATAGTTCCGTCCCCACCAACGACCAGATCCTGGTCCCCGAGACCCTTCTCAAGAAGCGCAAGTCGCAGGAGAAGGCTCGCGCTGAGAGGTCGGCCGAGATTGAGAAGAAGAAGAAGGTTAGTCTTGACACATCTTGATACGGAGGAAACAGGAATCGAAGTGATGCACAACATATATCCACGCTTCGACTAGACTACGGTCGATGATGTCCGCGAATTATACTGTCTTTCGGGTCTGATCGACGCAGGACACTCTTGGTCATGTCACAAAATTCTGGTCTGGCAGGCGATGCTAACTGCTTGGATTCTATAGGCCAACAAGGAGAAGCGTGGCGTCATCTTCAAGCGTGCTGAGAAGTACGTTCAGGAGTACCGCGATGCGGAGCGCGAGAAGATCCGCCTGGCTCGTGTTGCCAAGCAGAGCGGCGACTTCTACGTCCCTGCTGAGGCCAAGCTGATCTTCATCGTCCGTATCAAGGGGTAAGTTCCACCGCTGTCCGATGTATCCCACCGTGGGCCGTGACTAACGAGCCGCGCAGTATCAACAAGATTGCCCCCAAGCCCCGCAAGATCCTCCAGCTGCTCCGTCTGCTGCAGATCAACAACGGTGTCTTCGTCCGCGTCACCAAGGCCATCACCGAGATGATCAAGGTCATTGAGCCCTGGGTCGCCTACGGTTACCCCAACCTGAAGAGCGTCAAGGAGCTCATCTACAAGCGTGGATACGGAAAGGTCAACAAGCAGCGTGTCGCCCTTACCGACAACTCCATCATCGAGGAGAGCCTCGGCAAGTACGGCATCATCTGTGTCGAGGATCTGATCCACGAGATCTACACCGTCGGCCCCAACTTCAAGCAGGCCGCCAACTTCCTGTGGCCCTTCAAGCTGTCCAACCCCAACGGTGGCTTCCGCCCCCGCAAGTTCAAGCACTTCATCGAGGGTGGTGACCTGGGCAACCGTGAGGAGAACATCAACGCTCTCATCCGCCAGATGAACTAAGTATAACCTACTTGGTCGCGGTGGTTGTTTTTTTCGGGCTTGGGTTTTTCTATGGATTGGAACGGTACTCGGACATGGATGCACGGCGTTAAATGAGAAAAAGTCTGCTTGCTTTCCGGAAAAAGACTCAAATATTCCATCCTACAGCATCCCTGTACCTTCCTGTGACTTGTCACCTCCTGTTGGGAACCATGCGTGGTAGCAAGGTCAAGTAATATAATACCGCGGTTCACTGCCTCTGAATTCTGGGTCGTGACGTCGTTGGTGTGTGAATGTGCTGAGAGTATCGTATGTAATTGTTTGATATAAAATGGTAGTGCCTGCCGCAGGAGCATCCATCCCACTACCTAGGTATGTCTAAACCTTGATATCAAAGCTCGTCCCGCACCCGCAGCTGCTCGTGGCCAGCGGGTTGTCCACAATCTTGAACTGCGACCCGATCAGCTCCATGGTGTAGTCCACCTTGCTCCCCTTGAGGAGGTCCAGCGACGGCTGGTCCAGTATGATCTTGGCGCCGCCCTTGAGGTCGGCCTGCTGCCCCTGCTCAGGCGTGTAGGTGAAGATGGTGTCGTCCTCGCGCACCTCGCCTGAGCTGGCGCCCTCGCCGGGGTGCTCAGCCGCCTCGGCCGCCGCCGCGGGCTGGGCGGGGATCTCGTCGGGCAGCGTGACGAGTGACATGAGGTACTGGAAGCCGTGGCAGCCCCCCGACTCGACCTGGATGCGCAGGGCGAGCTGTGGGTTTTGGTCCTTGGACATTATCTCGGTGAGGCGCTGTCAGGCGGGGAGGGAGGGGTTAGTCAGGGTCTGGGCGTGCGGCGATTTGTCGCAGGGCGGAATCCAAGTGAGGAGATGTCTTGATCGCACGAACCTTTGCTGCCCTGGGCGTGATCTCCAAAGTCATATCGTTGCCATCCTCGTCCTGCTGGGGGTTATACACTGCTTGGGTGTAACTCCTCGTCGTCGTAGGGGCGAATGCCTTTTGTATTCTCGGCGAAGGCATGGCGTGTGCGGGCAGCATCCCCCTCGATGTCCCCCACCCCACAGAGCGTCGGAAGTGCCCATGGTGAGTGGCTGTCGAGGTCTGTGTTCTCCGGGCGTGGACGGAGCTATTATGGAAGGGCCTAGTGGAGATGACGGAGCGGCTTCGGGGCAGGAGGAATTCGAGGACGGGCTCGGAGCCTCGCTTTGGCGCAAGCTGGACAAACAGCTTCGCAGCTGACAGCGAATGGGAGCAGCTCATCGGCGAGGCGAAGGGGGCCATGGTGTAGGTCTGGCGAGGTCTGGAGAGGTTGTCGACGTGACTGTTTGTGGGTGGAACTCGGCCAGGCGCACACACTGCTAAGCAAAATTTCGAGTGATGTCAACTCGAGCTACCGGCGGGCCGTCTCCAGGGATGACTAATGTCGTGCGGCGACTGGCCGACCTGCAGCGATATTGGGCCCCACCCCTTTGGACCCGTTCCCCTGTGTGCCCAGGCAGCCAGGCTGCATGTCTTATTAATGAATGGAGCCCTACCTGGCATCCTCCAGTACACCATCGACACATGGGATGAATATGTACCTGTGCCACTTTGCGCACCTGTATCACTGTTACTATGTTATTTTCAGAGGGTTTCGTCACACATCAACGGTCCGAGATGCGTCGGTCAATGCGCGCGAGTCTGCTCTTGGACGTCGCCAGGAGTGCGAGCAAGTTCGCATTGATGGGCCGTCACCCCCGTGATGGAGCATGATATATAGGCGGAACAACAATGTCCCTAAGCGAAGAGCCATCTCGGCCCTGACACCCCTTCCACGCCTGGCAACCGCACCTCTATTCCCGAGTCTAGCGCACTCGGTCGGCCCCAGGACCATCGGCTCCCCTCAGCCATGGCAGATGTGGCAGGCTGGCAGGCCGCAGCTGTGGGTACGGCACCCCATAAATCTGGGGTAAATCCCGCGATCCCGTCGCCTGATATGTTTCTATTTGTGGGGTCTGACCTTGTTGAACCAGAGAGTCGTGCTTCTACTACTGTGTGTGGTGCACTAGATTCTGTCGCACAACTGGCAAATCGAACCATCACACAGCAGATCTGCTTGTCACGACGGAAATACGGACATCGGGGCTGGGCTCGTCCGGTTGGTTGTTCACTGTTGAGATTACCCGTAAACCAAAAGTGCTAGGCGAAACTCTCAACGGTCATGGCTCACAGCAGCTGGACGTCATCCCCATCGGTTGCCACTTTTAGTACCGCCCCGAGCACCTCGCTCGACCCCTATGATTCCCCCGCATAATGACAAGCGATAAAGCGGCCCCAAGTACTTCCTCGCTGCAACGGGATGGCTGGGCTGAGCCAACGAGAGTCGGCAAATCTTTGTTTCGCCGACGGCCACCAACCCCAACCTACACACTGACTGACACTGACTCCGACACGGCCAGCGTGACACAAATCGCCGCGCGCCTGCGGCGCAGAACGTGGGGCCCATATGGTATGCTCCAGCCGATGCAATGTTGATAGGCTGCTCATCCACGACAACAGAAGACCTCGGGAGCTTAGATCTTGGTTCCCCGCGAGCTATCGCCGGATCTAGCGCACGATGGATCTGATATTCAGATTACTCCACGGTGACAAATATGCTGGTGTTTTGTTGTTGCAGGGGAGGGGTATGGTCTGCTGCGGACCTAGTGATCGTCGACGATATCTAGGCACGGCATCTCATATTATAAGGTCAAGGGGCAATCCCCCTTGCGCCCTTTTCGTCTTCATGTAATTGCTGCCTGTTTTCTCTCCACCCGCTGTTCAACACTTCAGGGCTCAAATATCTGCAACCATGGCTGGCCCCATCGAGAGGCTTCAAACAGAGAGTGGGACCATTTCGCCCACTCGGGCTTTTATCAATGGCATACTACCATTTTTAATTCAGTGGTGGTTCGTCACGATCCCCGGTTTGATCGTTGTGCGCGCATTGTACAGGAGATATGCCTCGCCTTTACGAAAATACCCCGGCCCATGGCTGGCCTCTTTCACGAGGCTGTGGAAGGTCATCTCAACGGCCTCCACACACACACACCTCGAGCACATTGAGCTGCACAAGAAGTACGGCCCCATCGTGCGCATTGCACCAAACGAGGTTTCCGTGTCCTCCCCCGAGGCCGCGCGCACGCTCTTGTCGGCTGGCAAGCGCTTCTACAAGACCAAGTTCTATGGTGTCTTCCCACCGCCGGAAAACCCAGACATCTTTACTGAGTATCGGGAAGATGTTCATGCGCAGAAGAAGAAGGTTGCCAATGTGCCCTACAGCATGGCGGCCATGCAGCAGCTCAGCCCGTTCATCGACGACACCATCGAGGTGCTGATGCAGAAACTGAACTCGGCCGCCGGAGTAGCCAATGGACATACCAAAGACCTCTCAAATGGTCCCATCGTGGACCTGGGCAACTGGCTCCACTGGTTTGCCTTCGACGTCCTCGGCGAGGTCGCCTTCAGCCGAAGCTTTGGCTTCCTGGAACAGGGACGCGACGTGGACGGCGCTATTCGCACCATCGACGATATGCAGCGGTATAACGGCATCGTCGGACAAGTTCCGTTTATGGATCACTTCCTGAGGAGGAACCCACTACGAAGTCTGATCCCGGGTCAGTCCACCAAGGATGCGCTCATCACTCGCATGGCGCTTGAGGAGCTCGAGAGGAGGAAGCCTTTCGACAAGGAGAGCGAGGGCAAGTGGAGGGGAGGTGATGGACGGCAGGATTTGCTAGCCAGTCTGATCAAGGGCCATCTCAAGGATCCCTCAAAGTTCGGCGAGGGAGATGTCTTTGCTGTTGCTCACGGTGCCATGTAAGTCTCGCCGTCTGTGGTGTTCTCCGACCTCCACACCCTGGCACGATTATGATCACAGGGGTACTAACACTGTCTGTCACAGCTTCGCCGGTTCCGACTCGACTGCCTCAACCATGCAGTCCTTCTTCTGGCACATACTCTCGGACCGGCGCGTATACGCCAGCATCCAGGAGGAGATCAAGAAGGCAGTCACGGACGGCACCATCCCCGCCTCCGGAAACATATCGTGGAACGAGGCCCAGAATCTGCCGTACTTCCAAGCATGCCTCAAGGAGGCCATGCGCGTGCGGCCCGCGGTCGGCCTCAACATCGCCCGCCTGGTGCCCCCCGAGGGAGCCGAGATCGACGGCCAGGTCTTCCCCGGCGGTGTGACCATCGCCGTGAACGGGTGGGTCCTCCACCGCGACAAGGCGACCTTTGGGCCTGATGCGGATGTGTACCGGCCGGAGCGCTGGCTGGGCGACGCCGAGGAGGCGAGGAGGATGGAGAGGTTTATGTTCCAGGTAAATACTTCCATGCCATATCCACATCGACTGCACGGGTGAATCTAACAGTGGACCGTATAGTTTGGCGGCGGCAGCCATGTCTGTATCGGCCGCAACCTCGCCCTTCTCGAGATCAACAAGGTCTGCCCCCGACTTCTACGAGACTACCATTTTGAGTTGGTCAACCCCGGACGGGAGCTAGAGGCCCACGCTACCTTCTTTGTTGTGCAGGAAGGCCTGGAGGTGTTCATTTCGAAGAAATAGATTGACCAGGGCACTTGTCGCCTTTCAAAAGCTGGTAGCGACTTATTTGTGTTGTCGACGGCCATACCATACTCAAAGGCTTCAAAGTTGTTGATTTCTTCCCAAGGGCGCAGCGGGTTCAGATGCCAAGACACGGTGTTCTGCTGGATACTCGCGCGAGTGTTACTAGTAGTTGTACAGAGACCTCTTGTTGGGTTGGGAATGATACCATCACTTGCCTAGGATTTCCACTAATATTGCTAATCTCCAAAAGCCTCCGTTTTCTGGCAGTGTCAGGTAATTATCCACACTACTACATTGGTGCTACAGTACCAAATGAATGTTACCCTTCTCGCTTCCACCCACATGAGCCGATAACGAAGAGCACCACTCCAGTCCTTTGCCGGATTCGGCCCATGCCAGTGTTGGCTTGAGATTAACTGCATGCCCCATGAAATAACACTACCGTGTACGGCGTTGCGTTGTTGCCTACCTCTATAGGCAGGGCCGGTCTGCTATTGTGGTGTGGCATGTTCCTCTACTTTTCGGTGTGACTCAGGCACTCCTACTGTAGCACTCCGCATTGCGGCCGTCAGCCCGTCAGCCTGGCCCCAGCCACGAACCCTGGAACAAAGCCACCAGCCCCCAATACCACCCAACAATCGGTCAACACGGGGTAATAAGACTTTTAGAAACTAATGTCAGCAGTGAAGTAGCTCAATTAAAAAAGACAAGACTTTCAATGGCTGGATTTCGACTCAGTCTAATCTTCGAAATTAACTTCGCTTTTGGATTTTTTGAGACTCGCGTCACAACCCAAGTCCTTTGAACGCCTCGAGTTCAAGCCTACATCGATCTGACACTCCTTTTATTTTGACATTATTTCCTTCCCCTTCCCCTTTAGCGTCTCCCAAGTGAAGGCTCGTCATGTATTTTTAGTTTCCTCGGGCCCCCTCTCTCCTCGTTCGTCTCCCTTCCGAGGTTGTTTACCTCTTTTGCGATGCTTCCCAGCCTTTGGAAGTCCCCGCTCGAAGCACATGTGCATGTTGCACATGGGAGAGTCCTGTCCTCCCTTGAGAAGGAAACCTCCTCCGGACTTGCCTTCAAGTTGCGGGAGTGAAGACACTCAAGTACGTACCGGTCACCGACAACCCACTTGACTTGGTGTTATAGAGGTCTTGGAAACAATATACCTACACCAGCGAATTAGCTCAACACACACACTGTTATGCCTAGTAGTGAGACTCCCCACTAGTCTTCGGACACTTCGCTTCAGTAGATTGGTGTTAGGTTCGAGCCTCATTGATCCACTGTCCTTTTTTTTAGCCTTACTTTTCCTTGTTAGTCCTCTATGCAAACATTCTTTAGCATATTTGCGATCGTTTTCTCTATGCCATATTCCATAGAACTCTATCTTCTCTATGATCTGAGCTCTGTCCGCCCTTGAAAGCTGTAGATGGAGTTAGATTAGAATACGTCTAGATGGCGATAGACTTCCTCAACGTGGTACCAAGCTCTGTGGATGTGTGGTGAGACTTGGTAGACAGTCTGAATATCAATGTTGATCACTCTGCACAGCCCTTTACTAACCCATAGTAAATGGAATCTTTAATCCGGAGTCCTACTGGCAATAGTCTCGAAAGTCTATCTATCAAGTCCTTAAAATTCGACTAAAACCTCCAAAAATAAGGCTGGATGATTTTGTTGTAACCCATAGATGCATAGAGATCTCAAAAATGGTGGCAGAATCCTTTCTTGGCTTAGGATTCCTCCCCTTGCAGGTTGTACGACTTCAGGACGGCCAGAGCCTGCAGGCACCACCACAACTTGAACGCATCTCATGACTTGTCCTGCAGCTGACGGCATGATAACCTGCCTTGACTGCGCGAACCCCGCAAACAACACAGCCACTCCGGCTGAATAGAGTTGTCTGAGGCAGTCCTGGAGCTTGAAGTCCCGAAATGTTTCTCCCATCTTTTCTGACAAAGACATCTGCTGCGTCTGTTGCAGGACCGGGCTCCATCCGGGATTTGTTTACAAGCAACCATGGAATCGACACTCGACAGAACAGGCCATGGCGCGGCTTCTCTCATCGACTATGAAATCCTGCGCCTGAAACGCGAGCTAGGATCCGACGACGTCAAAGGGCACTCGTGCGAGCAGTGCAATAGCTTCAGGATCAGGCCGCTTGTTGACCACATCTCGGACTGGAAGCAGAACATAAAATACAAGTTCTCTGAAATTGACACGACCGGGAGGAAAGTGCGAGACCTTGCTGAGGCTGGGTGTGATTTCTGGATCATGATTCGAGACCAGCTTATCTATATCGGCTTGGAGGCGATGATAAGAAGGCGGAAGAATAAAATCGCTCTCGGCTCCAAGATTCACCATGGCCCGTCTCTGGATGATTATTGGCAGTATTTCGCTGTATCGTTTGGGTGGGAAGACGAGCAGGAGTTCCGGCGTCTCTACCGCCAAAGAGGTGTCTCCTGGAGCTTCTCAGCGGGAGCAACTGTTGAAGCCCCTGTCACCGAGACAGATTTCGTGCGTATCAAATTGGGATACTCATACGTGGGTTATTTGATGAAAGAAAGACCAGTCACTGCATTAGTCGAGTTGATTGTGCCGAGGGAGGCTGCTGGGACTGGTTCTTCTATTTGGGTACCCCGGCGTACCGATGGCGCACTCCCCTTGGTTCAATACCGGACGGAGTTCTTGGCTTTGAAACTTCCAGGCACGTATACTTTGTCTCGTGTGGCTTGTCCAAAGCTTGTACTAACAATGTTCCAGATGTTGCGAGAAATCTCTTCAGTGGCCCTATTAACCTGATGCCCCAGAATCCTTCCTCGGTGGCACTGATCAAGCAATGGTTGAAAAAGTGCGAGGTAGAACATGGGTGTGGAATAGGCCTTCGCCCAAGTCAGATGCCATCCATGGTCCTTGACGTTTCCGATCAAGACAAAATCAAACTGGTCAAAGTCCATGAAGACCTCAGGGAGCGATATATATCTCTGTCATATTGCTGGGGGAAAAGATCGCAAAGGATCATGCTGAGCAGAAGCAACCGAACTGTTCTGGCCTCTGGAGTCAGCGTGCAACAGCTAGATCCCACCATTCGAGACAGCGTTATAGTCACGAGGCAGCTTGGGTTCAAGTATCTCTGGGTCGATGCCCTTTGTGTCTTCCAAGATGACGAAGCTCTCAAAGCCAGGGAGCTGGGCCGGATGGGTGAGATCTACCGAAATGCCACCCTCACGATTGTAGCATCTGCGGCGAAGGATGTCCAGAAGGGGTTTCTGTCCAAGCGAAAATCGACGTTAAAGAGAACCAGCTTTGAATTTGGACGGCCTGGATTGGTGTTCGAAGTACAGCTGGAGGGCGACAAAGAGCAATCTGTGCAGGCATTGCCTGTAATTCTCAGGCCTAATGAACTCGACACAGTGGAGCCTTGGTACGAGAGGGCGTGGACGCTTCAAGAGATGCTCTTCTCCGGCCGTCGACTCCAATACCGCGCCAACCAGACGACCTGGAGCTGCCATTGCTCAGAGACAGTGGCTCAACAAAGCGACGGATGGGTTGGCGGCAGAGTGAGCAGTTACACCAATTATTCCGATGCATCAAAGATTGTGGGGAACACCATGGCGATATTGCGAAAAGGTGACATTATTTTCCCGAGCGCTACAGTTCTCGCAACATGGTACGGCCTTGTGGAAGTTTACACCAAGCGAAAGTTGACATATCCTACCGACCGACTGCCTGCGATCTCGGGAATAGCGAAACACTTCGAGTCGGTGTTGGGGGACCAATACATTTGTGGGCTTTGGGAGTCCGACCTGCCCTCGGGTTTGGTCTGGTACTCCATCAAGTCTGCGGGAAACTCGCCTGGCCCGAAGTCACGGCCGTCGTGGAGCTGGGCGTCTCGCGAAGGAGGAGCAGGTTGGTGGAGACACATGCTGAGGCACTGGTGGCGGAACCCAGATTTCGAGGTTCTCGGAATCACAGTTGATCTTGCATCGGCAAGCGAGCCACTCGGCAAGGTCCGAACAGCCGAGCTCTATGTTCGTGGCGTACTCCAATCATTCTCTTCCTTTCAGAGTCACTTTTGGAGAGACAAAGTGGCGGAGAACTTGGAGGATCACATGGGGGGGTATTTGATCTTTGACGATGACAATGATCCGAGGGTCCAGCCAGGCTCGAGATCAAATCTGAGGTTGCTGGTCGTAGTTAACGGCAGCCGGTTTTTGGGTGGGATTGTGTTGGTGGGGGAAGAGGACGAGAGGAGATTTTCCCGCGTTGGTTGCTTCCACGTAGACAATATCTGGCTGGACATGCCCGGGCCGCAACCTGTTCAGACTGATGAGAGGGGACGAGGGAGGAGATCTGTGGAAGAGTGCAAAGCCCGCATTCGTGATCTTTGGGGTGGCGAGGAAAGCATTCAAGAGCTTGTGCTGGTCTAGGCATCTGCATCATGTATTAGCAGCAGCGATCCATGACTTCCTGATTCGGATGAGGGTTGGGCTCCTGCCCAATCGCACGCACTGGGACTTCTGGCGGCAGGGGGAACCCATGCTGACCCCACTGTGGCAGGTTCAGATGGCAGGTAGCGCCAGGGGCGCCCCCCTGTGCAACAACGTGGGTTTCGTCTGGCAGCCTCAACAGCAGGCCTCACCCAGGGGCCGCTATGACTTGGCGTTTCCTCAACGCCCCTGCTTCTCACGCTGCTTTCCAGAGGCCCGTGGTTGGCCGGCCTGACATGCTAGCCCAGTGAACCAGTGAACCAGTGAAGCGTTCGCGGCCAGGACGGACGGCCCCAAGTTGCATGTTCGCGCCTTGCTCCTGTAGGTGCGGCCACCCCCCAGACCCAGGCGCCAATATTGGCCACGCCACGAAACCCACTGGAAACAACTGCGCCAAAACCCACGAGTGTGGCTGCAGCAAAGGTGCACCTGTCTGCTTTTTCTGTATAAGTGGTCAAGTCCTCCTTGACACACCTTCCCACAGATCAACTTATGGCAGAGCAGTCACGACTTCCTGTCATGTTCTGGTCAACGAGATCCCCTTGACCCTCTTTTTGCTTGGTTTACTTGCGTCCTTCGACTTTCTGCCAACTCCGTTCTTTTCATCTTGGTCCACATCATCCAGCATAGCAGCAGCAGCATAGACTCCTTTTTCCAGCATCTCAGTACCAAACATTCCTTACATCTTGCACACAGTCTATTCATCTTCAAAACGCCACCACCCTCGCCATGCATTCCAAGCTGGTCTCTCTCCTCGCCTCTGCGGCACTCGCCTCTGCGAGCCCAGCCATCCACGCTAGAGCAGTCATATCCCTTGATCAAGCTGCCGTGGCTGAGGCCCATCCACGTGACGCCGATGCTACCAGGGCCTCGTCTAATATCAACATCAAGGTGTGCCCTGCTTTCTGATCGTGCCTCATCACCCAGCTGACCGAGCTTTGGCAGACCTCCGACGGCAGATGTCTCTCGGTCGACAAGCTCTCAGGTGACTTCCGGGCCAACTTGACCCCCATCCAAGTCACCCAATGTGGAGCAGCCGAGGGACAAGAATGGGACATCATCACTGCTGGGAAGCACATCAGCACTCCTCAGTCCATGCTCGTCGTGAGCACTACCACCGGCGCCTGTTTCAACTTCGACCCTCGCCGGGCTGCGGGTGACCAGGTCATTCTCTTTTCTTGTGGCGGCAGAGCTGATGGGAGTCAGTCAACCCTTTGTCCCCCCCCCCCCTCTCTCGATGGACAACATATTGACTCTCAATAGGTGGAAAGGAGACCAACTCTCAGATCTTTCCCTTCAGCCAGCCAGATGGCCCTCAGTCGTTTCAGCCGCAGAATGCCCCGGGGAAGTGTCTGGCCGTCAACAACAATGTCCTGGACGTTTCTGATTGCAGTCCCGGAGACGCCGCACAAGAATTTCTCTTCAGCACACCAACCCCATCTGCTTCCCCCACCACCCCGGGAACGGGCAATCAAAGTAAGTCCCGAGATCGAGGCTGCTGTGTAATATCTTATCTTGCTAACAGACTCATAGCAACCACCAAGATTGATTCCGCCGCGGTGGAGGAGGCCCAGCAGCGCGACGACTCAGCCGTGCGGGCCGTAAGCAGCACCAAGATACGCACTTCCGGAGGCCAATGTCTCTCGGTGGATCCTCTTTCGGGCGATTTCAGGATGAACCTCATCCCTGTGGTCTTCGCAGACTGCGCCAACTCCACCGAATGGGACTTGATCACTTCGGGCAAGCACAACGACGGCAGTGGCGGGGAAGCCACCCTGCTCGTGAGCACGGCCACTCAGGGTTGCATCTCTTTCGACGCCCGAAGGGAACGTGAAGACCAGGTCAACCTGTTCTCCTGCGGCGGGAGAGCTGACGGCTCGGGCAAGACGAACCCGGGCCAGCTGTTCCCCTTCGCCGGGGGAAACAGCCTCGCGATTGCACCGGTCAGCGAAGGCAACAAGACATGCCTCATTGTTGGGCAATCAAGACTGGTAGCTGGACCTTGCGAAGACTCGGCGGCTCTGTTTACTTTGGACTCGTGAGAATTGGGCGGAGAGGGGGAGAGCTGGGGTCGCAAGGACTTGTAAATATCGTTTCGTTTGACTTCTTGTTCCTACTCCATCCAGGAAGACGGAGGCCCCTTTAGTCGATCCAGTAGCACCTAAATTTACCTTCCAGTGTGCCTACAGAACATAGTTGCTCTTTGACGGTACAGCTTGAACCTGACGACCTGGCCTCGGCTGGGCAACAGCACCACACTGTTTCAGTCCTTGTGCGCGATGCACCCCCTTCCCCACATCTTTCCACCTCTCTCCGTGGTTGTTTCCGAGCACAATTAGTGCCAAAAGTCCCGCGAGCCGTTCTGAAAATGTTCATCAAATGGGGTGACACAACGTGGTCGTTATCAATAAATGGAAATCATATGTTGTCCCCGTGCGGTGAGGGGTTCTCGGACGGCCGCAGTCGCAAGAGATGGGGTGACCCACCCGCGACCAATATCACGGAGCACAGCATGGGCCCACCTGCAAGCCCGACAAGTGACTGTGGTGTCACAAGGCATGATGAAATGCTGTGGGGTAACGAGCACGAGGGGGATCGATTTGGAGGCAGGAGGAAGCCCAGAGTAAGAGACTGACGCCATACACCAGATTCCCAAAGGACTTCAATGTTGCCTTGCGCAACAATACTGACGGTCGAATTCATTTCATGACGCGAGAACGTCCTGCACGAGCAAGCTCGATCAACGGAGAGCTCACATATGTGATTGACAAGGAATACTGGTTCCTGCTGGTACAATTTCTTCGGTTCGCCTCTCTCGAGGCAACCAAAGCTATGCAGGGCCTCTTGCGATGTGTGTGTGTGTGTGTGTGCGTACAACACGGGGGTAAAGCTAGTTCAGCAGTTTTTGCTAGCGGCGTTTTTTGCTTCGATCCCGCCGGTTCTTCCTCGACCGCAGTATGGAGCGTCTCACTATGAAGCTCTTAATATAGTCAAAGATCGGCTCCCTCATCAGGACCAGAACCGTGGCGAAACTCATCGGTGCGGCGATCATCCAGCTGTCGAGTCCTGTCAGCCTTGTCGGGAGCGCTTCGATTCGAGGCCTGCCTGCCTGCCTGCGAGGTCAAAAGCACTTACAAGAATGTGATGCCACGATCCAGATCGGTGAAGGGCTCGAAGTTTTGCTGTAGTGTCCAAGGTGGTCAGCGATCCAAGCCCGGCGAGGAGGTGTGGTGTAGGTTGAGGACGCACGCCAAAGTATCCCGTGAGGAAGGTCAGCGGGAGGAAGAAGATTGTGGCAAGTGTCAGCTGTTTCATGCTTTCGTTCTGGTATGCGGCGATGGTGTTGAAGATCAAGTTGATCAGCCCATCTGCCTGGGCCTTGATAGCGTTGAGGGATTCTTGGATCAGCACACAGTGATCCAGTACGTCCCCGAGATACGTATATGTCATCGGCGTGATGATGACACCCTTCGAACTGTCTTGCAGGTGAAGCGTAGCAGATTCTACATGATTGTTAGTTGGTTCACCAAAACAAGCATGGAAGCGTCTAGACAATGCGTTGCATCCACGCCGGATGACTGGAATTCAACCGACCAATGCATGGCCTCGCACGCCTAGATACAGCCGGGGGCACCGAAGACGAGAAAAAAAAGGGGGGGGGGTCTTACCTTGGCTCAATGCCGTTTTGTGGTCACGCAGTGCGTTGATTAGGTTGATGACTGGGGTTATGAAACTCAGAATTTTGTTGAGCTCGGTTATAATGATATAAAGCTTTTTGGTGTGTGTTATATTTGGACGAGTCAAAATATCCAATTCCAAATCGCCGATAACATCCCCGTATGTCGTACTAACAGGTATGGCCAGGTCGATAACGGCGTCTATGACAGCTTGCCCGACCATTGACGCATCGCAGGACTGCCTGAGGACCGTATCCCGTGTATACAGCCGTGTGAGGATGGGCTTCTCGATGATGTCCGCCGAGAGTTCGAAGAAAGAGATAAGAGTGTTGTCATTAGTGATAAACATAGACACTTGCTCAGCAATGACAGCTAAGTCAAGCGAAGACAAGGCGGCATTCTTTTCCATGAACTCGACCCTCGCCTCGTTGGGCCCAGAATTGTACCGTTGAACCGTTCTCTCGAGCGTTGCGCCTGAGGCCGTCGAGAGGTCAGTGTCGTACGATTGAAGCTGGAACCTGGAGGTCTCTGTGCCATTCTCGAGCGACTTTTCCGGGTTAGTTCGCCCTTGCTGCTTGGTCCTCCCGATCATGCCCCTGACGGTTGACGAGATGCCTTTTGCGAAGCCGGAACCCTTCTTGTTCCTGCGGGCCTTTCCGCCGTTACGGCTGCCAATTTCCGAGTCGGAGTCCGAGTCGCTGCTCGAGTCTTCGTGCGACACACGGACGAGCTTTATCATCGTGAAGACGATGAAGGCGTGGTTTGCGTACCTAGTCATCTTGGTGAGCGCGACAAGATGCGCACCAGGAAGTATCCCTCCTACTCACCAGTCTGTTTTGGTCCTGTTTCTCGTGTTCAACAAATCCTCGACAGATAGCTTGTGCAGCTGCTTGTGCTTGCCCAGTGTCGAGACAACATCCCACGACAGACCACTTGTGACGACGTCAGTCCCGCGAGGGGTCATAAAGAGAGAGAAGGGCTTACTTGATGTTGATCCATCGGCACTTGGCCCATTTCGGCTGTGGCTCCTTGAGAAAAGGCCCAAGACCGTCATTATCGAGCCTTGTGACGTGGATGTTGTCTTGGGAAAAATCGACGACAGTTATTTCGCAGGCGGCGGAGAGTTTTGCGAGGGAAGCGCGTCCTCCATCTGTTTTGAAAGGATCCAACCCGGGCTCTGCACCGGGATGCCAGCCCTTTTCGTGTTCGAACTCGCTGAAGTCGTCGATGCTCTTGAATGTGTTTGCTCGTGTGACGCGACGACGGATTGGGGAGCGAGGGGATCGGGGCGAGAGGGGCATCTCTGGGTCCGGTCTCGTGGCGGAACGCGAGGAGGTGGTCGCCTGACGGATGAGGCCAGTGTGGGAACCATCTTCGACTTCGTAGTGGACTCGCGCAGGTCGTGAGGGCGTCTCTTGCGTCGGCGGCCTAGAGGGCTCTGAGATTGACGTGTTTATAGGTGGCAACTCAGTTGCAAAGTCCCGAGCCGAGACGCCGGGCTGCGGCTGCGGCTCCTGCTCCTGCGACATGTTGCCGTATGTTTGTCTGCCCCAGGACAGCTAGGTTGCTGCTCACGGGTCCGACTGATCTGACGGGCGGGCGCTCAAAGACCAAGCCTGGAAGCTTGGGCACAATGGTCTGGAGCATGTGGACACGGAGGTTGGAGGATGAGCAGCGGAGGGTGTTGGTTGTGCGTTGGGCGTGCATGTGAATGGGAAATAAGCTCCCAGTAGGCAGGAGGAGCAGGGATCCACGAATCTGCAGGGTCCCCAAACTACCAAATCCTAAAATAACACCCCCAATTCAGCCCCCTGGCCTGGCAGCAGCGAGGGCTCTCGTATGGGTGGGCCAGGCCCCAACGGGCTCCAACGGGGGGGGGTTCCATCGTGAGATTTGCCAGACTGCAATACGCAGTAGGTGGTGTTGGAGCAATTAATGCGCGTACAGCACAGCACAGCACAGTATGTTTTGCCGAGCGGAAAGTGGAGAGTGGTGCAGTTGTGGGTGGACCTCGGGAGATGGATGGCCTGCAGGAAAAGCTTCGCCTGAACCAAGGGTCCCCTTAGTCGCTTAGTCATCAACGCCCAAAGACGAGACGAACGACGTTGAATTAAAGACTGCCCAGTCCTGGTCGACTTCGGTTCAACAATGCCGCCTTGGCGTTCAATGTGGAATTCCGAGCATGCCACTGTCTGCCCTCCCAAGCCACCACAAGCTTCCGTCTCCTCCACGGCTGGCGCATCTGCCACATCGACATCACTCGCAATATTGACCTGCCAAGCGGTGGCACAATTCGGCACTGACAGGGCCACCTACCCAATCAAACGTGCACCGGGCCGAGATATTGGCAATCATCCTGCTGGCAACGGCGTGGCCAGCGAAGAGGCGAAAGACGCATCCGCATACAAACACGTTCTGTTGTGCTCTTCTTTGCTTTTCCTCCAAGCCATGCTGAGAACATGCCCGCCTCACCGACGGCCATCGGGGTGCCTCTGAGGCCAGCCAGCCTTCGCGTCCAAGATGAGCCATCACATATCGTATGCGTGCCAAGATATCACGAGACGCCCCCCTACACCTCCTCGGCTACAATACCCATGGCCTTGGCCCGCATTGTCGTTGCCAGATGTCACTGTCTCACCCGACACCTTCTGCTGACCAGGATCGGGAGGCTCGACGTCGCTTCCCGCCCACTACCCTCTTCCGAAATGCATGTCTCATCCGAACGCCTCAACAGTCATCACCGTGGCCGGCCTCGACAGACACCTCTATCTATCACAACAGCCTCCCCCGCCCATAAAGAATAGCATATGTAGATCACTAAACTGAACCGCCTTGTTGAAATGTCCGCGGAACCCGCCCCCTTCCCAACCCAGGCGTTGAGAACTTCGTTGGCCGGCCGAAGCGAGCATGACAGCAGGGGCTCGTCCTCTGTCACCCGGATCCTGCCCTGTCGACGGGTCCGGTGCGAACTGGCGGACCACGACGCCTACGAACTGCCCATGCGCCCGGCCACCACACACTTCCACCACTACCGCTCGTGGTGGCAAGGTCCATGGGCGACGAGGGGGTGCAAGGCGACCTCCCGCCGCGGCCCATCACCCGCCTCCTGGCCTGCACTTGATCATGCCTGCTCATGACTGTTCAGCAACGCCTACGTTGGTGACAAGACAATCGCAGTACGGCCGAGACACCGCTTTCGGATGAGGTGACCCCGAAAATCCATCCCAAAAGGCAGCAGATAGTCCTTTGGTCTATCACAGTCCAAAGGGCCATTGTGAATTGAATTCCCGCCTCATCATGACAGGCGCCCTGACGCTTGTCATGTCTTTGCCAGGTCCCGCCGGGTGTGAGATTCTGCTCCCGTCAATATGACTCTGGCCTAGTAAGGCTGGGGCGGGCTCGCCTTATTTATAGCCGAGCGATCAACTCCCACCTGGCGCTCGATCAAACCGAGACACTCGCTTCCTAAGCGACCCTCCTCTCTACTGCTTCCTTCCTGCACATCAACAGTCTCTTCATAAATTCCCTGTTGTTCCTCGGCTTCTGCCCTCCGGGAGTGACACAGGCGTGACCCTGCAGATTCCCAAGAGCCTCCTGCGTTGTGACCATGACGTCGCATATCACTCATATACGTGCTCCCAAAGCCCTCGCCGCCTCATGGCAGAGACTACACTTGCTCCTCGGTTTCCGGAATGGCTACAACTTTGTTCTCTGGTGCTTCCTGGCCCTCGGCCTGCTCGGCTTCACCTTGAGTCGAGCTCCCTATCTCGACTACTATGGCGTGTTTTGCAAACGGAACTCCTTGACACCAAGTCTCCACGCTGCGCCTGGGGAGTGCTACTTCTTTCTCAACGGCGGGCAGGAGCAGATCGGCATGATGATGCACATCTTCGCCATCATCCCATGCTGCTTGCTGTTGTTCTTCCAGTTCGTGCCGGTCATTAGGCAAAGAGCAGTCTTGTTCCACCGGGTCAACGGGTACATCGTGATACTGTTGATGGCAGTTGCTCTGGCCGGCGGGTTGATGGCAACAAGCAATTCATTCGGAGGAGAGGTGGCATTCCAGGTGGCCAACGTGCTGCTTGGCGCATCGGTAACAATATCCCTCGCACTGGCTATCATCAGTATCAGGAGGCTGCAGATCGATCAGCACCGAGCGTGGATGTTGAGAGCCTGGGTCCTGGTAGGTCTCATTCATCTTCATGAATCGCATGGCCCGAGCAATCACGAGCCCAAAACATTTATGGGCTGACAAACCCCCTAGGCCTCAAGCATAATCACCATGCGCCTTATACAGAACATCGCCGGTCGCGCAGTCAGCGGCCAGGGGTACACATCCCTACGCCCATGCGCCCAGATCAACAGCGACGGCGTCCTGCCGCAGCCCGTGATCGAGAACGCCTGGCCCAACTGCGCGGCCTACTTCTCAGGGGCCAATCCAGACCAGCAGGTCCTTGTAACGGCCAACTACTACGGCCTCCCGATCGAGGTCAACGTCGCCCTCTCCATCGCCAGCGGGGCGTCGGCCTTTATCGCGCTCATCCTGCACGCCATGGGTGTAGAAACATATGTGAGCACATGGGGAAAAAAAGTCCCCACGGACACACCACCACAAGCGATGGTATTTGAAGCTGACCTCATCCCATAGCTCCGACTCACCCCAGCCGAGTCGGATCGCCTGCGCCATGTCTCCTTCCGCAAGCAGTCCGCGCGAGACCAGATATACTCGGTCCGTTCAGGCCCGGCGACCCACGGCTCTGAAGATTCTACCAAGCTGGCTCCTCAAGATGATTGCAAAGGCGACATAGGCAGCGACTCCGTCTCAGAGACACATTTCGAAACAGTATCTCGAGAGTAAATGGCGTGGCCCGTCAGAAGGGCGTGTTTACTCTTGTAGAAATAGGTATGGTGTGCCATAGCTCGGTTGATTTGTTTGAATTTAGGGCGGCGTTGAGAGTATTTGGCAGTGGGAGTATTTAGGGAGCGAAAGTTCTGCAGACAGCCCTGAAGATAACAGCGAAGGGTCAACCCCGGCCGCTCGGGTATTTCCTATCCTAGGAATGCATGCTTGTGGATACTTAAGTACATATCTTGCATGTATCCACTTCCCTTGTAACCGTCTACTCAAAATATGGAATTCTATTGCTGCGTCTTTGATAATAGACCAGGGTGTAGAGTTCTCTGCATCTCTGATCGAACGAGGGTGTGGAGGTCAAGCATTTGGAAACTGTGTAGAGAATAAGAAGCTAGCACTTGAGACAGAAGACATGTAGGGTGCGACTTGAGTTGCCTGATTTTAGAAGTAGGTACAAACTGCGGTGAACGCTCAAGACCCAGCGTTTAAAGAGCATAAAATGTTGATAACAGTGGCAAAGATACAATAGGTCCATGTTCAGCCTTGTGACGACGCACAGGCTGAGGAGCACCGTCTTGACGGCGCCGTTGACTAGAATGACGGCAGAGTACTCATATGGCGAGACTAGAACAGTCTCTCAAGATGTTTCCTATGTAAACCCTGATACCAAATGCAGGGAAGGTCAGGAGATACGTAGAGACTCAGGCTACAGATGCCAAGCTCCGTGCAGTAAATGCATAGATCCGGGCCAGAAATAGAGAGGCCAACCTCGAGCAGAACAAAACACTCTCGGAGATACCGCAAAGGAGTGAAACCTGGTCCATGATACTGATTGACCCTGTACAGAGTGATTGACAGGTGACTGGGGAGGATACAAGTAAAATAGTAATACTCTAATCTGGGAGATTACATGTGTGCACTTGTGCAGCTTCTGTGGACCTATAGGAACAAAGCAGTGAATCCAGGGAACAACCTTGGAAGCGACACAGAGCTTACCCTACTGCTAGCTAGCAACACAATTTTGCTGGCCCAGAAACCGGAATTTTCACCCAAATAGACTGGAGAATTGAATGCGTTATAAAGCACCACTTCCAGCCCAGACAACAAAGATTTCAAGTCAGAGACACTTTGGTGTGATGTGCAAATGGCCTTGGCACTAGATCTGTCCAGTTTTCCCAGGTATGTATGTCTTTGACACATATTCTTGAAAAGGCCCCCCTCGAGGGAATTGTACAGACGCCGGTGTTGTCCTGGAGCCCGAGACCACAGGTTTTGAATCATTTAAGCTTTGGCAGTCATGGGCTTGGTAGCCACCTGCCACCTAATAAGTGCTGTGGAGGTGGCCCTGCTCGGTTTTGTGGAGTGACTAAGGCGATCAGTGCCTTCCTAGTGGACGACGGGCCAGTGCACGCGGCTGACTGAGTGTTGTCAACAGTTCACCGCCACCAGGTCAGTCTTGGTCAAACTCACTCTTTACCTGTCACTGACACCAATTCAAACAGCAAACCAACAATTTTCAATTCATCTCATAAACATGCTTATTCCTCCAGTACCAGCCTCGAACCTGCTGAGTCCAATCCTTCACAATTCCAGGCGCTGCCTACTCGGTCTGCCGACCCAGCCGAATCCAATTCTCACTTCTATCTTCCCACGACTCTCAACTCAAAAGATCCCATCCCAGCAGTCCAGTCCACCCAGGGACAATGGTTCAGTCTTCGGACAGCACGGAGGGTGCGAGTCCCCAGAGTACTCGACCAGACTCTGGAAACTTTATCCGCCCCTTTGTTCCACGAAAGGGCACACAGCGACATTGCGACCACCTTGAAAAGCTCCAGGCCGTCGCGTGCAACCCCAGGGAGCGGAAAATCGAATCCACAGACGTCTCTGATTTGTTGGAGACACTTTCCTCGACAGACAGCATTTACGGGTACTGGGAGGTCAACGGGCAGTTGTTCGAGGAGCCTACTTGGGCCACCATCGTCTGCTGCGATACGTTTGAGGTCGTGGTGCAATGCCCACCAGGAAAGCGCATCACGTTCGTCCTTGTTTCCTTTATATTCCTAATCATTTCATCTTCGCTAGGCCCGAACGGTGCTGACAACCGGCTTTCGCAGACTTGGGAATTTGGACCTCGCAGTCATCCTGTTGTCGTGCCTCGAGCATGCAAACGGCGACGCATTCGTCCGAAAGGTGTCATCAACCTCAAAGTGCTGGCCGACGGGCCACGTCGACTTCAGGTGGCTACTACGAGGGACGCTGGCGGAGGATGGGCCGGGACCGGACCTGAAGGGCGACTCGCCGCCGTTTGCGCAGCCACCAAAGCCCGCCAACAGACTATTCAGCCCGATCAAGCAGCTCAAGCTGGCGACCCAGTCGCTGGAAAAGAAGCGGACCCTTTCGATTGACCAGCTACGATCTCCCACGTCGCCGACCAACCCGTCCCTGCTGCAGCGCTGGGATTCTGCGAGGCGGCAGAGCCTTGACCCCTCCGGTGGGATTTGTGCGTCGCCGACCACACAGTCGCACGAGAAGCGGCGGTCTTCTACCTGGAAGGAGCGGACGTCTTCCTTGTTTCAGTCAAAGCGACAGTCCCATCATTCCACATCGTCCAAATCCAGCACCTCTCATTCCACATCCTCCTCCTCGTCTTCCGAGTCCAGAAGCACAGTCATTGGGGGTTCCGAAGTGATGTGGAATCAGCCATTTATGCCGTCGCAAGCCTTCTCAAAAATCTAATAATAACACCCATAATCAGACGGGATGGCATGGTCTCCAGGAAGAACCACTAGCGGAAATTGGATGCTTTAGCGGGCGGGGATGGGAGCCCGATGCAGGCGGCTCTATTTATTATGGCAGTCACGACAACTTCGCAATCACACATGCACATGACAGATGTTGCAGCGATGTGTACGGTGCACTATGCGACTAAGCGGTTTTCGCAATACAGGCGATCTAAGAAGATCCATGATACCCGGTTATTGATTTATTGCCCAGCGTCTCGTCATAGCAAGCACAGGAACGTTGATTATAATTATTAATTGCATATACATTGGCTCCTTCTCAAACACCAGTCAAAACGCAGAATACTTCCTCGTGACTGATCTTTACTTTGCATGACTTTGTGCTTCCATAACTAGAGTGGCGCCCTTGTGCTGGGAAATGCTAATAAATGCTTTCGATGATTAAACTTGGTAAATTTGTGGAAAGAGCTTGGGCATTTGCTTTATGGAGCTCAGGGAGTGTGACACCTTTCTGTGATACCTTAGGTGTGCGTTACTAGTCGAAAGTGTCGCTGTCTGTTCGCTCTCGCCATGCCAAGATGCCTAGGTAAGAGACTTCGGGTGTTCTACATCAGAAACCAAAATAACAGTGATGTTGTTCAAGTACAATTCCATCCCTTGCTTCAATGTTGCTGGGCAGCAAAGCGGGATTTATACAGGGCAAACCGATTCGAGCCTTGCCGTTTGGCATTATGCCACTCTTGTATCCAGCCATAATTTGAGACTTTTTGAGCAAATTTGTGGATTGGTATTAATTGGCATTTTGGTGGCTTTCTTTCCCTTGGTATGTTTCTCTCTACCCTCGAGTTGCTGCGAGAGAATCAAAGTAAGCGACAAGACGGTGTGTTGCACAATCTTCTGGCCGCACAAAAGCCGCAGCGACGTGCTACTGCACGTTATGTTCCAATAATTGGCCGGGCCGCCAGTCTGCTTATATGTAGCCTGGCAGTTGGTTGGCCGCACCGACTTGTCTGCCTGCATCTGCCGCGCGATTGAAACGGCCGGGCCGGGCCACCGTCCCCGGCCACCCCCCGGCCATCTCCCGCTGCCAACACAAGTAGACTGCGCCGCGTGTCCTCGAAAACAAAATCCTGCTGTGATGCTCGCGATACGACACAGACTGGGTTTCGGGAGGCTGTGGACAGCTGATTCAAGCCCTCTGCAGGCCCACAAAACAACCGTCTTTTGGAACGGTCCGCCCTCGACCAAGAAGGGCCTTGTGTCTAGGTTGGAATGTGTTGGCCCGGGAAACCAACGGGCTTTACTTTCCTACGAGTATGCATTGTAAGAAAACCCCGTGATGCCCAGAAATCCTGCCAATCCCTCAGGATTTTGTGCCCGTCCTCCTTGCGACTCTCGAACAAACTAACTAACAAACTAACACAAACAAATCACCTCTCACTTCTCTCCCATACCCACGTCTCTGAGGGAATAGAAAGTTAGCACCAATTTGGAAATCCAAACACGCGATAACAATGGGAAATACCTCCTCCCGACCGCTCAACCCCAGAGAGCCACGGGCCATCTACCATGACCTCGTAAGTTGGGCGGTCTGACTTACGCTCCGCCTCCTCAGCCAGCTCTTCACCACAGCTCCCAGCCTGGGTACTTCATGATAGATCAACCGACTAACGCACCCCCTAGGGCTACGGCGATATCATCTCAAACCCGCTGGTAGCACCAGCGGCAGAGGCGCCCAAGCTCAAGGGCCGCAGGACCCTCTCCTTCGCCATCACTCGCAGGTCGACGGCCCAGTCGAGCCGCAGGGTGCTTGGCTATCCGCCGAAGTATCATTGGTGATGTGGTTCTGAACCCCCAGGCCTTGCTTGCGCCCGTATTGTTAGCTGCAGGACGGCTGATCGGGACGGAGTGGTGTCGGATAACCTGCTGGCCAGGCTGGGCCCCTCAACTTGATAGCATGTGCTCCCTGTTGGCAGAACATGATACCGGTCAGGCTCAGACAGCCAGATCGAGCAGCGAGTGGGGCCAGTGTGCGCTTGTACATATTCTATTATAATGAGGGTTGCGACCCGGTATTTGTATCGCTAGCTAGGCCGGTGGAACTCCCTTTGACACGCCTCAAAGGGCCCAGACCAATTATATCTATATCTGAAAAGACTGCTCGGTGGGGTATCATTGATGCCGAATCTATGTCAAAGCGCAACGACAGGAGAGGCGGGTTTGCGCGCGCGCGCGTGTGATCTGTGTGAGAGCTGCTCCAACCAGGAGGCGCCTGCCTTCCTGCCTGCCTTTCAACGCCTGTCGGGGCGGTCGTCTCTCCCCCGTCTCGCAATCACTTCCCCTTCCCCTTCTTCCTATGCTGGTGGTGATTAGGGTTCCGCCCGGCAGCCGACCACAGCCCCTTGGCGCTGCTCCACACACTATCGCTCACGCGCGGCGGGATCTTGCGGCCCCGGAGGCGCTGGTCGATGAGCCACGTGCCGACGACAAACTCGCTCTTGCTCAGCGCGCCCGGCACGCGGGGCCGGCCCTCCGGGCCGCTGGCGCTGCCGCTGGCGCCGAGCCCGTACACCAGGTCCCACACCTCGGCGAGCTCGGGCGCCGGCAGCCTGCTGCGCGACCAGATGTCGCGTACCACCACGCTGGCCACGTGCTCCGAGAGCTCCTCGTGGCTCCGGTCGCGCACCCCCAGTGCCGGGTCCGAGGTGGACGCCCGGGCCTGCGCCGACGACGGTCCGGGCCCGGACCCGGGCGGCGGGACGAGGAACAGCCCGCGGTTGCTCGCCCACACGGCCTCGTAGCGCTTCCTCTCGCGCTCCGTGATCTCCTCGCGCCACCTGCGCCGCGACCCCTCGTGGTGCGTGTGCTTCTTGCTGTTGATGAGGCCCTTCTTCTTGTGGTGTGGCCTCCGCGCCTCCTCGTCGTCTGATTTGGGCCGCTGGTCGCGCAGCGTCTTCCTCATGTGGTGCGGGGACGCGGCGCGGCTGGCTGCCTTCCTCCCGCCTCCTGTGCGGCGTGACGGCGGTATGGCTGGCGGCGTGCGGGTTCCTGCCCCGGGCACGGGTGTGTGTCTTGCTGAGGCGAGGGAGCCTGCCATCATGGCGTCGGAGAGGGAGTCTATGGGAAGCTGGGACGAGCCGGTGATGGTCTTGCGGACTGGGAAAGCGGGGGTCACCGGTCGGGCTGAAGCCGCACGTGGCGGTAGGGCCCTGGGCGTGAGCGTCCGAGATGCGGGATCGAATACAGGTGGTGATTCTGCGCGAGTGGGTGTCGAGGATGCTGACACGAAGGTATCATTTGATGACATGGAATCCCCAGTCAGAGGCCTTCCATCCGCCCTGTCGTGAGGTGAGATGGGCGTGGATGAGTCCTGGCCATCAGCACTCGGCGCGAGGGCAAGCCTCTGCAGGGTCTGCCTCTTCTTCGGCGCTGGTGGCTTGGCTGGCATGGTTGGAAGGGAAGACCGAGCTGGTAGTGTGGGAGGTCTTGGTTCGGGTATCGCCGCGTCTGTTGACTCTGGACGTGCAGCTGTACGCTGATCTGTGGCTTCGCTCTTCTCCGCTTTCCTTGGTCTGGGCGGCTCTGGTCTACTTTTTCTCCCTTCCACACTCGTGACATTTGACTTCTCCCTCACTTCACCGGAAGGCGCGGGAGGCTCGAAATCCAACTTCGGCTTGGTATCAGGCCTCCTAGGCTTCGGCGACACTATCTCCGTGTTGGCTCTCCTGATCACTGGCGGAGACGGGGTCTCATCCCCAGCTGTCGTCTTCAAGTTGGGCTTGGGCTTGGGACTGGGCTGGGGCTTGGGCTTCGTCTTTGGCACGGGCTTCCGTCGCGGCTTGACATTCTCCGCGCGCAAGTCCCTCTCTTCATCATCGTGATCAAGCTGCACGTCTGGGAGGGGCCACCCCTTGGACTTGTTGTCCTGATCCCCCTTGTGCTCGAACATAGAGATCAGCGAGTTGGCAGGCGCTAGATGTGCCGTATCGGGGAGTCCGTCCGAGCTACTGGTCGAGGTGCTCACTGCCGGGCTGTCCGTCCTCGGGTTGGGCTTCCTCCGTATAGTCGCCGGCTCGCCGAGACGTGCCATCCTCCCCGCGATTCCGGCCCTCTCATCACTACCACCACCACCGCCCCCGCCCTGCGCGGCCGGCCCGGAACCAGGACTAACGCTCCTGCTCGCCGCAAGCGTGGCAGCGATGAAACTCGTGGACTTGGGGTCTGTGCCGGCGCCGCCCGCAGCCCGACCGCCGGGGGGCAGCAGGTATGGGGTCCTGGACTGCTCGGAGCCGGGCGACCCGAGGAACAGCGCCAGGCGTTCCCGCTCCTGCTCGGTGGTGGTGGTGGTGGTGGTGGTGTTGGTAGCCTGGCCCCCCACGTCGCCCTCCAACGCGACGCTGCTGTTCCCGGTTGTCTGCCTGCTTATCCTCCCATTGCCAGCCCCCGTGCCCTGCCTGCTCAACCGGTTGCCCTGCCGACTGCTGACGCTGCCAGTCGGGGACCGCGCCCTCGAGGCCGAGGTGGCCGCCACGAGGGCGCCACCGTCCAGTGCAGCCTGGTTGTTGAAGCTGGGCGTCAGGCTCTGCCGCCGTGCATTTTGAGCCTGCTGCTGCTGCTGCTTGGAGAAGGCAAGGGAGGCGCCGCGCAGGGCTGCCTCCTGGGGCGTGAGCTTGTGGTGCGGGCCGGCATTATCGTTGGAGCTGACGGGGCGGAGGTTCGAGCGGCTGCTTTGAGGAGTGCTCGAGGCATGCATGGCCTTTACTGGGCAGGGCTTGGACTGGCTCGAGGGGACGAGGAAGAGACGTCGACATGTGTGGCTGTGGCTGCTTCAAGCACGTGCACGATGTGGTCTATCATTCGCGATAAAGAGGTCGCATTTCGGCTGGCCGATGGAGCTTTCGAAGGTCGACTCGAGACTTCGCTTCAGCCTGGCGAGTCAAGCCTGCGGTGCTGCAAAGGGCCGAGGGGAAGGGAGCGCTGCCGAGTTATGCAGGATGGCTGTTGGTGGAGCACGAGGTCGGCAGCAGCGGCCAGTGTCGCCGTGCGGTTGTTGTGGTGTGCTGGGGGGCACGGAATAGGGGATCTGATGTAATCGCGAACCCTTGAGAGCTGTCCGACGCCACACTGACCCACCTGCAATGGTGCTGAAAGCTCCCGAGGTTACGCCCAATCTGCAACCCTTGTCGATCCCCCGAGCTCTGGAATGCACTGGCAGCCCTAGACAGGCCCGTCCGTTTTTAGCACAGGAGCCTCACACTAATAACACGCCTGCGGGCTGCAAGCCAGCAACCTCATCTCCAGACATTCACAACTTAATCTCGCATGGCATGCACCCCAAAAACCTTGCTGCTAGTTTACTGGAATACCAATGCTTCCTGTTGATTTTGATACAGCTAGCCATAACAGCGTACATTCAATCAGTCGGTCGGTCGGTCGTCATCATTGATCGTGGCAGAGCAACGCAACTAAGCTACCATCAAGTCAGACTCTCCCCCTCTCTCCCTCCCTCACCGTGCCGTCCATCTCGGGTGCTCTGCAGAATGAACAGAGCTGGAAACTGAAGAGCAAAAACCTTGAACGCCGTCCTTATCCTGACTCCAAAATCCTGTGATTTCACGAGTCCTTCCATCCGTTTCCATTCCAACCCTCACCCTGCCTTTCCGTTTACCTTGCCCCACGAGAACCCATCCCTCCGAGGTGGGTATCAAGTTAAAGCACTCCCCCCTAAAGCACTCTGCCAAAAATGAGAATAGAAAGTCCTTAGACCAAAAAGAACTGAAATGCGAACGACACGGCCGGCCGGACGATCCTCTCAAGCTGTACAACAACCTTGCGGAGCTGCTCTCTCCCAAGAGCCATATAAGTGGGGTCAAGAACCGATCGGGTAGGGAAAATGGTTAAACAAAAAAACCGGTTCGCGTGAGTATTTTGATCACGGCGAACGACGAACACGCTTGACCCCCTAGAAAACATCCTCGTCTGTCCAGCCAGAGCTCCCAGAATAGACGCGTCTGCCGTCGCTGTCCACAAGCACATGAGGAGGCTGTTGCAGCGCTGGAGGGATCCCACGCGGGCGTTTGGCCTGGCTTGCATTGAACGTGCTCGGGGGCTCCATGCTGTAGTTCGTCCTTCCGGACCGGATCTTTGCATAATGTCCAATCGGGATGTCCTCTTCTGGCTCCGAGGCATCGTCGTATGTTTCCCAGTTCTCAGACCCCGTCACCACAGTCCCGTTCGAGTCACTAGATTGGTTCGAGATCTGGCGGATTGCGGGGGCCTGAGAGTATGACTGTGCAAATCGCTCATATCGGGGACCGTTATCATGGTTGCGGAGCGAGGCCTTGCCTGGGAAGTCGCGGAAATCGTGGTGCGAAATGGGACGCTCATACTCTGCGCTGCCCTGCTTTGACCGATCGTCGTACACGTCTTCGGGTTCAATGTGCCGGATGATACCCGATCCCCGGTCCGAAGAGGAGTGGTAGTAATCGACAGGTGCTTCCGTTTCCGTCTCTGGCACAGCAACGAGATCTCTCATCTTGGGTGGTGGGGCACGCATCACCGGAACCGTCCCGCGCCTCACGAGGTCAGGCTTCTCGGTCTCTTGCCTGGACTTGTCGGGGGAGTAGTTGGCATGCTTCAGGTTGGACAGCGGCGGCCGCGCTGGGATCCGTGTCGGGCTGCCTTTTGTGTTGATGGTGGTCTGAGGGCCCAGTGGCTTCGACCACTTGGTCGGGAGAGAATTGAACTTTTCCGTCGGCGTCTTCGCCCCAGCCCGGCTAGGTGCCTGCGAGCGGCTGTTGCTAACGGCACTATTTGATCTGCTGACAGGCGGCGCCGACCTGGTCACGCTGTTCGATTTCGATGGCATCGACGTGTTTGCTGGGGTCCTCGACCGGGGCCCTGGGGTTGCCCTGTTGGAGCTGTCGTTTTCGATGGTGTCCAGGTATCGCTCGCCGTGGACGTAGAACGGCCGCCCCCACTCGTCTTCCCATTGCTCCAGAGCCTTTCGCAGGTCAGCCGTTACCTTTGGCAGCTCCTTGGCGATCCTCTTTCTCATCTTCTCCTCACGCAGCAGCTTCCCGGGGTCCCGCTTCTCGCCCTTCTGTGGCTTCATCATCAGCCGCGAGGCGTCCTGGCTTGCGGCGGCTAGCTCATCCCGTTCTGCAACCAGGGTGCGGTGTCTCTCCATAAGAGCCAGCATCGGGGCCCGTTGTTCCTTCAGGGCGTCCAGCCTCGCAATCTCGCTCTCGTGGGCCTCAAGAAGCGCATCGCTGTACACGTCAGAGAAGGCTGGGGTGAACTCGAGCATCTCGTCCTCGGACATGTACAGGGCGTCCCAGAGCTCCTGGAGCTTTTGGCGCGCATCCTCGACAAAGAGGTGGAGGTTCTGTCGCTTCAGCTCGTTCAGGCGGGCAAGCTCATCGTCAAACTCATTTATCTGCCGGATACCACAGCCACGGTTGGCGTTCAGGAAGGCCTTGCGCTCCGCCTCGTCGACGCCGAGCTTTTCCCACAGAGCCTCGACGGCATCCTTCAGGTCGCGCAGGCGCTTCTCGCGGTTCTTCTTCTCACTGTCAAGCTTGTCCAGCCTGGCACGAAGTCGCGCAATATCCTCCTCGTGGAGGCCAAGCTGTTCAGGGGCGTCGCGGTAGTACTTTACGATGGCGCCGTCGGTCTGGGCTTGGGGGGTGCCAAGCTCTGCCCACAGCTGGATGATGTTCTCTGACAGGGACTGGACGGTTGAGATGCGCCTCGTGTACTCCTCATAGACCCTGGTGAACTCGTTGTCGAGCTTATCGACATACGAGGGTGACAGGTCGAAAGTGGGCGGGATAGACTGGTTTGGCCCGGTGGGCGGGAGGGCAAGCTTGACAAAGCTCGGCTCGAGATGTGACGAGTAGGATTCGAGTGCCAGCACCAGCTCTGCGGGATGTTAGTTCTTGTATCAGGTGGCGGACTGAGCGTCGGGTTGGTGGCGGCACACATACTCTTTACCTGGGCGAAGCGTTCCTTATGGGCCCTGCTAACCTGGGCATGTTTGTCCTTCAAAGCCTGTAGGCACCTGTTCAAGGGGTAGGAAATCTCCAAGCCGTCATCGTGGCTGTGGGAGGAGCCGCGACGCCTAGGATCCTCCATGGAGGCTTCCATCTGGCGTATGGTTGTGATCATGTCCTGGGCCTCAGAGATGATCTGTTTCTTCTCCTGGGTCACGAGGCGCACCTGGTTGTTCAGGGCCTCTGACAGGGCTGCGAACAGCTGTGCGAGTGGGTATTCCAGTCAGCCCACAGAGTCGCCAAGCAAGCAAGCTAGCTGGGAACATTGACCAGCGGTGGAAGTGGGACAGGTGGTGATGTAGCACATACCTCTGCCTCTCTGGATTCACGGTCATGGCTGGGGACGCCGATCTCGTCAAACAGGCCGTGCAATTGGCCAATAATGGTGTTGACCTGCTGGGAAAGGTAGCCGGGGTCCATGGCGGGCGGCGACTGACTAGAAGACCGAGGTGAAAGCAGAGGAACAAGCGAGTGGTGAGGTACGGCGCAGGAGTGGGCCGATGGCCTTGTAGCGCGGCTGGTGGAAGCAGCAAGCTTCAATCGAGGCGAGTGTTTGGCCCGACCTGCTGCGGTGCGGATATTGTGGTGGGTTGGATCAGCTGGGCCACTTGCGTTGCGACCGTGGATGCGGCCACGGTTTTACGACAGAAGATGTGAGGAGGGCTGTGGTATAATCCACAGACTGATGGAATGTTGACAGCTGACAGCTGAGAGGCGCGCGCTGTGCTTGTGCGAGGCCAATGCAGCGTGTGCGTGTTGCGTGTGTTGCGTATCACAGCAGATACAAGTTCAGGACCCTCACAGCTCGGCTGGGATTGCGACGGGAGCAGCAATGCATCTCACGAGAATGGATGGGAAATGTGAAAATGAGAGGTCGACTTGTGCAGGACTCGACAGGACACGACTGGGCTGGCCTTGTCTGGTCTCTGGTCTGGTCAGGCTGGGCTGGGCTGGGCTGAACTGAACTGAATTGAATTGAATCGAGCAGCCTGCTCTGCCTCAGCTGCGTCGAGTAAGTCAGCGAGGTGGGTAAGGGTGAGCGAGTGGGTGAGTGAGTGAGTGAGCGAGCGAGGATGGAAATTAAGGCGGCGCAGTTTCTGGACTCGCTTCTGCAGGCAGTTCCTGCAGTGCAGGCAGGTTTTACAGGCGGGAGCGGTTGTTGAGTTTTGGCGCTCGGCCTCTCCCAGCTGCTGCCAGGTACCGCCAAGATGGTTTCCAGGGCAACGGCCCCAGCTCCAGCTCGGAGGAACCATGGCCATCGCACCAACAGCTCCACCCCGACCGCGGCCCCACCCAGATTATAAGATGGGATGCATATGCCTGTGCGCTAGAAGGCTGACCCCGCCACACCCCCAGCCTCCCAGCCTCCAGGCGCAATTGGCTTTGGAGCTACCTTCCAACTTGGAGTTCCAAGCTTGCCTGCTGATGGGCCTGGTCTTCCAAGGCCCCAAGGTTCGAGAGGCTCCACAACCCCGGGATCCTCTCTCTGCTCGCGCCTCATATTGACGTGCATTGTGCATGTTACATGCAGCACGGTGGATGCCAGCCGGGCTATAGTTAGCAGCACCTGGGCTCTGCCCTGGCTCTGCGTGTCTGTCACACGTTTCCTCGCCCGCCCAGGACCGTGTGTCAGCTTGGCTTTCCTGAAGTCCTGGCCTTCTGCGTGTGAGAGAGAACGCCAACGACCCAATCACAGACGGCACCAGCCACTTTATATATGCACATATATGCACGTAAGAAATATCGCGACGCGAGGGGGCGTCGAAGCCCACCGGGGCGGCAGAACAACCCGTCGTTTCACAATGCGGCACCATAACCTACCTGCCAGGCTTGCTTGCCTGCTTGCCTGCTTGCCCGCTTGCCCGCTCGTCTTCTCGCACCACTGCGGGCTGCGTTGCCCCGACCACCAACCACCCACCGGCACCAGCGCCTCGGCTACGGTTCCTCGATGCTACCATAAAGCAAGCAAGCAGGCAAGCGGGATGCCGAGTGATACAGCGCCCCTTCCATTTACCAGAAGAAGAAAGAACAAGGAAAAGAAGGTCCCAACCAATCTGTCATCTTGCCGTCACCCTGCAGGAAGCCACCCAGCACAGACGTCCAATTGTGTCCCAGAACCGCTTTGTTTTGGCACGACGCCCCCTCTTCCTTCTTCCTCTCCCCTTGCCGCTTGTCGCGTGCAAAAAGTAAGCCTTAGTACAAGTAAACAAATGCCCCTCGCATACTGATGCAGCCGTGAGAGATCAGCTGAGCTCTGCTGATCTGGGCGACTCGCAATCAGTCCCGGGAGACAGGAGGGCGGGGGCTTCTGCTGTATCTTCAGATATACTACATTCTACGGAGTACCTCGCGCCCCCGATCTGATGATAATCCAGGGTGGCTCGTTCTGCGCTCCGGCTGTACCCACACCCCCCCCACCCGAAAGCACGCAGTCAGTCTCCTCTCCCCGCCAAAATGTAGCCGTGTCCACAGTATGCCCTGCAAAGCTAAGTGGCTTTGAATACCTGTCCAAACAAGCACACTGTAATACCCTCCTTGAAGTCTATCTTCAATCGTCATTAATCTCTCATCCACATGCGCACCCACAAGCTGTCTGGAGGCTCGCCATCGCCATCAAGCAACTCATGATACCGATCGGCCATTACCAACCGCTCAGCACGTTCTTTCACCAGCCTCTCTTCAGCCTCGCATTGTCGCCAATCATAAAACAGGGGGCTACCACGCTCATCTTGTGTGTGCTTGCGCGGCCAGGTCAAACGGGCGTAGAACCTGGCCAGGCCGTCTGACCCCAGCTGGGCAAGAGGAGCAATAATGCGTGCGTAGCCGGCTAGGATCTTCTCACTCTGCTCTTTTGTCGTGGAAAGCCGGTCTTCAGGTTCAGCTCCATCCAATGGATCCGCCGCACAAAGACGAATAGTAAGAGCCGGCAGAGTAAGCCTCTTGCTAAGCCACTCTATCGTGCGGATCCAGTCGTCATAAGCTGCTTGTCCTTTCTGCGGCCAGCAATCGTGGTGGTACGGCGGGAAGACGAATTCGATAGACCGTAACTCTCTGAGACGGTGCTCAGGCACAATCTCGGTGAGAAAAACACTTGCCGCCAGTCGAGGAAATGGATATACTGTCGTGTCCGAGGGAACCTCATACACCGGCTGTGCATTCATATCATGTATGACGAACCTGTTACCAGAGTAGAAAATGATCTGCGCATCGTTGTAGAGGACACGACAGACAAGGAACAGGTTCTGCGGGGGCTCCCAGCACTTGCAGCCGGACGAGTAGGCCGAGTGCTTGACGCGGCAGAAGCACCCCAGAGCAGGATAAGGATACGTGTCCCAGCAATTGTCAAATTGGCATCCATTATGCACATGAGGTGGGCACGCTTCTCCCATAGCCTGCAGAGGATAGCAGTGGATTCGACTGGCAACGAAGGCCCGGACCTGCCTGCTCCATGTGACCTCCTTCCAGGGTGTGATGAGATCCGTGAATTCGAGGATACGCAAGCGCAGCTCTTGTGGTAGGGCTAGAAGCCGTGACTTAGAGGCTGCTGCGCAGACGGAGCCGGAGCTAGATGAACTTGAAGCGTCCTGGCCAGACTGCGGAAGGGTCCAGTCATGAGCTTGAGCAATCCCGCGGGCTTGTAAGACTGTGGACCGTGCCAAGTCATTAAGGTTACTTGTTGAGATTCTGCTCAGCCGAAGGTGGCAATTGCTGAGCAGTGGCAGCCTGGATAGAGGGACCACTACCCGCCTTGCAAACTCGATATCTTCAGGGTCGACGTCGCAGACAAGCATCAACTCAAGGGTTTTGGGAGTGATGCATGATGACAGATGGCCAATTGTCGCATGCCACTCACTAAGTATCGCCTCGGCTGGTGGTTGTCCGCTTTGGAGGGGTTTATCACGGCCCTTGATGAGCCCGTCACTGTCGAGTTCGGGCTCATCCCTTGTTCTGAGGCTGAAAGGAGTTCGGCATTGGTATCCTGCACCTATACAACAGGCCTCGTGATCTTGTCTTGCCGTCCATGGGTTGCGGTCACCCCCGTATCCTACAGAACAAGAGGCCTCATTGAGGATGATCTTGAGGCGTCTGATCTTTGAAAGCGAATGTGGAGTTAGATTCCGTAGAGGCTGGAGCGATTCCTGGTCCCAGTAACGAATGAAGAAGTCATTGGAAGAGTACAGTAAGGTTGAAACCTCACTATATATGACGCGGCAAGAGCAAAGAAGTCCACTGAAGCCGAGACAGCTTGAGTTTTGGTTTCGTCTGCTCCAGCTACTGATGCGTGAGCACAAGCGAAGCGTATCATGCTGGAGGGGCATGTGATCAATCTCATCGATAGACTGTGCCTCTGGGACTAAATTTGTGTGCAAATAGATACGGTGTCGGATATGTGGGGGAAGGCGTAGGATTGGGGGGAGATGATCTGGAGGAGTCTCCATGATAGCCTTGATGAAACAAGACAAGCACTGACATGCACCACGTGCACGTGGGCAGGGGGTAAGAGCTCGTGAATAATTCAAGGCAGACGAAGCTTTTATGTGGCGATGAGCACCTCTCCAGCGACACCTGGAAAGTGTTGAGGGGCAATCCTTCATTTGTGGGGGTTGAAGAGATGTTGAATGAAGCCAACATGGAAAGGAGTCGCAGTCCAATTAAGTAGCAGCAAATGATCGCGCTCACCGATGGTCTGTGCGTCCATATGCCCAGGGGTGTCCACGTCAATCTCCTGCAACTGCTTCTGCCTAATTAACACGGGTGCCGGATAACCAAACCAACCAAGGCTGTGCACCACAGTGTCAGGTACCTAGGTAGGAGCCTAGTCAGCCAGTCTCAAGAGCATTTCTTTAAACGCTAGGTCTTGAGCATTTACCACTGTATGAAGGCGCCACGTACATTTTACATATATGGGGATTAAAAACGAAACCACAAATGGAGAGAGAGGTACTTAGTAGTGATTTCGTTTCTAATCCCCATACACATGAACATATGTGGTGCCTTCATACCTACCATGGTTAACGCTCAAGACTGGTACTTACTTTGTAGACAGTCGCAGTTGTGCTTGACATTTGATTACGTCAATGCTTTGCTTTCAACCCCATCAAAACCTGGTTCCAAAATGGGTCTGTAACCATCCTCAATCACGATGTCAGGCCCAGAAGTCGGGCCGGTGTGACCAGTTGACTACAGGAGATACATGATCGCTAGTGCGGTACAGATTCGATGCCAATGCAACTGAGCCCCCAATCTCAGAATGGCCACCGCCGGTCCCAAACAAGGTCGGTCTCTAGTTTGGTCCACCACGGGGCCAAAATAAAGTGACAAGAAGGGTTTCAGTTTTGGTCAGAGTCGCCAGGCCTGTGAAGAAGAGTTTTGGCCCCTTTTGAATTTTCAAAACTCACCCAGTATGCTCAATTCTCCTCCGGCTCTTTCAGGCGCTGTGCCTCGTGGCCACTTCAAGTTGTCTTTGGGACCCAAACAGACCCTTGGGGATAGTTACAGAATATGACGGTTGGTTGTAGCTACAGTTTCATTTCGTAAGTGTTGGTTGAAAGCCTCAACCTTGGGGGTCATGATATGTTGCAAAGCTCAGAAGACGCCTCCCCAGTAAATATCAGCGGTGGTACACCTTAAGAATATAAATTCATGTCTGCGTCACTTCTGAGTCGTAGTCTTTGGTTTTTGGGCATCGCAAAACTCTCATTCTCATCATCAAACATCTCGCAGGACGAGATTACCTATTTCTACTTGCGTAACACTCTTCAGAAAACATTTGAACCTATCTCCAATTCTCGGTTTTTGAATATCTCGCAGGACGAGACCCTCAACTTTGAACTTATTGCTTTCACTCTTCTTTTTACGCTCCGTCATTCATATCTACTATATTTGGATTTCTACAAAATAAAGAAGAATACAAATATATACAATACAGTCATACGCTCCTAAATTACCGCAGCCTCTTTTTCGGATATAGCTTGCTCCCGGAAACAATCAACATGTCTGGCTCTAGGGAACTCGGGTGGATGGAAATGGAATATGCTGTCGATACTATGGGTAAAAATGCAACTTGGCGACAGGAAATACGGCTGGACAGTCATCATGCCGACTCCATTTCCTGGGCAGGCCTGCTATATTACGCTCGAATACACTACGAGTGGCTTATGTCGGATCCTGCTCGCGCCGATAGAGTACCTGTCGGCCGGGGGGGTCGATTGGTGGCTGCCCTGTTTGTCCCACATCCACATGGAGGGATGATATTCTTGTCAACCATACCCAGGCAGGGTAAGAGACAACAAATCGAGAGGGATGGGTCCAGTGAAGCACCCGTGTGGTGGAATGCGGCCACGCGAAACGACGGCAACCCCCCGAGCCGACTTTGCGCCGAGGATGGAGCAATATACCTCTTCGAGTCGGGTGGGATTGTGCGAGACAAATATCGATCCCGATACTACGTGAACGACTCTGATCCTCTAGCTCCTTTTTATTACTCTTATCTTGGCAGACCCAGAATTGTGTGTTACGGCAAGCGCGGTAATGAAGATATGAATACACCAGCCGGGGCACAATGGCTTTGTCAGGGTGGTAAATACCCAGCCGCTTGCGAGACGATTGCCAGAAAACTTCAAATAGACTTTTGGTCCACATTCAAACAACGAGATGAGGAACAAAACACGGGGCAGGCTTCGGGTCAGGGCCCGAGCGGTGGTGCAACTAGCTCTGGCCCCAGTCGACCAACCGAGTACGGGGGCGCTTCGACCTCTTCATCACGAGGAGGTGCATCTTCTAACCCATCATACCCCCCTACGACTGCGCCCTCCGACTCGATGAATCGACTAGCAACAGGGATGGGTAGTCTCCGAATCTCGAATGGTGGCTCAAAGAGCGCCACCTCGGAAGAACCCCAATGGATCGATGGCGCGTGGCACAAGTATATCAAATCGGAGGACATGTGGATTGTTGCTAGCAAAGACGTGTGGTACTATCAAGCGAGCGATCAGGAATGGTACCCATATACTCCCAAGGCTTCTACAGCGTCAGCGCCTAGTGCTGCGACGTCGGTCAGAAACGCATCGCCGTCCACCACTGCGAGGGTTCAGACCTCATCAAGCAAGAAGACCCACACCTCATCGAGCAAGAAGGCCTACACTGTGTCCAGCAAGGATTCAGGCGGGAAACACAAGAAAGGGAAAGAAAAGGTCGAACACTTTATAAGGGATCAACACGGCTACCTGGTTAAGGTATCAAAATAGTAAAAGAGATGGATAGGGCTGCTGAGGAGTACCTACTTTCAATTTTCGTGCGGAGTTTTTGGTTCGGGGAACAATGCCCTGGTTTCGCTTCTATTCCGTATACTTCCGAGGACATATGAAACGCCTTCATCCAGTGGTGAACGCTCAGAGATCAAGTCTTTTTTGCAAAAAAAAAAAAAAAAAAAAAAAAAAAAGAAAAAAAAAAAAAAAAATGTAAAGTCGATAATAGTGGTAAATTGATATTGAGATAGATATTCATGTTCACTCTGATTCAATGCTTTCCGTAGGCTCATGACTTCAGGCAGCTCTAATATGGTGTATTTTAGTTGTTTTAATGCTGATCTAGATTTTGTCAATACCTAGGTAGATAATGGTAACATCATCATCGCATTGAGAGAAGCGATGTTGCCCGTAGTAGTTGCAATTTGTCTGCTCGACTTCGATTTTCAGGCTGGAAACTCGACACTACCTAAGTGTTCGGCTGGCCCTGCAATACATAGTCACTCGCATCAATGTCAGGATACCTCTGTACTGAGCCCAAAATAGATAGCTATGCAATCTGCTTCAGTCATCCTCAAGAGCTTGGTGGCAGTTCTATATGCAAATAGGAGATATACGTGGGGCGGGTTGAACTTCAACCTTGGAAGTCTCTGGTTCTCCTTCAGAGCATGACTCAAATCACCCTGGAATTCAGAGCCCAGACGATAATAGAAGAGCCGATTCCAGATAAATGACCCTATTATAAATAGTTTCCGGGTGGTTTCGTTCTATCCACACAAATCCGGAAGCCGTCGGAACCTCTCGAGAGCACGCAAGCTGTCCTCATCACGGTGACGCATAGGCAGCCCTACCTTCTTGAAACTCACAAGTAGATGAGCCCGCGAATGTAGCAGACGGCGAAGGATATAACCCGGCAAACATTCAAATCTGCTCACATAATTGTCCGTCTGCGCGTCTTTCTTCTACGGTTTCACCATTTCCCATACACCAATAGCTCACGTACAACGTCTGGAACTACACAGGCCTAGCTAGCATCATCATCATCATTATAGCTGTTGTTACAATTCTAGAATCCTGCTCTCCACTGCACGTTCAAGTGACAGGACAGAGCTCCCAGTCCGGCAATGTGTCAGCAGCCGCTTGGAACATCCGACTGGGAATGGGCTACAGCTCCCACCTTGGGCGAGACTGGGCCATTGAGCTTTGCCTGCCCCGACTGAGTTGGGCCGATGATTGACAGTGTAAGCCAGAGCGTGGTTGGTTTAGCCTGCCGTTGGGGCTTCTTCATTCGTTTCTTTGTTTCCCACGCCCAGACTTGCCATTATGGGAAAGTGCATCAACACTAATAGTATATTCTGTTGGAAAGAGGCGCCGACGTGGCTGCGTTGGTTGTCCATCTGCGCCGATGACACTCACATTCACACTGATCATAATGAGACGTTTTACATTATGGCACGCATTCACGACAAGTCAACAGGTTTCAGGAGTTCAGTGATGTTTTTAGGCGGTCTGATATCATTCCATTCGTTCCAAAGTATAGCGGCTACAAATGCAGAAATATCTCGCTCATATCTGTGCCATATTGAGCACTGCAGCCAGCCATCCTCACCAGCATGTAAGGAACGCACCCCGTCTTATGTCGCTCATCGCCTTCCCCGCGAGACCAAGCAAGCCGGGCGGGGGGTTAAGTAGACTTTAAAAATAAAGAAAAGTTTCCATGAATAATAAATATGTACACACACCCAGAAAGAATGCGTTGGGTATACGCGAGGTGATTTGTTGCGGTCCTGGCGACACTCAGACGCGTACGGAGCTATTCGAATCGTGGTGGTAGGGACCGATGACGGCCATCAGTCAGAGGTATTTACCAACTGAAGGCCTCTTCGCAGAAGTCGATGGTGCCGCTGTACTGGCGGTTTCGCACGGCTAATCGCACCTCGTCGCTCAGCGCGCCGGGGCCGCAGACGGTGACGCCGATGGCGCCGACCTGGTTCTCCATCTCAGCGCCGATGAGGTGCTCGATGTTGGGCCGGCCGGGGAACATCTGGACAGTCGCGCTGGGGGAGTGGATCTCCTTGGTGGAGCGGGGTCGGGAGACGAAGAGCATGATGCGCAGGCACTCGCGGCGGCGCTCCATGGCCAGGATCTCAGTCATCCAAGGGCGGATCCACTCCAGGTGCTCGGGGCTCTGGATGATCCAGACAAGCACAATCTTCCGGGCCGCGACCGTGCCGTTGTTGTATCCGGCGACAAGGTCGCGCACGTGAGGAACGGCCTGGGTGATGCCGACACCACCTGCGAAGAGCATGGCTGTGCCGTACGATTGCAGCTTGTGGTCGCCGCCGTAGGGACCCTCAACAAAGCACGAGGTGACCAGTCTGCCATCGGGGCATGCTGCTGCCTTCTTGTAGAGCGATCCGGTGGCACCCGTCCGGGCCCTGATGACGAATGACATGCTGGTCTTCTTCATGGACAGGATCTCATTGCGGTCCATGGGCAGCTTCTCGCCGTCGTACGAGTCGGTCTCCTCGCTCCAAGCGACGGAGAAAGGGTGAGACTGCAACAGGCTGATGCTAGGGAAATACAAGTACGCGTGCTGTCCCGGAGCGAATGCCCAAGGGCGGGCCATGTTGACAGTGACACGAACGGCATTGCCAGGTAGAGCCTCAACGAGAGTCTTGGTGCCACCGGAACCAACGTTGGCGTAGGCAAGGCGGATCAGACGAGCAGCGCGGTCGAAGGACCACAGAGCAACAACGGCGTACAGGTACTTGAGCTGGGGCAGATCCTTGAGCTTGAGGTGGTACCACACACCAACGATGGCCGCAGCGGCAGCGATGATGTGCAGGATCTTGAAAGTCTCGTAGAAGGCGTGCCTCGAGACACTGCAAGCCTGGATGAAGATGAACACGAACGCGATTGTACCGATGAGGCCGAACATCAGGAAGGGACTCTTGGTTGCGATGCCCATGACAGTGGCGAACGGCAGCCCCTTGGAGACCATCCAGCAGATGGTGTGGGCGAGGGCCTCGAGGACGACGATCCGGCCCAACCATCGGTGAAGCAAGTTGAAGGTATCGAAGGACATGCCCAGCCATGTGAGCAGCGGGTTGTTGCGAGCAGCCATCAACCAGAGGGGGATCATGTTGACGACGGCCAAGACACCGGTTCGGTAGAGGAACATCTTGGTCCAGCTCTTGAAGTTGCCCTGGAACTGGATATCAATGCAGCAGAATGCAACGTTGGTGGCGAAGTAGCCGATCAGGCCGATGAGCTGGAGCCTGGTGGGAAGCGTGCCCATGTTGATGGCGGAGCTGACCTGGAACTCGCGGTTGTGTCGCTTGCGGAAGACTGGTGCGTACTGCAGGCTCCTCTTGAAGAAGGCATGCCCCCATGACTCGTGGGCGAAGTAGGCCTGGGTGTTGTTGTTCAAGGACGACACTGTCCGGACATATCTCACCAGAGAGATGTATATCTTGTGAGTGATGACACAGGCTGCCATGATGGCGAGGATGTAGTAGAGGTAGTTGGCGAGAAGCTGGTTCTCCAGGTAGGGGTTGATGGCCTGAGCCGTCTCCCCGTCATCGCCTCCTCCGGCCATGATGAATAGCTTGAGATGTGAGTGGGTGGGTTGAGTTCGGAGTACCGCGTGGGTACGGGGGGGGGAGGTGCCTTTCCTGGGTGACGGCCTGGTCCCTAGGTGAAGGATGGTTTTCTTTCGTCGATGATATGCCTTTTGGGCCTCAAGGGCCAGAAAGAGTGTGGCTGACAAGTCCGAAAGGGCGGATATCTGAATTCAAGACCAGCTAGAAATCAGGACTGGAATGTGAAGGTAGCACTTGAGGTGAGTTTGAGCTCCGGGGTGCGGGTCCTGGCGGGTCTCAGTTTGGCGAGGCCTCGTATATGGGTCCCGTATGATCAAAGTGAATGTTGTGGAGAGCGTACTTGTTCGCTTCGGGTTGTTAAATGTGGGAAGGGATTGTTCCTGTGCTCGAGTGTGCCTTGTTCCCCTTGTCTCTCAACCAAGTCCAACACAGCGATACCCCCAAGTCAACAAAGGCCTGGCGGGTGAGAAGAAAAAAGCCAAAGAGAGGAAACTCGTCCTGTAACTTTGGCCTGAATCACAAATCCAGTTGCTTTGACCGTTAGATTGTTGTGGTGAGGTGCGTCGAGGCGACGGTGGCGAGCAATGCTGATGCTGATATTGCTGCGGTGGGGGAAAAGGGGGCTGATGAGAAAAAGGAGCCCTGGTAACGAATTGAAGGGTGTGAAAAGGAGTGCTTGTGCCCGATTGCCCGGTTGCAGGAATGGATCGAGTTATCAAGGACTGAAAGAAAGAGAAGATGGGAGGGAATGGAGTGAGCCAAGAGGAACAGACTCAAGAGTCGCGGACTGCTGGGTTGAAGTGAAATGAAGAAAGCGTGGTTGAAATCTTGGACGACCAAGACGACGTGGGTGTGCCTGGGTGTGCCTGGGTGTGCCGGCCAGAACAGAGGGGAAGTGACGGGCGGATATATGCCAAGCAAGTGGTCGGCCGTGGTGAGTGGGATCCCTGGTGGGGTCCAATCAATTGGCCTGTCGAGGGCCCTGCAGCGATCTACTTGGGACAGCCACTGGAGCCAGCAGCCTATTGTTGTACTGGCAGGACTGGGGGTGAGTGGCAGCGAGAGCGAACGACTCAGGGGAACCCAGAGGGAAGGGAAGGGACACGACAGCGGGGGTGAAGCGTAGGGAAAGGGTGGAGAAGGTGAGAACGTGTGCAGGGGTACAGGGGCAAGGGGTACGTGCCTGCTCCGTACACTAGGTACCCTGCACCTTCCCGTCAGCCCGGGCAACCTGCCAGCCTGTGAACCGGCCAATTGAACTTGTGCTACAGTGCTGTGGTATACTGTAAGTGTACTAATTACTCAGTATCGTATAACACAACTTGTGCAGCATATTACATGCGTGATGCATTACAATACAATAATGTGTCGTCCAAGCCGTAACGACACACTCAGTATATGTACTGCTCTGTCCCTGACAGCACAGGCATTTACCACAGTATCTATTTTAACCTGGTCTCTTGTTTCTTTCCTTTTTCTTGTTGTTGTTGCATGGATCGGCTGCCCCATGCTGGCCACGACGCCGAAACGCCCACTGGGCTTGGAACCCACAAATCGGCGCGCGCCTGCTATGCGTGCCGCCCTCGACCTCCGCACAGCACGCACCTGCCCACCTCTTTTGGCAGCTGCTCATCTCGCATCTGTCACCTCTGCCTGCTCCTGCAGTATTCCCCCGTGCACTCTCTGACCCTGGGGCTCTTGGCTGCACAGACAGACAGACTGGACTTTTCCGAGAATGACGAGAATGACGGACCGGCGTGGCTTTGTGTTCCCGTCTGCCCGTCAGACCCCAACACGCTGGCGGTGCAGCTAGCCATGTCGCCATGTCGCCATGTCGCCGCCGTCTTGCCTCCCACCGCCCCCTCGGTTTGCACATACACACTTGAGTACATACACTACGGAGTGACTGACAAGACTTCAGATGACGACTTCAGTCACGGCTTTTCCGCCCACCCATGCATGATTCACGAACAGCCTGTGTCAGGGCAACCCCAGCGACGATCATTGCCAATCACCACCTCAGCCACCAGGCCCTTCCGTCGTCTGAACAAACATAGTAACACCGCACTACATAGTAACCGCAGCACACCCACGCACCCACGTACGCACACATCATGCCCGAGCCACAAGCCGGAGCCACAGGCCGGAGCCACCGTCTCGTTCTGGCTTCTTCCGTCATGCTGGTCTTGCTCTGCTCTGCTGCTCTGCTCTGCTTTGCTTTACGAGGCCGCCAAGCTGGCCAGCAAGCACTCCCCTGAGCCGACAAACCGGCTGGCTGACCAGGCTGACTGGTCAGTCATCTCATCCCGACGCAAGGACTCTTTGTGTTCTGCATCTGCTTGGCAGGCATGCGCCAGATGACGAATTGATAAGCACAAACTTGCGCAGGTGGCAGAGTCCTTGCGCGTCCCCCACCAATGTCAAACCGCCATGTTCTGTTTCGCGGGCGGGGTGGGAAATTTTCATCGGACAGTCGACGCCTCTCAAGCCGCTCCCGGCCGGCGAAGGCTCTCCAAGCTGGTCCGTTGACCACGGCCCATTGGACAGCAGGCCTCTGCACACGGACATGTGAAACGGGCCAAACAAACTCGCCCCACCACGACTCTGCTCAGGGGCGGCCCACTCACATTCACCTCTCCGCCGTCCCTGACAGCCTCTCGCGCAAGCATCCCTGCCGCATGCCTGTTTGGGTATGAGTGCCGCCTTTAGGCGCCCGCCATTGGTGGACCCCCCAGCTCAGCCCAGCTTGCCACGAGTCCGTGCAATTACACTCTGAACTCTGGCAAGACGCTGGGTTACTGGGCACAAAGTATCCTCCTCCCCCTTCCTCGTGTGTGCCTCTTGCGCCAGAGCAGCTTTGACCGTCATCTCGGAGCTCGATCTTGATCCCCAGCGGGCCTGTGGAGATCCCGACTATAGTGTAGGAAACGAGCTATCCATCTGGGGACTGCTTCGGGACGCTGGCTTGTCCCGAGAGCTAGAGCTCCCACGGGGTACCGAATGCCCACTTAGCCACTGAGCTTGGCAGATAGCCACGCCTATTGTTACAGTGATATGGAAGCCGCCTTTGTTTGTGGCCACAGCTACGATCTACCCGAAGGCTGACGCTCGACGGTTCCCTCTGCACATCATACCCCCCTGCAACCCATCAAGTGGCCTTATCAGACGGCGCTACAGTAAACCGTACATACAGGCGGATCCTGGCAGACGGAAATGACCAAGGGGGTCTCGATACTGATCTGTCACTGCTGACCTAAGAACAGCTTTGAGACATAATTAAGTGGCTACTCTCCCTGTAAGCCCCAGTGTTACTTCTCCGGCTCAAGAGTTTGTGTCGAGGGTTTCTCCTAGAGCGCGCTACTGTCCACTGCCAGACCTGCCTGCAGGTGCCCCGTAAGTCATCTATATCCTGCACCAATGAACCGCGTGGTCGGTCCCCTGCCAGCCATGGTTGGAAAGATGGCTGGCTGAGACAATGACGACCTGCCACACGGTTCATCGGTCCGCGGAAGGGATCAAGCTATTCGCAATATCGAACAAGCTTCTCGTGGTGCTGCATAATCTGGTACACCGTTCGAAGCGGACACGCCCACCCCGCGTATCGAGATATCCAAGATCAGATCTCAACGCTAGCAAGAGGACCACTGAATAGACATGCAGACCCGGACAACCGGAGTTCGGCAGGCCATGTTTTCCCAATCTACTTGCAACTGGCGCGGCTTGGACCTGCGTCTGGTCATTTATCGACCTGCTGTTGTATACGAAGAGTCAAAGAGGCTTGAATTGAGTTCGAAGGTTGTCGCGACGGCCTAGCCAGATCGAGGCTGCTCGAGACTTCGGCGCCCATCCGATCGATGCCATGTAGTCGGCCCAGCTGATCGCAAGTCATTAGCCGCCAAGTGCCGATGTAATCTATCACCTGCCAGCGAGACATGGTGCGACCGAGGCCAGCGAGCTTCGACGAAAAAACATCGGACTGCCCAGCAAGGCGTTCGTCAGAGGGCGACGTCGCTACGATGCTCCCTTATCGACCAGCCCTTGCGGGTGCTGCTGTCTGGCCAATCAACCCAATCAGGTTGCAGTGGCTGAAACGGCCCTCGGGCGCTATCAAAGAACCACATGCCATCTGATTGACGATGGGGGCTGGGCGAGAGAGCGCTTGAACTGCACGTCACTGGCTTTCGACGAGGATTGGGTCATCATCTACGCAATTCTTGAATGAGACTCACCAGCCCGAAACATCTCAAGAACCCACAGGCGCCGCCCAGCCGCGTCGAACACAACGGCGCAACGGCCAGTGCACTATTCGCAAGCCTGCCAGCTGGGCCTTCATTGGCCCGCGTCCTCGCCGCCGTCTCAAGGCTCCCTGACCTCGGTCGGTGGCGGGCGATCCTCGGGCGGTGATCCGCCAGCCCGGCAGCCAGGCGGCCTTGCAGGCTTTTCTGGCTTTGCGGTAGCAGATCAACGCCAGGGATGGAGGACCCATTCTCAGCGGTCGAGTAACAAGACCACACCACGCCCACGATGGACCCTTGACATTATGGATGCCGCACCCAAACAAACCTAGGCGCGCATGTTTGTTCAATTCTTGGGTGAAACGGCAACATCACGCGAGACCGAAATGTTCTGTTTTGGGTCGTGCGTAAGGATGCCAAGTCGCGGCTCCCCAGGCTCTGCCGCACCCAGGCTTGCGATCCACGATCGCACTGCCGAACTGGTTGAAATTATTCCTCGAGCATCGTCACATCATGACAACTGGTCGGTAGCGAAACCCCGCGTGACAAGCCTTGCCAGAGACTCTGCACAACCCAACTTATGAGCAAACAACGTGGTGTACCCTGTGCTTGCACGTTTTTCAGCAGACTTACGTGGTTGCACACGCGGCTCTGCGCGCCGCCCACACCTCCCGGGGCTCCACAATCTTGATACATCAGACAGCCTCACAAGCTTGGCTCTGCGACAGCGGGCCACGCACACAGCACGCGGCACGTTAATGCATTTTTCTTCTTCTCATATTTGATTCCCAACATGTTGTATCCCACTACCACACTGCTTGGAAACTCTTGACATGTCACAATGCCTGCAGATGGAAGCCCCTACCTAGACAAAGGGCCCCTCCTCCTGTTTGCTATTAACAATCAATGCCGGGTTGCTTTTCAGAGGCCGAGCTCATCCTCGCTGCACTCGCCGTCGCGAGAAATATTGGTAATCGTTTTCAAAATGGCCCGAGATGGTTTCAGTGCCGTGGTGCGACGCTTCTTGGTGCCATCCTGGCGAGCAAACACACCATTCTCATCGTTGCTGTTCCCCTGGGCGCCTAGGCCTTCGAAAACACCATCATCATCATGACCCGGGAGATCGACCGATTGATGGGATTCCCAGCTCCGCTTCCCTGATGATCGTCTGCTGTGGAGCCGCTGGGAAGTTATGCTGTCACTGGAGTCTGGGTTTGTGGTCGTTATTGCTGCAGCACGAGCAAGTTTCTGCCTCTGTTTCGGCTGAACGTGTTTCTCCGAGTCGTCTGCTTCTTCCTGCCACCCACCGGAATCAGGTTCCTGTTCCGGAGGGGGCGACAGACCGGACGGTAAGCTTCGTCGGTGCCGCCGTGCTGGCGCGGGAGTCACCGTGACCCACTCACATATGTCCTCATCCCAGCGGTAGGCTGACGAGGAGACGGGCTTCCTCCGCGGCGTAGGGACGACCTGCTCCTTGGTCCTGGCTGCATCAAGCGACTCGGCGAAAGCGAGGTCGCGGAGGTCATTCGTCCGCTCTGCCAGGATGAACGCGCAGTCCATGCGGAGGGTCCTCGGGGATCCGATGGTAGACAACTCTTGCTCGAGCTGATCGCAAAGCTTGTTGACGTAGTAGTGCGACGGCTGTGCTGATCCTCGACCACAGTACTGTGCAATAGCTCCGATGAGGGATGTGACTGCTTCATAGTGCTGTCTACCCTCCATGCTTTCTTGGCCGCTCATAATCCGGCCCAAAACTCCTGATACAATGCTATCCTTGTGGCTGGCTGGTAATGTGTTTGTGAAAAATGCAGCCAGGATCAAGACTGTGGCTGGCCAGCTTGATTTCCTGGTTCTCCTTAGCTCGTATATACATCTCTGAATGATAAATCCGACTTTTCGTGATGCTGATGTCGTGCTTGTCTGGCTGATGTGGCATGCGGGCGATTCTAAGGCTTCCTGGCCCAGGATGGACAAAGTAGAGACTGCTGTGATAGCACTAACTAAAGTCTGGTGTGATAAGTTCTTGAGATCTCTACTGTGGGTTCTGAGAGACGCAGCCTCAAGCTTGGTCTGTGTCGAGAGTGATGTGATCATCTGGACCGTCAATGATATAGTGTCGTCACAGATATCGTCTCTGGATAGGGCTTTAACCATGCCGGACCAAATCGTACCGAATTCCTTTGTGGACAGCCAGAGTAGAGGTAACTGCTGCTGCTTCAGTAACGTGCAAAGCTGTCTTTGCATAAACTGTGGTCTGCCCGACTCCTTCGCGAAGTCTCTGAGTGCTTTCAGTGGTGCGAGCTTCCGGCTCTCAACAAAGGTGCTGTCAACGCCCCTGGGCTTCGGGTAGGAACAGCCAAGCAGCTCCTGCAGCAGCTCCTCGCCCTCCCTGAAAGACCTTGTCTTGCAGCAAAGCCTGATGAGCAATATCGTGAAGTTATCGTCTAACAGGCCCTCGGCGATCGAGTCTTTGATGACTTTTATCGCATGGGCACGGACAACAATTCTGAGATGGCCCGCTGTGGCGCTGGACGGCAACATGGACTCGACCTCGCCATAGATCTCATTGGATACTTCCGAGTTCTGCAATGTTGATTTGGTCCCCAGCTGCTCCGCGTCACGTTCCTCCCAGTACTCGAGCTCGCCGATATACTCGGGCACCACACGAAGGCACATTGCCACGAGAGACCTGCCCCCCGGGGAGTCTGGAGAAGGGGCCGCAGTTGCTGTGAGGATCGAATGGACCGCCCGGAGTATGGAGTCATAGAGCGAGTAACGCGTTGCCGAGATGCGGTTGCGGAGCGGCTGCATCTCGCTCTCCAGAGCTGCGAGGACGGATGGCGTCCGTTGTCCACGGAAATCCGCGAACCTCTTCTTCCCCGGGACGACCCCTTCCGCCTCAGCGTGTGGTGCTTGCTGTACCGGCGAAGAGAGCAGTTGGCCTCGGGCTCTCCGGATGACGGGTGTTGGTAGGAAAATCTCCCCTGGCTGTGGGACGTTCCTCTTCTGCCTCTTCTTCGGGGTGCACGCAGACGAATGTTTTGGAACCCCCGAAGTGCTTGGACGCCCGCGTGCTTTCCGTCCTCTCCGCGAGTAGGTATGCTGGAGACCTGAACGGTTTGCCTCAGCGGTACCGTCCTGGGCGGCCCCATCACTCAGCCTCTCCGAGTCCTCCAGGTCGACCTCGCGCCTCAGGGCGGAAATGTGTGTCTTCAGGGGGCGGAGCAGGCGATGGCAACGAGTGGGTGTCCATGGCTGCAGGCTTTCCCTAGCTGATTGCCGGCGCTTGGACGAAGAGCGTTCGTGCCATGATGTACGACCCCTGGTTCCTGATGGCTGCTCCATATTAAATGAGTCGATAAGAGCAAAACAAGCACAAGCAAATGCTCCCCACCGCCTTCGCCTCTAAACTCGCATGGCATGCAATTTTTGTAATTGAAAAGTGCTGAGCTAATTGAAGCAAATAAGATCCATAAGATGAGAGGTAACAGGCTTGTATGGATGTCGCGGCGATGGTGAAAGCTGTGATGGTGGACCGCGTTGTTGACGTAAGTAATCAGAGTGGCTGAATATGAGGAAAGGGAGCCAGCCGCCTTTGAGAGGCTGGATGGATGTCCTTTGTTTACTTTACCCACAGCAACCAGGGTTAGGGTTCTCCAGGCCCAAGAGTCCTGGAGTCTTGTTCCCCAGAGTCCAAGCTCCAAATTGCCGGGAGCGCAACGTCGGCTGCGGGCCAATGGAGTGACGAAATGCATGGGCTCTTCTTACCCAGGTACCCACCAGTACGGAGTACTGCCGACACTACTGACTGGATCGGCAGCTTCTCAAGCTTCTCCCACCAGGACTGCCAGGACCACGAGTACTGCTACTGCCAGCCCGACCTTGAGGCGATCCGGTCTGTGTCAGTGAGCTTCATCGTCCCAGCATGCAACCATTGCGTCCGTGACGTGACCTCGGAATTGATTCGAGGGCGGATGTTACGGTGCGGCACGGTGCGGCACGGTCAGGACGGGCGCACGGGAGACGGAGCAGACTCCAACCAGACGTTGCCTGCCCGGGACCCGGTGCAGCTGCCCTCTCATGCGGTTTTTGGGGCGCACCCGCGTCTTGCCGGGAGAACGGGTTATCCTAGCGCAGAATTTTTTGAAAATCGTCGACGTATGTAGCGTAGACAGCAAAGAGTATTGAGCTGTGGACTGCGGTTTCTTGTTCTTTCTTTCCTATTCCTTTTCTCTCGCCTCACATACCTTGTCCCTTCCAGATATCCGTTCGGATCTTTCGAATTGGCCCCATTTCCTTGCTCCAAAACAGTCAGAAGGGGCGCAATTCTTTTCCCCATCCCCTTTCCCCCCAGTCCCTTCTTCTTGGCCCGGCGCATTCTGGAAGCCAGCCCTCCTTCAGACGCCGTACACGGGGAATCTTCGCCGACCCTTTCGATTGTGTTGCTTCTCAGACCCTTGAAACAATTTAAACATGGCTGAAGCGACCAAGGATGTGGCTGCTGTGGCTGGTATGCTCTCTTAAATACGCTCTCAACCTCCTCGAGCTGTCTCGGCCTGCGTTTGCTCGCGTGAGTACTGACAGAGCCCCGCGCTGTAGAGAATGCCGCTCCAGAAAAGTCAACCTCCGAAGCCAACGGCGCTGCCCCGGCACCCGTTGTGGACGACGGGGTGGAGCCAAACTCAGAAGGTACGCTCGCTTCCCAAGACGGCGGAATGTGGCGACGGACTTGCCGTTGAAGCCATGCGCCACGTGAGGGTTGCCGTGCTGATGAGTCACAGATGCCATGTTCATGCTGAACATCATCCTGCCCAATGAGCCGGGCAAGGTCAACATCATGGTTAGCAAGACTCTGTCGGCGACATGGCGTGATGTTCCGAGGCGCTGAATCTCCGTGCAACAGGTCTCTCCCCACGAGCAGGTCCACGAGGTTCGACAATCGATTATCGAGCTGCCGGCAGCCCTGCAGTACTCGTGCTTCCACCTCGAGCACAAGGGCGAGAGGATCAACGACTTCATAGCCATCAACGAGATCAATGGCATCGGCCCCGACGCTGAGATCCACCTGGTCGAGGACCCATACACCGAGAAGGAGGCGAGGATACATCTCATCAGGGTTCGCGAGCTCATTGGTGCGTCTGGCGACCGCACTGATACCATACAAGGTGTCCTTGCCGGAGCCTCGCTCTACGAGAAGGTTGCCACCGAGGCTGGGGACACGGCCGACAAGGCGGACCAGGAGCGCGCCGCCGTCGAGGAATACAACTTCGATGTTGTTCCTCCCATTTCGTCCCTGCTGCCAGCTGAGCAGGAGCCGGCTCCCAAGACCGTCAAGGCAATCCAGCTCTCGCCCTGGAACCCACCGCCCGTGCACCTGCGCCAGAAGGGCCACCTGTTGTACTTGATTGTCACAACCAACGAGGGTGAGCAGTTCCAGATCACGGCGCACGTCGGAGGGTTCTTCGTCAACAAGTCCTCCAACGCCAAATTCGACCCGTCGCCCCGCCTGGCGCCCAAGGGCGCCTCCGCGCACTCTCTTCTGAACCTCATCAGCGAGATTTCACCATCCTTTGCCGCCTCATTTGCCCAGCTGCAGGAGTACAACAACCGCCGGGAGCCTCTGGCAACCTTCCAGATCACAAACGCCATCCCTTCCGCGCCCTGGGTGGTACCGTCGTCCTCATCGCCGCTCTGCGCCCACCAGCCCGACATCACGAGGACCCAGGAGTCGTACCTGATTGCTGGCGTGGAGAACACCGACACCTTGCGAGACTGGAACGAGGAGTTCCAGTCTGCCAAGGAGTTGCCCAAGGAGAATGTCCAGGACCGTGTCTTCAGGGAGCGTCTGCTGGCGAAGCTTTACGCGGACTACAACGATGCCGCGGCCAGGGGAGCTGTTCAGGTCGCTCGCGGCGAGGTTGCGCCTCTGAACCCGACCGAGGCACGGGATGCTCAGATTTACGTGTACAACAACGTCTTCTTCTCCTTTGGCGCGGACGGAGTCGGCACTTTCACCTCCGAGGGCGGTGACGAGGCCGCTCGTGTCGCAACGGGCAAGGATGTGGCCGGTGTCAAGGTCGTGAACCAGCTGGACATTGAGGGGCTCTACACCCCCGGAACTGTGGTCGTGGATTACCTCGGCAAGCGGATAGTCGGGCAGAGCATCGTTCCTGGTATCTTTAAGCAAAGGGAGCCTGGTGAGAACCAGATCGACTACGGTGCGGTCGATGGCAAGGACGTTGTGGCCGCGAACGACAAGTTTACTTCTGTCTTCGAGAAGCTCTCTCAGGCCATGAAGGTCAAGAAGCACGCTGTCTGGGACAAGGATGGCAAGCGATTTGACCTCGAGGCCAGCGTTGAAACAAAGGGTCTGCTGGGAACTGACGGCCGGAAATACGTGCTGGACTTGTACCGTATCACACCACTGGATATCGCGTGGCTGGAGGAGACTGCCGCCGAGGAGGAGACCAACCCATACCCGCACCGTATGACTGTCCTGCGAGGAGAGCTCGTCGAGCTTGTCCACAGGCACAAGATGCGTGAGTGGGTGAACGCTGAGATCCAGAAGCGCGCGGATGCCAAGAAGGACGCCAAGGCATCGGAGGAGTCCAATGGGGAGAAGCCAGCCCTCGAGGGCGCCGAAGACAGGAAGGATGAGAAGGCCGAGGACAAGAAGGACGAAAAGGCCGAGGACAAGGCAGTGGAAAAGGCCGAGAAGACGGACGACCAAGATGACCGGATCGACGTCAACAACTTCAAGTTTGCTCTCAACCCAGATGTCTTCAGCGGCCAGGAGCCCCAGACCGACGCCGAGAAGGAAGAGCTGGCGTCCGATGAGCAAGATGTGCGGGCAGCTTGCACCTATCTCCGGGAGTCGGCTATCCCCGAGCTGCTCAACGACCTGAAGGAGTCGGATATCAGCTTCCCAATGGACGGCACCTCGCTGCGAAACCTGCTCCACAAGCGTGGCATCAACATGCGGTACCTGGGCAAGATTGCATCCCTGAGCGAGGGATCGCGCCTGCAGTGTCTGCGTGACGTCTGTGTCCGAGACATGATTGTGAGGTCTTTCAAGCACGTCGCTGCCAAGTACCTCAGGTATCTGCCTCTGCCCCTTACCTCCGCCTGCATTGCGCATTTGCTCAACTGCTTCCTCGGCGTCGGGCTGAACGCCAAGCCGTCTGCCGATGTCGACCAGTCTTTGCGGGCTCTCTACGGTGACGCAGACCTCTCGTTTGAGACTGTCACCCCAGAGAGCTTGAAGAAGGATGTCGAGCTGGAGACGTCACAACGGTTCAGGTTCAAGCTGGACCCTGAGTGGCACGCCCAGCTGAGCCCAGTCCAGGTGCTGCGTGAGGTCTGCTTGAAGCTCGGTCTTCAGGTGCAGTCCAAGGAGTATGCCTTCACACCCGCTTCAGTACCAGAGCCCGTCGCCGCTGAGACCCCAGCCCCAGCCCCAGCCCCAGCCGTGAACGGCAGCAGCGAGGGCAGCAAGAAGAAGAAGAACAAGAAGGCCCGCGAGGGCTCCCCGGCCTCTATCGCCTCCTCAACGACGGTGCCCCACACATTCACCGCCGACGATATCGTCAACGTCGTGCCTATTGTCAAGGACTCCTCCCCACGCAGCTCTCTGGCCGAGGAAGCTCTCGAGGCCGGAAGGATCTCCATAGCGCAGAACCAGAAGAAGCTGGGCCAAGAGCTCCTGTTGGAGTCACTGTCCCTGCATGAGCAGATCCACGGCATCCTACACCCAGAGGTGGCACGCGTCTACCACCAACTCTCCATGCTCTACTTCCAGCTGGACGAGAAGGAGGCCGCCGTGGAACTTGCCCGCAAGGCCATCATGGTCGCAGAGAGGACCGTCGGTATCGACGCGCAGGAGACCCTCCTCGACTACCTCAACCTGAGCTTGTTCCTGCACCAGCTCGGCGACAGCCGCAGCGCCCTCGAGTACGCCAAGCACGCGCTCCAGCTGTGGAAGATCATCTACGGGCCGGACCACCCCGACACCATCACCACCATCAACAACGCGGCCGTGATGCTGCAGCACCTCAAGGCGTACCACGAGTCGCGCCGGTGGTTCGAGGAGTCGCTGCGCATCTGCGACAAGGTCTTTGGCAAGCAGTCCATCAACAGCGCCACGCTGCTCTTCCAGCTGGCCCAGGCCCTGGCGCTGGACCAGGACTCCAAGGGCGCCGTCAACCGCATGCGCGAGAGCTACAACATCTTCCTGCAGGAGCTCGGCCCCGAGGACAAGAACACCAAGGAGGCCGAGAGCTGGCTCGAGCAGCTGACGCAGAACGCCGTGTCCATCGCCAAGCACGAGAAGGACGTCCAGGCCCGCCGCCTGCGCGCCGGCATCCGCTTCACCCCGCGCAACCTGGCCTCGGGCGTCCGCTCGGGCGTCGCCGGCGGCGCCGCCTCCCAGGCCGCCGGCGTGGCCAGCCACGAGGTCCAGGGCAAGCCCTCCCTGGACGCCCGCAACATCGACGAGCTCATCAAGTTCATCGAGGGCGGCGCCGACAAGAAGTCCAAGTCCGGCGGCGGCGGCAAGAAGACCGCCGGCCGCAGCAGCAAGAACCCCAAGAGCCGCCGCGGCGGGTCCCAGGTCCCCACCAAGGCTTAGGCGGCCCAAGGGGGTGACGGTCTCCGCAGTCCGCTGATGGGGAGGGGCTGACAGAGCACACCCGCCACTGCGGCTGTGTTGGTGCGACTCAGCATTGTCCCGAACGGGGGGATGAATAGCTGTGGCGCCAGTCCAAGGGATCATCGGAGGGCTCGAGGAGGAGGTGGTGGTAAAGGACAAGAAAATATCAACACCAGATCTAAAAAAAGGGGGCAAGGAGCGATTGGCGCGTATTTCTGTCGGCATGGTGCTTCCATTTCCTGTTGTTGTTTTTTTTTCACCTTGAGTGAGTATTCATTACATGGGGCGGCGTTTTCTCTACTCATGCCTTACCTCGTCCGCATACTTGGGCACTGTCGAATGTATCAAAAATATGTGTACAAAACTGAACAACAGCGATGGAGAAAAGAACAAGGCGGCGAGGAGAAGGTCCTCCTCGTTAGCCCCGGCACGGAGGAGGGCGGTTGGTTGGAGTACCTGTCTCCGTCAATGTATTGGATAGTGCACAAAAAGCTCTACACATAGCAAGCAGTAGACCAAAGCCGGCGCATGGAGGCAAGTGTGAGAATAGACATCTTCACTCTATTGATCTGGAAATCGAACTGCCAATTGTTTTGAATCCGTGGGCATAAATGTGAAACTCATAAGGCAGTGCGATGATTGCCCGCTCCAACCATCGCTTCTTTGGGCCGGTCGCCTGAATACCGAAGCCCAAAACCCAAAACCCGCCCGCTTTTTCTACCCCGATAAAGCGTAATGCGTTAAGCGTAAAGCATACATCGTAATCATACATGACTGGAGCCGAGTGACCCTCAACTCGTCCCGTGAAGGAAAGAAAGATTAAAGAGCAGTGGCCGAGATATCATCAACTCATAACTGTTCCGATCGCATGGCCACGAGCATGGTCATCAATGCAAGAACCCCTAAACTCCTGCTGACTGGGTGGTCGCTCTGGTAGCTAAAGTACGGCTTCAGTCAATTCAAACAAAAAGTAGCGATATGGTACAGTAAGTAGTACAGTGGGATCAGAACTTCCGACGTGTGGAAGGGGCCCAAGAAGAAAACCAGGCCAAGGCGGGCAGTTGTTGCCATGTAGTCCGGGAATGCTTCAGTACCGAAGCAAGGCCAGAAAAGAAGGGCATTCGCCGTGTCCGTAAGACTGGGATGTAGTTGCGTATTTCATGGTCCTTTACCCTGTGGGTTTGGGGTGAATTTGGAGCTGTTCAGCTCCAGTTCCTGCGATACACCCTGTAGTCTGAAACTCGGGTTCCAGCTTATTACCAGGCTCTGACGGCACAGCATGATGGGCACCTGGGCTGATTTGTACTAGCCCTGTACGGTCCCCGAACGGCACAGGAGCACATCGTGCGCAGAAATCATTCGCCGGATAGATATCCTGAAGAGCTTCAAACCAAAAGAACTCGATTTAGGCATTAATGATGCTTGGTGTGGGAAGTCGTCTAAGCCTTGCTCCCGTTGGTGGATTCAAACGAACCCTTTGACATGGAAGCATTCAGAGACTCGTGGTAAGAGCTAATACTCTGGAATCCCCTGGGTGGCTTGTTAGCACGTTCATCTTCGGACCGAGGACTGCGACCACACTTACTTGGTCAAATCGATGCCTTCCTCGTCGTCCTCGGGCTCATCAGGCTTGATTGGTTCGTGAGTCGCGGAGCGGCCGTTCTGGGTGGGACTACCAGTTGGAGACTTAGCAATGCGTGGAGGGCTGCTGCTCTGGGGGATTGGCCCCGGATTCTTGGAGGGGCTGATATCTGCCAAGGGCTTGATCGGGGTGCTGCCGTACTCGGCAAACTTCCAGAAGGGGGCGGGCGAGCTCATGGGCATGTGCTGGCTCGGACGCTGAGCCGTGCTCGGAGGCGCGAGCCTAGGATGGATCTTGAGCGGAGCCGGTGTAACCAGGGACGAACCGTCCTCTGGGAGGTACGAAGACGTTAGGAGAGGTGAACGAGGAGCAGTCTCATTCAGTGCAGCCGAAGCTCCAGCACTTGACTGTCGGTGTTTTGGGAGAGGGCTGCCGTCTACGATATCCGCGGTGTCATCGGATTGGAGACGGCGAGTGTTGCGCTCGGGCGTCGTGTGCGAGATTCGCAAAGCCGACCGAGGTTGAGGTGATCCAGAGGGCGAGACCTTGCGCTTGCGAAGGGGACTTGGCTCCTTAGCAGCCATTTCTCGCGGGCCATGGGTTATGTAGTTCAGCCCACTGGGCGAGGATGGGTTGGAAGAGCCGCGATGGCCACCGCGACCGCCCTTCCAGGCATTCTTGACCATCTCGTCACGGCACTCGGCCGTGATCTGCCATTTCATCCCCTTCCCAGGCTCATCGGTAGACCTGGCAACCTTTTCAAATGCCTTGTTGAGTGAAAGGTTATGACGGATCGAGTTCTGAACGGAATTAGCAAGATCACTCATTACATTATGCCCTGGCTTCACTAACCTGCCAGCCCGCGGGCTGCTGATGCCGATAGTATGCATAGTTGGACATGATGTACGTATAGATGCCGTTCAGGTTGAGCTTCTCATCTCGGGTGCTCATTATCGCCTGTGTGATCATCTGTGCGTAGCTGTACTGAGGCTTGATGCCTTTGTTCTCCTCAAGACTCAGGTCCATGTCGTTGGTACTCAGAATCATGTTCCCGGAAGGAGTGCCCTTGATGAACGGCGAAGGCTTGGTCAGTGCCTGGGTTTTGCTCCGTATAGACGACGGCGGCGTCCCTGGGCGCTTGTAGTCAGGCGGAGCCGGCGCAATAGCCTGTTGTCCTCGTCCTTGCCGGTTTTGGTAGATGCTCTGCGAAGAGCTGGGCCTGCCTGTGGTGGAGCTTGGTGGATTCACACGGGCCTCGTCTGTCTTGGTAGGGAGATCCCGCTCAGACAGACCTGCGCGCTCGAGGTATTGATCAGATATTTTGAGGGGCTCCTGTTCCGGCAAAACCATCATCATCTCGATCGCTGCGATTTCCAGCACGTCGCCACTGCTCAATGCCTGGCCTCCGTCGACAGGCAGGGGAACGCCGTTTATCCTCACGCCGTTCCTGCCCTTTACGTGTAGGACCCACCGACCAGAGCCCCCATTGAAGAAAATGCTCGCATGACGGCGGGAGATCATTTTGCTTGGCCCCAGGTCCACGTGGATGAATTCCTCGTCGTTGTCTGGGTCGACAGGCTGCGGGGGGTCAGAGGAGCGGCCGATGTTGATGGTGGTCTTCTTGACATAGAATGTCCACCCAAGCCCGACAATCTTAGCGTAGGCGTTGATGCCATCCTCACCGGTGAGGCGAGAGTTTGAGTGGTCCTTGCTGGCTTGAATGACGACATTCGTGGGGGCTTTCAGGTACTCGGCGACTTTATCGACGACAAAATCGAACGGCTTCGCATTGTTCACAGAGTCGTCGGCGGCGAGACTGGAGTCTGCGGCGAGACTGGATTCGGGCTCCTCGTCGGCATTGTCCTTGGGCGAAGGAGATATCTCCTCGGCCTAGGGTTTGAGAAGAAAGCGCGTCAGTAGGCGGTCGACTGGCGACGGGGGTTGGGGACAGGCAGGCGGGCGGGCAGGCAGGCATTGGGCGGGCAGACGTACCTTCTTTCTGCGCTTGGCAGGACGCGAGGGAGAAGAATTGTCGGGGCGGTCGGATGCCAGTTCCTTGCGCGTCGAGTCGCGCCTTGCGCGCTGGGTGCGCTTTGAAGGGCTGGGCATGATGACGATGGGCTGCAGGTGCCTGGAAAGCGGAGGTGTAGAGGACACCATGCAGGAGGAACAGAGATGGTTCAGACGTGTGGCCCAGCCGGGGAGACGCGAGGCAAAGTAAATAAGAAAAAAGTGCAAGGGATGTGATGTGTGAGAGTGGGGGCAGGGAGGCAGGGAGTGGAGGGCGGACGTGTGGGTGGTGGGTTATGGAGTCGATGGACCCGGTTGACGTGCAAGGTGCAAGGTGCACGCGCGCTATTTGAGTGAGCCCTTGACGAGGGCGGCCTTGCGATAAAGTGGTTGCAGCGGGCGGCGCGATTTCACCAGATGGACAGGCACGGCCAGCAACTAGCTGCTGCAGGCGACCGTGGCGGGCGGATGGCTAATGACCGTGCCTCGCGTGATGGAATGCGAAAGTGGGCGGGCGGGCGCAAACACGAGAGTCAATAGGTCAAGCGGGCCGCCTGCGCTTTGTGTGCTTGTGCTCGAGACAAGATTGGACTGGAAGCTGGTTGATAGAGACATCCGAGTCGACTCGAGTGCGGAGAGAATGGGAGATGGGAGGCGAGGGGAGATTACGGCGTTGGTATTGTTGGTGATTATGTTGGTGATGATAGTTAGTGGTGGTGGTGGTGGTGGTGGTGGTGGTGAATGGTGATGACTGATGACTGATGGTGGTCGAAAATTGGTGACGATGGCGATGAAATAATAATAGCCTGCCTGCAGTGGTGAGGCAGGAGGCAGGTTAGTTTGGTTTAGGAAAACCCGGGAGGTGAGGGAGGCTGGTTTGAGTGTGTGTGTGTGCGTGTGTTCGGGTTTGTTTTGATCTAGTGTGGTGCCGGAACAGGCAAGCAGCAAGGCAGGCAGGGCATTAAAGTGAGGGCGGGCTGATTGAAAGTCTGAGGTCATGATGCAAACTCCAAGGAAGGGTCCTCCCACCCCCGTCCGTCGCGCACCGGTGATCAATCGCGTAACTGCCCAGCTACACACTATGTGCACTAATTAGACTCTTATGCCTGTGGTACCTGAGTACTCCAATGCGATAGCCCTTGGCCCTTGCAAGCCTTTGTTACTACTAGCATTAGAACTAGAACACGCTGTGGGGCCCGGATGCTGGTGCGGGTGGATACCCGTGTCTGAAGTACCTAGGGTTGGGGTCTGTCTGCGTAAGGAGTACCCACGTACCGTACCCACGAACCGCACCCACGAACCGCACACAGTCAGCAAGCCGACTTCCCTCCCAAGCCTCCCTTTCTCCCAACAGCTTTCCTCTTGTCGATCATTGACTTTTCACACACATGTACACACAGACATGAACTTCTAGCCTATACTCCTGCACGCCCTATCTCTTTGGTCCGTCGTCATTGTCCTCTCACGCCATCTGCCCGGATGTGTCCATCATGTGAGACCAACCAACAGCAGGACTGAGTGCTTCTCTCACCTTGCAAGCCTTGGTAATCCGTCTAGCAAACCTGGCCGGTCTCAAGAGCAGGATAGGGGCATCCTCGTGCAGCTAGCTACTGTGGCCTGGGCCTTGAATCAACCGGGACAAAAGACAAAAGGCCCCCCTCGCATTCCCCGCGCGACATGGCTCCTATCCCACTTCGGCATGCACGTCCACCTCAACCGCCGTCTCCCGGCCCGGCTCCAGCGCGGGATAGGCCCTCCTCTCGGTTATGCACGACAGAATAGCAGCCCACTCTAGGGCAAGGGTGGGACAGCCATGCCATGTCAAGGCCCGACCAGTGGCTGCTCCGTACACACTCCGTACAGATGCCCAGGTGCTGATACTACGTGGCGCCACACGCCAAACTACCCGTTGCGACTGCAGAATCTCCCTGCCAGATGCGCCGATGCAGGTGCTTGTCGTCGCCGGCGCCTGTCTTCTGCCCCATGCTCGGTCCTTATTCGTCTGGCCCCGTGGCTCCCCTCGCATGTGCGCATGCACATATATGCAGTCCTTGGTACAGCTGAATCTGCTTCTGGCTACCTGGCTTGAGTCTCTGCCATCCTCCTGGTTCCCCCCTGCTTTTATTGTGGGCACCTCATCGCAGCTGCCACCTTGACTGGTCTCCACTTGCAGCGTGTTCTCTGCGAGGTCTGCCACTCCCCGTTGGCAAGTGTTGATGGGGGACATGGCACAACTTGAGGAGTCCCGGCGCCTTGGTTCCCATACGGTCTTGTACGACAACCCGAGCTCGGTCACCTGATGCTAGAGCTATATGGCCAGTGCCATTGTGAATCAGACACAGATATCAGAGAGCACCAAGGCATATGCTTCCTGCAGGGCTGTTATGAGCACAACAACATGGTTAGCCTGGCTGTGGGGGCGGCGTTGCAATCTACACCACCCAGTGGTCCACCACACCATCAGTCTGCCACTTGGCTGCTGAGTCGTGGAGGGGTTACATTCACTCAACCTTGCCTGGCCGGGGGCGCCAGATGCTGCGGCCCGACAGGCAACTGTGCGGGCCCCCGAACTGTTGCGAGCAGGCTGGCAGGATGCCCACAACCAAGTGTTTCGTGGATCGTTGGGCGTGGGCTGCCGTTGGCGCGGGTATGGTGATTCTGTGTGCGGGCAGTCGCCTTGGTGTCCTACAAGCACTACATATTACCCTTATATCGCATCACAATCTATGGTCCAGCTCCACGCACCCAGCCGCCCACTCTCCTGACTGGCCTTGCGTGGTCACCTACTCATCTACATCCTCGCTAAAGATCCTTGCTCGATTTTCGTGAATGAGATGTGTCGTTCTGCCCTGCCCGACCACACATCTCTATACAATTTGAGTTGCACTCATTGACCGGAATTTGCCGCAAGAAGGCGCATTGCAGACGTCGCATGGACTGCCGATAGTCACGTATATCTATATGCACAGCTGCTCAGGGTGGTGGTGCCTGTGGTAATGATATATGGTTCTCTCGATCGAAAGCTAGTCTTGTCTCTGGTCCCAAGTCTCAATACCCCTCCTTCACTGATCTACTGGTTCTATCGCCTCCCACTCATGTTTTTCACCTGACTCTGACCATTCGCACAGCACTCACTTGGTCACCGCAAGCCTCCAGCACAAGTCTCTTGTAAATACGACCGCAAATAGTCGGGTCAATCGTCGCAAACAAACACCACTGTTAACAGACCTGACGATATGCTTCGAAGCACCAGTATCCAACCGTGCTCTCACAACGCCACTGCAGAGAGCTCGATAGGCAACGGGACAACCTCGACCCCCCCAAAAAGCCCAACGTCCAGCACTGGCTTACCCGTCGTAGTGAGAAGCCAGGGCCATTATCTCCAGCTTCGTGATGGACGCCGGATTCTTGACGCATGCGGTGGAGCAGGCGTTACGTGTATAGGGCATGGGAATCTGGAAGTTCTCTCAGCAATGACCGCAGAAGCCAGCAATCTTACTTACGTTCCATGGGCTTTCTTCGACAACCAGAGCACCGTCGACCTTCAAGACTGGCTAATCAAAAGCACCGGGCGCCAGATGAGGAAGGTCTGGCTCCAATCTTCTGGTACGTGGCCGTCCACCACTCTTCACGAACTTGTCGTTGACACTGTTGCTTTTCCAGGCTCCGAGGCCGTAGAGGCAGCCTTGAAACTAGCACACGAGTACTTCGTTTGGAAAGGTGAGCCAGGGCGGGTCTCATTCATCGCACGCGAGGAGTCATACCATGGAATCACGATCGGCTCCCTGTCTGCCTCAGGCCACCGGGCAAGACGGGCCAACTTCGAAGGCATTCTCCTCCCAAATATCCACCGCATCCCGGCCTGCAATGCCTACCGGCAACAGCGTGATGGTGAGTCCGACGCGGCCTTCGTCACCCGGAAGGCCGCCGAGCTAGCGGAGGTCTTCCACGCCGCTCCCCCCAACAGCATCGCGGCCTTCATCGCCGAGCCGGTCGTGGGCGCGGCCCTCGGCTGTATGACGGCGCCGCCGGGGTACTTCAAAGCCATGAAGGCTGTGTGCGAGCAGCACGGAGCACTCTTCATCCTCGATGAGGTCATGTGCGGTATGGGCAGAACGGGTACCCGACACGCGTGGGAGCAAGAGGGCGTCGTGCCAGACATACAGTGCGTTGGGAAGGGCCTGGCTGGGGGGTACCAGGCCTGCTCGGCAGTACTGGCGGGCGAACGTGTCGTCGGCGCCATGGCCGCCGCCGGCGCTGCCTTTACCCACGGGCATACATTTGGGAACCACGCTGTCGTGTCTGCAGCCGCGCTCGCGGTACAGGGCATCGTCGAGCGGGAGGGCCTCGTGGCCAACGCCCGCGAGCAAGGCTGCTATCTCGGGGCGGCGCTGAGACGTCGGCTTGGCAACCACCCGCACGTGGGTGATGTGCGCGGCAGGGGCCTCTTCTGGGGCGTCGAGTTTGTGCGGGACAGAGAAAGCAGGGAGCCTTTTGAGCCCGGACTGATGGTCGCAAGGCTGGTACACGAGAAGGCTATGGCGGGAGTAAATGGTAGTGGGCATATGATGGTGTATTATGGTCAGGGCTGTGCTGGCAACAAGAGGGGCGACCATGTCATGGTCATGCCGGCCTATAACGTTGACGCGAAAATGATTGATACCATGGTCGGCTGGCTTGGAGATGCTGTGGACGAGGCTTTCGAGGAGATTGCAGAGATGGTGTGATTTGGGGTGAGGTAAAAAGTCGGGGGCGTGTCACATATCCTGTTCGTGTGTTGCTGATATTCTTGGGATTTAAGTGCCCACTTTCAACCGGACTATGATATTTCTGGCTTGCAACTTGGCAGGGCTTTACACTACTGCTGGAAATACGAAACAAGGTCTTAACAGAGCGGATAGGTACAAGCTAACTCTCTCGCACAACCACAAGGACCTTCTCTAGCCCCGAAACTTTGCGCGATTCTGTCCTGAAGAGTAGCAGATTTCAGGCGTGTAGACTGCCTATTATCGCCGATGTCCGACGGAGTTAATCCCACTCTTGACGATCTCGACTATCAAAAATAGACGTTCACCCGACGGGTCTTGAAGGACTTGCTTCTTTGGTCGTGTTGCATACATGCATGCGGGAAACCGGGGTTTCGTGCAGTGTACTTCTACGAGCCTTGTCGCAGTCTGACCGGTGTCACCGCACCATACCTGTCAGAATCTCCTCCTGCATGTAGCGCCGACGATCTGCGTCTGAAGCACTGCAGAGAGCGCCTACAATGTGATTACCCCACGCACCGGTCGTGGGTCACTACCGTCCATCGAGCTCAGCTCTGATGTCTGCTATGTGGCCAGATCATCTTCCCCAACCTCTTCTGTAGAATGACGATATTCCATTGAACCAATGCCCGTAGGATAAGCTACCCCAGGTAGCCTCCTAGAAGACAGCCTCCTACAAGCGCTCGAATAGGATGACCTGCTAAGGAATAACCTTCTGCAGGGCAGCCTCCTAGAGGGCAACCCTCTGATAGGACGACCTCCTATGGGGCAATCCATCAGGCAGGGATATCATATATGATGCCATGGTATCATTCTTAAAGCTATGGAGGAACTAATCAGTCGTCCTCCCCGCTGTCGCTGCCGCTAGACCACCCCTCGTGATACTCGTCCGCCATCTCGGCGAGCTCGTTACTCAGCGCTTCCCTCTCCTCCACGCCTATCAGGCGCGTGACTGTCGACCGAAGGGACTTCAGGCGGCCTGACAGCGCTGCATCCGTAGATAGCGACGTTGTCACCGCGCTCTGCTTGAGGTTCTCCCCGCTCTTGCCGTCCCTGAATATGTGCGGGAAGCTGTCCGGGAGCGGGTAGCTTAGTGTGGAGCGGTATCTGCGTATGCGATCAGTACTCGCCCATTTAGTTACGTCCAAGAAAACACAGAAAGGAACAGGTTGGCTGGGAGGTTGGGAGGCTGTGGTACGAACCTCCTGCTGATGGCTTCGCTCCTTGTTCGCCTGCGTAACCTGTCGTCTCCTTCTTCTTCTTTCTCATCCTCTTCTTCATCATCAGCACGCTCGCCCCGGCTCGCAAGGACCTGGCTGAATATCTTTGGCGCGCGATGGTAGCCGTTCTGCTTCCTGCCATCCCCGGCCCCGAGGTCATCCGCTGGGCGTAGGTCCAGGTCGAGACTCAGGCCATCTTTGGGCTCGTCGCCTACATCCTCGCTGTGTGGCGTATCGTCTGCCCCTGAAAAGCTCATCTGCAGGTTTGCAACCGTCTGCTTGCCGTGCAGGTTGAGCAGATCGGTCATATTGCCGAGCGTGTCCCTATTCCTGGCATCTTTCAGGCGGAACGGAAGCGTAGCGGATTCTATGGCCGTGGAAAGCAGCGCTGAGGTGTGCCAAGCTGAGGAGGTGTCCAGAGAGAGTACGTTGCGGAGCCTTGGTGAGAATGAAGATGGGATGGCGATGGGGATGATCAGCGAAGCTTGCTTGTAGATTTCGGTGAGCGACTTCGCCTTGTTGACCAGTCGCAGAAGACGCTTGTCCTGGGAGGAGCAAAGGTGTCAGTAAAATGGTATATACCAGAGGAGGATGTCCTGTAATGCCATCAAGAAAGAAGCATGCTAAAATGGTCTCACTTACTCTGCTCACACCTTGGAATCCCTCCTGCAGGCCCCAGACCCAAATCGTGGTTTTGCCGTACTCATCCCTCAGTTTCTCAATATACCGCGACGCAAAGCCGCCCCAAGCGTCGTCCACAGTTGTCATGATTTGGATGCCCTGCATGTGGTCAGCCTCCTCGGCGAAGGGCCTCATGTCCCTGTCCACGAGGTCGTGCTCCTTGTCCAGGTCCGCAAACAGCTCCTCGCCCGAATTCCACCGCTCAAAAGGCGCGATGCTGGAGTTCAGGTCGTATTCATTAAGCTGAACAATGCTTCGGGGGTGGTAGAAAACCCGGTTGAAATCAGACCAGTAGCGAACCGACTCGGTGGTGAGCTGCGGCGGCTCGAGGCCGGCATCCAGAGACTTCTGATACGCGCTGGGCTCGATCGGCTCGGCCTTTTGCACCACGGCCTGGCCGCCCCATAAGGACGAGGACTGGGCCGGGTCGTCGTCCTGGATGTCGTATAGGGCGTTGATCCTTTTCAATGAGCCAAAACCACCCTTGAGATCGTAGATCACGGTCCGAGGCATGAATGTCTCGGACCCATCTGCGCCGAGACCAGGACGCCAGTGTACGTCATGGTCTATGGCGGATTCTTCATCCTCGGCGTACGTAAAATATGATTCCTGGCCAGCGGTCAGTAAGTCGAAGAAGTACTCTTATGAGCAGGTTCGTTCATACCTGGGCGTTCCAGAAGTGTGTGGCCAGGTAATTGCTCTGCTGGCCAAGTTGCAGGGTGATTATCTCGTGCATTTTGGTGTATCTTCACGATGTTTTCGTTGGAGTCGTCCTCCGGCCGCCCAGCCAAAACTGGACGGGATGACGCACATGGCGGGCAGGGGTAGCTCCATCTTATCAGTTGTGTGGGGCCGAGCCGCAGGGCCCAACTCGGATGTAATCGATTCGACGTCGTGGACGCCAGCAATGCGGCTGCCCCTTTTGAAAACCCACACCCCATGGTTCGCTCGCTTGTACGGAGTATAATTACTTCCAGCCACGACGCTCGTCCCGTCAAACAATTTTTAGCACTACCACCATAATCCTGGGCACATCCCAGCAAGCGAAGATGGCACCGACACTGACGCAGATGTTCACAAAAGAACTCCAGTCCTTCAGATCCCCACCCGCAAAACAGACGGCGCCGATCCCAAAGGTTGGCGAGCCAGCACCTTCGCATGATAGACTGCAGCTCCCAGACAAGCCCACAATAGTGGTCTTCCTGCGACACTGCGGCTGTCCATGTAAGTCGTGCATCCATCAGCTCCTGTTCACCCATCCTCGAATGACACCCGCTGACTGTTCCCGCGCCTCCCCGCCAAAACAGTCGCCGAGAAGACCTTCCGCAACCTCACCGCCTTCTCCGTAAAGCACCACCCGCAGATCCACTGCATAGCCGTCTCGCACAGCGACGAGCCCGCCACGACGGACTGGGTCGAGCATGTCGGCGGTGCTTGGGAGACAGACGTCGTGGTCGACGACGAGCGTGATGTCTACGCCGCCTGGGGGCTGGGCCTGACCTCCTACTGGCACGCCATCGGGCCCTTCTCTATCTACAACGCCGTGCAGCTCGGCAAGACCGAGGGCATCTGGAACAGGACCACGGAGAGTGGCACGCGGTGGCAGATGTCCGGGGCCTTCGCCACCGACAGGAGGGGCGTCGTGCGGTGGGTCAGCATTGCCCGCACCGCGAGCGAGATCCCGGACTTCAACGCCGCGCTCAAGGCCCTCATCGAGGTGCCGACCGAGGTCACTGCAGATATACCTGCCGAGGCTGCGCGTAAGCGGGGGTCTACGGGGGCGTCCAAGGAGCTGCCTCCTGATCCACCTCGCGAGGCGCCCATAGAGGTATCTAAGGTGCCCACCGAGTCTTCTAGCGTGGTGCCTACTGACGCGCCTAGGGAGGTGCCCACTGAGACGTTTGAGGAGCAGGAGATACCGCCTGAGGTGCCTCCGAAGGCGGCCAAGTTGCTGGGAGGATTGCAGAAGGACACGCCTAGGGAGATACCTGTCGAGGCAGCTCAAGTGGTGCCTCCCGAGGCGCCTCAGGATGTGCCCACGGAGTACCACGTGGACGTGCCTGTTGAAGCATCCAAGGAGCTGCCTCCCGACCCACCTAAGGAGGTGTATTCGGAAGTGCACACGGAAGAGGATGTGGAGGCACCCAGGCAGGTTCCCATTGAGTCGGCTAGGGAGTTGCCCACCGAGGTGCACCCAGAATCACCCGTGTCTAGGGAGTTGCCTTCTGAGGTGCGCCCAGAGTCGCCCATGAGCGTTTACAGCGATGCTTCTGCAACCGCGCACACGGATGTCCCCACAGAAGCGATTAAGGAATTATCGATGGAGCCGACTAAGGACGAGTTCACTGAGTTGCCTGAGGAAAAGTACACCGAAGCACCTGGGGAGGTGCCTACCAAGTCACAAAAGGACATTCCCACGGTGTTCCACACAAATGAACCCGCCGAGGCATCCAAGGACGTGCCAACAGAATCCCACGTCGAAGAGCCCGTTCTGGCATCTCAGGAAATCCCTACTGAACCACACGAGGACGCCCCTACCGACTTCCATATCGAGGAGCCTAGTAGAGCGTCTCAGGATGTGCCCACGATAGTCACTGAGGCTCCTGCAGAGTTCCACAGAGATGAGCCCACCGAGACGTCTAGCGAGATATCCACGGAGTCACCCAAGGAAGCCCCTGCAGACTTCCACGTCGAGGAGTCCGCCAGTGCATCTCGTGAGGTGCCCAACATGGTGACCGAGGTACCCGTGGAAGCGCCAGCAGAGTTGTCGTCCAAGGACACGGGCGCGGACGCGCGCACCGAGACGCCCGAGGTGCCAATCATGGTCACCGAGGTGCCTCCGGAGGTGCCCGAGGAGTTGTCAAAGGAGGTCCACCCCGAGCTGCCTGCTGAGCCGTCTATGGAGGTGCCCACGATCGTGCACACAGAGGCACCTGCTGAGCCGTCGAGGGAGGTGCCCACGATTGTGCACACAGAGGCACCTGCTGACTCGCCCGTGGAGGCCGCGAAGGAGGCCGCGAAGGAGGCTCCAAAGGAGGTCTTGTAAACGAGCCGTGTCAGGGCCCCTCTCCGCAGTATATGATCCAATGTCTTCAGAATGAGCATATGTCACTTTGGGAGTTTAGGTAGCATTTGGGAGCATATAGAGCATTCATCTTATTTTAGATCAATTGTGTCTCGACTTTCCCTGCGACAACCTGTTTCATCCGAGACATACGTAGCACTCTGGAGCAACGTACTGGTGATTTGGCGAGGCACGTATGCCTCTAAAATGTAGCTTTATTTGCGTAGGTGCGCTCTAGTCTATCATACATAGCCAGCAAGAGCAGATAGGCCGCACCATCAAGGGCATATCTTCTCCATGACATGGCCCCCCGCAGACCTGCCATCCGCTTTTTTTTGCCATTGCTTGAGATGCCTTCTACGTCTATTTCCAAATCAGCCGACGAGATGACTTGAGGTGGCAGTGCTACTCCTTAGCACAGACTCCCCTGAACGCGCCATTTCTCGTTCCAATCTGCGGCTCCCTTCTCGGTTCCCCAGAAGTGTGTGATCTTGGCCAGCTGTAGCACTGAGACGCCGGTTTGCAAGAAACACGGCCGGACATGCGCATAACAGCTCGGGTGGCCAAGCTACCACGGCTTCTGTTTACTTTTGTTTTTATATTTTTTCTCGTTCATTAATTTTCTTTGATGATAGCCTTGCCTGCATAAGATAGATCAGTGCAAAAAAGGATGTCGGGGGATCAAAGCTCAACCAGCGCTGACCGTTGAGGTCTGCTGTCGCTTGGCTGTATCAATGGCTTCCTGCACAAGATTTAGCGACAAGTGGGTTGCAAGAAGTTGAGTCACATACTTGAGTGGGCGCCTTGCGTTTCACTCCATTCGGTGCTTGCGCCGCCTTCTTCTTAGGTTTCGCGGGCTTGACCTCGCCGGGCTCGAAAACATCGTCGGGAAGGTTGCAGTTTCGGACGTGCTGCACGCTGATGCCGCAGCAATGTTGAAGCTCGGTCTCCCACTTGTCCCAGTCATACAGCTTTGCCTTAAACTCATTGACTTCGTAAGACAGGTCGAGTGATTTCGCACCTGTTTTGTCAATCCGCCTGGTGTTAAGACACATACACGTTTCGAGAAGATGGTGATAATAAAACCGCACGGGCTTTAGTGGTCGCAACTCTGGACTCGGGGTCATGACTCACCTTCGCGCAGCTTGATGCCGATGTAGTGTGTCGAGGTGAAAACATCTTTCGGGCCATCATCTCCTTCTCCTTTGACTTCGGTGCCGTCGCCGCCTTCTTTGGCCGCGTCATTACCTGACTCTGTCTTGGACTTGTCGTCAGCGTCATCACCGTCCTTTACGATGTACTTGAAACTTCCGTCCAGAATGACGTTCCACTCATCCATGCCATGGACGGTCTTGTGTTTGCGCTCATATCCCTTGTTGAACGGGCGTGCGAGCTCGACAGAAGAGTGTCGCTCCAAATTTTGGACCAGAAGACGGATCTTGGACTCGACGAAGCCACCCCAGATCTTGCTGTTCTCCTTGGTCGTGCTGGCTGCGTTGACCATGATGTAATACTTGTAATCCTGAGTGAAGAAAGTGTGCTTGACGAAGAGCGACTTCCACGGGAGTTTGCCGATCATGATTTGGTCCACCACTTGGGCAAAATCCTCCAGTTCTTTCTGTATGATGGTCTTGCTTGAGTGTGTGATATTGAAGGTCGCGCACATGGACGGGTAGGCCGGAGTAATGATGGGCATGAGATGATACGAGTCTCCCTTGTACACCTATCCCAGGAATTTCAGTCACGGGAGAGGCAGAGTAACAATACTTGTGGAGGAGCTCGTAGCCGTGCATACCTGGGGGTTCCACACTCGGACCTGCAGAGGGCCCTCCTCAACCTTCTTCAGCAGCACGGGCTGAGGCCAGGGCCAGCGCTGCATGATGTGAAAGAATTTGTTGACCAGGACCGCGCCGTTTGCCTTTGGGTAAAGCTGACAGACTCTGGCCACCAACATGGCCCAGGCCACACCTCCAGGGAAGCCCATGATGTTGGCGTAGATGGCGCGCTTCTGGGCCCACAGCTTGATGGCCCGCAGTGCCAGTCTGAAAGACGTCTTCTCGGGGACCAGCTTCAGGATGTCGTCCGTAACTCTCGTACCATTGAGCGATCGCAGTTCAGCATCGTCCAGGCCGCGCAGGAGGTTGTTGTCGAGCAAGTCCCAGGGGGTGGAGAGAGGCGGGATCTCGGTGACGGTAGCGATTCTAGAGAAGATTAGATCTATACTGATGCCAGAATACTCGAACTTGATGATGGGCACGAAGGCGTCGGTGACGGCGGTCAGGTCTTCGATCGAGCCAGGCGGGGCCATCTCGTTGAGCAGGCCGGGGAAGTGTTCGAAGAAGTCGTCTCTAGTGACGTATTTGGGAGCGACGACGAGGGTATCGATATCGGAGCCTGGGCCGAAGACGCCCAGGCGATAACTTCCGTACGTGAAGACACGGCCTCTGGCGGACTTGACGATTGCAGCGTTTTCGGCGTGTCGTATCTCGGCCACGCGTTGCACGAAGACATCGGCGATGGACTGGATCGACTTGAGGACAACCTCCCTGCGGTGGCAATGTGGCGTCAGAGATGCTTGTGCGTGATGGCTACAGTGCTCGAGGCCGTGTGCTGCCTGTTGCCTACCTCTTCTGCGTCTCGGTCGCATGCTCGTAGGTGTTCTGCGCCTTGAGCTCTGCAAACAGGGCGTCGTTTGAGCGCTTCTCAGCCTCGGTCGGGAGCAACGTCGAAATAGGAGGCGTTACGCCCCACTGGTTTTCGGCTGCCATATTGGCGTCGAGGTGGTCGTGGAGGATGCGGTCGGTGGTTGGGACGACCGCAAAGGTGGTTGTCGGAAACTTCTGTCGCTGTCCCCGTCCAGGCTGCTCGTCGCAGAAAGGTCAGTCTGGGTGGCTCTTGGGAAGGTGAGACGGCACGATGCTTCGTACAGGTTGTTAGCGCTGGCCTAGCAAGCTGTGGGGCGTGCCCAGTCGGCTGCAGGGGTCCTATGGCCCGTCCAGGCGGCCCAGCACCAGACGGCACACTTCACATGCCTGCCTACAAATCTCTTCCCACCCTGATGTCACATAGTGGACTGCATTGAAAGTTTGTATGTATATAAAGCGTATTTATTTCTTAGTACTACTCCAGAGCTGTCTGCTTCTGGTTCTTAATATTAAAGCCGCGATTCCGAATCTACACCACGCACACACACGGCAGTGGAGATTTCGCCCATCGCCTCCAGGATGAGACAGCTTGCTGGACCACCCACAGTTGTTTGTTGTTCCCATCCTGCTCCGCCTCTCCAGACGATCCGCACGCCAGCCAGCCCATGTGCTCCGTACAAGCACAAGTCCGCCTGCACTTCATTTCTCACCACCCCAGAAGGCGGACCAGTGTTCGACGGCCCATTCGACGACTGGCCATTCCTGCCCTGAGAGCCACACTGCGGCACCGCCGAGGATACTCACGCCCCCGAGAACCTCGAGTGCGATCCATCCATTTGCCTTCAGCCGCGCAGCCACGCGCAGCAGCCCAAGCGGGTCCTGGTATTGGGTGGTCGAAGTGCTGTAGTAGCGGCCGCGCCCCGTCTTCCGCCTCGGCTTCTCCCCCGGCCGCGAAACGCTGCGGTCCCGATCTGCCCACGGCACGAGCTCTCCATCCTGCACGCATTCATGAAGCTTCTCCGTCAGCCAGATCGCTCGTTCTCCCCGCGCAAGTGCGTCGTAACGGGCTCGCTCGTTTGCCAGGCTCCTCTGCAGCTCTGACGCCCAGTTGGCAAGCCGGATCTGGGCAAGCCGTTCCTCTCTTTGCGTGTGGTCGGCGATCCGGGCGAGGGAGTACTGTGCAGTTGCTCCCACGGGAGACGAAGATGATCCCGTGGCCACCAGTGGCATGGGAGGGCTGGCTGAGAGGCCCATGGGTTCGTAAAGTGCCTTGGGCCTCGACGAGCTGTCTGCGTTCTTCCACTGGATGAACTTCTTGGCGGCAGCATGCCTCAGCCACGATGCTCCGTTCTCGCAGAACACCTGGTCCACCACATTCGCAAGCTCCGATTGCATTAGTGGTTGTACGTAGTCCGGACTCATCAACAGGCTTGCGTCCATGATATCATGGTCTGACCCGGGCGTACTGGATACGGCGTACGGATATCTGGGCTCGTTATCGCCTGGGATTCCCGTCGAAGACACGGTAAACGAGAATGGTCGCACTCCCGCCTCCATCAGCTCACTTCTGATCTGGAGCTTGCTTTGTGCAACGGCCTCGGGTGTCATGGTATCTGCCTTGGCAACAAGCGGGATAACATTCGTCAGGGATGCTAAAAGTTGCAGGTATTTGATGTCGGCCGGTTTGAGCTCTGCATGACGTTAGCCAGTTTCTTTGAATGCAGCCTGAAGAACAACTCGCTTTGCTGGATGAGGTAGAAAACCAGATCGACTTGGCTGCCTCCGTCGCCACCGAGCATGTTTAAAATTTCAGCGTCGGGCGATGCATTTGACTGCACTTTCTCGAAGTGCGATTCAACATAACGAATTACGGGAGTAATGCTCTCCATGCTCTGGTTCAGGTTAGCATGTCCCTTCCCTTTTGTTGACTTCTCTCTAATCTCCGGAGAGAGCCTCGCCAGGGTAGCGGCAGGGGGTGGCTCAACTCACCGAAGCACCGTTACTATAACCTGGGGTATCAATAAAGCAAATGTTCCTGTCTAAAATGGTATCATCGACACTCTTCCGGCGTTTAAGCAGTTGAAAATCGTCCAGATCCGACCACCATTCTGGGTATGGCTTCGTGCTCGCGAATATCTCGGATATCTCGGTTGTCCGGGCCTGGTTCCTCGAAGATCTGGACCTCCCACGGCGGGTGCTCGAAGCCAGGCTGAGCAGTGCGTTTGAATGGGACGGTATGGGATCGATGTGTACTATGTGTTCGCAGGATTGGACCAGGGCCTTGATGAGCGATGTCTTGCCGACGCCTGTTCAACAAGAGCCTATCAGCAAGAGGTTCTGTGTGCCCACACGTCACAGCCCGATACGTACCAGAGTCTCCAGCTACAAGGACCTTCAGCCTCCCCATCCGCTTTCCCCCGTCCGTAAATGGCCGCCTGCTGGGCATCTTGATCGAGGGCATAACAAGCTGGGGGGCACTGCCGCTGTCCATCATCTCCGAGGCATCCATGTTGCCGAGATCCTGGCTCATGCTGAGGGCCTGGCTTGCGACGTCCTCGGATAACGACACGCTCATCGTATCGCTGATGGCGGAGGGCGATCCCGGGGTGGCCAGCATCAAGGGGGTTATCGGCTGCGAGAGATTACTCATGGGTTCTGGCAAGTTCAGCCTGCTCGGGGCAGCATCGGAGATCAGGGAGATATCATCAGCATCTGCGGGGTCCGACGTCGAGATGGATTCACAATCACTTGGTGCGGCGGTATGCTTGGGGGGGTTGCTGTGCTCCGGTTCGGGCGGCCCCGGCTTGCGGTGATCACGGCCGGCGGCTGTGAAGCTCGCCAGTGATTGCTGCAGGGCGGCGTCGACGGCGTCCTCGCTGCCGATAAAATACGAGTTTATCTGCTGCTGCTGGCCAGCAGCAGCGGGGTGGCGGAATGCAGTCGGGAGGTCGCCATCAGCCCCTCGTTGGGCCCGCCGCGGTGGCGGGCCAGGGTCGCCTGGGAACGGTCGCATCGTGGAGGGGGCAAGGTGCACATGTACGTGCGATAACAGTCAGGGAGAGGCGGACAGGCTCAGCAAGTTTTATCATGGGATATCAGGCGGGTTGCTTGCTCGTTGCTGCTGAAGTCAACCGGACTTGGTCAGATGCCGAATACGCCTTGTTGAGTGAGCGAGTGATATGACTAGGATGGATTCAGACCGACCAGCCGTGTCGTCGTATCAGCACATATGTTATTTATCGCCTGGTGTCGGACGGCGACCGGCTATGGTCTGTTAGGCTGTGAGGTGAAGCAAGCTAGGGACGTGTGGTAGGGAGGGATAAGGAGGTTGTGACCAGATGAGCCGAAGGGCAGAAGGGGGGGGGGAGGTTGAGTGCGGCTTGGGGTGATGACATATCGAAGAACCCCGCGTTGCATGCGTACTTACACCCTAGGCAGGTAGCACTGTATCCCGGGCCCGGGCCCCCAATTCCCCCACTTTGACAATTGGGTATATCCAAATGATGCCAATCTGGCATGATAGGCCTGGGATGCGATATCACCTGGTCCCCGAGCCTGTCGCTTGGAACGCCGATAAGCGGACTGCGTGCATCTTTAATTTGAAACATATATGGTTCATCACAACTTTCGATCAAGACATTATGCCACACCACACTACGAAAATGTGTGGTCAAATTCGTAGTTCCGCTCGAGTTGAACCAAACTTGCACCCAGTCTAACCTCGGCACACATGCGACAGCTAGGGCAGAGCTCTGTATTGGCAACCCCGAATAATGATAAGGAAAAGGGGGAAGGGGCGAAAGCTTGACCGTCTTGGCTAGATACATACATACGGAGTAAGCCAACAGGCATCCATCCGGCGAGGCATTCCAGCTATAACCTCCACTCGGGCATGTCCCCTCTGACTATCGGACGAGCTGGCGGTCAGGCACACCCTCTGATCCTGTGGATGTGCACTGCGAGAAAAAGGGGTGTGAGAGGCTGGGCACGAGTTGCCTGGGCCTCTTTCGCCGCCCTTTCAACACATTGATAGCACCGAGAGCAACACGGTCTACGACACTAGTAATTCAGGGGACTCGTAACTTGCCCCACATATTCCATCAGATATGGGGAATAGGGTTTCCTCCCCAGCTACGCGGCCACAGTGGGCACTTACTTAACTAAGTACTGACCTCTAGCCGCCCCGTCCCCTACCCAATGTCCTACAGGACAACCTCTTAGAAATAACCTCCTATAGCATACACTCCTATAGGACATTCTCCCACGGGACATCCTCCCACGGGACATCCTCCTACATAACAACCTTCCACAGTATAGGATGACTGCTTAAAAGATGATATATGAGGTTTAGGTAAACCATGAGGGCTCTCTTTGATTAACAACGTATATGATATGCTGCAAAAAGTAAATAAAGTGGCGAATATACCGTGTTCTACATGCTTCACAAAAACGCACAAGACGCACACGGACTCCTCGCAAGATGCCCAATGAGGGGGGTATCTACCAACATGCCACAGCCCATCACCCTCGCTCACAACGAACGCATAAACCCGTTCGCAGCCGGCCAGCTCCCTCCCCCCTAGCCAACACCCCCTGTCCCGCCCGGGCCCGTATCCCACGGGGGACCACCAGCCCCGGGCCCGGCGTCACCGATCATCATCCAGCTGTCGTCGTCCAGCATGGGCTCGAAAGCCCCGACGTTGCCGCCGCCCTGCATGGCAGCCGCCACCTGCGAGAACAAGACGGACGGGTCACCAGGGCCGTCCCACGCGCTCATTCCCTGGAAGAAGTTCATGTCTATCTGTGCTTGTTGTTGTTGTTGTTGTTCTTGTTGTTGCTGCTGCTGCTGCTGAGCCGCAAAAGGGTCCGTCATCTCCCGGGGGCCGCCCGGCATCGTCCCCGCGGCTCCGGCCTGCGCCAGGCCCTGGCCTCCGCCGGTGGTCGTGCCGGGGCTGACGCCCGAGCTGGGCTGCGTCGTCGGCGTCGAGGCGCTGTTGGCCGCCGCGGACGGGGACGAGCCCGCCGACGAGCCACCCGCGCGGTGCGGGAGCCTGAACTGGGCCGCCGCGGCGCTCCCTGCCCCGGCTGGCGGCGACTTGCCGTCCGAAGACAACGACGACCCCCCCGTGGTGGTGGTGGTGGTGTCCGAGGGGGTCGCCTCGGTCGCCTGCGTCGGCTGGAACCAGAGTGAGGGCGTCAGGCCCTGCGACGCCGAGGTCGGCTCCGGGGAGACGGCGATGCGCTTGCGCTTGTTTGCGTACCCCCCGTCCTGCCCCTCGGGGCGGCCCGGCGGCACCTGGAGGTCCCACTGGAGGACCTGCCGGATCTGCTTCTCCATCTCCTGGACGTTGGCCGGGCTGCTGAGGGGCAGTCCGGGGAGGGGCGGCTGCATGTCTGCGATCCTCGAGAGTCTGGACCTGGCGAAGAGGGGTATGTTGTTGCCGCATGCCGTGACTATCTTGCGCGTGTCAGGCATCTCGATTCGTGGGATGCGGACATGGCCGAGGAGGTTTGCGCGTTGCAGATCGACGATCGCCTGTGTGAGGAACGACTTGGTGATGACATGCTGCTTGCCTATGGCGTTCATTGCAACTAGGAGAAATTCGAGGTTCGAGGTGTAGTCCGGCTGCATGCCGTCGTCCTGTGACATTGTTGTGTAGACTGAGCTGGCGACGTAGAGCGCGAGGGCGACGAGCGGGCTCTTGTATCCAACGTTCGAGTGGCTGGTCAACTTGACGACAGTCACAATTTCTTGGGCCGCCGTCAAGACTCGTGTCTTGCTTGTCTGTTTGACATGATCAGGAAGGTCATGCTCCTTTGTCATCTCATAGGCGCTGTTATGCAGACAGATGACTGATGCGTGGAGATTGAGGTTTGTGTGAACAGCCACAGGGTCTCGCAAATTCTTGGGTAGCCTAAACCGCTCTGGCAGGAACATAAAGGCACTTGACAACATATTATCCAGCTCCCTATGTTTGTTCCAGTACCTGCCGTAGTCGTAGTTGTCTCGGCCGTCGTCAGGCTTAGTACGATGGACGTGCTTTAGGATCGCGTTGAATATATAGCAGAGCACCACAGCTCCCGCGAATGATGAGTACGACGCCCCCGAAAACACGTCCTCGATACGTGAGGTCGTCTCTTCCGTACACGTGTTGAATGCCTCCTCGGAGCTGGGCAAATGGGTTGTAACCTATCAGAATCTCAGCACATAGGTTCTCATCGACGCGCATGGTGAATTGGGTGAACTGACCTCACTCATATCGACCAAGCTTGGCCAGCCGGTGCTGATCGAGGCATGGGAATCAACACAATATGCCCCCCAGAACACTCGCCTCCTCTCCTCCAGCTCGGTCCAATCTCTTGGAGGGGCAATTGTCGGCGCCAGCTCTGCTGCCGCATTGGGGTCGTCCAACCGGTGCAGACCCATCATATGAATCAGCTTGATGCAGCGGGCCGTACTCATGGCCGCACGCGTGAACCACACTACAGCATCCGGGATTAGCTATCAGAGGAACAAAGAAGAAGCCACATGCCAGTACAGCGAGTAGCATGCCGCGACGTGGGCAAAGCTTCTCTCAGAACCTACAGACCGTAAAGTATTTGTCGTATAGGCTGTGGGTGCATGCTTGTTCTTGAAGGGGTTACGATTATATGCAAAAGCTGCTTACTGCAACGAGCCTCGTCTGTGGCGAGAAGAGCCCAGGCCTGCGCGTGGGCCACCGTGATAAAGTGCTCTCCCTCTCCCCTAAGTTCGTCCTCCTCGAGGTAATGGCGGGCTCTTCGATGAAATGCATCATGGTATGACGAGTACTTCTCATGGCTGTTCGTGGCCATCGTCCACACAGCATAAATGAGTGCCATCGGCGGGCGTAGGTGTCCTCCAGAGTGGAAAGCCTGCATATAACGGCCGGGGTGGATGATAGGGTTCAGTGGGTGCTGTTTTGTGAAAAATGTCCTGTGCAAGTCCTCAATCATTTCGGTTGGGGGCATGGCCTCAAAGAGCCCTAGCCCCAGGAGTTCATTCCGTGATGCGCCTGCATTCTCTGCCCGATGCTTATACTTAATGTCGGCCATTGAGAATTCAGGATAGACAGGTGCTCGTGGACGGGGAGCCTGAGTGTTGGCGCCGGGGACCTCGCTTGCTGCTGGCCCAGGAACACCGCTCCCATAGCTCCAGCTGAACGGATCGTCTGCAGCGTCAGGAATGGACGACTGCTGTAAGCGCTGGGCTGGAGCATCCGGGACCTGGGAAGGCGGCACATCCTCAGGGACCTCGTCGGAAACAGAAGCCTTCTTGGGCGCATCCTTCAGTAAAACCTCCACTTGGGCTGTGATGAGAGTCTCAGTCAAACCGGTCCGGCTCCTCACTGCGGGTTCCAGTGACAAGACATACCCAGGCGCTCCTCAAGTTCCTTGACGTTCCTCCGCTTGAAAGCGGGCTTCCTCCTGGACTCCGGGTAACAACACTCCGAGGCTATTCGGGTGCACCTTGTGCATGCCGGCTTTGTTCGGTCGCATTTCAGTTTCCGGGCCCGGCACGACACGCAAGCCAAAGATTCAAGCCCGGTGTTGGGTCCCGACTCAGGGTCCGGCGCCGCATCGGTTGACGGCAGATCTTCGCTCGGCATGGTGGACCGTGGCCTCCGCAGTCATGAGGGCATCAGGACATATGATCATGTCAGTCGGCACGTGTTACAAGATATCAAGCTGACAGAGACGGATGAGCTCATCAATTAACACGTGATTGTGGCCATAAACGGCTGCCTACCAGCTAAAAAGAAGTTCCTCCTATGATATCCGGTCATTTTTTCAGATTCACCTCGGACATCTTAGGCGGACGGACTTTGAGCCGAGTACCGGCAGCTGAGGCTGAAGTAGTGACGTCATTGACTTGAGCTCGTCCCCACGACGAGGCTGAGGCCCTGACAACTGCACTCGCGTCTGCCTTTGCAAGAGTGGACTGCAAGGCTGCGGGTTGTGGATTTCAATATCTCGGGTTTTGGCTCGGGGCAAGCATATGACGAGGCCAGGAATGGTCCTCCAGCCTTGCCCCAGATTTCGTGACCTGCCTGACATGCGGAGAATAAAACGCCGAAAAGCAACGATGGGCAATGAGGTCATCCGCACGGACACCCTTGATAGCACACGCTCGCTGGTTGCGGTATAGCCCCATGCCGTCTGTCTGCGAGCGGTTCGCCCCGCACCTTCGGTCTCGGATCCGAGACCGCTTCCAGACTTTTCTATTGCTGTCGCCCGGGCTGAATTTGACTACAACTACAAACTTGAACATGCTCCTGCTACCGTTCGTTCATCATGCACCCCATTCCCGCGCAAAGCCGTCCCCGGAACGACACGGCATGAACTCACGGCACTAGGACGTGGCGGGCTATAGAAATAGGTTCCAACGGGCTCCGTCACGCCCAGTTGAGACAAGGCGTACAGCAGTGCAAGTGTCGGTACCGTACCCGACGAGCCAAGGAATGCGGCCGGCCCTCGTCCCCCACGCGGACCCTGGGCGCGCCGAGGTCATGAGCCCGTGTCAAAAACGCTCTGACAGCCCGAGCAGGCGAACTAACCCCAAATAGTCGCTGGGGCTGGGCTGTCAACCACGGCCCTGCGTCAAACATGTTCGCTGACGGCACAGACAGATCACTGGTACCCAACCCAGCCCGCCGGGCCGCGGAGATTGTAAAACACAAGCTGAAAAGCCGGCGGGACTTGCCTTCTAGACGATCCGCAGAGACGGGAGTCTGAGACTCGTGGCGCACGTGTCAGCAATTCATGGGCAATGTCCATAATGTGTCTGTCTCTCCTGCCAGTCGTGTTTCTCAAGTCTCAGATCCAGCTGAGACAGTGAAACCGGCCCCGGGACATCGAGCCTTGTGCGATGATGGGGGAAGTCGAGACAAGACACGGGGCGCTCTTGACCGCCTGTCCAGAAGAGCCCTCCGCCGACGAGTCCTTGATAGCCCGAGAGCGCTGATCGGCTGGCTAGCTTGGAGGCGGTAACCCGAACACGGGATTGCTGGGCCTCCTCGAGGGGGCTTCCCCAAGGGATGACCCGAGATCGAGGGCTCGCCGTCGGCAAGCAGCATGTCGTTAGCCTCATGCCGGACCTCTGGGTATGACTGTGTCTTGGATTGGCTGGCTGACTTGCGGCTAGCTTTTGACCAGGTGGCTGGCGAATTGTACATACTCCGTACGGAATACTGCGCAGAGAGCAGAGATCAGCAAAGCGCCAACCAGCCACTAGGCTTGCGCACGGTATTGCGACTGCCGCAGGTGACAACGACAGCAGCAAGATTGATGGCGGCAAGTGGACCCTGTCAAGCGCTGGATTCTGTTAGTCCTTGGGCAGGTGGAGGGTCGGCTGCATTACGAAACAGCCCGGCCATCACCTGTCACTTCGGCATGGTGGCTAAAATGCACAAGGATGAATTGAAGCCCCGGATGTCGAAGCCGCCGTTGTATTTGCCAATACGATCTGTTGCCACCTGGAACCGGTGTTGGTTGACAGCAGCCGGTGAGATGTGCATCAGGCGGACGTGGGCTGGGGCCATCTTGATGACGACGACGCAGTGACAGTCGCTACCGGACAAATGTAGACCGGTCAACTGCGGGTATGCAGGCCAGGCCGGGAATCGGTGGCGCCCAGATTGGTGCCGGGCAGGTTCGCCGCAGAGCTCGAGGTGGCCGCAGGTCCAGAGGCCCCTAGATTTCCGGTGAGATTTGGCGAATTGGATGCGCTGTCGACATCCCACCTCAGACTGGGGCCGGCTTGTCACAACCTCGCTGGGCCGACATCCCTGACTGTGAAGGTGGTATGCAGGACGCAGCAGTCATGTCGTGTGCTCACCGGCTGTATTGCTGTTCGAAGTCCAGCCAGCCACGGCCGATGGGCTGGGCAGTTGATAGGGTGCCACTACAACAAAGTGTCCTGGCAACGAAAACGATGATCTGTCACTGCAGGATCAGCTCTCGCGTATCTCAACGGCAAGGGGATGACGGGACGGGACATCTGAGCCAGAGCAGACAGCCGCAGACAGCGTCGACCTGCAGGACAACGATTGCCAGGTAGCGAGGCGCGACGTCGTGAGTCGTGACAGGTTCAGGTCCACCACGATGAGGCCCATCGACGCTGACAATGGCATGGCAGGATGTTCCAGCCACCACCACCATGACTTGTCGTGTCCCGTGGTCTTGGGCTTCAACGCGGAGGCGTCTCCACTGCGGGTTTCTGCCCAAGCCACGCCTGAAGGAGGATTACCAATGTCGGCCTGTCGAGGATGGATGGGCCTAGTGTAGAAGAGGGAGAGGGGGAGGGGGAGGGGGAGGGAGAGAAATCGTATCACCACGTCTCAGATGTGGACCTTTGAAGTCCCCGAGGATGTGGTGGGGCCATGTGAATGCCATGTCTTCATTCCGGTGCAATTCCCGGACGGCGAGCTAACAGGAGATGCTCAACAGTTTTCGGGCAAGCGTGGCTGATGACTGACCCTCGGTCTGCAAGTACGGAGTACCTCGCTCACTCGCTCAGGTAGTCTGCCGTAGCATCTGCTGCATGCAGCCACACACACAATATCGAGAATGTGCGGGAGTGGGCTGAGTGGGAGAGTGGGAGAGAGTGTTGATGTAGTGTATCTCGGCTGCTGCACGCTGCAGACAAGACATTCTCACTTGCATTCCAGTGTGGAGGCACACAGCAGGCAGCAGGGGGCTCGTCTTAGCGGCGGAGATCTCCTTTCGATGACCCTGTCAGGCTGGCTGTCTGTTGGTGAGGGCTGTGAGGAAGGCTGAGAGGCAGAAGAGGGTGAGCGGTTGGAAATCTCGGGTCGGACTGTCAGGGCCGATCAAACCCACCCTGATCCCTGTTGGTGCAGGGTCCACACTGTCCCCACTGCTTCCCTGCCCGCGCCTGCTTCCCTCCCGCTCCCAGTCGGCCAGTCAGCCAGTCAGCCAGTGCCTTCCATTCCCTCCGCCGCCGGGCTTAGTGTAGAGGTGACAGACCCCACACCTTGGGGCGGGCCCACGCCCACGCGAACCAAACAATGTCGAGTCCATGGATGCCGTGAATGCAGCCTGGTGCTCGTCAGATACTTGTAGGTAATTCTTTCATGTCCTCTGCTCTACAGTACTACGATGTTGACACGGATACACACACAGTATGGGCATTTGAGATGCCTCCTCCTGATGCCTCCCTTCTCGCCATCCTCCTCGACGCCAGTGACCTCCACCACCTCCACCACCTCCACCACCACCAGATGGTCATGCCCACCATAGTGTACACTAGATCTCGCTGTTGAGTTGACTTGTCAAGCCTCGCTTAGAACGTACCCACGCGAGTGTTCTCGGCCCTGCAGGTGGGAGGCCCCATCCTGGCCCATGGGGCACACACTCACACTCCTGTCACATATCACAACTGTCAGTCCCTCAGGGCAGCACTTGCAGGCATTGTTATACGGTGCTGAGGAATCTCGGGAAGTGCCCGCGTCTCGAACTAAGTCAGCCCAGCAGCCTGGCAGCAGACCCGCCAGGGATGCCCTCCTGCCATGTCCTCATGCCCGCAGGTCCGGCTTCACCTTCAGCTGACACTTGTGCTAGTGAAGCCACGCACTCGAGCTGCCTCTGTTTCCTCAGGCCACCTGGACACCTGGCCAGCTGCAAAATTCTACAGACCCGCCGACGGCTCTCGCTTCACGGCTCAGAGTTGCCCTGACCACTACACGGATTCGCTCCTTGACACGATGAGCGCGAGTCTGGTTCGCGTCATGGAGTCACCGTCGCTGGCAACCTGCAATGTAGCCTCCAAATTTGTACCAAGCACCGGGGTACAGGCGTCCTCTTGCGCTCTGTTGCGGCCGCTCAAACACTTTGACCCCCGTCATGCTCGCCTCCCGAGGTGTCATTGTCAGCCAATGTGAAAATGTGAAACCTTGCTTTACCTCTGGTCGATGCTTCAAGCCCCATTCCTGGCACGGCACGCTGGCGCCGTTGCGATCTGAGCGCGTCGTCATGGCACCTGACTGTGTTTTCGGGTCGGCTTCTCCTTAGCGGAATTCCACTAGAACGTTGACGGAACCTTCGCTTACAAGACTAGGCCGTGGGCGCTCCGAGTCTCCTCTACTACGTATTTTCCGCCGGTTGAAGGCTCGCCGAGAGTCTGAACTGGCGCCGTCAATTCAGCCCCCCTCTTTAGCCATAATGAGTTCCATCACGGCACCCGGCAACGCGCAAAAGGCCGAGATCTTAGCTTGACTCGACTACTGTGGTAGATCTTCAAACATACCTCACCCGCCGCCACCATATCCCTGCACAGTACCAGAAAAGTACATGGCACCGTAGCAGTCAGCATCTCAGATACCCCTTCGCAAGCTCTAATGCTCTGCAACTCCATCGCTCGCGATCCGAGTGAGATCACAAACTCTCATTGGCCCATCGCGGCTGCCACCTGCCGCCTGGCCTGGACTGTTGGGTGACAGTAGCCCAGCCCGCCGTGGATCGAGCTTGCTCGACAGCCACTGCAGATCCGAGGAGAGGCGGAACTTGGCGGTGCTCTGTGGCATCCTGTTTGCTTTGCAGGCCACCCCCTCCCACTCCCCGAATAGCCTCCAGCAGCCGACTGCGCGGCCCCTCAGGAAGCACTTGTGGCAACAACGGATCCAAGGCGATTGCTCCACCCGGCTGATGTCGCAGCAATTGCCAGTCGGCCGCCTGTACGCCTATAAGCTCAACCCAGCCCATAGTGTGTCCTGTACATTACAGCAAGCCTTCCAGCGATCAGCAGCACGTCGACCACCACCACGATCGCATAGCACAGCATGGCATGCGTTAGCGCTGAACCCTTTTTGTCTTCTGCGGTTCCGGGTGACAGCCCCTTCCTACGGCCTAGTCAACCAGTGTTGTCATGGCTGTGATCGGAGTTTCTTTGGAGGGGAGGGGGGCGGTTGAACGCCCTGCCACGCAACCTCTTTGAGGCACATGTAACAACAACGAGTAGCAGCAAAGCGAGAGACAACACGTCGTGCCATGTCGTGTGTGTGTATGTGTGATGAGGCGACCCGGTAGCCCGTGGTCAAGTGCTGTAGCACTGCTGCTTTAACCTCTCATTACCGCTCAGCTCACTCCCTCGGCAGCACATAATTACACGCCGTCACCGCCAGTGCGTGGTGCATTCACTGGGTCCATCCTACGCCCCCAAATTGCTCAGGAGCATGGCAGGTCGCAACGGCACGCCCCTAGTGTCGCATTCTGCACCGCCTACAAGCCCTATGGGCAGCTCTCCCTCTCGATCCACAGGGCTACATTGAGGGAAGGATCCGAGCTTCTACTTTTGGTTTTGGGTCATCCACGGTACTGGTGACGAATCCCAGGCTGCGCGATATCACCTTGGAAGTTGGTGTATCGTGAATACGGCTTGATAGCCGGCACATGTTCATGGGCGTGTCTCTAAATTGCAAGGCGAGAGGAGGCCGCGCCCTCCTGGGAATGCCCCAGTTATGAGCCTGCCACAGCAGCAAGCATCTGGAAGGGGGCGTGTGGAGACGAAAGACGGAGCGAGGGATACGTGAGCATGGGAGAGGCTAAATCGGCTTGCCGCCGTCAAAATCAGCGGGAATGCAAGGGACCTCCTTCCGTTTCGATTTTCTGGGTCCCCGCAAAGTCAGACAAAAAGCGGGCATGAGCTATAGTGGTGATCGGCACACAAGAGCTCGTGGCGCGATTCGATATCGATCGAAAGTACCGAGGTAAGGCAAGCCAGGTCAAGACAAGGAAACAAAGCCACCATCACGTTGTCAAGTCACGCACAAGGGCTCCAGCCCCCAGTCCGACTTGGGTAACTGTGACTGCGAGCCCAACAAACCTACACAACGTCCAAGTGGTTCCGCAACTGTATGGGGGAGCCTGGCTTCCAGGCTCCTCAGACAGGCAGCCAGTGGGGGACGGTTCCAAGGTTGAGCGGGAGGCTAGCAACTAGACATGAACGGCGACCGGTAGATCAAACGCACAAGCCCGAACCAACCCCCCAAGCGTCACCGGCCGCGTCTTTTGCGTAACCTGAAATAGCCATGTGGCTTTCGTCGGAATATAGCATCTGGCCCCGTGCGACAGCCCTGCTGTCTTTCTGCTGCTGCTGCCGCCGGGCCTAAGTTCGACACCGCCCCAGGTCCCCGATGGTGTCCCGCCTTGGGCACTAATCTACCTGTGACGAGGATCCGGCGGGCGGTAAGAACAGCACGGTATGTGGGCATGTGGGTGTAAGTTAGGGGAAGGAGGGCAAGACACGGGGGTAAGGGTGCCAGGGTGAGGAGGTGAAGGATTAGTGGGTGTTTATTCCTCGGCCACCTCTTTCTCTCCCTCCCTCCCTTTTCCCAAGAATTCCAGGGAACAGTAGCCGAGGAAGAAAGGCAAAAGGGGGAAGGGAAAGGGGAGAGAAAAAGGAAGGAGGATAAATGGAAAAGCAAAGATCCCGTTGTCGTGTGCCACGCCCTGGTCGGCCCTCCCCTGCCCCCATGTAAATATGTATGTGCGTATGTATATAACTACGGTATGCACACCCATGCACACCACATACGCAAGGATGCATGTATCTATCTACATTGGGGTCACACAAGGAACTCTGGCCGGCGTCCACGAGGAAGCAGAACAAGACCAGGGCGCGAGGGAGCGGGATCGGAGGGAAAGAGACGGAAGTAGCAGGTACCAGCTGAGAGAAGGAAAAAGGAAAGAAAGAATGCAAAAGAACGAGGTGTGTGTCGAACCACAGCCTTGGCCACAGAGAGATTGTCGTCCGAGACAACTGCCGCATGGCGTTCGCAGGAAGCGTGTGACAAGAGAGAGAAGAGAAGAGCGCAGAGAAGAGAAAGGTTCAAGAGTACAACAATGAAGTAATGCTACAGCTGCTGCTGCTGCTGCCGCCGCCGCCGCCGCCGCCGGGGTGGGAATTGGGCGAGGGAGTCACGCAAGGTTCTTTGCGTCCCGCCTTGCTTTTTTTCCAAATGAGCGAGAACACACAGAGACGGCGAAGGAAAAGAACCCTGGAACCCGGCACCATGGAAAGGTATCGAGGAAAAGCACCCGGGCATGCGGCAGCAGAGACCAAAAGTACCTAGCAACGCACCTGCAGGCGCCGCATGAACCCGCCGCACATGGGGCGAGACAAAGCAAAGAGGAGAGGGATCTCGTGGAGCTAAAAGGCGCCCAGGACGGCGAGCACTCTCACTCTGGCAGTCTAACCCACGCGCGCGTGACCCTTTTTGGTTCTGGGGAGGAGGAGGAGGAGGAGGAGGAGGAGGAGGCGCCGATGATGATGATGGCGGCAGGGGGGTGGGTATACCAAACATACCGCGCGGCGGTTTTGAGACAAGACAGAGACGTCAGTTCGTGATTTTGTCTCTGTGTTACTTGACTACATTGTCTTGGGGCGGTGGGCATCGAAAAGGCGGCGTTGGGCTGGCGTTGGGTTCACAAGAGTCCCACTATCGGGTTGAGGCACATAAAATGGACTGATAATTTGAGCGGTAAGACTGGTATAGTGGCAGTGGTAATATTGTTCATAACTGTTGTGAAATTTTGTGATTCTGCTGCTCCAACTATGCCTGTCCTGTCCTGTAAAATGCTGATGGAGACAAGAGCCCTGAAAGGATAATCCCCGACCATGCGATACTCCTGAGCCAAAGTGATGCCAGAGGTGTCTTCTCTAATCCGAAGAACCCTCTGATTCCGCGTGATGATTTGTACAGATGCCCCCAGATTCTGTCTATTGCAGAAACCACTCCTCCTCCCACCCAGAAATAAACCCTAGAAACAATGTACTCCAGATTTGACCGCCTGATGTCCGAGGCCCCACCCCATGTTGCCCATCCCAACGTATCCCCAGGTGTCGTTGTACCTCCCATGCCGTGAGGAAACCGGGAAATCAAGTAAAGTGCCCCCCCCCCCGGTTGGTAAATATCATTACGTCTTTGCCACCGTATATGGACGATGTGGTCGATAATATGTACAATGCCGCATACAAAGATTCGAAGTGAATCGAAGTGAATAGAATCCCAAATCAAGATCATGCGTGGTAGTACATAATCGTTCGGATCTGAAAACTGCGTGATGGACCTAGTAGCTTCCGCCACGCTTCAGGTGTGGTGGTTGCCTGCGAGCGTCGAGCTCATCGTCAAAGGCGCTGTCGCCGCCATCGCTGATGGTAGGGCTATTTCGGTGCTTGCCATCAACGTCGTAGTCGCCACGCTCGGTCGAAGGAAGGACCTTGCCGTCTTGGCTGCGCCCCGAGGACATGGCATCGGACTCGGCACGGGCGTTGTTGATCATCGCCGGCAGCTGCCTGCGGCGGGCGTTGATGAACCAGTTTGAGATTTGGTCTAGACATGCAAGGTTAGGAAGCTGAACAGGTGAACGAAGTATTCAGAGGCTTCGGGGCGTCTTACTCATTTGTAGGCCAGTCTGGCGCATCAACTCCTGCTTCTCATCCTCGGTCGGGTATGGGTGGTGTAGATGACCGACAAACCAGTTCCTCAACTTGTCTGTCGTCTCCTTTGGCAGGTTACCCCTCCGCTTCCGCTGCTTGTTATCTCCGCTCATGCCCATTCCCAGCTCGCCAAAGCGCATGTACTCTTGGTAGTGAGGACCGTAGCCGACTGCTGAGAAGGGTGTCCTGTCTAGTGGGTGGATCGCGCCCATGGAGAGTGACTGCATGCGTGAGGGGTGGTGGTAACCGTATGCGTAAGGGCTCTGTCGGTACTCCATCCTTGAGTCGGCTGGGTGCATCATGACCTGTCTCGGAGCCTCCTGAAGGTAATCATCGCTAGAGTGACCACGAACTCGTGGCAATGGGGCAGAACCACGCTCCAGGTTCATCGGGGGTGGGAAACTCGGCAGAGTTGGCCGGGGCTCGGGACGCTCAACGTGTTCCATCGCCACCGGTGATGCTCGCATTGCTGGGAGACCATAACTGGGTACGTAAGGGCTCGTCCTGGAACTCGATGGGGCCCAGTGCTCGGCATGTGCCCTGGAGACGGGTGCTGGTGGTGGGGAGGCTTGTCGGAATACTGGCCTCTCTGCTGCTCGTGGGGGGCTGTTGTAGAGCCTGGGTACCCGACTGGCACGCTCCTCCCTCTCATCGTCGATCGACAGGCGCCTCCGCTTGTTCGAGCTGGGCGAGTGCACATATTCTGGCGGTGTCATCACTCCTGTTGCAGGTCCAGTTGGAGAGGTGGCTGATGATGGCGTCCTCCCTGAGGCGTCCTGCGGTCTGATCTGGAGTTGCAGCTCGGGGAAGGCCTGGTGCTGTGGTCAGTCAAATTCTACGACAGCTGACAGACAAGACACCAGAAATTACCTGTCGAATGGATGGGAGAGCGACCCTGTCGGCATCAGACCTTGGCCTGGAGGAGGAGTACTCTGTGGACCGGCCCTCGTCCCAGTAGTCCCGCCTAAAGGGTGCGTGGGGAGTGGGGGTGACCATGGCGATCATCGACATTGTGGGAAGCTGCTCGGTTTGGCGTTGACTAGAATCTTTTTTTGCAGTCCCCGGAGGACTATATTCCATAACCTGCTGGCGTTGGCCCTTGGGATGTGCTCAGCGGCTGCTAAAGTTGAGTTCACTGATTAGCAGGTTCTCGTGTGAGATTTTCTAGACGGGGGCAGCCACCCAGCCAGCCACAGCCAGCCAACCAGGGAGGAAGACCCAGGTCGGAAGTCTATGTCTGGCCCTGCCACCGCGTAAGCTGCAGGTGTCTTACCTCAGACAAGCCCGGATCAGATCACGAGTTTGGGCTGCAGAACAGGAGGCTCCAAGGTGGTGTGATGGTGGTTCCGAGAAGACTGGAATAGACGGCCGGGTGGTTGGATGGTTGGTTGGTGAGTTTGAGCGAGATTGCAGGGTGGTGAGTGAGAGAGAGGGTAAGACGCAGTCCAGGTCGACAATGTTTCTCTCGAATGGTCAGGTGTGGGTGGGGAGAGAGGGTGAATTGTAAATAGAAGAATATGACCAGTAACAGGCAGGGTGGGACGGGAGGCAGATATGAATCCTTTTGTAGGACACCAAGTGCCGTAGCGTCATGAACTCGTGAGTAAGGTACTAATAAGGGACGAGTGTACGGAGTACAAGAGTCGGTCGAAGGCGCCAATGTAACGGACGAACGCACAGGAGGGTTGTGCCTAAAGGGGTAATAGCTGAGAGTCGCGGGAAGTGGACTGGGGTGGGCGGATGGGCGGGCTGGGGTGTGGGAGTCGCAGGTGTCGGAAGCTGAGATGAATCTTCAACGAGCAGCAGGACCAGCACACTGTGAAACTGACAGGTGCTTAGCTCTGGGCCTGATGTATATTGTATATTGTACGGCACCAGGACGGTACTGTGTATGTATGTTGTATGTTGTACCCCTCGGGTCTTGCTCTCGTTCTTGTCCTTGTCACAAGGAGGTAGGGGATGCTGTGGGGGTGGGAGAGGAAGGGGTGGTGGGAGGGTGAGGCAGGCGCCAGGTACCGGACGGGAGGATTAAACAATGGGAGGAGGGAAACAATTTAAGAGCAAGGTACTGCGTAGAGTAATAAGGTGTTGAAGATGGCCATGTATGATCCCAGCACGTCGAGATGCTGGGTGTGTGGAGAGGTGCAGAGGTGCCGTTGACTGGAGGGACTAAGCCTGAAAAAGCCCAGACATGCGAGACATGGGTATGGATGACAAGAGCACCCACCGGTGCTGCAACTGGTCGCTGCGTGCTGCTGCATGCACGTAAAAAGGTACAAAGTACATCTGGGAGGTGCCAGGCCGGGGCCCAGGAGAGAAAGTGGGTCATGTCAGTGCTACCTTCCCGGGCTCCGTTGCATGGGAAGGGGGGGCCTGGGGGGCCGTGGAGGGTGCGAGGGTATCAGAGCCCACCCCAGGGATCCCCATGGCAGCAGACCCGCTGCGGACCTGCCATTGACCTTGGTGGCGTCCGTCCCTTTGCCGGGCTGCGTCGTGCCAGGTGCAGGGCTCGTGGGTGGGGCTGGGATGGGACGGATGGAGAAGGAGACAGGCCTGAAGGGGGAGGAGGAGCCCGGGTCAGGGGCCCGACGATGATGGGAAAGCGCCAGAGTGCCAGAAGTGCCAGAGTGCGTCCAGCCAGCCAGCCAGCCAGCCAGCCAGGCCAGACCTGCCCCAGAGGGGCGATCCGCAGGCACGGGTTGTAGTGTAGATGGATGGACACGCACGGCACTTGGCGAGGATCCCGAGCAAAAGCAGCGTGTGGTCGCCATCCGCCTCTGAGCAGTGTCTTTCTCTGCTGCATTCTGTCCCCGATCCGGGCCTACGGTAATTAGGCCCTCTGGCCTGTCTAGCCCCTGGCACTTGACTGACACACCGACACGACGAGACTGGACAAGAGACAAGACATCTGGACACAGACAGACAGACAGACAGACAGATCCGTCCCGAGGGGCTAAGCTAGACTAGACTGGACTAGGCTTGGAGACGACGACCGGGAGCAACGGCAGCGAGAAAGACGTTTGATGGGGCTAAAGTAGCCTGAGTAGGTAGCGCAGAGATCCGTCGAGGCTGCTACCGCAGATGCTACCGTAGATACATGTCATGATGTGGTCAAGGCGTCGGCGCTTGCTGTTTAGCAGAAACGGGAGCAGGCTGGGCGCGGGCGGGAGGAGGACCAGAAATGCAAATACAAATTCAAATAGTGCGGACACGATCCAAGTGCAAACCCAAGTGCAAGTGCAAGTGCAAGTGCAAGTCTAAGTGCAAATGCAAATGCAAATGGAAATGGAAAAGTTACTAAAATCCCATGCTGCATCCGCCCACACATGCCCGCACCCAAGCCCGCGCCCAGCACGGTAACTGACTAGCCGCGGGCCTCTGCACGCTCGCCTTTTACGTAGGCAGACATGACAATGAGTGCTTACTCCGTATGTGGGTGTGCTATGCCATGCATGTGGTCGGTCCGTCTGGCCTCGCCTGGCCTGGCCTCGGTTAGACGTTGGCACAGTGAGGCTGAGGCCGTGTGCACTGTACGAGTCGAGGTATCTCACGTCCTCGGGAGGCTGATGGGGGAGGCCAGGTGTGGCAGGAGCGTGCATGTACTCCGTAGTCTATGTCCAGATCTACCATCATGTGCGTCTATCTGCGTCTATCTGCTGCCCCTGCAAATCGACTGTTTGAATTTCCACACCACTCCCGCTGTCCAGGTCGTCATGGCCGTCCATCGACGTCGATCCCGTAATATTAGTCTGGATCTCTGCCTTATTAGCGATTAAATTACCCGATGGATCTGGCTTGATTGGAGATTCCACCGCCCAGACTGCGGGATACACCCACCCATCGTCATCTGCCCTTGCACATAGCACAGTCGTCCGCGAACCATCCTCCCTGCCGCCCACACCCATTCATCCATCCATCCACCCACCCACCCCATATGCGAGTAAGTTGATTGCGTACAGGATGGCATGTGTGAGTGAGAGTGTGTGAGTATGCGCTCCGTACATAGGCTGGTCGTACACACACACAATCCCTCTCACTCGCACTCACGCGCTCCACGTTATGACTTCCGTTTCCCGCCTGGTGCAGCTGTGGCTGGTGCACCTCAAGGCCGATGACTTTCGGCCACCTCTAGCGTGCACTGTGCCTTGTGTCCGTCTGTGTGGTAGTGTGGGCAGGCTGGTCCTGTGCCCTTCCAGCCTTCCAGCCTTCCCGACCCGGCCCTTGGGGAACGGGCCTGCGTACCAGCACCTCGGTTTTGCCGTCTGCCCTTTGACCTCGCTGTGCCCGTTCTAAACCCTGGGCTGGCTTGTGGATCCCGCCTTCTAGCCTGCCGCCTACTGTGGTACCTCGCCGGCTTTTTCGACGTGCAGCTTCCAGTGCTGACGTCGAAGCGTGGTGGCTTTCGAAGTGCCTTTTTCCGGCCGCCATGACACACCGATGATGATGATGATGATGGCTCCCCATCCGCATCTCGCATCTTGCAACGCTACACTGGGTTGGTTGCCTTCTACCCGCACCCGCACCCGCGCCCGGGCTCGTCACGCAACCCACGCAACCACGCTCCCTCCGCCTGGGCCGCGGACGAGGCAACAACCGAGACCATCGGGGGGCGTGATGCTTTACCGTCATATGCTTCCGCCAAGGGTCTTGCGGTGAAACCATGCAGACGGCAAACAATGACAGCTCTCGCAAGCTCGACCGAATGATTCCTGAGCTGCGTGGTCATGATCCTGCCTCACGCCTCTTCGTCCCAAATACTCACACACGAGGTCAAGTTTCCTGCAACGGCGGCCTGTGTTGGTACCGAGTCGTGGGCTCTACCAGGTGTTGCCCATGGCCGGGCCTGAGCTGCCAGCCTGCCAGCCTGCCAGCCTGGGTAGGGGTGTGTACTCGGTACAGTACAGGCGGAGTCGGGGCCCCTACCCTTTGTTTCGTTTGTCAGCAGACACCGTCTCATCGTACAGCCAATCGCTCAGCAACACCGCCAACGTCAGATCAGCCTAAACATTTGGGAAGAACACAAGAGGCGCGTGCTGCGAACAGTTCAAACATCAGCCCGGTTAGCTTCTAGATGACACTCGACGTCAGATTCATCTGTTCTGCCATCCTGCAGAACAGGGGGTTCGAAACGTTGACGTGTGTCGCTTCACGCCTGACAGCACGCCACTCGGTGCCATTACCAAGATGGTCAACGTCTTTCGGCCCATGACAGCGAGGCGTGACGGCGCAGAAACACCACTGATTGACCCAGAATGCATGCAACACCACAAGCTAGCCCCATGGCGGCCGTGGTCAATGATGTCGACGCTGGCGGCGAGTCCACGGCGCCCAGCCAACGGGGTAATCAATCTCGCATTGTCGCTGCGGTAGCCGAGCCGCCGGCCACCCGCCCATCGCTGGACAAGAAAGACACCCACCCGGTCTAAAGATAGGGGCAGTCTACCCCGAGTCCATGGAAGCTCAACCGCCACTGACATGTTGGGAACCAGGGTCCACCAGCTGGGGATCTCAAAGTTTATTGGGATGCCAAGCGGACGCCCCCGAAACTGCCAAAGCCAAAACTTGGATCGAATTTACAGAGCTTACGCGGTGACGCCCACACTGACTAGCAGAGGCCGAAATGAGGAAACTCGCCCGCATTCGCCGCTCCTGTTTGAGTGTTGGTCCCGAAGGAGGAGTGATGGCAGCAGCAGCAGCCGCAGCAGCAGCATCAGCATAATAAACAGCAAGGCCGACGGGCCAGCACAGGTGTGACGGCAATGGACCCAAGGCCCCGTCCACTAACCACCCGGCACCCACCACCCTCCGAAGGGCAGGATGGAACAGTTGGCGGCCATCGGCCAGGGCACGGCTGTCATGCAGACAAGGGCCTGCCAAGGAGGGCTCACCAGCACGTGATAGCCGAGATCTGGAATGTTGATCTCAAACCTAATGCCCAAGCCTTTTGACAGATGATGGGATGTGTCAAAATCGCGGCGTGAGCCTCGATTCCGACCACGGGCGGCTGCGATTGGAGAGCGCCCAGGCGTGCTGCGCCGCAGTCGACTTGTCAAGAACCAGACGTGGTGCTGGGATGCCCGGGGGCAGATGCGATTGGCTCAGGCTGCAGATCTGCCGGGAAGGACGATATTTACGGGCGATCTGGCATGACAGGCTCGCTGTCAGTTGACAAGCGCAGGCTTGCGATTGGGCTCGCTTGCACTGTCATCCGGTTTCTGGCCAGCCTGGAGGTGGGTGGGGGTGTGGGAGGCAGGGGGTCGGAGCGTGCAAGGGGGTGTGGGGTGGAACGCCCAGGGCTGGCAGGCTGGCAGGCTGGCAGGGAGGGTGCCTCTCTCTCTCTCGGTGTCTCTCTCCTCCTGGCAGCCCTGACAGCCTGGCAGCCTGGCAGCCTGGCAGCAGGGCCTGACAGGGAGTGGGCGGTGGGTGCAGCCGATGAAGATCCGTTTTCCAACCTCCTGTCATTTGCGCGGCTTGACGTCTGATGGACCAGGGCCTGCCCCGGTTCGCCCCCGAACCTGGGATGTCCTGGGCGCCCACCCGCCTGCCAGCCAGCCTGCTAGCCCGCGATGGTTTCGTCCTAGCTAAGCATCCCGCACCATCCATGTGCACGACCGCGAGCCTCGAGCCCTTTGTTCCCGATCCCGTTCCCTTCGGGGATCTGTGTTACCCAAGAACCAGTCAAGCGCCTCCCCGGACCGGCCGTCGACCAGTCGCTCACCAAGGTTCAAACTATCTTTCTGACATGCTTCCCGAAAGCCAAAAGGAAAAATCAAAAAAAGAAGAAGAAAAGAAAAGCCAGTGCCACCCCGTTCTGCCCGTCCGCGTTCCAGCCTACCACACTAGATCAGACAGACGACGGGTTCCTCGCGGTGCAAGCCTCTTTGGTGAGGGACATAATGTGGCCTGCTATGCCATTGCGGACGGTGCAGTGACTGACTTGGCTGCATCCGTCACCAGAGTGGGCACGCACAATACCTTCCTCAACAAGGGCACATGTGCACACCTCCTCTTCCGCACGCACTCCCCTCTTGCTCGTGTTCGTGTTTGCCTCGACCCTCAAAACCTCCTTGCCTCCCTACCACCACCCACATCTGCTGCGAGTAACGGGCAGGCTGCTGCGACATTTACAATGAATCGCTAGCCACTGCAACATTACTCATCAGGGGGGCCCCCGAGCTAGGGAGCACCTCGGTCCTTCAACACTGGGACTGATGATCTGCGCACTCCACAGCCAACTACTGGCTAGTCCTGCTCTCCTCAAGTCACGGGCGTGGCGGGTGATGACACTGTTGACTGCATGCTGCTCCCTAATGGTAGAAGACCACCATCATGTCGTCCTGTCGGCAAGTCTCTCGGGTCTTGGGCGGTCTTGGGGGTCGCCGGCCGTCGCAGGCTGGCAGGCAGGCAGTTGTCAGGGACGGCTCCGCTACTGTACTCCGTAGCTTCCCGTCATTGTTCCCCATCCTCTGTATCCAAGATTTGACGTCTACATGACTCGCTACCGGCATGGGACCTCGCCTCCTCTTTCAGCCCCATCGTCAGAGCCTACCACGGTAGGAGCTAGGTGCATGTCCTTCTCTCGGGTTTGACACGTCAGACAGCACAATGACGGGAACAGCCTAGAGTCTACTGTACTACACGTGTAGTATTGACTCCCCTACAGTTCTGGCATGTGCAACTTGTCAGTTGTCTGCTCCCCTGGAGCGGCTTTGCCCCACTGGAGAGAGGGACCTGGCTGCAATTACGTAACATGCGCGCGTCTGTGAGGAGTGGGGAGTGGTCCACTACTCCGTACTGGTCCACTACTCCGTATTTTGTACTCCGTGCCCGTCCTCAGTACACAATTCATCCCCAACAGACGGCCAGGCACGGGTGAAAGAGGGCATCCAAGACGAACAGGGAAGGAGGCACAGCAGCCAGGCTGTCTCGTGGCTTCCCGATTCCCCGTCCGTCACCCGCCCGCCATTTTCCATGCCAACTGTACTTTGTGCAGGCTGTCCGTCAACTTGGGAATTCCTTCACCGAGATTGGAACTCCTCTTTATCCACCTCCCCGTGCACCCTCCACCCCCACCCCCCGGCCCCCGGCCCCCCGGTCCAGATCCTACAGGACCTCGCTCCGTCGCTGCTGTTTGCTTGGCCGGGCGACCGCGAAATTCACACAACGTCGTCTCCTTCCCTCCTCCCCCCCCTGGGCTTCAGCAGTAAACCAGAGACGATGTGACGAGAACCGAGATATGGATAATCGGGGCCCGGCCCTCTGTTCCATGTCTCACCCAAGATTCGAGCCTTCCGTGCCTGGACTCGGGAACGCCATCGCATCCCCAAGTCTCCCTCCCTTGCTACACGTCCCCCGCCGCGTCCATTGTGGTGACGGAGGACAAGCCTCGTCCAAGCTCGTCAAGTCAGGCCCCTGGGTTGGTTGCTCTGGCCCCATCCCATGCGAGCCTGCGACTCTGCGACCCTGGTTCCGGTCCGGTCCTCGTCACCTTGCACAATTGACCTTCTCCCAGGACCGATTACAGTTGAACAAGCTACCGCGGACATTATACAAACACTCACTGTCCTTTGCCAGGAGAGCCCTGCTGCCCGCCATCACCTGGCATCGGCGACTTGGCCCTCTGCCTGCCACCCTCTCTCTCCCGTGGTGCAGTTCGGAACAAGGCGTCGCGGGAGGGCTACGACGCCGGTACGTACTACCTAGCAATTGGGTCCTGTCAATCTCGGTAATCTACTAGAGGCGGGCCCGGCCACGGAACCACTGTGTCGGTCGACGGGACGAGTGGTTCACCACCTGCGGTTACCCGCCCAGAGAGATAATTGCCTCAGTTTTGCGGCCAGCCGCAGGCAGCCAGGGGAGCTAGGCGGGCCTGAATGCGGGCCCAAGCACGCACCCACCCTACGCCTCGAAAGCAAGCAAGCAGCTTCGTGAGACGATAATGGTCGTGGGGTCACGGTGCGGCTTCAGGACCCAAAATACACCCTCACGCCCCATGCCCGACTCCACCTGCGTGTGTTTTCGGAGACGTGACCAGGCTGATAGATATTCCACAAGCCGACTTCGACCCCGTCCTCTTGGGCCCCATCCCCTTTTCTTACCTCCTCCGCGCTGCATCACCACTGCCGAGGATGCCCTTTCCTACAGATTACAGAAATAACTGAGGACGGGTCTCTCAACAAAAACAAGCGCCGAAATGGCCCGGGGGCTGGCCTGCGCCGCTGCTGCCATTGTCGCGGGAAATTAACACTGCCCCGGAACTGGTGATTTACACAAGCAATTGCAAGGGACACAAATCATCCAAGCACAAATATCATTGTGATCCAGGACAATGCGCCAGCCAGCTACCGCCTCCTGCCCGTGTAACACAGTCCTAACGCAAAAGGATTCGGTGAACAGTATGGCTGCTCACTCATCGCCACACGCTCCCCAGCCGGGACGCTCGAAATGTCCTGAGGCCCTGTCGTCCCACTCCACAAGTCACAAGTGGGTATGCCCCATCACGGGGGTCAGCGATCAGCGAGGCCTTCGGAATCGCGTAGGCGGAATTAAATTCATCATTTACCCACAGCGCTTGCCCGAGGTTCACCCGCGTTGCGCGCTGTGGGTGGTGGGTGACTCTGATTATTCTGGCAAGGCTGCCCATCCGATCTACAGGTCATGCATGCATGGGCAACACGATCGAGAGGGCGACTGATGTTTGATTCGTCCAAGTGCATCCGATACTGGCTGCTGTTGTTGCTTGACACCTTTGTGGCTTCCCACAGCGGTGATCGAGTCTGCATTTCTGGATGCCCTCCCAAGCCCTAGCCTACACATTGCGATTCATCGTGACATCTGACGCCGCGCGAGCTGGTGATACCACGGAGCTGCAGCTAGATAAGAGGCTGGGGCTGTGTCTTAGGCTGCTTGAGACATGACAGACATATGCCTACTGTGTAGCTTGTCGTGTCTTCGATATTGACTAAGATCATTTGTCTCAACTCAGTTCGACGCCACATGGCAGCCGCCCAGCAATCTCACGGGCTGACACTGGACTAAGAATTTTCGATTAGTCTTGAACCCATGGATTCCTCACGTGGCTCTTAGTGGCCAAGGGAGGCGCGAAGCTGTCGCACAGCGTTCGCATCCGTACGACATCCCAACCGCAGCTCATCTGGCCGAACCAGCTCCTCACGTCATGTTCAACCGGTCGGGATCGGCGAAGTCAGGTACAGTAACTATTCGGGGCGCACTGGCTCCTGTCCAGTGCCCGTCATGTCCACAATCCTTGTCCAGGAGGAGCCTTTAGCCAGATGCGTGCGTATCCTTCACACGCTGTCAGTTTTCGCGTGCCCTGAGTCGAGTCTGGACGGTAAGGTTTTGTTGCGACCTAGAGATCTAACACTTTTTGCCCAAGATATAATTACACAGCAGGCGCTATTACGGCTTGTGCAGAGCCATTGTCATCTCCACACGCGGCCACGCAAGCAAATATGATCACTCACTCTGTCATTACGCGCATTCGGCTGTCCTTCCCCTGGCGCGAATGTGGGCCCATCCTCCCGTCAATCTCCAGCTCGGCGCAGAGGCCAGTCAGCCCAGTGGTGCCAAAGCTGCGGATGTCAAAGCTTCCCGTCGGCAGCAGGGATGCACTCGCGACAATGTCTTCAAGTGGTAAAGAGCAACACGGCTAGCCTTGTCAGATCCAGCTCCGCTTCCACTTGCCCATTGGACCTGAGTCGCTACCGACGACGGGGATGGGCCTTGCAGACCCAACCGCTGTCAAGCACGCCAGCCTGATGGCGGCGGCAAATCCCGCCAAGCTGGAAACATGTCGCTGGTGGACAACTGCTGCCCCGACCTAGGATTGTGCATCATAATAATACCTGGACTACAGCACAAGACTATAATCCACGACAGGAAATTGCATTGCTCGGCAGATGCTCTTTTGTGAACGCCGGGGCTCTCACCGTCCTCTCAGGTCACGGCACATGGGACGAACTACTTCGCCGAGGTTTCAAGACAACGGGATCCGATGCCTGCCCAGGTGTCCGAATACCACCTGGCCGCGACACACCGTCGGCCCTTAATTCACAACGTGTTTCTCAACCTTGCCGCCCGTGTCGTCCATTCTGACTGGAATCCCAAGCGAGTGGGCGTACCGTACAGGCGGATGACTTGGGCAAGCTGCATTGTCGGACTCTAATTCTTGATATTGCCTGTCGGAAGGCACATCAGCCGCACCGACAGGCTCGGGGACAAGCCATTGGTTGCGACAGATACGTCGGAGGCAGCTTGGTCATACCTCGCGAATCTCGCAGGCGGCAGGCGGCATTTCCAGCAGACCAGAGGCAAATGGCTAGTAGGAATGACAACTGCGGCCTCCGCCTCTCGCTGCGTATAGTCGCGGCCGTAAACCCCATGTGTTCAGGGACGAGGAGCAGGATGGATCACTTGACTACTACGCCTAGTACCACAGTCGGACACGCGCACCTCGAGAACTACAAGGGCGGACGGCAAAGTCGCACAAGCATTTGAGAAGTACCAATGACGATCCGCATCGCCTTTGTGGCACAAACCCCAACATTTGGTTCTCCCGACCACGATATGTCGTATTCCGTGCCGGCATCCGTGGATCAGGATGCCAAATCTCAGCTCTGCGCGGCCCTCTCTGTGCGACGCCGTGTACGACGGCCACGGCTCACTCTCACGTTGCAGCCCTTGTTGTGCCGTGCCACCGAACAATGAAAAGGGATGATTCTACGGAGGGACGAAGCGCACAATCCACTGGCAGCGCTTCGCTCCTGAACGAAGTCAGCCTTGTCCATGACGATTGCTGGTATGCGCCGACGTAAGCGTCCGCCCCGCCAAATTACGGCCGCGGACAATGACCCCAGAGATTGGCGTCTGTGTGTTCATTACGAAGTCTCAGGTTCGAAAGCTTCACTCCAGCGCACGGTGGCTGGCCAACTGGCCTGCCGGTTCGTTCAAGCTACCGTCCAAGACCTATTCGTCGGGGTCTTGGCGCGACATGCACCCAGCTTTGGGGTGCAACCTGGCGCCCAGATGAGGACGGTCCAGCAGAACAGACATCCTTGGGTGGCACTGCCGGCCAATTGATCGTGTTGCAATGAGGGCTGAGGGGCCAAGGCCCAACCCGGAGCAACATGTTGCTGAAACCTCAAGCTGGGAGAATTGCCTCGGACCCGACTTTTGCACGGTTCCGCCGGGCAGCTCTGCAGTCCTGGTGGTCACCAAGTCCAATGGGAGGGACCGCATCTGTCGAACCGCGCATCACGGCTGTCCACCGCTGTCCCACGCAAGCTCCTCCAAAAATAATGTCGCGGCCCGTGTCGTGTGTGGATGCCTTTCGCCAGCTCTGAGGCAGGGACAAGCCTGCAGGCCGGGGTTGTCAACTCGAAACTTTGGGTGGTTGGTGCTAGGGGCCTAGGGTGCTGCCTTGAAGACAGGCCATATCAGACTCATATATTGCCTGGAATGATGGAATCGACATATCGATATTTAATGTCGCCCTACCGACTGACCACGCCTGCACGCCTGGACACGGCGACAGAATAGGACTAGACCTTGCTTGTGGGACCAACTGTTCGGGATTTAGATCGCGGCAACCCCTCCCACCCCCTGGTCAGGCTAATGTGCAAACGCGGAGATTTGTACCCATACCCACACGAGCAGAAAACGCGTCATCATGGCAGTCCAGGCTCCTGATCATCAGTCAGTTGGTGCTGTGGGACAGTGCTAGGAGCCTAGGAGTGCGTGCTTGCCCCTCCAGCCTGCCAGCCCTGAGGGCTGTCGGAGGACCCTGCGTGCACTGGAATCAGTGTCACATCACGGGCGGCGTCAACCGTACTTTGCAGTCGTCCTGAGACCCACGCTCACGCGAAATGAGCCACGTGTCTCGAGCCGGCATCTACTTAAGCTCCGAGAATGCGGGCACACAAAACAAATACAACGGCACAGACACGATGAGGTCGAGCCATCGCGAACAGAACAGGGACGGAGATTGCTTGGCAATATTGTTCCTGTTCAGGACGGGCGCCACTCGAGGTCATGTGATTAACGCATCGGCAGCAAGGTGCATGCGCCGACGAGACGGCTGTGCGTATACCATTATGTCTGTCTTCTCCGATGAGCTCGACTTGGCTCGGCTACAAACATGCATTTTGTTATGTGACAGATCACAATATATGACTAGGTATCAGACGATCTCGGACTAGTATTACCGGTCAGTGACAGGTTTGACAGCTCCCGCAAGGGGCGCGGGCGTGGTTGATGATTCGCTGATCCGCATCCCCCGTCCCTCAAAAATGCTACCCAGCGCCTGCGAGACCCATGTGGGACTCGCGACTAAAGACACATTAAGTCTACTCCGAGCGTGGAAGGCGGAGGGCACTCCAGCAAGCCCACGTCGGGCTGGTAGGGTGGTGTCAAAACCCACCAAGTCCACCCACCAAGTCCACCCACCCAGACCCCCATGCCGGCTGGCTGATCCCAAGGAAGGATCGTCACGACCAACCAAACTCCACAAGCCGCCGACGGTTGGGGAGCAGGGTCGGAAGCCGACCCTGTCCCTCGGGGGACGCTTTCCTGGACACACAGACCTCACTCGGCGTGCTCTTTTTCGACCGTGATCTCGACCAGGTATATGAAATCGATCCACAAGAGGCCGTTGCCGCTCTCGCCAGACTGGAGTGGACCCGGCCTCAACGGCCCTCGGGATAACTCTGTTGAGACAATCTCGGTGCGATCATAATCTCCGTCCAGTATGGCTTTGTGTGAAGGCAGACAGCCCGTCAACATTCTGTCTGGGGAACCTTATGACTTCTTGATATGCCCATCCGGGACCGTTACCTCGACATTGGCACGGTCTTGGGGTTACATTATCCTACCTCCGTCCCACTCCGGGCCGGGATATTTTCAGCGTCGAGTCAGCGGCGGCTCCCGCTGCGCGACTGTTGTGGGCACGAGGACCTCGCTTGGACCATCATGCACAAGTCTGGCAAAAGATTGAGCCAAAAGTCCACCATGCACCGCAGCGACGGCTGCTTGTGTGTATGCAGCCCGATCCTTTCCAGCGGCACAGATCTATACAGAAAGCCAGCAAATGCCAATTACGCGGAGCCCACAGCGGCGACAGCCCCGGCAAGGCGAGTCCGTGCCGGCTGTCATAGATGGCTTCGAAATCCTTCCGCCTGGGATGGCACTGGCTTCCACCCAGCTAATGCAGTCAGGGGCGGGGCGGCGAGCTGTCATCACCGGCCTGACAGGGGAGCACGAGCGAATCGCAGTGCCGCGGGCAAACCCTGGGCGGGTCGTCTTGAAAGAGCGACACATTTCAGGGGGTTCAAGTAGGGCTTACCCTTGAACCTGGGAGAACCATGATGGTGGGAACCCTTGTCTCGATTCTGAGAGGGGGAACCTGTCCACAGAGATCGACCCCGTCAAAAGTCCCAGGCCCCGCCGGCCGTCGCGATTAAAGTGACAAGCTCCACGGCAAACGCAAGGACATGCCCAGTGCCTGGTACCAGATCAGGCCATGGAAATCTCCGTCTCGTTCTCTGTGCTCTCGCCCGCCATTCCACTGCGTGGGGACGGATTAACATTCTTGAGTTTTGGGGACGCCAGGGTCGATACGGGCCTTTGTCGACACGAGTCTGAGCGAATGTTAAATGTGCGGCCGAAGAATGGAGACATCTACAAAGCTTGGGCTCCATAAACTACCAGGATGGCCGGATAACCCGCCAGGCATGGCCCGAGTTGTTGCAACTGTAGCGAGAATCCGGCTGCCTGTCGCATTTGAGCCCCAGTGGCACTGGACTTGTTTGCTTTCCACCGTCCAGGTAGGGCGTGCAGGGGGCAATGGCCGCGAGGCACGAGGCGCGATGTTTCTTCAGATGCCCAGCCTTGTTCGACGTCGTCCGCAGGGGCCATCTGGGTCCTGCCGAGAAGCACGTCCTGCAGGAAATTCACTCTGACCAGTCGCGAAGAGCGTCCCCCGCAAGCCGCTGGCGTTTTGGTTGTGGTAGGGCGACCTGGGCGACGAGATTGACACGAACATCGTCGCCAGGGTGTGCAGCCGGTCAGACGATTGATAGGCAGCTGACGGGGAGGAGGCGGGCGTGGCGCAGCCATCCCATCTCCCTTGACGTCTCAAACTTTGGCCGCAACAGCGAATCGCGCTTGCTACATCGACCAAAAAATCCCCGAGACGCCATGCTTTTCAGCCAAAGTCGTGTTGTTGCCAGACGAAGATTCCCAACAAGGCTGGCTGTGTGACGTGCATACACTGACAGGTTTCCGGTCTGGCATCGGGACTCTCGAACGTGCCTGTGCGAGAAGCACGACGTGGCGAGTCGTGGCAAACAATATTCTTCCCTTACGGTGCCCTGTCCCGAGTTTCGAAACCTGTGACGGGACATTGCTATGTAGGAGGCTGCTTGGGAGGAAAGAAGAAACGGGCTAAAACACCCCAGGCCCACCACACGCCCTATCGCAACTGGCGATAAGCTGAGGCTCCGTGGCTGGAAAAGAAACAATTTCCTGGGCCTAACCAGGCCAATACCGCGGTGCCTACCGAGCCGGACCCAGGACGGCTGTTCCTCTTTCGTCGCCGGCCCCTTGGTTTGCACCTGACGACCGGACATTGTTACGGCGAGGGCGGACCGACACTTCTTTTTCATGCCCCGCCCAGACGGCCAACCCCAGGATTATTGTATTCAGGGAGGATATGTGATCTTCCCAAAATGGATGATGCTGCGAATCTGCATACCCAGACACTAGACGTTCTCCGTCACTCGTGCTGCGCTCGCCCACACACTCAAGGCGGCTCAATGCACACACGATCGGTCCGGTCACCACGCATATGCGCAGGAACTTGATCCCATCTTTCCCACTTCTCGTCTCTTATCTGCGCGGGACAGTTTTGGGACAGTTCTCCCCTGGACCGATGTGCTTGCTTGTGCCCCGGGCCAGCACCCACGACTTCAGGATCAGCTGAGTCCTCCGACATGCGCCTGGTGCGGTTGTCCTTGTCAACCTGCGACCTTGACTGAACCTTAATCTACACGGACACCACCCCGTTGACCCCTACCTCATCCCCAGAAATCCGGGCGCACCACGGACGGTGTTCGCAGCAGCGGTCGATGGCGGCGCCACCTCATACGCAGCCCTATGTATGTAGCATGTAGGGAGTATGGATGGTGAATGCATTGGATGTATGCGGAATGCATGCTATGTTTCTTTGGGAACCAATCGCGCATCCTCGCCCCAAGGGAGCTCGACGTGAGCTCCGCGATTGGGTGTGCGGCCGCCTCGGTTGGGTTTCTTGGGTGTGCTAATTTCCTTTTTTCCTTCTTATCCTTCTTCTTCATCCTTCCTTTTTGCTTCGATGTCGGGCCCTTGTGCGCACAATAGATTGCCATACAAGTGCCGCCGCTTGGGGACGAGGCAAGGGGGTCACGGGGGATGCGAGTGGTTTAGCTTGCTATCGGGCATCATAACCGGGCACCATCGTGATCTATCACATCGTCTCCTCCTTCCTGCCCTGGCTTGGCACGATGCAGGCCCGGAAGGAGGCTGGCTGGCTGGCTGGCTGGCTGGGCTTGGGCTTGGGCTCGGCCTCTACCGTTGCCTGGGTGAGGCTTGGGTGGTTGCACACCGCATCTACATGGACACAATGGGTACTCTGCCCGAACCGTCGGCTGTCAGGGGAAAGTATTTCTTCACGGTACCACCCTCCCCCGAAAAGCAAAAAACCGAATACGCGTAGGAAGCGAAAGAACCCTCGTTTCTTTAGTGGGGGTGCTGGTGGTTTCATGGTAGGTGCATGCATGCGGGCTGACGGGGGCTATAACTGGCACGCGATGGAAGGGCGGATGCGGGCTTGACGGAGGGAAGAGGCGGGATTGGGGGTGGGGGAGGAAGACGTTATCTCGCTTCGAGGCATTCGGCTCGTTTGTGTGTGGTTTTCTTGGAAATGGACGGATGCCTACCGACACGGAGTTTGAATTTTCCTTCTTCTTAGTTTGATGTTGTTGTTGGTGACTGAGTGAGTGAGCAAGTATCGACTTGGGATAGCCTAGCCGGCCCAGGGGTTCTCTTGATGACCGGCAGGGATGGTGGCGTTCACTTCGGCAAGTACACCAAGACTCCCAAACCCATGGGGTCCATTGTAGATGGATAGAGCCAGCGACCTGGCCATTCAGCCACGATGGGGTGATATCTGGGCCCGGGCTGGTTCGAGGGTGACACGCCGGGCGAAAGGTTCGGTTTCGGCGAGGCTGGGGACGTGGGAGGGAAGGTCAAGCGAAGGGAAGGGAAGGGATTGTGGATGGAGGGTTAATTTCTCATCCTCAGATCTGCCCTCGCCGTCGATCTTGTGTCTTGTCCGGCGGCGGCAGTTCTTCCGCGCACGTTGGATGGTGGTGTTGATGACGGCTACACTATCCCGCTGTGCATCCGCTATAGATATTGCATGTATATACGTGGTCTATTGCTGGACTGGGGATGGTGGTGCTGATGGACGACGAACCCCTTAGACCGAACTCTGGTATTTCGAGAACTCATTCAAGGGCCGGCATTGGGGAGACTCGGCCCTAAGGGCCCTACATAGTAATAAGCGATGCTGCTAAGAAGAACAAATTAAACAGGGCTGGAAGGATTCGAGTGTGTGTGTACACACTGTAGCATAGGTTGTCGTGCTGCATGGGGCGGGCACGGTGAAGTTGGATTTGTTTTGGGTCACGGTGCTAAACGGCTCGGTACTACGCTGTCCTGCTCTCCAACCCGTTGGCATCTCAATCTCACCCTCCATTGTGCACCGCAACGCTACCGTATCCTTCGTGCCCGGCCATCTGGGGCTTGGGCTACTCGCTGACGGGGTATTCCCAGGTCCGTGGAGCGAACGCGACTGCCTGCTCGCCACCCCGTCACGGCCTTTTCCTGCAGCTAAGCTGCCTAGCAAGGCACGGCCTATGGCCCCAGGGCGTCAATCTCAGCTTGGAACTTTGCTTGCTGCTTGCTGGCTGGCTCGGTGTCGCAGTTCTTGGTTTGTGCGACGGCACAAGGACGATCTGTGCCAATTCTTTTTGAATGAAGTCTATCTAGTGGAAACGAAACCCAACCTCGTGTCCATGTTCTTGGTACCCCGAGAAGAAGGGGTCGTGAGGGGGTCGAAGGGGAAGAAAGGGAACGTGAGGTTGCAAATCCTGGCCCGACTGGGTGACTACCTCACCTTCCCTCAGCTTGCCCCCCTGCTCGCAGAGCTCCAGCACATCTATGTAGCTTCATGGCCGTGCTGCGGTGACACTAGCCAGGGTTATATTCAGATCTGGTGGATTAAGATCTGTGGAGGGTATATGTACATTGAGTGGCACGATCGCCGACAATGGCGACCGTCATAGCGGCCGGCGACGCGTCCTCCTTGCCTCATTTCCCGCCGGTGTTGCTTCGTAACCGCTTCCAGAGCCCCTGTCTCTGCTGCTGCTGCTGCTGTTGCTGCTGCTGCTGTGTTTCACGGCTGTTGTTGCGGATGTGCTTCTTGCTGCCGGAGGTAGCGCTCGACTGCTGGCTGATCACACTGCCGACATCAGTCCCCGCCGCGGACCGACCCAATCCTGGGACGTAGTAAGGTGATGGCGAGGCCTCTCGGGGGTCGATCTCGTCGAAGTCGTCATAGTCTGGGGACGGCATCTCACCGAGCTTGTCCGGGAGCCTCTCGTTGGGGAAGGAGTAGCCTGCTTGCAACGTTCCGTTGGCGTTCTCTCGCATCTTGTCGAGGCCTGTGGCGAGGTGGCCCACAAGAGGGCCCTTTCTGCTGTCGAAATAATCATGGTCATTGAACGCCGTCTCCTGATCCTTTCTCGGCGGCGCCGGCGGTGCTCGCGACGGCGGTGGCGTCCCCATGTTCTTGTATAGATCGGGGAACCGAGCCTTGAATTCTGCCTCCAGTTCTCTCTGGTGCTCGTCCACGACCATGGCACGCTCCTTGACCACGGCTGGTGTGACTTCGTGACCTATAGCAGGCTCCTCGCGCTCAACCCGGCGCAGCCACTCCTCGAACCGCGCGTGCTTCTGCCTCAGCGTGTCCACGGTAGGGGGCGTGGCGGCCCTGAGGCTGTCCTCATATTTCTTTGCGGCTTTTGTCATCCTGTCACCCGTGATATACTTGTCGTACGAGAGGCAGAACTCGCGGAAGGGGCCTTTCATAAGGAAGCACCTTCCGGACCAGCTGCCCTCACCCCTGAACTTGTCCAGCAGCGCCTGTGCAACGGGGCATTCCCATGACGCCTCGATGTTCCTGTCATAGACAACCATACATCTCGTCCTGCTCCACCTGGAGAAGGCTCTGCGGCTCTGCTCATCGGTGAATGTTCGGCCAAGCATGTCTAGGCTGGCCGTCGTGAGGAACTTCAGTGGCAGACGTAGATTGATTGCACCGTGGATATGTGACTTCTGGAATTCTGATGGAGACCTGAGGTCAACAAAGAGGATTTGGGCTGGGTTGAAGATCCCGAGCAGGTCATTCAAGTGGCCAGGGAGAATAGTTTGTGGCCCGGGTTGGCGAGGCTGGCTGTCCAGCCTGCTGTCCTCGGATTTTGTGTTTTCCATGTTTGCTGCCTTCTCTCTTTGCCGTCGATGGTGGAACCAAATCTGAATCTGTCAGTATTCTGCGCTGCGAAAATGCTGAGTGTCCACAAAGTACACACCTTGACGTCTGTAGCTTCGATTCCGAGATGAGAAGCATAGTACTCTGTTGTTCCGTCACTCGGATGCGGGTCTTTCTGATAATAGTCTTCTAATCGCGCCACGACATGCGCAGCTAGAGCTGGGCCTTCGGGGACGTCGTTGTCATTCTCAAATATTGTCCTCTTTGAATTCCGAGATTGGTTGAGCAGAGGTTTACGGATGATTCCACCCTCAAGTGCTGCCTCTCCCAGTCCCATGACAGCGGACAATGGAGCTGTGCGGAAGGAGGCCATCGAGCGTGAGGATTTGATTGATGGATTTTCTGGATTGCCCAGGGGCACCCGCGTGAGCGTTTGAGAAGACAGCTGGTCCGGGTGTATTGACATACTCGTCTGGGTTCGCCAGTTGCCTGACCTGTTCCCGCCCCTATGGGGTCCAGCAACATCAGTCAGTGGGTTATTCTGCTGTGCAGTGGGGCTGCGAGGATACGCTGGCATTGATGGTGCGATAATGCTGTCTCTGAATGTTGTTCCCGAGAAGACAGATGCCCGGTCGCTCGAGTACAGATCAGCCAAGGTTTCAGCAGACGCCTCAGGCTCCGGAGGGGCTTTGACGAGGTTGTTGGACCGAATGAACGCCACGAAGGAGCAAGCTTGGTCCTCAGGAAGAAGGTCCCAGATTGTAACTGGCATGGACAGAAGCAGCAGCGTGGAGTGGCTCTTGAAGACGCCTTGTACCGTGACGTATTTGGCCAGGGCTGGAAAACTGGACAGCCACTGCTCCCAGGCATTCAGGTCCAGTCTCTGGTCGTCTTCCAGTGCCAGAGAAATCATCACATGGGGCTTGTCCTCATTCGGTTCCGTGAAGCAGCCATTTTCTTCTGGCCCTCGACCCAGCAGCCTTGCGTCTAGGGAGCTGGAGGGCTGAGGCGGTGATGGAGGCTGTGGATCATCTGGGATCATCCGACTCATTTCAATGCTGGGTGCCTTGTGGTCCGATGTCATCATAAAGTGTACAGGAGTCGACCGAGCCTCGAATCGTTTCCCATTGATGCGAATAGGCCGGGGATGTTTTAAACGTGCCAAAACTTCGGCATGTAGCATGGCTGCTGAGAATGTTCTCAGCCTCCACTCTCCAAGTACCTCTATGAGCGCATTCGTAAACGAGTATCTCCCGGGGTCCGGTGCGATAGCATCCCAGCTTGAGGCGGATATTGTCTCGGTGATGCTCTTGCCATTAGGGAAGGTTGCCGAAGCTGCCCCTGAGCAGCAATCGAGTAAGATCAGGACGTCCGATATGGAGCGCTCCAGGAGGGTCTGAATGGCAGACCACTGCAACGATGGGGATCCGGAGTGTCGAGTTGCACACCAGGTGCTCTGTCTCGACTCGTCGATCTTGGCATGGCCGCCATAGTAGACAACAAAAAGGGTATCATCAGACTCGTGCTCCTTGATAAGAGCGCCGATCTTGAGCATTAGATCCAGGTGCGGATTTTCCGATGGTATTGCGAAAATATCGGTATTAAAGCCATAGTCTCCACTGAAGCACGTTGCCAGGTCCTCAAGTTCTGGCAGCACGAAGAGGTCGTCGGTTTTCCAATGAAGCAGAAGTACCTGGACGTTTTTGTACCGCTGGGAAGACCGGCCTCTGTTTGGGAAAGCCCTACTGGCAGACTATTTGGCGGGCCATGTCAGTTGACCTGCACTTTTGCTCGGCGGCATGGCAGCAGATAGGAAAGTCCTCACCTCTTGAAGAGTTTGAGCGAAGGTATCCAAGTGTTTCACATGGTAGCTAACGCGACTTGTGTCGTGGGTGGCCGAGGGAGCATCACCGATACCTGAGCCGTACTGTATACAGAGGAACGGTGAGTTGAGAACAGGAGATTGCTCGGGGCGCATGGTGAGACGAGGAGGATATGGAGAGGAAAGGAGGCGATCGCAACAGACACACAGACAGACATACAGTGGAGTCAACGCTGCTGGTGGAACTTCCGCCGTCCGGCCTCCTCGTCCTTATAGCAATATACGGCTGGGGCTGCTGCAGGTTCGCCATGACCGCCGCCGTAGCCGGGCCAGACTTTTATCTCTAGCCTGGAACGGATCACCGAAGCAAGGACGGAAATGCGCGCTGCACAAGCAGCAAGGTATCAATGAATGCGGAGACTAGCAAAGGTAGACAGACCGGCGGTAGACCGGCGGTAGACCGGCGGGTCGGGGAAATACACGGCGACAAGAAATGACAAGACACACGAGACAGGACAAGACAAGACAAGTTCTTCAAACAGGGGGTATCAAGGAGTAGGAGATGGACAGGTGGACGGAAGGAAAAAGATTAACGGAGAATTCCTGAGAAGAGCGACGACGCTTTGGGCGATCAGAGGGATATCTGGAACAGGACACCCCATTGCCCAAGACATGAAATATGGCCAGACATGCCGTCGGAGGGAGGCCTTTCTGGCAGCTAAGTGGGTGCATTGATGCCAACGGGCGGGCGCTTGGGACGATGTGTCGTCGGGAAACCCTGAGGCAGTTTGGAGGGCTGTCGTCGGTCATCGAATGCGGCTTAGCGGCCGAGGCAGATCGGTACATGTTATCTGCACGGCGCGGGCAGGGGCGGACATGTACTTCTCCGTGGGGGGACCCGTGAGCTTGGGCCGTGCAGGTAGCCTCCTCTAACCCCAGTCAATGCCTCTGACGGCTCGGTGAGGCAATCGAGCTGTCGGCTGACCAGCGAGGCAGCTGCGAGGTACCTCCCATGTAACATAACCTGCACAGTACACAGTAGCTTCCACTAGGCTAGGTAGGCATGCCATCACCCCACACCTACCACACTGCACAGCTCCTCATCACGGGTCACATCGCTGAGAGGGGATAGACCAAGACTGCTATTGTACACATCTAGACCACCGTCCATGATCGCATAATTCCAGCCGCACAGCCCTATCACCTCCAGCTCTGTTATCACCTATGTACAGCCCGGCTTTATAGAGACCGGATCCACTCGTCCGAACTATTGCCGCAGGCACTTGGCCAAAGGGAGGACACCAGCAGAAGACGGGCAGCGCCAACATGAGGGAGAGGATCACCTTCCTGCACAGGCCGGAGGATGCTGTCGATCCGGCCTCCATAGCTGTCACTGGCACCAGCCTGACAGGCCCAGCCTTGTCTGCTGCTCGAGAGGACCGCATCACCCTGGCCCTCGAGGAGCTGCCCGAGGAGCTGCGCCAGGTCTTGCAGAGCTGTCACGAGCTTCACATAAGATGGGTCAGCACTCATCCCTACGACACCATCAGCCCTCTCTACTCCCGCCTGTCGCCTGGCCTTCACGTCTTCTTCACTCCTCGAGCGGACTCGACCTTCCAAGAGTAGGATTTCCTCGTGGAATCAATCATGTTTTTTCTTACAAATTACACGTGCTGACACAGAGAGAGACAGTGGTGAGCAGCTGTGTGTCGCCCTCAAAACGGCATTCGGTAGCCTGGACTGTGATACGCCAAAGGTACTTTTATGCTATGAAACGTCCCAACACCACACTCCCCGGGCCGCTCGCTAACATGGCACCAGGAGTCCTTCACCTCACTGCCGAGCGACCGCTTCTCTCACTCTACCGCCTTTCAGTATTATCAGCCCCTGGATGACCTCTCGCTCTTCACTGAATACCTTGGCAAGGATGTCTGCCCCTTGCCAGCATCTGCATCATCGTCCTCCGCCACCTCATCATGCGCCTCCCGCGTTGAGTTGCTGTCCACCGCCAACTCCCTGGATATCTCTTACGACACCATCTCCCACGCACTCAAGGTGACCGGGACATGGGGCTTCCAAGAACAGCCTCTGCGCGTCGTCGCACCCGAGGCCAGCAACCACCGTGTCGAGGTCGGCATCCTCGCCACGGACAAGCCCCACGGCATAGAGCCGCATGAGCTGGGGCTCTCGGGCTCGCTCACAGTCCTGAGCCAGGACAAGAAGCCCTCCGCCACCATCTTCAAGTTCCCAGCCCGCCACAGGCGCGTCGATGGCGCCTCCTTCTCCGCCGCCTTCCTGCAGCCCACGGGCCTCCACCCCACGCTACAGCTCCGGCTCCACGGTGCCTCTGCCGCATCGCCCCCGGACTTGGGTACTGACGGGGAGGGTGGCTCTTCCTCCCACTGCTCGCTGCACGCCCACCTGACCCTGCCACGGGCCATCTTCGCCGACAAGTACCAGCTAGCCGACCCGCTGTTCCTGGCCTCCAAGAACCTGACCGCCCTGCGCTACATCTCGCAGCCCGTCGACCTCGAGGCCCCCGACTATGTCCTGAAGCCGTGGGGCTCGGCCGCACTGCTGGAGCTTGCGCCGCCGACGGCAGACCCGGAGAAGTCGGACTGGACGGCAGAGGTGCCGCTCCACCTGCGCTACCTCAGCCCCGCGCCGGGGGGTTACCGCACGGCGCACCTGCCGCACCCGGCCGTGTTCTGGGCCTGCACGACCGAGGAGGGCACCAAGTTCCCCGCGAGCCCGTTCGAGCGCGTCAACCTCGGCTACGACGGGCTGTTTGGACCGCGCACCGTCTTCTGGCACGTCGACCCGGCGCCGGCGGACGGGGCCGCGAGGCTGCTCAGCGAGGTGCGCGTGCCAGTGCTGGACGTGGACAAGTCCGCCTGGGTCAGCGCCGGCACGGCCGCTGTAGTCCTGCTCGGGTTCGGGTGGATCGCGTGGAAGCTTCTCTCCGTGTACCTCAAGACGGGATATGGCCCGCAGCAGCAGATGAAGGGGCTGGAGAAGAAGCAGCAGTAGGGCAGCGGAGAGGGCTCGAACTGGGAACAACACGGGTTTAACGGGGTTTCCGGGCGTCGGTGTTTCGAAGCATATTATATCCGCTTCTAGTATATTTCTCTCTAAACTTTTGATCAGATCCCATCCCCAATGTCTCCATTCGCCTAGACCAATTGCATGTGCTTCTCTCAATCGCTGCAGCCCGATTTCTCGAGCGTAGGCCGGTCGGTATCCGTTTTAGCATTATACACCGCTTGAGGAAACCATATACATGACTCGGAAGCCGGAGCTTCCGGGTCCATCCCCAAGTGCCGAGGTTTCCGCGTTCCCCGGAGTTTCTACAAGCCCCGACAAGTTCGGTCTGGCACAAGGCTGACCGTGTGCTGACTGAGCGTATCGACGTCCGATCCATCCGTCGCGTAGGCTCTTAGAATGCGAAGACCTGGTCCTCGAGCTTGCTCACGGGCCTGGCCTTCTTGAAACCGATGGCCTCGGTAGTCTTCTTCAAGCCGCTGATCATGGGGGGAGGGCCGCAGAGCAGGATCTTGACGTCGTCGGCGGGCTTGGGGAGCCATTTCTGCAGGTGAAAGTCAGCACCACCGTATCGCGAGCACACAGGTACAATTAGTAGGAGAAAGCAGAGAGCTTACCTGGATCATATCAGCGGTGACGTAGCCAACGCCGCCGGTCCAGCCCTCAGGGGGCTTGTCCAGGACGTAGTGGACCCTGAAGCCCTTGTCCTCGGCGGCGAGGGCGTCGAGGTCCTCCTTGAGCAGGATGTCCTGCTTGGTGACGTTGGCGAAGATGAGGTCGACCTCGGTGCGGTCGCCGGCCTTGCGGCCGCGGATGATGGCCTTGACGACCTGCAGCATGGGGGTGATGCCGGTGCCGCCGGCGATCATGCCGAAGTGGCGGACCATGTTGGGGGTGTAGTTGAAGGCGCCCTTGGGCCCGCGCACGCGGATGGTCTGGCCGACGTTGACGGAGGCGAGGTGCTTGCTGATGTTGCCGGTGGGGTACGACTTGATCAGCAGGTCGAAGTAGCCGGCCTGCTCGTCGCCGCTGATGGGGGTGTAGGACCGCACGATCTCCTTGGTCGTGCCATCGGGCTGGGGCAGCACGGCGCCGATGGAGATGTGCTGGCCGATGGGGAGGCCGAGGATGTGCTCTGAGCTCGGCAGGTTGAAGCGGTAGCTGCGCGCGGTTCGTCAGTCAGCGGGTTCTGGTCTGGTCAGGTCAGGTTCGGTGGCGCAGGACATACATGGCGGTGTTGTGGGACAGGATGGTCTTCTCCTTGAGCTCAAACTCTTGGAAAATATCAGGCTTGAGGGTCTTCTTGGGTTCTGCGGCGGATGGCTGTCAGCTGGTATGTTGGGGACTCAGTAGCAGTCAAGGATGGGAAACTCACGGCTCCTCAGGAACTTGATGGCGCTCAGCGCGAGGGTGACGAGGACGGCGTACGGGAGCCATTCCTTCTTGACAATGGCAACACCGACGACCAGCAGACCGGCGGGGATGTAAATCCCGTCAATGTACTTTTTCGAGCTCAGAGGTTCCTTTGTCGCCATTGTGTGATGAGAGGCTGGCTGCCGTGAGCTTGTCCGTACACACAGAGGGGAATGAAGGTGAATTGGCCGGGGCAAGTCGGTCAAGATTCGGGCTCTCTGTTGGGAAATAGTGAACACGCTCGGTTGAGAAGCTTCGGCGGCGGAGTCCGAATCGGCCCATATGCACAGGCTGACATGATGCTAGGTTCTGGGGGCCCAGCGGGAGGGGACCTTTTTTTGGTGGGGCGCTGGTCTAGAGCTACATACCTAGGTACTCCGTACACCCTTGGAATGGCAATCGGCGCCGATGGCGGTCCAACCCAGACTTGGGCCAGCACGTCCCAATGACAGTTATTAATTAACCTTGGCACCTCAAGCCGCAGCCACTTCGCGGGGCCCACTTGTGACCCGCGTGCCGACTGCACTTCTCGACTGCCACCAGTTCTTCAATTCCATTCAGTTTTATCATTTTCTTGAGCAAAAGTATCAACAAAAACCGGTGAGCTATGCTGATATTGCCCGGCAGCGTTTATGCGAGTCAGAGTAGGAGAACTGCAGAACCGGAACAGGACGGGGCCTGAGAGGACCGACGTGAAAGTGTAATTAACATGTAGTTGGTGACAAAATATGTCTATGCACAAGTTTCAAGTTCCTATAATTGGACCTGAAGTTGGAAGCTAGCTGGACCTGTGAATCTATATAGATGATGTGACCTGTCTACGTGGGAATTGCTTCAGGGTCCGCTGCGAGGCAATAGCCTCTTGGATGCTCTCTTCGAGTAAAGCCCCTACGAAAAACGTGCTGTGGAACCTTGTCATAAGTTCCATTCAGGAAGGACGTGAGAATACTCTGGAGGGTTCTCAAATTGCAGTTTTTTATTCCTCGAGGCAAGTCATATGATGAAGTGATGACCAGCCTCTGTTAGTCATCCGCCAATATGACTTCCACCCCTGGTATAAAAATCCATAAGCAAGTGTAGCGCCCCCTGTTCGAAATTAAAGTCATTATACATATAATACCTGTGATGCGGTCTGCGCTGCTGTTTTCGTGATTGGTTATATTATCCGTGCTGTATTCTTAGCTTTGTAGGTTTAGAGCGGTACCTGCTTAACGAGCCTTGCGGTACCTTTCCTAACTATCGGATAGTGATTAGACAGTTGTGCGTACTATTGTTCCTGGTTGACGGGGTAGTGTTGTAATGGTGAGCTCGGTACCTTTATACGTGCTGGGACTATCTCGCCCTGCGGTGACTTCTGCTAACTATAGTGGTTACTAGCTATTTAGATTTTTAGTGTTTAATTTAGTTTGTGCTAGTTTATTAGGGTTGCACTGAAGGTTGGTATGATTTTCTAGGATGTGTGATTAATTAAATAATTTATATAATAAATAAATATAAAGTTTTTAAATTTTATTTTTAACTTTCTTCTTTTTTCTTTATTTCTTATATTAAAAAACTATTAAAAATCTTTATACCTTTTATAAATAATATTATTCTCTTTTTTTATCTCTCTCTCTCTCTCTCTCTCTCTCTCTCTCTCTCCTCTCTCTCCTTTTCTCTTTAAAAATATTAATTATAAAGTAAATAATCTTAATAAAGGATATATAGTTATTAATAACTAACTTTTTTAAATAAAATTACTTTAATCTTTTAATTAAAAGTTATTATATTAAAGTTAATAATAATAGTTACTTAAAAGTAATATATTAAATACTTTTAAGTAAAAGTACCTTAACCTCTATTTAATATATTATATAAAGTAGGATTTATATATAAGCAAGGGCCTATTAGGGATATAGAAGAGACCTTAAAGCTGAGCTAAATGGCACCTCGTTTCCCGTTCCACTGCCCGTCGCTCGCTTTCCATCTACTCTCTGTGGTCTCTTCTGACTCAACATCAGCGTACTGTTCTTTGGATCTCATATGGTGCGACTCTGCCCTCTGCAAGGGAAGCTTTCAAACTGGCAGACTTGGATTTGGCGGGGAATTCAACCCAAATTTCCTTCTTGACATTATCAACCGGCAATCTCGACAAGGTTGAGTTCGGCGCCGTTGTCCCGTGGTTTGCGGTCCTTTCCGAGGCACTCGAATACGAGGAGCGAATTTGCATCTGTGAATTTTGAGCTGCTGAAATCACTTCTTATCCGCGCAAGGTCATATCCCCATTCCACGTCTACTACTACTCGCCAGAGTCTATCACTCGTTCTTCTGGGAGTCACCCACTCTCGATCCCACCATGGTCCACTACTTCTTTGGGAATCACGTCGCCGACGGTGATGCAAACACCAGAATCCGCAGCATGGGCTGCCAGTAAGCATACACCACCCACTGTAGCAAACGTCGTTGGCCTAATCCAGCGCAGTGAAGGCTATCAGCTCGCCATGCACACGCTCGACCAGTACCGAGGCACCGTTGTGGCCTGCCGCTACGGCCTGCCACCTACTCTTGCCCGCCCCGAGGCCCTCGAGACCCTCCAAGGCCGATTCTGTGACGCTGTCGCCCGGGTTGTCCTTGCCCAGCCCCATCTACAAGTCGGCATTGTTGGAGAGAATACGAAAAACCCTGGATTCGTTTGCCTTGAGCGACTTGACTTCCGAAATCATTTTGAATGGAGAACGCTTGACGACTCCAGTCAACTCGAGGCGGTGTATGTTGAGTCAATTCAAGCCCAGCTCGATTCCAGATATGACCACCTCTCAACCCAGCCCGGCTGGAGAGTGATCATATTACACAAGACTGGGGCCGAGTCCATGGAGGTGTTGTATGTTTGGAACCACCCGCATCACGACGGCGTGAGCGGCAAAATATTCCACCAGCACTTGTTGCGAAGCCTAAATGAAAACTTGAAACAGGACAAGGAGCCCATGCTCAAGGTTCCGAAGGGCTCGGATAGTTGGTTTCTCAACCTTCCCGGCTGTTCTGATAAGTTGCCGCCCAATCCTGAACTCTTGTCTTCATGGCCCATGACACCATCATTTCTGCTGAGGGCTCTCTGGAAAGAGCTGAAACCGCCTTTGATTTTCCCACCTGGCAACACACATGCGACCTGGGCTCCAATAAAGACCACGCCCTTCATGACCCGCTTCCGTACATTCACCGTAGACAACGGCACCGTCACGAAGTTGGTGGCTGCTTGTCGCTCGCACAGCACCACCCTGACAGGTCTTGCCCAGGCCCTCGCTCTCGTCTCTTTCATATCCTTGCTTGAGGATATGAAGGGCTTCGCAAGCAGGACTCCTTACGATTTGCGACATTTCTTGCCCTCGCGCACTCGACAATACCCCTGGCTGGAGCCAAAAGAGATGATGTGTAATTATGTCTCGGTTGTGGAGCATGAATTCGACTCCAAACTCGTCGCCGAGATCCGTTCCAAGATGCTGGATCAGCCTATAGATACACCAGGCCTGCCTGCTGGTGTCATGGAAGTGGTCTGGTCCGTTGCGGCTCGAGTCCGCCGGGAGATTCAGGAGAGACTGGACTCGGGGGATCGGAACGATCTCATAGGCATTATGAAGTTCGTCTCGGACTGGCGGACTCAACAGCGAGCCGAGGCGAATAAGACGAGGTACTTGTCATGGCTCGTCACTAACCTCGGTGTCATCGACGGAGGAGCTAGTGACACAAGTGGACAAGAGGAAGGCTGGTCGTTGCGCCGGGCGGAGCTCGTTCTGAGCGCAGAGATTCCCTCCGCTGCATTCTCAGTGTCAATCTTTACCGTGAAGGGCGAGCAGATGTGTGTCACGTGCAGCTGGCAGGAATGCGCGGTTCACCCGAATATTGCCGAGGGCCTGTTGAGCAACCTGGAACGATGGTTGAATGAAATCGGAGCCTAGCTGTCGGTGTGGAGTAATGACCATCCTTCAATGTAATATCCATGTTTGCTATGCAAGTATCTCATGTGAAATTACGGTCATGATAGCAGTCCACGCTCCCCCGTATTCAGTCAACCGTTATCATTCCCAGACAAATGCCTCGCACATGTTTTCACAAATGAAGCCACAGATGGGAACATGATTCATTTAGACAAGTGAGTCGCACGACTTTATCTCTCCCAAACTTTTTCTCTGGCCCCCGCGAATCGATTGACTGGGCGTAAGAATAGCCACACTTTTGCATGACATATTTAGCAACAAGATTGTGTGACTTGAACTGTGACACTCATCTGGGGGTGAGTTGGAGGGGCGGGGAGCCTGCTACGGCCTTGTTGTCAATAGCGGCATGTAAGGTGATTGAAAAGTAAAAAGCCGGGCTAAGCTGCCGGTCGTTTCATGTGCTTGGTGCTTGCAGCCTTGTTGAAGCAGTCGGCGAAAGGGTGGGATCATACAGCCATCTCAGCTTATATTTATGTGACAAGACGGTACCCCTTAGCCTTATCTATACGTCGCAAGGCTGAGGCTACAAGCACCTATTATATTATAACTACTATTATTAAGATTATATTCTTTCTAAGCGCTAGGTCTAGAGTGCTTACTACTATATAAAGGCGCTACATATATCCTTAGATATATATAAAATAAAGCTTTAACTATATTATATTTTTCCTTTATATTATATAATTATTTTTTAATTTAATTATTTATATTTTTTTTAATTTAAAGCTTATATATAAAGTTTTTAATAATTTTATATAAACTAATATCTATTTACTTAATAATTATATCTACTTACTTAATTCCTACTAACTACTTACTTAATATTAATTTTTCTAAATAACTCCCTTATATTTATAAATATCTTTTAAGTTAGTATTAAGAGACTTTATAATATAATTTTCTTTTCTAATTTTTAATACTTTTAATATAAGTTTTTTCTAACACCCCTTTTAGTATACCTTTTAATATACCTTTTAATATACCTTTTAAACCTTCTAACTTATATATATTTAAATACTAACTAAATATTTAAATATTAATTAAATAATAAAAAGTTAAAAGTTTAAAATATTAAAAAGCTAGAAAGAGTATTAAAAAGTTAAAAAAAATATAATTTTTATTTTTACCTTTTTAACTTTTAACTTTTCAATATTTAATTAATATTTAAATATTTAATTAATATTTAAATATATATAAATTAAATAGTAAAAGTAAAGGTAAAAATAAAAGTAAAGGTAAAGGTAAAGGGGTATTAGAAGGGGTATTAAAAGGGGTGCTAGAAGGTATATTAAAAAGTGTATTAAAAAGTATATTAAAAGGGGTTTATATTAAAAGTATTAAAAATTTAAAGAATTCTAATTAAATATATAGTTTTATATAAGCCTTATATATAAATTTTTATATTAAGTAAGTAGTTAAAAAAAACTAAGTAAGTAGATATAATTACTAAGTGAGTAAATATTAGCTTATTTTATATATATTATTATAATTTTATAAAAGAATTTTAAATTTCTTTTTTATTATACTTTTTATATTATTAAAAGTTAATAATTATTAATAATAAAAATATAAATTTAAAAGAATAAAGTTATTATATTTTTCTTTTTTATAAATTATTTTAAAACTTTCTTTAAAAATTTTAATACTTTATTATAAAAGTTTTAAAAGTAATATATTATAAATTATTTCTTTATTTTAAATTCTTTTAAAATTAATAATTATATATTTAAATAAAAGGTATAATATTAATTTATTTAATAAAAGTTTTATTATAATATATATATATATATAACTTTAACTATATTATATTTTTCCTTTATATTATATAATTATTTATTTCTTTCTTAATTTAAAGCTTATATATAAAGTCTTTAATAGCTTTATATATATTCTTATAATCTTTTAAAAAGAAACTTTAAATTTATTCTTTCCTTTATTTTTATTATATTTTTATATTATTAAAAATTTAATAATTATTAATAATAAAAATATAAACTTAAAGAAGAATAAGTTTATTATACTTTTTTTATTTTTTATAAATTACTTTTAAAATTCTTTTAAAAGTTTTAATACTTTATTATAAAAGTTTTAAAAGTAATATATTATAAATTATTTTTTATTTTAAATTCTTTTAAAGTTAATAACTATATATTTAAATAAAAGTTATAATATTTATTTAATAGGGTTTTATTAATATATATATATATATATATATATATAAAGATATATTTAAAAGAATAATTTTTAATTAAACTTTCTTTAATATAATTTATTTATATAATAATTATTTTAAAGACTTAATTTTATTATATAACTTTTTTATAATATTAATATTATTATTAAAATAATACCTTTTAACTTTATTTATATATTATAAAGTTAAAATTATAAATATTTATTATATTATAATTATTATTATTAATATTATATTCTTTTAAATATTAAGTTTTAAATATTTATTATTATATAAAATATTATATATATCTTTAAATATATATAAAATAAAAGTAAAACTATATATATATATATTTAAAGAAATAATTTTTAATTAAACTTTTCTTAATATAATTTATTTATATAATAATTATTTTTAAATTTAATTTTATTATATAACTTTTTATAATAATTAAACTATAAATTAAAGTTAATATTTATTTACTTAATAATTATATTTACTTACTTAATTCCTATTAATTACTTACTTAATATTAATTTTTTTAAGTAACTCCTTTATATTTATAAATATCTTTTAAATTAATATTAAAAAACTTTATAGTATAATTTCCTTTTTTAATTTTTAATACTTTTAGTATAAGCTCCTTTTAGCACCCCTTTTAATACCCTTTCTAACACCCCTTTTAATACCCTTTTATATTTACCTTTACCTTTACCTTTACCTTTACCTTTATTATTTAAATTATATATATTTAAGTATTAATTAAATATTTAAATACTAACTAAATATTAAAAAACTAAAAATTAAAAAAATAAAAATAAAAATTATACTTTTTCTAACCTTTTAATACTTTTTTTAACTTTTTAATACTTTAAACTTTTAACCTTTTAATATTTAGTTAGTATTTAAATACTTAATTAATACTTAAATATATATAACTTAAAAGGTATATTAAAAGGTATACTAGAAGGTGTGCTAGAAGGTGTATTAAAAGTGTATTAAAAGGTATATTAAAAGAAGTTTATATTAAAAGTATTAAAAATTTAAAGAATTTTAATTAAATATATAGTTTTATATAAACTCTATATATAAATTCTTATATTAAGTAAGTAATTAATAAAAACTAAATAAGTAAATATAATTATTAAATAAATAAATATTAGTTTTATAAATTACTTTTATTTATAATTAATATTATTATTAAAATAATATTTTTAACTTTATTTATATATTATAAAATTAAAATTATAAATATTTATTATATTATAATTATTATTATTAATATTTTTTAAATATTAAATTTTAAATATTTATTATTATATAAAATATTATATATATCTTTAAATATATATAAAATAAAAGTAAAACTATATAATTATATATATAAAATAGAAATGAAACTATATATATAGAATAGAAGTGAAACTATATATATAGAATAGAAGTGAAACTATATATATAGAATAGAAGTGAAACTATATATATAAGCAGGAGGAAGCCTCTCTAGGGCTACTAGTAGTACACTGCTTGTCTGTGTTTTGAAATGATATGAATGACCTTAAATGGAGCAGATTGGCGCCGAGTATCCTTGGACATCTCTCGAGGACTATTTTCGATGGGAGGACTGGAGCTTACTTTCCGAGTTGCTAGGTAGAACCCACCACATTCATTTTTCCTCCCTATGTCTCTGGCTTTATGGAAAGTAAACAGTAGCGCGAATTTGTTCCCTGGAGTTAGATCTGGTAGCTTCCACTTGTATTCTCATTTGTTACTATCTGTTTCTTAATGCCTGTGGTCCTCGCTGCGCATGATCTCTTCCCGCGGGTTATGCACGATTATATCACAGCACTGTAGATATTATACGACATATTACTCAGAAGGGCACCTGGGCAGTTAGTGAAACCAACTGGGCATAGATTGTGCATTCTGCAACGCCGTAACCACGCCTCGCCGAGTCCAATTTATCACCACCCATGAGACCCCGGGGAGCTTGAAACGTTAGCGGGCTGTCTTAGGGCAAAGTTCACCGCTTAGCTTAAACGAACCCTTTTTGAACTCAACAATGAGGAGTTGCAGTGGTTGCCGCAACGACCATGTCCAGTCGCTCGAGTTCCAATGAAGGCCGATCTCCTAGAAGGGTTTGCATACATCCATGCAATGACTCAGGACCACTAGGCACCTATTGCGTCAGAGAAAAGACAACGCTACATCTTGAGGTGTCCACAAAGTTCGGAGAGCCAGTGCTGCTCAGCGAGTGTAGAGATCCGCCTCCTGTGAACATTCCTGCAATGCAAAACTAACTGAGCTTATCATGAAAGATACATTGGGTCTTGTCCTTCTAGGACACTAACTGTGGAGTTCAGCTTAACAGAGGAACTCAAAAATACAAATAGTTCATAAAGATCTACCTTAAGTGGCGATCGGATGTAAAGGTGGACCCTGTCAAGTCGGAGTTCTCATTAGTACCCAGGGTAGGTGTGTAGTTTCGCTCTCGTATCTGCGTATTTGGTCTGCGGAGTACCTAGTACTCGGTTGACAATCATGCCGACGGAGACTTTTTTCTTGTCCTGTCGCCCCTGAGGAGTAGCAGTCCTGAAAGGTCAGGCTCTCTAGGACTTTTCCCAACACAGTAAATAAAGTTTGTCTCAGTAGTCCGTGCTTCGGCCGAGTTCGTCCGTCATTCCCCACTGCACCAGTTGTTGTTAAGCAGTTTTAAATTGACTCGACGTATTCGTGCAGGGGACTAACTATTCCGTACATTTGGCATTTTATGGGCTCCCGATATTCCGCGTTTATGAAAGTGCTTATATATTCATCAGCCCCCAACTCTCTTCAGCAACAGATACTTAGTAACAATCTCACTTGCATCTTACCATAACCACACAAATTTACTTTACATTGCCAGAATGAAGGTCATTATCATTGGTGCTTCCGGAGCGACGGGCGGTAGTATCGTGAACGGCCTCCTCGAATCTACTACGCAATTTGTATGTGTCTTGCCCCCCGCATTGGGTAGCTAAGCGCGTCGCCGAGATGATGGGCTAATTGACGCTGGATGCTAGGAAATTACGGCTGTGACGCGAGAGGCATCTCTCAACAGCAAGAACAACGATGAGTTGAGGAGCAAGGGCGTCAAGGTCGTGGCTGCCGACCTGAAAGGTCCTGAGGCAGACCTAGTCAACCTCCTCAAGGGCGCGGATGTTGTCATCTCGGCCATCGTTGCAACGGCCTTGTTGGACCAGATCCCCCTCGCAAATGCCGCGAAGAAGGCTGGAGTGGGCCGCTTCATCCCCTGCACCTTTGCAACCGCTTGTCCCCCGGCGGGTGTGATGAAGCTGCGCGATACGGTGAGCAGATGCTGTTACCCCGCCCCCCCCCCAACTCGGCAGGACCGCAGCTGATACAGTTCGCAGAAAGAGACAGTCCTCAACCACATCAAGAAGATCTACCTGCCGTACACGCTCATCGACGTGGGCTGGTGGTATCAGATCAGCGCACCAAGGGTCCCTTCCGGACGTGCCGACTCCGGCCTCTTGGTACCCGTGTCGTATCTGGTGGGAGACGGTTCGGTGCCCTCTGCCCTGACTGATGTCAAGGATATCGGCCGATATGTCGCCAAGATCATCGCCGACCCCCGCACCTTGAACAGGATGGTCTTCGCACACAGCGAGGTCTTGTCGCAGAAGCAGATTTTCGACAAGGTCGAGGAGCTGAGCGGGGAGAAGCTGGAGCGCAACTATGTATGGAACTCCTTTTGCAACTCTACTACTTGAGTGTCTTATCATGCCCGTGGCCGCTTTGCTAACGTTGAATCTGAGAAGCTTTCCGCGGAGGCGCTGCAGGCCCAGATCGACGGGGCCTTTGGGCCGGATGGAGCCGTGCCGGAAGACACTCGCGCTCTGCAGATGCTCTGGAGTTTTGAGTACCAGTACTCGTGGGGCATCCGTGGGGATAACACGCCCGAGAACGCCAAGTACCTGGGGTACCTGTTGGGCAAAGAGCTCTACCCGGACATGGAGTTCACCTCCTATGAGAGCTATATTAAAAGCCTGCTGGACGGCACGGCTACAAGACCCTACGCGTGAGGGGTGGTCGTGGGTTACAAGATCATTACTTAAGTACGTAGCGTCATAGGATCCGAGTCATGGGTACGCCGTGTTTCTTGACAGAGAATATTATCACGCATGTGCATCTTGCATCTGTCTCTCGCATATGTGATCCTAATTGGTAGGGTAGACAGCCAGTAAAATGTGAGAGTTGTCGTCTTGTGGAGGCCATGACATGGTGTTGTTGGACTTGGTACAGAACATTTGCATATTTCCACCACAGAAGGGTCGAGTCTTTCAAATTTCATAGCACGCATGAGAGGGTGTACTGATGACAGTGTAATAACCGATTGGTAGGGTCTACGCTAATATTGCGGCTCAATCTACCACAGTACAAGTGCTCAAGGAAATACTCGGGCTATGCCACCGAGCAGCTGCCCAGCCCCCCGCCATTCCACCGTGCGCCCAATCCGGCCCGCCGACTGCCAAGGTGGGGTGGTCCAACTCGGGCACTCAAGCTGCCCAGTCAGCAGTGGCACGCCCTTGAACAGCTGCGTGCGTGTCAAGCCCTGCCAGGAGTCATCCAGTTTGCACCACTCTACGACCAGAGGTGACACCCGGCGATTCATTTTCTTGCTTTCGTTTTTGCATTGGATTTCTCATAGATGAACAAGGCTTCTGAGTAGCAAGACTACTGAATCAATTGACTCCTCTACCATCCACCCAGTGAGTTGACCTTGACCTTGCTGCCTGCCTGCTGACTTACTTTCATAGACAGCCAACATGGGCGAAAAGGTCGAGGACGCGCCATTCCCACTGACGGAGGTGGATAAGTGGGTGCTCTCGCAGACGGACGAGGAGTTCAAGTACCACGACTGGGAAGAGCTAAAGGAGATCATCGGTATGCGAGGCCTGAGACTCTGTGTGTAGTATTACGTAGACGTGTTTCCCTGACTGATTCTGCAGACACCAACAACCTCTCGGTTCTGAAGCGAAAGCCCTCAGACCTCCGCCGGTACATGAAGTGGACAGCCGAGACCAAAGCTGCCTATGGATCCATGACCAATTTCCTGCTGCAACACCGCCTTCCAAAGTCGTGGGGCCCAGTCCCTTTCACGCCCGCCTCTGAGATCCCTTTCAAGGACCCGTCCGACTATGTTGTCCTCGTCAATGACTGGCCCTACGGCCTGACCCCTGGCATCACGCACTTGGTAGTCTGGACCCGAACTATCATCCCGACGGATCCCGACACCGGAGACGTCACTCCAGACAGCAGGAGGCTGATTGTTGATTTTGTCAAGAAGCACTTTACCGACAAGCTAGGCCCGGGAGGCGAGGAGCGTGTGATGTGGTTCAAGAATTGGGTCGCCCTGCAGAGTGTCCGAGCTCTAGAGCACATCCACGTGCTGGTCAAAGACGTAGATTCCGCCACAATTGCTGAGCTGGCGCAATAGCACACGCGTCGTTGGTGCGTCACAGTAGAAACCAGTGCGGTACATATGATGGACCATAGAATTATAGACCGCTATTCCAGTCAGGATCGTCTCCACGTGTACCGGCGCCATGCTAAATCGACCAGATCAGGCCGCAGCACGTCGCTGCTTCCGGTTCGCAGCTGGGGCAGCCTCCTGCTGGCCACCCTGCTGGGCACCTTGCATGCCTGCCAGTCCTCTCGCCATCCCTAGAAGGCCGTAGCCTTTGTAGGCGCCGTAGGCGGGAACGACGGCCCATACCAGCCACAGCCAGTTTCCGAACAACATAACGAGGACCTGGCACGCCCAGGTGACCCAGACGACATCCCACATGTACTCTGTCAAGCCCGGTGCGGAGAGGTCCTCGCCCGAAGACCTCAGGGCTCCAGTGGAACGGTCGAACGAGGGCCGCCCGGCCTTCTCGAGTGCAAATTCGCAGGCAAAGCTGGGAAGGGACAGCAGCACGTAGGCCCACAGGGAGCGTGACCTGATGAAGAAGGTCCACAGGAGGAAGAGGCCATTGACAGCTGCAGCACCGATGTGGAGGCTTTTCAGGGACTCGGCATTGGACTTTGCTCGGTCCTTCTTCGCCTTTTGAGCCATGATCAAGAGTGCTCAAGTGTGTGTAGGTGACAGATAAGTAGGAAGGGATGATGGTGATGTGGTCGTGTGACTAATGTGACCAGAATGCAACAAGACAGGAATAAGCCTCACAAAGCCCAAAATGATTAGATTGAGACTCAGTGAGTGGCTGGTGGTGGTTGTGATGAAAGGGGACAAATCCTTGGTGACAGGAAAGGAAGTTGACGTCGGTGATGATCCCACGTTGTTCACTTTGGGGAGGCTGAAAATAAGTCGAGGATCCATCCATGTGCATGTGCTCCGTACGGAGTCAAACGGTCATTAGGGTACTCCGTACCTAGGTACCCATCTGTCTCGGTACGGGTAGCCTGGGGTGCCGTGGGGCAGTCAAGAGGCTGGGAGGTTGGTTGCTCAGCGGCCAGAGCTGCTGGCCAATCACTAGCCGTGGCCGTCTCGGGGGACTGCGCGGCAGGCGCCAACGTCAACAAGAGGGTTGTGCATTGCAGGGCAGTTCTGCCTCAACCACAGGCCCTGAACTTCACGACCTACCGCTTTTTTCCATTCTCTGGGATCTTAATTGCTTCACAGAGTTGCTTCTTTGGACCCCTCGATCCCTCCCGGGGCGTCTTCTTGCAGCTACCATTCACCGCTGCACACCCCCGCCCGATTGATTGTCTTGGTTCTATTCCCTGCCGTGCCTTCCTGCACCAACTCGCGACGAAGACCAAAACATGACCTCGTTCGTTCCTCCGAGTTCAGCCTTTGCCACGACGCGTGCAGTGCTCTCAAACATTGGAAAGCACGACATATCCATTTGAGCCCGACGACCACGAGACACGGAGGACCGTCATCCCGGCCTATACTTCACACACGACCACTGGGTCGCTGCCGGCCGAGGATTCTCACTTGCACGACCGACCACGACCACCTGACGACACGGATTGCTCTGCACTTGCTTCTAATACTGCTGGCAGCGCATACTTTACTGTGCCACCTCTCTGCTGTGTTTTCCTCTTTTCCCTTTCATATCTGCATATTATCCAGGCGTTACGGTGACCACGTCTGCATCCACCACCCGGTTCGGCATTCATCTTACGAAAGCGGCGAAAAAACGACATTCCCCCAGAGCTCGGCATTGACCGACCGTATCGACGCCCCTCCCACACTTCCCCATTCTGTCGCAAGCGAACGAGATACCCACCGCGTCTACGCCTACCCGTTACTTTTGAACAGACACTCAATATACTCTCCCATGGATCGAAGGGGCCGCTGACAGTACATATCTCACTGCTACAAGAGCTCGGCCGGAGTGCAAACTATTCGAACATGGCGCCCTCCCAGGCCTATACCAACGAGATCTTGAGGCAGGCTGTATATTACCACCTCGACAACCTCTCGCCCCACAATGCTCTCTTCTTTGCCGAGAGACTATGCGCCCAGGACAAAGATAAACAAACCGAGGCTACCTTCTTATACGCACTTTGCCACCTACGGCTCGGCGATGATCGCTCCGCATACGAAGTTAGCAAGGCCTCTGGCTACAGGGGCACGCATCTGGGCTGCTCCTTTGTGTTTGCACAGGCGTGCCTGCGGATGGAATTGTGGAAAGAGGGCATCACCGCGCTAGAAAAGTCAAGGGTATTATGGGCTTCCAAGAATAACATGGGGAAGCACGCCGCCGGGCTGAGAGCGCCGCACCCTGATGCCGCAGCCTGTAGCTGTCTCTTAGGGAAGCTCCATCGGGGCTATGACGACAAGGACCGCGCAATCTCTTGCTTCGAGGACGCTCTGAAGGCGAACCCTCTGATGTGGGATGCATTTACCTCGTTATGCGACATGGGCGTGACAGTCCGTGTTCCGAACATATTCAAAGTGAACGAAAATATGGTCAGGAACTTTGACCAGATGCTGAACGGTCCGGTGGCCGACCCAAAAGAGCCGTCGCTAAACACACTCGAACCTCTCCACGTTCCTAAGAAGTCGTCACGAGCGGTTGCGCATGATCCTGCGGACCCTTTTGAGCAGCACCGCTCGGCAGGTTCCCGAGAAATTCCGTCGTTCAGCGATCTCCAAGCACCCGATACGGACGCCAACGATTTCATGTCCAAGATTGTCGCAGCGAGGTCAAGGGTGGGCGCTTTGGGAGCCCCCTATGTAAATCAAGGCGACATGGAAACACCGACCACGACCAGGTCCAACGTTGATACACATCAAGCGCGGGTGCCGACGAATCCAGAGCCGCCCCAGGCGCCATTTCGGAGAAACAGAGCGCACCTTGCAGAGGCACCACCCGAGGCACCCCCACGTGGTGGCTACAAGCTCATGACCAAGAGGAGAGAGAAGGTCCAGGAGGCCGAAGCTCCATCGGACGCTGCAGCATCGCTCCTCAGGCCGACGGTCAGTACTGACAGGAAGCGCACTGTGTCTGGACAGCCAGTACATTCTCGGCCGATGCATGGGGAGGAAGCTCCTCAGCGACGTAGTGCCAGATTGAACATGTTCAAACAGTCAGGACCAAAGCCCAACACCGGCACATCTACTACTGGCCCATCTAACGGTCGTGAGTTGAAGAGGGCTAGAGCTCCTATCTCCCGGCTCGTCAGACCAAATCCAAATCCAGCAGTCGGTCGTGTGGTTAGTGGAAACAGACGGGGGGCTGAGGACACGAATATGGATGTCGACCGTGCGGAAGGCCCGGCGAAGGAGCCCTTGGCAGTGCAACGCGTGCCCCAGAAACCCTCAGAACCGGAACCTAAATCCGAGGAAGCGTTAAAGACCATCTTGGATCTCCTGAGGAGGTTTGCTTATGGTTACCAGCAGCTCTGTCAATTCCAATGCCATGAGTCGCTACAGTCTTTCAGCTCACTTCCTCGCCCGCATCAGGATACCGCGTGGGTGCTGGCACAGATGGGCCGGGCTCAGTACGAGCAAGCGGCCTATCCGGAGGCAGAGAGGCTCTTCAGGCGCTTGAGGATAATATCCCCAACTCGTCTACAAGACATGGAGGTTTACTCGACAATCCTCTGGCACCTGAAACGAGAGACGGACTTGTCATTCCTCGCCCATGAGCTGGTCGACTCCGCGTGGCTCGCCCCGGAGTCGTGGTGTGCCTTGGGCAATGCATGGTCGCTAGCAAAGGACCATGAACAAGCCCTCAAGTGTTTCAAGCGAGCAACACAGCTCGACCCGAAATTCGCCTACGCTTACACACTCCAAGGCCATGAACACATGGTCAACGAGGAGTATGACAAAGCCCTGACGGCATTCAGGCAGTCGATCTCCGCTGACCGACGCCACTACAATGCCTACTACGGCATCGGTATGGTTTACGAGAAGCTCGGCAATTACGACAAGGCGTTCACCCACTTTCACTCTGCACACGTGATACATCCCATGAACGCCGTCCTAATCTGTTGTATCGGCACGGTGCTCGAGAAGCAGAAACATGTGCTACAGGCCCTGCAGTACTTCAACAAGGCGACCGAGTTGGCGCCGCGAGCTGCACAGGCACGGTTCAGAAAAGCACGCGCGCTGCTAAGCGTGGGGAACCTGCCGGCGGCGCAGAAGGAGCTTCTTGTGCTAAGAGATCTCGCGCCGAACAACGCGCTCGTGCACTTCTTCCTGGGCAAACTCTACAAGGCTCAGAACGACAAGAGCCAGGCTGTGCGCCACTTCACCCAGGCACTGAGCCTGGACCCCAAGGTGAGTTCGGATCCGCTCTCCACGAGCCAAACGCAAAACAGGCACTGACCGTACCAACAGGCAAGCCAGCGGATCAAGGAGGCGATAGAGAGCCTCGAGGAGGACGACGGCCTCGACGATTCTATGATACAATGATGTGTGTCTGCGGTTCCAACCTGGCCCCTTGGCTTGGCTTTTTGTAGCTGAGGCTTGATTCGGCCACCTTACCACGAATCTGGCTGGGCATAAGCGGCGCAGTTCGGGCTTGAGGACACAGCGACCATGAACGAGGCAACGAAAACAGCATGGCATGGAGCACGGCAAGGTTTTAAGGCATGGCACAGGCGTTAAAGTATTGAGTTGGGAGGGGCCCAAGGAGGGTAGGAATATCGGGAGGGCAGCCGGTATGAGCAGGCGTAATCTCGTTTTGCTTCCCTCCATATTCTTTTTTTTGACAACGGATCAACCAGCCTCATTTGTAGTCATCAATCATCACGACCTTTGGTTTTGGATGAGGAGGCTACTTGAGTCCGTTGTGGCGTGGGGGCTTGGCACGGCCTCTCTCTGCCATCGATATATTTGTGTATGAGTACTTCGATCACGGCAGTTGGATTTGTATAGTAGGTCAGGGCAAGAGAGGCCATGGAATTGTCACCACCACCAGGCTAGTAAGTAGTATAATGTGCGGCGTCGTCCTGTTAACAGCAGGCTTGTCAGAGCGTAGTGATACCTAGGTACCTATGTACGCATGTAGACCCAACTTCGCCTATCTAAGCCAACTCTGCGAGCCTTTCACGCCGGAAAACGAGTGTTCAAGATGTCATCTTTGGCAAGGCTCTCTACGACATTGCGCCTTTCCTGCTCCTGACTATACGTGTATCGAGCAGTTCACAGCCAGTCGACCTCGTCGTTCTGCCGCTGGTTGCCAGTGACGAGATGATTTGGCTTACTAGCTGTAAATGCGACAAGGCAGTGCGCTAGAATCTGCCTAGTGGATGTGGCCAGCTGGTCAGAGTACTACTCCCAACGATAGTCAGGCGCGGCCGGAACAGATCTGAGGCAGACCTTGGGATGCTGCATCCCGTCTCTGGAGCAGCTCAGATAGGGCCCGATCGGCAGATTAATGACAATGTTTCGACAATGACGATTTGATTATAGTTGCCAAAGCAGGAATTCTCCTTTGCTCGTTCACATACGGCAATCAGATGGTGTATACCTAGTCGGTCGACCTTAGGGTTAGTATATGGCACGTATGTGTGGGTACGTTTCTACGCGTTGGTAACGGAGCGAAGCGTAAGCCTCGACGCTTCCATCGTGTCGTGCTGAATCAGCCAGTAGCCTGAGACAACTTGATAGCAGTGACCTCGCTCTTCAAGCAGCCGGTTGCCCATACTGCAGAGCAGAAAATAGAACAAGGCTTGTTGCATCTGTGTTTGCGCAGGAAACGGCAGAACTCGGGCGCGTCTGGAGTACTGTGTGGTGGTTGGACGTTGTCTCAGGGTTCGGGGAGAACATGCTGCCAGGGCCATGCAGGGATGGTGGATTGTGTTGCATGCTGATCTTCGCCAACCCGGTTTTTCTGACGGCAAGATAGCAGCCGCATTAAATTCACGATGCCTCGTTCGAGTGGTGTTGCGGGGAACACATGACCATGTGGAGAGCCACATACTCGGATCTGAGTGCTGCAGAATGGTCCGGTCTGTAGCGTTGTATATAGAGAACGTGCGGATGAGGTTGAGAGAGGAGCTTGGGTCTTATGTCTGAAGAGTGGGCGGTCCTGAATGCAGGTAATGACTTCCTCGAGGCCCCCGAAATCAACGATTCGGCGGAGCGTCACCTTAACGGAAAGCGGACGCTAGTGTGGATCCCTGCAAGCCGAGACGCCAGGAGTCGGTGTGCACGGGCCCCCGCGACGGCCAAACAGCAGAGAAAGGGCCGTTTTGCACGCTTCAGGCCGCATGGATTTAAGGTCGCTTTTGCAGCTGCAAATTCGATTTTAAAAGCGCTGGAAAGAGCAAACCCCAAAACTGACTAGCGCCTTCCGCCTGCCAGAAACCACAACTTGAATCACACTCCCAAGTCAGTCGACCGCCCACTCTTCCTTATTAACCGACTCCCCCCCGTATCTCGCGTTTCCTCCCTTTCTTATCTCCTCTCTTTCACTCCCCCATCACTCAACATCCACAAACCCCCATCAACAATCCATCGATTTGTCCACCGCGACATCATTTTCATCAACTAAACATCACACTTTTCTTCATCAACTTCATCCAAGATGACTGGACGTAAGTAATTCTCCATTTTGTCTCATCGCTGTCGTCAAAAACGCGTCGGCTTTGACGCTGTCGCATCTGCTGCATCCGTCATCACCTCCTCTAGGGGCGTGTTGGTGTTGAGTGGTGGCAGTAGTGGGGCAAGACACCACTTCACCCCGACGCGTCTTGCATCACCACAACCACATGCAACCGCGTCAAGCCTCACCAACCGTTGCATAATTGCACAACCAACCTATCTCTCATTGTTGCTCGTTGCTAACACGCATCTTCTATAGGTGGCAAGGGAGGCAAGGGTCTCGGAAAGGGCGGCGCCAAGCGTCACCGCAAGATTCTTCGTGACAACATCCAGGGTATTACCAAGCCCGCTATCCGCCGACTGGCCCGTCGTGGTGGTGTCAAGCGTATTTCTGCCAGTAAGTTCTACTCATGTCGCCATGCCCACAATGGAGCGCATGCTAACCTCCCCAACAGTGATCTACGAGGAGACCCGCTCTGTCCTCAAGTCCTTCCTTGAGGGTGTCATCCGTGACGCTGTCACCTACACTGAGCACGCCAAGCGCAAGACCGTCACCTCCCTCGACGTCGTCTACGCCCTCAAGCGCCAGGGCCGTACCCTATACGGTTTCGGTGGTTAAGCGGCTTCCTTCTCTTTCTCTCGACACCGGTCGGGCGGGGAAGCGCGTGCGGTGGACTGCAATGCATTCTGTTGTTTTTGCTCCTGTACTCTTCCGGTACCTACGCGATACAGCATGGGCAAGGCAACTAGAGGGTCGGGGACCGCTGGGGTTTTAGTGGACTTGTTTGATGATCATACAGCAGCAAACCTGGGCGGAGGCTTCTGCGACAATTCTTGATTTTGGGCGTTGGGGTACTACGGATCAACCGGAATGACAGGGCGTCGGATATTGGCGACGACCGCCCTTTGGTCGAAAGACAAGTGCGCCAGCAAATACACTTGATGAACATATCGAAATGCTTGTTTCTTGTTGTGATTATGTGATGCGTGACTCGATGACTGCGGGCTCAACGGCCAACTACATCAGGCAGACAGGTGTTCCTTCATCCACCGCGTCCACAACGTAAATGGGTGTGTCTGCTGGCGGGCTGCTCACAGGCCTTCCGACCTCGTCCTCGCTCTATCAATGTTCGTGACCTTTCCCAGTACCCTGCGCCTTGTATGAAGTCCTGCCCACCTCGCAAACGCCAGCTGGCACTTATCTGACCAAGCCCAAGCCACTACAAGTACTTCCTCCCTGCGGCAAAGACCCGCTGCCTAAAGATGGGACTCTTGACTTCCATGTTGACCTTGTAGAAGGGGTTCATGACGGCCTTGACCCAGTTCTCGTAGACCTCGAAGAAGAAGCTCTTGATGGCCTCCTCGGTGGCGGCGCTGGTGGGGTTCGCGGCGATGGAGGTGGACGAGCGCGAGCCGGACGAGGAGGAGCCGCCGAAGGGCTGGTGCAGCAGCAGGAACTTGACGTTGGCGCCGGTCACGAAGCACGAGATGTAGTTGTTGAAGAACTTGTCGATCACCTTGAGGTATCTGCCCGGGTCAGTGGTCAGCGGTTTGCTCGCTCAGCATGTGTATGTTCCAGGAGGGAACAACGGGGCTGGTAGGCGCCGGTGTCGTAGGCGGGAGGGGATAGTCCATCTCTACGTACAGTTGCCCATTGTTCCACTGCACCTCCTCGACGACGTCCAGCGCGCTGTGCAGGATGAACTGGTTCAGGTGGCGGGCCTGGTCCGAGAAGCGCGACTGCCCATCGCCGCCTTGCTTGGACGTGCCGAACTCGTGCTCGAAGAGCGGGTTGTCTTGGGTGCCGATGATGGCAAAGTAGTAGGACATGGCTCCCGTTATCGATCGATCATCTGGCAGGCCTCTGGCTGTCTCCTCTTCTTCTTGTCTTCCTGCTCGTGTTTCTGTGGAAACACAAGGCCTTGGCCGGGACGGGCTGAGGCTTCGGTCGGAATGGGAGTGCTGCTCCCAGCTCCCGGCGGCGTGAGGTGGGCCGGCCGCAGGGAGCCCCCCACAGTCACGGTACCTACCGATTATTATGGCCCCCACCCAAACTACGTTGCGGCACAGGGTGCTTGCTAGCTCCATCCATCCTGCCTGCCAGAGCCAGCCGGGCGCGCGATCAACCATCAAAATTCCCCACGCCGACAACGTCGTCTTCGTGTGTCTACCACAACACGCCCCATCCAACACCCACACCCCCTCGAATCGCACACCATGTTCGGGGCCTTCAGATTCACAAACCCATTAAGCAGCGGCCTGCTGTGGAAGACGCCCTGGCGGCTGTCCAAGTTCCAGAAGCGGCGGCAGCGGCTCCGCCTCCGGGCGGTCGACTCGGTCGTGGCGACGCTCGACAGCGCGCTGGCCAAGAAGGGCGAGACGACAAAGTCCGTGGAGCGGTGGAAGGCTGAGATGCCCAAGGAGGAGGAGATGCGCGCCAAGGACAAGTACACCATCTTCGACCGCAAGGAGAAGAGGTACCGCAAGGGAATCCACAGTATGTCGAGGCAGGCCCCGAGGGGAGGACTGTTTGGGGTTTGGAATGCAGTATCGTCTACTGCGGGGGTTTTTCTCCTTTGGCTGACTCGAATGTGCTTTGCAGAATTGCCGAAGTGGACGAGAGTATCACAACGAGTCAACCCTCCTGGATACTAGGCGATGGTACTCGAAGAAATGGTCACTTGAGGACGCTGAGGTTCGATATGCTAGACACCACACCGCTGCATCCTATGCGGAATACGAAGGCGCCCCAGATCGAATATGGTCACGAAGCATACGATGGAGGATTGGGGATAATACGCTACTCAATTCGCCGGAACGGACAGGAGGGTATTGCCCTGGCACACTCCCAGAAAGCGCAGTGTTTTTCCATACAAGAAAGCCGGGATGGATGCTACAGAAGTCGCCTAGTCTGCAAATACTTCGCAAAGCCATGGCATAGAGTTGTAAGATTATGATCGTGGTTGGACGGGATTAGTATTGTGTAGATAAGTCTAGTAAAAGTGCAGATCCCAGGTTCACGATGAATGGTACTGCTCTCCGTCCAATAAAGCGCTTTGCGCCTGGCCATCCTCATTTTCAATGCGAACCGTGATATCAGCCAGTTCGATGTTAGGGTCCAGCCTGTGATTTCCATCTTTCAGGATAAGCTGATTGAACCTTTCGTTCCGTTTGGGGACCTGCGGTGCGCCACGGCAGGCTTGCTATGTTTCTTGATGGCCAGTGACAGATCTTCAACTAGTGTTGCTCCCTCGGCATCACCGGGGAATTCGTTTGTCATTGGAGTTCGGCTCGATCGATCATTCGGTCATCCTGTCCACTATCCAAGGCGGTTGTAATCGTCGTTTTCCAGGCTGCGTTCTCGTCCTTGCAGGGCTCTGCCCAGACCGCCTCTGCCCTCGTCGAACTCTTCTCTATACTCGTCTCTCACCTGTGAAGATATGATTAGCGAACAAGATCAGCGATAGGGGCTCTGCTGCAGAAACACGTACCTGTCCGCCAGATTTGCCGCGGCCGTACTGCCTGCCCTCCTCGAATCCCGGGTCCAGGTCCGTGCGGATGATGCGCTCGTCCAGCTTTGTGCCGCCAATGTACTTCATGCAGTCCAGTGCGTCCTGGTGGGTGTAGTACTCGACGAAGCAGAAGCCGCAGGGTGTCTTGTTGAACCGGTCCAGCCCCATGACCAGACGCTTGATCTCGCCGCACTTGGAGAACAGCTCATAGACCTGCTCCTCGGTGGTATAGAAAGAGAGGTTTCCAACGTAGAGAGTGGTCGCATTCGCGAGGGGGTCCTCGGGGGGTTGCTCGGGCTCGTCGCCGTTGCGGTCGTCGCCGCGGTCATTGCGACGGCCACGCTTGTTGGACTGTGGCCCACGGTAACTGTTAGCTTGTGATTCATGCTTACGGCTCGGTGTGCTGGGCTGCGGGGGGACTTGCGCGACTGTTGTAGTAGGCACTTGGCCTGTCAAGCCGATCAACTGTGTTCCGGACGTGCGGTCTCATCTTGTCGTAAAGATGGTGGATGGCGATTGTCTGATTTTAGCAGAACAGATTGCTGTGGCTCTTCTGGTGTAAGTTGAAAGTTAGCTGCAGCTGCATATGGCAGGTGTGGGTCCCAATCGTATGCTCTGCTCTACGCCTGGGTCGCCTGGGCCTGGGTCACCCAAGGCGCGGGTAGGAAGCTCAAAGTACGCGCTAAAAATGTCAAGTGAAGCTCACCCCTGCCCGCCTTTCCTCCTGCACGTTTGTTGTGTTGGGTTAGGCTCTGGTTCTTTCACCTCCTTCACCCTGGCAGGCGTCTTGTTTCTTCCTTGTCCAAAATTGACCCAGCATTGCAATCCTTTCGACGACCTACCACATGAACCAGAACATCGCAGCCAGCAACCCATTTTGCTAGCATTGCTACCCCCCAGGAGCAGTGACCTGGGTCGCAAAACATGTCAAACATCAAGGTCAAATCCTACACCCCGAGCTGGCTGAGCAAGCCAGCTCCAGGGCACAAGCTGTTCAAGGCCACGTCCGAGGACCTCAACGCTTCCGTTTTCTCCCCTTACTCGACCGACAAGAAGTCGAGACCTGGTCCGCGCCGGACCATCGCGCGCCGCGGAACCGAAGTCTTTGTGGCAGTCAACCGGGAGATACGATGGGGCGACCTGGTGTATCTGAAGGAGACCTGGGCGGAGAAGGGCGCCAGTACTCGCATCAAGAGAGAGGATTCAAACGGCTCTTTCTCAATCTACGACGAGACGAGAGACACCATCGAGGGCTCCGAAGGCGGACCTGCTGAGGGATACAGGGTAAGTCGTTGCGAATGAGCATGCCTGATGTGGCCTGCGATTGCCTGATGTGGCCTGCGATTGGGCCTGGCACTGATAGCATTCGCAGATCATCAAGACTCCTGTGGCCGATGAGATCAGGCAAATCGTTGTCTCGCCGAACTCCAACTACCTGGCAATTCTGACAGCCCATACTGTACATATCTGCGTCCTCCCCGATTCTTCGCATCTCACCGCGCCCGACAGCAACCCTCTCAAACCCAAGTTCTTCACGCTGGGGCCAACCACCCATGTCACATCAAAATCCGCGGTCATGTCCGCCATCTGGCATCCTCTTGGTGTCAAGGGCAGTTCACTGGTCACCGTCACGGAGGACGCTGTTGCACGGGTCTGGGAGATCTCTACCGCCGATCGATGGTCGTTTGACGCCCCAACGCTTTCTGTTGATCTGAAGAAATTGGCCAATGGAGTCACTCTGGATCAGGACTTCACAGCGTCCACAACTGCGACGAATACGTCCTTTTCGCCAGACGTGTTCGACATGGAGGTGGCGGCTGCGGCTTTCGCTGCCAGGGGCTCTGGGCTTTGGTCTTCAATGACCCTGTACATTGCCATGAGGGGAGGCGATGTCTACGCGTTGTGCCCCCTTCTGCCAGAGCTCTGGGCACCTCCTCCCACCCTCGTTCCTTCTCTCTCGGTCTCTATCGTGGCCAAGCTAGCAGCCATCCAGGACGATCCCGATGTCTCTGCACAAGACAAGCTACTCGCGCAACAGCAACTCGAGTGGATGTCTGATCTGGACAACCAGGAGCCCAAAATCATTCAAGATTCACTTGGAGAGCCACCCATTGAGGTGTACCGCCGCCCAACACATCCCGGACTGATACCCAAGCTCCAAGGACCTTTCTATTTCGACATGGACCCAGACGAGGACGAGCAGGATGACCTTGACACGGAACTGGCGGATATCCGCGTCATTGGGCAGAAAATGGAGACTGACGATCTCATGCTCGGAGAGGACGAGGTCTTGGAACTCGACGAGAATGAACAGGAGGGTCTCTCGTTGACTGTGATCTGCCTTCTGTCTACGAGTGGACAAGTCAGGATCTGTCTGGATTTGGATGGCGTCGAGGCGAAGTGGCTTCCGCCCCGGGTCAAATCGAAAGCCAGCATGATCACTGACGACGAGGACTTACCCTCACTGCTAACCTACGAGACGCTAGATGTTCTTGCGTTATCTGAGGTGACGCCTGAGTGCTGGCCTGTCTTCAGTGAGGATGCGACTTCTCGATACTCCTTTTTCATAACGCACAACTCGGGCATCACCAACGTGTCTTTGTCTCCGTGGGTGTTCCGGCTCGAAAGCGAGTTGAACGCGGAGTCAGAGGCTGGGTCGGATTTCAGAATCGGCTTGATCGCAAGCGGACAGTCGGCCTCCGCGAGAGTCTACGTCGAGCGGCCACCAGGAAACTCCCTGGCGGCTTGTGTCGCCATCAGTGATCCCGACCTCGGCTATTTCATTCTTTCAGCCACGCTATCCGACCCAGTAGCCCTACAGCTCGAATCCCCTGAGGATGAGCTTCCACCCATCAAATCGTCATCTTCTCCCACCCCGTTCTACGAACCCACGCCAGAGCAGAAAGCCCCAATGGAGCTGTTTACGCCACGGCCTGCATACCAGCCTTCTGCAGTCTTCGATCAACCATCAAACTTGCACAAGATGCAGCAATTGCTCATGACAAGCAGGCATGTGGCCCTGATGCAGCAGCAAATCCGTCTGTCGCCAGCCACGCTCAAGGTATTCTCCAACGCGCATCAGATCATCAGCACAGAGTCGGGGCGTCTTAACGAGGCAGTGTCGGAGCTATTCCGAAGATGCGATGCCTTGCGTGCGGAGCTGAAGGACCAGATCGATAAGGCCAACGAGCTGAAGAGCAGGATCGACAGAGTCACGGGCGGGGATGATGGAACGGAGTCGGACGACACACGCCTCACCCGAGCTGTGTTTGCACGACGCAAGAAGCAGGAGGAGTTGATGCAGAGGTTTGAGAACCTGCGGAAGAAGGTTCAGCAGAAGACGAGTCGCGAGCTCAGCGACAAGGAAAAGGCATGGGTTGAGGAGGTCAAGACAGTCGAGCAGAGCCTGTCAGAGCCCGGCGAGAGCGACAAGGGGGCGATAGCGATAGCTGGCGCGCCCAAGTCACAGCGACCAGTAGAGCGTATCCGGGAGATCAGGAGCCTCAAGGACGAGCTGGCAGGTCAGGTGGCAGGCTTGGAGGGCAAGGATAAGGCGGGTGAAGGGAACTCGGAGGGTAGCCCTGCGTCTTCTGTAGCGAGCCTCAGGATACCATCCGAGCTGAGGAAGGCGAAGGTATCCCAGGTCAGGAGCCTTTTGGACAGGGAGACGGCGCTTGTGGATGCTCTGCAAGATAGGCTGGAGAGGTTGTCGGTTGGTTAAGGTCCTCTCTCCGGGTGTGATAGGGCTGCACGGTGCGGTTGCAGCAAGGATCAGCAACCGGGCCGGGCAGGAGAAAAAGCAAAATCGAGAACAAAATCAGCCAATACGAACGACACAGCAGTGCTTGTCGATCAGCGGGATTGTTTGCCACCCTGCCCCCGTTGATGCTCGGCAAGTGTTGCAGCCTCGCGAATGAGTAAGGCGGATGGACTGGCCGATGCTGCCTTGTCTTTGCCTGCAATACCGGGCACTGCCTTGCTCGTGTACCAATTGACCACTTAGCATCGGTCGCCGAAAGCCAGCAAGCACCTTGCTACACATCCGCACAACGGGGATCTAATGCATGCAGCGGGAAACATCTCAGCAGGCAGTCCAATCAGATCATCACGTCCTTTCGCAACATTCAACGGCTGAGGACAACATCTCCAGTGGGTCCGGGATTCCGCTGAATGGGTAGCAGCCGCGTGGTAGTCCTCGCCTGGGCAACACGGGGCACCAGTATGCACATGTGTCTCTGCCACACGGGGGACGCGAGCAGGCTTGGGAGGCTACACATATGCGACTGCAGCACAACTCTTCCACCACTCAGGCATCGGTGAGACTGGTGCAATGAGACACTCGACTGGGCCGGGGCTGCGATAGTGCAGATCGGGGTCGTCCAGAATGCACCTTTCCCCTTGTTTCCGCGTCACCGCTTGGACAGCTCGGTGGCTTAGCGGAGCACGACTGCGGCCAGACGAGGCAGAGGCAGCCAGGCGAGCCGGGGCCGACTCTGGTCCTGTACCACAAACGGCTGTGATGTCCCAGGCTGGCCAGGCTGGAGTTGAGTTGCATCAGGGGTTGCTGCAGGGCGCGGCCAAGCCTCATCGGGGCTCCCTCCGTCTCGCGTGCTTCTACAGCGGGAAGCAAACCTCTTCTGCCTCCTTGCGGCCAAGCACGCGCGGCAGTCTGGGAGCTTATGAGCGCTCTGTCATGCCCATGTCCCTAGCCGTTCGAGACGCCACGTTGGTGGCCTTTTGCTCTTCCAACCTTTCTGGTTGGCACGCGTTTTGAGCCTATCAGCAAAACGAGGCGGAGGGAGGCACCGGGACTTGTTTTGCATGTACGACTGTCGTAACACCACACTCATTCAGCTTGGACCTGGTATATAAGGAGGCAATGTGCTCATTCTTCAACTCCTGCCTTGCGGGAGCCTCGGTCGATCCCACCGTTTCCCTCTCATCAAGCGCAATTTCCTGTGCTTCCTTTGCCCCATGACCCTCCGTCCTCCCAGGTGCATCCTTTGTTCTCACCATTCGACAGTTTCGACGCAGCCTACGGCACCCCGTGAGGCTCTAATGGCTGCCAGTGCAACCTGGGGACAGACGATGGGCGAGCATCGCGCACAGATAGTTGGTAAGTGCCTATTATACATGTCCACAAGTTGCTCTGCTGCAGACGACACATCTTCGCCTTTGAGCCCCGTCTTGGTGGCACTTTTCAGGTCAATTACTCATGTCTGCTCTCGTAGAAAACTGCTCTTTCTTCTCTTCTCGCGATGCCCAGATAGTCATTATCCTGACCCGGGAGCCCCTGGGCAACTTCAAGGCAATAGCCCTACGCTCTGAGAAGGACGGCGAGAGGGAAGCCCTGCTGTCGTCCGAGAGCGCCGAGACGGTTCAGAAGGCCTACGAGCTCCTCTTGGTGAAGTCTGCGGACGCGGTACAGAACTACATCACCACCAATGGCTTTGCTTCCCTCCCGTGCCCCAAAAAGATTGGCGAGGTCCTTGACGATGACGACGACGCGGTCTCTTCTGTCTCGTCGGCGTCCGAAATCATGGACGGCGACCCGGATAAGGATCTGGGGGACTCTGCCTTGTCTTTTGATGCCGAGTCTGCCTATGAGAGCATGACAGAAGATGAGGCTTGCGATGGCTATGGCAGGGCGAGAGGCACCCACACCTCGAGCAACACCCGCATTCACCGGTCCCCCGAATGGGTGAGATACCCTTCTCGCTCACCGAGACGGGATGACCCGGACGTCTCACGCCATGAATATCCACACAACCTCCCCGTTCAAAACTTCCCCATCCATCGTCGCCGCTCCAGCCCCTCTCAGGCCCCTACCTACAAGACCCTTGGTCCTGCCCGCCATGTCACCTCTGGGCCCCCGATGCCTCCGGCTGGCGTGGCCGCAGTGCAACCGGGGACGTGGAAGGTTGGGCCTGGGCCTGCCGTGCCCATGCGCCCGCCTGGCAGTTACGCGAACCTGGGACATCAGGTGTACTCGGATGTCACCATGGGTGGCATGAGAGCACATCCATCACAGATGCTCACCGTCCACGGCCCGCCTCTGCCTCCGACCGGAAGACTGGTGCCACCTCCGCCACCCGGCACTCTGCCACAGCCAGGCCAGATGAAGCATTTCATCAGCAGTGTCAACCTCAACGGTAACAGTCATACCGGGTCGACCTCGGCGTCATCCCCTCCTGGGATCATGGGCCACCACGTCCACCACCCAGCCACCACGCAGGCGCCACCGCCGTCGGCCTCGTCCCACTCGACCACGGCATCATCCACGCCCACGACAGGCCCCATCAAAGCCCCTCCACCCCCCGCGCCGACCCAGCCGCCCCCGCCTGCAGCGCCGGCCCCCATAGACTGCCGGCTGTGCATCAAGTCGCGCATGCCCGGGACCGGCGACGTCAGCGAGCAGCGCATGGTGGTGCGCACGCTGCCGACGCGGCCCCACGTGCGGGCCGCGGCGCTGCGCTACGTCGAGTACAACCCGTCGCTCTTCAGGCACCTCGCGGGCGCCTCCTCCTCCTCCTCCCCCTCCTCCGGCCCGCTGTCGTTCAAGGGCGGCGAGGTGGCCACCCCGGCCCCCGCGGGCGCGGACAAGCACCTGCGGGCCAACGTCACGCGCGTCATCTTTGGCGGCAGCGAGAGCTATGACCTCACCACCTACGGCGAGGACGACCTCAGCCGGCTGTGCGCCAGCGTCGTGGGCGGCAGGGGCGGCGCGGGCGAGCTGCCGCTGTTCGAGGTTGTGGTTACTAATATCGGGCCGGCTGGGTCTTTCTTTACGCTTTCCTGAGCACGTATTTACCCAGGTGCCTACTGTATTGGCACCGTGACAGGGAGTGAGCCGTATTCTTCACAGTGTGCTGATTGATCTTGCGTCGGTTTGTTCTCATTGGTGCGCAGAGAAAAGTAAGAGTTTGATATCCTCTGCTGTTCCCTTGGAGGACTACTCTCTTCCTCAAACTGTCGGGTACCCTGTCTCTAGACGACATTGATAATGTAAGGGGCTCTTGCCAGGTCAGATTGATACACGAGGACTCGGAGTTTCTTGAAAGATCCGTAGATCGCACTTCCTTCCCTTCTCTCCGAATTCTAGTCAGCATATGTGTGGGCATGATTCGCAATTTTGAAATAATCTAATTCAAGCGCTTCATCCTGACTCCTGGTCCATGATGTTTTATGAAGGCTGACTTGAGGGCTTCCAGTTTCAAAGATCGCTCTAGACTTTTAAGGACGAGCTGCTGGTCTTGATTAGTCGAGGCTAAAAAATGTGAAACCTCGCATGCAAAAATACTGCAGAAAGCACCTTCAAGGTAGCTGACATGTCGCTTCGTAAAGCCCGCGTCTTACGTGCTGGCTGCGGCTGCTGGCGGGGTGATCACCCGGCAGTTTCCATTTCACTCCTCCCCCCGGTCCATCCGTCAGGCTTTTGCTACAGCTTTGTCGGATTTCCAAAGCCTCCGTAGCCTTCGTGACCTCCATTGCCTCCGTATTCGAGCATTGGCAGCTGCTGGGTAGAATTTAGGCCAGGCATGTCTAGGGTGGACAGAGGCGGAACGGCCCCGTGCTGTGGTGTCGCAGCCGTGGATGCAAAACCTCCAGCCCACATGGCCACCGGGTCGCGCGCGTTGGGCGTGTTGATTGAGTCAATGATGCCCATGGGAGGACGTCCAATAGGCATGAGTCGGGGGCCGCTGGAGGAGTGTGTAGCACGGAAAGGGTCTCTGTTCATAAGGCGAAGCTCCGTTTTGGGCTCTAAAGGAGGGTCAGTTTGTTTCATTGAATTGCATATCACAAGCAGGACGAGCGAGTACTGACCATCCTCCCAGAAACTGGCGCCGATGCCCCAGCCGTTCAGAAGTCGTCGCGCCCTAGGCTCACGCAGGAGCATCCTGCGCCTGTCTCTCTCCTCGCGTGGCCGGGGACTGAGCCGACCTCCGTCCTTCCTGACCATGTAGCGCTCCAGTCTCTTCTTGGTCTCGAAGTGCATTTTCATCTTCCTGCCGTTCACCCACTCCATCTTGCTGCCGTCAAAGTCCAGGTTGCGCATGAAGGCGTTCACCTTGGCGCGAGTGACCGGGGTTCCGCTATAGTCGCGCGAGCATAGGTCCACGGCGTGCGACTTCTTGGAGAGGATGCGCTTCAGCATGGCCTGGACCTCGCCGAGGGGCACGTCGCGGCTGTAGTCGGCATTGCGGCCAGCGGAGCCTGGGTTGAGGGCCTGGTTGAGCTTGTCGGTGAGGTGCATTGGGTCCTTGGAAACTTTGTGCTCGCCCTTGATGATGAGGCACACCAGGGTGCGGACTTCGAAGTGGTTCCATTTCCACGGGCCGTGGGCCTCGTCAGACTCGGCCGAGTCGTAGGATGGGGAATACTCGGGAGACGACATGTTTGGCGATCAGGTTTGCGACTGTAGCGATGAATTGTTGGTTGGGTTGCGAAAGCCTCGTGTCCAATATCAAGGAACCTTGGAAGTTGGTCTTACGGGGAAAATAGACGCTTGGATGGGCAAAGCAGCTACCTGGGTAGGAAGGCAGGAGGGGAGGGTGGAAGGAGGGATTGAGGGAAAGAGGTCAAAATCGAAGAAGGTGCAAACAACCTGGACGGCAGATGGAAGCTCTGAAATGATGGATCACCACTTCTAGAGGAACTTCCCTTGGGCTCCGTCACAGGAAGGCAGGGAATGGGAAAGGAAAGCTACGATCACTCGAAAAGCTTCGGAAATTTCAGACTCATAGTCTGTGGTTTTTCTTTCATCCAATGGAACAACAAGTCTCTTGCAATTGTCGCAAAACACAATGAGCTGCTCTCCAACATAAGTAATGACCCAGTACTTAGAACCTGTACTTTAGCTCTGGTATCATGGCCATGAAATGGCAGGGTCGGGATGGACTGTATCAAGGGACACAACTTCAGCATGCCTTCCACTCTGTGAATCAACACAGTGTGTCAACAATAGCTTGTGTTTTTTCCCCAGTGCTGACCAAGAAAATATCAACGTGTGCAAGCTGTTCCATTACATAATTACCAATGAACACACCATAAGCAGGCATGAGAGAGGCTCATTGGAAATTCTTGAACTTGTGCTCAGCCCTTACAATGTCTGAAGCTAAGATTCTGTGAAGACTCAACGTTGGAGTCAACTTTAGAAGCGTGTTTGACTTGTCTTGGGAAAGAAGTTGCCGCCCTTGCATTGTGCACATTCCATGACAGATGGCGGCAGATTGTTTAATGAAATCTTTCGTACGTATTTCCACCACTTGACCTGATTTGAAAGACTGTCGCACTCCTTACATCAAACAGCCCGAGGGGCACAATCATCTAAGTTCTCCAGTAGGCGAGGCAAAGTGCTCCTTCAATGCCATGGACCGAGATGCTAATTGAGCTATGGCGTCTACATCTCTAATTCAATTAGACCGTACCTTTCTGTCACTCGCAATTGCAATTCTCAGCTTAATAAGTATCGCTTTGCTCGTGTCATGTTCACCTGAGACTCAGTGGCAGCAAACAGCCCCCCAAGTCCGATGACACTGCCCGCAGCCAAACGCTCTAGGCTAGCAAGCGATATCAACAGTACATTCCACCAAGAAAACATCCGATGACATGGCTCATTTGGGAGGCGCGAAGTTTAGACTCACGGCACTGTAAACCCCAAATTCAAGCCCAGTCGGCAACCAGTAAAATACCAGCGATGGTCTGCAAAAGAGGGAGGTATTTTCTGACTCTTCGGAGGGTCTTTTTGCCATTATGATGTTGTTGTTGAGAAGGCTTACCGTAGTCTGCTTATGCCAACCTTGGAAAGGGCCAGCCCAGAAGTGCAAGTAGAAACAGTAGTCTCTTGACTCGTATTTCCTTTACCCCAGCTAGGTGACCACACTTTCTCTGAGACCACCCAAAAGTGAATACTGTGCAAGTGCCACCTCGAGAAATTGACCCTCAAGGTCTGTCCACGTCACGCCCGTGTCGGGTGTTTTGAACCTGGCTGGTATCCACAGCCGGGAGGATCCACGGCAGAGACCCCAGATTGGACTGAAAGGGGACACCGGGCGGCCTGAACAGCGGGAAATACACCAGGCTAAAATGAGGCAGCTTACGACGGCCAACCGCCGCGAGTTGCTTGTGAGCGAGGGCGAGAAAAAGCAGGCAAGAAATTGACAAATGATGTCAAGAAAAGGGGTTAAAAATGGAGATAATTTTAAGCGTGCCAAGGCCGGGCAAAAGAGCGCATAGGCAAGTGTCTGCCATGACATGGGCTGGGGGGTTATAGCGGTGGGGGTTCCGGCGAATAGGACTATTGATGGCGATCATGATCCTGTGCGTGTCGGAATGTTTGAGTTGCGAGTAATTGCCGGGCACTTCTGCAGGGCACACGTTGATGGGTTGTTGAGACATTGTCCAGTTGTCTGTCTATGTTCTTCCCTCATGCAACGTGCCCGTTGTCTGCGTGCCTCTGGCGTACATATGTAGGTACCTACTTAGTAGCCAAACCTACGGAGTAGTAAGCTTAAATCGACTCCTGCCAAGCCCTGCGTCAGATACCGAGCGAAACCACTCTTGCAGGTGACGTGACTGCTGAACGGGCCACCTGGAGAGAAAATAGATTTAGCATGATCCCACCAGGAACACAGCATTCCAAGGTTGCAACATGTGACAGACGGCCCAAAGCGGCTCTCGGTGAATAGTGGTTGTACACACGGAGTAGGCAACATGACTGTAACTCGTAGCTTGTATCTTGTACCTGAGGAAAAGCACCGACCTGACAAATGAGCGCCGGTGCAGGGCAGGTGGGGCCGGATGAGAGCTCCTCCAAGCGGCGGTACCTGGGCAAAGTACCAGGGACCGTTAGAAGTGCCACAGGTGCCAGAACTGCCAGAACTGCCAGAGATTCGGGGAGCTTCCTGCCGAGGGGTCAAACTACACCCAAACGAGAGACCCTTCCCGCCCCCCGGAGCCATCGAGGAAGGTGGTCTACCGTGCTCCGTACTGCACAGAGTACACGGTTGTATACAGGCTGGCTGCCTCCAACTTCATTGGCCCTCACTTCTCTACTGCACACTTCACACTAGCTGTTGTAACAACACCACGACACCACCACCACCACCACCTCCTCTACCTCTACCTCCACCGCCGCCGCCGCCGCCGCAGAGATATTCACCCTCTCCCGCCTGGACGACGCCCGACCACGCACGCCTTCGCACCCGCCCACGCCCTGCTGCGCTGTCGGCCATGAAAGTTCATTACTCGCTACAACAATTTAATGTCGAATCTATATGAAGCAATCCGCGCTCGCGGCTTGTACCCTCGTCACTCCCTCCTTGCGCCCGTCCCGACTCGATAAACCGCCTCGCACCCGTGCCTCTCGCCTCGCCGTCCGACCCGTCCGGCCCGTCCAGCGCCGACCCAAGCTTCCCAACAATCAGCTGCTTCTCGGTCACCTGCGGATCCAATGTCGTGGGACCTCCTCCAGAGGTTCTTTGACAGCGACGTCTTCAACCAGAACCCCTTTCTCTCCGTCTCCTACCTAACGTACGTCCTCCAGCGTCTTTGCGTCTTTACGTCTTTTCAGAGCCTCGGGCGTCTGCGCCGGCCACGGCGCCCACATCCAGCACCCATTCGAGCTAACATCTGTCCTGCCCAGCCGATACGCCGACCACGTTGGGATCCACTATGTCCTCTGCAACAAGCTGCGCCAGTTCCCCTACGAGGATGTCGAGTTCTTCCTCCCCGAGCTGTGCCACCTCGTAATCAGCGTCAACAATGAGTCCATGGCACTGGAGGAGTTCCTGCTGGATCTCTGCGAGGAATCCGTCTCCGGCGCTCTCCTGGTCAGTCTTCTCTTCCCCATGCGGGCCGTGGCCTCTTCTCCTGCTAATCCATCGACCTCTAGGCCTTCTGGCTGTTCCAGAGCTATCTGACCGACCTCTCCTCCAATCCACACTCCGAGGCTTTCAGGACATGTCGAAGGGTCTACAACAAGCTCCAGCACATAGTGTTTGGGCTGGGCGACACCGCCAGGCATGAGAAGATCAAGGAGAACCCGCTGCCTGTCACAGTCCTGGCAAGTCTGATCTTGTCCAGCGTTGCCGTCCCCGGCCTGCCTCATTGGGCTGGCCCTCTCGCCATCGCGCAGGCCAAGAAACCACAACCCATTGACGACGTGATACTGGATCCCGCGCAGCCCAAAATAGCCAGGGCGCAAACCGTCTCGGCCGCTCAGGCAAACAGGGCGAGGCGCACCACCAGAGATGGCGGCCGTGTCACAAGCGCGCCAGACCCGAGGGGTTCTCCCCCGATTGACTCGCCAGGCACCCCTCGGAAACAAAACCTTCCGCCCTCTCGACCGACTTCATCTTCTGGCCCGGTCGTGCTTACTCCTGGGCAACCAACAAAGCGGCCGACAAGTCACCTAGACATGAAGGCCATAGACGCGAGGCTCAGCACGGCTTCACTCCCTCTGCCTGAAGTGAAATCACCCCTCCCGCCTAGGCCTCCGACTCCTCTCACAGCCGGTTTACCTCCCCCGGATAATTCGCTATTAACCCGCCGGCATTCCGAGCGCGTCAAGGGCGTACTGAGCAACACCGACATGTCGATGGTCCAGAGGGCAAGGCTCCTGAGACAGAATTATTTCCGATGCCAGACACAGTTTCTGACCGCGCTGGAGGATATTTCAAACAGGCTGGTTGTTGTCCCGAAGCCAGCTCGTCTAAGCGCCCTCCGAGCCGAGCTGGCATTGATTGCGCAAGACTTGCCGTGAGTATACCCTGCATTCTCATACCCACCCGCCCCTCCCGAGTCTGTCATTTGATCTTGTAGGACGGATTGGAGGAGCTGGGCAGCGGTACCAGCGAATTTGGAACTATCCAAATTAGGCATGTTGGCTCATCTATCCTTGTTAACACGAGTTCCGCTGGTGCGACACTGCTACGGTGATGACAAGTCATTAGGCTGTTGATATGCTGCTGGGTGGCGGTCGTGCGAGTCGAGTCGACCTCGCCTGTTACTGTGGCCTGGGAATGACAAGATTTGGAGTCGTCTGCTCCTGGGATATGCTCCTCCATCATGTCATACAAATCGAGGGACATTCAGGTTTTGGATTCACTAACTTGGAAATTGAATAGGGCCGAGGTGGATATTCCTGTCATATGTCCGCCGACCTTGACAGATGGTTCTCCTTCAAGGAGCAAACACCACAGGGTCGTGAGGATCAACCCGGCAGAGGCAACTGTTCTTAACAGTGCAGAAAAGGTGCCTTACCTGTTGATGATTGAGATCTTACGCGACGACTTCACCTTTGACCCCGATTCGCAAGACAACCAGAGACTACTGGCAACACTCGTGGCGGAGCAAGGATCGAGGAGGCGCATATTCGACCTATCCGAGAGACCAAGAATATCCACGTCAAAGATGCCAGGGCCTTCCACCGAATCCGCTGACAGCGTGTTTGAGCCATCCTCTGGAGACCTCGGTACGTCACCCGTGCTGAAGCCAATCGACAGCAAGGCCGCAAAAATCAGAAAACCAGTACCCCAGCGACTGCCCAGTCTAACGCCAACAGTGTCAACGAGTTCCGAGTTGGTGACGCCCAGGAGTTCAGCCACTTCAACGAGTCGCTCCAGCAGCCCTAGTAGTCGCTCTTTGCGGAGAATGACCATTAATACGAACCCACGGAACGCGTCGGTAGATCAACCAGACTTTTCTGCTTTGGCAACGCACATGCGGACTGCCTCCCAGATGCTGGCTCAGTTGGACGCAACTAGTGGCAAACGACCAAAGCACGAGGTAGCGGCCATCCGTGCCAAGATTATCGCCAGCATGCAGAGCTTGGAGGAGCAGAATTTCGAGGTAGATGATGGACATGGACCGACTTTCGATCAGATCATGGCCAAGACCACGGTTCAAAATGCGGCGGCCAATCCCGAAGAAGTCGATGATGACACGACTCTTGATCCGGCATTGAACGCGAGTGCTGGCGTAGAGCGAATGGAAAACGACTTCAAGACTGGTGGACTTCAAAGGAAAGGGGATCGGGACGACCCGAGCGCAGCAGTCTTCGGTGAAGCATGGCAGATGAAGAAAGAGCGTATACGACGGTCTTCGCCGTACGGCTGGATGAAGAACTGGGACTTGATGAGCGTCATTGTGAAGACGGGTGCTGATCTGAGGCAAGAAGCATTTGCTTGTCAGCTCATCGATGTTTGCGACAAGATCTGGACAGATGCCAAGATCGGAGTGTGGGTAAAGGTGATGCGGATTCTGGTGACGGGCGAGTCCTCAGGCCTGATCGAGACCATCACAAACGGCGTTTCACTGCACTCCATCAAGCGTAGCTTGACGCTGGCGCAGGCCGAGGCAGGCACGAACCCAAAGAGGCGGATTGCGACGCTGAAAGACCATTTTGCCAAAGCGTTTGGCTCACCGGACAGCGAGCCATACAAGGCCGGCGTTGACGCTTTCAAGAGGTCACTCGCTGCGTACAGCGTTATTTCATACATATTGCAGCTGAAGGATCGACACAACGGTAACGTCCTGATCGACAACGAGGGCCATATTGTACACATCGACTTTGGCTTCATGCTGTCCAACTCGCCTGGGTCAGTTGGGTTCGAAGCCGCTCCGTTCAAGCTCACCCACGAGTACGTGGAAGTGCTTGGCGGGATAGGGTCTCCAGAGTGGGACGACTTCAAACGGCTGTGCAAGAAGGCGTTCCAAGGTATGAACCGCGCGGCCAGGCAAGATACAAGCTCACGAACTAACTATTCCGCAGCTCTTCGGCGGTCGGCCGACAACATCGTCGATCTCGTTGCCATGATGGGCCGGGACTCGAAAATGCCATGCTACGCCGCCGGTGTCACAACGGTGACAACCAACCTGCGGCAACGCTTCCAGCTACAGCTGAGTGCCGATGATGCCGAGCAGTTTGTCGAGACAGACTTGATCAATAAGTCTATCGGGAGCTACTACACTCGACTGTAAGTTGAACCTTGGGTTGTAAATAGGGATGGAACAATGGAGATGCTGACAAGAGTCCACAGATACGACACATTCCAATATCGAACACAGGGTATATACTAGAGGGGACAGGCGTCAAATGAGGACCGATCGCACGACTATAGAAGATGAAGAAAAAAACATCTGAGCAATGACAATATGTATGGACACACACGCACCAACTAATCATTACCGCATCACCACAACAGATCATTACTCCTGGACTGCATCTGAAAAGGCGTTGGGACTATCGAATCCTTTGGTTCTGTCGATGTCGAACCTCGAGAAGAGGAGCGAAGAGGGGGCGGAGGAACGAAAAGGGGGAAGAGATAACCTGGCTGCCTGCCCTCTGTTGACTCATGCTTCGTTGCTCTCCCCGAGGAGGGGCTGTGGACAAGGGTTCAAGCAGCCTATGGATACTCTGCTCTTATATATGTGTAGCGAAGAAGCCCGCCATGGCATGACTTCGAGACATGGTGTCTCACCATGTCCAAATCCAAGCGTTGTCACGTTCTCCTTCTCCCTGATGCTTTTGTGAGACACGACCAGCGAAGACACCGTATATATCAGCTGCCCACAGTATTGGAGGCGTTTTCCACAGGAACGACTAGATGCTATTCCGCAGCGCTTTGGGCTCATTTCTGGCTTTGCTACTCCACGGCATCGTGAGACGTAATTTGGAGATCCAGGTGATTCTGACCATTTGGTGTCACAGTCGTCGAAGTTGTGACGGCGGAAATGCCACTCGAACGTAATTGGGTATTGGGTGGATTATCATAGCTTGTGCGTTCAGTGTGTAAGTAGGTATCTAAACCCGTCCTCTACCCGCCCGAATTCCAGCGACCTCGAACTGCGTATTTGCTTGTTATCGTAGTAACAAGCTGAAGCCTCATTTCCCTTCATGTCATCATTCATAACTGCTGCCTCTCGACCCGCAAAAGCTCTGTAACACAGGATCGTTGCTCATGCCGCACGTCTCACCGAGGTGGTATCGCCGTCAAGACAGGCGTGATCATCACGATCACGCCTGTGTCACCTGCCAGCAGAACTCGCGACTTGTCGTGACCGCGGTACTCCCACAGGCGCTCATATACTTATACATCACGACAGCCCGTCTGCCAAACTGGAGTTGAGGTTGGCCCGTCGACATAACGCGGCTTCATTGCCTGCTGCAGTTCTAAGACACATGGGGTATACTAATCAGGCCATGGGCCCAGAACGTTGGCGATCACCGCACGTTGCTGTTCCGGGCCGGAGGCTGCATGTAAGGCGCCACGCCTTCGCAGAACTGGGGTTGCGATACGGCGCCCTCACCCTCCCCACGCGAGGCAGACACCTCCTCCGACCCCGCTGCTGCGGCATGGGCTTTGCGTTGTTGTTGTGCAAACAAGATCTCATCGACGTTCACCTAGGACGCCTTCTTCTTGCGGCCGCCCCTGCGCTTCTTGGGCTCGACCTCCTCCTCCGTGTCGCTGCTCTCGGTCTTGGCGGCCTTGGCCTTGGAGCCGTCCTTGTCGTGCTCGACCTTGCTGACAATGTCGCGCAGGAAGTCCCACTGGTCGTCGGCCTCGACGACGGTCTTGAGCATGGCGGCAGTGACGCGCTTTGAGTTCTTCTCGCGGGCGACCTCGGCGCTCTTGGTGACGAGCTGGACCATAAACAGCTCGAGGGCCTTGCCGACCGCGATGGGGGTCTGCTGGGCGACCTTGCCGACCTCCTCGTCGGCCTGCATGATGCGCTTGATGCGGGCGGTGGGGAACTTGGTCTTCACCGGCGACTCCATCATGCCCGCAGCCTCTGCCTCTGCGGCCGCGGCGGCCGCTGCAGCAGCAGAACGTCGGGGTGGCATGCTTGAGTTCTCTTCCTCTGACTTTATGGGGTCAGGGGGGAATTCTGATTTGACCTGCTGGCTGTGGAATGAACTTTCGGGATGAGGATACGGCTGCACCTCTTGTGGATAATGTGGTTGAGGATAGCCTTGTTGCTGCTGGGGATTCTGGTATGCAAGGTGTAGTGGTGGTTGTTGTTGTGGTTGAAGTTGTGGCTGTTGTGGTTGTTGTGGGTATGAGGGTTGTGGTTGTGGTTGATAGGCTGGTTGTTGTTGCTGACCAGAGACAGCAGGGTTGGGAGGGAAATAAAAAGAAGGTTGTTGCTGCTGTTGTGGTGGTTGTGATTGTGATTGCGACGGGGACTGTGGTGGCGGGTGAGATTGTGAGTGGGAGTGGGAATGAGAATGAGATTGAGGTTGAGGTTGTGAGTGAGGATAAGGATGGGACTGCAGCTGTTGGTGTTGATGGTGGGGCGAAAAACGAGGCGAATATGCTGCCGTCGATGCGCTTATTAGAGGTTGGTAAGAAGAGTAGCTTGAGAAGGCCGGGCCAGTCGGGCTCTGGGCAGACTGGGCAGAATATGAATAAGAACGCGAGTGACTTTGGTCGGCGCCCGGGGTGTGGTACCAGTTGTTCTGGGGCGAGGGGCTGACTGGTGGGGGTTGGTGCTGATGCTGGTGTGGGAACGGGTTTGCATCTGGATGTGCCGTCTGGGCCTGGTCTTCAGGCTGAGCTTGAAAGAACGACGCAAGGTCGGGGCTTTTAGGGGCATAGGTGCCCTCTTCAGACATTTCGCTTTCTTTTTTCCTTGGTTGCTTCCTTGGTTGCTTTCTTGCTTCCTTCCTTCCTTCCTCACTCATGCATTCATCCACACACACGCACGCACGAACGCAACGCACACACGCTTTCTCTCCTTCTCTTTGGTCTTTCCTCCTGCTGCTGCGGGTGACAAAAAAACCAAAACGGTGACAAAACTGGAACTGGAAACTGGAACTGCAAACTGGAAACTGGAAACTGGAAACTGGGGACTGGAAACTGGGGACTGGCGACCCTCTCAGGACGAAGAACGCAACAGGGGTATGTGAGTACAGTACTGAGTCCTGACAGACGGTACAGTACAAAGAAGGCCAGACCCAGGAACCTAACGGGTCTTATACTTTTTTTGTGGGACCGTTGGAACTCGGCGCTCCTTGCCGTGCCTGGGCGGTGCAGGTAAATAAAGGTGAGATGAGTGCCAGCCAATGCTGCAGCTGCCCAGTGCGGGAGCTGCCCGGTCAGAAACCTTGCTTGCTTGCTGCTCCTGGGTCCTGGGTAACGGCTGCAAGACGGAGGCCACACAGGAGCTCGGGAAGGAGCACCTTGGGCCTTGGGGGGGAGGGAGCTGCAATGGAGGGGCAAGGTCGACTGGCAGGCTGGCAGGCTGGCAGGGAGTGCGGGTGGGGGCTAATGCAGAACACAGACTGGGTTGCGAGTGGTGGGTGGGTGTGAGTGGGCTCAGAAACGGACGAGGCCTTTTTCTCCAAAAAAGCCTCCCAGCTCCAACCAAAGCTTCACTTTGCCGTCTCGTCTCGCCTCGCCCCGCAACGTCGTCACAACAACTCCTCTTCTCCTTTCTCACCTCGTCTGCTTTCCACCTCCTTGTGCCCTGTGGTCGTCGCTGATGCCAACACTCAGATTGTGGGCCGAGTGCAGCAGAAGTCGTTGCCTGGCGGAGCAGGCAATTGCACACACTGCTGCTATTGATATTCAGACCTGAGGCCTGAGGCCTGAGGTGGAGCTGGAGCTGGATCTGGACTGCACGCCTCCGTCTCAGCCTGTGCTCCGTACCCCGGTCCGGACGTGCTGCTCCTGGGGACTAGAACTTTGTGTGTCTCGACTCAAAGCAAGCCCAGTCTCACAGCAGATGCTGACTGCTGATGGGTGGCAAAGACTATGGCTGAGGGTGCAAACACAAAGATTGCAAAGTCCACCTTCAGCCGCTCCCCCAGGCAACGACTCGCTCGCACCGATCGCTCGGCCGAGTTCTCGTTGGCCCAGTCGTTTTGCGAGCACCAAAGCTGCAGCCTGGTTGATGACGCCTCTCGAGATCTAAAGCTGCCAGGTAGCAACCATACGAATCGAGGCTGCCTGTTGGTCTCAGCCGGATCGGACTAACTCTGCGCAATGCAGGATCCGGATTGAAATCTGGTCTTGGATATGGGTACCCAAGCCGTCGGTACTGGTGATGTGCACTCTCGGCAGTCGAGCGCGTCCAAGGCAGGTACCGGTACTGGCACCGGGCCTGGTGCTGTTTGGGCAGGGTATGGATACGCCAGGAGGCCAGGAGGGCCACTGGGCGAACAAGAAACTGCGCACTGCACGGCGCGTGGTAAACGAAAATGCTAAAAAAGGGAGGGTGGACTCGGAGCTAGGGCCTTCTTTCGATGAGGGGCACGGCACGAGTTCCTTTCGTGGGACATGCTGCCCATTTTTATATGCACGTCGTCCCCGCCCAAGCTCTGCTAGCCCTCCAGCCTCCAGCCTGCAGAAGCAGACGTCCGCGACGGGCCAGGTCACCCAGTCACCTCGGGTGCGCGCTTGTCCTCAAGAGGCATGGGCAACCTCTCATCAGCCTTCCCGCCTTTCATGCCCAACTCGCTGCGTCAGGAGATCGGCATTGTATCATTTTCTGCTTTGGTTCCCGGTCTGCCGCCCTGGTCGGGACCGCCTCGTGCACGGAGACAACTACCACCCTCCGCGTCTTATCACCGCCATCATGAGGAATCATCGTATTCCATGGCGAGGCAGCATGACAGCTGATAGAGCCGAAGCTGCGAAGGTAAGTAAGATGGGTAGGTAGCTAAGGTTTGCTCTCGGCATTGCCCCTCATGATCGAGCTGTCTACATGCACTCTCGAGCACATACCTCAGCTCAACAAGTACCTGGCCTGGGGCCTCCCGGCTCAAGGCCTTGGCATTTTCAATATTTAACTCGCGCCGCGCAGTCATGGATGATGACACAGGAAGAGCAATCCTTTTACCAGAGGCAATCTCCAGCAGTCAAGAAGAAGCCGAGCCCCCGTGCTATGGTTCCCTCATGGTTAGCTGTGCCAATGAAGGCAATAAATTACTTGATCTAATCTGACATGGCAGCCTCACTCGAGGTTCAACCGACCTACTTCTGGTGCTGAGGTGGCGGGAGGCGGTTTTTTATCTCCTTTACAATACCTCCGAGGCCTTTGATCCTCTGATCTTCCGTGCTGCTCAGGAAAAGCGACGCGACGGGCCACGCGTGTATCCCTCCTGTCTCACCTTGGCTGGTGACCAGCGTCCCAGCCTTGTCCAGCCTCTGCACCAACTGCTCAATCTCAGGCGCAAACACTTCTTCCTTGCCATACACTACGTGTAACCCTTTCTTTGGACTTGCTTCTTTCAGCCACGCCAGTCTCGTACAGTTCCCGGGCGACGCAACGGGATCATCGAGCAAATCGACCCTGCCGGCATACTGCGCAGCGTAAAGATGCAGCGCCGGCACGTCAAGGAAGTCGCTGCGGTTGTTCTGATACAGCGCAGACTGGAGGGTCGGCCACGGCGAGATGAGGACGGCCATGCCAGGCTTATTGAGGTGGCGCGAGTCCTCTGGCAAGTGCCTGCCTTTGCTGCTGGACACGGGATGCGCGAGGTGCAGCAGCATGCTCAGAGCCAGCGTCCCTCCTGCCGAGTCTCCTGCAACGCAGATGATGGACGGGTCGCTGCCGGCCATGCGAAGGACATGCTCATACCCAGCGACCATCTCGGCGAGCTGTTTCGGGAAACTGGAGTCGGGCACAAGGGTATAGTCCAGGCCGAAGACTGCCGGGTTCCTGTAGCCTGCCCGCTTCAGGAGCGAGAGCCAGGTGAGAAGGAACTCGAGGTAGAAATAGGGCGAACCCATGCTGAAGCCTCCGCCTTGAACATGGTCAGTGAAGGGTGGATTCGTACCAAGGCCAGGGCACCTCACCATGAGCATAGTATATGATTATGTCCGGCCTTGCCGCAGGGTCGTCAATGGCCCACACGCCTCGGACGTTCTCGTCACGGTATTCTTTCCAGAAGACGGGCGATCTGAGACGGCCATGACGGAGCAGCCGCCACCTCAGCCACGGCAGTGCGACCTTCTTCCCGAAGAAGACACGGCCTACCTTGGGCGGGATGTTGGCGAAGGCATACCGTACACAGCGGACGACAAAATCCTCAAATGGGGACGCCTTCTGGACGAAAACTGGCCGGTCCGCCTTTTTTAACCAGTAGCGCTCGTAGAGGAAGGTGGCAGGTAGCTCAAAGACTGTGCGTTGCGTTCAAGCCTGGTCAGCTAGTCATGGGTCAACAATGGCTTTGTATCAGTCGCATTCCATACCTAAGAACGGCAGTACCTGTAACACGGTAATCACTGTCTCCAGCAGGCCGACATTGAGTATGAGCTGCGGCGCAAGGAAGATGCAGAAAACGATGCAGTCGAGGTAGGACACGGGTCCCAGTATCATTTTCCTTGTGTTTACTCGATAAGCGATACCAGGTCTTCTTGTCCGAGCCCGAATCTGCTCGTCTCTATATGGCGTGACACGCTCGCTCGTGGAGGAAAGGGATGGCCAGATGAGGGTTCAATTGACATACGTAGACCGCGCGTGGGGATTCTATCCGGTAGAGATTCTATGTTGGGTGCTCTCTAATAATCCGACAATGGAAATGTTTCGATCCATGAACTGAATTTCTCAACGATTGACAGAGTGAGTGAGTGTCAACGCGGGAAACACTGGCATGTGAGAGTTGGTGGGTCGAGGGAGACGAGCCATGTGGTGACGTCGTATGTTTGAGCGCTAGCTGGCGGTGCTTTGGCACCCGGGCTATTCTGTTAGTGATGCGGCTAGGCTCACCCTGAGGTCTCTTTCTCACTCACCCCTTCCGCAGTAAGCTGAAGTGGGCCGATCTGTTCACATCCTGAGGTCTTGGTGGCGGTGAGAAAATTGAATTGCGCAAGGTCTCCTCTAGTTGATGATGAATGGTAGTTCTATCTGCTTCGTATCTTGGAATTGGGAAAGGACATGTGTGTCCACCAGTCAGTCGGTCTCTTGAGAATTATATGAAGAGTCGCCGTGAATAGTGCAAAAGTCATCCGGTCTTATTATCATATCCGGCGTGACAAGATGTTGGGTATCCGCAAATGATCAATCTATTGGGCTTTTGACTACAGAAGAAAAGAATAAACTAGACCCTAGTTGTGAGCAACCTGCAAGATCTTGTCCTCCAGCTCGCCAAAGGCACCCAGCACAGACCCGTACTGCTCAAACACGCCCTTCCGGTACCCCTGGCCGACCTTCTCGACGGCGCCCTCCTCCTTCCAGCGCCTCCCGATGAGCTCGTCAAACGTCTCGCCGCCCTGCCTCTCGAGCGCCCACAGCGCCTTGTACGCGCCGCCGAGGGCGCACGCGTTGCCGCCGACGTCGAGCTTGTACACGCCCTCTGCGGACCCCAGCACGTCGCCCATGACGCGCGCGATGGCCGGGTTCAGGCTGCCGCCGCCGACGAGGAAGATGCGCCGCGGCTGGGCGGGCAGGCCCGGGTGGGCGGCCTGGTCGGGCGCGTGCACCAGGTTCTGCGAGCGCAGCCGCATCGACAGCGCCTGCGACTCGACGATGGCCCGCGCGTCCTTGGCCGCCGGCCAGCTGGAGCCGTTGTCGGCCTCGCGGAGGTCGCTGCCGTCGGCGGCGTTGCACGTGTACCGCCACGTGCCGGCCTTGATGTTGGGGACGATCTCGGGGAGGTAGAAGTAGAGGCCCAGCTTCGCGCGGGCGGCGGCGGCGGCGCCCGGGTCGGCCACGTCCAGCGGCGGGGTCGAGAGGACGGCCTCGTTGAAGTTGGCCCACCTGTCGGGCTCGCCCTCGGCGACGGGGGGCAGGGAGTCGCGGACGCGCTCGCGCGCCAGGCCGCCGTTCTTGTAGCACAGCATGAACATGTACTGGCCCGGGGTGCAGGGGTGGGCCATGAAGTGGTACGAGGGGTCGGGCCTGTAGGTCGGGGTGATCATGAGGAAGGTGCTGGAGGTGCCCAGGCTGACGATGGCGTCGAGGGGCCGCAGCGGGAGGGCGAGGATGGTCCCCTGGTTGTCGCCCGTGAAGGGCACGACCTGGCACTCCGGGCTGAAGCCGTACCTGTTGACAAAGTAGGGCGATACGCCGCCCATGCTGCCGCCGCCGTCCAGCCGCGGCTCGCCCAGCTTCGACCGCAGCGCGGCCACGCCGTCCTGGCCGCCCGCCGCCAGCCGCAGGAGCCCCTCGTCCCACCTGTTGGCGCGGATGTCCCACAGGTTCATGCCGCCCACGTCGCCGATGTCCAGGGGCGCGATGGCGCCCAGCATGACGGACGCGAGCCACGACGAGACGAGCGAGATGCGCGCCGTGTTGGCGTACATGTCTGGGAGCTTGTTGCGCAGGCGCATGATCTGGGGGCCTGTGAACCGCTGCGGGTGAGATTGTGGGTGTGAGCAGGAAAACCGTCCATCCAAATATCATACTACTCGTAGGGGCAGCACTTACGTGGTGCGCCGCACTCCCCGTGACATCCGCCAGCTTCGCATTGCCGCCCAGCGCGGCGTCGAACTCGTCGCACTGCGCCTGGGTGCTGTGGTCCTGCCAGTTGGGCGCAAAAGGGTGGCTCAGCGAGCCGGCCAGGAGGTCCTTGAGCGACTTGTCGGCGGCGGCGCTCCCCATGCCGGCCAGCAGCTGCTCGGCGTCGTGGTTCCAGTAGACGCTGCCGTGCTGCTGGCAGGCGCCGCTGACGCCCCTGATGCGGTGCAGCTGGGCGCCGTTGTCCCTCAGGCGGGTGAGGACCAGGTCGATGGCCTCGAGCCACATGGCCACGGGCGCGAAGACCTCGCCCTCGGCGTCGTTGACGAGGACGCCCTTGTTCAGGCCATACTGCTTGCCAAAGTCTGCGTCGAAGTCGACCTTTGCCTCGGAGAGGACGTGCAGGTCCGGCTGGATCACGATGGCTGTTGCTGTGTGTGAGCTGATGTTGTTGCTGCTGCTGCTGCTGCTATGGTGGTGGGTTGGTGTTGTGCATCACGGATGGGATGGAGGGAGTGTGTGATGTAATGGGCAGCCGGGCTGGTGGGGTTGGGGATGGGAGCACACCTTTGAGCTGCTGGGTAGAGAGGTCGAAACCCAGGTACAAGGGGCCGTCTTCACTCATTTTCTATAAATGTGTTACTGGTCCTGGCTGGGGGTTGAAGTGGCGGGGATGGTGTCTTCAAGACAGGATCCAAACAAACGACTATAAACAGATCAATTGGAGATACGAGGCACATGTGAAAGCAAGCAGATGGCAGAGACCTTGGTAGTGGCGAACGGGCGAGTCCACATATATTTCTTGGGCCGTTGGGAACGGACTGCAGCGCATGTCGTGGACGGGGCGTGGGGCAGCCATCGCGGGGCACGACAGACATTACACGACAAGCAAGCACCCCATTACGGTTATTTTACGGTGAGAGCAAAAGCTAGGTCGACAATCAGCCTTGTTTAGCCTGAGGTCATCCCTCTGCCAGTCAGCCAGTTACCCAGTGCCGTTGCCGCACTAGGAGCCTTGACAGTGGTTGCCGCACCAATCACCGCGCCCCGGTACCTGACCAGTGTCCTCTTCCATCTCCTGAGGCCCGGGCTTCGGTTGACCTGGGGCTGGCGCTCTTGGGTTGATTCCCATCCGGCCGAGCTGCAGATTTTACGAGTAATAAAGAAATATTACTCCTATGTGGAGCATTCTATTTGCACTCTAGTGTCTACACGCCGTCTGAGGAAAACCATATCAAACATCAGGTGGTGAACAGAATACTGTCTCGTCATATAATGACATCTCAAACTGACAAAATAAATGAATTCGATATGCGGTGCATCTTCCTGGCCATATCGTGACAGGCCAGTCAAGTGACCCCTTTCTTCCCATATTTCCTGAACGCCGCCCAAATGCCAACCGGCTTCGGTGTATATCTTTACCTCTCAGGTACTATATATGTACAGTCCAAGCCAAGCCTCTAATCTGTTACAATCATGTCCTTGCCAGTGTCTTCAGATCGTGCTCGTGATACATCGCACACCCTCAATTCTGCTTGTGGTGCCCGTTGCCGTTGCCGTTGCCATTCTCGTGGCTGTGGTCATGCTCTTCCGGCTCTGGGCTCGACTGTGGGCTGACGCTTCCGGAGATGAACTCATCGAACTTGGGGGTCTCGCCATCGGCGGTCTTGGGCACAAATCGTACCCGGACCTTCCTCACGCCACGGACCTTGCCCCCGACGAATGTCCGCACCGCGTTCTCTACGTCCCGGACGTCCTCGATGGTCCAGGTGGGCGGGACGGCCAGCTCGAGGTCGATCAGGTAGTTCTGGCCCGACTTGATCCCTGACACGTCTCGGAGCTCCACCTCGTGGCCTTCTGTGACCCCCTGCAGGCTCTTGGTCACCTGCCTCCTGACCGATTTCTTGACCTCGTCGTCGATGGTCCTGTCCGCCAGCTCGTAGAGCGAGGACATGGTGTTGCCCCAGCCGCCCTTGATGACCAGGAAGGAGATCAGGAGTCCCCCGACAGGATCCAGCCACGTCGCGTCTTGGAGGAAGTTTGCGCCGAGGATCACGAGCAGGGTGACGATGCCGGTCCAGCTGTCGACACGGTGGTGGATGGCGTTGGAGGCCAGGACGGCGGACTTGCGTTCTCTTGCGACCTTCATAGCTAAAGCAGGGCGCGCGCACAAGTCAGCAACATGTCTCGGCGCATTCTCTTCTGGGGAGGAAACCGCCGCTCCGCGACTATTACTTACTCGCATGGTATAGCCACTCCTTGATCAGTACCGTGCCCAGCGCCAGCCAGGCGGCGTGTAGGCTTGGGCCCATGCCGTGGCCGTGGCTGTGGCCGTGGCCGTGATGCAGCAGGGCCTCGGCTGCGGCGGGGTCGAGGAAGAAGTGGCCGTAGAGCGACTCGAGGCTGCTCATGCCCATGAAGACGCCGCCGGCGAGCAACATGCCCGAGACGCCCAGGGAGCCCAGGCTCTCGACCTTGCCGAATCCGGTGGGGTAGGCATCGGTGGGGGGTCGCAGGCTAAAGGACACGGTCGCGAGGGTCAGGATGTCGGAGGCGAGGTCGGTCATGCTGTGCCACGCGTCGGCGACCATGGCCTGGGAGTTGAAGAGGTAGCCGCCGATGAACTTTGCGATGGCCATGCCGAGGTTCGAGTAGAGCCCGATGCGGGTGATGCGCACGCCGGCGTCGTTCTTGTTCTGGGAGGTCAGGTAGACATTGTCGTGGTGCGAGTGCGAGTGGCCGGCGTGCGCGCGGGTCTGGGTTGCTGTGGCCATGATGCCGGACAGCCAGGCTGGTCGCAGGCGGTTCTGGTGTCGGAGGAGTTGCGACTGTGTAGATATAATATTGGGGGACGGCCTGGTTGGGGAGGACTGCGAGGGGGCGAGGGAGGCAGAAGGGGTGGGACAGGAGGAGGAGGAGGAGGGAGAGGTCACGTAGACACGGGTCTGCTGGCGATGGGGTTGAGGTGGCCTCTTGGGGAATATCGAAGTAGCATGCCTCAGTGCGGAAACGGGTGCAGATCGGGGGGAGCAGGTGTCGAGCGTGAGCCTGACCCTCAGCTGGGGCCCTGCATACTTGTACCCGGATGGGATTCGCAGGCACAAGGAGGGAGAGGGGCTGGAGGGAGGCATCAATCGAGAGGCCACGCCGAAACAACCTTGTAACTGGGGTTCAGGAGGGAGCGGGAAGGGGAGAAACAAAAATTAAAAAAAACTGGACGAGGCGACGCGCAAGTGGGTGGGTGGACAATGCGCGCGCAGAGAGAGAGAGTGTGTGTGTGTAAAAGTAGAGTGCTGCGCGGGCTGGCAGGTAAACTCCCGTCGTTAGTGTTAACCAAGATGGGCTGGGCAGGGTAGTGTGCAATGTAAGGTAATGTAAGGTAATGTAGTCTACTTAGTCTAGTCTGCCGAGGGACGGAACCAAGAAGATTTGGAAACACGGTAGGGATCGAGTTGGGCTGGAGTTTTTGTCCCAAGTCGCAAGATACCTAGGTAGTGTACATACTGCACGGTTAGCAAGTACCTACCTCGCCCGCCTTCCATCTACTCTCGACATCTAAATCTCAACCAAAATAAGTCCAGGCACAGACCAGAACGAGAATAGCCACGGCATCTAACCACATGCAGACCATACCATGGCATGCATTTGTACGCGTATAGACAGACAGGCATAATAAGCATCACTTGACAGCACCTACCAAGGACCCAGAACCTTGTTCCTGACAATCTGCCGTGCTGCCGCGGGCCTGGCAGCCAACTGAGGGTCGCACCACTCCCTGAACGCCACCTCAAGCCCAATGCAGTAACGGGAGGGGGTAGGGGGGTAGGGGGTGAGCACTGGTAGTAGGCTAGTACTGTCTAGGCGATGGGTATTAGGTGGGCACTTCTGGAAATGGGGGTCCCCAGTATACCCCAGGGCGGAATGGGCGTGGCAGGCGTGGGCGGCCCTGCCCTGCCCTACTGCCCTACTGCCCAGGTACAGTACCTACACTAGGACCCGAGGTCGTAGGTGGGGCGTCATGACGACGACGACCTGCCAAATCCAGCAGCATTTGATATCATCTCTCTGCCCTCTCAACCGCCGTGCTCCCACCTCATCCCGACATACTGTACAGATCACCTGCAGTGCCTGAGTGCACACACGTTGCACTCTTCTTCACTCCGCCCCATGTTGCATTGATCTCTCTGCACGCCTGGACCGGGGCTCCTCTCCAGCCAGATCCGTTCCTTTCGCTTCCCCCGCAGCGCGGCCCAGCCCCTGAACATCTTTCTACACAAAAGTCTTGGCCACAGCACCGCATACGCGTACAGCCGGAAGGCTTACGTACCCTGCCAACCTGCCTCTTCTAGTCCCGGGGCTTGCACATAGAAAAGGGAAGGAGAAAGGAGAATTGGGACTTGAGAGAATTCTGGCAATGAAGAAGCCCCTGCTGCGCATCCCATATACTGCCGAGTTCGCGCCGCCCCCCGTCGTCCCGGCCTCGGCCAACACCCTCCAGGGGGCCGTCAGTGCCCTGGCCGAGTTCCTGACCTCGCCCCTGCCGGCGAGGCGGGGCCTGAACTCGGACCGCACCGTCGTCCTCTCCGGCGCCGGCCTGTCCGTCGCCTCCGGCCTGGCAGACTACCGCGGCACAAACGGGACCTACCGTCTGAACAAGACCTACCGTCCCATCTACTACCATGAGTTCCTGGCCTCACACGAGGCGAGGAAGCGGTACTGGGCCCGCTCGTTCCTGGGCTGGACCACTCTGAACAAGGCAAAACCAAACGCCGGCCACTACGCCGTCAGGGACCTGGCGCGCTACAGCAATGTGCGGAATGTCATTACGCAGAACGTGGATTCATTTCACCCAGAGGCCCACCCAGACATCCCGACCCTCGAGCTCCACGGCTACCTGAGGTCCCTGGTCTGCACGTCCTGCCGCCACGAGTTCCCGCGCGACGCCTTCCAGGACGACCTGGCCCGCCTGAACCCGGCGTGGGCCGCCTTCCTCGCCGAGGCCATCGCCTCGGGCGCCCTCGACACCGAGAACCCGGACGAGAGGCGCGCCCGCGGGATGCGCACCAACCCGGACGGGGACGTGGACCTCCCGGACGCCCCCTACACCACCTTCCGCTACCCGGCCTGCCAGAACTGCCTGGCGAGCCCGCCGCCCGCGCCCGACGGGACCCGGCACAAGGTCGAGGTTGACCGGGACGGCGCGTGGGCCGCGCCTAGCACCGCCGGCATTCTCAAGCCTGCGGTCATCATGTTCGGTGAGAGCATACCGGCCAGCGTGAAGGAGGCGGCGGAGAGGGCCGTGGACGGGTCCGGAAGGATGCTCGTGCTGGCCACGTCGCTCGCCACGTATTCGGCCTGGAGGCTGGCCAAGCGGGCCAAGGACCGGGGGATGCCCATTGCAATCGTGAACATGGGTGGTGTGAGGGGAGAGGAGACCTTCATCACCGATCTGCATGCCGGCCAGAGCGGGGCCGAGGGGGTCAGGATCGACATGACCACGGAGCGACTACTTCCGGACCTGGTCAGTGCCTTGAGGCGCTCGGCTCCGGAGGAGGCCGCCCCCAATGATGCCGCGCATTTGGACAGCAGAGGTGCTGGTGTATTCAAGGATATGTTGTCATGATAGATATGTCCCGATTCATAGCGGAGACCCGCCTTGCATAGCAATCAATGATAGATCTCAGAAGAAGTATGCTGTGCGTCCTTTGGCAGGCTCTTGTGCAGGTACAGGCTCTGCCACTGGGGCGGCCTTCGCGGCGGGAGGCGACGGCGCAGGTGTCTTGGCCTTGTCCTGTTTCTTCTGACTCCGCGACGCGCTGTCCCTCTCGATCTCCTTCAAAACTACGCCTGTGTCAGTGAAGCTCTCCAGCAAGTACCCCCTTGTCTGGCCAGCGCAGGGTGTCTCAACCTACCTTCCTCCCACTCAGCCTCCCTCTCCCGGTCGCCCGTGCCAAGGACCTTCTCGACGTCGACCTTCTCCCCGTTCTGGACCCTCTCGATCACCTCCCGCAGCAGGCCGATGCGCACGTCGGAGCGGCGCATGAAGGCGTCAAAGTTCTTGCGCAGCGAGATCATCTGGATCGACATGGACCCGATCAGCAGGAAGATGACGATGTAGAAGGTCGCCGGGTTCCAATCCTTTGACTTTGCCTTTTTCGTCTTTGCTGGCGAGCTCGCTCCTTCGCTGCCCGTCCTGTTCTCGGAGCGCAGCGGTTTTGGGATCAGGGACTTCCAGAAGGACGTCTCGGCGACGCGCGGCTGCATGCTAATCAGGCGCGCATGGCTTCGGGGTCTCTGAGGGATCATGCTTCGTGCCGCCATCGGCCGGGGGAGGGCGGCTATCCTTCGTATCGCGAGTCGATCCATGGTGGGTTTGTTTCTTGATCCTCGCGGCGGGTGATCGGAGAAGAGAAAGACAGAGCTTGGAAGGTTGCTGTCGGCTCCCAGCCACTTTCTGAAGATGGCAATTGCAAAAAGTCGCAGGAAGTCGAAGAAGTTTGTCGTGCTCAAGTTGCGTCAGTTCTGTGGAAGAAGAAATAAATGTTCGGTTGGGATTTGGCAGCGGTAGAATTAGTGTAGCTACTGTGCAGACAAATAAGTTGGACCCCTGCACCGACAGGCCGGGGCAGGTCCGCTGGTTGCTGTGCCAACCGCCACCCAGCCCGAGGTGGGTGACGGTGAGCTTTGATCAACTCGGGCCTGCCTTGGTCACATACCGGATTTCACGAGCCATTACTGCACATCTGCATTTTGCATTTGCGATTGCTTGCTGCTCCTTGCTCCTTGCTCTCATCATTTTAAGACGTTACTCGTAATATACTCCTGCAGTCCTGGCCATGATATGATTAGCCGCCCTCGTCTTTCTTCAAAGAGTTTTACATGGCGTCACCACAGGACCAGGCTGAGCAGGTCAAGACAGCAGCCGCGTCGATAGCAACATGCACCCCCGCAACGGCCGTCCTCCTCAAGGAGCTGCTCTTCCCCAGAGAGAGCAATGAACCCTCCACCACCGCGACCAAGACGACCAAGACAGCTCGAACAACAACCACCACGAAGCGCAATGGCACAACATCGAGAACGGCCGGCGCCAGGAAGGCAACGACGGAGGACAAGGAGGAGCTGTCCGCAAAGGAAAAGGGCCTGCTTGCCACTCATATTCTGAACGTAACTTTGAAGTCGCTAGGGCAGGCTGTCAAGGCGCCCGCGACAGCCACGCCCAAGGAGCCGGCTGTTGGGGCTGAGGATATGGTCAAGACCCCTCCCAAGAGGCGCATCCGACGATCCAACTCGGCTCCCGTGACGCCAATGCAACCCCGTTCTGTCAACATGGTCTCTACCTCCCCCGAAGTCGAGAAAAAGCCCGCCCGGTCACCGTCCAAGCCGAACGCCTCGACGGGCTGCCTGTCAACGGTCGAATGTGCCCGAGTCGCACTATCGGCACTCCGACAGCTCCGCGTCGCAGGCAAGATAACTCTGCCACAGCTCCAGCTCGAAATGGGCATGTCGACTCTGGTTTCAAGGCTTATTGGTCTGGGGCTAATGGAGCATGCTGTCAAGGAGATGCGCCCCTTCAAGAAGGCATTGGACGACCTGCTTGCAACCGACAAGAAGACCCCCAAGCCTGCGCCGACGACCTCATCCCTGAGTCTGGCCGAGCTGCTCGAATTTCGTGGGGCCAAACCCTCCGGCCAGGTATTAACTTTCGTCATCACCGCGCAGATGCAGGTCCTGAGGATTATGGCCAAGATGAGGAGACCGGCCGATATCGAGAAGGCTTTGACATACCTTCGGCCAAGTTATGAATTCTCGCCCACCAGTCTCCTCCTCCTGACGGCAGGGTCAACCAAGGCGGAAAATGACAAAGCTGCCAAGTTGCTTGACACCTTCTCAAACCTTTTCCTGGCCCTGGCACCAAGCGTCTCGAGCAGCCAGGACGCTGTGGCCGTGGATCCAAAACTCGCCATCAGCCCACTGGCCGCCCTTGAGCTGCGGGCCATCGCCCTGCTGTCCAAGTTAAGCTGGTGGAAATTAGCTGGTCACAAGGGTGATGCAGAAAAGGAGATTCTTGCTCCGCTGTCACAGTGCTGGCTTGCCTACGCTCGGCGAACGGGTAAGACAACACCTTCTAGTTACAAGAGCTGCCTTTCGGTCTACAATGAGGTCCACACCCAGATCCTTTCTCAGAGTCTTGAGCCAGCACAGGCACCAAAATCGCCATCGGCCAGCATCTACCAGGTATTGGCCAAGTTAGCACGGGAAGCGGGCCACTACAGCGAGGCTGTCGCGTGGGCAGAGAAAGTCAGTCAAACAATTGACCCGACCCAAGCTTCACCGGCCAAGTGTTGCGCAACCTCAGCTTTATTACTAGCATGCCGCCTCAAGATTCCATGGAAGTACCCATCGCAGGACCAACTGCTCCAGGGAGTACTAGAAGGACTTCAGGGGCAGCTCCGAGGCGACACGGGCGAGTTGGACGATCTTCTCAACAGCCTAACCATGGCCCTGGAATCAGTCATGCAAGTCCTTTATGGGAGACTGAGTGACGATGAAGGCAAAAAATACCAGCCTTCAGCCGACTTCTCCGGGCTCCTAGAGGATCTTGTCTACCAGCTGCCACGGTTCTGCTCTCGATGGTTGGGAAAACGACCTTCGTCGCAAGACGATACTAAGGGTCTCGTTCGATACGAACAGAGAAGAGCTATGATGGCTACATCGGCACCCAAGGTTCTGAACTCGGCGTTGAGTCTGGCGTTGACCAATGTCGATGCCAGGAAGATACCGTGGGACAAGCTCGACCCACTCCTACTCGGATGTCAGGGGTTTCTCGACAGCTTGGGAGACCTCGCCTCCGCCGACCCTTCAGTGTTTTATCATGCCAAAATCTCACATGTATATTACGTCCAGCACACCATTTTCGTGGAAGCAAGCAGACGATCCAAAGCCGACTGGAAGGAAAACATGGGGCTTGCATTACGGGCAATGCGTCGCTCGATTGAATGTATCAAAGAGAGTTCAAGCAAGGAGCGGACGAGAGCTCAGATCCTGTTCAAGCTTGAACGTATGAGCACGCTGTACAAAGAAACCGGCAGACTTGGCGATGCGCTGACATCGCTGCATAGCCTTAGGGACGCCTTGGTTGAAGATGGCGTCCTGAAAGCAGTTGCTGAGGCATCTAAAGAACTCCCGCCGCGACAAGCGTGGTCAACCAGCCAAGAAGCAGAGCAGCTTTCATCCACATTGATCTCTATCGGCCGTTTAGAACAGGGCTGGGTCGACTGGACTGTCCATCTGGACGAACCTGAACGACTCGTTGCTCTTGAGCATCGACTTGAATTCATTGTCTTGAGGAACTCTGGCACCAACAATGCTGGGACTCAAGATGCATCTGTTGAAGCACTCCTTGAGCTGTGCTCAGTCAACAAATATCCAGTGAGAAGGATGAGGATTCTGACGCGACTTCTGGCTGCCAATATAGGAGACTCCAAATATCGCGAGTCCCTCCAGGCTCAATTTGACGAGGCAGCATCTATCGGTGGCGACACGGCTCTGGGCGAGGACAACGGTCTCCAGGGCTGTCTTGCGCACATGAAAGCTCTTTCACAATCCATGGTTGCTTTAGCTTGTCAACCGCCTAACCATGAACAAATTCAAGATTCCATATCTACTTGGCGATCTATTCTCGCTAGCTCAACGAGCATTGATCAACAAATTGACGACCTGCCCGGGCTGCTGGAGCACTTGCAGTCTGTTGCAGACTATGCCCGACTGTCGAACCGCAACAGCCTCCTGTTAGATGCCTTGCAACTTGCATCTGACCTGAGCCACCAAGTCGCCGACCTAGACACAGCCTTGAACTTGCAAATTTCCGCAGCGCTTGCACTGCAACTGACGAACATCGGACAATCGACCAAAGCGTTAGGCGTACTGGAGCAGGCCCAGCATTCATTAATTCCAGGAGATACGAAGTGCCGTGAGGACGTCCTTGGCTTCCTCCTCTCGCACGCAGAGTATTACCTTGAAGTTGGCAGCATTGAAAAGGCAGACGAGCTGCTATCACAGGCAAAGGATACGGTTGCTTCGATGAACATGTCCATTCGGTCGAGAAATCGCAAAGCGATACTGGCCCAAGCATCGTTGGTTTATTCCGCTGTTGCCCTTGGCCGAGGGGATGCCCCAAGCGCTCTGAACTATGCCAGGAATGCCAGCCGCGTTCTATTTCAGGAATGGATGAAGTTGGAGCAAAAGGCGAAGGCTGCACAGAGTGCAAATCCAGACAAGTCCGTCGACGAGCCATCGTCCCAGCTGGATTGCTCCTTGGCCTCGTTGGCGGAGAAGAACAAGGACTCGCCTCCTGCTATTTCAGGACCATATGCGTGGAGACTGGCGGACCCTGTGCTCAGGGGTCTTCTTTTCCTGTCAAATATATATGCTCACCTGGGTATGTACCAGGAGACAGTTTTCTATGCCGAGCAGGCTCAAAAGGTGGCACAGGCCGCTGGTTCCGAAGCATACTTGGCCGAGTGTGATGCCTGGGCGTCTTTCATCTCATCCAGAGCTGGCAAGCTCGAGGACGCTTTGAAAGTGGTCGGCCAAGTTCGATCCCGACTGGATGTTGGCGAGTACTCCAGCAGGCTCGTTAACCTTTGTTGTCGACTCGGTCACATTTATCGCGAGGTAGAAGACTTCGATTCGGAAAGGGAGATGATTAACGCGGCAGAAGAGATGGTGGGTCGCATGGCACGCGGTTGTGAGAGCGAAGCAGCAGCTCCCAATGGCGAAGCGGTTGCGACAAGCGAGACAAAGACGAGGATTCCCGTCAGAAGCAAGCGAGCAACTGCAGCCACTCCTGCGACCCGTTTAGCAAAGGCGCCAGCGACGAGGACCGCCCCCAAGAAGGCCGCCGCGACGCAGTCGCAGCCCGCCACTTTGTCAACCGCCGAAAACGAGGACGCGTATCTGGTATCTATTAAGGCATCTGTCCTGGTTGAAAAAGCCTCATCGATGATCCACAAAAGGGACTGGTCTGGAGCTTGGCAACTGTTACAGGAGGCCCGGCAGTCGTCCAAGATTGCCTCAAACGTGCTGTGCGAACTACTCACAACAGCAACATCACTTCTCGGGCAGAGCATGGAACAGATGTCTCAAGATGCCGTCTATTCTGTCATCCAGGAATCAACACTCTCGTTCCCTTCTGTTAGCAGCATCCCGCAGTCAGATCGCTTCTCATTGATCAAGGCTTCCCCCGCCAAGTCCGCACTTAGTCCTACTTTTCAAGAGAAAGAGGCAGTGTATGATGCTCAAGGATACTTGGAGAATCTACGAGAGGCACGTGAAATGCTCTTGGAAGCCCACACCTTGGCCTCCGTTATGGGCGACGGCAGGGAAGTGCGCAGGACCCTGGGAATGCTTCAGACTGTCGTGATTCTCCTCTCAGCGGCAACAGCTTCAGCTAGGAAAGCTGGTATCCTCGGGCACCCAGGATACGCCACCTGTGCAGTGGAAATGGCGCGGAACCTTACGTGGCGCAGAGAGTACAACGCGCTGCTGACGGAGAAGAGCTCTGGAAGAAGTGGTATGGAGTGGCCCGAAGATATACGATCGTCGGAGACAAGGCGGGCCAGTCTGAGCCCCATGGTCGACATTTGCAAGTTCCAACGCGAGTACATCGATATCATTCCCCAGGAGTGGAGTGTGGTTTCTATCTCACTCAGCGACAACAAGCACGATCTCTGCATTTCAAAATTGCAGGCCGGGCAAAGCCCGTTCGTGATCCGACTCCCTCTGGAGCGGGCGAGCTCGCGGGACGCTGACAGTGATGTCTTTGACTTCCAACAAGGGCGAACTGAACTGCTTAATATTATCAAACGGGCAAATGAGACGTGTCACACCAAGGTAGACTTTTCCGTCAAAGGCGCAAAGACTGCTTGGTGGGTTGAGAGACAAGCTCTGGACGTACGGATGGGAGAGCTGTTGGAAAGAATCGAGCAGGTATGGCTTGGCGGTTTCAAGGGCATCTTCTCGCAACACAAGCGGCACCCAAAGCTACTCGCAAAGTTCCAGAAAGACTTCACCAACATCCTCGATAAGCACTTGCCTTCACGCCGCCAAGTCCGCGGGAAGAAGTCCAAAGCCACGGCTGCAAAGGTCACTCTCGACACAAGGATTCTCGAACTGTTCGTCGGATTTGGAGATGCGACGAGCATCGAAGGCGACTTTGACGAGATGCTCAATGATCTACTCTACTTCGTCGTTGATATTCTTCAATTTCACGGCGAACGCAATGCCTACGACGAGATTGAGTTTGACTCCATGGCAGTGGAGACTCTGGATGCGCTCCACTCATACCATGCGGAAGCTAAAACCCTGGAAGAAACAGGGGCCAGAAACCACACGATTCTGGTTCTGGACAAGGCCCTGCACACGTTCCCCTGGGAGTCACTGCCGTGCCTGCAGGGGCTGGCAGTCTCCCGGGTGCCGTCGCTGGCATGTCTCCGCAGGTTGATTTTGGAGCAGAAGCCACCAAGCACAGCCGCAGAGACGGACGGCCGGGGGCATCCGGCAGGGCACCACGTCTCTATCAGCTCCGGGACGTACATGCTCAACACCAGCGGCGACCTGAAGACCACACAGGCGACCTTTGAGGAGCCGCTCTCGGCACTCGGCGACTCGTGGAAGCGCGTCGTCAAGAAGGCGCCCACGGAGCCCGAGTTCGAGGCCGCCCTCTCGTCGTCCGACATCCTGCTCTACATGGGCCACGGCGGCGGGGCGCAGTACATCCGCAACCGCACGATCCGCAGGCTCGACAAGTGTCGCGCGACGGCGCTGCTCATGGGGTGCAGCTCTGCCAGCCTCGCTGACGTGGGCGACTTTGAGTGCTACGGCCTGGTCTGGAGCTACATGCTGGCCGGGTGCCCGGCTGTCGTGGGGACGCTGTGGGACGTGACGGATAGGGACATCGACCTGTACACGGGGAGGGTCTTTGAGGAGTGGGGACTGGTCGCGAGTGGCACGTTCCCCGGGAGGGGGAGGGGGGAGGACGCCGCCAGCAGCAGCAGCAGCAGCAGCAGCAGTAGCAGCAAGGAGAAGGGCAAGGCGGCCAGTGGAATCGCTGCTGCTGATGACGCCGCGGCACGTGATACCAGGAGGCCTGCGCGGTCTGGCTCGCGCAACAACAAGAGGGCCGCGGCAGCAGCAGCGGAGGCGGTGGACGGCGACGGTGTCAGTGTCGGTGCTGGCGGTGGCACAGCTTGCGAATATGGCAACGCGTCCCTGCCCGAGGCTGTCGGCCGCGCGAGGAACTCTGGCGTCTGCAAGTTCAAGTACCTCAACGCCGCGGCGGTCTGTGTCTACGGCATACCGGTGTACGTCGACCGTGGCCACCAGGGGGCGTGATAGAAGGGTCGCCATTGGCCCGAGGGAGGCAGGCGAAGACCTGTTTATGCTTCGTGGTCTACGCGGCCCGTGATTGGATAGTGTTGGCCAGAGTGACTGTCTTCCCAATCGAGGGGCCGTCCGAGCACGGGTGCGGTCTTACAGGAAACACATTGGTGGACAGACAGCAAGGCGTTGGTACAGTTCATCTTCTCCCCCGTGTCACTACTGCCGTCAGAGGCTCTTACGGGCATGTCATCATGGATGGATAGCATAGCGTGTTTGTCTTCCCCACCGGGGTGAGGTAGAAGGAGGAGGAAGCATGTGTGTTGGCGTTGGCAGCGTGCTTTAGACTGAATGAAGAAGTCATGACATCAAAGAACAATTGCCGTACCAAGCCCAACTCATCAACTTGCCTTTTCTATCTGAGTCTACGACTAAAGTGTCCGAGTTACCACCGACCAAACCGTGCTCTCGACAAGGGCAGCACGCAGGACGTGCAACGAAACAAGCCACCACGACTGGTGTGGCCCGTCGGCTGGGCGAGCCGACCCATGAACACAACTGAGATATGTCAAACACGACAGCTGTAATACCGTGATCGGCAGAGTTTCTTAACGGGGCCCGTGATATTGGCGTTCGACGGCGCGGAGGCGATGCCAATCCTGAGACAGAATCTACGAGGGCCCTGCTGTTCGTTTGTGCATTTACTCGTTCGTGTCAGCGGTCCCTGTCACCCCCTTGGCGATCTACCCTACCCGCTCCAGAGGAAACGTTGCTTGTTTCGTTTGGCCATTTGCATCGTTCGCGATCGACCGGTGCTGTCTAGATCCATCAAAGCATCTTGATGTGGTTTCTCTCACCTTCAGGGGCTCCATCTGTCCGCGACCCCCAGCCAGCCCCCTTTCTCAACACCTAATCCCTCCTCCTCACGCCATTGCCCTGCCATCGCCCAGGGCAGGGGATAATAGGCGGAGTTTCCAATCCAGGTTAAGCTTTGTTTTCATTTCGGCGGAGGGATCTCTTATTGCTCTCAACGCCCGCCCTCCTCATCATCCCTCATCCCTCACCCTTCGCCGTGGGCCCGGGCCCGCGACCTCTGGGCAGGGGCAGGGACAACAACACGCGAACAGGGACGAGGAGTCTGGGAGGAGGCACGGTGAGCCGGATACAGTCGCCTGTCTCAAGCGAACCTGCGGGCTCGGGCATGTCGATCCCCTGGAGCTTGGCCCACGACGAGCGTTGGAAAGGCGACTACCCTCCCCAAGCGGGCCGCGCCACTCCCTCCAATGAGACAGTCCAGGCCCTTGGGTGCGTTGTGTGCTTCTATTGCCCTCGTTTCCACCCCCCGGTCTCCAGCGGGCGTGGGCAATAGCCTCCCGCAAGGTCGTCCGGGGTCTGCCTTGTCCGTCCGTGGAAACAAACGCTTGGTTTGTTTAGGACGTTGCAGCTGCTGTTCACTCGGTGAGAGCTCACCTCGGAGCACGAGATGACGACCTGCAGGGAGAGACTGGCCCACTTGGGCATCGAAGACACTTGTCAGGCTTGTCTGCCTTTACCATATGGACGTGTTAATGATCCCATAGTATGTATGTACTTCTGATATAAGTCCTGCCCAGGTCGGGGTTGTAGAGGGATTTGTGGCCAAAATACCACTTTGGGGCGATAGAGTGCGCTGATCCAGTTATTAATTGCTCGGTACTTGGCGGTTCCAGTTCCCCTACGGCACAACACATCCATCCCTGTCTATACGACAAGCATGTTATTCGATTTCCCAACCCCGAATCAAGATGGAGAAAAATGACAAATGATAGAAGTGGGCCGAATCGGTGAACTGTTTCGCTTGACACTACCTCGCCACGATCCAAGGCTCATTCAATCGGTGGCCTTGGAGGTTCAGTGATGCGGCCTCGGTTTCCTGCACACCTGGGCAGCCTTAGGAAACTGCTACCGTCTATTCAGTGGGAACCCCCACCCCAGGCGAAGCCAAATATCCATGGAACAGTGCTGGCAATACCTTCCGAGGTGTGACACATGATATGGGGTGGCAGTGAGGAATCACACGCACAGGTCACATTGAGCGGGTCAATGGTCGACGGCGCAACAGGTAACCTGGTAGCGAGACAGCCAGGCAGCCAGACAACGGACGGATGGATGGTCAGACAAGGACCATGGCAGCATCCAAGAATTGAGAGGCCACCAATGTGGGGGAGCAAGGTAACCTTCTGGGAAGTACGACAATTCGCCGTTCAAGTATTTCGTGCCACCTTGGTGAAATGTTACGACCACCCGCTGGCGGCGTTGAGCAGCCGAGGAACCAGTCGTATCTTTGGGAATTGCGAGGCCTATCCACACTGGAGGCGATCAAGGGGTGTTCGTCTTCGGGTCTGATCGCCAGTATTGCTCACTAGGAGTCTCGTAGCCCTCGAGGCCAGGGGCTTGTTAATGCAAAACCTGCAGGTCATGGTTGGGGACGGGGAAAATTTGGACGACAAGAGAAGTTTGAGGCCCTGCAAGTACGTCCTGTGCTCGGGAGCTTCGCGGCTTTGCCAAGACATAACGGTTTCGTTGCGCCCAGATTTCATTAGATGGCATGCGTTCCCTGCGTCTCATGGATGCGGGTGGAGCGCCCCGTCCGTGCTGGATGCGTAGTGCTTAAATGTGAGCACGGCGATGCTGGAGTTGGGACGATGGTCCAGGCCGCACAAAGCAACACCAGGGGCGCCAAAGCCTATTCGGAGCAGATCCCGTCTATCTCCAGGAGCAAGGGTGAGGGCAATCTCACACTGTACTGATTTGCTGACGATGCCACGCATCATCATCACAAAGCCTTGTCACGCCTCTCGCGTGCTTTGGCCGTTCTGAATTTAGGTGAGGTTTCCACATGTCGTCTTGTAGTCTACGTGGGCGACGAGCCTGGGGCCCCTGAGAGCTGCGATACTGACTAGTCCTGCATATTCGGAAACACTCGTTCCCGTGTAACCGGTCACACTTCAAGATCGTCCGTATTCCCGGCGTCGTTGGACAGCCTGCTTCTCAACGGGATGCTTGAGCTCTAAGGTGACCTGCAGCTGGGCGCCACAACGTGTAACCCCTACCCCTACTTCGCTGAAGAAGAAGCAGCCCAGACCAAGCGTTCTACAAGGTAGTGATTGCGGCCCCGCCCGCGCCTGGTAGTGGGATCTTCTCAATGATGGGTTATGGCTCGCAGTATTATCTGGAGGCCTTGCGTGAGTGGCTCGGCTGATTCCTCCTTGTGTAACGTGAGTGGTGGCTTGCAGATGATCGACCGTCAGGTGTTGTGTGGCAGTCATGTCGTGCGCCAGAAGGCTCCTACATGTTCGAAAGCCTCCCTGCCAGTCATTCGGCCTGGTCTTGGACCTGGTCTCGGGAGCTGCCTCTCACTGTGGCTTCAGTTGTTGAGTGTGATGCTGCCCAAGATCATGCTGTGCGATGGTCCACGCAATCCGCACAAATGATACAACGCAGCTCGCCTTCTGCTCTCGCTTCAGAAGGCTGAACATCTGCAGTTTGCACCTTGAGAGCTGCAGCTGCGGTGTGACAGAAAAACCACCTGAACTTCTGGACGAGAGACGGGCGCGCGCGCGCTCGATACCTCTCACCTGCTACGTGGCTGCCAGCCCGGTTTGATCACGAGTCGGCCAGGTTGCGGCTTCCTGGCAGAAGCCAACACTGAGTGCGAACTGTGCCATCCGAACCTTGTACTAGGGCGGCTGACAGCAGCAAGCGTAGCATCCTGAGGCTCTGGTATGAAGAATCAGACGGAGTCTCACCGCACAGTGGCTGGTGGCTGGTGCGCTCCGAGTCTGGCACGGCTAACAGGGATACGACATGACGGTCCTGACAGAGCATTTCGGACCACTCAACATTTGTTCGAAGTGCTTTGTGTGATATCGGCCCTTTTGTTGTTGGAGTCCTGTCCCATCTCTCAACTCGCATGGTCGGGGAGGTCACTGAGGTCCCTGAGAGGGGGTGAGGCAGGGACCAGCGCAACTGATGACCAGGCCCTGTCAGTCCGAAGGCCATTTCGGAAGGTCCGCCTCGCCATCTGCCCGAGTGCAAGAGCCTCCTGTTCGTCAGATTCAGGGTTCGAGGGCGCTGGGGCGGTTCCCAGACTGTGGCTCTGGTACGCTATGCCGGCCTGGCAGCCCGGTGGCATGATATGCAGGCGCTCAGGAGACTAGGCCGTACCAAACTTCAGGGACACAACATGAGAGTCAAGCGCAGATCGTGTGGTGGCTAGCGGTGTCGTGTCGTGTCGTGTCATGTCTTGTCTCGGCGTATGTGATAATAATAACATGATCTTCGGCGGCTGCGAGGCATTGAGCGTCGCTGACACAGACTTGAGATTGCAGTCTTGGAGTCTTAGTTTGCAAGACCCTAGTGCTCCGTACGGGCTGGCCTTCCCCGGCGACAAGTCAGGGCCTTGAACCCTGAGCCCACGAGGCTGGGCTGCTGGGCTGCTGGGCTGAGGAGTTGGAGCTAGCGCTGGCGACAAACGTAGGGCGAGTGGAATTGGAGGGTGACCTAATGGGGTCATGCCTTGCGAAGGTCGCAGCAGGGCGCCAGGACAAATTCCAGATCCCAGCCAGACACTCTCGTGTTGACATTGCAGATTGCCCAATGGCAAGCCCGTAGGCATGCCACACATATGATGAGTGTGCTGCACGAGAGGCCCCTGGCTCACACGGCGGAATACAACGCAACGCAACGCAATAGACTTGTAGTACACAGTAGTGACTAGGTTCTGTGGCAACTAGGTTAGCCGGGTGAGCTGTGGATGATGTGTGAGCGTGGGGTTGCGAGAGCGAAAGAGGGCTGAAACGACCCCGAGAGGCACGGGTGAGCCCTGGAGCTGGGAGCTGGGAGCAGGGAGCAGCGGTGCGAATTGTCGGAACTGCGACGGTGAGAAGCAGAGGCAGGAGTCTGCGCCAGCGTCACCACCGGGGAGACTGACTGGCAGGCTGGCAGGCTGGAAGAGTAGGGCAGCAGCAGCAGCAGCAGCAAGGGTGAGACGTCATCCAGGCATGCCAAGCACGCGGCGGTTTGCAGTGGTGGTCGGTGAACATTCCCATTATGCGCAGTATCCAGATTCCGTTCGCGGTGACTGGCGCTGCAAAATTAGTCAAGGGTGTGATGGATGCTGGACGCTGGCAGGCCGGACGCTGATGAGCAAAGGGTGAAGGGTGAAGGGTGATGATGGGCTACAGGCACAATCTGGGCTGACGAAGCAATTGGTAAAGTGCAGGCCGGGATGGCACGCATGACAGGATTGGGTGGGTTGCTGGGGAGTTGGCCCGGCCGAAAGCTTAAAAAGCGGAAACAACCAGCAGCGTTACATCCCCCAGCACCCAAGCTGCTACACCCCACTGCTTTTTCCCCCCTTCTTGCCTTCTCGTGGCTGCAGTCATAGGAAGGTGCAGGCGGCATGCAGGCATGCGCAGGAGGAGGTGCAGGCGTGGCTGCAGCTGCAGAAGCTGGCGGGTGTGCCAAGAGTGTCAGAGGGCAAGGCCAAAAGGCAGTAGCTGGCTGGCGAGGCTACCCAGCCCGGCACTGTCTGTCTACATCTATGTCGGTACCTTCGACAGTGGACAGCACGACGCGGTTATGGCCGGATGGCTGGCAAGCAGATCGGCACGCGTCGCAGCCTTGCATGCCTCGCAATGCTGCTGCTGCTGCTGATCACCATGACTCTCAACTCTGTCTGTGCTTCCCGGGGTGGCACATTGGCACAGTATCTGAGTATGCTTCATGCCTGTCTGGGTCGGATTGTGCCTCGCAGGATCGACATTAAGCCACAGCTTCTAGAACACGCACACACTTTTCGACGCCCAAAGTCCAACTCGGTCCTGATGGCGCCGCCGACATGACGACAAGCTCGACAAGCTCAACACCACGGCCGACCACTAGCCGCCCATCCGCCAACGGCCACGGCCCCAGCCGCGAAACCCTGACTCACTTCCAAAAGCATGGCCGCACACGCTCCCGCACCTCGACATCAGGTGAAGCACCACGGCTATGCAGCAGGAAAACGTGTAAAATAATGCAAATCTCTGGCAAACCCTATCTGTGCTGCTGCACGCGCCCGCTCAAGACGGGTTTGGAGGTTGCGTGTCTGACGCCCGTCATCCCCCTGATCAATGTGACGGCGACTCGGGACGGGTCACCCTGAAGTTGGAGCCGTCGTGCCAGCGTGGGCGGCCAGTCGGTTGAGGATGAACAGATGGTCAGATCAATCCGTCAACCCACCCCTGCCCTCGCCCTCCCCCTCAGGACTCAAGAGGGCACGTGCAGGCCGAGGGGGATCGGCAAACTTTCGACACCTCGTCTTCTATAACTCCGAGGGCTGAGGGCCTATGTTGGTGTGGCTCCCCGGCTGGCAGGCGGGCAGGCGGGCAGGCGGGCAGGCGGGCCATATTCGACATTTTCGTCTGGACTCCTGCTTGATTCATCCCTCGGTGCTCTCTGTGACCCACAAACTCCTACCCTCACATGCTGACAGGCAGTGACAGCCGAGCCTGAAGTGGTCAACGAGATTGACGGGCCGATCAGGATCGCACGTCAGAATATGACATGTGAGTTGTGAGCAGCAACAGGACGGCGCAGCCTGACCAACAGGAGCACATCGGCAGCGGCCAGGCACGGACAGCTAAGCTCACAGCAGTAGGCCATGGGCCGCCACCAGAGACAGCACAGCCAGCACAGCCAGCACAGCCAACACCCCATTTGTACAAGTCCTTCTTCACTTAGACAACAACCCCTGCCTGCTGCTCTGTGCTCTGCCAAAAGCAGCCCGGCCAAGGACCCTGTGACATCACGTACCTATGGCATAGCACACTGCACCCAGGCAAGTTAGGCAGACTCCGCTTGCTCGCCCGCTGCTGCTGCTGCTCGTAGGGCCCCACGTGGAACGCAAGACAACTCCAGCAAACGGGCGATCGATCACCCTGATCGACAATGCCTCAAGCATGTCATTCATTATTCAGCCCTCTCCGGCTCTCAGGTCTCAGGTCTAAGGTCTCAGGCGGCTCCTTTGGAATCATGCGCCTCGTCTCGTCTCTGCGCCCGGAAAGGGCGATGGCAATGTCGTGCCAGATCCAGTCTTGACAAGCCCATCAAACAAACTTTAAAGGCCCCCAATACGCTCACAGACGTTGACTTGCCTCGTCCAGGGAACGGGCTGGCGGGGGATCCAAGGCTACCACCGTCGGTGGCTCACCTTGCCAGAGGCAGGGAAGCCGTCGCTGCGGCCCATGCCTGCCCAGCCTGCCAGCCTGCCAGCCTGCCAGCCCATCACAATTAACATTTCGGCTTGCGGTCGAGATCTTGGTGTGATCTGGCAGATACGCTGCTCGCCGGCCCCTGCCCCCCGGTTCTACACCCCAGTTCTACACCCCGGTTCTACCCCCCCGGTTTTGCCCCGGCCCCTGCCCCCGGCCTGGCTCTCCAGCGTACCTAGGCATGCTTCAACCGCCGCCTTTTGACAGGACAGCTAAGCCTGGAAGCTTGTCACCATGGGCCACAAACGGACCACTTTGACTTCGTGCTATCTCCGCAGGTAACCCCTCCCCTACCCGATCTTGGTCACATCTACGATGGGGGTGCTCTTTTGCATTACCTCAGCAGAGTGCGCCTCACCCGCTGCGAAGAACCTCCTGAAGGACGTGATCGCCAGAATTAGAGTCTAGACCGCCGCCTATCTGCCTCTGTTGCAGCTTCGGTGGAGAACGGGCTCAGAAGCCCAGTTCTACCTAGACTGTGTTGTCGAAGCTCGCCCCCACCAGCCCTACGGTCTTCGCATTACGGTTTTCGCAGCAGGGCTCGCTCAGCGGTCTGCCCAAAGCCGTCGGGTCAATTATTCATTGCACTAGGTCTGAACTCTTGACCGGAACCCGGCATTTGCCCTATGCCATACTGATCGCGCGACACACCATCGACAAACAGGTCATTGAGAAAGGCCAGTCTGATGACTGGCCTGCCAGCCGGGATCCTGGCACTGACATCGTGGGAAACGTCCCCTCCACGAGCCCCAGCTGGTGGACTTGCAATCCATGTTAGCCAATGCGGACAGACCCTGGTGGCAAAGGCATCCGGTACTCGCCCCCGGCCCCATGGTACGCAACGGTCAGGTTTCCGAAGCGTAGCGGCCCCCACACTCGCTCGTCGCGACCGCAGTTCACGACACTCATTATTCCCTGATATGGAGCTCTGCGGCCCGTGCTCATGCAAAGGTGTTTAAGTTTCTATACCCAGCCTGGGGCTCGAGATTCATCCCGAGATCCAAATAGCAAGTCTTCAAATATGTGGGCCAGACATTTCACATCCATCTCATGCGAGCCGAGGCAGTCACAAGAACTTTGTCTGCAGTTTCACAGGCACGTTGCTGCTGGGCGAATCGGCACAAGAGCTGGCTGCTGATCAACAGGCATGCGCACGCAATCAGAAGTCAGCACCACAGTGCAAGCAAGGAAGGTTATGTAGAGCATACGTGCAAAGCATACCTGCACCCTATGCAGGACATCTTCGACTCGTTGCGGCGGCGGCGAGCCTCCTCTCCGAGACGCAGCCTCTTCTTGGTGACGCTTCTGTCTTGATGGGCGGTGTTACCAAACTCAGCGTCCAAACCCTTTCATCACACGTACGAACATCAGATTCATCGGCGCATTTGCCATGTTCGTGAGGAAAGCACGGCACTCGTTCACTGATTGACTGCTCCATCCCTTCCGTGTGCGCAGTAAGCGCATGCTGGCCACACACAGCCATCACACGCGAATCCCCCCTGCCACATTCCCCTCCCATGCGCGGCTAGCAGCTTGCATCCGACAACTTGGATGGCGAGCAACTCATGTCCTTGCTCATGTGTGGACGGATATAGGTGAAGACGGTCTTTTGCTCAGGGCCCAGCCAAGTGGACGCACGGTCTGATCCTCGACACTCAGCCGTGGTATACTATGTACCCTTGCACCCTGGCCGGATCTGCCTCGCTTCGCTTCACCTACCTATCACTAGCTGGAAGAGGTGCTTGGATGTGTGTTTATGGTGTCCCTTGCACGCGTTCCCTACAAGCTCCTCACCAGTCTGATGACCGATACGCCTTTTGAGATGTATGGAACACTTTGACCATAAAGACGAACCTCCCACCTCTGTGGTCGACCTAGCCATCTGTCTGCCTGCTCTCTCTTCGAGTCTCTCCTGTTCCGATACTCTCGCCAAATGAGTCTGAGCCCCGGCCGTCTATCAGAGTCTGCCTACCAAATCACCTGTGTGATAGGCACCGTCATACACTTTGAACAAACAGACATACGCACACCCACATCCAGGCCCAGCTAGCGACCAGCAATCCCACTCAGACTATTCCACGGCGCAGCTGTTGTCTTACAAGCTTACGAGCAACCAACCATACGGGCAGCCACTCACCCACCCGTCCGTCCATCCATCCATCCATCCATCCATCCATCCATTCCGGGGACTTGGTGGATGTCTTCCTAAGCCACTCCACGGAAGCGCACACGACGACCGTTGGACCCCATTTTACCCCACAGTTTCTGACCGCCGAAAACACCCTCTTCCGTCCTCCACCACGGGAGGAGACAAGGTCCAGCTCGCCAGCTCGCGTCCACATCCCAACAAAGTCGCAGGCACACGAGTCTCCGACCTTGCCCCCTGGACCCTGTCGTGCAGCGCAGCGCCGTGCAGTGCGTCACAAAGTGCTGCTTGTTCCACTTACAGACAGGCCGGCCAGAGTCGTACCCTGCCTCTCACCCTGCCACCACTACTGCTACTGCAGAAGAGCGGGTCCGCTTGCATACTGTGAGCCGGGCTCAGTGGAGAACCCCAGCTTGAGAGAGTTCAATAATAATCAATCGCCTTGGTCCCCACCAGGAGGTATGTACACTATTTCCTTGTCCTGACTACTGTGTGTGAGGTGTATCCACACTTTTTCCCTCTGCCCCATGTGGAGGAGCGCCGGGCCCTTTCTTTGCTGGACATCCAACCAGCTTCAGCCCATTTCACCCGCCCGTACTATTGCTGCCATTTCTCCCCTCGGGCGGGCTCTGTTCGGTTTCCTTCAAAACCCACGCCCAATCCGTCTGGCCAAACCCACGAGCCAGCCCACTGCATCCAGCCCGGGCCAGTCAAACAAGACCAGTTCCCGACAGCCTGAATCACCTTGTCTATTTCCATTCTGCCCCGGACCCAGATCTCAACCCCGAGCTATTGTCGCCTGCCTCTCTGAGGTCGCTGGAGGCACATATAGTGAGGAGGGCTGACACATAACAAGAAGCCTGGGTTCTGAAATACCCACATCCCCTGTGTTCTTTCGGCAAACCTAGCGGACAGGCAGACCATGGCCTTTGTGCTTTGGTAATCCGTCTGCTCCGCTTCCCCCTCACCTACCACATCGCCGTCGCCGTCGCCCTCTCCAACATCAGCAACAACATCTCATCACACTGCCTGACGGGATAGCTAAGAAGACGAGGCTAATTGTCGGACCATCAGTTGGAGGGTAGTGGTCCCGTCCCGCCCTAAAAACTTAAAAGAAGGCACGCCGTTGGAGGCGCCTTGATCCTGATCTTCATCGCCAACCCACCCCAAAATCTGAATTCAAAATTGGACTCCGAGGAGTTTCCGACTCCAGCCTGACCCTGCCCGCCCTGCCCGCCCTGCCCCTCAGCACCCTGTGCCTGTTTGCTTCTAGACCAGCACCGCGAAAAGGCGCCGTCGATGATCACTTGCTGCTTTTGACCCAAGCTCTCTGCATTAGCAATAGCCATGTCAGCGGCTCAATCCCAGTTCAATATCAAGGCCCTCCCTGCTGATTTGCGTCCCGACCTTTTCCACAGAGGCATTGGACCCGAGCACGACTCAAACTTGCACGCATACTCAATAAACCGTTCCCATTACGACACCTCTGTTCACGCGACGTCTCACCAACAAGGCTTCACAGACTCTGCCTTTTTCACCCACGACTTTGCCCTGTCCACTTACCAGGGCCTTAGAGAACGCTCGTCCATTAGCTCGGCTATTTCTGAGGAACATGCACCTGGCTTGTACGCCAGCCGACAGCGCCAGTCCATCTCATCAACCATGGCAGACACCCAGGTGACGGCGCCGTCAATCACCGCCCACACTCCCTATTTTGGCAATGCTGACTCCGGCCGAGCAAGATCCAGCGTGGACGGCTCAGATGGCGGGAGTCCAGATACCAACCAGCATGGGAACTCGTTAGAAGACCCCGTGTCCGACGAGTTTGGCTTGACTTCGCTGGGGCCGGGTGACGGGACTGACCTAGGCGCCAAACACAAAGATGACAAGTCTGACACCGCTCCGGCATGGAGTGAGCTGAAAACCAAAGCTGGCAAAGAGCGCAAGAGGTTACCTCTAGCATGCATCGCCTGCAGGAGGAAGAAGATACGCTGTTCGGGGGAGAAGCCCGCCTGCAAACATTGCCTTCGCTCCCGGATACCATGTGTGTACAAGGTCACAGCCCGGAAGGCCGCACCAAGGACAGACTACATGGCCATGCTCGACAAAAGGTTGAAGAGGATGGAGGAGCGCATCATCAAGATCGTCCCCAAGAATGAGCAGGACGGCATCGCGTCTGCTGTCCCACGCGCAGTTGTCAAGCCTGCCATCCCCGGCACTCTATCAGCAGGCAAGGGCAACTCTCGGAAACGCGGGGCCGAAGAAGCCTTCGGGCAGGATTTGGACCATTGGGCAAAAGTCCCTGCCAAACCAAGTCTCGAGAGCCCGCCGCGAGCAACCTCGCTGATGATGGTACACGAGTCCGAGGAAACAAAGCTGCTGCAGGAGGGTGTTCAGTCTTTGCCATCCAGGGAGATCCAAGAGCATCTTGCAGATGTCTTCTTTGAGAGTGTCTACGGGCAAGCATACCACATACTGCACAAGCCAAGCTACATGAGGAAGCTGAGGTAGGAATGGCTCCTTAACTCATGTCAGGAGGCGAGCAATGCTGACGGTCATGTAGGGCTGGCACCTTACCACCTGTACTGATCCTCTCCGTATGCGCCATGTCCGCCCGATTCTCGAACCACCCAAAACTGAACACTTCGCCAGCCTTCTTGCGAGGCGAGGAGTGGGCCGCCGCCGCTCGAGACATTGTCACGAAAAGATACGAGTGGCCCAACCTCACCATCCTCACGTGTCTTCTTATACTAGGATTGCATGAATTTGCCACATGCCACGGCGGACGCAGTTGGGCTCTTGCGGGGCAAGCAATAAGGATGGCCTTCGCCCTCCAATTGCACAAAGATCTCGAGTTCGACCCGCTGAGACCCGGTACTCGTCTCAGCTTCACGGACCGCGAAATTCGCAGGAGAACTATGTGGGCATGCTTTCTCATGGACAGGTTCAACTCGTCCGGAACAGATCGACCGACCTTTATCAAAGAGGAGACTCTGAGAATCCCGCTGCCCATCAAGGAGAAGAATTTTCAGTTCGAGGACATGCCGGGCCTGACAGAAAACCTACAGGGCGAGGTTCCAAATAGCACCGGTTTAGACGACATGCAGAAAGCGGACGCTCAGAATAACATGGGCGTGGCTGCGTACATGATCAAGGCGGTAGCAATCTGGGGTCGGGTGATAAACTACCTGAACCAGGGCGGCAAGGACCTCGACGACAAGCACATGTGGGAAGCCGACTCCGAGTATGCAAAGCTCATCAAGCAAGCGGAGGAGATGGCATCTTCACTGCCCGAGTCGCTAGTCTACAGCGCGGACAACCTGCACTCACATGACACCGAGGGCATGGCAAACCAGTTCCTTTTCCTGCACATCACCATCCAGCAGAACATCCTGTTCTTGAGCCGGTTCGCCGTCTCTTCGCCAAATGCGAACTCTCTACAGGACATCCCTACGTCGTTCGTCACCAAGGCCGGTGCGAAGGCCTTCTGCGCGGCGAACCGCATCTCCGAGCTCCTCAAGGACTCCGAGTCCTGCATCATCACCGCGCCTTTTGTCGGCTATTGCGCGTTCCTGTCTAGCACGGTGCACATATTTGGCATATTTTCCGGCAATCCGGCCATCGAGGCCACGTCAAAGAGGAACCTGGCAATAAACGTAAAATCCCTGTCGAAGATGAAGCGCTTCTGGGGAATGTTCCACTTCATGACAGAGAACCTGCGAGATCAGTACCGCAACTGTGCCGACGCGGCACGGCGCGGCACTCTGCCTGGGGACGCAACCACGTCTCCAATCTTCCAGTATGGAGACTGGTTCGACCGGTACCCCCACGGCGTATCGCAGTCCGATTTCGTCGATCCGGCCATGTACAAGAACAAAGAGAAGGGAGAGGACGCTGTTCTGGAGCAGAATCCAGAGCTGCACACCGTGGAAGAGTTCTTCACGACCCTGTCCCCGCAGACCAAAGAGGCGGGGGCACGCTCCAACTCGATGGCCATCAAGAAGTCCAAGGCGCTCGCAGCCAAGAGGCACAGCATAAGCTCGGTCCGAAGCGACCCCCACGGGACGGGCCACCACCTGGAACCGCTGATGACAGACATGAATGCGGACCAATTGCAGCGACTGCAGCAGCAGCAGCAGCAGCAGCAGCAGCAGGGCCGGTACCCAGGCGCCGCCCTTGGTGGCCAGACGAGCCGCGCCGCCAGCTTTTCCTCCCTCAGCGCCGCGCCGCAGTCGGCAGCGTACACCATCTCGCCCATCAGCCCGGCCACAGTCGGCCACGGCCACTTTGGAGGCGGCGGGCACCAAGGGCTTTATGGCCATGACATGCTCACGATGCAGCTCGCGCAGAACGGCATGCTCCCGCACTCGATGCTGGCCCCTCAGTACGTCTCCTCGGGGCTGGACCCTGCCGCGACGGCTGCCATGATGGACGGGCTCCCCGGGTGGGACGGCGCCGAGAACAACGGCGGGGCCGGCAGGGAGACGGTGTCGCGGGGCTCGGCCGATGGGCCACACAACAACCCGCACCACACCGTCTTCGGGCACGGCCACCACGACGGTGGGCCCGCCGCCTGGTTCAGCATGCCCTTCGACTCGGCCGACATGGGCAACGTCGGGGGCCTCGCGTCTGCGATCGACGGGTTCGGGACTATGTTTGGCTCGGGCGCCGGCGGCCATGGATCTGGGATGGGAGGGGGTCATTGACAACGCATGATGAGCTGGCGGGATGCGACAGTCTAGATCGCTCCGTGCCATGGGGCGGTCGGTCATGACAAGGGCCTCTTCCCGCCAGCAAGGATTTTGTAATGCATTTTGTTTCCCTTTTTTTCTTAGACGACCTGCTGGGATGTGTTTTCTTGTCGAGCATCCACAGCTTCGCACACTCGGGTGGCCAATCTAATGTATACGGGCATTTTGGAGTTTGGAAAACGGGGGAAAGCAAGCAAGCAAGGGCGCTGGGAATCATTCGCTCGGTAGTATACCAGGGGGGGAAGCCAGCGGAGGCCATGTGGAAGGGAATCTAAAGGGGTTTCCTCGATGGGCCCCAACTCGTTCATACACGTGCGGCATTATTATACTGTACTTGGAAGATTGTACAGATTAATAGACAATTGTGCGATGAACCAACCGGCCTTGCTACCCGTGTTGCGTGAGAGAAGATGCGTTCACCTGCTCGACGTAATTTCCGATGAAGATCTGCAGACGTCCAGATGTTGATGTGTTTTGTGTCCTTGATAAATGGCCGATACTTTGAACCGTCATGTCTACTTCGTTCTAGGCATGTAGGTAACTGTGCAGCTGTGTTTCACCCCATATTTAGACTTGACCTTCGGGCACAGAAAATGTGCGACGGCCAACGTTGCTCCAGTTCACGTTCCATCAAAGGTACTTAAGTAGGCACGAAGTTCAAGCCAAACTTTACCCCAATAAGAATACTGATGGCTTGATATTTGACAAGATGGCCTTAAGATACTTTGCTAGATCACTAGAGAGATAAGTAGTAAGTGCCAAATTGTATATACCGAACTCAATAGAGAGTTCAAGAACTGCCCACAGGTATCGAATGGAGTATCTCGCGAATTAGCTAAAACGAGCCGAGATCCTACGCAGCGGCAGAACCCTTCTTCTTGCCCTTGGACCTCTTCCTCTTCTTCTTAGACCCGCCATCGTCGCCGTCCCTGGTCTTCTCGCCCACCTCCGCGGCGTCTACAGCAGCATCCGCCGCGTCGTTGTTGGTGCCGCCGAACCCAAACGTGGGGCCCGTGTGCTCAAACTCCCTGCCAAAGACCTCCCGCCTCCACTCCCTGAGCCGGGCCTTCTTGCCGAGGTTCTTGCGGTCCTTCTTCTTCTTGTCCGGGTGCCGCCACGTCGCCAGCTTCTTGAGGCCCGCGAACTCGTTGAGCGCCGCGTCCGACGGCGCGAGCAGGATGTCGCGCGCGGTCAGCCCGAAAGACTGCGGGCTCGTCTCGCGGTACCGGAACCCGGCCGTCTCGGCGCCCGCGGCCTTCTTGTTCTTCTTGGACAGGGCCAGCACCGTCGGGTCCTCGAGTTCCATCTGGTGCTCGACCAGGGCCTCGAGCTTGGAGCGCTCCTTCCGGGCGGCTTGCTTGCTGGCCTGGCGCTCTGCCTTGTGCTCCTTTGTGGTTTTCCGCTTCTTGGACGGGCGCTCGTCGCCGTCCTCCAACTCTTCCTCGCCCTCGTCAGCCGCCTCGGCCCCATCCTCTAGGTCCGCGAGGCTGATGTCTGGTTTGGCCTCCTCATCCTCGAAGTCCGGGATGATGTCCTTGATGTCGATGTCGTCGTCCCACTTTGGCTTCTTTGGCTTCTTCTTCCGCGATTTGCCGAAGCCCTCTCCTTCTGACTCGGACTCCACCTCCTCTGCGTCTGCGTAGTACTGCTCTCCGAAGCGCTTGTTCATCTCTTCCTCCCATTTGTCATTATCCCAGGAGCCCTCAAGCATCTTCATGAGTTCTTCCTCTCCAAGTTCCTTGCCCCTGAGCCCTGCAGCCTTCTTGATTTTCCTCAGCTTCTCCTCCGCCTCCTCGATTTTGAGGCGCTTCAGTCGGGCACGCTCCTCGTGGCGTTGGCGTTTCTCCTCCTCCTTGCGCTCCTTCTCGAGTTGTCGCTGCTTCTTTCGGCCCTTGACCTCATCCCGTCGCACGGAGCGCGCCTCGACAACCTTACGTGAGTAAGACTGCAGCACCTCGTTGCTCTTCGCGGGGTCCTCGAATCGCAGGTTGTAGGCAGCCTCCCACTCGTCCGCGTCGTCATTACCCTCCCCGTCATCCGACTCGAAAGCTTCCCACCGCGAACTGTTCTCGGGGATCCACGCCCTTGACGCCATGAAATTCGACAGGTACAGTTCTGGATCCTTTTCGGCCAGCGAGACATCAAGTTCGGAAGCTTTTACCTTCTGCTTTCTGGATGGGTGCACTCCGTCCTCAGTGGCGGGCCCGTTCTCGTTGGGCTTTGCCTTGATGAAATCTTCGTCATCGTCCGAGTCGTTGGCAGCTGCGTTGATTTCTGCCAGAATGTCCTTCTTCAGGTCGGCCTGCTCCTGCACAAAAGTCTTTGGTTGATCGGCCTCTTCCTCAAAGTCTGCACCGGTGTCTCCAGCCATGTAGCGTTCTCGGTGGTAGTCGCGAAGGTGCATTGGCTTCTCCTTCTTTTCCTTGGTAGTCGCGCCCTCTTCGTCTAATGCCGTGATGAATTTCGTGTTTGGGTCGTATATCCTGGGATCCTTGCTCCTGATGGCCTGCAGGGTCGCGTCGAGCTGTTCGTCGAGCTGTTCGGTCGCCAGAAAACCTTCCTCATCTTCTGTCTCGTCGTCTGAAGAGTCTGATTCGGAGTCGTCGTCTTCGCCATTTGCCGCTCGTGCCTTGGCCTTTTCCTCGACTATTGAATGTTAGGCGGTTAAGCACGAGAGAGTACCCAACGTTGGTCGTTGACGCGCGCTGTCTGGCAGAAAGCATGGTCTCCTATGACTTACGTCTTTGTCTCTCCTCTCGCTTCTTGTTGTGCTCAAACCGTCGTGCGTAATCCTCGTTGATTTTCAGACCTACGCCCTCTGTCTCGCCCCCCGAGTCGGCATCGTCGAAAAGATCCTTCCTCGCCATGCTGGCTGATGTCTGAAATGTGGGGGGGTTGCCACCGTAAATCAGGCCGTAGGCAGGCTTCTCGCGGGATTCCAAGTTGCTGATTGCGATTCTGCGGCAGTCGAATCACCTGTATGCCGCAACACGCCCCGGATGGAAAACGAAGAATAAAAGCAGAAAAGCGACCAAACTTTTTGGCAAGGGTATGTGATAAGATAAGCCGCCCGGTTAATCCGCCTCGGGAAGTCGTGCTAGGCTGCTAGGGAGGCAGTCCGTAGATGGGCTCCTAAGGTGGGGGCTGAGACAGCCCAGGATCCCTGCTGCCAGGGCCGCGTTTGCACTGCCCCCCAAGCGCCCGCTAACGTCACTCACTGAGTTGCCCAGTCACTCTCGCCAGCCGTTGAACAGGCATCTCTTTGAAGCATGTGGGTTGTTTGCTGCATTGCCTTCTGCATCGATCTAGTCCACTCACCGACACCGACGCCGAAGCCGTTCAACCTCATCTACTTCTAGCTATCGACCATACACGTTCCGCCTCCAAACCCGTTCTGGGACCCGATAACATAGACCAGCAACATCCGATTGATTCGCCATGGCGGATTCCAACGCGCCCAAACCATCCAGCAGCGTCAAGCTGGTGCTCCTCGGCGAAGCTGTAAGAACAAGACACCGCCCTGTACAACACGCACACACATGCCCGAGGATTCCAAACTGACACTTTGTCCAAACTGCAGGCTGTCGGAAAGTCGTCCCTCGTCCTCCGGTTCGTGAACAACGACTTCCAAGAAAACAAGGAGCCCACCATCGGCGCCGCCTTCCTCACCCAGAAATGCAACCTGCCAACGAGAACCATCAAGTTTGAGATCTGGGACACAGCCGGCCAGGAGAGATTCGCCTCCCTAGCCCCCATGTACTACCGCAATGCCCAAGCCGCTCTCGTCGTCTACGATCTCACCAAGCCCACATCCCTCATCAAGGCCAAGCACTGGGTAGCAGAGCTGCAGCGGCAGGCGTCCCCCGGCATCGTCATTGCGCTGGTGGGCAACAAGCTAGATCTCACAAACGGTGCCTCGGGCGAGGGCGGTGCTGGGGGTGAGGCCGCCACGGGTGGCGACGATGCCGACGATTCCGGTGATGCTCGCAAGGTCTCGACCGAGGAGGCCAAGGCGTATGCAGAGGAGGAGGGCCTCCTGTTCTTCGAGACCAGTGCTAAGACTGGCACCAACGTCACCGAGGTGTTCACAGCCATCGCCAACGCCATTCCGGAGACGTCACTCAAGAGCGCCAGGGGCCAGGGGGCCTCTCAGGCGGCTGGCAGGGCAGGGGAGGAACAGCGCGTCAACCTCACTGGCCCGAGGGATCAGGCTGGTAAGGACAGCTGCGCGTGCTGAGGCTGGCTGTCCGGGACGGAGGTGTTCGAATAAAGCATTGCATTTTCTGCCTTCCAAAGGATGGATGCCCGGTATTAGGGGGTGATAGATCAAAGTCTCGAGGGCAGGTCACTTGGGCGTAATTCGTCGTCTTGCGTTTAGCACATCCCCGTCACTTAGTCAAGTAGCGAATGTAACTACTTCTTTTCCTGAACGTATCCATATTCTCAGCTGTATGTGCTCAACACGACAGCCCAAGTATGGCCGTGAGTCAGGCTTGTCCATGTCTCGTGCCGCTGTCTGGGCGGATGGCAAACCGGATGGCAAACGACCTGCCCCCCCACCCCCCAACCGACGGCGATAGCGGGTGGGTCGGGGGTTGTAATGGCGCGGCGCACAGACCAGCCTTTCCCAGGTGTCCATCTGGCGACCTCTTCCAATTTTTCGAGACGCGCGCCCTGCCTGCAACGCTGCCGCGGCACTCGACAGGCCCAGCTTCATCACTTCTCAGTATTTCCCAGTCTGCGTACATCCCAGATACGGCGACGAAGCCACAGCCATCCACAGATGGAGTACTCCCCCGCGAGGATCTAACCACCAGCGTCGGCGTCTCGACACCTGCGCCGCCAGCTTGTTTGGCGCACGCGAGCAAATCGACCGTTTCCAATTCTTCTGAGCGCAAACCATGGCCGCCGCCTACGTGACCGTGACGCCTGCTCTGGCCGAGCTAATAAGGTATGCTCACCACCATGGAGCACCTTGCCTTGTGTGTCACAGAAGCTGACAACCATACCAGCTCGCTACCACAGGATGAAGTTCCGATTAAGCTTCGCTGCGCTATCTGCAGCAAACTGGCTGTCAACGCCTTCAGAACACCATGTTGCGAGCAGATGATTTGCGAGAACTGTTAGTACCATGCGACTCAAAGCATGAGTCCCAATTTCCCGCTGACAAGACTAGGCAAAACGGCCCTGCGATCAACATGTCCCGTCTGCGAACATTCCCCAATGTCGGCCGACGACTGCAAGCCTAACAAGGCTCTCCGCATGACCACCAAGGCTTTCTTGAAGACTGCCGAGAAGAAGCGAGATACCTCTCAGGCCAAGGAATCGACGCCATTGACGCCCGTTGACGCGAGACCTACCCCGACACTGGCCGTACCCGACGACAAGCCATCCGTCGAAGAAGCCAGCGCAGAGACAGCGCCTGCAGATCTCACCCAGGAGACACAACATGAAGGGGAACAATCTCAGGCAGATGGCTCTCCCGACAAGCAGCAAACCGCTCTCGACACCGTGGGGCCCAACACGGAGCACACCCATGCTGCAGAAGTTGAGGTTTGCGCAACCCATGACTCCCTGTCAATCCGATCCTTGCTAACCCCACTGCAGAATGAGCCGTCGGGCGAACAGGTGTCAGGGGAGGGTGGAAACCCGGAAGACAACCAAGCGGAAGAGCAAAACGAATCGAATGAGGACAAGGGAGACGAAGAGGCTGCTTCAGGAGAAGCAGACGGTGATGAGAATAATCAAGACAACAGCCAACAGAATCCATCTTTCCCCAATGGCCTCGGCTTTGGTGGTAACATGAACGGATCTTTCCCCAACATGAACTTCGGTGGTGACTTCAACCAAATGCAGATGATGATGGCCATGCAGAATGGGATGGCGCCCAACTTTGGCGCGTTTCCCATGATGGGTAAGCAAATAGTTCCGCCCCTCGCCCAGCGGCGCAGACTGACAAGGCCATCTAGGAATGCCAGGAATGAACATGGACCCTTCGATGATGAACATGTACCAGATGAGCAATGGCTTCGGACCAGGCATGGACATGAGCATGATGAACGGCGGCATGGGAGGTTTCAATGGTAACATGGGCGCCGATGGTAACTGGAACGGACCGCAGTCGTGGAATAACGGCCAGAATAATTACAATCATCCAAATGCTTCGGGCATGGGTAACGGTGATTATGGAGACTTTAACTCTGCCTACCAAGCAGGCTACAATCAAGGTAATTTTGGCCCTCACAACCAATTCAATGCCTATCGCGGGAGGGGCTTCTATCGAGGCGGCCGAGGATTCCGTGGCCGCGGCAACTTCAATAACTACGGCCGTGGTGGTTTTGGTTATGGGCAGCAGGGAAACTTCCAGGGCCAGAACTACATGAATCAGCAAGATGGCACGAACATGATGGACAAGGACTCAAATGGCCCTCAGCCGCTCCCCAACGTATCATCGGGTGAAGGCGAGGGGGACAAGAGCATTGATGAGTTCGGCCGCACCATCCGTCCCGAAGCGAGCCAGGACGGCGTCCAAGATGCCGACAAGACGGAGTCAGTGCACGAGAATGGAGACGGCAACACTAAGTCAGAAGCTTCAGGCACAGGAACAGATCATGCGGCCGGCGCTGGCCAGCGAAACGACCCAGACAAAGCAGCCTCAGCTGGTGGCGGTGTCAGCGGTGGTGAAGCAGCCTTTGCGCCAAACGGCAATTTTGTACCTGCAGACCAAAGTATGAGACCAGGTTCGGGGCCGCCTTTTGGCGGACATCACTCTCGCGGTGGAAACTTTGGGGTCATGCCTCCTCCGGCAGCCCCTGTGCCTGACGTACCTCTGAATGCACCCAAGGGGCCAAAGGCCATGCGTCAGGGTCTGCCAAACACCAGCTTGCTGAATCTGCGAGCCAGAGGATACCAGATCCCCGGTGGCGAGAATTTCAAGAGGGTTCAGAGTCCTAGTACGCCGGTAAATGGCACTGCTACCCCAGTCGACGATGACCGTGAGCATCATAGGTCGCGAAGTAGTTCTCCGCGGAAGGTCGATCCGGAGCCTCGCCGTGAGCGAAGCACAAGCAGGGGCAAAGGCAGCAGGGACCAGGAACGAGACAGAAGTCGTCACCGAGACCGACACGACAGAGACCGCGACCGTTCCGAGTCAGCAGCCCCTTCACGCAGCCGTAGTGGCGAGCGCAGGGATCGTAAGCGCAAGAGCCGCCGAGACCACTCTGCCTCGGAGGCTGAGCGAGACTACGACAAGGAGCGGCGTCACCGCCACCGCAACACCAAGAAATATCTCGATGAAGACGAGGAACCTAGGTCACGGTCGTCCAGGGACGACAAGTACGGCGAACGATCCAGATCCGCCTCGCCTGCTGGGTCGCGCAAGGCGAGCCATCGCAGCAGTCGCAAGGAGCGAGACTCAGAGAAACGGCGGGATCGCGACAGGGATCGCGAGAAGGACCGAGACCGTGAGCGGGACTACACTGATGATGACCACAAGCGCAAGTCGAGCCACCGCTCGTCACACCGAGACAGGGACAGAGAGCGCGATCACGACCGCTCGGACCGGTCTGACCGCGACAGAGACCGAGACCGGGAGAAGGACAAGGACAGGGAGCGAAGACGAGAGCGCGATCGTGAGCGCGACAAGGAGCGCGAGAAACGGCACAGCAAGCGGTCCACCGCTGAACCACCAACCCCGACGGAGCCGGCAGAGGACGTGAAGCCGTTCAACCCGCCCACCGGGCCCAGGGGCAGCATATCCAAGAACTACTCCATCTTCAACGCGCCCTCCAAGGGCTTCGAGATCAAGGGCGCCGCGTCCGCCAAGAACTCGACCAGCACCTCATCCTCCTCCGCCACCAAGCAGCCCCCCTCGGGCCCGGCCGCAGACAGGGACCGGGACAGGGGGAGGGACAGGGGGAGGGACCACCACAGCCGGCGGTCCTCGTCGGTGGCGTCGGCATCCAAGCCGTCCGGGCTCGACCCCCACGCGGCGGAGCGCGAACGGCGCAACCGCGAGCGCCTGCTGAAGGAGACGCAGCGGCTCGCTCAGTTTACGGGGCTGAAGCGGCGCAACGCAGACGACGCGGGCGGCGGCGGCAGCAGCGGCGGTTCCGACGCCAAGAGGAGCCGGACCCGGCGGGGCGGCCCGGTCGTGGACGAGGACGACGAGGCGAGACTCAAGAAGAGCGAGGCGGAGAGGGAGGAGAGCCGGTGGGGTTAGAGACCAGCCCTCACTCGGACATGGTCAAAGAAGGTGCTTGGGCCTTGGGCCTTGTGGCAGCGTGACGGACGGGGGAGGTGGATCAACCCATCAGACAGTGAGAGCCAAGCAACAGCCAACCTCTTCCCAACAAGCTCTTTCTCTGAGGGCTACAAATAGAATTGGGGCCATACCCTCCAAGGTCCTTGGTCAGCACCCCCGTCCAGCCAAACGAGCAGAATCGTCCGGAGAGGTGGCTCGGAGCCTTCATGTTCACCATGTGTTGCATAGGTTTCAGCATCGATTCTCAAGCCAGAAGAAAAGATGACCTCAGTGGAGGGTGGCACTCATTACCTAAAATAATCAAGTCCAGCTGGGCCATGAGTTGTATGATTAGAGCACTTGGGGATGTGGAACGCCGCCAGAATGGAGGAGCCGCCAAGTACCTAGCTAATGATAGGGCACAAGTTGTGATGATTAGCTCAATCGAATTATGAAACTACTCTAGGTCGGTCAAGTGCTCATGTGTACGTGACCCAGAACAACAGGATGGTCATGACGTTTCACGGCGACGTGTGCTTTCAAGGAATTGACGACGAAGCATCACCACTCGACGGAACTCCTGATGCACAGAGGGGCTCGAGGGGAGCTGTAACCCCATGAATCATGGCGGAAACTAGTAGAAACAAATTACAAGGTGAGTGTCATGTGAATAGAGCCTTCCTGGATGGCTTGACAGGTTCATCTCATCCTTCAAGTCCTTCAAAGAGTTTCTATTTCAGACTTTGTACTAGCTACCATGGCGAGCTATGATGAAGATAGGCTTTTGCGTTCTGCCACAAATTGTCAGACTGCTTACAGGAGAGAGCCGAATTATCAGTCACAAAGGATCATGGTCAATGGGTCAAATAAACGCTACATAATGTATTAATCCGTGCGGGTTGCTACATGTAATTAAACTCAGCAATGCTCCAAACTCCGTACCCATTCTTTTTGTAGTCCCGTGTCATTCCCAAGAGACGGGTTCAAAAATACCCATGGTCGTAGCTCATCATGCTCATAACAATCAGCTCCAAAGCTCCCATGTCCCATGGGCCGTCTTTTAGAAGCAAGCAATCTAATCGTAAATGTCCTCATCCATGTCTTCGTCACCCACAAGCTCCTCCACGGCATCCTCCTCATCGTCCACGGACATCTCTGAGGAGTCTGAGAGATCGGATTCGTGGTGGTTTGCGAGGACAGTGATCTTGTTGTCGACAAGCTCGACCCGAGCAGTCTCACCATTCTGGATGTTGCCCTTGAGGATAAGCACGGCCAACTTGTTGAGCACCTCCTTCTCGATGAGGCGAGACAGCGGCCGAGCACCATAGGCAGGTGAGTATCCGGCGTTGCCGAGGTAGTCCTTGGCTTCTTCCGACACCGAAATGTGTACGTTTCGGTCGTTGTCGTTGAGACGCTTCTGGATCTCGCTGATACGGAGCTCGACGATCTTGCGGATCTCCCTCCTGGTGAGGCGGTTGAAGATGACTGTCGAGTTGATACGGTTGAGGAACTCGGGTAGGAAGTAGTTCCGCAGGGCGTTCATAACAAGCTCCCGTGTGGTCGGGTCGATCTTGCCATCCTTGGCATTGGGACGGGCCAGGTACTCGGCACCAAGGTTGGATGTCATGACGACAATGCAGTTCCGGGCATCAACGACACGTCCTTGGCCATCAGTAATGCGACCGTCGTCCATGAGCTGCAGAAGGACCGTAAGGATCTCCTTCGCCGCCTTCTCCACCTCGTCGAAGAGCAAAATGGAGAATGGCTTCCGACGAAGGGCCTCGGTCAGTTGGCCACCCGCATCGTGCCCGACGTAGCCTGGTGGAGCACCGATCATGCGGCTGAGAGCGTGTCGTTCTTGGTACTCAGACATGTCGAATCGGATCATGGCCTTGGCATCGTCGAACAAGAACTCAGCAAGAGCTTTCGTAAGCAGCGTCTTACCCGTTCCAGATGGACCACAGAACAGGAAGCTTGGTGGTTGGTTGGGGTTGCTGAGACCCGAGCGCTGGAGACGGATGGCATTGGAAACTGCCTGGACTGCCTCCTTCTGACCAACGACGATCTTACCGAGCGCGCTTTCCATCTTGAGCAACTTGTCCTTCTCGGTAGTCTTGAGTCTTGTAACTGGGATTCCGGTCCATCGGGAAACAATCTCGTTGATCTGGTCGGGCCCAACGACGTCTGTGACCATGGAGCCACCGTTGTCCATTGGGTTGGCGTTCAAGGCGGCGTCTGCGGCAGCCTTTTCCTTCTCGAGCTTCTTGATAGCGGCCTCTTGCTCAGGGATGGCGTAGTACTGCAGGTCGGCAGCTCGGCTATGATCACCAATTCGACTCATCTCCTCGGCCTTGACCTTGAGCTGGTCAAGCTTGATTTTAGCCTCCTGGATGTCCTTGCCACGCTTCCTCTCGCTCTCGTACTTCTCGCGCAGAGGGCGCAGCTCATCCTCAACATTCGCAGCGTCTTGCTTTGCTTGAGCCAGACGAGCCTTGGACGCATCGTCCTTCTCACGTGTCAGAGCGTGAATCTCAATCTTCAGTTGTCGCAGGCGTCGCTCGAGACTATCGATGATTTCAGGCTGCGACTCCCGAGCCACCCGCACAGCTGCCGCCGCCTCGTCGATGAGATCAACGGCAGAGTCGGGCAAGCGACGAGAAGTCAGATACCGAGCCGCGAGGCTTGCGGCAGAGACAATAGCGGCATCGGCGATGTTGACACCGTGGTGGACTTCGTACTTCTCCTTCAATCCACGGAGAATCGATACAGTCTCGGGAATTGAGGGCTCCTTGACAAGAACTTGTTGGAATCGACGCTCAAAGGCAGCGTCCTTCTCGATGTACTTGCGGTACTCAGCCAGGGTCGTGGCACCGATACAGTGCAGCTGGCCACGGGCAAGCATGGGCTTCAGCAAGTTGGCAGCGTCCATGCCTCCCTCTCCTGAGGAGCCAGCGCCCATGAGAAGGTGGATCTCATCGACAAAGAGCACGATCATGTCCTTGGACTCCTCGATCTCCTTAAGGACGCCCTTCATCCTCTCCTCAAATTCACCCCGGTACTTGCTGCCAGCAATCAAGGCACCGACGTCGAGTGAGAGCAGTTTGCACTGGGCCAAGTTGTCGGGCACATCGGCGTTGACGATCCGCTGGGCCAGACCCTCGACCACAGTAGTTTTACCGACACCTGGCTCGCCAATGAGGACTGGGTTGTTCTTGGTTCGACGAGACAGAATGCGGACGACTCTCCTGATTTCCTCCTCACGACCGATGACAGGGTCGATCTTGCCTTCCCGTGCCATGGAAGTCATGTCGATGGTGAACTTGGCAAGATTCTCAGACTCCTCCTCAGTGTCGGCTGTCTTGGAGTCTACCCGCTTGGTGCCACGGATCGCCTGTACAGCATCCTGGACAAGCTTTGCCTTGGGGATGTTGGCCTCCTTAAGGCATGACGCCATGGTGCTGTCCTCGGCCAATGCTGTGATGAGGTGGTCGACGGCGATGTAGCTATCCTTCTGGACCTTCTGCAGCTCCGTGGCCTTGCGGAGGACAGTGTTGAATGATGGGGCCATGGAGACATTCTCTGGGGGTGGGTCCTGACTGGGCAGGCGGACGAGCGTCTTCTTCAGGGCCCGATCGAAGAGCTGTGGGTCACCATGTGCTCGCTCGATGACCTGCCGTAGGAGGGTGCTGCTGATAGAGGTAGGGCCATTCTGCTGATCCTTAGACTGGTCTGGGGGAGGGTCAAGAAGAGACACGGCCAGGTGGATTGGTAGTAGTTGGCTGTGTGCGTATTGCTCCGCCAGGGCCATGGCATCCTCCAAAGCCCTCTTGGCCCGGTCTGTAAACTCCATTTTGGAATTCATGATGAATTATATCGACGCGGATGTGATGAAAGAGACAGAATATAGGAAATGTACGTGTTTGCGGAGAGTATGGGTATCAATCAGCAAGTTGAACGTTTCGTAAATCAAAAGGAGAATTAGTGCAAGCGAAGAGAATATGGACAGTGCTTTGCTTGTGTTCTGTGTTTATGCACTTTGAAAAGTGTCAGAAAGGGTTTATGTAGTTGTTGATGCAGAGACAAAGCTGACAGGAACTCTCAGGATGCGATAGATTTATCCTCGTTGCGTAGTGGAGCCGTAGAGTCTCTCAGAATGACCTCGACGAGAATTCCGGGGTTCGATGTGTTGGACCATGGCATTCCACCTGAAGCTGGCGGAGGCTGGCAGAAGCTGGCAGGAGCAGGCATAAGGTGGGATGATACCAGAGCCTGCTAGAGCCAACTTGACGTCATTGGGCAGGCACCATCTGGAAGCATCTGGAAGCCGCGGGAATATGCGGGAAGCACCGGCCCAGGCCTGGGCTCTCATAGGCTGGCTGTGCAGCCATTCAGCGTGCAACGCCTAACCCAGCAGCCTGGGCCACATGCCACCCCCCTCGCGGCCCCCTAGTGGTGCCGGGCAGCTCAACCCTGGAGGGCTACCCCAGCAGCCCCAGCAAGGAGCCGATTAGGCGATAAGGCCCCGACGACCTGCTTAGCTAAGGAGCAATTGAGCCTCTGGAAATTCTGCTCGGCGCGTTGACGGCACAGAGGGTGCGACATATGATTCTGGGTGCGAGCCGCGAGACGACCCCTCCACACAGAACCCCCCCAGCCGCCATGAAGTCCTCGCCGGCATCCGTGGTCGGCATACTCGGCCGACTGTCGACCGGCGTCTCCAGGGTCAGCATACGGCATGGCCACACCATGCCGCGGCGCAGACAGCCGCGGTATGAACTGACAGGCTTCAAGCAAGGCCTGGGCGAGCGGATCTGGGTGCACCACCACATCGCCAAGGGCATGATCATCTACACACACGAGCCCGAGTTAAAGGTACGATGATTGGCCCTGCTGCACACATACCCATCCACCCATCCGACGATGGGGCATTTGCCTCCCCCCCAACCCCGACAGGTCGAACCAGCCAGCTAACATATTCCTTTCCCCAACCTCGCAGCGCGACTCCCACAAGGGCCTCTCCCAGATCCCCTTCACGGTCAAGAAGCAGAAGCCAGCCGAGCTGAGGAAGGACTACTGGGCGCCGCTGTGCCTGATCGAGGTGCCCAAGGGGCTGGGCCTGGTGGGCCGCAACGTGATGCAGAAGCTGCGCGAGTTCCGGCACCGCCACGAGCTCGAGTGGGGGTGGCAGGCCGCCGAGTTCCTGTCCAAGTCGCGGCGGGAGCGCGGCGAGCTGATCCACAACCAGCGGTCCAACGCCATCGCCGACATCGCGGCGGTGCTGGCCGGCAAGGGCCGGGGCAACAGGATGTGGGTTGAGGAGGGCGAGGACGCAGCAGCAGCAGCAGAAAAAGAAGAAAAGATCGCAGCGGAGGCCGAGGCCCAGCCCGTGGGCGCGGCTGCACCAGAGAACATCGACGAGACGGCGGCGGCTGCGGCTGACAAGTCCCCCGCAAAGTCAAAACCAAAGCCCAAGACCAGGGCGGCGGCGTCGACAGCGCCGAAGACGCTCGTCAAGGCCAACATCTACTGGTCCAACGACGCAGATCGCCACTGGGCTAGGCAGTGGACGGAGAACGTGACGCACTCCGTTGGGCTGCCGGAGCACGTTACGCACCCAAGTTTCAAGACAAGCTACTTGTTGGAAGGGCCACTGGAGGAGCCCGAGACCGCAGAGGCTGCAGAGGCCGCCGACGGCAATGAGACTGCTGCTGAGCCAAACACTGCGGCAGAGCAGGAGCAGCCCCAGCCCAAGAAGGGATGGCTGGGATGGTTAGGGAAAGGCAGCAGCTCCTCGCAGGAGACCAGGGTATAGGATGCAGGATAGAATGCAGGGATGTGTGAGAGAGGAGACGGTGGAAGTGGTCACGTGCACAAGCAGAACACCAAGATCTTTATAAGTGTGTGTACGCATGGATAACAGATATCCATTGTATCGTATCGCGTTCCTCATGTTACGCGACATGTGGAAAACGCTACTGTAGAAGCCGAGGACAAGGGTTGTTATCTATCCCCTTGTCGACTTGGCGATATGTAAAACCAGCTATTCATGTATCCAGAATCCGTGCCATCGTAAACAAGTGAAGCACGATGTCAACCAATTGTCCCGATGCGCTCATTATTCATCAAACCAGCAAGAAGAAAAAGCAAAGCAAAGCAAAGCTGAAGGAATACGCTCGTGTGTGCCTTTCAAACTTTAATGGCAAAGGACTTGAGGTACTCATAATCAGCGACGTTTGCGTCGACTGTCTCCCTGATCAAGCGGGCGGCATCCTCGCCAAACTTCTTGCGCCACTCCTCATTTTCAGCCTCGACGGATGGAACCTTCTGTAGCGGGACAAACAAGTCATCGGTCAGTCATTGCTCGTCAGGAGAGATGCGACGATGAGCAGGAGCAAGAGCATGTTCTCGGGTCGATCCTGGGGAAGAAACAGAAAGGGGAGACACTCACATGATGACCCGCCCTTGGCCGCAGGCACGTGCTGTCGATGGCGTCGTGGTGGAAGCCGTACCACTTCTCAAAAGCCTTGGTGGCGTGCTGCTGGTTGTGCTCGTCGCCCCACTGCAACATGGAGGGGTTGTAGTCGATGCCGACCTCCTTGCAGTAGATCCTGAGGATGGCCTCGGGGTTGTTGAGCAGGTCGTCGGCATCGATGACCGTGATGGAGCAGCGGTCCGGGGAGCCGCCCTGCTCGCTGCTCGTGTCATTGAGTGCCTCGTCCAGGGGCGCTTCGTCTCCGGCCTTGGCTGGGCCGATGATGCCCTGGTCCAGCAGGTAGTCAAAGAGCCGGCGCAGCTCGTCGTACCCGGCCTCGGCGGGCATGAACTCGTCGAAGCCCGTGATCTCGCTCAGGGGCGGGATGGTGCAACGGTAGTACGACGGGATGGACCGCCTCGGGTGCCTGATCAGGAACGTCCAGTGGAACCCCCGCAACATCTCGGTCGGCATCACCGTCGGGTTCTCCTCCTCAGAGTTGGCGTCTGTCGGGCCATTGACAAAACCATTTGTGTGAGCGGGAGCAGTAGCAGCAACAGACTCCCCGCCGTTTGTCGGGCCGTTGACGGTGCCGGTCGTGTGCTCCGGGGCGTTGGAGGTCTCGTTGTCGTTGTTGGAGCCGGGGCCGTTGGTCAGGGTGTGGCCACCGACGAGGCTGGGAGCGATTTTGGCGGGCTGACCGTCGGGCGGCAGCAAATAGTGAGCGATGTCTTTGATGAAGACTCGCTTACCCTGCTGATGGTAAGTGTCTGAACATATCACATGGCTTGATGTCTTCTGAAAGTGGTCGCTATGGCATCCGTCTTCCTCCGTTGCGCTCCGTTTCGCGTCGATTCACGATCGCACCACATCGCATGGGAAGGAGGGCCGTGTCCCGATGGGAATGCCGTTTTTTCTCTCTCTTTGTGACGGCACAGCAGAGCGGTAGAAGCAGTCCGACCTGATCTAGGATCGAACAAGTGGGCTCAAAGAATCGGCTTTTCGGCGGCCAACAGATGCAGGGTGGACCAACCAAGCAAGACTGGCAGCAAATTCGCCCGCGCTGTGGCCTCTCTCTTTGAATCGGGTACGGGCGCACTTGCGCCTGGATCGAATAGCAAGAGCCAAAAGGGGTCGAAATGCAGGCCAGAATGGCCAGGGGCACGAATGGAAGGAATCAGGGCAGATCCGAATTGGTCTCTCAATGGCGAAGGGGAGAATCAAGGTGCAGGCTCAGACAGCAAGAAGCTGGGGAGGGTTGAATCGAACCTCTTTGCCGTCGTTTTCGAGCCGGTCCATGATGGTTCTGTACGTGGACTGGGAGAAGCCGCTCTTGATCCTGGCCTCCTCATCGTCGTTGAAGCGCCTGCCCAGGCGCTCAGGGCCATAGTAGAAGGCATCGCCAAAAGGCTCATGAGCAGTCTGGAGGATGTCACGGCGTGTCATGAACACCTATAAGCGGGGGAAGGAAGGTCAGCGCTGGGCCGGGTCTTGTCCCACTAGCTGGCGAGCACGCAATTTCAGGGCCAGTATTGCCATCGCGGGAGTGAGCCCCAGGACCCTGGAATATGGACTGGGCAGGGCTATTGATATGCACGTACCCTTTCAAAGGCGGTTGAGCACGCACGTGGGTGCGTTGCCATAAAAATAGGACGATTCGACATGGTGATCGTCGTTATGTTTATATATGTAGCCTTTCGATGAGATGTTGTGACGGTTTTTGGTATATGGATCTGGATGAGCAGGCAGGCCTGGGACACCTTGGGAGGATTGATGAGAGGAACTGAACAAGATGAAGATGAAGGATTCAAACAACAAAGACTCGGGCGCACAGCGACTACGAGAAGGCAGTAACGGCTACGATTATTTATACCAGCACATTGACTTGACTTACCAATCAGCTAGCGGACCACGGCCACGGCTGCTGCCCTGTCATGGCTTGCTTCCTGCTCCCGACCCTACCCAGGTTGGGAGATACATGGCAGGTGGGCGACCAGATGGGCCTGGAGGAGGTATACGACAACTACCCAACGCGCAGACTTGACAATACGCAGTGGCCCCTTTGGCCATCTGGAAGGTACATTGGGAAGGTACATCTGGGAAGGTACAACTGGGGAGGAGGTACTTGTGGATTGGATGGCTATGGGATGGCTATTGGGGGGGAAGGAGCCGTCCGACCGGTCGCTGTCCCTATGTGAGTTGCCGCCGAGACACCGGGCTGTCGCACTCCCCTCCCAACTCATCCGTACCGTCCCAGCATCCAGCATCCAGCATCCAGCAGATGGATGTCGGAAAAGAGGGTTGAGAGGGTACCCGGGCCCTGCTTGGCTGCTTGGGTCGGCAAGCTGGAGCCAGGAGGGCAAGGTGTGTAGGCAAGAGCCTGCTAGTTTCTGCAAGCGGCATGGGGGTCTGTCGCCTAGGGACGTCATTGCCCAGCTGCCCCCCGCGAGCCAGAGCCGTCTCTTGTGGCCAGATGTGGTTGGGAGGCTGCCCAGTTGAGGGTCTCGATGTACATCATGCAATTGTCATAGTGTCATATTTTACCCTGATTTTCCCTGCCCCATATATAAGGAGGATGTTGAAGACCCAGAAGACCCTGCAGCGCCCCGTCCGACCCTCCGACCCTCTGCCCCTCCGCCTCTCATCGCCCATTTCTCGGCCGTGGGGCAGCCACATCTTGAAAGGACGGGCAGGACTGTGGGAACCGATGGAGGTCGCCCGCCTGGGTGGGCCCGCCCGGACGTCCCAGCTGTGGGCCAAGGGCCCCCTGTCCAAGCCGCGGGAATAGCCTCCTCGCATGCCAGGGCAAGAATGTCACTTCCTGCCAGCCTAGACTGGTACATTCAACGGCACCGACACCCGTGAGTGCGAACCGCGGGTGGCTCAGGGATTACTACAGGTACCAACAGCTTACGGCCTACCCTCAAATGTTAGCTTGCTGCCCAGGTGGTCAGATAGATGTGATATACTCACTCAAAGTACCTTTTGAGTAGGCACCTAGAAACCTGTTGATTGCTGGATCCTACCACCACACTCATCTGTCCCCCTATGATTTACCACAACCGCCCTCCCAAAACCCTCGCTCCATCTTCTGTCTAACAGTAGCCCGGGATTTAACCCCCGTGGCACACCTATGAGAGGATCCCAAGCCAAAACTAGGACGCAGATCTGCAAGGATCAATCTTGACGTGAAGGATGCACCCGCAACTTGACCGAGGCCCGACCGGGCGCATTCTACCTGTATGTACCTTGCAATATGCCTCAGCATGTACTCCGTACAATGCAGACCTGTAGACTTGTGGGCCCGCTTGGACGGCAAATCGATTTTTTAACAACGGCATTTCATCCGTCAGACCCTCGGCGAGGCGCCTAAAGATGTAGTTGGGTCTTGCTATATGAGATTCTCTAGTTGCTGAGTTGGTTTACTGTTGTGTTCCTCTTAGTCGAGCAGACACCATGTCCGTCAAACCCAGCATTTATATGTACAACTTTTGCGTAGGTATATATGTGATCGAGCATCGCATGCAGGAGGTCGAAAGGAGAAGGCCTCAAACCTTGCTTATGCCTGCAGGTTGTCGCATCCAGCTGTGGGGGTTCCCACTCCATGGCAGAGCTCCAGATCGAATGGTGCCCCCTCACGAGAAGACGCGGGCGTCTTGCGGGATCGGGGCCAAGTGCTCCCTCGAGATGGTCTGCTGGTGATTTGAGGATGGCCCACTGGAGGGGGACCTATTCCACGCGAGACTCAGCTTTATACTCGCCAAATTACCTAAATCCCCGTCCCACAATGATGGCTTTGGGTACTGTGTATGAAGGTGGCACATGAGAGTTGCATCGTTGACACCATGGTTTCCGCAGGAAAGCCACTAGGCTGGTAGTCTGGGGAGGGGCTTGGCTGGCCGTTTTGTGTCGAGATATCTCTGAGAGTCGCCCGGACTCTCCCTCCAGGGTGCACTTGCATATGCAAGATGCAACCACCGAGACTATCCGCTCTCATTGTTCTCCTCAGGCTGGGCCGACGGAAAGTTTAGCTGTACCCGCCGGGTCTTCCAGATTTCCCTGGTGAGGGTCGAATCGACGACATCAAGCAGGACTCGCTCTCCTGTTCTCTTCAGCCCGCGCAAGTGGATCGTTCCGCGGTGGGACTGCGCTAGAGCCGTACTCCGTCCGTTCACAGGGCATTGGCCCCGGCCAGGCCTGGCAGCCTGGCAGGGAGCTCAGCTGGATTTGGGGGGGCTTGACTTCACGACAGGCTTCACCCAACGCGCGTGTCGGATGTTGGTTTTGGCATCACCGTGCAGCAGCATTGTGGGGAAGCCATCCTTCATTGGGACCTCACTCCCTCGCCAGCGAGCGGTGCCTTGGCTCGCTTCCGCCAATCGTGCACTTATCGTTCGATGTGGTGGAATCAGCATAACGAGCACCGTCAGGCGCCCCGTCGCAGACAACGGTAAATCGGCGCGTGTGCCTCTCCAGGCTTTGATGTGGTAGGGACTGGGCTTAAGCAAGGCAGGCTTGTGATAGATGGCCTATGGCCTATTCCCGGAAGCCGAACCTTTCCCGTCTGTGCATTAGTTGGAATGCACGTCCGATCCATAAATATATACTCACACACTTGTCCGCCTTATCAGTTTTGTTCAGGGCGGGCAGCCAAGTTTGATCGGCAGAGTTCCAATGGATGGCTGTCGAACGCTGTTCCCCATCAAAAGGTCAGCTAGATCCAGAAGGCATCGTGCCATCGTATATTGTCCGTCCGATATCGCGTAGTGTGGTAGGTGAAATTGCAGCAACCCTTCTCGCCTGCAGAGAGGCATGAGAATGACGAACAACAACAAAAACACCGGCGATGTTTCACCCGATTCGAGCCATTGGCTTTCCTGGCGGTGTAAGCTGCATAATCTAGGCCTTGTGCCAGCCAAAACCCGCGCGGGGGGCCGACTGCCCATATCGAATTGGGATTTCTCCGTAGACAAACTAGTCGATCCTGCCCCAGGACCAAATGTTCAATCCCACCTTTGTGCCACGGGTTACAGGCAGGCCAGCATGCCAGGTCTCCTCCCAGCCTCTCCCGGTGCCGTCGGGCCTGAAGTTCTCCCAATAGACGGCATTGCCAGCGAGGGGCTTGAAGACGACACCACGGCTGGCGGGAGTCTCGTCGTCGTCGTCGCATTCAACAAAGCGGCACCACCTCTGATCGGGGCTGGGCCGTCTCAGCAGGGGGAACTCGGTGCCGCCCCCCTCCAGGGCGCCGTCGTCGTCGGCGACCCAGGCCATGAAGCTACTCACGCGGCCCCACCCGCCAAAGGATGAGCTCCAGTCGTAGTGGTGGCTGTAGTGGCCGCCTGGTCGGTAGCGCTGGGTGCGCAGGCGCTCCACCCAGACGTCGTGGCGCCAGCCCTGGAAGGCCCTGGCGCGGGACTCGATGCACCTCACGCGGTCCGAGCGGGGGACAAAGGCCACCTCGGAATCGCGGACGGTCAGGTCGCGGTGGGTGGCCGCGCCGCCATCGTGGGTGACGGTGGAGGGCTCAAAGACCGGCTCGCTGCGTGCAAACGGCCGGGTCAGCAAGCCAGAACCTGGCCGAGACTTACTCCGTACTTGCTTATCGAGCAGTCAGGCTCACCTGATATCGAGCAGGTGCGTCCTCTCTTCGGGCGACAGGAAATTCTCGACGTAGAGGACCAGCGGCGCCCTGGACACGATGTGCACCGAGTACGAGTCGGCGGGGCACGGCAGGGTGTGGTTTGTGAGGTTCTCGACTGCCAGCAAGGACTCGTTGACCTGGGGCCGTGGGGTCCGGCGGAGGTGCGGCGGCGCAGGCGACAAGAGCTGGGTGACGGGGTTGTAGAGCAGGACGAAGGCCAGCACGGCCACGACCAACGCGAACATTGCTGTGTCTGGCGGTCGTGACGGTCGAGTTCCTTCTTGTTCGACAGCCTCCCACCTCACGACGGCATCGTATTCGTTGCTTGAATTGGCACCGATCAGCACTGGCCAGCCGGCGCCAGCTGTGGAGTGAACTGCTCTGCCCAGTGTTTCAGTGCTCACTGCTCAGCCGAGTTCCGTCTTGGGCAGATTAAGATGTTCCAGCAGCCCTGGGGCCTGGAGGCAAAGCTCCGAAGCCTCCGAAGCCTCCCTCCCCCCTGGGCGAGACTGACTCCCTTTCTCCCTTTCTCCCATGCACGCCTCCAGGGCCTCTCACAAGGAACGACATCGAAACTGCAGACTGGTCGGGGCTAACCACGCCATCGTCTCAACCTGGCCTGGGAGTGCACGAGCTTAAGGCCTTTTCGGGGCTGGTCCCCAAGCTCCCTCCTTGTATCTGCAGCGGCCGACTGCCTGCGTACTCCCCTAAGCCCAGCCGCCGAACCGCCGAACCGCCGAACCGCCCCAGCCCCTGGCCGCCGGGCCGAGCCAGACACCTGCGACATGTCGGCACCGAGTGCCGCTACGGCCCAGCTCAGGGCCTACTATTATACCTCTGCCCGCGCTACTACCACGTAGTACAAGTGATACACCATACACCAAGTAGCCCCATGCTAAGAGCCGCAGCCCCGTGCGTAGCCCGCCGGCAAACCAGTGTGATTCCTAATTGATGGTGTCGTCGGGGAGAACAGCCCCTCTTAACGACTCGCCGTTGGTCTATCGTTCCTATCAGCCCACACGCCCACAGTAGCCAGTGGGGCTGTCGTCGTAAGCTAGCCGAAGGGTCATGACGAGTGCCAGGTGGAGCTTTCTCTATTTACCGTGTGATCCGACAAGATGTTTCTCGTGTACGGATTATTCCATAGATGTATCTTTAGAGGTACTGTACGTACCTGGGAAGACTTGTTATTGACCTTATGATGTTCTAGTATTGGGGAAGGAGTGTTTTCTGCCTGTGGCTCTAGGTATATTGTCTATGTTCTGCTTCGCTCTGGGATAAATTATTGCTAAGCTTATATCCCTTGGCCTTCAGCCATACTATAGTTTAACACAATCTTCTTTGTTTAATCCTTAAGTACCTTAACCCTTATGTGGTTTCGCTTCAATTCCGTATACATCCGAGGATACATGGTGCCTTCATACAGTGCTATTCTTTTTATATCTCATTTAATATAAGTTCAGCTGGAATCCACACATGTGTTCCCAAACAGTTATTACCAAGGTGTTCATCATAATATAAAGCGAGTCATATTCGGCAAACACCGCCCCGGAGACAGGAGGACCAGTACTGTTCTACTCTAGGACACGAAACCGGACATATACTTATATTCCACAAAATGGCCCCATGACCAACACCGACATACGACCAGATAACTGTCATCTCTTTCAGCAACTTTGGAACACCACTTCATCATACGCTGCCACCATAAGTCTGGTTTCAAGATCCACCTTCAAGCTCTAAATCAACCACTCTTAAGTACCATCACCACAATGCGGTTCACTACGATCATCGCCTTCCTTGCGCCCTTGGCTTTGGCTCAGGATCCCATCTGGCAACTCTCCGGTACCTGTTCCGCAGACCTCACCTGTGAAATCGACACCCAGTACACGGCACCAGAACTTCCCGGGATCTGTGGGAACAGGAATGGACATTTCGCGGGCTCTGGCAAGAACGGGAAGCTTAGCTGTACACCCGCTAACACCAAGTGTACATATGCGTGGAAATGTTAAAAGGCATAATTTATAACAAGCGTACTCAATTCTATAAACCTCTTATGCAACAAATGCTAAGTTAGGAAGACTTCAAATTCACAGTACTCTTTAAAAACAACATTTTCATAGGCTTATAAGACGGTCCTCACGACTCATAGTAACTGGTTCTGCTTCTATTCCGCATATGCCCGAGGACATGTATGGCGCCTTCACACAGTGAGCCATGTCTGGAGGCGGCGGCGGTAGCTTGAGGAGGGAAAGGATAATGTTTCTGGTCCTAATAGGTGGCCGTCTACGCCGTCCGATTTTACATGTTGTAGACCATACAGGTGAGTTATTTTTCTTTTCGTCTTGTCTGTTCGTAGGGAAGAAGAGCCCAAGGGGCGGATGGCGGAATGCAGGCAGGTGGCGGTAAAGAGACGGTGAAGTACTTAGTTGGGTACCTACCGTACTGCGCACCCTAGGGTTTTTAAAAATCGTCTCTACCTGATTATAATCTAGTAATAATTATAACTCCTAATAGTCCTTCCTTCCTTAATACTTTCTTTAAGTAAGAAGGAGGTCTTTAAGAAGAAAATTAGGTCTTAAGAAGTTTAATCTTTAAAATCCTTAAACTTTAAACTCTTACTTTAATATAAAGATTAACTAAAAGAGAATTCCTCTTCTATTCCTTTAATAGTCTTCCCTTTTAGAATAAACCTTTAATTAACTCTCTATTTACTTACCTACCTAACTAACCTTAATAGGGCTCCTTCCTCTTATATTTTAAGGCTTTAAATAATAGTTTTAAAAGGAAAGGGAAGGTTTTAAAGAACTTTTTAATTTTAAAAAAAATTAATTTTAAAAAAAAATTAATTTTAAAGAAAGATATTAATATACCTTATAGCTATTATTAAAGAATATTAATAAGGGAATAATTCTAAAATATTAAGGACTATTTAGGGTATTATTTTAAAGTAAAAGGGATAGTTTAATAATTATTTTTAAAAAACCCTTAGGGAGCGCTATAGTAGTTAAGTGGTCTTAAGCGCTTACCACTATATGAAGGTGCCATGTATGTCCTTAGATGTATACGGAATAGAAGTGAAACCACCTAAAAGAATTGGAAGAGCAATATGATCACTTTCCCACTACCGGGATCATAACCAATGTCCGCACGAGGTGCTACATATTCCATGTTGTACAGCGTTGTTGCGCTTACCGAAACCAAGATTGCCCTGTGGCCAATGGTATGCCGAGAGTGGGTAGCCTGCAGGATGACTATTCTTAGTTTGCGGCTGAGGTATCCGGTAACAACACAGAAGGGTTTTTCCCACTTCCTTTTTCTTCCCCAGTTCTGGGTATACCCACCTGTAACCAACCACTTTGAATAGTTTGACACAATGATGGCACCTAATGATGAAAGGGTCGGGGTGGATAAATTTGGCAAAGCTCCAACCGCTATTGGTCGGTCCATTAGTCTCACGGTAACCATTGAACACTGGCGATCTATCTTCCTCATGGAAGACTTCAGGAGCTGTTAGTAACATCATAACACAGAGCAAGACCTCCTCCTCACTTCTACGTGCCCTGAGGAAGCCGCTGGGTCGGTCACTGTCTACTAGGATGCGCCAAGTGTCGCTGGCATCCATCAAGGCCATGCCGGAACTATGCGGTGTCTGTTATGAGTTGGTATACACGCCCGGTTCCTGGTCAAGAGGCCGCCGATTTGTTAACCGCGGAACCTACCCTGAGTTGGGTTTGACCATCGCCAAAATAAGCACGCTGCAGACAGAAGCCTGTGAGCTCTGTCGAGCTTTGTCAGACCTCACGGGCAACACTCAGCAAGGCAACATGGGCTGGGAGATCCGCGAGCTCCCCCTCATCATGATATCGGATTCAAAGTACGATACCGATGTGCCTTCATTCATGGTTGTAGTCCCTTGGAACTCTGGAGTGACTCTGAGGGCGGTAGAAAGAGAAGAGGAGAGGAGAAGCCTGTATCGTAGCGCCTCCAAGAGAGGGCAGTTGATTTGTTGCCCTAGGATCGAAGAGGGCAAACCTCGATTATTCTCGCCCCGGATCGTCGGCAAGAGGATCGATCCAGGAATTATCGGGTCTTGGCTATCAGCCTGTGACACCCATCACCCATTGTGCACGGCATCGGAGAGCAGAGATACGGCGCCTGATGCTAACTTCATCGACTGTCAGACGCGGACCTTGATATCAGGTAGTGACCTGCCTCCTGCTGCGGAGTATGTGGCTTTGAGCTACGTTTGGGGCGTCAAGACTCCAGCAAAAGCAGGGCCAGAAACAAGCAAGAGACCCGGCAGTACTCTACCGGATCATATCCCAACCGTCATAGGAGACGCCATCAAAGTGACGCTAGCTCTCGGGTTCCAATTCCTTTGGGTGGACCAATACTGCATCGATCAGAAGAACCAAGCGACGAAACACAAGCAGATCTTCCACATGGACGCCATCTATAGGCACGCTTGTTTCACCATTATCGCCGCCGCCGGTGCTGATCAGAGCACTGGCCTGCCTGGGGTCACGCAAGACCGACCTGCAAGGCAAACCTCCATTCAGACAGACGAAGTGAGCATCTTGTCAACGCTACCATCGCCAGTAAATCAGATCGTCAATTCGAAATGGGCTAGTCGTGCATGGACTTTCCAGGAAGCCATACTCTCTCACAGGCGACTGGTCTTCACGGAGGACCAGCTCTACTTCGAGTGTGACTCCATGCACTGCTATGAGAGCCTATCTGTCTCATTCGAAATGCTGTATGCCACTCACAGTCGGCACTCGGATGAGCATAACAACTTCATAAAGCCGAAACTTTTCGGATTCGGACATCATACGGCCGGCATTCTGACATATGTCCACTGTGCCGAGGAGTACACGAGGAGATCACTCACGTTTGATGAGGATTCCCTCAACGCTTTCACCGGTGTGACTAGGAACTTAGAAAAGACTAGGAAGCCTCCTGTGCGAAACATCAGCGGCATCCCGTTCCTGCACCCATCAGACGTTGCAACTCCAAGTTGCAATTATCTACAGATGCTTCTGGCAGGTCTGGCATGGAGGCATCAGCCCACGACTGGCGCATCTCCGCGGAGGAGGCAGGGTTTTCCTTCCTGGTCGTGGGCAGGATGGGCTGGATCGGTAGTCTGGCCGGACAAGAACCAGTACGCCGCAATCTTGAACGAGGGGACGACATCCGGGCTCGGTGCCGTGAGGCTTCAACTTGAGGACGATAGCATCGCCAAGATCTCAGACATGGACTTCCGGACCGACGAACAGGCGGTCCGGCGCCCCCGAGCGTTGTTCCTAGACGCCGTGGCCCTGCCACGAGACGCATTGGTGTTCGACCAGGGGTCGAATGTGTTGAGGTCCCAGAGTGGTGGCGAGATCAGGTTCTATCCGAGCAAGGAAGGCCTCACGCCGGCGAAGACCTCCAAGCGGCTCCATTCCGGTCGGTACGAGGCTCTTCGTCTCGTCACGCTTGGTGATAACCTATACATGCTGCTGGTCAAGCGGTACCGATCGTCCTACTACCGGATCGGTCTGATGATGACCAAGACATTTTGGATGCTGCTCCCTCCCGGCGACGAAAATACGAGGACATTCAAGCTCAAGTAGGCAGATGGAACCGATTCTAAGGATCGGAAAGTGGGCTTTTCCATCCCATAGAAAATTCATAGCGTCGTTGGTCGCATCCACTGCCCGGAAGATTGTGAGTTCTATGGCCAATTCTCTCTCTCCAATTTTTTCTTCTTTTTTTTTTTTTTCTTTTTTTCGCCAGTTGAGCGTGCGGGCGTGATGTCGGAAACCAATCACTTATTCAATCCTCAAATTAGGGTTTCGAGGCGGATTCCGATGCAAATTCCAACACTTTGAAAGAAGGCGATATATGCCTAAGTACATTTCAGAGGAGATTGGATGTTAGCCAGTGTATGAGCAGCGATTAGTACTTACTTTACCTCCTTTCCTTTTCCTTCATTACACATTTACTGGCTAATGTCTAATTTTTCCCCAACACGAGCTGTATAATGATGTACTGAGTGCTTGCAAAGTCGCAGTGATTCCGTAACAATGAATGTACCAACATGTAAAGCGTAGGTCACGAGGTGACAACATGGCTATTGCCAGTGTTGCTGCAAGTACCCAAGCAGCCCACAAGTCGTTATTATCATCCTCTTGAGCCAGCACAGGGGGCTGATTTAATAAATTAGCCAAGGTGTAAATTCACAGTATCTGGGTTGCAAATCAGATTAGGTCTATAGTTACGGGTAGGCAAGTACCACTAGGTAGGTATATACTACTAGGTCGCCACAGAAGGTGTGTTCGCCACCCCTACTGCATAGGCGACACACTCAAGGCCAATACCACTGGAACTTATGAATAACCTCAGTTCTACTCACACACGGAAGCTTATCAACAGATCACAAGGCACTGGGTCAATCATTTTTGGTTTCACAATGTGTGTTGTTCATTGTGGCTCTCTGTTCTTCTCTCATAGTTTGTTTGGTGCAACTTGCTCCTGTAAAAAACATAAAAAACCCCTTGAGGGGAAAAAATGAACATTTTCCAAAGCGAATCCCATCCCCCACCAAAGGACGGTCGCTGTGCACGCTTCATTTGCTAGCATGACACGCTGTGCATGCTTCATTTGCTTGCATGACAGTTTGTTGATCTCCGATGAACTTTTTTGTTTGTACTGCCTTGCTGCCGGTGCCTGTATTCCGGAGGCAGTGAACCCGAGGTGTTGCGCTGATTGGTTTTTCTTGGTTGTTTTTTTTGTTTTTGTTTTTCTTTCGCTGTGGCAGCCCCCTGCCGTTAATTCAGCGTGGACATTTGGCTGCAAGAGGGGAGCTTCATGTCTGGTGTCATGGCCGCCTTCCATGCCGCGTTCTCTGCGTACTGGTTGCCCCTCATGATGACAGGCCCAGACTGGCCGCGCACCCTGAGCCTGACCGCGTTCTTGTTGATGCAGAGCAGCTCGATGACGGCGCCGACGTCTTGGCTGAGACTGCGCGCTTTCTGGACGATCTCCACGAGGGCTTCGGTGGCCTCGGGATGGCGCTGCGTCTTGGGGTCCCAGTGGAGGACCTCGGCGATCTTGTCGGTAGCGTCTTGGTCATGCGTGATGATGGTGACCTTGGGCGGTGCCGTCTTGTTGTCTTTGGCAGGGCCGAGTTCCTTGGCTGCAACGCTAAGGCACCCTGAGATGGCGACGAGTTCAGCGTCAGCTCCGCTGGTCGTCTCAGAGTAGCCGAGGGTCCATTGTTTCCCATGCCAGCTGACTCTGTTGTTCTCGGTTGAGGGTTGCTTGCAGATGGCAGCAGCGCCTGCCATCCTTTTGCGCCCCTGGTAGTTGTTTTTCTTGTTGCCAAGTGCCAGACGGGTCATTTTTTCTGGGACACTGGCGCCGTATGTGAAGAAGATACGGTTGGCGGGGTCGAAGTCAGCCTGGGTTGCCTTGAGAGCAATCGCGACGGCCTGTTTTTCTGTGACAGAGGTATTGATGTAGAAACCAGTGGTTCTGTCTTCGCCCCAAAGTTCATCTTGGCTGTTTGTTTCAGCAAGGTCTTCTTGCAGTTTTCTTGGAGAGTCGTCTTGTTTGTCTTGTTTTTCTGGTTTTCTTGGTTTGTCTTGCAGGACTTGTTTTTTTGGTTTTTTTGGTTTTTCTGGTTTGTTTTGGTTGCCTTGCAGGTTCTTGTCTTCCCGGTTGTTTTCTTGCGTGTCTGATTTGTCCTGGTTGTCTGACTGGTTGTCTTGTCTGTCTTGCTCGTCTTTTTGATCGCGGACACCGTTATCGCCATTGTTTTGATCTTGCTTGTTGTCTTTTTGGTTTTTGTTTGAGGTCTGCGGATTTTTTAAAGTTTTATTTGAGGTTTTTGGAGTGGTGTATTGAGTTTGTTCTGGTGCAACATTGTTTTGATCTTGCTTGGTTTCGACGGCGGTGTCCTGATCCTGAGATGATGCATCGACGTTGTGTCTGTTTTGCCAGTCTTCCAAGGTCTTGTAGACACGGTGGTTTGGGGTATGCAAGACGGATATGACAGCGTCTTGGATCCTGCTTTGGCGTTGTGCCTGCTTCTTCGTGCACTTCTTCTTGTTCTTGCGACTCATGTTGTCTGCGAAGTTTGATATGTGCGAACGAAGGTTTTTTTTTCTGGCTGTCCGTAGAGAGCGAGAGAGTTTGTTTGAGAGAGAGAATAATCAGAGAGTAGTGTTGTTGAGTGTGTTGTTCTCAACTGTGGTTGAACAGGTCTTTTTGTTTGGAGATGTGTAGTGAAGAGAAACAAGGATTCAAAAAAGTCGGGGGATGGGCCTCCGCGATATTATTTTCTGCTTTAGTGTGAAGTCCATTTTGGTTCTGTATTAGTCTGAATAAGTGTTGCGCTGGAGCAACACTTGGGCAACAAGTGTGGACGCCATGGGGCACTTGAGCAATTCTACCCAGGTAGTGTGATTTGTCTATGGAAACTGTGCCGGTTCAGTAGGCATGTGAAAATGTGAGCTGATTTATCAGATCCCACTTAGAGAGAGAGGGTCCGGTTTGCCCCTAGTTCAGAAGACTTCAGAAAGGTGTTGACTATTTGAAGATATGCTTCAAATATTGTTGTCATGACTACTCAAGTAAACAAACTAGTCGAGCTGGTGGACAGCCTATAGATATTAGTTGCTGACTAGCTCTAACCTTCAATATTTCAGTATATACATAGGTAACTTCAGCTACACCTATCATTTCTTGACTACTATTATTAGAATTACACACTTGTATTAAAGGCCGGGTCTTGAGTCCTACCACCGTATGAAGGCGCCATGTATGCCCTTAGATGTATACGGAATAGAAGCGAAACCACATAGGAATTTTTCTTGAACATGAACAGACTATTATACAAGGCTATTCCAAAGGAGACATACCCTACAGGGGCTTGGTAGTGTGGTGGCCACCGGGCATATTGCAACAGTTGCTTTGGCCGTGTAAGAGACATCCGAGTAAAGTGTCGGTGGTTGGAAATAACAGCTTTACTCTCTGGCTGTTAGTCGCCGCATTTAGGTATTTAGGGCTCTGCTAAATCAGAACATTGAGGGCAATGAGTTATCGTTCTCCCAATTTGTTACTTCAAGTTCCCTGTGGAGGTCTATTGCTGATATATTCCTCCTGAGCTGGACTGCTAGATTCTGCCCGGCTCATTGCATGTGGGCTTTCGCGAAAACATAGTTATTCAATCTATACAAGATCTTACGATTATCCCCTTCGCTTTGTTTTGAAAACTATCCGCCACAACTCTTCAACCATCCAATAATACGCAAATCACAATGCGGGGCCAGATCATCATCATCATTCCGATCTACACGAACAAGCAGTATTCCACAGCGAATGCCAAGCGCCTAAGCAACTTCTGACAGCTGCCAGGTCTCGGCAGCGACCAGGGGAAAAGCAAAGCGCAAAGGAACCCGGGTAGTCTCTCATATTATCACTTCGCAAAAGGCCACGCCACATGTCTCGGGGAACGCACACGCTCGATGATGTGCCGAGGTGTGCCGTGTCTCTTCCGCTGTGGACCCCCACGGAAAAGGAGAAATGTTTTCAATTTCGCGGTAAGAGTTCGCCCCTGTCTGAGTCCGGCCGGGAAAGGAGCGGAAGACTATCAACAAGCAAGGGACGTGAATTATTGATTTTGTAAGATGATTCCGGCATGGAAAAGCTTCTCGCGAGAGAAGTGCTGCGCGGAGTGTGTACATAGAGGAACGCTACCTATTGGGAAATCTACCTAGTACCAGGGGAAAGAAATATCAGACAGGAGAGAATCGAGGGGTGCTTCCCATGTCGCTTCTGCCTTCTTCAAGTGCGGCGGCAGTCCACTAATGCCAGAAGAACCATACATTCGCCAGGGTATCAGGTAAGTTTTCAAATTATACAGTGTAAAGGCATCGCATACACTTTGTAGGTATAGGGATCAGAGACGGAACCACTTTGCTTTTCAACCAGCCCGCTCATGCCACACAACGGCAAGTGGTGAGTAGGGTTCAGAATTGGACGGGATGCAAATTTCAACGGCAGACAAACCATGGGGGCCTGCGTTTAAAGCAAGGCCACTCACTGTCTACCCAGGCCGCTGTCAACAAGTCGATGACCTGGGTATGCCGCAAAACAGATTTGGGCGTTGGGCGATCCAGGGCGTGGAAGCGTGTCTCACATTAGTGCATGAGTAATTACTGGCATTGGATCGCGAGGACTGGTGGGGGAGGGGGCAAGGAAAACGCAAGATACCATGGCTTCGGCCAACCTTTCACGTACTGACTTCCCGATCAATACTCCTGACAATCAAGGGAACGGTTCGGGTCATTCAAGCATGAAAAGCACACGGTAAACTCAGAGCACGCAGTGTTTTGCAATTTTGGCTGAATGCCGTCATATTTCACTTCATTGGTGTCCAGTCTTGGTGTAGACTGTATGCGACGAGCCAGACGATCACCGCTGGTCGAGGTTCTAAAACTGAGGACTTGTGTCCCGAAATGCAATACGATCCGTTTTCCTCATCCTTTTTTTTTTTCATTGAGCCATCATGATTTGATTCAGCCGTGAAACTCTGGACAAAAGATCGATCGCAAAGCCCACAAATGCTATGCTGCTGGAGAGCGCGATTGTTCCCACGCGCTGCGCTTCCGATGCAAAATTTGCTGCTGCGCATTATTTCCCTTCCAAATGAACGCCTAATCCATGCGAATGCGGATGCGAAGAGTCTTGAGATGATGTGATCACGATGTGATCATGTAAAATTACAAACCGCCTCAATAAGGTACGGGGCCATAAGGAGATGGCCCTGGAGCCCATGGCGGCCAATAACTGAGCTGCCCCATATCGCGAGGTCCGGTGTACTTCTAGTTAACCAGATTCGGATATCGTTGCTGGCCAGGCACGGACGGCACAGGCGTCATGCCCTGGTTCCGTGGGTTACCAGCATAGACAGCCTGATTCCGGTACTCGGGCACGATTCCGGTTCGATAATCGTCCCTCCTGCCAATTGGCTGGTAGTGCATCTGGCTCGGTGCGATGGCTGGCAGGTGGTAGCCCTGCAAGCTGGAAGACGGTGGCGGGTTGAGGAGAGTATGGACATGCCGGATTGGTCGGTAAGGACTGTCGCGCTGCTGCAGGTAGACAGATGGCGAGTGAGAAATTGGGGTCGCGAAACCATTGTGAGAGAAATGCTCGTGCATCGGAGATGACCCATTATAATTAGCGGTCCCAATAGTGTTGATCGGGCTGAGTCGTTTCGTGGGTGTGCCATACGCTGCGTTCGACGTCGGGGGGTAGTGCGAGGTCGGCGTTGTGAGAACTGGGGCGGACGGCATGGTCGGTTGTGACGAGCCACTGTTGGGAGGTGCCCAAGAGGTCGTCGGTGGCGCATATACGGTCGACATGGCTCGCATTCCAGGCTCGAGGGGAGGCAAGGAAAGCGTGGCGGCCGCCTGTTGCATCGGGTATGCGGCCGAGGGGTACTGGGCTTGAGTCACAGGCGGCGCGTGATGTGCGGTGTTTAGTGTGAGGTTAGGAATGGGTAGACGTCGAGGGTCCGGAGGCGGTTTCGTGTTCGGGGTCGAAGATGACATCACGGCGGCTGTCATCTGTTGCTGAGGTGCCCTGTAAGCACGCTTCGCTGGAGGGTCGACAGCCTCCTCATCCCACGACCTCTTCCTGTTGTTGCCGAGATCAGGCCTGTTCGCCAGGGGCGAAACGTTGTTCCCGTTGCTCGACACGAAAAGAGGCTGCTGGTAGACCGTGTTGTGGTTGGAGTGGGTAGGAGGTGAGTACTTGGGGGACCTTGATGTGTAGAGAGCCTGCGTGGCCTGGAGAGAGCTTGTAGGAGACGGCAGAGGAGAGTAGCCCTTTCCGATCGTGGGTGACGGAATGAATAGCGTCGGCGATGGTGGTACCATAGCAGGGGACGCCGGCCGGGTCACACGGGCCCAGAACTCGAAGTAGGCACCAAGCTTGTCGAGCCACTCCTCCCACTGCTCTTTTGACGCAAGCAAAGCATATCTCATGTTGCTTAAGAACTCGACCTCCATAACGTGGATTTCCTGCACAGAGATACCTGACACCTCGGCCCAAGTTTTGTTGGTGTACGTGTTGTCGTCCAAAACTGTTGGTCACTGTTAGAAGCTGCCGGTGTTTAATGAGACTAGGCTTACACGGCTTTCTTCACTCACATTTGTTGCCCAGCATCAAAGCCACGGTAAGCAGCCTATACTCACTCCCAGGTCGCCCTCTCACCGACGGGTTGGTCATCTTGAGCCTGTAAACAAACATCAAAGCCAGCAGTATCACGTTTTGCGTGACTTGCGTGGTGGACAAGACCGTCTGAACCCATTTCTTGAAGGCCTCAGCTGGAAAGGCAGTCTTGGCCAGACGTGGTAATGGGGTTTCCTTGGGTGTAGATCGAATGGTCTCGGCAGTTTCTAATATCTTGGGCGACTCGAACCAGAAAAGACAAGTCAACTGTTCGAGTACGTTAGTATTCAAAGGTTGGTTTCACTGCTACACTCGGGGTTGAACATGCCTGTGCAGCAAAGTCTGCCAGATTTCCCCCCTTTGGACTTATGCAAGCAGGGACTTGCAGGCTGTGCAGGACCATGGACTGGACATCTCCATTCGCAGAATTCGTGCCCGAGGCTGGACGGCTGGAATGGGTTGAATTCGGTGTCGAAGGTCGAGTTGGGATCCTCGATCCAGGATGTGATGCCGAGTTGACCAGGTGTCGTGCCTGTGGAGGAACCTGTGGTTGATACTGCTGGAACGGATTCTGTGAAGGGTGTCTATCGTGGTTGTCTACCCCATGGTGAACCTCTTGCGCGTAAGGCCGTGATCTCTCGATATGGGCCAGCGTTTGATGCTCGTGGGCTGGCAAGCGGCTTTCATATGCTACCGCCTGAGGGCCATGGTAGACGGCACTCATCTTGTAACCAGGGTGAGCACTGAGGCTGCCTGTGTGGCGATGAGCAGCCTTGCCTGCAAATCGGTTTGAAGAAAGTGGTGTTCGATTCTGGTGGCTCGAGGATCTAGGAGGGGAGAAACGGAAGCCGTTGTTCAAAGTAGTCGCTGTCAAAGTAGAAGACATGGAATTATGCACAGAAAGTGCTGTCGGTAAAAATGGGGTGGGTTCGTTCGTTCGTTCGCTTGGTTTTTGGGGCGAGCCTAGAGGGCTCGAGGAGTCTGATGGTTTAGGTGGTGTAGTAGAAGTTTCCGAGTCGATCGACCATTGTCAAAATCTGGCGGGTCCACCGTTCGTGTTGTCTTATGGATGGCGGTTGGTCATTCGAGGGTGCTGTCGACAAGATCCGGCGAGCTGCTCACTAGTGCACGACCGTCCGGAGCGAGCTTCCTTGTCTTGACCACTTCCTATTGTCCACTTTGAGTCAATGCCCAGTCAGAGGTAGCCACTGACATCCCCAAGGGATTGTTCACGGTTTGCACTTTCTGGGGCCAGTGACAGCAACTGAATTATCAGGTGGGAGCCAGCAGCACCAGGTGACCAGGTGACGTTTTTCAACAGCTTTGGTGCCCCACCGCGAGAAGCCGTACCGTCTCACGCAACCCTCGATATCTGCCCGAGCGTGGTCCTTTTTGTCAGGAAAGTGTCGTCCGTTCGATCGAGCTCCACGTCCAGAGAAGCTCCTCTGGGTCGGAGAGGGGGCCCTGTTCGAGGAAGAAGTACGGGAGGCGTGTCTGGCCTGGCAGGCGAGACAGCTTGGTGTTCACGAAAGGGCGGGCCGTGCAGCAGCTCGACTGGAGCCACCAGAGGATTGGGAGGACAGAAAAGAGAGAGGCCTTTCAAGGGGGCCAGACACGAAGTGCGGTGGAGGCGGACGAGAAGGTCTACTTCAACACGAAGTCAGGAGTGGGTGTTTTGGGGGATGGTGATGATAGACGGTGGATGACGAGCAACGGTGAGGTAGAACTGGATGGGGATGGGGGTTGGGAAGAGGACTAGCTCAACGACAGCTCTGGGAGTCTGGCCGCGAGATGAGGGAAGAGACGAAGGAGAGCGTGACAATTGAAGCAGGCCGAAAGATTAAAAGAGAGATTAGCCATTACCGTACACATTAGTCCGTATATTTGCTTCATTCTTCACTCCTCTGTCAAGTGTGGTGCCAGTTCCAGAACCAGTTCCAGTTCGACAGGGAATGTGGATGTGCAAAGGAAGGAACGAGGCACGGCCTGGATTGGATTGGGTTGGGCTGGACGGATGTGTAAGTACGTACTCTCTGACCTACGTTTGCGCCAAGTATCTTTTTTTCTGGGGCCCTGTCCAAGGCCGGACCCCCTCCGGTGGCCCTGTCCTGTGTGCCTCCTCCACATTGTCCCAAAGTCCCAAAGCCCCAAAGTCCCAAAGTCCCTGTCCGCTTTGACTCTGGCGCCCCGACTGGCTGGTGATCGGGATCGGTGGGCAGTGTACGGTGGCCGTGGCCCTTGTGCCTGTGGGAAACCTTTCCCTTTACCCCCCCCTCCCCTCCCCTTCCTGCTTCTTTTCTGCGACCCCCTCCCCTGCATGTCCCGGGGGGTGGGGGTGGTGCGGGTGGAGTGGAGGGAGGCAAGAGAAAGGACGAGCTAGCAGCACGAAACGAACGGGCAAAGCACAGCAGACCAGACAGGCAAGAGACATCGCTTCCCCTTCCCGGCCATGCCTGCATGCATTCGTCCTAGCTGTTGTTGGGCGGTTTGGCGGTTTGGCGGTTTGGCGGCGGTTTGGCGGTTTGTGCTGGTCTGACGCCCACTGGTCACGGTCGAGGTCACGGTCACGGTCATGATGCTGACGCTGTGATTGTTACATGCCGACTTTTGACTTCCTCCACCTGCCCTCCCCCGGCGCCTCATTCATCTGCCTGGATGCTTTCGTGTCCCGCCAGGTCTCAACCTGCCCGGATGCCGTAGGGGCACAGGGCAGGACAGGGCACCACACTTGTCCAGCCTCCTCGGCCCGGTTGCAGGCCTCGCTACATATGCACACAGTACATGGTCTACATGGAACCGTTTGGTCTTTCCTGGACAAGGGAGATTCGGTCCCGTGTGCTTGTGCCCTGCGTGTGGGTTGTTCATGTTCCTCCTTGGCAGTCACCATCCGTCATCCTGTCGCCTGCACATGTACTGTATGTATATTGAAACGGGTCAGGCTACTGTAGACCTCGGGACATGGCAGCTGGGCAGCACAGGACAGGCCCACGCTGCAATACCTACCCATGCAGGCAAGTACGTACTTTACACCCCTACTCACATATGCCATACGGAGTATACATACATGCTTTGGCCCAGGGTAATGGAGGTGTCAGAGAGGGGGGCAGGGAGGGGACTTGTGGACCGAGCTGACTTTGACGGTGCAAGCCGAGGAGAGGTCCGGATCGGGTGGTTGACACTGTGCCCACCGGCCGATCCCATGGATCTCAAGCCAATGGACGCTGTCTGATCCAGAAACTACGGCCATAGGCTGATTGATTGACGAAGATCATGGCAGTGGGCAGAAAGGTCAGCATTGACGAACGCTACCCAAGATTCTTTGTGGCACCTGGACCTTCTAATCCGGCACAGTACTCACTGACTGGCTGACTGGACGGGCAGACGGAGTGGGTGAGTGGTCTGAGGACTGACTGCAGGGCAACAACTGTCGTTGTCCAGTCAGTCAGACATTGACCTGTCATTGTTCCCTTAGTGCCTGGCGGAATGGCGTCAAGTTTGCCAGGGATACTCTGAGTAAAAACTGCTCGCCTGTGGCTCCGGCACAGTACACGGTTCTCACAAAAACAAAAAAGAAAAGTAATCAAAGGGAAGGCTGTACCCATCCACGCCAACCCTATTTCAGTCAGCATCAAACTCCAAACTCACAGGCTCAGTAGAGACTACGGACGGGCCCAGCCAGGTCGACTCTGCCGCATGCGTTTCGCTGGATATACATAGTATCGAACAAGGATGCACAGCATCGAAAGTATGCGAACAAGGGAGGCCGCAAAGACAGTGCGATACCTACTCTGGACAAGGCCAAGGCTTGGTGGGGGGAGGGGCACTAGTAAGAGAGGGAGTATTGTAGTGATTTTAAAAAAGGCGCTCTGTTGGGCTCTTCGTATTTTACCCCGGCCTCAGTAACGCTTGTTGGCGGGTCATTTGGCTCTGAGCAGGGCCTCAACCATTGCTTAGCGGCCTCGACTTCTTTCTCCTGCTTGATCAGGCTGTCTTTGCCGTGGATGGGACAGGTGAAACTTTGTCGGCAGACCCGCGCCCGTTGTCGCCTCGATTAGCGCGGGCTGTGCCCGTTCCTGGAGGCCGTTCTGAATAGAATGTGGTCAGCAAACCTGCGGGTGTGGGTCGGGTTGCGCAGGCGTGGGAAACGACCCCGTTGTTGGTCGCTGGCCGATCCCAAGCTGGAATTCCAACTTTGGACATGTAGGCCGACGGAGCCACGGTCGTCCAGGAATCTAAGCCCGTCGCCCTGACGTCTCCCATCTCCTTCTGACGTTCGTCATCTCGTTCCTAGAGGCGCATCCTCTTTTGCCGCCTCATCGGATTCGGCACGTGGCTGGGTCTCGTATGAGGGGGCATCTAATACGGATCTGTAGGTTTCGGCATGGCTCAGGGGTTGAAGGGAGACCATTACCAAGGCGAGGAGGAGACCAACCAGCAGGGCAAGGATTAAGAGGGATGGTGATATATGCCAGGCCAAAGCCCTGGATCCTGCTGCGTTCCACATCCAAAGAACCCTCACCATCGACGCGCGGGACCGGGCCCATAACCTCAATCCCCAGCCGCGAGGAGGTGGATTGGGAATGGATCCCAGGGGTGTGTTGATCAGATGAAAGGGCTGTCGAATGTCGGCGCCGCTACTAAATTGCAAATCCGAGAATGCGCGTTTTGGCCCTGTTCCATCAGCCATCATCCACGCATCACACATATCAGAAATGCACCATTCAATGGCCGGTATTGTGGGAACGGACGCAGCCAAGTCACGATGCTGCAGGGTTCACGTCCTGGGATGGAGAGCGTCTCGAACGGCAATCCCGCCGAGGCATCTGACCCTCCCACCAAGAGACCTAGGACGCATACTAGTGGGCACAAAATTTCGGAGCGCCCAACACGGCGCATAGCGGCCACTGTGACGAGGCTGAATGCACCCCATATTGGCCGATTGGGGTTTCAAGGAAGGGGCACAGGCGACAGGATCGCCTCTGACAGTCTGAAGAAAAGAGATGACATGGTCTCTCGTGTCGCATCTCCGTGTATTCCCCCGGAGCCAAAAGGTTTGTTTGAGACTTGGGGGGGGGGGAGCCTTGCCCTTTTTCGGCGTAAGATACCGAAAAGAACCGCCGCAGTGCTGAGTGCTGCGTCCACCTGCGGTGCCGATGCGACCCAAAGGGGCTCCGTCAATCGAGACAGGCTGTGACGCTGTGTCGCCACGCAACGCGACGCAACGCACCCGCAACGCCGACAGCTCGTTCTATGGGCGCTGGCGATCCGAGGTGATTGCGTTGTGGCTGGGGGCCCGGCTTCGTGGGCTTCGTTCCTCTTGCTCTGCTTCGCCTTTGCCACGCGCAAGCACATTGTGCCATGCCCAGATGGCCGGTTGTGTGTCTCCTGAGGCGGCCATCATTGGCTCGGCGCCGCTTGCGTGCTGCTGAGCTGCGGGTTATTAATGGCAGTGGAGAGAGCATCGCGGCCCCAACTCCAGCTGGTCTGTCTGCTCATCAGGCCCCCCGGTTGCAAGCCCAGGCCCCTAGGCGTTTGGTTGGCTCGGTTGGCGACTGCTGGGTGACAGGATCGATGTTCGACCTGGGCGCAGAGCTAGCCAGCTGGGCGTAGTCGCAATCATCTGCGCGCTCTCAGACTTCTCACATCAGACCAGGAAAGACGCAAGAGGAATTTGGCTTGACGCCGCGTTATGCTGCACCAGGCATTATTCCCTGCTGAGTGGACGCTCCGTGAGAGCTTGCGCAAGGCTTGCGGAAAATGCACTATCAAACCTGTATGACCAGTCCCTGATTGGTGCCTCCTGCATCCCGACGGCCACCTCCTCAGACAGGCCCCGAAGCAACCGTTTTCAAAAGGTGCAAACGTGTGACACACCACCGAAGGAGGCAGGGGTGCGGGGATATCATCGAGTCGGGACGGATTTCTGGCTGGCCGTTTGCGAGATTCGAAGCGGCCTGGGCGGCAGGCGGGGTGGGGCGGCATAGAGACAATCAATAGCCGGGGGGGTTCAGCGTTTGCGGGATGTGGTGTGGAATCGGGCATCGCGGGACCCTCGTGTGTCTGAGTGGTGGTGGTGCGACGACAAGTCTGCATGATTGATACTTATCTGGCGAGACCCCCTTTTCCTTTTGGATGCAGCGAGCGGTGCGTGATGGTACTCCGTAGTGGGTGGTCTAGCAATAATTTGCAATACGTCCCCGGCAGCCCGGGCGCGCGAGCGTTGTGCAGGGTTGAGGGCATCAATACTCGCCCACATATGTAGCTCAATGGGCAAGGGGTTGGGTCCGGGCTATTCCCCCCTTCAAATGCTCCCTATTTTCAGAGGCGGTATGGGAGTGACCCGGTCAGCAAACCTGATACTTGTGTCCCTATCAGCCGGCGGGCGGCGGTCTTGTCAGGCCCACGTATCCGTGTTGCCGACGAGCCCATATCACCGTCAGGGGCGCCGGCCAAAGCAGGCAGGACTGGCAGGCAGGCCAGTCGGCCTGGGCCCGAGGACCAAAGGGTGTGATGTGATTGCTCGCAGCGCTTGCAGCAGGCCTGTAGTGCATCGTCCTTTATTCCTCTTTCCCGCGTCAGGTTGCAGCCGTGTCGTCGCCCGACTTTGACCGCGCAACACCAGAAAAAGGCTGTGTGCTTAGGATCGGCGAGGGTGCAGTGCTGCACATTTAGTCATGCTCAACTAAGGCAGGGCAAGCATGGTCTGTCCCTTGGGTGGCGGCAGATGCGAGCCGGTCTCGAACCGTGTTGAAGCAGCCGGGCTGGGCTGATACGCAGGGCAAGACCAGTCACAACCGTGCCTCGATGCCAGAGGGCGGGCAGGCGGGCAGCTGGGCATAAAAGGGCCGGAAGTGTCGGTCGGGATAACAGGATCTCCATCAAACGACGTCGACGAGCCCGACCCCTGTCACCGACAGCAGCGGCGGGCTGTGGGCTCTGGCGATGGCGTGGACTACTGCTGGGTACCACGCTCTAACGGTCCCGCCGCGGTGATGGCGGCGCACCCGCCGGTCGGAGCGCCCATTGTCCCTGCTTGCCCTGGACATCGGTCTCGCTATGAGATAATCGTTGTCGGCTCACAGAGTCCGAGACCCCCCCTCGAAGCTGAATGTGACCCGAGGCGGCCAGGCAACAGCACTGGCCACTTAGGAGTTGTTGAGCCCCCAAGTACCGCTCTCGTTGTTGAACAATGTGGGCAGAGACAGGTCTCGTCCTGTTGGATTGGATGAGACGTGGGCCGGGCAGGCTGGCGGGCTGGCAGTCCTGGCTGGCTGGACAGGAGGGACAGCAGGATTGTGGAATCGGGGCTAGCTTCGGTGCTCTTGCAAGGTTCAGACTAATTAAGAGCTTGCAGCAGGGTGACGCGACACAGTCGCTCACGCGTAAATTGGATTTTTCTTGTCGAAGCCCACACCTTGGCCTGTGCATGTGTCTTGTTCGCCATCATGGGGCTCCAGCTCCAGTTTCGATGGTGGCCGTCATGATCGAGAGGCTCAGGCTCCGCCGAGCCCGGCCGCGAAGGGAGCAGGGCGATTCATGGCTGGGCGGGACCACGAGTCTAGTTGACTACACAGTACGGTGACGATCGGGCGGGTAATCAGGTACAGATTAATCCAGAGTTGGCGGCGGCGGTGTTGGTTGGCGGCGGTGATCAAGGGGCAAGCAGGTAGGTGCCCTGCGCCTGCCCTGCCCTGCGTGCGTGTACACGACCCTGACGACACATTTCCAAGGCTGCCTGTCAGGTTAGGTTCGGAGCTGCAAAGCCCAGCCAGCCCGGCCAGGGCAAACGAGTGGAGACTGGCCTCTAACACACAGCCTTTTTTTTCTGGTCCAAGCATGGCGCATGTCGCATATCGTAGGTGCCATGTCGCATGTCGGGCAATGAATCGACTTGATCACGTCGTCCATGCGAGGGGCCCTTTGCCCAGTGCCGTGGCTGCTAACTCAAAACCAAGATCATCGACCGCACTCCGCTCTGGTGTTTCGCACTGTACCGTATGCCTGCTGTGCCTGTTTTTATCCTTCTTGCTGCTACCCAGGCCACCCATCACCTGGGTACCTATAGAGGTAGGTAGCCAAGTAGCGAGATAGGCTTACCGGCGCGTCGCACCCAAAATGCTAACTGTAAAAGTCGCTCATCATGGCAGCAAGCAGCACTTCTCAATCGTCTTTGCTCCCTTCCTGCCTTCATCACACACACACATACACCCCTTGCATCCACCCATCGCCCATCTCGAACCTCAGGCCCGGCCGCAGTTGACCAAAACCCTGATCTCATCATCCCCCCAATCCATCCCATCCGCCATCCCCTGATTAGGCCAACCCCCTCCTTCTGATCCAAGGCGACCCGCGGCAACCCAGTCGTCTTGTATTGCTTATACAGTGTATAGTACACGGCCGCACACCCACAGCCACCAACATGCACACCCGACTGTCCAAGGGCAAGGGTCTGGGGACGAGATACAATGCAGTCTACACACAAGCACTACACTGGACACTGGACAGTGTACAAGTGTCTCCATTCCTGACCGCGGCTGACCGTAGCGGGCCCCTCAACCGGCAACATAAGCCCCGTGTCTACAACATGTTATTAGACAAACTTTCCCAAGGTCATGTCGAAACCACTGTCAATCTAAAAACCCGGCTAATGCAGATCCGAAGGCCCAGACATACGCAGTAGTCCAAGCCATCATCCTGTGGTGGCCTACCCCGTCTGTCCGTACACTACACGTGCACTATCTTGTCGGCTCAGCTCGACGGGGCCGGGCCAGGGCAGGCCAGACAATCGCGCATCCACTCGTTCATCAGAGCCATCAGGATCACCAAAATTGCCATTGCCGTCCCCTCGCACGACCAACCAACCCCGGCCGGCCAGTGGGACAGGCGACCACCGTAAAGTGAGACCGCCTCACTGGCGATCTGACGACTGGCTCCCACAACCAGACTGCAAGACTGCCAGACATTGCCTTTGTGTTCAGACCCTGGTCCAGACCAGCTGGTCCAAGACCCAGACCCAGACCCAGAACCGAAATGGCCCCAGCGTCACGTCCTGTAGCACCCTGGAGGCAGCAATCGCCGCCATGATTCGCGCAGCCTGTGCGGCAGCCGGCCAGCCAGCCCAGCCAGCCCAGCCAGCCGACCAATATTGCTGCTGCCACACTCAAAGGCGCCGCTTGTTTCGGTCAGACCCGCAAGGTCGGCCTGCAACGGACTGGCGCGCTTGCGATTTTTTGGGATCGTCGGAAGTTGGCTCATCAGGGCTCATGAGTCGTCTGGCGGTGCGCCCTGCGAGCCTCACTGATGCAGGCCTTCCCTGCGTGGTGGCAAGCTCTGCATGCGACACAAGGGCACAGGACGACGCAAGAGACTCTCCTCCAAGTCAGCTTATCGTGCGCAGTGGATTAACAGGCTTTGGTCACGGCGGTCTATGGTCACTCGGGAGACACTGCCTGACTCTCGGATTTGGAAGCTTCGTCAAAAGTCATCCACCCAGCCACGGTACCCTGCCGGACCGCGACGACACGCCCCCAGCTTTGCCTGTCACGGCGAGTCGCAACTCGGGCTGAAAGAAGGTTTCTGCGGGACCCCACGAGACGCTGGAATCCTCCCCTCGGTCTAATCTTGAGACTGGAACCCTGTCATCCTGGACATCATGATTTGCGCGTGAGTGCCATGCTGACCCCGCTCTGACCGAGTCCCACTGTCCGGCTGCGGGCTTTCTGTCGAGGGCTTAAACCGTCCGCCGCTCGGCAAAGCGCCAGACGGGATGTCTTCGGGCGGGTGACGAGCCCTCTCGCACCCCTCAAGATGATTTGACAGGGCAACTTTGGCCTTACTCATGCGGCGGCCTGCGCTTGTGCAGCAAATCCGCCCGTGAAAGTCGATCGCCGTTGCCCGCTCTCAGGCTCTTCGGCAGAGACACGAAGAGACCGTTCCAACCCGCAGTATCTTGGCTGTGTTATTCCCTGGTTTGCCTCAGCTTGCTGTGGTACACAGGAGTGGGCACAGCAATTTGTGCACAAGCCCGCGTCCTCACGCGGACCAGGGACAAAAGACAATTAATCTACATGATAGGCGACCAAGTTCCGATTCCCAGATCTGGGTTCAAGCGTCCTGCTGATGGCGCTAATAGGATGAGGTGCCAGATATGGGGGTCGTGTAAGTGCACTCCTTGACCACGGTCACATTGGCTACGCACACCAAGACTAGTGGGCAGCTGCGCGGGTTGGAATACATGCAACCGACCTCTTATTCAGGAGGTACTTCCTCAGCCAAAGGACCGCGGGCCACGCCACAACACGCCTCGTAAGCCAAGTTCAAAGTGCATGACTGCCTAGGCCCAAACCCACGTTGATGGATGTGGTTAATGCAGGCCGCCAACCACATATTCGCAATTATTTTCTCGTTTTAGTGCATTTTTGCCCTCAATGACACGTTAGGCTGAGGTCCTACCTGCCTACGGAGTACTCTGCTTCGCTCGGGAATGACTTGAGCCACCCTTCCGCCAGGGTTGCCTAGGTGGACCTAGGAACGTGGGCTTTGTTGTCCAAGGCTCTACAAAAGCCTCACGCCGGATAACCCCCTCCCATCGAACCACGCCCGGCCGTCAGCGGGCCACAAGCGACAATCAGCAGCTCCGGTGCACCCACCTCCAAGCCTGTCTGTCTCCTGCCGCGGCCCCTTCCCGATTGAAGCCAGATAGATTAGGAATGGCCATCTCTCATGGCCGACCCTGGTCCTGCGGGAGCCTGCAATGAAAGGGCGCAGTGTTGCTTGCACCGACGCCACGATGCCACTTCATTAGTGCAGCTTCGACAGTCATGGTTCCATCCTGCACAGTGCCACAGCCTTGAAAAGGGGCCCACGGGAGAGGGCCCGTCTTGACCCCGCGAAAACTCTACGTTGTCAACAATACTCTGCGTACAATACAGCGAGACCAGGACCACCACGTATGTATGTCTGTGGACCCATAGGTCCGGTCCTATTGCTTTTTCGGTGACGAGTGGGCAAAGGCGTCGGCCTCCCTGTGATACGGTCAGCGTCGCCCAGTCCACTATCCGGTGGCAACATCATCGCGTCTCACGATGAAAGCAATGAGACGGTATATGCAGTCCTGAAAAGTCACGCATGCTGCTCCAAATATCGACGAAAGAGAAAGGGCCAAAGAAGGAAAAATCAAATTAGCGAGGCGGGGACTATCAACGCGGCACGCAGGACTCGCACAAAGTCAGGTGGTTGCCAATTGGTTCCCACTCGTTCAACAGCTCAAATGGACGCCAGAACACGAAATCCAAAGTGGACCGATTACTCAAGCTGTTATCCCGGACGGGTCAAAAAATGCCGTCTACTGCTATTGCTGGAGGCAGCAAAGCTCCAGGCATCACTGCACGTCCACGGCACTGCTTCGAACCTTGGAATTCCTGACCTCTGGCGTCTGGATGTGGAGCCGATTGGGGTCCGGTGATGGCACCTGATCTATCTCATATGGCTTCTACACGAAGCATCGGGCTCGGAGTTTTTGAGGGGTTGGGACGCCCAGCTGCTGTGAGTATGTAGCACCGGCCTGCTGCGGCCATTCAAGGGCACAGCTGTGTTGGTGCGCGCGCGCCTCACCCATGCTTTTTTAATGATTACTGCTATTTTTGGGCTATATGAGATACAAAGCTGTATCTGGCCCCGCCCGGGCATACAGCCAACCGAGTTCTATTTGGGGGCTTGTGCAGCTGCAGATATCTCTCCCAGCAATCATTTTGCGTTGGGTTTGAGGTCGATCTGTTTCTTGTTGGGTTGCTGCGGATCACGGCCCTGGCTACGTGGTATCGAGAAAAGAGCGACGGTGGACGCTGGCCAAGAATAGCTACCGGCCATCTCGGTGAGACGAGTCCGGTCGGGTTGGTAGATGTTCACTCCCACGGGTGCCACTTATGCTGTGACCTTCGAGGGTGGTCTATGCAACCCGCTGGTCCGCTGCAATGCTAGCACTCCGTCTCCTTGCTCCTACGCGGCCGCCGACGACATCGGTCATCTTCGCCTGACATGACATCAGCACCGCCTTCCCGGCTGTCTGAGCCTCCGCCGCGGTGATGGGCTCGGTCCAGCGCCGACTCGACTGCCCCTTCTGCGAGCCGCTCAGCGGCGTGCTCCAGGGCGACCTGCAAGCTCTCCTGTGGCTCCTCGTGAATAGTGCTCGGGCGCCTGCCGTGCCTGCGGTAGCGGTGGTTGGAGGATCTGTGACGTGACTGTCAGCTGCTTGGCGATGCACCCGCGCGGTGTTGGGCAACTCACCTGGGCTGCGCGCGACGAGCGTCGCCGCGCTGGTGGTGGCGGTGGTGGTGGTGGTGGTGGTCAGGGAAGCGATGAGCATGACGCGAACGAGTATGCGCTCGCTGGGTATCGTCTGGTCCGTGGCCAATGGGCTCCCTGCGCGCGATTGCGGGCGGCCTTTCCAGCGCAGCTTGTTCTCTGCTATCCCGATTTCTGACCTCGACCGCGACGTCGTCCGCTAGCTCTTGCACCACCGGGTTGTTGGTCGTGAGTCTCGCGATTGTGGGGAGGAAAGAGGCGAGTTTTGAAGCCCAGCTCGATCTCGAAGTTCGTTTCTCCATTTTGTGGTCATTGGATCTGAATAACGAACATCTTTTGGTCAGTATTCGTCACTTTGCTTCGACGGGGTTTCCATCACTCACTCTCCCGGTGACGATGACCTCAAGTGCGGACGTGCGTCTTCTTGGCCTCGCCGGCTCCGATCGCGATTGAACAAAGCTGGAGTCAGGCTCATCCTCCGACTGGGATAGCTGCTTTCGCTTGACGCCTGGCTCCTGGTCGCACACGTCGCGCCAGCGCTCGAGGGTGGGCCCTCGGATTGGGCTACGTCGAGGATACTATCGTCGACTGGGATACGGTATCTGCCGTTTACGTCTTGTGTATCGTAGTAGTTGTCGCCCTTACCCGAGGAAAACATCTCAGGGGGGTACGTTTCCCGGCGCTTCCTCCTGTGATGGCTGTTGATCCGTGATTCACCGACACCGGGAAACCCGTGGCTGTCTCTCCGCCGGGCTTGATGCTCTCTGGTGGACGATGAAGGCCGAGGCCTGCCGATGCGAGACTCGGCAACACTTGATACCGGATCAACCGGTCGCTGGACCACCTTCTCGTCGGGGCTGGGACTGCGCCGGTGGCGTCCCACCCGAGACTCGCCGTGGCGTAGGTCTTTGTGGGTTGGAAGTCTGGGTGGGCTCTGTGACCGTCGCGAGGGACGTCCAACCCGAGACTCCCAGACTTCTGGTGACAGCTCGTTGAATGCGACGCGCCGTCTCGTTGCGGCAATAAGGCCTTCTCCGCTCTCACCGTTACGCGCTTCGTCTCTCTGGCGGCGGTGCTGTGGATCTTGTTGTTCAGCACTCGTTGCTGCAAAAGTCTCGGTGGTCTCATCTCGCCCATCGGCCTTCTCCTTGACTTTTGGGTGTGCAGAATCGCCCTCCTCCTCGTCGTACCGGTCAACAAGTGACTGGCGACGCTCAGTCTCGCGAGCTCGCTGGCGGCCCTCTGCCTCCAGGAGCAGGCTCGCCAGATCAGTGCGCATCTCGGAATCGAGGCTCGTCGATGACCTGTGGCTCGTATAGCTTGACCTGGGGCTCTCGGAGCTCGATTCATCCTTTTGAAAACGAGGCTTGGCCTTCTGTCCCCCATGTCCTCTACGCTCGCCCCGTCGCCCCCGTCGCGGAGAGCGGCTGGGGCTCGGCCGAGGACGGCGTCGGGCATGTTGTCGTCGTCGCCGGTCGTTGGGGGATGGGGTGTGGCTGCGTGTGAACTGCGAGCCACCTGGTGGTGGGCTCCGTCCTCGACGGCTTGATGGAGGTAAGGAGCCGCCACGATCCGAGTCGTCATCTTCGATGGTGGATGCATGACCTGGAGATGGAGGGCGGGTTTGTACCCGGCTGCCAGATGCGGGTGGCTGTTGGTAGAATACGCCGCCTCGGGGCTGGCTCAACCGTGGTGGTACCATAGGCGGCGGAGGGGGAGCGGGAGGGGGATGAACCGGTCCTTGGACTGACACACGTATTGCTGGGGGGGTTTGAGGTGGTGGAGGAGGCCGAGGAGGCGGATGCGGCGGAGGCGGCGGTATGATGTGGTATGTTTGCGTTCGCATTTGCGGCTGGGGGTATACCACCGCTTGTGGGAATGGTGGCGGTCCTGGCACGACCATCTGGGGAGGGTACATGGCGACATCCACCGGCTGCGGGTAGGAGCCAGGATAAGAGTGCCTTTGGACGAGGCCAGGACCGTTAATCGGCTGCGGTAGGGCTGGTTGGGGAGCCTGGAAGTGTTGCGGAGGAACCTGTGTTGGCCCAACATGTAACTGAGAATCTGGCGTGGAAGGTCTAGAAGGCTCCGTCGTCATCGTTGACCCTGAGGAGACGAAAACGGCGTTGCCAGGCGTGGGAGGCCTGTATGCTGGTGGCGGCGGGGTGGGCAAACGATCGTCTCGAAGCACCACAGTCCTCTGGTGTGGCCCAGACGAGACGGTGATGCTGCGGCCGTCGCCGAGGTTGAGCTCGAGATCGTGCCCAGACTCTTTGATCCTCTCTTGCCTCGGTCGGACGATGGCGTACCAGTAGACCCACACTATGGTCAGCGTGACGACGATGACGCTGAAGATGATACCGAACTGGGCTGCCGTGTTCAGGCAGTCCCATTCATTGCTTGCGCACCACGGGCCGTCATCGCTTCGTGTCTCGTGCTGGGATAGCATGTCGGCTTGGTTAACACGGGGCTGAAGAGGTGTCATGGTTGACATGTTAGAATGTTGAAAAGCCGGTCACGTTTGGTGCTGGGGTGTGGGCTGGTGTAAGTAGTACATAGATTGTCTTGTCGAGGCCAAGGTGTTTCGATAATAGACAATCACAGGTGATGGAACAGTTGCGGATGGTGACCAGAGGTTGGTCGACAAACGGCACGAGAGAACGGGGGTTGCTGTAATTGACCACTGTGACAGTGACTTCGACGTAAAAGCTCAGAAGTTCCGACTGCCTTTCAGGTCTGCAAACAACTTTGAAAGCAAGCTTGCAATACTTGCATTCTACTTGGGAAGGCATTGAGCTCGAATTATGGGGCAAGTTCTCATGACTTTGAGTCTCTATCACTTAATTGAGATATGGTGCGAGATGCACATTCACTGTACCGAGAGGACGCTCCTATATGGTCAATCTCTTGCTCAAATTGACTCGCTCAGGAACACAAAGTCCGCTCTTCATTTTCTGTGTTTATCAGAGAGTTAACAACTCCACTGCAAACCGCGCAAGCATGAGGCAACGAGATCTTGTCATGTCCTCTACACAGACTGCTTCTTGGATGCTCAAAGAGCAAGTGCATATATTACTCAACGTATGGTGTCTCTGCTCGTATTATCGATTCTGAACTTTGCTTAAGCTTGGCAAGACTGCTACCTTCATGGTATTGAGTTGTAATTCGCCGTGTATAGACCAATGCATGCGATCATAAGCTTCTCTACTTGCATAGTTACTCACATTTAATTTGAGGAGCAGGCTTGTAGACGGTAGCACATTGCGGCGGCACCTGTGATTAATTACTGGTGTGCGAAAACTCTGCTCAATTTAAAATCGAGGTGAATTGGCATTTTTTGATGGGAAAGTAGGTATCTTTGCGATCCCAAAGCTTCCCAAAAGACCAACTGCCAGCTTTGTTTCATAGTGCCCATCAACTAAGTGAGATACCCTACATCTTGATTTCGAAATCGTGTATCACTTTGAGAAATCTTGAGACTTCCCTTTAGTTGATATTCGCTGTGAAGTATCAAGCAAAGTCCACAGATTCGACAACCACGTTGTGAGTACTCTTCACGCCAAAACAACGTAAAGTTGTGAATCATCATGGCCTCAACCAAATATGATGTCGACGTTCGCCGTTTGCTGTAATTGACAGCAGATGAAGTGTTGTTCTTCTCTTTCCATGAGATAGAGGCATGACCAGGAACTTCCAATCTTGTTGAAGGTGCAACATATGTATATACAGGCCAACCCATGGAATTGCGGCGACTGAAGTTGGCCAAGAAAGTTGGGGCTCTTGTGAACCGGGGTTGATTCTGGAGTGAGGTACTTTGGTACTTGCTTGGCCTTGGTGGGACATGGGACGTGGGACACGGCCGGGTGTGGACCCATGCCCCTGTGGGTTGCTGGCAGGGGCTTGCGAGCTGCCATTCAGCCTCATGCTCTGGCCAGGAATTTCGTGAAGCAAGCTCCCCCAGACCTCACACCTCTTCCCGCACCTCTCCAATCCGAAGCGAACGTAATCACAGCTCGCAGCTGGTGACGTTGCTCTTCGTTGATGTCCATCTCCAATTCAGCATGAGCTTCTAATCACAGGTACTGGACTTGCCTCCCCGCCAGCTTTTCTCGGCAGCAGCGCGCGACGAGCGTGTTCCTGCGATTCCAACATCGCCTCTACCTCCTCAACTCGGCGAACCCTCGAATCGATACCACACGAAGTCGCCAACCCGAGAATAGCCTTTCCCACACCTCCTAGCTCGGAGAGCCCTCGCAGGCAGTCATGGCGTCGGCGCAACAGAATGGCCACCTCAACGGGGCCAACGGCGCCTCAGACGGAGTGTACACGAGCAAGCGATTCGCAGACGTGCCTGCGACGCTCGACATCCCTGTGCAAGATCAAGAAGATGAAGCCGTCGAGATCGACCTGACCAATCTGATGGACGACCCTTCGGACCTGTGCGACCTCTTCGAAGCTGAACATGCCGCTCGCACTTATTGGATGGCGGTCGCGCTGGCTTACGCTAAGCAGAGGAAGGTCGACTACGCCATTGAGACACTAATTCGCGGAAACGCTCTCCAGACTATCAGCCAGCGGGACAAGCTGAGTCTGGTCAGCTGTCTCTGCTGGATGTATCTGTGGAAGAGTCGCGAGGCGCCTCGAGTGGCGCCCGAAGGACACCTCGCGTCCGAGGTAAAGACAAAAGAACACTATCTTCAACAAGCAACGGCGACCCTCAACGAAGCTTCACGAATCAATCCAGCCTTCCCACCGCTCTTCCTTGCGCGTGGTGTCCTCTACCTCCTCCGAGCCTCGCTGCAACCACCCTCGAAATCGGGCGGCACTGGCTCTATAGATCCAGAGAAGGCAGAGCTGTTGCGATCTGCTCTCAAATCGTTCGAGGATGCTATCCGGGTCTCTTTCGGCAAGAACATGCTTGCCCTTATGGGCAAAGCCAGGGCATTGTTCTCCATGGCCAAGTACCCAGAGGCGCTTTCGGCGTATCAGGACGTATTGCAAAAGATGCCCGACATGGTTGACCCTGACCCAAGAATTGGCATTGGGTGCTGCTTCTGGCAGCTCGGCTTCAAGGACGATGCGAAGACCGCTTGGGAGAGAGCGTTGGAGATCAACCCAGACTCCAAAGTTGGAAATATCCTTCTTGGACTCTTTTACCTCGACAGCAGCGGGCACGTCCCCACAAACAGCCCTGATTTCATTCGACTTTACAAAAAGGCGATGACGGAATACACGCAGCGCTCCTTCAAACTCGACAAGGATTCTCCGCTCACGTGCGCCACCTTCGCTGGGTATTTCTTGTCTAGGAAGAACTACGCAAACGTGGATAGCCTGGCACACAAGGCTATCCAGTACACCGATGTCAACGCCATTGCCAGTGATGGCTGGTACCTTCTGGCGCGTAAGGAGCACTATGCCGGTGATGCGGATCGCGCGAGTGACCACTACAAGCGCGCAGATGATGCGAGAGGTGGTGATCAGCGTGGATACTTGCCAGCCAAGTTTGGCCAGGCACAACTTTTGGTTATGAAGAATGATCTCCCTGGAGCAAGATACCACCTCGAGAAGATGAACAAACAGGTTCGAAACCACGAGACCATGACGCTGCTTGGAACGATCTACGCCGAGGAAGTCTTTGCAAACGAGGCCGCCACTGTTAAGGACAACAAGACGAACGAAGCCAAGCAAGCTGTGATCTTGCTAGAGGGTGTCAGAGCTGCGTGGAAGGATCCTCAGAAGAATGTTGCGCCCGACGCGTCGGTCCTCTTAAACCTCGCTCGCCTGTATGAGAACGACCATCCAGACAAGGCACTCCAGTGCTTGCAACAGGTGGAGCAAATGGAGCTTGACCAGATTCCCGACTCGGCCATACCTGACGATATCACTGACGAGACTGCAAAGAAGGCAGCCAAGCGGAGGCTGCTTTCTCCGCAGCTTTTGAACAACATCGGCTGTTTCTACTCCCAAGCTGAGAAACATGAGTTTGGGAGCGAATTGTTCGAGGTCGCTCTGGACTCGTGCATGAGGATCGAGGAGACCGGTGACAACGAGGACATGGATACCGACGCCCTTGTTACCACGATCAGTTTTAACCTCGGCCGGAGCTACGAGTCCAGAGGCCTTGTTGACAAAGCTGTCGATGTTTACGAACGTCTTCTCAAGCGCCATGATGACTACACTGATGCCCGGACTCGTCTGGCATATATCAAGTTGCGGAAGAATCCAAACAAGGAGGGACCGGAAACGGTTTCGAAGCTTTACGCTGATCAGCCATCTGATGCCGAGGTCAGGGCGCTGTACGGTTGGTACCTCAGCAAAGTCACCTCCAAGAAGAGGCCGCAGAACCTGAACGAAGACCATGAATATCGTACATTCAAGCGTACCTTGCAGCAGCTTGACAAGCACGACCGGTATGCACTGGTCTCCATGGGCAATATGCATCTTTCGCATGCCCGGGAGACGAGAGTGCACACGGAGGCCGACAAGCAGAGACGCGAGAAGGAGTACAACAAATCAGTGGAATTTTTTGACAAAGCCCTGCAGCTGGATCCGAACAATGCGTACGCCGCGCAAGGTATGGCCATTGCGCTGGCGGAAGCAAAGAAGGACTATAGGACTGCCCTGTCAATCCTGCTACAGGTGCGCGAGACAATCAAGGACGCCAACGTGTACATGAACCTCGGCCACACCTACCACGAGCTCAAGCAATACTCTAAAGCAATTGAGAGTTACGAAATGGCCCTGTCTAAAGAGGGTAAAGCTAAGGACACCATGCTCATTTCCTGTCTGGGCCGGACCTGGCTGGCCAGAGGGAAAGCCAGCATATCTGCAGCACACGGCCAGAAGATCCCACCTGAGATCAACGCCTACTATAAGGCGCTGGAGCTCGCGAAGAAGGTAAGCGTGCAGTCAACTGCACATGGAGAATATTTCAGCTGACCAGCACCGACAGGCCTTGGAGATTAACCCGGAGCAAGTTCATTTCAAGTTCAACGTGGCTTACGTCCAGATCCAACTGGCCATGACGTTGAGGGACATGGGAGAGACAGACAGGACTTTGCAGCAGCTTCAGGAGGCAGCCGATGGGCTGGAGTCTGCGATCACGACGCTGGGCGAAGTTGCCAACCGCCCTGACACTCCTTTCCCGAAGCACGAGTTGGAGCAACGTGCCAACATGGCCCAGAACACGCAGAGGAACCAGCTGCAGCGTGCGATTGACCAACAGAAGCAATACGAGGAGAAGAACAAGGAGAAGGTCCAAGCCGCCCTGGAGCAGCGGCAGGCCGAGCAGCGGCGGCGAGAGGAGGAGAAGCGCAAGATCGAGGAAGCGGAGCGTGAGCGAAAGGAGAAGATCCGCAAGGAGCGCGAGGAGATCTCAGCACGCGACCGAGAAATTGCCGAGCGGCGTGCACGAGAGGAGCGGGAGCGGCTGGAGGCTGAGATGACCGAGGACAGCCAGGGCGAGCGAGTGAAGCGAAAGCGCAAGCCGGCCGGACGATCCAAAGGCGAAGGTGGTGAACGCAAACGCCGGTCAAAGAAGAGGAGGGACGAGGAGGAGGAGGGCGGCAGCGGCGGCGAAGGCGACGAATCGGACGAGGAGCAGCAGCGCGAGAGGCAGCCCAAGAAGAAGAGACGTCTCACCAAGAAGGAGAACAGCAAGTACAAGTCGGCGGAATTCATCAACGACAGTGACGCAGACTCGCCAGCCCCGTCGCCGAGAGAGGACTCACCGGCGTCGAGGATCTCAACGCCGGACCCGCAGCTCGACTCTGACGACGAGGGTGGTGCGGGTCGGATGGACGTGGACAAGGCAGCATCTCCGGTCGAGGCGGGAGGCGATGATGACGATGAGGAGGGGGGCGGCGTGCAGCGACGCAAGCGTGCGAGAAGGGGCCGGGTGCTGGAGAGCGACGACGAGGGCGACGACGAAGACGGAGCACCGGCGCCGGAGAAGAAGGCATCGCCAGAGGCCGACACCGCCATGGCTGATGGGTCTGACGATGAATGATTGGCGGCCCGCAAGGCATGAATACTGATTACACTAGTATGAGCATGGCATCAATTTGAATACGTCATGATCACTCGTGTCCGAGTCCGTTCTGAGATATCCGAAGTGTGCATAGATGCCGTGACGGGACCAGACCAACACCAGAGATGCGACGAACAGTTTCCGACACTTGACGGGACACTCTTTATGCGATCGTATGCAGTGGTATTTCCAGATGGCATTTCGAGAAGCCATTTCTCTCATTCAAAGTCACAGCCCATACTGAGAGAGAATCACGGGCTAGAATGCAGGAGCAGGCCCGTCCTACATGTGCATAGACATGATCTTGCATGGTTTCAAGTGGGAGGGGCGCATTACACAATGTTCATGTAGAATTGTCTGCAGAGCACAGCGTTTCCCGTGACAGGCCGGCGGTAGTGGAGTCGAAGATCACCCGAGCGACAGAGCAGGCATGACCTGCATATCGGGGGGACATGCAAAGCCTAAATTCCGCAGCCCCAGCACAGCGGCCCAGGGAGGGGAGCGGCGGGAGGAGCGGGTACGACCAATGGGAAGGGGTGCATCAGGGATGGGCAAAGGAGCGCGACCCCAGCTCTTTGGCATTCCCAGCCCTCTTGTGCTTGGATGGGGTGTGTATTTCTTGGACGCGAGAGCCCGCAATTCGAATCCAGCCCCCTACCCCCGTCGTCCCGCCCATCCGCCCTCTTTTCCACGGCAACCAGCAACCAGCGCCCGAGGCAAGGCAAGTTCAGGCAAGGTCAAGCAGCAACAACAACCTGCAAAGCCGGCCCCAGCCCAGCCAGCTCTTTTGCAGCTTGTCGCCTGGCCCATGTCCCCATCGCAACGTCAGATCTAGACGTTGGTTTGCCCAGCCGAGGCGGACAGGGGAATAAACACACTCACACTCGCTCGCTCTGTGTGTCCCGACCCTCGCTTTTCTCACGGTCTTTGTTGCGTGCACTCGTGACGTTAGTACGCAGACAGCATCTCCAGCCAGCCGAATCTGCATCCATCAAACCAGAAGCAGCATCTCGCATCTCGCATCTGACTACTCGCACCACCTGCACCAACTTGTGCACCCGCACCGAGTACCCGCACCCGCTCGCCTCCCGCCCTCGTATTCCTCCCCCCCCAGGCCCCCCGGCTCGTATTATTGTCACCACGGGCCCACGACTCCCATTCGAACCTCGGACTCCACTACCGCCCTCGTTCGACGACGACACAAGGCGGACAGCCGACTGGTTTTAAACGTTTCTGGCCTCAAGTACTTCGTGACGTACACGGTTCCAGACGTGGTTCGCGGAAGGCGCTAGAACAGGGGCACTTGGAAATTGAGGGAAGGCGCGCCAAGGGGCAGGATTGAATCGGGTCTGGATTGAAGATTGCGAGACCCCTCGCCTTGACGACATTCTTTTCAAGAACCGGAGCATCGAGCATCGAGCACCGAGCACCACTGCGACGCGACCCGACGATCTCCACGCCGACCAGGCGCCAGACCGACAGGATGCCTTTCGGCGACTTCACATCCTTCTGCCACACGGCACCGCTGCCTTTGTGCGCAGCCGTCGGCCCAATCACCTCCATACACAGTGGTGTCGGCATCGAGACGAACTGTTATGCCCGCAACATCGAGCTGGCCAACACCATCATCTTCCAGATGGCTACGAGTGCCATACACATTGTCGCACTGGCCATGACCGTTATCATGATCCTCCACGTGCGCGGCAAGTTCACTGCTGTTGGTATGTCTCCCACCCGCCCGGAATGATCGATGCCCCTTCTTCTCGTTGCTGGAAGACTGACCACGCTCGCCTACAGGCCGAAAGGAGATCATCAACTGCTTCTACATCTACATGCTCTTGACGTTCATCTCCTTATGCGTCGATGCCGGTGTTGTTCCACCAGGCTCTGGCCCGTACCCTTACTTCGTCGCAGTGCAAAACGGCCTCTCGTCCGCCCTCATCACCTGCCTGATGATCAACGGCTTCGTCGGTTTCCAACTATACGAGGACGGCACGCCGCTTTCACTGTGGATGCTGAGGTTGTCGTGTCTCGTCGCCTTTGCCATATCCTTCCTGGTGTCTCTGGCAACCTTCAAAAGCTGGGCAGGCCTGGGACCGACCAATACCGTGGGGCTGTTTGTGGTGCTGTACCTTCTGAACGGGGTGCAGCTACTCATATATCTGGCGATGCAGATAATATTGGTCACCCAGACGTTGCAGGATCGCTGGCCGTTGGGAGACATTGCCTTTGGTGTCTTCTTCTTCGTGGTTGGCCAGGTCATACTGTACGTCTTCAGCGACAAGATTTGCGACGCCGTGAGCCACTACGTGGATGGCCTGTTCTTTGCCACCATCTGCAACCTATTGGGCGTTATGATGGTCTACAAGGTATGTGACGGCCCGCTCACCCGCCTCACGCACCGCGTGCTGCCCCGTGCCAAAGAGACTTTACTAACAGGCTGGTTTGTAGTACTGGGACTCCATCACAAAGGAAGACCTCGAATTCTCGGTTGGCACTAGGATGAATAACTGGGAGGTCAAGGAGCTGCTGCCCGAGGAGGAGCGTCGCGGCACTGTCTACATGGACGACCCATACGCCCAATCGAGCACATACGACCAGGGATATTCACCATCACCCAACGCGACCGCACACCGTCACTCTTCAAAATACTAGGATTCCCATGCCGGCGGGAATGAGACATGAGGGCCAGTACGGCTGGAGACGACTAGGGCAATATAATAAGTGGTGGAACCGAAGTGGGCCACAGAATTCGAAAGCCCCGTCTCGTTCACATGAGGCGACGACTACCATGCGGCCTCGAGTCACAAAACACTCGGGCGATTCCAAAGGTCACATTATCCAGCAGTGACTTTTTTTTTCCGAAAGGGGTTCAAAGGCGTTCCAAGGTTAGCGAAGATGGGAAAGCGGTGTGCATTAAGCAGCCGAACAGGACTGCACTGGCATGGAGTGGCTTGTGATTTGGGTGGTCCAAGAGGCTGTTGTTCTAGTAATAAAAAACTAATCATATATAATTCCGAGCCTAAATCCAAAATGCTCATCCATGTGCGATGCACTCCCTGGGATTACGTGGCGCGTTTTGGGGACCCCGGCACCAGAAGATGTGAGGTCGATTGTGGTATGGTGGGGAGGGGGGTGGATGTAGAGAGGGGGAATAGGGAGATGGATGAATGGACAGTATTGGCGTCGCGGATCGAAGCTTGGTTTTCTGTGCGGTCTCGGATGGGACGGGCATTTAGACATGGATGAGAATGGGCGGGAGGGCCTGATACAACCGAATGGGTCCTGAAAAAGGGCTAAGGATTACGGAATGATAGAGTAAAGCAAAAAGGGAAGCAAAATAGAGAGAGGGCGAGCCTCTGTCAACTATCACGGTCAGGGGGCCGGGCAGGCCGGGGCATGCTCCTCCCCCATACATTGCCTTAGGGTAGGCACTCAAGCTGGTTAGATAGCCGATTTGATGATAAAAGTACGCTACCAAGAAAAGAAGACCTAGACAGCGAGTAAGTAGGCAATGGTCTGTGTTTCGAAATGCCGTCCTTGTCCCTTCAGGCTATAGGCAAACGGAGAGGGCTTTGGCTTAGGGCCGATAGTGTGACTCTACTGTTGCGGATCAAGCCTGGGAGAAGGTCTAGATGATTCACTAGTAGCTGAAGGGGGGTTTTGATTTTTTTGGCCTCTCATGCTATCTCTCTCTCTCTCTCCCTCCCTCCCTCTATGATGACCATTTCTTATCTCGGTTGCACTGGGTGTTGGTGTGGAACGGTTGGTTCAAAGGATTGAAGAGGATGGGCGGAGGCTGGGAGGATGGGAGGGATGGATTGTTGGTAATGAACAAATGCAGATGCAAGCAACAAAGTCCCTATGCACAGGATGTCAAGTGAGAGAAATGCATGTTGGCTGGCTGACAGACAGAGAGACGGACAGGGGGGGCTTGGGTGCGAGGGCTTTCATTATAGCCGTGCACAACAGCACAGGGAGCCGGGGCAGGCTACGTGCTCACCTAGGTGGGTAGAACAGACAGCAGCAAAAGTGATAGTTAATAAGAGCCACTATAGTGAGATGCATGTGGGTGAGGATGGTTTTAGGCCCGAGACAAGCCCTGGTGCTGTGTACCCATAGTATTCTAGTTTGACCCATCGGGTCACAGAACCCTCTTGTCCCGAGGTTTGGCTGCTTTAATTCTGTGCGCAAGTGTGCGTGTGCATGTGTGCTGCTGATCAGACGAAAAGGAGAGCTGGGACAGGACTGTACCGAGGGCACGGGCCCTCTCTCTTTCTCTCTCTGTGTGTGTGTGCCCTATATTCATGCCTCTCCCTACTCTAGTCAGGGGCATTTGGGTTGCGTGTGTCTGTCTGTCTGTTGCATCTATGCCGTGCACAAAATACAGAAAAAGAGGATTCGACGATGGATGACGATACATGCTGCAGCTACTCCGTGCTTGGCCGCAGGTGGTACCAGGGTGTCAGGGTCTGCAGTTGGGAAGGCAAGATAGTCCCCAGGAGGCCCCACCCCTTGGGCCCAAAAAGGCCCCGAGCCACCCAAGTATAGCCACATGGGCCGAGTCCTTTCCCAGGTTTGCACTGTAATAAATGACCAACCCACGGGACCGCAGGACCGACTGATGATTCCCTGACTAACTACCTAACCGGGTATCCGTACAGTACTGTGTACTCCATACAACAGCACTTTGCCGTTTGTGCTGCTGGTTGCGGACCCACCTAGTCCAGCTGCTATCTTGAGAAATCCGTTCCATCTGTTGGTCCCAGTATTATTAGCTTCCCTAAGCCCCGAAATTCATCTTTGCCAACGCCCAGTGCCGGCCGTCCAGCATCCGGCCCAGTAGGTGGTGGTGACATGTGCGCCCAGAGCGAAAGCGCTGCCGTTTGCGCAAAATAATACTTAACAAACTAGTTGCCCTTGCCCTTGCCCTTGCCCTTGCCCAGGGGTGTCTGGAAGGTCTGCAGATGGAATTCACCTTGCTGCTGCAACCTGCCCATCCCGTAACCGTTTGCTCAGGTACCAAGGCAGGCTGTTGCTAGTGAATGACTGGCTGTCTGTCTGTCTGTCTGACGACTGACTGAGTGACCCGACGACCTGGCTGGGGGAAATGACCTATCTACCTTACTTTCCCTGGTTGACCAACTTAGTTGATACTCGACGACCCAAGGTCCAACAAGGCCCAAAAATACTTCTGCCTACCTATCTCAGACGTCCCGTCATCCCTCCCCGTCCTTTCCTCCCTGGTCATCTTGGACATACTTTGTCCTACTACATTTCCTATCTATCTGCCCACTGTCAACCCACGGACGCCATTCTACTACAACAACTACTACCATACCACCACCACCACCACATCCCAACGCCATCTTCTACATCCACATCAACCTAACCACAACCTCAACAACGTCAGTGGCGTTTGCTGGCGTGTACTTGGGTGTGCCTGAGCGTGTACATGCGTTTGTGTGCCACTGGGTGAGTACGTGCGAGACAGAAGTGTGAGTGCTTGTGCATCCTTTTGAATTTTCCCCTTTTTGATACTCGCAACCACGGCCTGCACCGACATACAGAATCCACATCCCACATCCCACATCCCACCACACACACCTGCATCACCTTGGACCTACATCTGCAAGCCGCAATCGCCGCTGCAACCCTGGCCGCCCTACCTAGCCTTCCTGCGCTGGCACTGCACCACCACCGCAGTACCCCAATACCACGACCGGTCTATTTCCATCCATCCACTCAATCCACCCACCCCCAGGCAAAATACTCACTACGTCTAACGGCACGTCAGCTTGAGTCGTGTCTCGCGTGCCCGTCGACAATCTCGGTCAGTACTGCATTGCTGCTTCCTACCTGCCGTTTGCTGCATTGCCCAAACCCAGCCAGCCCGCTGCGTCAGCGCATGAATATTCGACCATGCTAAGCCCAGCACACTCTCTGCCCTTCGCTTCTCACTCGCTTTACTTGCCTGTCGCTGACTTCCCGGAGCTTCGCAGACCCGCCCCTGTCCGTCCGTCCTTCTCGCCGAACAGTCGTCACGAACGTCTAAACAACCTTTTGATCTCCGTCAAACCATACTAGGTAGACACCCCCCGTCTCTCATCAACCCCCCCACTGGCACCATCCCTCCTCTCAGAAGACATCCCCCCTTCCTTCAAACCCAACATTGGAACTGCCCTTCTCTACCTAGTATAATCGGCCGAGAGACTATTCTTATTACATGCTACATGTTACATGCTTTACTTTCTTTCCCATATTGCCTGCCCTGCCCCGTCCTGCCTGCCCTTCCGCCCCGCCCGACCTGTTTTAAAATACGCAATGCTTTTATTTTCTTACCAGTAAACGACCTAGTCTGACACTCACATCAGCTCTTTCATTTCCCCCCGATGAAACCGAATCCGCTCAACTAAGCGACCGACTTATTAATTCCGTCTCGTACCACCGACCATCATCCCTCTCATCGTCACCACCCCTGCCGACCACAGCATTCGTCGCTGCTTTTCTTCATTGTTCTCTTCTTTGTTTTGCGCAAACCCCACCACAGATTTACTCTTCTCCACCTGTCCGTCGTTCGGGGTCTACTCTACGCAGTTGCGTGCATAGCCCGTCACTTGACGTTCGTCCCATGTTCACCTGTAAGTCTCTGCCTGGACTAAACACCCCCCACAGACACACCCCTCTAGCTTTTTTTTTCTGGGCTGTGCATTGCTGATACTCATCCAGGCATGATATCTTGTGACTGGTCTGCAGAGTAGGAACAGACCCCGGCAGAGCGAGAGCTAGGAGGAAAGGGCTACATTTTGAGAGTACCTTTGCCAAGTGCAAACATCGGCCAAGTCTCGCATGAACAACCTGCAGGCAAGCTGAATGGGATCAGCCATGGCGGACAACGATGTCCAGGACTGGGCCGAGATCGAGGCCAGCTATTGGTCCAACACGATCAAGAACCGGGCCGAAGAGGACCGGGTGATGGTTGGCAAATTCGAGGACAAGACCGGGCCTATGAGGCGCCAGCTTGCCCTGCTGTTTGACCAGCGGGAAGAACTTACAAAACAGCTCCAGGACGTCAAGAGGAAGTGCGACCATGTGGAGGCCGACCTCGACGGCGTTTCTCTCCAATTCGAAGAGGCAAAGCAGATCATGGCAGCCGACCGGGAGCGCAAGGACGAGAGCGCGCGTGCCTGGTTCAATTACAACAAGGCCCGGACTGCGCAACCCCAGCCTCAACAGAACGGCACAGGCCCGCGGCAGAACGGATACGCCAAGACCAAGGGGATGAGAGAAGGCATCGCTACAGGTCCCCGGGCCAGTTGCGAGACGCCCGATCGGGGAGGATTCACGACCGTCAACGAGAACGGCAACGGCAACGGCCACGTCGACAAGCCTGCGTCGGATAACAGCTCGCCGCTGTCGGAGCCACCAGATGTGTCGCCACCGGACAACAAGGCCCTGGCGGGCGCCGAGATCTACGACTTCGAGGGCAACCGCGTCCACAGCGTCAAGCGCATGTACCGCGAGAACAAGTTCATCCGCCAGATGATGCAGATCCCCATCCAGCGCCACGCTGTCGTGCGTCCTGGCCGCAAGTTCACTCAGGAGACCATTGATAGCATCTATGAGCCGAGTGACGCCAAGGGAGCGAAGTGGCTGAGTTGCATGATCCAGGCAACTGGCGAGGAGCAAGAAACCCCTTGCACGTCTTGTGTGAACCGGGCGGGGACCTGGGTTGGCTGCGTCATTGTTGGTGGTGAGGACTTCCCGCGATGTGCCAACTGCGAGTGGAACCGGCAGGGATGCACAGGCTCGTCCTATCACCAGATACGTTCACGGGATGACGACCTGCCGCAGATGGCCCGGAACGACCACAACTCGCCATTCCTGGGAGACCACTCCATACTGCCCTCTCGTGAGGGAAGCTCTTTCGGCGGATTTACCCCCGTCAACAGTGGCCTCTACAGGCCTGCCGGAGCAGACGCTTTCGATGGCTCATCGAGCGTGCCGTCCAGGCGCAAGTCTCTTCCGAGCAAGAAGGGCGGCAGGAAGTCACTCCCGAACATGGCGATCAGGCACAAGGAGGACGGTGAGCCGATGGAAGACCCGATTTTGGGCCGCGAGGAGGCACAGTCTGTGGAGCCCGTCGATCCGGGTCCTGTGATTTCTATGGAGACTCTCGTCCTGCGAGACAATGGCGTCGAGTTCACAGAACCCGAAATCATGCGCGGCGTTCCGCTTGAGCGCATTACCCCAGAACACCCCTACTGGGATCCCAAGTGGGAGGTCCTGGATCAGGTCACTCAGCAGAAGCTGGATAGCTGGAGGCGGAAGCTCGAGGAATGTCTGGCTCTTAACAAGAACCGCTTTCTGGCTGGTAGGCAAGTCAACCGCGGAAACACTATCATGACATTCCTCCAGAAGACCGACTTCCACCCCTACCAGCTCGTCGGTAAGAAGTGGATCACCAAGGGCCTTATGAGCTACGACACTATTTTCCGCCTGGCCCAGGTGATTGAAGAGCTCCCCAAACTTGGGGTTGATGTGACGCCTGTCGCGTGGGTCCGGCAGCGGATGCACGAGCTCTACATGGAGCAGGGCGAGGAATTCAGCCTGGCCAAGACGGTCCACGAGCTCTACCACGACCCCAAGCTGAGAGCCCTTCGAACCAAGGCCGGTGTGGGCAACATTGGGCGACCCTCAGGAGTCAAGAAGGGCATGACCTCAAAGGAGCCAAAGGCACCAAAGGCCAAGGGTCATGACAAGGACCCCGCCAACGGAACCCCCTACAAGAAGCGCAGACGCCAGTCCAGTGGGAGCCTGAAGCACGAGCTCAAGCAGGAAGAGCAGACCACTCCTACGATGTCGCCGCGCAGCGCCAAGAAGCAACGACCTGACAGCAGACCTCAATCGTCGGGCAAGCAAGACACGGAGCCGGTTGCCGCAGCCTCGCCTTCCCTCGCTTCTTACCCCCCAAGCGCCCCTGCTGGCGTCACCCAGGGTCTAAAGCCGACCGAGGGCGAGTTGGCTTATGACGGGTACACTTCCACGGACTCGTTCAGTGGCGACCACATAATGCAGATCGACTTCCGTGTCTCACAGCTCAAGACGACGCAGCACACCACCAACATCAGCCACACGCAGTACTGGCACTGGGTCAGTGACAAGGCCAAACCATACTTTGAGCACCAGGTGCTGCGCACGGTAGAGCCCGCAGCGTCGTGGGGTGTGTACAAGGAGCCGCTGGACTTCCACTTGCGACTGCATGAGCTTGATTATGTCGAATACTCCCTTGAGCCCGGCAGAGACTGCACCAAGATCGTTGTCCACACCAAACCTGCCGCTAAACTGGAGTACCGTGGTATCGTGATGGCGTACTTCAAGCGGCAGAGGACTGTGAAGCGGTTCCTGGGCTTTATACAGAAGAAGGGTGTCCCGCTGGTGAAGCGGCCTGCGTAAGTGCAAGCTTGCCCTTCGATTCTACTACTATTGATGTGTTGGGATGATGTTGGGCTGACTTGTGGTGACAATAGTGATTACATCGAGCAGCAGTGGGCTAGCATCGAATCCACTGTTCTTCCCCGAAGCGAGGACGAAGAGTAGATGCTCCCCGACCCACGAACTCTTGATACGTCACCTATTTTCACTCAACTTCATGTGGTCAATCACCACTAGAGATGAACAATACCAGAGTTATAGCGACATTTGTCGTACTTCTGGCAGGTGCTGCCAAACTTCCGAACGACTTCCATTGTCCGAGGACGGCCCTGCTCAATTCGACCGAGCCTGCACATATCAGACCGACTCTGGGAGTGGCACGAGCCAGCTAGCTCGTGTACATGTTCTTGAAAAGCCTTTTAATACATCCGTCAGATAGAGGCGGCACACACACCATCACTAAATATATTCTTTTGTCTTTTCGTTGGGAAGGGCCACGTCTTTAGTGGTTCCTAAACCTCATCATGATGAGAGACTTCCCCTACTACAAAATTCAAAGAGGGGAAAAGGAAGGGAAAGAAAATTTCTGGTGCGGAAGGGGCGTTTTGGAAGGGGGGCTCATTCATGGACAGGGTGGAATGCATCTTCTCGTGAGGGACAGGAGTTTGGGGTGTGGTGCACACTTTTTTCGGGCCCAGTTGTGCCCTACTTTCTTCATTTCTTTAGGTACACCACTTTGGCCCTTTGTCCTCAGTCATCTTCCGGGATAAGGAAACCTACCGGAACATTTGATCCATGAGTGGGGGTTGGCGATAGGACTTGCATTTTCTGGCTCGGTGCGTTTGGCATCTTTCTATTGCCTGGCAAGGCTTTTTCCACGTGGGGACTCTGGCGTGCCCGGCTTGGGGGCTTAGGTTCATACTGTTTCAGGTAGACCCTCATAGATCCATTAATTCTTGCATGAATTGAGAAGAACAAGGGAAGAGAAGCGTTCCTTTTTTCAGTCAACATCTGTTGTGGTTCCTTGTACTTGCCCAGGTAGAATGATGTACTTGCTTTAGATTTCGGGGCAGCCGTGGACTTCTCACTGTACCTGAATATTTGTGACCCAACCTAGCTCTTGGATTTTGAACTCTACAGATCTGTGTTTCTCCGGCCTTGAATGCTGTTGGACCCTGTTGCTTTCAAGCATACCAAAGCGTGTAAGGTTACAGTGTAGGTCTACCTACTAGTAGGGCAGGCCTTACACGGACCAGCTTGCCAGGGTTCGGCACGGCCCACCCAGAGTCTGCCAGCGGCAGGTTCCGCCGCTTGGCCCCGTTCGCCTGCCGGGCAGGCATTTGCGACGACGGACGCAAGAGCATCTACAATTATTTTGCCCTACCAAAGCATTCTCCAGCTGCCGTCAGTCATCGATGCCGCCGCATCGCAAACCGCCACAATGCTGTATGAGATGATTGGAATAGTGAGATAACCCCCCCCCCCATTGCCTGCCCTGAGCTGCTGGAAAACGTTCCAAACAAATTGCCGTGGACAATTTTGCTGACGCCCGACCACAGGTACGACCCGGCAACGTCGCCGAGGTCAAAGAGTATGCGCCCTCTCCTTCTTCCTTCCTCCTCCCCTCGCTCCCCATTCCCTTCGGATAAAAGGACGAAACGAACAGAAAACACCCGGCAAGAACATGAACCTAACACACGCGCGCGCGAACAGGATCGTCCTCACCGTGGGCCAGCTGGTCCTCCGCAACGGCGGCGTGGTGCGGTCGGTGGACAACTGGGGCGTGTTCGCGCTGCCGCGGGCCATATCCAAGGCGCAGAAGCTGCACCACAACGGGCACTACTTTGCGATGCGGTACGACGCGTCCACCAAGGCGCAGGGCATCATCCGCAGCACCATGAACCTCGACGTGCGCGTCATCCGGGCGACCAACGTCAAGCTCGGGGACGGCAAGCTCGACTCGCTCAGCCGGTTCGGGCAGATCAGCTGGACGAACTCTGCGCAGTAAGGGGGTGGGTGTGGCTGTGGGGGCAAGAATTGTGTCGTGTCTCCCGGGACGGGGGGCGAGGCAGAGGCGCTCGACCAAGCGTTGGGAGAGGAGGATAGATTGTGGGGCCGGACGGCGAGAACCGCCGCGAGATTCGAGGACCACCATGATATATGGGTGTGTTGAGACCCTGGGCTGGGGGAAACGGCAACAGCATGGGAAAATGCACATGTGGAATAGATGGCAGCTAGAAGGGCTGGCAGAGCGAGATACCCTGTCTACCAGTGTATGATATTCCGGATCAAAGGCTCTAGAGGAGGCCAGAACCTAGCCATGCAACTCTATGAGATGAGAGTGCAGAGAGAGACTGGCATTACGGCAACACAGCTTTATTAGACCAGAGGATACACACACATACCGACATATCGTGCCCAAATTGCTCTCATTCTTGATGCATGTGTCCACTCAAGCTCTTGTGCAAATTGATCTCGCCCATGCTCTGCTCTGGACACTTTCAGTGACTGATATTGTAGAGACTAGCTTAAGAGAAGTGTCGTGGATCTTTATCATTCCACCTCTTAGACCCTCAACACAGTTTTGCTGTATATAATGGCCGCTTCTTATCAGCATCAAGATTTTTCATTTTGATTGGTTTAAATGTGAAGCCTGTTAACAGCTTGAATATTGGAAACAAAGATGAATTCCTGTGTAATTTGTTTGGAAAAAGTCACCCTAAGACTAAGCCTATTATAATCTGAATGAACCTCAACATTACTGTTGGCTCACGGCCCAAGCTCGAGAACCCCGGCAAACACCTTGGAGGCTTTGCCGTGTGGCGCCCCACCTAGGATACCCCACCATCGCATCAGCCTTGTCGTCACTGTCCATTGCGTGCCCAGGACATTCTTCGAATCTATTAGACTCGGCTTTATCTCATGCTACAGTTCCACCTATCGACCTATCTCCCCGTATACATCTCCCACACTGCCCCCTCCGGCGACCCGGGCAGCACCTGCGCACAAGAGAAGCCTCCTCCTGTCTCGAGTTCCGCCGGCCGTAGCAAGCCTGTCCTCCCTCGCGGCCCCCCCTCTCTGATCGACCTTCTCGTAACCTCAAGGCGGGAGACGGCTCCGAAAAGTCGGCCCGACCCCTGGCACACGACGACACCTCTACTACCAGCCGACCACCCCCCTCTGGTTCTCCGAGATGCCTCCTCTCAACAGCGCTCAGAAGGCGCTCGTTGCGCAGTTTGTTGCAGCTACGGGGGCCAACGAGAAGACTGCACAACGGGTATGTTCACATTGCCTCTGCCGGTGTATATATCCCTTCACACATGTCACCCGTCGCCGATACCGTCGCCGTTGCCATTGCCATCCGACCTTGTTCTATCCCGAGCCCTTACACCGCCCTGGCGAGAGACCCTTGTGTTCCCGTCGTAGCTGTCGTCTGCACATCACTCACGGCTCCCACCTCTATGCCCAGGACCATGTGCTGATTTCTTGGATCCAACAGTTCCTGAAGAATGCCAACTACCGGTTGGATCTTGCTGCCGATACGTAAGTTCTAGGTCGATTTGCCTTGACGACGTTTCTTCGCATTTGCTTCACTGCCCTGCGGGTTGTATGAGAGACTGCTGCCTGGCCACCTTGGTATACTCGACTGTTTGCTTCCAAGGCCCTATCGACTCGATACATATACTCGACCAAAGTTTGCCCTGGCCACTGTCTGGACAAAGGTCAGCAGGTGTTAATACATGTGATTCCCTGACAATCCGAGGAAGTTTGGAAGGAGAGCCCGACAGGTGGCGCTAGTGCACACCGGTGTGCTTTCGCTTTTGTTTTGTCCTTGGGATTTGATGCTGCACCACATCAACACACATCGAGGCGACATCCTGCTAGCTCCAACCCAAAGACCTTGGGGCATACTTTAGGGCCAAATCTTTCATTGCCCTATAAAATTTTGGTAGTGGCATGTGCCAAAATGTTCAGGAAGCTTGTGGACAAAATCAAGCGCCGGGACAAGAAGCTGCGTGGAAGTGACCACACTCAACCCGAGCCTACACCCCCCTTACCCTCGCCCTCGCCCTCGACACCCCCCACAGCATCCACCTCAACACTTGCCGCAGCATCTCTCGCAGCACCTTCCACAGCCAAGGAGCAATCAAATACCCCCGAAATCATGGCCAAGCGAAAGCGAGGTGCCCAAGGTTCCAGGAACACTGCACGGTATGCCAAGTCAGAGAGCAGCTGACGCCACCACGAAATCCCCATCCCATCTTGCAGCACTCTTCATCAAGTCACAAACAAGTACCATTACAGAACAACAGATATGGAGGCCATGGTGGCAGCCATGTCGAAACTGTTTGCACTGCCCTGTGTTTTCTCACCGTCATTCCAACGGGCCTTGGCTAACCCTGGCTTGTTTACAGCTATCTCAGCAGTGGTGGCGGCGTGGATAGTGGACGTGTCGCGGCCATCGAGAAGGCGTACGATGACCTCGTTACGCCCGCTCGGGGCGACACCAAGGAGTCGCTCTCCGCCGAGACCACGCAGGAGTACCTCGAGGCCCTTGGCGTCAACATGGAGAACGCCGAGCAGTTCGTCGTCATGGAGCTGGTCCAGTCCCCTAGCATAGGCGAGATCACCCGCAACGGCTTCGTCAGCGGCTGGTCTGCTACCGACCTGACCACCTTTGGCAAGACCGCGCAGAAGAACCACGTCCGGCGCCTCATCAACCAGCTCTCCTCCGACCCTGCCCTCTTCAAGAAGGTCTACCGCCACTCCTTCATCGCCGGCAAGGAGGCCAGCCAGAAGGCCATCCCCCTAGAGCACGCCCTCGTCTACTGGCAGCTGCTCTTCGCCCCGCCCGGCCGCCCCTGGCAGTCCGCCAGCCGCGACTGGGCCAAGCTGTGGGAGGCCTTCCTCAACGAGAAGTGGACCCGCTCCGTCAACAAGGACATGTGGAACATGACCCTCGAGTTCGCCAACAAGTCCATCGACGACGAGGACTTGACTTTTTACAGCGAGGAGGACTCGTGGCCCGCCGTCATCGACGAGTTCGTGACCTGGTACCGCAAGCAGGAACCGTCCGAGGCCATGGAGGTTAACTAGCTCGGTGGGCCCTGACGAAATCCTAGCAGCATGCTACCCACGACTACGCTGGCATGGGTTTTGGGGGACGTTCAGTATGGTCACTGGTATCATATTCTCGCGTGGGGTCCTTCCGCCATTGGGGCGGAAAAATTACCCGCAAATGCTCTCGGATTAGAAGTCAGTCAAGTGAGCATAAACTTTCAGGGATGTCAAGTCCGGCAAGAAGGTGGAGAAGAGACTTGAAGAACTCATTGAGCGACGGCGTAATAGGTTTCACGGCTTGCGAAGTTGCTTGGTCGTTATCCAGAAATACACAGCCGCATCGCAGATTAGTGTACCTAGGTACCTTGCCGAAAGGAGCATTTATCGGAAAAAGGCATATTTCTCGCAGGGCAGAGAGGCCCACGCGCCGTCTGGGGCAGGGACTGACTGGATGGGGAATTGGCTGAGCTGGTCTGGCAGACAAAGGTCTCTATGTACTTCTAGCCCCCCACCATTTTACAAAGGACCCACCCAGCTCGTAAATGCCAAAAGATATGCCTTATTATCACTTCGATTTTTTAATCACCCGCAATAGTCCAAGGCAGCAGCATGATCTATCCACTCTGGTGGTGAACTTAAAATAAGACTGGAGACACCAAGGTCAAGAAGGGTAATCGACGAACCGGCCGTGGTCATACGGTTATGGAGACCATGTGCCAGGAGCAACACAATGAATGAGTGGGTATCGATCGCTATGGAATCGGCACTCTCTGCTAGGTCATACGTGCCCTCGACAACAAAATATACAGCACTATACATTTCGGGACACATACTTCTCTCCCACACCCCCCCCCCCAATTCACCCAATCAACCTTCTGCTCCTTGCCGTCGCCATGCAGTGAAATCTGTGCACGCCTCGGTAGCTTCTTTGTTATCGTCTTTGCCCATCATCTCGTGGCCAGTTCCAGCTTCCTTCCATTCCCAGCCTAGCCGTCGCGGACGTTATATACCATCTGATCGAAACATTAAGCATGCCTCGTTCCACATTCGACAGGCTCGTATAGCTGACGACGAATACGCCCCCGCCCCCTAAACCTGCCTAAAACCATAACGTCCCCGCGTCCTTAGTCTCCCAGGGGCATGCCCTCAAGCTCGTCGAGGAGCCGGCGCCAGTTATCCGCCAGCATCTCCGCGTACTTGACGCGCTCCTGGGCCCAGTCCTGGTTCCACCGCGAGATGTGGTACTGCGTGGACTGGAAGGTGATGAGCTCGTCGCGGATGCACTCCTTGACGAAGACGGAGCGGTTGTGCTGGCTGACAATCGACTCCTTGTCCTTTTTTTGTGAGGGGTTCAATGTTAGCATTCATCCTGATACGTTGGGAGGAGGGGGCCAATTTTGGGCTTACCTTGATAATGGCCTCCACGACCCTCTCAATCTCACCAGGCTTGATCAGGCCGTCAGGCTTGGCCCTCAGGTTCGCCAGCTTCGTCTCGTTGTTGTCGATTCGCCGCTCCAGGGCGGGGATGTTGTCCCGGTCCAGGCGCTCCCGCCGGTCAAACAGGTCCCGCACGCTGACCAGCGCGTCGCGCTGCCTCTTGAGGTCCTCCAGCACGCCCGCGTCCCACGCGCGGGCCTCGTCCTCCATGAGGGTCTGCGACGTACGCAGGTGCTTGCTCATGGCGATCAGGCCGTCGTTGACCAGCGGCACCTCGTTCGTGTCGGTGGCGTACGTGTCGGCGGTGGCCTCGGTCAGGGACGTCAGCGAGAGGGCCATCCGCGCGTGGTCGGCCGCGACGCCCTCGCCGCGCTTGACGAGCCGGTCCATGACGTTACAGACGCCGATGTACAGCTCGGCGCTGCGCCGCACGCCGGAGCGCGTGCGCTGGAAGAGCTCCTCGAGCTCGGCGGGGAGGGAGTCCTCCAGCCCCGGCGGGAGGGCGCGGCCGGCGAACTCGTCCTGCACGGAGATGGAGGACTGCTTGCGCCAGACGGCGAGCTCGGTAGGCACCGTCAGGAACATGATGACCAGCTGCTCCTGGCTGAGGATCGGGTGCCTGCAGACTGCGTTGAGGAAACGGGCGAGGCCGCGGCGTCGTTTCTCGATAAAGGCACCATCGTTGGACAAGTGGTTGCCATTGACTGCTGGGGGGTCAGCTTCGAGTGCTTGAATATGTGTTATCTGCAGGTCCAGGGAGACTGTACTCACCGGCAACCCTCTTTGGAGGGAGCAGGGGCAGCACCCTGAAGGGATACCTCTTGTGCAAGCAGTCCAACAGCCATACGAAGTCACTGTATCTTCGGATGACCTTGCTTCCCCTCCTGGCGCTCACTACCTCATAGTTGTGGTGTTGGAACATGAACATGCCCTCTTTCTCGGGCAGCAGGTTCACAACAATGTGCTCCTCGACGCCGCTGCCTGTCCTGCCACTGCCTATCATCCTATTCGAGATAGGACCAGGCCGTTGTTCGCCATGCTCCCTGGCCACGCCGATACCCGCAGGCGCCCCGAAGGGACTCGTCACGGGGTTCGATGCCGCGGGGGTGCCGCCAAAGAAATCACCAGAGCCCCAGCCGACGCCTGGAGAGGCGGCCGGCGGGAAGGATTCCTGACGCGTCGGGGCGGGCTCGGGCTCTCCTACAGACTCGATGGAAGCTGTGGTGAAGGTAGAGGTGGTGCGGGCGGGCGGCCCAGTGGGCTCGGGGGTCCCAATGCTATCGCCATGGCCATTTAACGGTGGGCTCTGTACAGCTTGCTGCTGGGGGACGTGGGTGGTCGGAGGTTCGGGCTCCTGTGCGTGTTTATGGTGCTTGTGAACATCGGGGCTGTTCCAGGGATCATCTGAGTATTCCATTGACGGCTGTGTAGGTGCTATATCCTTGGCTGGTGGAGTTATCGGCCGCTGTGGGGGCTTCGCGGCGAGCACACTGGGTTGAGCAGCAGCAAAAGGTCCTGCTGCAGGTGATGCTGTGATGCCTGGGAGATTTGGGACTGGGAGGTCTAGTACGACGGGGTAAGGACTGTTAGCAAAGAAAATGACGATGGAAAACACGAAAGCAGGCCGTAAACACTCAAGCACGTAAGGTGCGTGTCGTCAGGTAGGGTCAGGCAGGCAGGGCACACTGCAGGCGCCGATTGGGACGCCCCACAGGAGCTCTGGGGACTTTTGAGCACTGGAGATGGTGGATGGGTAGTCGGGGGCCGGGCGGGCCAATTGACAACTCAGCCCAGGCGAACAGCGCATCCACCTGCAGGAGACGGCGCCATTGGCGGTCACAGATAAGAGATAAAGGCCTCGTTGATGGAGGCTGCGGACCGCGGTACAGGCGCTTGCGCGAAAGCAGTGTGGGTAGGCATTGTGTGGGCTTGACTGATGGAAAAAGGATGGATGGATGGACGGATGGACCGAGGCACTCACTTCGTCGGCGTTCGTCAATGCCGTCCAGGCTGATGGTCTCACGCTCCTGGGCGAGCCCGACGAGGCCCAGCAAGACGTTGAACTCGTTCCTCCCAAGGGCCACCTCCCCGCCGCCCGGCGCAATCACTCGCATTATTCTGCCCTGGTCGTCCGCGCCGATCTTGGCGGCGGCGAGGACGCGCAGGACGCCCCCAGACGTGACCTTGCCGCCGCTGCCATCGTCCCGCACGACGCTGTCAAAGGTCTCGATGTAGCTATCCGGCACGTCCGAGGCAGGCAGGAGGTTGCGCAGGATGTCGGCCCGGGAGTGCTGCTTGCGCGGCGTGGGCATGTCCCACGGCGACGCCGTCCCGCTGCCGGCCACGTCGTCGTCCTGGAAGATCGAGTTCGAATTGGACGGGTTGTTGGAGTCCTCGTCGAACAGCGACTGCCGAGACCGCGCGAACGACGAGTGCATCGATGGGCTCTCGTCCGCCTCAGGCTCGCCGAACAGGGACATTGTTTCTGCTTCAACGTGGGTTGTAGGTGCCCGGTCCGGTCTGAACTCGAGACGGTCTTGGAGGCGAGGTTGCGCAATCCACACTCGATACGTGCAGCCAAGGTTGCGCCGAGGACTCGGGTCGGGCACGGCAGACACTTGCAGGACCAGTGGCGGGAGCAAAAGGATGCGACGGCTCAACCCAGGACGTGGGGGGAGGGCAACTTCAGCAAGAGCGAGCGTGAGGGTTGTTCGCTGGATATGGGACCCGTAGACGTAATATAGTGAACACTTGGACGAGTGCACGGTACGAGACGGGTGGACGGTAGCATCAAGCTCCAACCTGGAACATGCGCATGGGAAGCTCCAGGATGCGATTCCCCACCCAATGGGAGGCACAGCGCTAGGTGCCTATGCTCGGCTCAGACGACAGGACGCCCTTGCCCAGCTGGGGAGTGCACGACTGGGGTGCCAACCTACTTACATGCACTATTCTGACTGTCACACTCGGTGTCTAGGCTTATAGTCTGAAATGTCTGCTCAACAGCAAGGCTGATAAAGTGAATATGCCAAATTTAGTGGGATTCGTCAGAGCACTTAGACAGTTACCTATCTTCAACAACTAACTCACTTCCGACTTCATATCACACGCGGAAAGGACCAATGCACACTCACCCAATTCAACCCTCCTCGGTGCAATGACAGGCAATGGGCAGTAGAATGCAGTGTTTATAACCTGAACCATACATTTACACGTCGAGCTTTCACCCCAGGAATGCCCAAGTCTAGAACAGCTTCAGGTCTCCCTGCTCCTCCTTCTTCTTCGCCTTGACGGCCTTCTTCGCGATCTGCTCGCCCGGCACCTTGAAGTACAACGACGGGCTCTCGCCGGGCTTCAGGCGGTGGCTCAGGTAGCCCCTGTGCGCCGGGTCGCGGTAGTACTCTATGTCCCAACGGCTCGTCGGGTCCGGCAGCCTGTACTTGTGCGGGCCCGCCCTCGCCTTCTCCAGCACCTCCTCCACGTGCTCCTCGCCCACCGGCAGCGGCTCCGTCGTGTGCGCGCTCTGGCCCTTGAGCAGCCGCACGATCGAGTCCTTGGTGTAGTACCGCGTGACGATCTTGCCGCCCGCCTTCTCCACCGCCTCGATCGCCGCCGCCGAGGCCCGCGACACCACGATCTCCAGCGGCGTGCGCAGCGCCGTCGAGCCCCGCGCCAGCAGCTTGACGCCGTCCTTGGGCCGCCCCAGGAGGCCCGACTGGATGATCTCCTTGGGCGTGATCGGCTTCGTCGGGTCGATGCGGCCTGCGTCCACCCAGGCCTGGAGGCGGTCGAGGTTGACTTCGGACATTACTTCTGCGCGGCTGGAGCGGTGCGGTGGTGGTTAGCATTTTCTTTTCTCGGGGCTGGCCTAGAGATGTGTATGTTGTACGTACTGGTTCACAAATCCCCTCCTACCATGCTTGAAGATCAACGGCGTCTGTCCACCCTGGAACCAGGGCTTCACATGCCCGTGCTGCCCCTGACCCTTGTGGCCGCGACCAGACGTCTTGCCGTAGCCGGAAGAAGCACCGCGGCCTTTCCGTATGCGCTTGTTGTACGCCCCCTTGTTGTCGCGGAGGTTGGCGAGGATGGATGCGCTCCGCGTCTGCGCCGTGGCCGGCCGTGCGGGCGTCTGCTGTATGGAGAGCGCGGCGAACAGCGACGCGAGCGGGGTGCTCGCGGCCCCCGGGACGGCCTGTCGCTCAATTGACGCCCGGCAGCATCGTGCTGCGACCTGCGAGATTGGTATCCTGGGAGGCATGGTGTGTGTGGCTATGTCTCTCCGGCGCGGACACGCGGTGCTGTCACGATCTCGCTCGGGGGAGCTCTTACAAATTTGAAGCTGCCACTGCAATTGCTAGTGCAGGTTCTTATCTAATCGCCCACCACCGAGCTCACACCACAACCACTTTGTAAAGGACTCGTCAATTGAATACTCACTTCAGAGGCATTTGTCATTTTTCTCTCAAGTTTCACTTCGATCTGTGCAACAAATGGATGTTGGTTTTCATAAATTTCAGGTCATCACTTCCAGCCGTCTAAACTCGCTAATTCTACTGACGCGAGTCTGCTGCATATCCCTTTTTTTCCACTCATTCATACACAAGCAGGACCGGTTACCATGCAATTAAGGCCGAATAAAATAAGTCACCCACGGCACAACACATCGACCTCCTAACCGCGGACTCCCAGAGCGCCACCGGTGAAGCCTTGCGATTGCCTTGGCGCACCATCCGATCTTGCACCACCACGTCCCCTGCCGCCGCCGCCACGGCCACCACGCCCGCCGCGCCCGCCGTGTCGCGCTGTCCTCTCGAACGCGTTGGCTGTGCCCTGTGTGCGGTGCTCCAGCGTCCGCTCGTTCGACTCCATGAGCGCGCTGGCCTTGTCCGACAGGGCCAGGGCCAGGCTCTGGAGCCTGCTCAGCTCCACGCCCTTGCGGAAGATGACCGTCTTGGTGACCTGGTCGAGGGCCGCGGCGAGCTCCTCGTGGCTGATCATCTTGCTCACGATGGCCGCCGTCTTGGTCGCGTCCAGCTCAAACATGCCGCTGAGCGTCTCGACGGCCAGGGTGTCGTAGAAGGGTGCGTACGTGAACAGATACGTCCGCAGGCCCTCCTCCTGGATCTGCTTGGCGAGCATCTCCTTGATGCCCTCGGTGTCTGGCATCAGCTCCCAGATCTTGATGGCGTGGATGAACTCGGTCGCCTTCTTCCACTCGCCGGCTGCCAGTGCCTTGGAAGCCTGCATGACGTGGTCCCTGGTGTTCTCCGGAGGTCCAGTGAAGATTTGACGCTCATGGTACTCCAACATGCGGCGGTAGGTCTTGCTGATGACTCGCTTCTTGACGTCAGGGGAGGATCCAATCTGGGCCAGGAGCGGGATCTCCAGGAGCATGCTGCAGGTCAGGTAGACACACTCGAGGAGCTCAAGGTTGATGTGCAGGTGGAAGGGCAGCTGTCGTTGCCTCTCTAGTCGCTCTTGCTCTGGTGTGACTTGGCTGTATCGCTGGATCATGACACCTTGAGCCAGGAGCTCCTTCTGCCGTCCACTGCCGCAGATCTCTTGGAGTGTGTTTTGCGCATCGTAGACGAGGCCCTTGCGGAACGCGCAAAGACCCACCTGAACAAGTGTGCGGTTGAACAGGATCTGTGTAGAAACGTTAAAGCTGCTGATGGTCTCTTGCAAGTGGGACATGAGCATCATATCGCGAGCCTTGTAGTAATCATCGTGCAGGGCGAGGAAGTAAATCTGGCAGAGCATGGCACGGGCTCGGTGGATGCCCTCGCTGTTGGCAAAGAGATAGGTGCTGAGGATGTTGACAAGATCCAGCGCCTCGACGGTCTTGGCTCGAGGTGTGATTGCCGAGTCGATGTCCGCAGCAACGGACTTCCAGGAGTTCTCCTCGAGGGTCTTGACGACCTGTGCAGGCTTGAAGTAGACATGCTCGAGACGGCGGCTGACGATTCGGTTGATGTTATCCTGCTCGATCGCCAGAGACTCGTCCTTCTGCAGCTGCTCGTAGTACAGCATGGCTCGGAAGATGAGGTTGTACAGGGCAGCCGCGTCCGTCAGGCGCTCAATGTACTCCGAAGTGTGAGGGTCGACGCTTTGCAGCGACCTTGTCATCTCGTCGTCGAGGCGCTCGACGTAGGACACGATGCTGCCGGGAACCTTGATATACTTCTGGTCCTTCTCCAGGGTCGGGGGCTTCTCATCATCCTCCCACTCCTCGGCGTTCTCGATGACGACGTAATCGCGGTTCTCGTTCAGGGTCGTCAGCAGCTGGCCGATCTCCTTCTCAGCCGCCTTCCAGTGGTCCAGCGGCATGGACGTAGTTGCGCCGGAGCCGAGATCGAAACGGGTGGAGACGAGAGTGAGGAGGACGCGGATTCGTTGGTAGGGGGTGTTGGCAATCTCGTTGAGCTTCTCCATGATCTTGATCTGCTCCACCTTGTCGGTGTTCTTCTTGCCACGAGACTCCATGATCGTGCGCAGGTGCTTGAGAATGCTCTCGGGCGTGAAGATGAGAGTCTTGCCACCTTTGCCCACCGTCGCGAAACCCTCGTCGTCGCCATCCTCGGTGGACGCGGCGAAAGCGTCAGCAAGTCGGACCTTCTTGGGCTTGGGCGCGGGCTCCTCCTCATCCGACTCCCACAGGTATCCATCCTTGTCCTCCTTGTACTCCTCGATCTGGCTCTGGTACTCCTTGTTTGTCTTCTTGATCTTTTGCTTGACGGCGTTGAGACCTTGAGCGTTCTGCTTGCTCATCTTCTTGGGGGTGACCTTCTGCTTGGCGATGGACTCGTTCATGTACTCCTCGAGCTCGGCGATACATTTCACGTAAGGCTTGGGGGCCTTGCCGGCCACCTTGAGCTTCTCAGCCTGGCGGTTGAGCTTGTCGAACTCTGTGGCCGGTTAGCATCGCATGGCAGGCAGGGAGACATTTGCGGAGCGTGAAAGCGGTTCAAGACGTACCATTGGAGATGATGTTCCAGTCGTTGATCTTCTGGGCGTTTGTAATGGCGGTGATTGTGGCTTCGAGCTCGTCGTGTCGCTTGTCCTTGGCCGACTTTACCTTCGTCGTCTGCTCCGTGTCGCTCTCTTCGCTTTCGGACCAACCCTCCAAGAAACGAGAAGCACCCTTGGCTTTGCCTGCATCGCTGTCGCTGGACTCGGCGTCGGATGCATCCTCGTCCTCGTCCTCATCCTCCTCCTCTTCAGACTCCTCCTGCTCCTCCTGCTGTTCCTCCTCCTCGGATTCGTAGAGGTCCTCCTCGTCGGAGCTGCTCTCCGAAGAGCTATCGTTGCCACCGCGGAAAAAGCGAGACATGTTGTCTTTTTTGCTGACTGGATCGATCGATGGTCCGTTCCGGGAAGGTATCGACCGGTTTGATAGGATGCAGCCGGGTCGCTTTGCGGGTTGTCAGTGATTGCTGATGGAGGGGTCCCTGAAAGGTGAAAGAGATGAATTTTCGAGGCATGCCTTGAAGAAGTGGGGGAAAAAAGACGGGCCGGCAGCGTGAGTGTCGGCCGAGAACCAGCTGTCAGCGCGTTTGACGGCCCAGGAGTGAGTCACTTGGGTCGCTTCGCGATAAAATAATCTATTTAGATAGTTGACTCATTTGACACGTCATTTGAATAAGTAATTTCCCCAAGACTGTGGCAGAAATGCAGTCAAGGCTGCAGATATAACACTGATCGCAGGCAGCAGAGCAGCATGACTGAGTGGGCGAGTGCAGGCTTGAGGTGACAGGGGGTTAGGGGAAGAGGACCCACCCGACGGCGGCGAGACATGGCCCGTGCTCCCTCCTCGAGCTACAGCATAGCGTATTATGGGCGGGAACTTTTTTATCGCCTCGTCAACGACTGCAACTGAGCCTGCCCAGCTTACCGCGACGAGCTGCGACATCCTCACCATCCCATCAGGAATTAAACCCTGGCCGTCGCAGGTGGACCATCGATGAATCGAGTTTCTCTCGGACGGCTGTACGAACCACAAAGCCAATACGAAAGCACCCGAATCCACTGCTAAAGTGTCAGCGCATAGGTGAAACTTGTCCCGCGTTCGCGCTCGCGGACCGCGATCATACGCGAGCCTTGAGAGTCTTCAAGTCCACCTCAACGCCAGGTGTCGCGGCTTGATCATCTCGATATGTCTCAGCTTCCGCCGCCGCCGCCCCCTGGCTGGGGCCCGCCCCCTCCGCCTCCTCCCGACTCGGCGATGCCTCCTCCACCGTCACAGCTGCCTCCCCCTCCTGGCGCGCCGCCTCCACCTCCTCCGCCCGGTTTCCGACCAAGCGCAGATGCCCACACCGCAAAATTTGAGCAGAAGAAGAAGGAATGGCTCCGGCTACAGCGGAATCGTTTCGGCGAGAAACGGAAGGGCGGTTTCGTGGAGACGCAGAAGGCTGACATGCCCCCCGAGCATCTTCGAAAGATCGTCAAGGACATTGGCGATGTGTCCCAAAAGAAATACACCGCCGACAAGCGGAGTTACCTTGGTGCCTTGAAGTTCATGCCCCACGCTGTCATGAAACTCTTGGAAAACATGCCAATGCCCTGGGAGTCCGCTAGAGAAGTGAAGGTTCTCTACCACGTGAACGGGTGCTTGACCCTGGTCAACGAGATCCCCCGTGTCATCGAACCCGTCTTCATTGCACAGTGGGGCGCGATGTGGGTGATCATGCGGAAGGAAAAGAGCGACCGGCGACTTTTCAAGCGGATGAGGTTCCCACCTTTCGATGACGAGGAGCCACCTTTGTCGTGGTCCGAAAACCTCGAAGATGTCGATCCACTGGAACCAGTCCAGATGGAACTGGATGAGGAAGACGATGAGGCCATTCAGGAATGGTTCTACGACCACAGACCACTCGAAGACACGCCTCATGTGAATGGCCCAAGTTACAAGACGTGGAATCTTACATTACAGCAGATGGCCAACTTGTATCGTCTCAGCCGGCCTCTCATCTCAGATGTCTTCGACAAGAACTACTTCTATCTGTTCGAGCTGAAGAGTTTGTTGTCAGCGAAGGCCCTCAATGTCGCTCTTCCTGGTGGCCCCCGGTTTGAGCCCTTGTATAAGGACATCGACCCCAACGACGAGGATTTTGGCGAGTTCAATGCTATAGATCGGATCATCTTCAGAAACCCTGTCCGGACCGAGGACAGGGTCGCATACCCGTTCCTATACAATTCCCTGCCGCGAAGCGTTCATCTATCTTGGCACTCTCACCCTCAGACAGTCTACAGCAGGGCGGATGACCCAAGCTTGCCCGCCTTCTATTTCGACAAGTCTATCAACCCGATCTCGTCGCGTGATGTTGCTCCGAAGAATCTCAGCATTACCCACGAGGATGAGCTCTTCGGGAAGGGCAACATAGAAGAGGATGAGGAAGAGGCCTTCACCCTACCGCCTACTGTGGAGCCGTTCCTGGCTGACGAGGACCTTTACAATGACGATACTGCCTCCGCCATCGAGCTATGGTGGGCTCCATTCCCCTTCGATCGCCGCTCAGGCCGCATGGTTCGGGCGCAAGATGTCCCGCTTATCAAGCAGTGGTATCTGGAGCACTGCCCCCCGAAGCAGCCTGTCAAGGTTCGAGTGTCATACCAAAAGATGCTCAAGACCTATGTCCTGAATGAGCTCCACAAAAAGAAGCCGAAGGCGCTCCAGAGGCAGAACCTGCTCAGGACGCTCAAAGCCACCAAGTTCTTCCAGCAGACGACCATCGACTGGGTTGAAGCAGGTCTTCAGGTCTGCCGACAGGGCTTCAACATGCTCAACCTCCTCATCCACCGCAAGAATCTCACATACCTTCACCTGGACTACAACTTCAACCTGAAGCCTGTCAAGACCCTCACGACCAAGGAGCGGAAGAAGTCTCGTTTTGGAAATGCGTTCCATCTCATGCGTGAGATCCTGCGGCTGACAAAACTCATCGTCGATGCTCAAGTTCAGTACCGCCTGGGTAACATTGATGCATTCCAGCTTGCCGACGGTATTCTGTATGCTTTCAATCACGTTGGTCAACTTACAGGAATGTACCGCTACAAGTACAAGCTCATGCACCAAATCCGAACTTGCAAAGATTTGAAGCATCTGATCTACTACCGCTTCAATGCTGGGCCTGTCGGCAAGGGACCTGGTTGTGGTTTCTGGGCTCCTGCCTGGAGAGTTTGGCTCTTCTTCATGCGTGGAATCATCCCTCTGCTCGAGCGTTGGCTAGGGAACTTGCTTTCGCGTCAATTCGAGGGTCGTCACTCGAAGGGTGTTGCCAAGACAGTGACTAAGCAGCGTGTCGAGTCGCATTTTGATCTGGAGCTTCGGGCGTCTGTCATGGCCGATCTCATGGACATGATGCCTGAGGGTATTAAGCAGAACAAGGTGAACACAGTGCTGCAACATCTTTCTGAGGCTTGGAGGTGCTGGAAGAGCAACATTCCTTGGAAGGTCCCTGGTCTACCCGCCGCTATCGAGAACATCATTTTGCGTTATGTCAAGTCGAAGGCCGACTGGTGGATTTCAGTCGCGCACTACAATCGTGAGCGGATCAGGAGAGGTGCCACCGTGGATAAGACGGTGGCCAAGAAGAACGTTGGCCGTCTCACCCGTCTCTGGCTCAAGGCCGAGCAGGAACGGCAACACAATCACATGAAGGACGGTCCTTATGTCTCTTCTGAAGAAGCCGTAGCGATTTACACAACCATGGTGCACTGGTTGGAATCGCGCAAGTTCTCTCCCATTCCTTTTCCTAGCGTCTCCTACAAGCACGACACCAAGATCCTTATCTTGGCCCTGGAACGGCTACGTGAGGCGTACTCCACAAAGGGCCGTCTCAATCAGAGCCAGCGCGAGGAGCTCGCTCTCATTGAGCAGGCTTACGACAGTCCTGGCACGACTTTGGAGCGTATCAAACGGTTCTTGCTCACCCAGAGAGCCTTCAAGGAAGTTGGTATCGACATGAACGACAACTACAGCACGATCAACCCTGTCTACGACATTGAGCCCATTGAGAAGATCAGCGATGCATATTTGGATCAATACCTGTGGTATCAGGCAGACCAACGATCTTTGTTTCCAGCTTGGATCAAGCCATCGGACTCGGAAGTGCCGCCGCTTCTAACCTACAAGTGGGCCCAAGGCATCAACAATCTGCAGAATGTCTGGGTTACCGAGGATGGCGAATGCAATGTCATGATCGAGACACAGCTGTCCAAAATCTATGAGAAGATTGAACTGACCCTTCTCAACTCTCTCCTCCGGCTGATCATGGATCACAACCTGGCAGATTACATTACCGCAAAGAACAACGTCACGTTGACCTACAAGGATATGAATCACGTGAATAGCTACGGCATGATCCGTGGTCTCCAGTTCTCGGCATTCGTATTCCAGTACTATGGTCTTGTTCTCGATCTGTTGCTCCTGGGGCCTCAGCGGGCAACTGAGATTGCCGGTCCCCCACAAAAGCCCAACGACTTCCTTCAGTTCAGTGACCGCGAGACTGAGACGAAGCACCCAATTCGCCTCTACACTCGCTACATTGACAAGATTTGGATGTTCTTGAGGTTCACGGCTGACGAGTCGAGGGATTTGATCCAGAGATTCTTGACCGAACAGCCTGATCCCAATTTTGAGAACGTCATCGGGTACAAGAGCAAGAAGTGCTGGCCGAAGGACTCGCGCATGAGACTAATGAGGCACGATGTCAACCTCGGGCGCGCGGTTTTCTGGGACCTAAAGAACCGACTGCCACGTTCCATCACCACTATCGAGTGGGACGAGACATTTGCCAGTGTCTACAGTCGCGACAATCCTAACCTCCTCTTCTCGATGTCTGGGTTCGAGGTTCGAATCTTGCCAAAAATCCGGAACCAGAACGAGGAGTTCCCGGTGAAAGATAGTGTCTGGTCTTTGGTCGACAACGAGAGCAAGGAGAGAACAGCGCATGCCTTCTTACAGGTGACTGAGGAAGATGTGCAGAAGTTTAACAACCGCATCAGGCAGATTCTCATGTCCTCTGGATCCACAACCTTCACCAAGATTGCCAACAAGTGGAACACTGCGTTGATAAGCCTTTTCACTTATTACAGAGAGGCTGCCGTCTCGACAATTCCTCTTCTCGACACGATTGTGAAGTGCGAAACTAAGATCCAGACGCGTGTCAAGATCGGTCTCAACTCCAAGATGCCATCTCGTTTCCCGCCAGCTGTCTTCTACACGCCCAAGGAGCTCGGAGGTCTTGGTATGATTTCAGGGTCACACATTCTGATTCCAGCAAGCGACAAGCGGTGGTCCAAGCAGACCGATACGGGCGTCACACATTACAGAGCTGGCATGACACATGATGAAGAGACTCTCATCCCGAACATCTTCAGATACATCATTCCCTGGGAGTCAGAGTTCATCGACTCGCAGCGAGTGTGGACGGAATACTCCCAAAAGCGTCTTGAGGCCAACCAACAAAATCGCCGTCTCACTCTGGAAGACCTTGAAGACTCTTGTCAGTACTGCCCCTTCACCTTCCAACAACACCAACAACTAACCTGTAGTAGGGGATCGCGGACTTCCAAGAATCAACACGCTGTTCCAAAAGGATCGAAGTACGCTGTCATTCGATAAAGGTTATAGGTGCCGGGCGGAATTCAAGATCTATCAGCAGATGAAGAGCAATCCTTTCTGGTGGACCAGCCAGAGACATGATGGAAAATTGTGGAATCGTGGGTCTTTCTTCTCCATATGATGATCGTGCTCTACTGACGAGCCGCAGTGAACGCCTACCGTACCGATGTCATCCAGGCTCTCGGTGGTGTTGAGACTATCTTGGAGCACACACTATTTAAAGCCACAGGGTTCCCTTCTTGGGAGGGTCTCTTCTGGGAGAAGGCCAGTGGTTTTGAGGAGAGTATGAAGTTCAAGAAGTTGACGAATGCTCAACGGTCCGGTCTCAACCAAATCCCGAACCGTCGGTTTACTCTTTGGTGGTCGCCGGTAGGTCACTCATGTTTTGCCTCCATACTTCCTTTTGGTACTTGGGACTTCTCCCCTGGGGTAGATTCTTAGGGTACAATCTCCTGGGGTATAGCCTCCTAATGGATAGCCTCCTAATGGATAGCCTCCTATGGGATAACTCCTATAGGATAGCCTTCTAAGGGGTGGCTTCTTATGGGATGGCCTCATATGGGATGGCCTCCTATGGGATGGCCTCCTATGGGATGGCCTACTATGGGATGGCCTCCTATGGAGTAACCTCTAGGATAACCTCCTCTAGGATAACCTCCTCTAGGACAACCTCCTCTGGGGTAGACTCCTATGGGGTAGCCTCCTATATGGTCATCTCCAGTGGGATGACCTATAGCGGGACATTCTCCTGTGGATTGCTTTCCTGTGTACCACCCTCACTGCGAAACCTTCTCAACAGGGCATGGATAATATACTAACTCTGACTACAGACCATCAACCGAGCAAACGTCTATGTCGGTTTCCAGGTAAGCCAGCGGGAACTCACAGTAGCTACACTTTCATTGCGCTGACTTGTCCTAGGTGCAACTTGATCTCACTGGCATTTTCCTCCACGGCAAGATCCCGACGCTCAAGATCTCGCTAATCCAGATCTTCCGAGCCCATCTTTGGCAGAAGATACATGAGAGTAAGCCTCCCCGAAAGACTGAATCATCGAAACTCTGCTAACTGTCTTCTAGGTGTTGTCATGGACTTGTGTCAAGTGTTTGATCAAGAGCTGGAGTCACTGTCTATTGAATCCGTGCAGAAAGAAACGTAGGTAACCCCATCAACACTTTTTTTGGACATTCTTCTAACGTTTGAACAGGATCCATCCTCGAAAGTCGTACAAGATGAACAGCTCCTGTGCCGACATTCAACTTTTTGCCAGCCACAAGTGGAACGTGACCCGACCGTCCATGCTGTTCGACACCAAGGATGTCATCGAACCCCATACCACCAACAAGTTCTGGGTTGACGTCCAATTGAGGTATGGAGACTACGACTCGCACGATATTGAGCGTTATGTCCGTGCCAAATACCTCGACTACACAACCGACAGCATGAGTCTGTACCCATCAGCAACTGGCCTCATGATCGGGATAGACCTCGCATACAACCTCTACTCGGCATATGGCCACTACTTCCCGGGTCTGAAGATGCTGATTCAGCAAGCTATGGCCAAGATCATGAAGGCGAACCCTGCCCTCTATGTTCTGCGCGAGCGTATTCGAAAGGGTCTCCAGCTGTACGCCTCCGAGAGCAACCAAGAATTTTTGAACTCTCAGAACTACTCCGAGCTGTTCAGCAACCAGACCCAACTGTTCATCGACGACACGAACGTCTACCGAGTGACCATCCACAAGACCTTCGAAGGCAACCTGACAACCAAGCCGATTAACGGAGCCATTTTCATTTTCAATCCTAGAACCGGGCAGCTGTTCTTGAAGATCATCCACACGAGCGTGTGGGCCGGTCAGAAGCGTCTCGGTCAACTGGCGAAATGGAAGACAGCCGAAGAAGTTGCTGCTCTTATCCGATCGCTCCCGGTTGAAGAGCAGCCCAAGCAGCTCATTGTCACCCGCAAAGGTCTTCTCGATCCTTTGGAAGTGAACCTGCTCGACTTCCCCAACATTTCTATTCGGGCTTCTGAGCTGCAGTTGCCATTCCAGGCTGCCATGAAGGTCGAGAAGTTGGGTGACATGATTCTGAGAGCGACCGAGCCTCAGATGGTCTTGTTCAACCTTTACGATGAATGGCTCAAGAGCATCTCCTCTTACACTGCCTTCTCACGTCTTGTTCTGATCTTGCGTGCCCTGCATGTCAATATGGACAAGACGAAGCTTGTTCTGCGCCCTGACAAGACGGTTGTCACTCAGGAACACCACATCTGGCCGACATTGTCGGATGAAGACTGGATCAAGGTTGAGACTCAATTAAGAGACCTGATCCTGAATGACTACGGAAAGAAGAACAACGTCAACGTCTCCAGCTTGACGAGCAGTGAGGTTCGTGACATCATTCTTGGTATGGAGATTTCTGCTCCATCGTTGCAGAGACAGCAAGCTGCCGAGATCGAGAAGCAGCAGCAGGAACAGCAACAACTCACTGCTGTCACCACCAAGACGCAGAACGTCCACGGGGAGGAGATCATAGTCACGACGACGTCTCAGTTTGAGCAGCAGACTTTTGCATCCAAGACCGAATGGCGCACGCGGGCCATTGCCAGCTCAAACCTGCGTACTCGCGCTAACAACATTTATGTCTCTCCTGTGGACAATGATGCGGAGGAGATCACGTACGTCATGCCAAACAACATCCTCAAGCGCTTCATCCAGATTGCGGATCTGCGTGTGCAAGTGGCTGGGTACCTGTACGGAGCTTCGCCACCCAACTACGACCAGGTCAAGGAAATCAAGTGTATCGTCTTGGTCCCCCAGATCGGTGGTCTTCGGAATGTGCAGCTGCCCCACCAGCTGCCCCAGCACGAGCTGTTGAAGGACCTGGAGCCCCTCGGCCTGATCCACACAATGTCAGGCAACGAGCTGCCGTACATGTCCGCAGCAGACGTCACGGAGCATTCCAAGCTGCTGGACGCTCACCCCGAGTGGGCACAGGACAAGACGCTCACGGTGTCGGTCTCCTTCACACCAGGCAGTGTCTCCCTCTCCGCGTGGGCGCTCAGCCCCCAGGGCTACAAGTGGGGCCTAGAGAACAGGGACCTGCAGAGCGACCAGCCGCAGGGCTTCACGACGACGATGGGCGAGAAGCGCAAGCTGCTGCTGAGCCCGCGCTACAGGGGCTTCTTCCTGGTGCCCGAGAGCAGCCAGTGGAACTACAGCTTCATGGGCTCGGCCTTTGCCGGCCTCGAGAAGAAGCCCGTCCGCGTCAAGCTCGACACCCCGATGCCCTTCTACAGCGACACGCACCGGCCGGTGCACTTCCAGAGCTTCGCCGAGCTCGAGGATATTGGGGTGGACAGGAGCGACAACTTTGCGTAAGCGGGCGGGAACGCCGGCCTTCAGGGGAACGCGTCCCGCGCGGGGAGACAAGGTCATCAGTGCAAATTCACGGCTGGTTCGGAGTGATTTTGCACCTGGGCGCCACGGGCGCGTCAGGGAAAAGGAAGATGGGCCGAGGCTGGCTCGGTTCCTACGGGCAGAAACACGAATTCGCAAGCGACGCCGGCCCGCCGGTCGCCTCCCTTGCAACTTTTGCTATTACTTCTCGCAGAAGAATACTGGGGCCACAGAATGTGCATGGTCCTCATTCACTCTTTGGTAATAGGGGGGGGGTTGAGTTGTGGTGACGCGGCGTTTCCGAGGGCATCGGCGAGGCTGTGTTTTTGGTTCCCCTTGTCTCGAGGGGAGAAAGGAGCCGAGATTGTATTGTACACGGTGTATGCGATGTGACGGGCTCGAAAAGGAAGAAGAGATAGCGAGCAGCCTGCAGAAAAGCATAGCAAACAATTTGATTGCGTTCATACATGTCTACAGAACGGCATGCCGCGCAAAAGCAACGGCATCGCGCTATCTGTCAATTTTTGATGCAGTCATTCACAGTGGCGGCCAGCCACAACCGCCAGTACAACAACTAATATCTCTCCCCCCCGTTGTAACCCGGCATGACGTTGGATTTCACAAGCCTCAGCCGCGGACACCGGCCCCATAGCCAAAAGGAGGAGCTTTGTAACTCTGCCCTAGTTCCTGCATTGGCGTGGCGTGGGGCTTGGGACGATCGCACAAGAATAATACATAAGCGAACGCGGACGGCCGCATGAGCTTTCCAGAAGCAGTCAGGTACTGCTCCGGGGGAGGTTGTATGGCTGACGAGCACGTGCCCCGCTCCCGTCGCACCGGCGCGTGCGGCCAAGCGAGACGGTCTCTACTCTGACCCTGATGTTCTTTCTCTTGTGTTCCCTACTGTCCTTGCTTCTTGCCGGAGCTTGGGGCATGTGGTGTGCGCGGGCTCGGTGTCCCCATTCTGTCCTAGAGCTTGCTTTTATTTTCTCCGGTGAGGCTAGCCATATGGCGCCCTATTGACCTGTCACCCAGTCTGGAGTCTGTCAGGCGACTGGGGAGGTGGGGATGCCGTACAGCAAGCGATTGGTTTCCCGGTGGGGATCGGTAAGTGCGCCGGGCGCAGGTTTGAGCCTAGGAGGGGTGACCGACAGATGGACGGCAGACGGCAGACGGCAGACGGCAGAAGAGATGTCCCCAGGAGAGCAGCTGCCTTGCGTATGTAATCATTGGTCGTGGTTGATTTGAAATTGCAGAGCTTCATGCATCAATGCCGCATCGGGCGTTTTTCTGCTGCTGCCCCCGCGACAACCTGTATGTAGTCTAGCTGTCTAGGTGCTCGTAAATGTGTGTGCCGTGCAGTAGCCTGAGTAGTTGGGGTCTTGGGGTCCTAGCTCCCTAATAGCACCGGTCTCCAGTAGTCTGTTCTCGCTTGGGATAAGGATGATAATCGACGTCGACGATGCCCCATGCGGCTAGCATGGCTGTGTACATGTCGAATGTCTCCAGGGTTTTTGCTGCTATTTCCGGGGACAACGTTGCACGCTCAGGGTCAAGCATTTCTTGGTAGCACAGCAGGTGGGAGCTGTCAAGACTTAGCTCCCATTACCTCGAGATTTGTAATTGGCTTTAGGACGAACATGGCTGTCCAGTCGCAAGTCGTGCTTTCTGGGCCAAGATCAGCACAAGTCCTCACCCTCCCGCGGCGGGCGCAGGTGGCGTCGACACTAGCAGTGGGAACGGCGTCAGCGGGTTCCTGGGTTAGCCGCAACGACTTTCCTGTGCGGCTGAACCTTGAAGGGGACATCGGGCGTAGGTATGGGAGATGGCCATCACCGGACACATACCCGAGCCGCCGCGAGCGTCCGCTCGCTTCTCACAGGGCTGGGGGGCTACCGGCCTCTGTGGACTTGAGCCGTACGTACCTACAGGTGTGCGTCATACGTACACATGTGCATGCGCATATAATGCATGCGTGCACACACACGCACCTGTGTGTGCGCATCTGAGATGTAGACAAGGATGATAAAGTGATCGTCGCCAAATTTCCCCACGCCCCAAAGTAACAGCCGCAGCGTACCATCTTGGGGTCCTAAACCGATTTGCGGCCGCGGATGTGACCGTATTGGGTGGCTAAAACCCATAATTCGTCCAACCTGCATAGTCCACATCTGATTACATCGCCTGTGGTTAATCTCTACCCTTGTGTTGGTGCGAAGGGCAGTGGTGTTGTGGCGGCGGCAGCGATGGTGTGGATTAGGGTGGCGCTTTGCTTTGCCCGTCCCAGTTGGGTGCTGGAGGCCGTCGAGATCCTCCCGTATCCGCCGGCCAAGCGACCCAACACCACGGTAGGCTCGCTCCCCTTGCCGGCACCCGCTTGACGCGCTCGCCTGCACTTTAGGAGGCATGCTGGACATGGGAGGCATCTTGCATTTCGGACACCTCGGTCAGATTCGAAAAGTTTATTCTGCCTTCGGCCCCCTGCCTCGGTGCCTGACGATCCCCTGCATTGGCTGGAAGCCAGCCTCGGTAGCGAGACCCGCGGAATGCACCTGGTCGGGGGCGTACGCGGATCGGGCTGAGTACAGTACTGCCCAGTAGACTCTAATTGTGCAATTTCGATTCCGATCTGCCTTCTAGAAGGAAGTCGGCGAGACCCTTACGCAGCGATATGCAAGCAAGGCTCGACCGGGTGCTCATGCAAGGGGCGGATTCCGCGACGCCTTGCACGGACGGCATTCTGACAAGTTATCCTCGAAGCGCCGGCCAGGCCCAAGGCTTCTGCACCCACGTGCGTGTCAAAAAGGACCTGCATCTGGTTTCGAAGGCAAACCTTGTCTTGTCAAACCTCCATGGCGAGGCCAATGTGGGCTGATAATTCTCGATTAGCCCCAAGGTTCCTGATGATCTGGGCGCTTCGATGGTGCAGCCGTCGATCAGGGCACGTAGCGGGATCCCCTTGTTCAATCGAGCAGCCGGAGTTTCGGCGCTACAAAGACTCCTCGATGCTTCCGGATTCAAGCGGACGACACATTGCACCATAACCAGAGAGGAAAGGGGCTCGCATCGTCCCCTGGGAACTGTTGTCGGCTTTAGGGGCACAGGAGGCTGTCATTCCTGTTTGAAGATTTAAGCTTACTTTAGCAGCGCACCGTCCTAAGGTTCGTGTGTAATGATGTATCGTCAGGGGCAGCGGACCTAATTCCGTGGGATTCCATGTAGTCATTCGCCATGGTGGACTTTTCGAGTTGATGTCATGACTCTACGCCCCGATAAGGATCGGTTCATATGGGGTCCCGGGAAGCCAGTCTGGCGGAGGCGTTGGCGCTGGTGAGGGTCTGGACACGACCGCCCAAGTGCCGGGCCCCATCCGCGAAGCCCATCGGGCTGGGCTGTCCTGAGGTTGGGCGATGGGTGCTGCTGGGTGGAGAGGGCTGGGTGCCGGGACGGGGGCTCCGGGGAATTGACAAGGTGACGGCTGGGCGGTGACAGTTGGGGAGGTGCGCTGTGTCGACGGCGGCGCTTGCTCTCTCGAGCAGGGTTGGACCATCTCGGATGATCTGCAGAGTATTTGTGAATGTGTTTGATGCGCTGGTACATGTGTCAGAATGTCGACGCAAGCCGGCAAGCACTGCGGTGGACGAGAGGGTGACTGAGACGACGGGGACCAGCCTGTGGGACAAGGTTGCCCGTGTGCCGTGCGCCTCTGCCGTTCTGCCTGAGCTCCCGTGTGGACGTCTCTGGCAGGCTGGCAGGTGATGCCATCGCCATCACCATCTCTGGGATCTGGGCGGGTAGATCGGGCATCGGGCGGGGGTCTGTGCCAATCGTCAGGGTGCCTGTAGGGCTGAAGACAGCTGAGATGGCCTCCCCTGCGGGCGACGGCAGCACGGGTGACGCATTCGTTCAACGTTGGGAAGGATGATGCATCATTCCCCTGCCCAGACTATTTTTGGTGGTCGGCGATCAGCTCTTCCGGGCCCCTCTTTTGGATGCGAACATGGGGCCCGGCACCCCGGCCGGTGGGATCTTGAACTATCGACTGGCGGGACCCCATCGACGGGCAGGCCTATATTGCGCCCTCGTGCTAGAGCCGCGGGGATGCCGCCACCGCAGCGGCGCAGCCAGCGAAGGGGTTCGTGGGCGGCGACGATGAGATAACAGGGCGCCCAGAGTGTCGGCAATGTCCAGGCTGCCAGGCTGCCTGGCTGCCAGGTCGGCCCCCTTGGTGTCAGGGCGGAATACGGCAGTAGAAGGGCATGGAGGCATGGAGGCAGCGAGGCAGGGAGGGTTGGTCTGATGTCGCATCCCCCAAGGGGGCTCGCGGGAGTTGGTGCCAGATAGAGTTGGATCTTGCGATGATCCGTCCCGCCCCTGGCCGGCATGATGCCATTGTCGAGTCGAACTTCCAGGGCTGCCAGAGCTGCCTGTCATTGCTGTCAACCAGACTCTGTGAGAACCATGTTGCCATGTTCGGTAGACTAGCATTGACTAGTTGCTGGCCCCGGATTGTGGTTCAGCCTCACGTAGCATCGCATAGTGCCACGCCCCCGGAAGCAGTTGGCCTCTGGGATCTGCAGCCACTGCCCGTCAATCCGAGCGACGGCAAGGTCACAGTCAGTGATGAGTAACAGTCGGCAGACGGCAGACGGCAGACGGCAGACGGCAGGCGAGAGGCGAGGCCATTCGCATCTGCAGATTTGTCTCGTCTGAACTCGAGCAGTTGCACGCTCGGTAGGTTGCGTCATTGCACGTCTTCCCACCTGCCACCCACGCGGGTACCTGCCTATCCCGACCCCACAGGCAAGACTCGTGGATGGCGATAGGTAGCTACTCCGTACCAGTTACCTCGCGAAACGGAACGGCCTGCCGACCTTCCCAACACGCGCTGCAACAAGAGAAACACACATCCACCCGTGCTGGGTGGTTGGCTGCCCGTTTGCTCGGGCGACTGCCGTCTTGTTCGAGCACCAAAACCCCTCCTTCCCATCGACGACCTTGTCCCAATTCTTTCTCCTGAAACATTTCCCTCGCCTCCCGCGTCTCGCCAGGACCACGAGGCCATCAACTCGTGGGAACAGCCAGCACCTCCTGAGGGCAACTCCTGGGAGCCACACAGCCCACACAACCCACACAGCTGGACATCGGGCCGGGCCTCACTTGTCAATGGCTGCGGACGGGGGCAACGTATGCCAATATCGGCCCAACTTCCTCTTTGAGGCCATCCCATGGTTCATCCACCATCGTCTTCTCATGCGCATCCTGACGAAACTGACCATGATAATCCAGCACGCCGGTACCTGTGGAACTGCCCATCCTCACCCACGCGGCCGTGCCCCCCTCCCCCCCCAGCCAGCCAGCTGCCGCCCCTGCTCGGCGCTAGAAGCTGCCTCGCCTTCGAGAACAACCAACGCTCACACCACGCTCCAATCTGCCTCTCTGCGGTCCCGCATAATCCAGCTTTTAATTGCCAGGTCCCGTGAAACGCGTTTCCTTCATGCAGATCCCTGCCTCTGACCCCAAAACCGCTCCTTGCCTCAGCCCGCGCCGCACTCGCCCAGTCGCTCTGGAGCCCAGCCTCAACAGGAGCCCAGTCGCCGTGGGCCATCAATGCCAGTCCCAAGCCTGCAAACACCCAAGCGATATCTCGCCGGGCCCTGCGCGCTGTACGCTCCACGCGGCCATCATCGCCTGTTCGCGAGATGGATCTTTTGGGGGATCAAACTGTCCACTGCGGATCTGGCTGCATTGAATCGCGCAATTTTGGAGACGCCGACAGGCAGGGGTGACGATGCCCCTGCAGCTCTCAGACGAGACCCCCCTCCCTGGTTCCTCGGCCAGAACTCTGTTCGCCGGGTCAGTCTGCAAGTGGTGTGACGGCCTTCACATTCTTGGTACTGCCAGTCCCTGCAACTGCCACTGCCGTTTGGCGCTGCGGGCTGCAGTGCCTAGGTATGCGGGACAGAGCCCCCAAGATCACGACAGTGGGTTGGCAGTCGCGCAAACATTTCATGTCGCCCTGCCATGTCTAGCAATGACATTTCGGCTAGGAGCCGTTGAGGGGTATGGAGAAATACATGCGACCGAGCGCCGTGTCATCCCATGTTACACAGGCGAGAAACAACGCTCAGATGCTGGGGGGACCTGCGCTGTACCACCTGGGCGTCAATCAGTGCAGCCCATCTGCAGTGCTGCATCATCTCCTTGTCAGCAGCTGCATCGCACCCAGACTTCCGGCAGCATAGGACCCATCCTTGATCAACATTCCGTCGAGTTGCTCCATACCCAGCCCCTCGAGCCACGCAAAATGTCCTCTTTTCTCGCATCTGGATTCGTCGGTCTCTTCCGGCCCATCATTACGGCATCGGCGTCTGAGATTGCGGGCCTGGGCAGTGCGGCGCAAGGCGCAACTTTCGGGCCTGTCTTCTCAGTAGGCAAGCTCGACATTTCCTGCTGCTCGGACGCATGTGGCTTGACTATTAACAAAATCCCCACAGAAACGACATGAGGCCGCTGTGAACTACAAACTACTCGCGCCTATGTGACCCGTGTCACCCTCGACTCGGCCTCTTCCCTGACATTTGCGCTTCGGCAATCTGGGTCACTAATTCTTCGGTTGCGACGACCCTGCAGTGCACCTCGCCCTATGGCGTTTGAGAACCGAGCTTTCTCTGGTCTGTGATATAGGTCCCCCAGTCGCATTATACCCCATCCTCCGGGGCAGAACAACGGAAGCTCTGGCTTCCATAATCGCCGCTGCCCTGTTTCTCCATCGACAAGGACCCCGCTTCGCCTTGGAACAGGGTGCCAGCAAAGTACCCTGGGCTCTCTGCAGTACCCTGCGGTACCTTCACGCCCTGTTGTTCATCCCCTCCCACGCACAGCAGAGAACAGCGGACTCCCCTGTCGGCCCTCGCCTCCCTCGCGGGTTCGGGGGCCATTTTCCACAGTCGCAGCCTCTCCAAGCAGGCCCGATCGTTGTCTGGAGCTTGACCCTCGCGCTCGCGTGCACTGGCCGTCCTGCTCCATCCGTTGCTCGCGGCGCTCTCCCTCACCCGTGCTGCCGTGGGCCAGAGGACCAGTACACCTCCACCCCCATGCTGCCACCATACCACTCTCCCCTTGTTCTGGCTTAGTGTGCTGGGGAATCTCGAGGGAAGGGGGCCCCTGCCCATCAGTCCGGAGCCTGTCGACGGAGTACCATTGTACTCCCGTTGCATCACGCCTCGATGCCGGGGTCTCGTTTCTATACCCAGTGGGTAAGGCCGTGGCATAAGATCCCCAAATTATGCTACCGTCCCTGCTCAGCAGAGGTTGATCAAGTCTCCGCACCATCTCAGGAACAGTACCTGTTTCGCACATGGCTGGCCGACCGCATGTCTGCTCTACTGCTGGCCTGCAGAGAGCCTTAAAGAAGGTACCTCCCCTCGGCATCCACGCCTTGCTAGACTTTTACCCTTCCACACGACACCAAACATCAGATGACAAAAAACTCCTCACAACGTGCCTATAAACATTCCTGCTTTAGCCCGACACTTTTTTTTTTGCCGCCGGGTATAAGAACCACACCCCCACCGGAATTTCCAAACAAGCTCGTTGAAGGATGCTGGTCTGGCGGCTGTGAGCTGTCGAGGGATGCTATCAAGTCACTACCACCACCGCCGAGGTATCTGACGCCAAACTCCAAGGAAGCTTTAATAGCCAACCACACCAATCTCCGATCTGTACTCAACCCACCTCTCGGGATAGCCGCCACTCCTCCTCAGTCGCCTTGGAGTCGACACATGAACTCTGTTACTGCGCTCCCAGCAACGGCGCAACCACTGTACAGTTCGCGGCGGGTAGCATCTACGGCAAGGCGTGACGCACGCCTACCGAGCAGAACACTCCCATCCCAAAGTATCCGAGGTAGCCCTACGGGGCTCCAGTCAGTCAAATTCTTTCCATACAGATTCCGGCTCCCGGCCAGGGCGGTTCGCTCTGGCGGACCCCATGCGGCGGAGACACGCTGGCGGGCAACTATCGAATAGGAGGGGACTACAATGTCGACTACTCACCACAGGACTCGCATCCGGGCGACCAGAGCCAGCAGCCCCATGGCTACAGTTCGCAGCATCACCGGCCCTCCATCCATCACACGGGGCCTTCGATCCTCCATGAGAGTCCAACAGAGTCACATTATACGACCATGCAGCAGCAGCAGCAGCAGCAGCAGCAGCAGCATCACCATCACCAGTCGGCACACCGGCCGCTCCCGGTCCTCATGGACCCGGGGCAGCTGGGTGGACACCCAGGAGCGCATCGGCAGTCCTATCCAGGACCTTCACATTTTGGTGGGCCCGGTCCGTCTCCGCACTCAGTAGTCGCTCCTCTTTATCCGTCTATGGCTCCGGGCCCAAGCCCTGGCGTCAAACGAGCCAGACCGGACGATCTTGATCTGTCAGTACATGGCATGCCGGATCTTGAACAAGGAGACATGGATTCGATGCAGCAGACCCCTCTTGGCGCCGCGTATGCTCAAGCTGCAGGAGGGTCATCCCACCCGACCCATCATCACCACCGTCTCCCAGACACGGGACCGCCTTCGAAATTATTGCGTCGGGACGAGAACCTGGGAGGAGGAGCGCCTAGCGTCGTAGGACAGGAGGGGATGCCAGAGCCAGCACCCAGGCCGAGGGGTCCCAAACTCAAGTTTACGCCTGAGGATGATCAGTTGCTCATAGACTTGAAGGAGAACAAGAGCCTGACGTGGAAACAAATTGCCGACTTCTTTCCCGGCCGCTCTAGTGGCACCCTCCAGGTCCGATACTGTACCAAACTCAAGGCCAAGACAACGCAATGGACGGACGAGACGGTGAGTACTAGGACAACATCCTCTCGCACCTGCGCTCCCTCCCACCAGGTCACCTTCTTCTGTCAAAGAGGCGGTGGCAGCAGGTCGGATCGAACAAGTCTAATACATATGCACACAGGATTTGAAGCTTCGCACTGCTCTCCAGGACTATGAAAACGAAAAGTGGCGCATTGTAGCGAACAAAGTCGGCACCGGCTTCACTCCCGCTGCATGCCGAGAGAGGGCTGCGCAGCTCATTGACGAGAACTTATAGCAATCAGCGTCCTCTCCTGGAGTTTCGGCTCCTGAAGGGGACACAAACGTCTACTCTCAGCCACAAGCTGAGTCTTCGAATCCTGTCTACACCCACCAGCCTACTCAGCAATCGAATTCGGTCTATACGCAGCACCTCCAGTAATAGTGGAGGACCAGCTGCGTGGGAGGCGCCAGGAATACTGGCAACAATTGTTAAGGACCTCTGTCGCCAGCCACCTGTTGGCAAGACTTCCCTACAATATCACGACAAACAGTGTGTCAAGGGCGTCATCTGTTGTTATTGTACTGCATCTGGCGCGCATTACACGTGACGGGTGTTTTTCACCCACACGAATCAAAGGATCTCTTCCGTCGAAACGAATACAGGGCCATTGTCAGTCTTCAGAATTGTGCTTTGGCTTGCGGTTCGAATAAATGTGAAGAGAGAGCCTTTTCGGCACCAACAGCGATTTCCATGTCTTGATATCAGCTAGGAGGAGCAAGCTCAGACGGAATATAATGTTAAGAGATACCCGATCCTTCTGGATACTTGCCCATTTCATTTCCCCCCCGAAATGTACGGCTTTTTCTTTGTTGTACTTTCCCAAGTTTTCACCACGATAGATGCGGTTGGGCCTTTAAGGGCAGACAGGTGTATGGGGATCAGGATCAGCTTGGTATACGCGTCACGGCCCGATCAACGACATATCCGGCAGCTCTCTCGGGCGACCTTACGATTCTTAAGCAGCAACGACGCGTCGACGACTTGCTTGCTGGCTCCGGACTGGCGCCGGGTTGGACCTCATCCTCCCCTGGGCATCAGTAATGTTTGGAATTGTGGGCCTCGTGCAATGGAGCAGGGATGAGGGTTTTTGACGGCCTCAGCAGGGGAGGGCTGTCCTCTTTCGGTTGAACTACCGCTTTTGCACATCTTGTAGTAAGGCGTCAGGAAAATACGGATAATAAAGGTCGGGACAGGGATTGCACGAGCAACACCATTGTCGGCCTGGAGATTGGCATCTTTGCAAGGCATATACCTGGACATATCATCACCACCGTGTGTTTTCTTTGTTTGCACTCTTTTGCTTCTATCATACACATATTTTTACCCATGGAGTATATATATAATCTTTAAACAATGATTCAAACATGCAGCCTTGCACGTTTTATCTTCTGTTATACCCTGACTCAGTGCAAGTCATCTATATAGGAATAACATCTAGTTATATAGGAATAATCAGGTCATAATGCTTCGCTGGCTTATGAAACTCATGTCTGAAATATGAGGAGAGGTCGATGTGGCCATTTTGGGAGGATTCTGTTAATATCATAAGCTTGTCAAAGCATCAACCAGGCTTGTAACAGGCAAGCAGGGCTGCAGCTGCGGGTGGCGGTACAAACCAGATGGGCCGGCTGGGGGTGGAAGAGACTTGCCGATCACCTCGTGTGAGATCAAAAAAAAGAAAAAGGAGACAGCATGGAAGGACTTGAAGCCTTCAGATCATGTCCGCAGAGGGATCCGCGGGACAGGAGTACTCAACTGATCGTCAGGCCTCCTTCTGAATTTCGCCCAGCCGGGAGTACCTCTCCTGCCCTGCCCGTCCCGTCCCATGCCATCCATCCCATGGGAAAAGGAACGCAAGCGCCACACACCCAAGATACAAGGGCACATTGGCCACACTCGTGTCATGCCGTCACCGTTCGAAGAGGACGAGGTGACACATACGTTACCCAGGCTGCCAGGCTGCCAGGGCGACCAAACCTGGTCGAACCAAGGGGGGGGCTCGCAGAACCAAACTGGCTGATACCCTGCCATGCTCCCCGCGCCGGGCGCCAACCACAGAAACACAACCAGACGCCCCCCACCCGCCCGGTCCAACTACCCGTGGCGGGCGCCTGTTCCAGAAAAATTGGGCGACAGAGTACCGAACCGATATGTCGGGCCTTGTCACCCAGCAAGGCACGGGCCCCCGTTCGGCCATGTTTCCAAGTATCATGCCTCTGATGCGTGCTATAGTTCAACAGATTTTTCAATCTTAAATAGGGTTGCCGAAAGGGCTGGACCGCTTGGCCTGGCCCTTTACCCACCGTGGTATGGATGCAACGACGTTTTCTCGGAAGGGAGGGAGATGGAGAGAGCGAGAGTCAGAAAGACTTTGACGCACAGATGGAGGGGAGGGGGTATTGCGCGGTCATCAGGTGAGGCCGGATACTTTTTCGGTACCAGGGCGAAGTTGTTCCGAGGGTAGCAAGGGTACACCCGAGCAAGAATACTACCGTAATTCAGACGGCGCGGTTCCCTCGCGGATGATCACTTTTCCTAGCTTCCTGGCCTCTGATCAAGAAAGAGGATGAAAAAAAGTGTCGAAAGTGAGAGGAACAACAAGAACCAGTCAACCTCAACGGAAGGTGGCACGGAGTGTGGCCGGTGAGCACAGCGTTCGCAGGGATCGAAGTCAGTTCAAGAGATACCAGATCTTATGCAACGCATGGTTCAAAGCGTATCTTCCACGGGTGAGATAGCCGATCGGTCGCTCCCCATCACGACATGCGTAGAGAATATGCCGAGCGAAGCTTGGGATGAAAGGGGCGCGCACGCGCTGCCCGCCCGCCCACCACTCACCTAATCTGTGGCGTGCGTCTCAGGGCATGCTACAAGCCCTTTGCGCCCACGCGAAGATTCCTCATCGCCCAATGCTGTGGTGGTGTCGTTATGCAGCCTTTGTTTCTGTACCACCCTCCCCCCCACCATAGCATGGCACCGAGTGTGCGTGCAGTGCGTGAGTGCGTGCGTGAGAGAAATCGTGCATATGCATGCTTTTGCGCGCTAACCCCCCCCCCCCCAGTGATGGGATTCACGTATGATTGCCTGTGCCTACGGTAGCTCTCAGTGTATCAATCATGTTTGCTGGGTATGCCGCCAGGCCGTGTATCGACGGCTCCAGGGGTTCGCTGCCTCAGCTGTGGATGTGATGTAGAAAAGTCTCCGCATCGGTCGCGACAGTGTCGAGGAACAAGAACACCACCTCATGTGGTATTGCTCCCACGGTAGGAGCAGCCGGCTGCTTTTGGCATGTCGACTTGGCGGCACCAGCAATCGGGCTGTCGGGCTGTATGGCTAGGGCTCGGCAGGGACAGACAGGAAACATCAGAATAAGGGCCGGGGGTTGTTTTGCCTATCGTCACCAGCCCCCGGCGGTTTTAATTGGTTCCCGGCGTGAGGCCTCGCCGGGCGTCTGGTGCTGCGGGATACTCGTTGGAGAACCCCAACCACTGGGCGCCGCGGCCGTCGTTGGCGCCGCATGAAAAGAAGGGCTGCGTGTGAGGCGCGGATGCCAGCTTCCAGGTGCGTGAGCCACACTTTCACTGCAGCTCGCTCCCACCACCTCACAGTCTCGCCTCCTGGCGCTCCAATGGGGTCCGGAGCTGTGAGTTGTCAAGGCGTGACTTGAAGCTTGCCCACGTGGTGTCGCGCTGCCGCATCACAGCTGACAGAGCTGTGCTACAGCCCGACAGCCCTCAATTTGAAACACGCATGCCCAGCTACGTGGGCGGTCCAGACCTGCCGAGCACCCCTGCGGTGGAGTGGGGATTCTCGACGATGGCTGGATGGGTGCCTCTGCAACAACTGCCGTGCGTGTGGTTCGACGACCTGCCGCGGGGTTTCGACGCAGTCAGGATCTCCTTGTCGCCATTTTGCTGGCCGAGGTTTGGACTGGGAACCCTCCCACAGCAATACCAGCGCTGTAAGAACCCTGAGCCGGGCCGAGGCCCACTGCAGTCTTCAGGGCCATGCACGGCGACATGGGCGATTATCAACGGGCTGGAACTCAACATTGAATCCCATCCAGTGGCCTGGACGTGACAAGGCTTGCTTCTTAAGTCGAGTTATCGGCATGAGCTCCTGCAGGCGTCTGGGCCGCGGTGCCTATTGTACAGTAGGCCGCATGCTGGCAGCTGCGGGGTGAGCTGCAGGAGGAGCTGCAGAGCCAAGGTTACCTCGGGATATGTGTGAGATCGTGGTCATCGAAACAGGATTGGGATGCGCGAGTCAGCTCGAGAGCTGCCGAAAGAGCATGATGCGTCGTGATCGCGACAGGTGGTGGTGACGGGGTCGCCTTCCGACCAGGTGAGGAAAAAGCAAAAGGCCGGCACAAGCTGCCAGCGGCCAGCAGACGACGGATTGACATTCTTGACCCGGTCGATCCGCCGTTGTTGAGAACCCCGGTCGGCCATGGCCAGGCGGTGCGGGATGTTGCACCGACGGGGGCATTGAAGCTTATCTGCGCCTTACCTACTTGATCAGTTTCCGAATCTCGGTGTGCTCCAAGTGCGTATTGGACTGCGTCTTGGCTTTGGCCAGCCACTTCCACGCTCCTAGGCATGATGCTCCGTACTGTGTCGTTGGGGAGGATCATGTGCCCTGCGCCTTTGGCCTCTTGACTGGTTTTCGTTTAGCCACTAACAGCATTAGCCCGGTGAGATGAATCCCTGGCGGGCGTGCACCACAGTTCCTTCTTTGGGGTCTTCTTTCATGGGCCTCTGGTCTCCTATGATGGGTGACTGCCAACTGGTTCGAGTTAATTCCCCACGGCCATTGCCGCGATCTGCAGGAGCGTCAGGGATCTTCTACCAGCTAGCCGGCGGATGCGTGCGCCAGGCCTTCCGCCGTGGAGGCAAGGCAGTCTTTGCTTCTCTTGGGCGGTGCCAAGGACAGAAACTTTTGGTGATTTGTCCCATTCTCTATCGACTGCGTTCCTCCGCAGCATCAAGGCTGGGAAATCTCCGACGCGGCCGGCCCAGGGCATGGGGTCAGGCGACCCACAAAGTGACCGTCTGTCAGGCCTGCTCAAGCGAGAACGGCTCGCGACATCCCTACGGAATACATGTGCCTGAAGCCCACTGGCCAATCGGGGATTTGGGGCCGCTCGCCAGGTCCCAGCTACCCAGCTTCTTGTTGGAGCTCTGCTTAGAACGTATGCCTGACCGGGCCTACCCAAGTACTCCGTACTCGGGTTTGGGCCCTTGTACCGGCCTTGTACTTCCTAGCTCTGAGGTACTTCTGCTGAGGTCGTGCTCGGGACACTGACAGGGGGGTGGAAGCGTGCGGGAATGCAACGCTACGCAGAGTCTGAGCGAGAAAAGCTGTCGGTCTGAACAACTCGACATGGATAGATTGCCCGTTGGAGACGGAGATGAGCAACTGGGCTCTGAGGTCTCTCGGATCATCAGACGGACCCTGATGTAAAGCATTCTGCCTCTGCCTGTACAAGTATCGGAACTGGGGTTTCTGCTTTTACCCCAGGCCCAGGCGACAACCCTAGGTTGTAGACAGGGTTCCGACCAGTACCATCATGCAAGACAAAGCCGGCCAGTCTGAGCATTTACTCAAGCTCAATGCCGCTCGTCAGTCGCCGAGTTCTAGGTTGTTCTAAGCGCGTCCATGTCGACGCTTTTCAATAGGTACGCGAATCAGCCATCCCGGGTTGAAGACGCCCCGTTACGGCACGGGTCGAAAGTATGTGAGCGGGCTACTGACAGTCTACCGCGCAGTGCCCGGATGAACGCGCCTGAAACACGCTGCAATCCCCACGAATTGCGAATGAAAGAAGGGCATCCAATCAACCGTGAATTGCGAAGGCGCGCCTCAGGCTTGGACTGGAACGGCTTGGTGCGCGATATGCGCCAACCGCCACCATAGGCGACCAAGAACAGGCGTGGGAAGGCATTGTGGGGCTCCTGTGCGTGCAGGGAACCGGAATTCCTCTTCTGATCGCGCCAGTGGAGCAGACTTTCCATATGTGGTGGCCGGGACGAATAGTTGCAGCTCGCTCACTGCAATAATGGTTGCTTTATACGTATATAAGAGGGCCAGTTATAGGGGCTGGGCTATAATCGTTCGATTAATACAGCCCGAACGGCTGGGCGACGGGCCAGGAGCACCAGTAGCCCAGCAGCCGCCGGTGTAACAAGAATAATCCGAGCCGACAATATACATGTCTATGCGCTTCGATGGCCTGGCTGGGCGGCTTATTGGGGGGCCGGTGGAAGCATCAAAGCATTGCAGCCATCGGATGCGGGTTTGGAGAGCGGTGTGCCAACGTCTGCGCGAGCTGCTCGAGGCCCTCGGAAGGATCAATCGGAGCACAAGTTGGGAACGGAGGCGGGCCCCTTGCTCGCGAGCCCATTGGTACCGAGATGTTAGCTGTGTCGTTGGCACAAGGCTCGCGGCTACGCACGCAAAGCTGCAAAGCCGGCCCTGTCAGTAAGGCCTTGCGCCAGCTGTGATTTCGGTTGTCTTCCCGGATTCTTTGCGAGCCGTTTGGTTTCGTAGGCATCATGGCATCACTGTACGAAAGCCGAATGCCTGGCCGGGTAAGATTTGGCCGGATACCAATGCTGCGATGAACTGTCCAGGCTGGGGAGCTCATCCTTGACACCATTGCCAATGCCTTGGTCCCATCTCGATCTTGACACGTCCGGATTAATGCGGCCGTATCATTAATTCTTTATCAATAGCGCAGCACATGTGTGCCGAGCTGGTCCTTATCGAGCCTCACTCTCTTGCGGACCAGATCGATCACGATCTTGTGACTGCTGACGTCTAGGCCCTGGCCTAACATTTCGGCTGTTTCAACCAACCAGCCGTTGAATTCTCCGATCTCAGTCTGCTTGCCGGCTTCTGTATCTTGTAACATCGAGCTCCTGTTGTGTTTGACTTTCTCTCCAATCTGATGTAACAACTCTCGCAGTCTTGTTGCGGAGAAACGGTGTAGCAAGGCGTCTTCGAATGCCTTGTCACCTTGCAGGATCTGTGAGCTACTCTCCTGTCTCACCAGGGCCTGGAGTACATTGCTCGTTTCGTTAAGGAGTGCATCCATGACCTTGACAACGTCGCCATCCTTGTCGGCGAATAGGTCACCATTCCTGACGCGTAGAATCGCGCTCAGAGGATTGATGATCGAATTAATGACAAGCTTCTCCAACTGGAGCACCCAGAGTTGGGGTCTTGATACGGTCCGCGCTGCAAGATGGGGTGCCCTCGTGATCATCTCGGTGAGATGGCTGGCCTTCTCGGGGTGCTTGTCGCTTGGGCACACAGGGCCGATGGTGATGTCAGCCGGGGCAGCATGGACGCTCTTGAATATCCCTTCAGAGTACACTCCATGCATAGTCACTCCATGTAGCCAATTTGGGTGCTGCCCGCCCGGAAACCGATGACCATTGTAGGCAGAGCCGTGGGGGGGCCATAGCCGATTCACACCATTTTGAACAAACACAACCGTAGACGAGCTGCCCAGGTACCGACGTAGAGAGTCGAGCTGTGGCATGGCATCTTGGGCCTTGGTTGCAACAATCAGATTGCCGAGCTGGTGTCCATCGGCAATTTCTCTCACGGGACCAATGGACGGTTTGTCGGCGGTCCACCATTCTATGTCCAAATTTGACACGCGCTCCGGTATACCATATCGGGTGATCTCAATCCCAGGGTCTGTTGCCCAATGCTCAAGGAGGCTACGTCGGTTAACCACGAGTGTGATGGGAGGTGGATTGGCAAGCTGCGCGAGACAGGCCGCGTAAAGGCGCCCAAGATTCCCCACTCCCAATATATAGATACGACGCTCATGGTCGCTGCGCCTGTGGATCCTCTGTTCATCAGGTGACTTCGTTCTCTCGCTGTGCTCAAGGTTCTCCAGAGTCCAGGCGAAGGATCTGGGCGGGCTCGTTGCGTCGTCGAGGACTGCCTGTAGCCATGGTGGCCGTTCATGTGGAGCAACAGCTGAACGCTGAGACAAATGACGGGCCGCCATTCGCCTGGGATGTAGTCGTGCCCTGACGATCCTCAAAAGGGGCATGGTCGTGAGGTGCTATGTGACTGAAGCCCCTTGTCTTCTATACCCTAGGTAGTAGGCCCGCTAGCTACCTTGACTGAATGGACGACCTAGAGGTGAGAATGGTAGGCCAAGATGAGGTGCGATGTGACTCACGTCGCTAGCGTTCTCGAGTTCAAAGGTTTGGGATGGTGGATGAGGTGTTAGTCGCTTCGAGATCAAGTGTCGTGGCGTCTCAATCTGGAGGTGACGAGCACACCCTCCCTCCCGCCCTCCCGTCTTCAGCCGGTGAACCGTGCGCCGGTACGTACCCCCCCTTCAGGTAGCCACATCTCACCGCGAGCACTTCAGACTTGCAGCACCAAACCTCCAGCTATGTCCCAAGACCAGAGTCATTTGAAATTTGGACAGCTATGGCGAGTTCCAGGGCTTGTAAAAATACAGTTCGAGGCTCAGTCTTTACCGTCTTATTGCTAGGTAGCATGCTCGATTTAGTATCAGTCTTGCTTAAGTATAGTCCTTTTCTGCATTTCAATTTTATTGATAGACTGAAAAGAAATACATTGCCTCTGTTCCAAGGGTCTCAGGATAAACGATAAACCCACAATGAATACAATCTCTTGTGAATTGATCAGTTCTTCAAGTCTGCCCTTGTGCTGGCAGCAAACAAAGCCAAAGTCCCACATGAGCACCAGGCACTACTAATGCCTCTTAATAGTCTACTATACTGATAACTCTTTCCCGTATCAAAATATATATGGATCTGGGTAAAAACCCGAGAAGTTGAAGCAGAAGATCAGATTTCAAACACTCAAGTGTTGGGCCATTGCAGGTTCCCTCTTCACTTGCTATCATCCGGCCGGAAGCAGTCTCTGAACCCTTGTATCAAGCAGCACAACTAATCCCCAAGTGACAATTTATCAGCATGTTAATATTTTACATGTCAAGTCTTGTGTTGATGAGAGGATAAAGCTGCGGACAGACGTTTGTCAGCCACCTTGGCTTCGGGGAATGGAGACCTTGGGACGCATGTGGCAATAAACCAAGTGAATTATAACGGACAGCTTGACTATAAAAAGTTGTAGTGATCTGAAGCTGGTTTTTTCGGTGTCCAAGGCTAAGTTCGATTTGAAGAGGCAAACAGCACAACCGGGGCCCTTCGAGCTCAGTAAAGGCGGATGCAGTCCTCGATGCATGCGGTCTTGAGATGCTAATCCGAACTTGACGCATTGTTCCACTATTGGCACTTCTATACTGTGTTTCTGATGCAAGGGTATTGGGCATGGCTATAATCGCGAAATGGCTCCAGCACCATAGCTAGATCAACCGTATTGATTTGCGGATAATGGGGAATAGGGGCGTGCTTATAATTGAAAGTACTCTAATGAAAACATCGCTTGCACTATTCATTTCAGCGGTGTTCCTGTGTTGCTTTTGAAATTTTCGAGCAGGATTTCCAATTCAAGAATCGGTGTCGTGAACATATCTATGTATGTCCACTCTGGATATCACCTACAGGTAATCGATTGCAGCCGCGTCAACTTAGAAACACATCACACGTTTAACTTTAAAAGAATCAGTGTTTACCTTCCATAAATTATGGAACTAAGGATGAATTCACCCACTCTAAATACTTATGAACAACATTGACCTGAACCTTCCTGATGATAGTACAGTCACTGCTGACCAAGTGCTCACGGAAGCTACAGTGATAGCAGACATGCAGTAGCGATCGTCAGTCCACTTTAAAATAATGGCATATAGTTTGATGTAACTCTTGATTTACTGTAGGTTATGAAGAGCTAAGAATTCACATACTCTTCAACGGTGCAGTCAGCATTAGCCTTTGTGCACACTAAGTGGGTATTAGAACTTTCAACGCTTTAGCTATAGCTCAACAATAATGAACCCTAACTCTATTGCTACTTAGTTTAAAGAGAAGGCTAGAAGGGCCAGGTCTCTAGCACACTATCAATAATTTTACAACACTTTGTTGTCTGCCTTAAGGCAGAGCATGCATGTGTGATAGTCACAGGCAGTGAAACTACATGTCCGTGATACCAGATAGTATTTAGCCTAAAGGAGCTAAACTAGTTTCACTTCTATTCTATATATATTTAAGGATATATATAAATTATAATTTAAAAAAGAACTATCACATTAAATCTTATATTATTTAACTTTAATATATTAACTCTTTATTACTATTAATATTAAATAAGAAATATTAATAATAAAGTTAAAAGAGTATAAAAGAATAATATTAATATTAAATAGTAGAGTTTTAAAGTTAAGTGTCGCTTTTTAAAAGTAATTAAAGTATTATATCTATCTAATCTTTATTCTTAAAGTTTTATTTTAAGGAAATACTAGTGTTATAAATGAAATAATACATTTAGTTCTATAATTTCTACTGTCATTTATACCACTGTAGAGTGATAGAAGACATGAATCTTAGAAAGTCACTTCCCTATTAAACAATGAATACATCTAGAAAAGTTCATCCCTGTTCTTACTTCCACTGTTCTGCACCTCGTTCCACGGATCGTTGTAGCAAGATGGCTGTGCAGCCATAATACGCCTTGCTTCCGGAGAGGACTGATTTTTAGTTAACCATCTAGGTACCCAGGCTAGACTTGAACGGTCTCTGGTGCCTACTTGTATTGGAAGCTGGTTCGGACTAGCTTCGTCTGTGCGGCCGTCACGAAGCTGTCTATGTCTTTGAGCTGTGTGCTACAAATGTGTCGTAAATCTACCTAGGTACCTATTAATAACATTCTATGTTATCCCAGGCTGGGTCTTGATATGTTTGCTATCATGTGAAGGGAAACCATATATAGCTCTAGAAACACAAAAACAGACTTGGACCGAAACTCCCTGAGTGCAGATTTTGAAAGGGTACCTAGGTGTCTAGGTATTGACGTGTTAGCTCTACAACTATGGTTACCTGGATATGCTAAATCATTTTTTATGTGATTGGAATTGGTAATACTGTTCTCTCTATACTGTTATTAGTATTACATTTTTTTTAACACACACTGGGTCTTAAGTGTTTACCACTTCATGAATGCGCTATATATGTTTACATTTAATATGTATAGGGATTAGAAATGAGACTATTTAGGATTAGTAAAGACTGAAATTTGATGGAAACAAACCCGGAAAGACAGAAATGTATAAATATGGGACTGGCAAAACAAATTTATCCTACTGATTCAATACTGACATCAGTGATGTTGTTGGATTCTTTAGGCGTGCTAAGCACATTGACCTGGGCAGACTGTCAATCCCTGCGACCGGCACATATTCCGACCATTCGAGGCTGCTTGGGCTGTGAGCCGAGAAGAAGTCTTTAGACTATCCGGATAGCCTGAACTGTAAGATGAGTCTGAGGAGCCCTGGGATGATCCATCATTTTCGCCACGGACTCCCCCCAAGACCGCCAAGTGGCTGTGTTCTGGGGCTTGGGGTCATGGCTCGCGGTGTTTCAAGATGGCGGGACGACGTCTCAACCACCTCCAGCCAGGTGCATTGCCACATTGGAGAACACTTAAACATCTCATTCCCGCCCACATGGCAACCCAAGGCAGCCGATGTCATCACCGTTGCGCAGATCAGAAACATCCCTGGCCCCAGTGCTCGAACACCCGGGGAATGTCAGGTAATACCACCGCGACGCCGACGATGAGGATCTTCGCCACCCTACTCCTGGGCCTGCTGGGCCACGCCCTAGGGCAGCAAGCGCCCTGCAACGGCCACGCGGAGCTCTGCAGCCGGCGCTACAGCAACCTGACGCTCGTGGGCTCGCACAACAGCGCCTTCACGGGCACGGGTCCCGCCGACAACCAGGAGACGGACGTGGCGGCGCAGCTGGCGCAGGGCGTGCGCTTCCTGCAGGCCCAGACGCACTTTGACAACAACACCATCAAGCTGTGCCACACCGAGTGCTTCCTCGAGGACGCGGGCCCGCTCGAGACGTACCTGGCCGGCGTCAGGGCTTTTCTGGATGCCAACCCGCGCGAGCACGTCACGCTGCTGCTGACCAACCAGGACGGGCAGTCCGGGGCGGCGTTTGATGCCGTGTTCAGGGCCTCCGGGATCCAGGGGTATGCTTTTGCGCCGGGGAGGGACCTGACGCTGGACCAGTGGCCCACGCTGGGGCAGATGATCGACAATGGGCAGCGTCTTGTTGTGTTCATGGGTGCGTGAGCTTTCCTAGGGATGGGGCGTGAAGGTGTGTCCCGGCCTGACTTGATGCCGCAGATTTCCCAGCCGGAGATCCAGTCCCATACATACTGAATGAGTTCGACCCATATATCATGTAAGTTGCAATCACCTGCAAGATGCGCAGACAGATCTGCTTGGTGTCCTGAGTATCAGATATTAATCTCGCCGCGGGAAACAGAGAAACGCCATTCGAGTACGTATCGCAGTCATGGTCTTATTCTCAGAGAAGGCTGTACCAAGAACGCCCTCCATCCCTTTGCTAAAATCTTTATCTGCCAGTTTCACTGACCCGGCTTTCGCACAATGCTCCATCGACCGACCCCCAGGAGCATCACCCCAAGGTCGCATGGTCCTCGTGAATCACTTCCTCGACACAAACATCTCGGGAATCCTCATCCCCAACCGTGCAGCCGCAAACGTGACCAACTCCGCCGCGTCTATTACCGCACAGGCGAACATCTGTGTAGGGCTCTACGGCAACAAGCCCAATTTCATTCTGGTGGGTCTCCCTTGAGATACAAACCGGACTTATCACGTGGAATCCCTCTGCCGCACCAAGTGAGCCGTTGGCTAACACCTTGTTCTTTGTGTCGACAGCTCGACTGGATGAGCGTGGGCGACGGTATGTCCGTGCAGGCCATGATGAACGGCGTCCCATTCATCCCGAGCACGACCGTGAGCGGCGTACCCGGAAGCGCAACCTCTTCCCCGACGCGTGCCCCGGCGGGAGGAAACGCCACGCAGACTGGGGCCGGACCAGCGACGCAGACTGCGGCACCGGGGAGCACGTCCGTATCTGCGGGCGGCGGCCATCCAGCGCCATGGGCGCAGATCACAGCATCGCTCGCGTGTGCTGTTCTGATCCTGCTGCTGGTGAACAGGTAGGCTTCTTCCGCGCAGAGAAATATGCGGTACTTCGGCGGACTTAATGTTTCCGGATAATGAGTTTTGCTTCAACGAGTATATGGGACATACATAGCTGGGCCTTATCAGTAGACATCGCTTGCTGCGACTTAGTTCCGGCAATTGATGGCACTTTGGAGAGTGGCAACTCCTGTCTGATATTTCAAGCCATTGGTGTCGTACAGTTTGAAAGAATCGATCACGAGTCAAGTCTCAGTTGGATGACCTCAATTTGGACATCTGTAAAGGACAACCTCGGAAAGAATAATTCTTAATACTACAACCCCAAAAGGGGTGCACACGACTCAAGTTTCAGCGTGCCTATTTTCAGTATTCCGTTGAAGTGCAGCAAGACGCCCGATGTGCATGATATCTCTTGCTTTCTGAGGGTGGCTTCATATGCTCATACACTGCAGCTTGCCACAAGATACCCTCTCGTAGGGAGTATGGCAACCTCCTTGAGTACCTAGGCAACATCACGTGGACTCAAAAACATCATACGGGATAACCCACGAGATGGCCGCCTTTGGAACAAGTCTCTGTGAAAGGTTTCCCTATGGAGTTCTGGGTTGTCTTATGAGCAGGCCTCACAGGGATAACTGTGTGTGGACAAGCTCAAGCTCAAGAGCATCCAGACAAATCCTGACCCGGTTTATGCGAGCTTCAATCGACCAGAGTGAGATCCATGGTGGACAACAAGCCACATCTAGCCCAGCAGGGTCGTCGATCACAGGACAAGGCGAGCCCTGCGCCGGGCCCAAGCTTTCGGGAGATCGACTTGGCACTTCCATCACATGAGATAAGGTTGGATGGATCAGGAGGTGAGATCGCGAAAGTTTGATTGATGGGGTATATGTGAGTGGGCTCCTAATTTTATAACTTCGTCTCTATAAACATTAAATCTTAAAATCCCCAATCCTTGCCCGGCGTCGTCTCGCTGACACCAGAATCGTTTTGGGTCGTGCTGCTGAAAATCATGGAGTCTTCGGGACGTCGTCACTTGCGTCCTTACTTTCCCTCCCCTTCTAAATGCAACGCCTTACAATGCTGAGGTATCCAAACAATAAAGCCAAAATCTGCTGACAAGCCCGGGTGGTGAGAGGGGTATAAGTGCCGATCAAGTCCACCACCCGCGTCCGCCGCCCAAAGGTCTGACGCCAAAACTTCTCAAACCTCGACCTTTTCGTTGTCGACCTCCTTGGGAAGAGGCTCCGTCGCCGGGCCGGCCGCGCTGCTCTCAACACGACTAAGGCCGCGTGTGCGGCTCTTGCCCGAGGCGCGGCTCATCTTCTTGACGAGCTTCTCCATTCTGTCGCCACGCTCGACCTCCTCCATGGCCTCATCCTCCGCGGCCTCGGGGTCCTCGGCAGTGGTGCCGGCACGGCCGCGCATCTCCTCGAGAACCCTCGCGGCCTCGGCGGCGAACTTGCACTTGGCCCGGATCTTGGGGCCGTAGATGTAGAAGACGATGGGGAAAGGTATGCAAGCCACCGAGAGGAAGGCGGGAATCGAGGCGGCCCAGTGGAGGCCCAGGTTCGTGTACATCTGTTCGGTGAAAAGTGGGAACGCGGCGCCGAAGAGGGACCGTAGGACTGAATTTGCTGCCAGGACTGAAGCGGCGAAGACGACGTCTAAGGGGTTATTGGTGTCAGCATGCTGTCGGACCAAGAGGTAAAAAAGATTCTGAGTGGTGTAGCGTGACTTACATGAGTCGATGAGATAGTTCATCAGTGACAAGAACACCAAGACGATGCCCGTTGCGAAGAAGGCGCTGCCGATGATAGGGACAATCCAGTGGATGTTATTGCCGTTGGTCCATGCGAACCAGAAGAGACCGATAGGAATGAAGGCTGAGCCAACAATCGCCATGGGCAGTCGAGCCTCGGGAGGAGCCATGCCATCGTGCTCCTCGGCAACGCGTGCGTATCTCTTGTTGTCGAACATCGCATACGCTACCGCGAACACCATGCCCACAGTAATACCCAGGAATGCCAGACCAGCCTCACCGGGGCCCCAGCCCTTGGACAGCTGGAACACGATCGGGAACGCAGGGAACATCATGTACAGAGTTCCGTAGACAATGGCCATGTAGACGGAGGTCAGGAAGACGATGGGCTCCCTGAACAGAAGCATCCATGGCCGGGACAGGGCAATCTTGAACTGCTGCGCCATAGTGTGGTGCTTCTTGTGGATGTCCAGCTTTGAGACGTAGACCTTGCCGGTGAGCTTGGAGAGCTTGGCGGCACGGACCCTCAGGAGGACGGGAGCGTAGGTTTCAGGAACGAGGAGAGAGTTGACAATCCACAGGATGCCCGTGAAGATAGCCATGAGCCCTTCAATCCACCTCCAGCCTTCAGCCTCACCGAGGAAGCCACTGACGATGGGGCCTTTACAACTCAAGTTAGCTACGGAAACAGCAGTGGCTTGACATTGAGTAACACTTACCTAGTGATGGTCCGAGAAACGGTGCGGCAGCGAACACTGCGGTAGCAAATCCTCTTTCCGACTGCGAGAACATATCCGCAATGACACCGCCTGAGTTGGTGAGTGGCGACGATCCGAAGGCACCTGCGAAGAAACGGAGGACGACAAGGCCGGCGAAGGACTTGACACCAGCGGCGCCGGCGTTGAAGGCCGTGAGGGCCGCATATGTAATCGTGAACAGTATCTGCCGGCCATAGAACTCACTCGCTGGCGCCCACAGGAGTGGTCCTACCGCGAACCCGACGACGAAGAGGGAAAGGCCGAGGATGGAGAGCTCCTGGGACACCTTGAACTCGGCGATGATGTACGCCAAACCCCCGGAAAAGGCACTGCTCACGAAGGCGACAGCGAGGGTGGAGATAGCGGTCAGGATGGTCATACACCACTTCTTGGTCTTGGTCCATTCCTGGGGATTATAAGGGTCGCATGGCGTGAAGTCGACGGCGTAGGGGCTCTCCTCGGTGCCGTCTCCAGGGTATCTCCACTGCAGGGCCTCCCTCGTGACGCCGGCTCGGTCGAAGACGATCTTGAAGTGGCTCACGCGCGTCATGCCGGAGCTCTGCGACTGGACATCGGCCTCAGTCGCGGTGACGGAGCTCTCCAGGGACGTGCTCGACGGCGAGTTCGTCATTTTGGAGTCTGTGAACTTTCGGTGGTGTTATTCGAAAGAATCGCACCAGCAGGAGGCGGAAGTAAGACTGGGAGGAGGAAGCCTGCGCCCATGATGATAGCAGGAGAGGCCGCTCATTTTGAGTTATCGGGTGGACTGCTTTTTGGACCCCCACCCACACCCATTTGGTCGGTTCGCGATTAAGGGGGAGAGCGGCCGAGATGTCTCCACCCGTGTGCAGTGATTGGTAAGGCAGAGCAATGAAAGTGGGATGCCGAGGTTCTGGTGCAGAGGGAGACGACTGCCCAAGGGCACAAAAATGGCAAGGCGGCAAATTCCTGCAGGCTCTGCCCAGAAATTTCGGGCCGTACCAGGGATTACGGCGTGGTTTCTGACTTAAAGCGGCTCTGCGGGTCCCACCACCACCCTGGCTAAGCTCAAAAAAATGATCAACGCCAAGCTCGGCTGGTAGCGGTGCCTCGGCTCACGCATCGTTCCAGATAACGGTTTTCAGTCTTGTCCCACTCCCTCGGGAGTCCAGAAGCTTTTATGTTTGGACTCCATGGGGTATCCTGGCTCTGTTTGTATGGCCGACAGGTTCATCATTTGTAAACACGGATGGTTAACCGAGACTGCAGTGGAATCGTGCTTGAGGCGGCCTGTCTGAAGAGCTCAAGGCCGGCAGTGTTCCATCTTTCCCGCCCTTTCTCCTTTTTTTTTTGCCCGAGAACTGGAGAAAGTGTGGATCGCGGCAAACACAGAGCACTCAACTATGATCCAAGGAAATCCTCAAGCCACAAGATGTTGTCCAAATGCTGTCCGAAAAGACGTCGTTCCATTAGACGATTTTACAGGGAATTATGTCCTGATGATTTTCGACCGGGGGTTCTGGCATCCCTGCGAGCTCTGTTGACCAGGCAGCCCAGGCTGGGATTCTTTTGCTGATCGGGGTTTGTAGGACGGGAAGCACAGGGCATCGGATGACTCGTCAACCCGGTGGCACCAGCTTCAGATCCTGCTCGTGATGATGACCGGGCCCCTGTTCTCGACACCGCCACGTACAGGTCATCCTCATGGCGAAGCTTAGTCGATAGTGTCCGCCGATGAGCTCATGCGCAGCCCTAGGGATTGATCATAGGACGTTGCTCCACAGGATCTTATCCTACGGCAATGCATCCCATAGCAGGCATGATAACCCTATCTTGTTACAGCCCAGGAACATCCGCCGGAGCACACTTGAGCCTATCGACTAGCCGAAAGGGGCACAACACAGATAATGCACAATGCTGTCCCGCCGCGTCGGTTGACGGCTAGCGAGATCCACCCAAAGCCCACTAAGACGGTTCCGAGCGGAAAACCGAATGGCCGGCCGAGGCGGTGCGGCCGGATCCCGGCTCAGTCGTCAAAACCACTCCATGAACCCGCGTCATCATCACCGGTATTTGCCACGTTAACCCCGTGGCCGTTGGCATTCGGATTTTGGGGCGATCCCGACGGTGGATCATGGTGGGTCTCCACTTCGTTTTGGCTACTTCGGCTACTTGCCGTAGTCCCCTTCTTGGCCTTTTTTTTCTTAGTAGGCGGGTTGGGTGATGGCGAGTCAAGGTCTGGGTCCCGTTCAAAAGCGGCCACGAAGAATCCCATGACACCTCGCCCGTCGTCTTTGTAAGCACGTATGCAGGACTCGGCCACCTGCTTGTCGCCGTTGCAGGCTTCGATCTGACCCCGGACGGGCCATGCTTGCATCCCGCTGACCTGCGCCTCACGGGGCATGACGCGCCACCCTCGCCTCTTGCCGATGTCTGACTGCAATGCCTTCAGAACAACCTGCTCATTCTCCTCGGCATGCACGGAGCAGGTGCTATATGTGATCTTGCGTGCTGCCGGGAAACTGAAAGCGTGTAGAAGCAGCGTCAGCTGGAAGGAAGACAGTGCCTCTAGTCGAGCCTCCAGGTCCTTTTCGGAAGAGACCACGGTGGTGTTGCCATCGTCATCGACAAGGACGTGTTCCGGACCCTCGGCCGGACGCTTTCGCTTCTTGGATGATTTACCCGCAGTGACGGCGCCGTCAGTAGCTGGTAAGTGCAGTTCTGGCATGTCGTCCCGACCGACAATACCACTCCCTGAACAACTTGGGTCAAGAAGTATTGCCCCAGTGCTGGCATATGTTGCGTCCGAAGGATCCACCTTTAAGAAGTCCTGGCCCTGGTGGATCTCGGTAAAGTCATCGGAACCTGCCAACTTGACCATCTTATCGAGTGTCTTTGCTCTCCTGGCGTCCTTCTCAAAGGCATGTATGCCGCTCGCGGACTTGCCCCCGTCCTGGCATTGCGACCTGATAATCGCGGCAGCGTGTGTCGTCTTATTCCCCGGAGCCGCGCACCCATCGATAACGTCTCCATCAGAGGGTTTTGGGTCGAGTAGGTAGGCTGGGAAGCAAGAGGCCTTATCCTGGAGGATGAGCTGACCGGACTTGTAAGCGGGACATCTCGCGAAGTCGAATCTGGGCGAGACAGCCACGAGGTTGGGGATGTGCTCGTCGATGTAAATGAGCTTGCCGCTGCCAGTGAATACTTCCTGGACAGAGCTTGCTTTCTGAAGTTCCTTGAACGTGGTAGACAGCTGCTTCTCGAGAGTCGTCTTGAGGGTGTTCACCCGTATCCAACGGGGATGCTGACTGTTGGCGTAAAGACTGGTCTCCACCTGCTCTCTGAGAGCATCAACGGACGAGCACTTTCTGCGTATCCTGGCACGCGTGAACTCTGCGGTCAGACGAGACTTGTGGCGGTCGACTGTGGCCCTGAGGCCATGTGAGGCGGGCAAGGCAATGCCACCCTTTGCAAGAAGAAAATCATGGACCAAGAGCAGAGACAGGACAGGTGTGAGCTGCAAGGGCAGGTCAGCTGGTGCACAGACCGGGGGAGGAGGGGGGACTTACCTTTTTCTCGTGTTTCAGTATCTGCGAGTGATCAATGGCCTCGGTCAAAACTGCAGACCACTTGCATGTTTCGAGGGCAAGAGCGTAGACCTGGTTTGGAGGAGATTTCAGGTCTTTGTTGTTGAAGACTCGGGACCGCAGATTCCCACCGGTCGAGGGGTCTTGCTGCAATACGGATGCAGCCTCGTGGTAGAGAGACATGATTACAACCAAGGAAGGCTGTCAAAATTAGGAAGGAACGCCTTGCAGGCTCGGGCTGTTGACATGGACACCAGTGGAAGTTGATGTTACAAGTACGAGGTGTAGCAAATTTCACAATTGATACTGACCTGTGAGTGAAAACGGCAGCTCCCGCCCCACAAACCGCGCTAAAAGCTAGAGCGTGACAGGGGTCCATCCACTAACACTCAGTGGGCGCGTTCTACAGTAGCATCAAGCAAGTCACTGTTTGTTGGTCGATGCTGAATGTGACAGCTCTTATGCTATGCTTGCATACCTAATATGTAGATACGTTACTATCGCCTCTTGCATGGCAGATGCAACCTCATGGCTAATTCCCAGCGTTCTCTGTCGATTAATTTGCATTAAGAGGCTGCCGCATACAAAGACTTCAAGATACAGCGAAACGCACAGCGTGGCAGAAGGGTTACAGCGGCCAAAAGGGCAGTATATCTGTTTGTATTGTAGTGGATATACCTGGGTACATATACACAATGGTAAGTGACACTCAAGGCAAGGACAAAAGCATCCGTCATAAGTCATCAGGTGAAAATGTCCCCACTTCTTCCCCTTCACCTTTCCCAGGTGTTCAGATCTCCAAAGCATCGCTTCACTTTTCCCCGCCAACCTGGAGCCCTGTCTGTCAAAACTCCGTTCTCTATTCCAGCCAAGTTGATATACCTAGCTAACCAGTCCCACCCTAAGTTGCCGATCGCTAACAAGAAATGAAAGAAAGATCCACCCTAATCGTCTAATGGGAAGGGGGGGCCTGCGTTCATGCACGCCCCCCTAAGAGAAGTGAAAAATCATGCGCACAAAGTCTGAAGAATGGATTGAATCAAGTTGATGGCCCGAATCCCACCTATCGCCTGAGCCGCCTTGCGTGAGGCGAGCGGTGCCGAAGCATGTGCTCGCGAGCGTGAGCGTGCCCATGCGCGTGGCCAACATCCCTCTTGTACGGCGCGTCCGTCTCCTCGGCCCCCTCGTACACCGTCTGGGTGACGGTGACCCACAGCGTCTCCCAGATGGTCGAGACATCGCCGTTGGGCAGCGTAACGACGGAGGACGTGACTGGCGCAGGAAGGATGGCGGCATCGTCGTCCACGACGGGCGGCGAGGGCGGCGGGGTCACCTGGGCCGCTGGCGGTGGGGCTGGGTTGTTCTCCTTCTCTGGGGCGGTGTTTTTGTTGTTTTCGGGGACTTCCTCGGGCTCGGTGTTGTCGGTGGCGACGGCGATGGGGGCTGAGGAGGAGGCAGACGAGGAGGCGGGCTTCGGGGCGCTGTTGTCACTTCCAGAGGAGCCTGATCCTGAGCCTGATCCTGATCCGGAGCCTGAGCTGGACCCGGAGCCAGTCGACGGCACGTTGGCCGAGCTTCCCACTCCCCATCCGGCAAGAGGGTTGTTACCTGGCAGGGCCTTCATGCTGGTACTGGCGATCTTGGCCTGAGCCGGCGGGGCGGCAGCGTCGCAGCTTCCGGACCTGTCCCTGACGGTAACGCCGGCGCACTGGTCCATGCCCAGGTCACCGGCGTCGCAGGTATCGATGATATGCTGCAGGGTCTCAGGCTCCCAGGCCGCGAGGAAGTCTGCGTGAGAGGAGCAGCCCGTGAGGTCACCGTTGGAGAGGACGAAAGGCTGGGACCCCTGGCCGGGGGTCCACCTGTCCTTGAAGAGCGGGGTGTTCCAGTACATCTCGTAGAAGAGGTGAGGCACATGCACGAAGCCCTCGGGGCAGTTCTGCTTGCCGGTGGCCATGTTGACGGTGGGGTAGACCATGTTGTTCTTGTAGTCGGTCAGGTCCTTTGACGGGTCGTAGCACGAGGGCATGTGCACGTCCTGGCGCAGGGGCGAGGCGTAGCCGTCGCACTCGGCAAAGGGGAAGCCCTGGCCCTGGCCCTGGGCGTTGGGGTCCGCGATGCCGGCCTTGGAGCCGTCGGACTCGGAGGCGGAGGGCCAGCCGGGCACGTTGTAGTCGGACCGCGGGCAGGTCCACATGGAGGGCTGCACGGGCTTGGAGCCGTCCAGCTGAAGCTCGCCGCCAAAGTCCGGGCAGGTGCGGAGGGAGGCGTCGCCGGCAACCATCTGCAGGCCGACAGGGAAGGCCTTGACCTCGTCGTCGGTGGGCTCGAAGAAGTAGTAGACGTTCATGTAGAACATGTTGACCGGCTCGAAGGTGTTGGCGGCCTTGTCGTGGAAGAACAGCTTGGGCACCCAGTACCCGGAGTTATCGCCAACGATGAGGGCGTTGCTGCAGTTGGACTCCATCATGGTCTCGCCAGTGGCCGAGACACCGATGTTGCTTCCTCCCATGAGGGTGTGCATATGGGAAGACGGCTGGCCGGGCGACACGATGGGGTCGACCATGTCCTCCAGAAGGGGTCCATCTCCGTAGAAGCGTAGCACGGCGAAGGTCCTCTCGTCCTTTGCTGCCTGCACGGTGACTGCAAGTGCAGCCAGGAGAGCACTTGAACACCTCATATTGATATGTCTTTTGGTGTTGGTTCCCTAAGGGTTTCTCTAAAGAATGGGATGTTTGTATTTCCAAATGAAAGATTCTTTCCACTGTGTTTCTGTAGTGGTGATGCTTGAGCCGGGGCAAGCAGACTGAATGATAGATAGTATTGCCAAAGGGAGGGTTTGTATTTTCCACTTGGGATGTTGTTTGTATGGTACCAGGCGTACGAAGAGTAACGGCTGGGGTTTTCAAGGAATGGGACCGACACAAGTGTCGAGGGGCAAGTTGACTGGCTTGTCAAAGAATGAAAAGTGCGCAGCAGCTTTGCAAATGAGAGTGACGTGGGTCTGGTCAATGAGTGAACCGGAGAAGAACAAAACCACGGAGTGACTGGCACAAGTGAAGGGCGGGATAGGGAACAGGGCAAGAAAGGCAGGAGAGAGAAACAGGAACAACCCGGGAAGGGGAAATGTGCCGAGAAGAGGGACAAGAGGGTCATATAGAGGGGGATGCTAGGCCAAGGCGGCGGGGCCTTGGTGTTGATGATTCCAACATTCCCAGGGTGGGCTCGCCGGCAGCGCAAAGGCTCGCCTAGACGCAGATGCATGCGGCAGGGGTGGGCAGCCACGAGAAGGAGGGAACGATAAAAAAGGCCCGGGCCCCACACCAGCCAACGGAGAAAACAAGACAAGCAGACATGATTATTCTTGTTGTGTTGTTTGTTGGCGGCGGTAAAACAAGATGCCCAGGTGGTTAGGCCCATGCAGGCCGAGATGTTGGTGTTGCCCCTGCAGAAGGGCCGCTCGGAGGTGCAGGGGTACCCCTGGTCTGATCCATAGTGCTCACCCAGCAGGGGCGGGATGACGGCGGATGGTTGACAGACAGCCAGATGGACCAGTCATATGGATGAATCGCATACTCTATCTCCGGAGGATTGCGGCCAGGACATGTACAGTCAGGATTTTCTCCTGCTGGTCAACCCCAACCGAATTAGGAGACTGCTCGGCGATGCCTTGAGGAATGCTAGGTCGTGAAGTTGCACGCAGCACTCAAGTACATGGGTGGCGGCGGTGGCTGGCTGACAGGCGCCCCAAGAGCCAGGCCGGTTGTTTCACGGGCCGCTGTTGGTAGCTGGGTACTCTGGTTCATGTCCAGGTTCCGTCCCAATGGTAAGGTCTCGGGCGCGAGGCAAAAGTTCCAGAACGGGCTCCTTTGTGGCCCACTTCGAAAGGTCATTGATCGCCCTGACTTCGACCCACCGTGGATTTTGGCTGAGGTCAACTCAATTCAGTGGGCTTATGTGGGACACATGACCTATCGTATACGTGGACAACATCGATGGCTGTCTCGGCAGGGTCATCATGGATCTTAGATCTCACGCATCTGCCACAGTACTTTCACGAAAACCTGTCTCTATAAGGGCCAAGAAGAGCTCTGACCTGGCAATATATTAGACTCAGCCACTTGTGCAGGACGCCGTTCTCCGCTCGTCTTGGCTCCAGGGACAAATCAGTACGGGATCAAGCCTGGAGGCGGGCATCGACAACTCATCTAATATAGTAGCAATAAAATAAAACAAACAAGTAAAAAATCGCACATGAGTTCCCCACCCACTCTCCCGGGTTGGCACGTTGAAAGAAGACAGATCCCAGGGGGGGTTCGTCCCAGCTTCCGCCGCCGTCCAATGTCACCAGGCCTATCGGGTCCTCCCTTAGTCCTGGCGATCTGTTCGTCTGCTGAAACACGGTCCCAAATTAAATCCTCCGAGCAACTCTGCCGTTTTGACAGCAGATCATGTTTATGTTTATTACCATGGATGTCCAAATGTCCAGGTGCCCTGGAACGGCACATATGAAAATGACTGTTCAGCCTGCACGCACAAATGCTTGTTTTCAAAGCGCCTCTCTGTACCCTTCCAATCTCGTCAATATCCTTGACCTGTCCAGTAAATGCCTACACGCGGATGTGAAAGGCGCGCGGTTCAGCGGCGGCGACACGCCTGGCGGATGGCCGCCCTCTACCGAGTACATGCTCTCAGCGTTACCGCCCACCCAGTCCATTCAGACCCTTGGAAGGGATCTGTTTCAAACCTTTGCTAACGCTCTGCACGGTAAGCACACATGGCCTGGTTGACCAATTGGAGACTTGACGTACCTTGATCCTTCCCCCCCCTTGCACGTGCATTCAGGGGTGTGTGGTTTGCCCACATGCAGTCAGAATTCGGGCAGGGAAGTAAGTCAAAGGTTATGCTTATCTACCTTTTCGCCTGTCCTGTTAGTGATCGGCTCGGTTCCCGACTCCTCGCTCACACCGCAGTACCTAGGTGTTTTTTTTCCCTCTCCTCTTGCTCGGATAACGCCGAGACGACCCGCTCGCTGTAAGTGCACAATGTGTGGAACAAGGGACAGACAGGATCGTGATCCGAGTGGCGAGCTGCAGGACGATAGATAGCCCCTCTCCTTTCTATCTTTGCTTTGGACCCCATGGGCGCCACGAAAACGTCAGATGTGCGAGTTCCCGAGGACAGGAGAGACACCGCCGCAGAGACCTATCACAACCCGCAGCACAGGGCCAGGTCCCGGACAAGCCGCCCAATCCTCGTCTCAGGATGCCCTCCCAAGCCACGCCTGCTCCCGTCATGCAGCTACCCTCCGTTCCCGCCCGCTGACACCGCCCTGTTGGATGGGGGGTTGTTGTGCAACGTGCCATGACAGGTGTTGTGCCCTGCTGTGTGCAGGCAAGAAGAGGAAAAATGGCTGGATGAGTGCCAGGTGCCAGGTGTCCGAGTCTTGCCCTGCTTCCCACCCGGCAGTCCGCACGCCCGTGGCTGCGTGGCTTGTGCATGCGCAGATGCTAGTACTCCCAGTGCCGACTTGTTGCTTCTTCTCGTATCTCACACGGTTGCTGCACCTGCCTCCGTCGTAATAGATAGATCATCACACCAACTCCAAGTCCAATCTCGTACACACATGTTTGATTTCCCACTAGACATCCCACGTGCCCACATCGCCTGAAACATACATACACTCACTCACTCATTCATCCGCCTCGCTCGGCCAGCAACTCCCCACCTCCAGCCTCCCGCCGTCGTCCCCCCGCGCCTGGAACGCCAGCACCGGCGTCCCAAACTGCAGCGGGTTGCCCTCCCACACCACGACGTCACCGCCCCTCTCCAGGCCCAGGATCTCCTCCACGTTGCTCGACACGAGCCGCAGCGCCTCATGGTCCGAGAGCCCCGCGTACTTGGCCGTCCACGAGGCCTCCAGCGCCAGCGACTGGATGCGGGAGTCTCCGGGCGGGCCTTTTGTGTCAGATTGGTGCATACGTTAGCAAGATCAGATGGAAAGAAAGGGAGAAAGGAAGCACCCGGCTTACCGCCATCTGTGTTGATAGCCACTGCGTAAAACACCCCGGCCTCGCTGAGTATGTCGGCCGGGCTGCGGCCCAGTGGCGGGCCGGGGGGCGAGTCCTTCTTGGTCCACGAGTCCGGCCCGGGCCTGGTGCCTGTGAAGATCAGTGGTATCTTCGCCCTGGCGATCTCCTCTGCGAACTAGACAAAAAAGTGTGAGAAATCGGGTTAGCTGATCGGTTGGTTGTGTCGACGACGGTGGCCGTCTGACTTACCAGCGGCGCCTCGTGTCCTCCGAGGATGACCGTGTTGACATTAGGGAAGTCCCTCTTCAGCAGGATAACCTGCTGGATGTCATGCTGCGCGGGAGGACATGATCAGCCTCGTCACCACCCCAAACAGTTCCATCAAGACCCGAGGGGACTCACAGTGCTGTCCGCCTTGACGACCAAGGGCAAGGACCCGTTGGCAACCAGCACCCACGGGTCCTCAACATCATCACCCTCCTCCGTCTCCTTCGACCCCTTCTTCCCACCCGCCCTGATCAGCCCCCTCAGCTTCTCAACAGCAACACTCACAGCCCCGCCGCCCGCCTTGGCGTCCTCCCCCAGCGCAACATGCATGGCGACATCCTCCTGGAACAAGCCCCCGTTCAGGAGCGTGCTGTTCTGCCCCGTCCGCATCCCCGTCGACACCCCGACCACCAGGCCCCCCTCAGACACGGGCGCCTGCACGGCCCGCGTGACGCCGCCCAGCCGCGCGCGCGCAAAGTTCTTGGACGTGGTCTTGCCGCCGCCGAGGCTGACGCCGTACTTTGCGTGGCCGGCCCCCGAGGCCGCCGCCTTCACGACGCCGTCGCCCGTGGTCGGGGCCATGGCGATCTCGGCCATGCCCAGCGTGGACGTCACGGCGACCAGCCCGCGGCTGAGGTGGCCGTTCTCGAGGCGGACAGAGGTGACGCGCGCGTCGCCCGCCTGGCGGAGCGTGTCGGCAGCCACGCTGCAGTCCGCCCCGGCGCCGAGGCAGGCGACCCTGCCGTCCGCGATGACCATGGTGAGGTTCCCGCCCCGGGCGGGCTGCCTTGAGGAGGAGGCCGCGGCGAACCCGGGGAACTCGTCCAGGAAGGACGTCGTGATGCCGCTGATCACGAAGCCCCTGCCCTGGTCCCCGGCCCCGGCGCACAGCCTCTCCCTCTCCCCGAGTGCTACCGTGGCGCGCATCGCGGGCTTCCCGGCCCCGCGGTGGGCGTCCGCGCCGGGGTGGGCCGCGGCCACGCGCGCCGAGCCGGCCTCGACCCCGGCGGGGTCCAGCGTGGCGACGCCGTCGATGAAGACCTGCCTCGGCGTCGCGCCCACGGACAGCGGGTGGGAGTCCCAGACCACGATGTCGGCGTCGTAGCCCGTCCGGACGTAGCCCACGCGGTCGTCGATCTCCAGCGAGGCGGCTGGCACCGAGGTGACGGCCTGCAGGGCCTTGTCCGCCGGCAGCCCGAAGCTGTGTCCGACTGCGGACTGGAGGAGGAGGTATTTTGAGTTCAGGTCCTCCATCGAGTGGTCCGATTTGTAGGCGACGGGTATGCCGTGGTCGTTGAGGATCTTGCCCGCCGAGAGGCTTGCTGCGTACGCCTCCTTCTTGTAGAGGGCGAACTCGGCAAACGTGGCGATTGTGAGGTTCCTGCATGGTATGGTCAGTGTATGTGCATGATGAATCCTCGAGAGAGACGAGACGACCTACTCGCCATATTCCTTGAGCATCTCCGGGACCTGCCAGGCCGCGATGGCGTGGTGGAACGCCCTCACGCGGAACCCAAACTCGTGCGAGATGCGGAGCATGGTCTCAAAGTCCTGGGGCTCATAGCAGTGGTTGTGCATCGCCACCCGGCCCCTGAGCATGCCCGCGGTGCTGTCCAGCTCCAGCTCCTCGGGGAAGCCGCCCTTGTCCGCCAGCAGGGCCGCCCTCGCCGCCGCCGAGGCCGAGGCCGCCCCCGCCGCCCCCGCCGCCTCGCACCAGCCGTCCTGCTTGTCGACGAGCTCCTTGGCCCGGGCCAGCCACTTCCTCAGCACCCACGCGTTGCCCATCCTCGTGTGCTTGTAGACGCCGATGGGGTTCTCCCCGCACGCCATCTTCATGTACCGCCGCCTCCCCTCGGCCGGGAGGCCGTGCTCCAGCAGCATCTCCTCGACGACGAACTCGCCGTTGGCTCCGGACCGCAGGCTGTTCTTGACGACGGCGCCCTCGCCGCCCATGATGTTGGCCGAGCCCGGGATGATCAGGCTCGAGGTGACCCCGCCGCTCGCGATGAGCCTGGTCGCCACGTCGTACGCCTTCATCGAGTCCAGCGCGCGCACGAACGGCGTCAGGGGCCCGAAGCCCCCAAACATCTCGTTGCCGTCCGGGATCTCCTGGATCTGCGGCCAGTCCTCCACCAGGTGGTGCGAGTGCATGTCGACGAGCCCCGGGGTGACGTACGCGCCGTGGAGATGGACCTCCTCTGCGCCAGCCGGGGCGGGGGCGGCGTCTTTCGAGAGCGATATGGAGGTGATGAGGCCGTGGGTGAAGGTGACGTCCACGGGGTCCTCGCTAAAGTCCGCACCGTCGAAGAGCGTGGCGTTGCGCAGGACCACCGTGTGGTCTTGCCCGCTGGCCGTGTTCCATCTTGGGTTCTCCTTGCGGTCCTCTGGGTTGCACCTGGCTGGCAGCGTTGTGATGGCGGTGCATCTGGCCAGGCCGGCCTGGAACTTCTTTTCATCCAAGGAGGACAGTCTGGGGCGGGACGAGAGGCTCAGGTATGAGTTCAAACACAGGAATAATGTCAAGGCCACAACGGCCACGACGGCGCGGAAAGAGAAGATCCTGTACAGACGTCTTGCGGACTGTGTCTTGGGATATGCAGCTGCCTCGTAGGGCGGAGGCGAGGAGCCGGCCTCGAGCTTGGCCATGGCCTGGTTCGATGCTGCTTCTTTCTGATTACTCGATATGTCCACGGTTATGTGCTCAATTAGCCCCAAGGATGCTCAGAGAGTTCCAATTGGCCGCAATTGATGCCTTGATGTGCCTCCCGAGCTCAAGACGTGATGCTGTTTGTTGGTGGTGAACCTGGAGGCAGCGGAAATTAAAGAGCTAATAAAGCGGCGCGGCTGGCTGGTTATCTACAGGGAAAAGACCTATTTATAGATAACAAGCCATGACGAAGTCTGATCGAGTCAAGCGGGAATAGCCTTCACGATATGCTAGGAATTCCACGACGCAATCGAAGAATTCGGAGTCGGAATTCCGAAGGTGACGATGGTGGAGCTCATAACAAGGGCAGGCTCCGTTGTAAGTTGTTGTTGGTGTTGGAGCCCCTCACTAGCTTGAAGCATTATGTTGTACAGGGTTTTACCTGTAATAAGGTTAAATAGTGACTTCTAAGGGCTTTATAAGGGGCCCCTAGATTAAAATCTAATAAATTATATAAGTTTATAAGTCTTAATAGTTAGTATATATATATAATAGATAGACTTATAAATAAATAAGAATATAATATATTTAAAAATAGTTAATTATAATATTATATTTTAATATAACCTTTTTTAGTTAAAATTATTACTATTATTCTTTTTAATATACTTATAATAAGTTTTAAAGTATATTAAGAGATAGCTTTTAAACTTATAAAATAGTTATATATAAATTTTACCTTTAAATTATTTTTATAATTTTATTTAATTTATACTTTATTTATATTTAAATATATTTAATTGGGTTAAGATTAAATAAATAGAGTAATTAAGTAATTATATAAGTATTTTTATATAATTTATAAATTAAAGTTTTATTAATTTTAAAATATATATTAAAGTATTATCTTATTAAATTATAAAAGTTATAAAACTTATAGAATTCCTTTAAATAAAATAATATATAAATTTAATATATTTATAAGTTAATTTTTTCTAACTCTTTTAAATTAAGTTAAAGTTTTATTTATTATTTATAAAATAAACTTAAAATATCTAATTATTTAATTTAAATTAAATATTAATAAACTTTTAATATTCTATTTAAAGTAAAGATAATAAATTAATATTTTATATTAAATTTATTAAATTATATTTTATTAATTTAAATTTAATATAATTAATTAATAAGTAAAAGTAAGAATAATAGAAAGTAAATTTAAGTTAAGTTTAATATATTTAATTAAAAGAAATATAAAATAATTATATTATATATTAATATTTATTAATAAATATAATAAAATATAATATTTATAAAATATATAATAGTAAGTTTAAATATATTTATTATAATTATATATATATAGTAATATATTTTATTTTATAGTATATTAATAATAAAGCCCTTTTAAATATAAAATTAAAAGATTTATAATTATAATTTTATAATTAATTTTTTATTTAATTATATTATATTACTATAACCTTATCTAACCTTATTTAAGCCTTTTTTTAAGCTTTTTTAGTTTTTTTCTCTTTAAAGGAGTTAAATTTAAAGGGAAGCCCTTAAGTTTAAGTTTAAAATTCTTATAAATCTTAATTTCTTTTAAATTAAGCTTATAATTCCTTAACTTTTTTAAAAATATATTAACTATTTTAAATATTAATAACTTCTCTTTAAAGTGGAGGTTTACCTTTATATAGTTATAGACCTAGTTGTTGATAGCTATTTCTTCTTTTATAGAGCTATTAGATCTATAAACCTAGATATTGTATGTAGTAATAGAGTGTGGTTACCTTATCTAGTTGTCTTTTAGTTTGGTAGGTTGGTTAAGTGATTACTTTTAAGTAGTTTTGCTTATAATATAGTGGAGCTAATGGATAGGTGTTTACTTATAGAGTAGAGCTAGAACCTTTAAGGGAATGGTAGCTTTATCTTTACCTATTTTAGTTAACTTATACCTAAGTTATATAGCGACCTTATATATAGTGCTTAACGGTATTAAGACTAGGCAGCTTGTAGTTTGTAATGGCTTTAACCTTCAATGGGTACGGCTTAGTGCACTAGTATAGGAAGGTATCTTCTAATAATAGACGGTATTATAAATATAGTAGATTGTGAAGTTATTATGAAAAGTCTTATATAGTAAACTTAGTTAAGTTGATTTTTAAAAGATATATTATATCTTATCCCTTTAAAACTCTAACTATTTACTTTTAACTTAATAGTAAAACTAAAAAAATATAAATAATTTATATTAATAATAAAGAAAAGAAAAGATATTACTTTTAAAAGAACTATATAATAATAACTTTAAAATAAAAGTAAAGGTTATATAGTTAATATATATTAAATTTATTAAATAATAAAGCTAATTATAGTAGTAATTTTAAAATTAATATATAAATAATAAAGTATAAGTTTTAATATATTACTTTTTAATTAATATAAAATTCTTTATATAAAGCTTTTTAATTAATTATAATTATAAATTTAAATTAAGTATATTAATATAAATAAGGCTAAGTAGGGGGAATATTATTTTTATTATATTAAAAATTAACTATAATAAAGTTATTAATTAAAGATTTTAGTTTAATAAAAAGATATATATAGTAGAAAAAATATTAACTATTTTTATTATTAAGGATAATTAACTTATAAAGGTTAGGAGAGTTAAAGTATTAAATTTTATAAAAATATTAAGGGTAGAGAGTATTAGTTAGATTATTAAAGGCTTTATAGTATTAAAGTATTTATAGAGTAAGTTAGGTTTAAGTATAAGATGAGGAAGGAGGGTTAAAGGTAGTTAAACTTAAAGGTATTTAATAGAATTAAAATATTAATAACATTTAAGAATCTAATTAACTAGCTAACTTATAAAAGTTAAAACTAGCTAATTAAAAGGATTCTTAACATACCTTAATATAATTATAATTTTAGTATAATATTAACCCCTTACTAGATTTTTCCTATAATATTATTTTATTAGCCTTTTACTAGTATCTTACTGTAATTTCAAAATTTTAACATTAGTTTAATATTCTTTCCTAGGTTGATTGGATTGTGTGACCTAAACGGGAACCCCCCTTCCCCCCGGTATGGACTAACCTGAAGTCCATGAATGAGCATTTGCACTGGGAATCTAAAGCTAGAGACGACTTTGAGCTGAAGACATTAATGTGACAGTCAAAGAACGGAAAGAATGCTGTCATCTTAACCACTCGGGTTCTGTGACCAATTTCCGCCGAGAGAACCTGACTAGCGAAACAAGCACCCCGAACATTGATAATTCCGTTGCTTCTTTCAACAGCAGATCGTCATGTAATGGCAACAGACTATGAAAGATTACGTCAATTTACACGCCGCAGTAGCCTGACTCTTAATAAACTACGAGGACATCAAGTACCGATTGTGGCCATGAGTTCCTCTTCTAAAAGACAATCCGCTCAAAGGACTGATCCAGCAAATACATACTAAAATTTATTGATTCCATGACCTCTTCAACATAAATTCTGAATTTTTGGACACATTTAACATTATGTAACATCTATCTTATTTGAGAGTCTCAGGAGTCTAACTAAAGATTAACTTAATATTATTATTATTATTAAAATATTTATAAAATACTTTATTAAAGTTAATATTAAATATTATAAAATATTTAAGGATAATATAGTTTAATATATTTCTAACTTTAATATTAAGTATCTTTTTATACTTTAATTCCTTAAATATATTCTTAATATATTTATAATTAATTTTAAAAACCTTAATATACTTTAAAGATATAAGGCTATTTATATTTAAATATTAATAGTTAGTGATATTTTATAAAATAATATTTATATTATAGATATAGGTTAAACTCTAGCTTTAATTAGTAATAATCTATTTAATTAAGTTATTAAAAGATAATAGCTAATAGTTTATATAGGTGGATAGAATCTTTTTAATATATAGGTTAGTAAATTTAATAGGGATAGTAGGTTTATTTATATCGCTCTATGATTAAATTTGATTATTATTAGAGAGGGTTAAGATATAAGATTAATTAGTGGAGAACTAGTGAATAGAGGTGCTATGCTTGTCATTCTATACCTTGGTAGGGAAGGTGAGGGTCTGCAGCTGGTGGGGTGTGTGTATAGTTCTCTCCCCGTTTATGATACCGGTGGTGTGGAGGGTGCCCTTTGAGGTGAGGAGGGTTGTTAACCAGCCGCTAAGAACAAGTAAGCTACGTTTATGTGTGTGTGTTACCTCGAGTCACACTAGCAATAACATACCCGCACTGCATGTTAGCTATAACACCTAAGCTCCTTGTATCCTCCATCTCGATAGGAAACCCGCTGGGGCCCCAGTTCTGCCACCTAGGAATGACTGGGATGCCCGGTCTAGGTACACCACGGTAAGGGACAATAAGGCTGCTAGTATTAGATATATAGCTATGGCCTAGTTATTTGTAGCCGTTGCTTCCCTAGGTGAAGATATGGGTCTAGGTTAGTAGGTAGTAGTATATATACTACTAATAAGCACTATTATACTCGATAATAGGTTAGTTAAGCACTTAAAAGGTACTATAGGTAGCCTATCTTTAGTATAAAAGCTTGAGTTGAATTAAGGATTACTATAATAACTTATAGGTAGTGTATAGTGTGAGGAAGCTTTTTAGGTTAAGGTGGGGGAAGATAAGGAGGAGGATATTGAGGGGTAGGTTTGTGATAGAACTGGGATTGTCCTCTATAGTGGTGGTGTTGGATCTACTCTTAGTGTTAATGTTGTTTATAAAGTGGATTTAGTGAGGTCTGTCCTCTGTGAACTATAGTTCAACCCTTAGGTATCTACGCCCCTCTGTAGTGGCCTGCTTTGGTGGTAGGTGCGGCGGCTGACGTCATGCTCTGGCATGTGTCACGGTGTGTTCATTGTAATTGACCCGTGTCTTACACCAACCAACCTTGGACTTACGTGTCTTGCACCTTTTGAAAACCACAGCCAAAATGGGCACCCAAATCATATCAACGCTAAATTTGTTTCTAACCACTTCAATCAAGCAGTCTGTCAATTAGAGGAACATCGTTTCTAATTCCATTTCGTGCCATGCTGATCTTGAAGTCGCTGGCATCAAATGAACCTTAACAGCATCCAGGAAATGTGGTGCTGGTAAGGTTGGCTTCACAAAAGCTACGCCTGCTTAACAGGTGAACACAGTTCATGATTTTGCGGGCCTGGGTGCATGGCCGATTGTCAAGCCCATCCGCTGCGGTCTCCGAGCCTGTCCCGGACGCACATTCAGAGCGTTCGATATCCATTTACCGGTGGGAGAAGGAGTACCAACAACGATGAGACTCCAGCTGAGCTGACTTGAGGTGGGTGAAACGGGTCGACAACCCATGGGTTCCGTAAGTCCACATATAGGCATGATTGTTAAAATAGTTGAGTCGCAGCCACGGCACAGTCACAGAATGATAGTAAGATAACAAATAGAAATTAGAGTAATCATCCTTATTCTAGATATGAGCCTATTATTTAATAGTAATTATTGTTGACTTAACATTAGGTAACCCTATTACCTCCTTATTTAAGAGAGATAAGATGTAGTATGTGCCTATAAGTATATATTTTCTATCTCCTTCTAGCCCTTCTCTCTTATATATAATATATAGAACTCCATCTTATTAAATATATAGATTTAATCCCTACCCTTTACTATTATTAATATTTATTCTAATTTAACATCTTATATATAACTAAAATATCTATATTATAAATTCTTTATAAATTTTAAAATTACTTTAATAAATTTAACTAACTTAAAGTTTATACTTTCTATAATTTCTAATAAAGCCCGCTTATTTAAGGTAGTTTTAAATTCATTAATACTTTTAAAAGTTCTTTTTTAACGTTAAAATAATATTAGCCGCTAAGATATTAATAAAGAAACTATTAATTAATATTACTTTAATAAAATTATTATTAATTTAATTAACCAACTTTATTATAACTTAATATTTATTAAGCTAATTATTTTAAATTTATAATAAAGTTTTATTCTTTATTAAATAGTTATTATTATATAATAGGCTCTATATCTTTAAATACTTTATAGTTATAAGCTATTCTAAGTACTTCATAATATTAATAATATAATCTTTAATTAATAGAATATTATTACTAATAGTTACCTCTATCTTTAAGCTTCTATATATATTTATAATCTTATTTACTTTATATTTCTAAGTGAAATTAAAATCTTAAAGGTTTAGAAATCTAGAAGCTAGCTCCTCTATATTTAATATCTATAAGCTCTTTTAATATTATTTAACTAATAGTAAGTTAAAGGTAGACTATAAAGCTTTAAGTTTAAAGGGATTAATAAAATAAGTAAATATAAATTAATAATATAAATTATTATTAGAGATATTATAGTTAAAGAGACCTTTAAATATTAATGATTCTAATGTAATACTTAGTAAAGTAATTATAATTGTTAGTGATAGTATACTTAAATGTAGCTATAGCTAGGTAATAGAAGATTGCACAAGGTGCCTATGCTAGGTAGTTGTTAGTAATAGCGAGTATCGCCCCCGGTGTAAAAACGGTCTGGGTATATATGTTATAATAATGTGTTAAATTTAAGAGCCCCTAAGGATAGGCTAACCTAAATGTCTCTATAGTATATAGACTCACCCTAATAAAATAGAACTAGTAGCTAAGGTAACTTTAGAATATCTAGGATTTCCTAGTAATAAAAGTTATATTATAAATTTTTAATTTATTTACCTTTTAAATAAATATTATATTTAATATAGCTTTTAATTCTTATTTACTTTTCTAGAAGATATTTTAGAATTTTAAGAGTATACTAACCTATAAAAGGTTTAATAATAGTAAAATAAAATAAAGTAGGTTAAGTAAACTAAGTAGTAAGTTATAATAAAATAAAAGACTAGTAATAATATTATTAAATTAAATAAGAAATAGGAAATAAGAAATAAGAAATAGGAAATAAGAATTAAGAATTAAGAAATGTAGTTTATAATAGAATTAAATAGAATAATTTATAATAACTTATAGATATTACTATTAATGTGAGTAATATTTGTAATTGTGGGAATGGTAGGCTGCAGTGGATTAGCCACTGCAAGCAAGATTAGTGGGTCCGTGCCTACGCACGGACCACCAAGCTTAGTCAGCAGGTCTGGCCAACCCAACTGGGCGCTTCGCCGCCCAGCCAGGCAGACCTCTAACCAACACCAATACACACCACTTCAACCAACCACTTCTTACGCGTAAGCTAAGCCAACCGACAGTAATGTTATATAAGAGAGTCTCTCAGACCCAACGTCCGTGCATGGGGACCGCCCCAGACCGCGTAACAGAGGCAGTACGGCTTTGGTACCTTAGGCATCAACACCGGTAATGCGAGGCCCATGCCCCACTCCCCACCAGCCAGCCACCCAACAGGCTGACATGAGATGATCCTTCAAAGTTCACGACAAAACAACCAGTTCTTGATGGCTTCCTCCAAATAACGTCAGTCACCTTCAAGATGTTCCCCGGTTTGATCCGTAGTGCACCAAAGCCTACGAAACTGTGCATCAGATTCATAAGGACTCAACGCGCGGCATTTTCCTCGTCCAGCATAATGCCTTTCCAGCACGACTTCGACCCGTACGAGTATACCAGCGGTTGTTGGCTACGCGCTGACGATGCTCAGCGCGATGCTCGTCGTGTCACGTTCGACTTTGCGACTCTTTGCCAAAAGGCAATCGACTCCTCTCCTGGCGCCAAGAAAATCTTGCATGGGGTGAAAGCGGAAGGTAACTTCAACCGCGCATTTATCCTTGACCTCGACAACGGGTCTAAGGTCGTCGCCCGCATTCCCTTCCCCGTTGCAGGGCCTTCTCGGCTGGTGACCAACTCAGAAGTCGCAACTATTGCTTATAGTAAGGGAGTACCTCTATCTGTGGGCCTTTGAATGTGTGATTTTTGTACTGATTCGGCATATAAGTCCGGGAAAACACAAGTATCCCAGTGCCGAAAATCCTCGATTGGAGTGATGATTCAACGAACCCAAGCGGGACCGAGTATATCATCATGGAGTATGCTCCCGGTGTACAGCTGCATGAGATATGGCCGCAAATGGACTCTGTCCAACACATGCAATGCGTCCGAAATCTCACACTTCTAGTTAAGGAACTACACGATTTAACCTTTCCTGCATACGGTAGCATATATTTCGACAACGACTTCATTGACACCACTCATCGTGTCCCCCTCAAGAACAACTTCTTCGTCGGACCGCATTGCTCATCACGGTATTTCCCTTGCTACCCAGGAGATCAACAAAGCTATGACAGAAGACCACCAAATCAGGGTCCTTGTACGTGAGCTCTGTACATTAAAATATCCTACGCAATCCATTCTAAAAATTTTCGTACTTTATAGGGAACACATTCGACGAATTTAGACGCGGCTTGGTCGATGCAGGTATTTCGCGCGTGCCCTACGAGACCCCACCTGGAAGGGCTGATTTCCGCGGCTCAGTTGAGGCCAATCTGGAACTCCTAACGAGAGGCGCAGCTGTTCTTGAGTCGCTCAGCCGCGATCCTCGAATCGAGAATATCTCGACGCCACTTTTGCTGCACCCTGACCTGCATAAGCGAAATATATTTGTCGACCCAGATAATCCTACAAAGATTACCGCACTGATTGATTGGCAATCAACGTCCCTCGACCCCGCTTTATTCTATTATCAGGATATACCAGACCTTTGCGATGTTTTCGAAGCATTTGAACAGCAATCTGAATCTGACGAAGATCAAAGCCCAGAGGAGACAGCGAGGCGAGAAGCATTGGCCAAGGATGCGGCTATCTGTCGGCAGACTTGGGATGTTGGCCTGAGAGGCTGGGCGCCACGTCTATACGCGGCACAGAATTGCGACGAAAACTTTACTCGCCCATTTCGATACTGCTACACCTGTTGGAAGGATGGCGCGGCTGGCTTCCGCAACGAGCTTGTGGAACTGTGTCAGAAGTGGAGTGAACTCGGCCTGGAAGGGTCTCCTCCGTATCAGCTTACGGCTGAAGAAATGGCCGAACATACTCGGCAATGGAACGACTTCCAGGACGCCGTGAGACTGAGAAACGGTATCGCTCAGGGATTAAACACCAATGAAGAAGGATGGGTCCCTATGGAGAACTGCGAGACGGTCAAGGAGGCTACGGCCGAGCTCTTGGAGCAATGGTTAGCCACAGCACAGGATGATGGCATGGAGAAGGAGAAGGCCAGGCAGCTCTGGCCATTTGATTGCTAGAACGTTACCATTATCAGAAGTTTTATTTAGTAGTTTTTTTGGGGTCTCGCGGCCAACCCTTCGGGTCCCTACTCTTCTTTTTCCACAATGGGGATGTGCAGGTCTGTTGTTGGTCTCATGAGCCAGCCTTCCAGTGTCCTTTTTTAGTAGTTTTTTTGGGTCTCGCGGCCACCTCTCCGGGTCCTTGTTCTCCTTTCTCCACAATGAGGATTTGCAGGTCTCTTGGTGGTCTCATGAGCCAGCCTCCTAGAGTCTGCTGAGCCGCAGGGCAGCGTTGGTCAACGTTGCGCGAGCATCCTATTTTTAGCCGTACCAAAATGACCTCGTCCTCCCTCCTGATATAAATTCTATTGGCTTCTTACTTGATGAGGGTGTGATATATCTTTCAGCATCCAGAATAAAGAATCATCCTCGTCACATCACAGTATCAAAGCGTCCTATACACATCTCAAATATATTTTCCCAAATTTCTCTGCAAATTATTAATACTTCCCACAATCTTCGTCACAACAAAATATTCCAACAAATCACCAGTATGTCCGGATCAAAGTCTATCACCGGTTTTCTGGACGTCGCCTTTGGACCTAACAAGGCGAAGGTCTTGAAGAATGCCAAGTCGACTGCCGTGCAAAGCGGACACGCCCGGATATTCCCAACTCAGAGCAAAGACAAGGCCTTCGACCTCCGCCTAGATGGCGGCCCCCTAAGTAACGACGGCAAGAAGCCGTTCCACTTCCAGGTCAACGCCCAGGCCAAGTCCCAGGGACTCATCACCTGGGTCGGTAAACAGGGTAGCAAGGGGACGCACGCCGACCTGGCCGTGGAGGTCTTCGACACCAAAGCCAAGGACCAGGACGCTGAGGCGAAGAGAGTCCACACTTCGCTGGAGAAGCAGGCTTTGGCAAATCTGAAGGCGGGCAAGGCCGCCAAATAAAAGGTTTATCAAGATCTAGCACAACCTCAAACATAAGACAGCACTTTTGGACATCGGGGGCTTAAAAACACTACAAAAACGGGCATTACACATAATAGAGAGCTCAGGTAGCCAATCTTATTTCAGTCCACTTGACGTGGGATTTTCCAGGAAATCTTATGCGATCAGACCTATGTGATGGCGAAACTGACTGTTGAATAAGAGATTAAATAAAACGAAGGCGAGAATTTAGTACTCCCTAGTTTCTGACACTTTAAAGGCACCCTCCGGAACTGCAGCCGGTGAGTCTAAGTCTCTAGGCAAAACAATGATTTTCTAAGAAAAGAATAGCTATAAGTATTAAATTACGTATAAGTTTTTTATATTAATAAAGTTAATTAATAAATATAAATTAAAGGATATTATAAAGTGAATATTATTAAAAAAATAGACTTTATTATATTATTTTTATTTAATTATTTTTTAATATTATTATTATTATTAAAGTAAATGTTAAGTTTAATATTATTTAAAGTTTTATTATTATAAATATAAAAGAGGTTAAAGTTTAAAATAAATAAAGAAAGGAAGGTAATTATATTATAATAAATAATATTTATAAAAAAGAGGTTTATAAGGTTAAGTTAAAATAAAGTATATATTATAATAATTTAATAAATTAAAATAAAAATATTAAAAATAAATAAATTAAGGTTTAAAAGGTTTAAAAGGTTTAATATATTAAAAGTATTTAAATAAAATAAAATAAAGTATTTACTATTATTATTAAATTATAATTTATTTATAAATAAAAGATATACTAATAAATAAATTATTAACTTAAAATTTTAAATCCTTAAATTAAATATAATTAATTTTTAATAAAAAATAATATTTTAATAAACTTTAAAGAAATTTTAATTAATATAAAAATAATAGAATTAAGTTTATTAATATAATATTTTATATTAAAATATTTAATTAAAAATTAAATTTAATAATAATAAAATTAAAGTATTATTAATTTTAAATAATTATAAACTATTAAAAACTATTTCTTATTTTTCTTTTATTTTTTAATTTTCTTTTATAAAGTTTTTATAATATTTATTATTATAATTTATATTAATATAAATATATTATTTACTTATAAATAATAATTTTTAATAAATAAAAGTAATTATTATATAATTTAATAGGTTAAAAACCTTATAATTAAAGTTAATAATAGGTAAATAATAATAAGTTATTAAAATAGTTTATAAAGTAATTAATTAATATTTAAAATTAATAAAAAAGAAAATATTTAATATAATTTATTTTTTAATTAATAATCTTTTAAGTTAAAAAAGTATAAATAAAGTAATTTAAAGGTAAGTAATATAATTATTAAGTTAAATAATATAAAATTATTATTATAATAATATTAAAGGAGGGTTAAAAGTTATAATTAATAAATTAAAGGATTAAGTATTATAAATAAATAAGTTAATAAGTTAAGTTAAGTAATTTAAAACTATAAACCTTAATCTTAAAAAGTAAGTTTTAAAAGTTATAAACTTATAAAATAATAAAAGTAATAAAATATAAAAAATAAGTAAAAATATTATATTTATTAATAATTTATATTAATAATTATAATTAATAAAAAAGAGTATAAATAAAATAATTTAAAGTTAATTAATATATTTATTATATTAAATTATAGGAATTTAAAATAATAGTAAAGTTAATAATTAATTAAGTATAATAATTAATAAATTAAAATTTAAAATTAATAATTAATTAAATTAATAAATTAAATTAATTTATAAACTTTAATCTTTTAAATAAAGATTTTTAAAAAAGATTAAGGAATTTAAAAATTATTAAAATACTTATTATTTATTTAAATAAATTACTTAATAAATTATTAAATATATATAATATTAAACCCTTAAAGTTTTTAATACTATATATTTAATTATAAAAGGATATTTAGAAGATTTTAATTAATTAGGTAGGGTAATATTATAGGTTTTACCTTATACCTGCGCTAATAAAATGTAAGGGTAAATCCTGTAGATTAGTAGGGATTCAGCTCCTCTAGTGGAAAGCGTCTCTTACACTGCACTGTAACATTGCGCCGTCTTACTCGATCACATCATTAATCCTGAACTCTTTCAGGATGAGATTATTCCGCTTTCCTATGCACCTTCTTGATGCACCTAACCTGCAAGGGACTTTGCTTACATTAAAATTGTATACAGAACTACTTGGTGGCACATCAGGCAGGACTGGTAGGACCGCAATGCATCTGCCTCTGTCAGTCGGGCTGCAGCAGGTTATGAAGAACACGCCCTTTTGCAAGGCTTTATCCACCCAACTCCCCTATGATCCGCCTCTCGTTCACCTACGACATCCCCTCACAAAACAAGCCACCCCTCAGTCAACGCCCTGGCACTCTCGTAGTCGCCGTTCGTAAGCGAGTACGTCCTCAAGTTGACGGCAGACTCATAAACAAAGTCCTTGACCATACTATCCTCCCCGCCGCCGCCGCCGCCGCCGTTCTTGTCCCGATGCGCCCTCGCCTCAGTAAGTGCGCGGCCGTAGAACTCGGCGGCGAGGTGGTAGATGCCCAGCAGGTGGTAGGACCGCGCGACGTTGTAGTGCGCCTCGAGGCGCTCGACGACGTCCTCGGACGCGGAGCGCGCCGCGTAGTACTCAAACATGTAGTGCATCCCCTGCGCGATGATGAACTGCCTGTTCTCGGCCTGCCGCTTCATGGCGTAGTGCACGTACGCGATGCCCGTGCTCAGGTTGACCATGGGGTTGTGCGGGTCCAGCGCCGCGGCGCGCAGGAAGTAGTTGAGCGCGTAGGTATAACTAGTACTCGTCAGCAGGATGTGCCCGTACAGCATCAGCAGCGACACGTCGAGCGCGTCGTGCCGCGGGCCCTGGCCCTCCTCGCGCGGCAGCGCCCTGTCCCACGTCCCCATCATCGACTCGGCCACGTCGTTGGGCAGCAGCGTCCGGTCCATGGCCTTGATCTGCCGCAGGATGTACTTTTGCGCCGGCCCCGACGCGTACCACGACACCGGGGACTGGCACACGCGGCACAGCGCGCTGAACACACGGTAGCTGTCCGTCGCGGCTGGGTTGTTGCGCATGAAGAACCGCGCCACCGCCACGCACGTCTCCTCGTCTGCCGCGTACACCGCGCACGCCGCCCAGGCCACGTGGATGAGGAAGGTGTTGTCGCTGGACTTGTACACGATCGAGTCGCGCGCCGACTGGCAGACGAGGTATGCCTCTCTTGCCTTCTGGTGCCGGGCCAGGCTGATGGCATACTCGAGGAAGAGGTCGAGCCACTCGTCGAAGGGAATACCACGGTGCTCGCTGCGCTTAAGAGTGGGCTGCGTGGAGTCATCGCCTTCATCCGGTGCCAGGTCTGGATAATGTCAGTCAGCTTGCCTTTGCAATGTGGTCCGGACATATGCCTGGGACTTACTCTGCTGCAGTCGCTCCGCCATAGCCTCGAGTTCGTTGTTGGGCTCGGGGGCATCCGCTCCCTCCTGGTCACCGTCGGCCCTCTCCTGCTGCTGCTGCGCTTCCTGTTCCTGTTCCTGCTGTTGCTGTTGCATTTGCTCTCTTCTCTTCCTGTTTTCCTGGAAAAAGGACCCATACCCCATAAAGTTGAGGTACTTGTCCCAAGGGTAGAACTCTTTGAAGGACCGGAAGTCGTCCACCAGATCCTGAGCGGCCGCCATCCACTCCTCCTCGGCGGCCTTGTCTCCGCTCTTGACCTGCTCGCGCAGGTCCAACACCCGCTGGTATTTGTCTCTGAAGTTGTTGGTGACGCTCTCCTCGTACTTCTCCCGCTGCGCCTTGTTCGCCATGCGGCGGATGTACACACGCCTCGCACGCTTCGGCCGGGCCGCTCTGTCGCGAAGGACCTTCTGCCGGACTCGTTTCTGACTCTTGGCCTGCGCCTCACCGTCTTCCCCGCCATTGTTCCGAGCATCCCGCTTCTGGTCGCGCTCGAGCTGCAGGGCCTCGTTCACAAGAAGGAAGGCTTCCTCTTGCTCCTGGTTCGTCTCATACATCTGGGCGAGCTCGTAACGCGCCTCAATGTTGTCGTCGTCAATCTCTATTGCGGCGATGAAACACTCCTCGGCTGTAGCCTGGTCCTCCATTTCTAGATAGCATTTCCCCTGTTGGACAAGGATTTCTGCGTCGGGCTCCACAATCAACCGCCGATACAAGTCGTAGAACTCTAGAGCGGTGGTGATCCTTCGGGCTTCGAATAATTCATTTGCGAGATCTTTGATGACGAACGGCGTATCGAGGAAGAAGTCGAAGATCCCTGGGTCCTGTGAGTTTAGCCACTGCATGTGGCGGGTGGCCTCCTCCTCCTGCTGGAGCTTGAGTCGATAAACTACCAGCTTGGCTCGGAGATCCAGAGGCAGCGCCGGGCCATACGATTCACGAGGGTATTTGTGAGTGTCGTATTCGTGCACCTCCAAACGGCGGTCCTCCTCCTGATCCCACTCCCTGTCGTCTTCGAATCTGTCCCAGAACTCCTCGTTCGCCCTCCCGATGAGCATCCGCGCCAGAGACCGCAGGGCCAGCGCGGCATCAGAGTACCTCTCTAGGAAAGCACACATCTCGACAAAGATGATGACGTCCGACCACTCGAAGTTGCCCCTCAGGGGCTGCCCGCCCGAGCGAATCCACTGGATCAAATTCTCGTAGTAACCCCTGGCTTGTTCGACGTACCTCTTCGCGTTCCTGGCGTCGAAGGCCGCCTCCGCCATGTTGCGCAGCAGGACCATGTCGTACGGCCTCCTCTTCAGCACCTTGGAGTACTCCGCGGCGGCGACGTTCGAGTTGCCCGCCTCGAGCGCACAGTTCGCCTTCCCGACGCGCGCCTTGAGGCTCTTGGGGTTCGCCCTGATGGCGGCGGAGTAACACAGCTGCGCGGTGGCCAGGTTGGTCTCGCGCTGGCCCGGGGTGACGTCGTCCAGCGCGTAGTTGGCGCAGTTCAGCCACCCGTCAAAGTCCCTGGGCCGCAGGTGGGCCGCGAAGCACTTGGCCATGATCGCCTCGGCCATGTTTCCCGTCTCCTCGTAGATGGAGGACAGCATCACCCACGCGTCCCACGTCTCGGCATTGACACGGATGATCTCGAGGGTGATCTCCAGCGCCTCCTCGAAGCGCCCCTGGCCCCACGCCTCGGACGCCTTCGACAGCTGGTACATGATGTCCGCAGAGGGCGCCGCGATGTTGCTGCCCTTCGCGACGGTCGCACGGCGCTTGGATCCAGGCGCGATGTCCAGCCTGGGCCGCTTGGGCTTTCGCTTGCGGGGCAGGCCAGAGCCCATGGCCAGCCGCGGGTCCAAGAGGTCCTCATCGTCATCCGAGGAATCTGCGGCCATGGAGGCCTTGAAGGCAGCGACGTCGGCATCGAGCTTAGCAATGTCGGCTTTGAGGCGAAAGTCGTCCGAGTCGGCGTCGGAAACCTCAAGCTCCTCGTCATGCTCCTGGTAGACCGTCGCGTCTATATCATCGTCCTCGTCCAGATAGCTACCCAAGTGTCAGAGAATCGAGGTAAATGCGTTGGAAAAGAAATGGGGTATGTGATAAGATGAGACATACTCATGGGCGGCAAGAGGTGCGTGTGGCAGGGGCTGGATTGAGAGGACATTGTTGATATTCGAGATTTCAGGCTGCTCAGGCGGCGGAGCCAGGAGGTCTCGAAAATCCGCCTCCATTGTGGGCCAAAACACCTGATGCTGTTGACGCGACTTGTGGTCAGTCCATGAAATGAAATGTTGTTTGAGACTCTATGCTGGCGCACATTCTTCAAAGGTTGAGCTTGTGACGAGGGTAGGTACAGTGCAAGTGAAGTTGCCCGCCCCACTGAGATCGAGTTACTTCGAACCCTGTAAGCATGTTTTAGCGTGGGTACTAAGGTACCTCGAGTGTTCCAAATATACGCTTTTGGCGTTTAATACGGGACTAAGCCAGCTTCCGGCACACACGTATGTACAGGCTTGGATGCAACCTTTCTGGTGTGATACAAAAGAAAGCCAATTCGATTAACGAGACAGCTATTGAGTTTAATATGCAGCTGCCAACGATGCAGGTCCCGTCAGCGAGATTCATCAGGCCACTACAGTCCACGCCCCCCACGCCTTCGCTCTGACGACCAGACAGACCATTCCGCCTTTTCGTTTCTCAAGAAACAAAACCACACGCTCGTACTCATGGGAAGGCGACTGGGACACTCAGGCTGGCAGTTGTGGTTCAGATGATGCTCTAAAAAATCGTATTGTCTTGCGATTTCTCCTCAACTAGACTACGGAGGCGTACCCTCTTCACCACTGAGAAAGTAACGGCGCCTTCTCAAAATCTGCTCCTCTGTACGAGCTACCGAGCTACCTGGCTTTCTGTCTTTCCAGAGATTCTCGTTTCTCAGTTCTTCATGTTCCGAGGATCCTCCATCCTACAATTCCCTCCCCAGGAGCCAAAATTGCTTTGTTGTGTTTCGAATTGCGTGTGTTTGTGTGGTGCATCTACCGGGACGTCTTCATGAATATACCAGACTGCGTATCCAGATGTCGGCCGAGCCAAAATCATACTGATGAAGGATGCTGCCCCCGACTTTTTTGCCATCATAGAGACCTCTGCGGCGAGGAAAATAATGTACGTATCTCTGTCCGCAAAAAGTGAGGTCAACTCACGTCGAGATGAAATGCATAGTTCAGCGTTTCGACCAGTCGAGACAGGTATTAAGTAAGTTCTTTATGGGAGCTTGCCCGTGACTTTGGCTTCTGTGCACAATATCAGTTTCCACTCAGAAAGGCACGAGGGATGACCGTCACGACCTACCCTTGACTTGTTCAAACACCTTGAGCATCTTCCTCCTGGCACCGAGGGCATTAACACCACGGGCCTCGAGCTGTGCGTCATCCAGCTCCACCAGCTCGGTCCATTTCAAGTCCTTGAGATTATCGGTGTACTTGTGCAGACGCAGACTGCGCAGCCAGGCTGGGATGTCCTGCAAGAGGGTGGGATCGGTCGGGTCCTCCGGGGGCTTGCTGGTTCCCCTACGACCACGCGGTGAGCGGCCCCGGTTCATGTCAGAATGGTCTGAGAGATAACCCTCGTGGTGTCCTCCCATCCCCATCCCCATCCCCATCCCCATTCCACCGAGGTTCAAGGAACCCATGCCGTTGTTGAGCAGGGGCGAAGCACTGCTGTACGGGTTCAAGAAACCATTGGCTTGCGGGGAGGCAAAGTTTCCCATCGGCTGGAAGCCGCCCTGCATCGCGATGCCGGGTGAGTTGGGTCGCGACCTGTCGCCGCCAGCGAGCTGCTGCTGGTGCTGCTGGATGGCCATCATCTGCTCAGGCGTCAGGACTTGTCCGCGCTCATTGCTCATAACAATGTTCAACTGTCCAGGCACCATTCCCGGGGGCATAGGTGAGAGCGGGGCGCCCGGCGCATCGTTGGATCGAGCACGACGGTACTTGCGCACGTCGTCGAGTGCAAAGCGGTTGTTGACCGTGGAAAGCGCGGCGAGCTTCATCGCCGTAGCATTCGCAACCATGTCTGCCTGGTTGTTGCCCTGCTGCTGGGGATTGAAGTTGGCAACCATGGGGGTGTTCACCATAGAGGCCCAGTTCCCACCACTAGGGCCATACGGTGAGAGCAGGGGCAGATCGCCAGCCTGTTTGTCGCCACCCGTGGTGATCGTTTGGCTCTTGATCTGCTGGTTGCCCGAGATCTGTGGTGGGCGGGGAGAGCGAAGCCCTGCAGACGGAGGAGGCTGTACGAACTGGCCCATGGGCGTCTGCCCGGTGGATGACTTGGGCCGCTGGTCCTGGCCCCACGGAGATGGGCTCTGGCCGTTGGAGTCATCGGGGCCTGAGATCGTAGGCGCGACGAGGGAGGATCGGTTGTCGACAGTGCTGTTTCGATTCGAGGGAGGGGCTGTGCCCGTGGATTGCGTGTACTTGGCCTTCTCGGTGGCAATAGCAGCGGCGGCATCAGGGAACATCGCATTGATGGTGCTTGAATCGAGGCCGGACTGGCGCTTGTTGGTGGAGGGCGCACGGGCGAGGGAGTTCCTGGCAGAATCGACGCTCAGCTTGCCCATAGCGTCGCTGAGGCGGCTCGACATGGGGTCTGTTCCTCAACGTGTTAGCTACCTCGACCACATCTTCACAACGGAGCAAACGGTGGCCGTCCTCACCTTTGTCGAAGTTGGCTGGTGACAGGACACCTGACATGGGGTGGCTCTTGCCCATCTGCTGCAGGACCTGGATGAAGAAGCGAATCTGCACCTGGGTGGTTTGCTGCAGCAGGGCGTAGAGGGCGGCAGTCCGCTCGGCCTCGCTCAGAACCCGGAACCACTGTTCAATAGCGCTCAGCTCGTCCTTAAAGTCCTGATCCAGGGTTGCGGCTGCCATCTCCTCCAAGGTGGTCTCATACTGGTCGATATCGGCGATCCACTGCTGAGCGACCTTGTCCTGGGGGTCGAGCTCGCCCTGGGCCTGGGTGTGCTGGGGCTGGCCGTAGAAGTCAGAGCTGGGGCGGATGGGCTTGGACTGCGGCGTGCCGGTGAGGGAGGCTATGTCGGCAGAAGCACGAAGCTGGTGGCCAGCGCCGATCGCCCTGGAGGAGGGCGGCCGGAGGGAGGAGGCGTTGCCGGCCTCGGGGGTGCTGTTGCGGTTGCTCATGATGTTGGACATTGTGAGCGGACCAATCAACACAACGACACAAGGGCTCAGTCGAGTTGATGGTTGGTAGCCGAGACAGGAGCTCGATGGGCTGGGGCGGAGACCGGGAGGTTGAAAGATGGGTAGGTGTTTGTATTAAAAGTGAAAGCCTGGCCTGCCGGTCTGCTGCGAATGGACAGGGCCGTGTCGCATGGGGACCTGAAACAGGACTGGAAGGCTGTTCGAGGAATCGGACGGGACGTGTCGGGGACAACGAGTGGCCCGTGACAAGCACAGTAGCGTTTCGTAGATTTTTCGACCTGACAGTTTGTCCCAAAACCGCGCGGCTATGCTAAAACGGGATGGGCGGGATGGGGAGAGGTGCTGTCCCCTTCTCGAATAGATATTACGATGCTGGTGGGGCTGCTTGGGCCTGAGGCTCAGTCAGGTCAGGGTCAAGCTCAGGCTTGGGGCCAGGTCAGGCTTGCGCAGGCTTGCGCAGGCTCGGACTGGGGCTCGGGCTCTTTGTCGTTTGCAGGACGGATTAAAAAAGGTGGTGGCCGAGCAAAGTGATCTCACGAAGGGGAGAAGACAAAGAGATGCACACTTTTCGTAGGCTCCTGCAGTGACCGGCTGACCTCAAAGGAGATGTCCAAAAAGAGGAGTGAAGTCGAGTCGAAGAGAGGCGACAGGGCATACGGTTGGGGGGGTTGAGGCGGGCAGTTAATGGAAAATAAGGGGTTCGGGTGGTCTAGTATGAAATAGTTGGAGGTCTGCAGGATTACGTTGTCAGCGAATCGGCTGGCCTGGATGGTGGCGATGGGGCTGCTCGAAGAGGCGAGCCGCCTGGAAATGGATTGGGGGCGTGTGCTGTGGATCCCGCGCCAATGTGGGTCTGATAATGCGGCGGCGACGACAAACGACAGGGCTAGCTACTTGACTAGGCAGGGTTGGCAGGGTTGGGAGAGGTGGGCAGAGTGCAAGAGACAGACCTCGGAAACACTGGCAGCTTGCAGCTCAGCTTCGGTGGTCACATGCAGTTAGTTACTGTGGCAGAAGGCGAGATGGGTTTGGCCGGGAGTTTATATTGGCAAGGCAACTCTGTATGCCCCAAGGTTCTGGATGAAAGGGACGAATGCAGGGGCGGCAAGCACCGAGTTGAGATGAATTTGGTGCTTGCTGGGGCACCTCGGAGATCGACGACAAGGTAAGATTTGCGGCTCGAGATCACACGGTAGCTCGCCGACGGGGACAAGCACCGAGTACGGGAAGGGGCGAAGAGAAAAAAAGGCAATAGAAGAAGAAAAATGGAGATATGGCACGAGGAAAGGTTTGCGAGGAATGAGTTGGCCCCACAAGCAAACAAGGTCGCCCAGATGGGGAGGAAGGAAGCTGGGTGCCGATGAGGTCCTCGAGGGCTTGCTTCCTTTGGGCGGGGGATTATTCAACGTCTGTGTGTACAGCACAAGACGGGTGGAGGGTGGGAATGAGGAATGGAGGGGGGGATCCATCAGCCTACTTGTGATTACTCACATATGTTACGAACTCAATCAAGAGAACAGACAGGCCGACCGATCCTCAAGAGGATAAGGATGTATGCTTTTAAGGATGCTTGGAAGCAGCTGCCTAGGTTACCGTTCACGCCTCAATGGAACTCTGTTGTAACTCGTGTCGCTGCTCGGTGGCACCACTCGCCAGCGGGTTCGATGGTGGCTGCTGCATCACACGGGCAGCCGGGAAAGAGATGACGGGTCATGATAGTGCCGTTGATGACAATATGAACAACGGGCGACTATAAAATTCAGCTCCATACCTACTTGCGCAGCCGGTGCCCCATGCTGAGGCGTGCGGGACGAGAACAGCCACAGTGGGATTGATGGATGGATTGATTGGGTACCTGGCTGTACCTGGCTGTTCCCCCGGTGTGGGTGTGGTGGGTGAGTGTGCTTCTGCAGCTGTGATGGCCCACTAGCGCCGACTGGCTGGGGCAGCGCGAAACCTGGGCTGGCAGGGCCGCCTGGCCTACCTGACCTTGGAGAAGCCCCCAAGATCCTGCGCCTGGGCACTTGATGGCCCTTGGCAACGCTGACTGGGACGCCGTTTCGCTTCAAGAGCCTGGCGGTTGATTTATTGATTGATTCAGGCACGCCATCCTCCCACAAGCCCAGTTTCGGCAGATGCTCTCAGTCCAGCCAGACTGCGAGTCATTGTGCAGTCTGGCAGCAGGCACTAGTCTCAACGTGCACACAGATAGATAGCCTACGGCCACATATGTCTAAGCCGTCGGCTTGCATCCCCAAGCCAGGCAAGGCAGCCCAGGTATTCCGACAGACCCTCCTCCCCGACGCTTTCCCGGCCGAGCGTTGCCCTCCGTTTTGCCCGGTGTCCAAGAAGCCTGCGCAGGTTCAAAAATCTGCTCATCAGCTCCTTCAATCTCACCCTGGATCCATCAGAGAGGGCACACGAGCTCTTGTTGGCCCCATTGCCATGCGGCCAGGACCCGCAGAAATACCCTACGAGCATGCTCGATTAGGCAGGCCTTTTACAACGGCACCATGGGCCCCCCAATTTTCTATTCGCGGCCTTTTTTTGAGCCGCCCACACAACCGGAATTCTCTATCCCTCGCCGCGCAGGTGCTGGCTGGCTGGCTGGCTGGCTGGCCATGCTGGCCATGCTGGCCTTGCTGGCTAAAGATAGCAACGAATAGCCCGCGCTCCGGTGATCGCCCCTTGCGGGCGGTGCCTGACTCTTTTCGTCGTCATGCTTCCCACGAGGCCACGGCTTATTATCCGTGTGACCCGGGACACCCGTGTGAGCAAGTAGAAACATTCGTGATATGATGGTCCAGGAACCTGGTCTAGAATCCAAAGCACGATTCGAGAGAAACCTTCTTTTTTCCTCTTCCTCTCTCGTTGACACCCCGGATCCGTGCCGATTAGGTCTTGGCAGTCAAAGGTGAAAAGCAGTCGTTCTAAGCCCACGTTTCAGACACTTGCTGTGTGCGCGTCACACAGAGCTCCAGATGAAGCCCGACTCCCACATAAATATACCAAAGGGACGAAAGCAGTCAGATCCCGGCAAAAAAGCCATTCGAAGAAACGGGCAATATATTCGGCTATCTGAAATCGGACTTGACGCCCTCGGCTCACGTTGAGATGTAATGTCTTGTCGCACCACATATGAGACACGCGGGGACAAGCTGGGCGAGCAAGAGCTCCTACTTGCGCTCAGTCCCCGAGCAGATGTCTGGAGTCAATCAAACATGATCCCGTTATCCGGATGTAGAGATGTGGCCTGTCTTTCATGGGCCCAGGCCGCTTGAGAAGCGTAGATGCGCAGGCCTTTGGTAATAGACAGGCTGGAGATCGATCTTGGCACGATAAAATCCTTCAGTCATTTTGAACATGGAGATAAGTTCAATGCTGTACACACTAATGCCGTTGACATGGAGATGTCATAATTGTTGGAGGAGAATGGGGTGATGGGGGGGGGAGGGGGTGATGGACCGTGGAAGAGGTCTGGTGGTCAGTGACCATCATCTCCATCCAGGGCCACAGGCTTCAGAGGTTGCTCCTCATCACGCCGGCGGCCGGGGCTTGGATGGAGGAGCATGTCACCCGAGAGACGGATCGAGCAGCGGTGACCTGGGCACGCAGTGCACACAGGACGGTGTCGTTGATGCCTTCGAATTTGGGTGGTCACGGCCGATGTGGCATCCTAGCCGTGACGCTCAGAGCCTGGGTGATATAAGCACAAAGAGACGCCCCTGTAGTTTGTTTCCCGACCGTCATGATGGTATGATGCCCTGTCGCAAGCCAAATCCCTCGTCATCGAGTCTAGTTTTCGGTTTCGCTTCGGTTCGGTCGCGTCCCCTTAAACCGTCTCACGCTTGCCCTCCGCCTTCTCCTTCTGTGATGGTTGTCAGCTTTCAAGTTCCGGGTGTCCCATTCGACCTCGTCGCGGCCGAGCGCATAGGCCGAATGCCTGGTCCGGGGCTGCTCACCAGAGCCCGCATGGTGCCGTGCAGGGCATATCTGTGGTTTCGGCGGAACTTGGGGTCGGTGCCGTTCAGGGAGGGGTAACGGTTGGTCTTGGGCTTCTTGATACTGTTTGCGGACAAATCGTCAGTATGGCTTGTTCGTGATCACCAGTCGCTCTTGCGTTGAATGTCCATCGGTCGTCTCCAGGGCAGCATGTGGTGCTGCGTGGGAGGGGTTGAGCTGGGTCGCTGGTCTGGTCACATACCCGTTACGGTGAGCCTTCTTGCTCTGGTTGTGCTGAGACGAGTTCTTGGACTCTGTGTGCGAAGAGCGGTCAGTTATCTAGAAATCGATGATCACATTGATCAGGGACGGCGAGGTTGACATACTGGCCATTGTGACTGATTTGCCGCGATTCCGGGGTTCGTCGGTTGGTCAATGGTGATGATGGTGTTTGGTCAATTTCGGCGCGGGCTGCAGAGTTTTGGAAGGTTGTGTGCGTCTGTGGCCGCCTGTGGCCGCCCCGTGAAAATCAGAATCTTCCGTTAAGTTGACCGTTTCACTACGTTAGGCGCACGGGCCCGACACCACGCAACAGATCTTGGCAATCCCTGTACTGTCCTGTACGCTCACCTGTAAACTGTGCACCACGCTCAATAATGTTTGAATGCATGCTACATTTACTTTGCTCATTTATATACGCGGGACAGATCAGAACACATGTTGTTTAGAAGCCACACATGTTCCTGTGTGAGGTGTGCGCGCCCGGTTTCCACCCCCAAAACCCACCGGTCCTGTACTGTAACGGAATGCAGCCCCAGGAGACAGTCCTTCTACGGTTCCGAAACCCAGACCTCTTAGAGACCGCCCTGGAAGAAAAAAAAAAGATCAAGAACGCTCATGCCAGAGAGAAGGAAATCTTTTCGCGCATCTATTTCGTCGTGATCGGAGCGGTGGCATTCCTCGCAGCAACCAGCTGTGCAGCCCTCCCCAGCTGCTGCGACCGCAGCTTCTGCAGGTAGCGGACAAACAGGATGAACATGATCTCCACACTGAGTGACGCACAGTGTTAGCAGCATATCGATAAGTCGTGTCTGCGGCCTGACTGCGGAAGAGACTTACCGTTCTTTAGTCATCATGAGAATACCCTGCACCAGGATTCCCTTCAGGATCTGGGGGCCAATGCCCTTGAACAGTCCCATGGGGCCCTCGTTCTTCATGATGAACTGCATCACCTCACCAAAGCTCTTGAACGGCTTGCCCTTTCTCGACGGTGGCGGGTTGGACTGCAGCCCGACCTTTGCGACAATGAGCGGCTGCGTGGCAATAGTTGCTAATGCTTTGGACATGGCTCCCAGAACTGCAAGCAAAAAAAGTTTCAGTCAGCACAAAGAGTCGATTCCCAGCCTCATGTCAAAGGGGCAGCACACTCACCAAACGCCTGCCACGCGCTCAAGGGCCCGGCGCCGGGGAACAGCAGCGGCTTTAACCTCTCATAGGCGCCGTACGTGATGGACGGGTTGACCACCAGCACCAGGCTAGCCTTGAGGCCCCTCCACAGGCCCGTCACGCCGTCGGGCCCGTCGATGACCTCCTTGGCCGTGGCCAGCATGCCCTTCCTCTCCGACCTCTTCTGCGTCTGCTGCCGCGTCGTGACGACCGCCACTGGGATCGTGAAGAGCTGGGCCAGGGCGCCCGCGACGGCGCCCAGGGCCAGCTCGACGGCGGTGGAGGGCGGGGACGTGACCCGGGCGCCCTTGAAGTAGAGCGTCCGGACGGTGCTGTACCAGTAGAAGTAGGCGAAGTTGGTGGAGGCGACGCCGAGGAGAGAGCCGCTCATCCCGGCGTACAGGCCTGCCACGCCCTCCTCGTCAAACATCTTGCTGAGCGCATCCCAGGTGGATGTGTAGTGCGGTGTGAGGTCGGTAGGGTCGGGAACGTCGCCGGGCTTGCGCACTTCTTGGACTTGGAGTCTAGTCTTGACGCTGTGAAGAGGGGGAAAAGTTAGGTACTATACTTGAGATGTTGCAGCGACAGGTTCATATTCGAGGAACGTACATGTCCAGCGGGTAAACCAGGGCGTTGGCGAGCACTGCGCCGGTGGCGCCGGCTGTTGCCTTGCCCCATGGCCCAATTGGGGCGGATTTGGACTGGATAGCCATTGAGTCGGTCGGTATGCCTCGAACAGGACCCTTCGTTCCAGACCAGGAGAAGGTGGTGAAGGCAATTTACTCTTGTTGAGGAACCTTGGAACCGAGGCGCAAGCGGGTGAACCGGCGGTGGCTAGCTCGCCGAACACCGGCGGCCGTCGTGGGGCTTGAGGGGACGATGCGTGGAGTTCTATTCCATGAAAAAGGAAAAGAAACCCTTTACGATGCAGACAAGACACGACCAGACCCAAGGACCCGCGATGCGACGGATGTAGATACAAAGAAGGGCGTGGGAAAGCCGCAGGACTGCCGGCGTGGTGGTCAAAGACGCCAGGCGCTATCGAGACCGAGCACGGCATAGCGGTGATAACCGTGAACCTCGGTCGTCGGGTTGGCTCCCATGTGGAGCCGGCCTGCCGCTGTGTACTCCGTAGTGTGCCAGCCTGCCAGGTGACGTCGGCCCAAACTTGTGTGCCAAGGTGGTGCACTAGTCACTGCGTGCATCATGATGTGTCTATCCGATCTCTACGGGGCGTGTCACTGTCACTGTCACTGCTATGACCTCTGGAACCGATGTCATTCCGGGCCAGGAAGGCTGAAGTCGAGAAGTCGATGAGACTCGCCTGGGTTGAAAGCAAACTGACCCTAATCGCATAGTCGCAAACAAGGAGTGGGCGGGCCTCTTGAGTACCTAGGTACCTGGGTACGGATATACATTTTGTACGGAGTACTTCGTATTGCCATCACTCGTCTTTTAATTCCGCACGAGGGTTCAACCCTTGGGGTAAGCCTCGGCAAAGGCCCGGGGACTGGTTGACTCTCCAAGAATCTAAAGATAGGAGAAGTGTGTTTCTCATGGCACGCATCAAACTTGGCGAGATTTCATCTGCACTGGAAATAGACTCTGACGACTCCTCGATAGCCATCAATGATACTCCGCCTGCCTGGACATCTCGGATCGATCGTGTGCCTGGCACAGGGACCGGGGTGAGCTGTCATCCGTTGTAGAGTCTGAGTATCCCCCCCTCCCCTCCATCTCCCTCTCGTGTGCCATGCCGGTTCCGTTCACGTCTGGTTAGACCACTCGACATGGGATTATGGTCCCGCGGAAGCGGCTGTGCAAGCTTGACTCTTGAAACGTCCACCGTCCACCGCCCACCGTGCCACTCACGCACTACCACTATTACCACCGCTACTGCTAACCGCAAATCACGCTTGGGTGTCGAGATATGCTGCGCATGCGTCTCTCGGCTGAGTCGATTCGTACTGTCATGTCCGTCTCTTGAAACCGCGCGCCTTGGCCCAGGTTGCTTCTCCTGCTGGATTCGCTTGCTCCCAACCTTTATTCTCCCGCGGGATCCACCCGTCCTGCACCTCGCAAATGCACCAGCTTCCTGCACCGGTCGAGAAAGCCCGAGATATTGAGCATGTTGCGATGTTCCGTGAGGTCACCACACCCGCCGTCCTCATCGCCAAGCCTTTCCTTGCCTCTATCCCCCAAAGTCCCCGGCCAGCGCGGCCATGAATGGGAGGCTTAATTACTCCGTGCCATATGTATGATTAGTCGTTCAGGACCCACCGTCTCGCTGTCTGCATTTTTTTTCCCCAATCGTGTCCATCGCCATGGAGGCCCAGGCTAGAGTGAGTTGGCTGTCCGGACATCCCCCCCTCCCCCATGTACAACCAACCGCACCCTGATATTGACCCGTGCGCCGCGCAAAGGAATATGAGGCCAAGATCAGCCGGACCTCTGGCCAGGAGGCCTTCAGGAATGCCATCCAGGCCGCCGAGCTGTACATGAAGGCGGTCAAGGAGGCCCCCACGGCCGCTGAGAAGTCCCGCCTCAAGGCCAAGTGCCGTGACCTCATTGCACAAGCCGAGACGCTCAAGACGGCCGGCCCCACTGCTGCGCCGCCAAAGGCCCCGAGGCCCAGGGGTCCTCGCCAGAGCCGCCAGCTCCCGACGGCGGAGAAGACCATCCTGTGGCGGTCCTCCAAGCTACACGGCAGCGTCTTCCCGCCCTGGGAGGCCGACCCCGACCCGGCCGTCTTCCGGAGCAAGAAGCTGGACGAGCCGCTCTTCACGTAAGTCTGCGCCGCCGCCGCCTCGCCCTCAGTATTCTCTCTGTGTGTGTGTGTGTATTTGTGTTGAGGATATCCGCACTGGCTGACCATCCTCGACCAAGTGACGCTTCGGAGTTCTCGTTTTCCAAGAAGCAGAATGAGATCTTTGATGGCTGGAAGCGTCCCGCCGAGATCTTCAACGACTCGGGCCCGGAGTTGTTTGAGAACATCATGGTTGCCAAGACGAACAGCGACCTTGTGCAGGACATCACGACAGACTGTTCTGTGGTGGCCAGCCTGTGTGCAGCGATGCGCCACCTGAATCCCAACAAGAAGGACTCTGTAAGCATGCCATGAAACCTACCCGAGAGGGGGTCTCTCAGGTCTCTCAGGGCGCGCACTGCTGACAATGTGCAAGTTGCTACCGACGTTGCTGTACCCCTTTGACTACTCCAAGGGCAGGCCCATAGCCTCACAAAATGGGAAGTACATGTTCCGGCTGAACTTCAACGGCTGCTTCCGCCAGGTGGTTGTTGACGACCGGCTGCCCACCTCCAAGACGTCCCGGACGTTTTTCGTCGTCGACCGGAGGAACCCAGAGCTCATCTGGCCTGCCCTCATGGAGAAGGCATACCTGAAGATACGGGGTGGTTATGACTTCCCGGGCAGTAATTCCGGCACGGATCTCTGGGTGCTCACCGGCTGGATACCGGAACAGATATTCCTACAGAGGTGAGGGGGGCCCTATCAATGTCCCGGGAAGTAACTGAACCATCAACATCAAAATACTGACTGATCCATTTTCGTATACAGCGACGACATCGAACTGGACCAAACCTGGAAGCGCATCAAGAATGCATTCGAGTACGGCGACGTGGTGGTCACGCTGGGCACGGGGCGGCTGTCCCGGCAGGAGGAGGAGACGCTCGGGCTGGCGGGCGAGCACGACTACGCCGTCATGGACCTCCGGGTGCAGGCGACGGGCGAGCGGCGGATGCTGCTCAAGAACCCGTGGTGCGACGGGCTGGTCTGGAAGGGCTTCGGCTCGACGACCACGGTCGACGCCGAGGTGTACCCGCCGCCGTCGCCGACGCTGTCGCGGCCGGCGCAGCGGATGACCAAGTCGGACTCGGGCCCGGACCCGGACGTGTCGTCGCCGTCGCCGTCGCCGCACGCGGAGCTGACGGGGACGTTCTGGATCTCGATCGAGGACGTGGTGCAGAACTTCGAGTCGCTGTACCTGAACTGGAACCCGGGCCTGTTCACGGACCGGCAGGACCACCACTTCACGTGGGCGCTGCCGGGGCGGGCGATGCAGCGGTCGCTGGCGCACAACCCGCAGTACTCGTTCACGGCGCCGGCGTCCGGGGCCGTGTGGATCCTGCTGTCGCGGCACTTCCAGGACGGCGAGCTGCCCATCGCGCGCAGGCGGCACACGCGGCGGCCCGGCGGCGATGGCGACGGCGACGGCGGGCCCTACAGCCTGGGCTTCATGTCCATCTACCTGTTCGACAGCGCCGGCGGCCACTGCGTGCAGCTGCCGGACCGGCCGGCGCACCAGTCGCCCTTTGTCGACAGCCCGCAGACGCTGCTGCGCTTCGAGGCGCAGGCCGGCACCGCCTACACCGTCGTCGTCGCGCAGGAGGGCCTCCCGCTGCCCTCGTACCCGTCCACGCTGTCCTTCTTCAGCCGGGCGCCGCTGGCCATCAGCCCGGCCACCCCGCCGCTGCGCCACTACACCGAGCTCGAGTCGGCCTGGACCCGGCGCACGGCGGGCGGCAACGCCCGCACCGCCTCCTTCTTCCACAACCCGCAGTTCGCCCTCGTCGTGCCCTCGCCCACCCCGATCTCCCTCCACCTGGCCACCGACGCCGACGACGTCCCCGTGCACGTCGACCTGGTCTGGTCCCACGGCGGCCGCCGCGTCACCGCCCTGACCGTCCGCGACATCGTCTGCTCGTCCGGCGAGTACCGCCGCGGCTGCGCCCTCGCCGAGACCCGCCCGCCCCAGACCGTCGACGCCGGCACCTACACCGTCGTGGCCTCGACCTTCGAGCCGGGCCAGCTCGCCGGCTTCGCCCTGCGCGTCGGGTCCGACGTCCCCGTCCAGCTGCGGCCCGTCCTGTCCGACGCCGCCGGCCGCCTGCGCTCCGAGCTCGACCCCGTCGTCTTCCGCGAGGGCGAGAGCGAGCGCCAGCGCGCCCCCCTCACCATCACCCGCCTCACGCGCGCCAGCGCCGTCGCCAGATCGGGAACCCTGGACGTGGGCGGCGGGCCCACCGCCTCCGTGGGCGGCCTGCCCTTCTCCCTCGGCGGCTCCGCCGCCGCCGGCAGCTCCTCCACGGACGACCACCACCACCACCACCACCACCAGTCCGGCACCGCGAGCCCCATCAGCATCCCCTGCTCGGTGCGCGTGTCCTTCGAGTACGGGTCCGGCCCGCACGCCCGCACGGCCGCCGTCACCGCCGACGGCGAGTTCGCCGACGCGAGCATGGGCCTGCGCACGGGCGACGTCGACCTCGACCCGGACGCCGCCCGGCGCGCCGGCGGGCTGTGGCTCGTCGTCGAGCAGATGGGCGTGCACCGCGAGGGGCAGGGCATCCAGGTCGACGTGCTCAGCGATGGCAGGATTGGCGTTGGGCCCTGGGAGAGCGTGGATGATTGATTTGGCGCGTGGGTGGTCAATTATTACATACGTTGATTTATTGGATGGGGTTGGTCCGCCCGCATTTGGGGGCATCTTATTTCCGTTTCTTGCTTAGATATATCGGCATGGATGGGAGTCTTGATCTGTTTGATATTCTTTCTGTGGACTGTATCTTACATTTTTGTTGCCGCACTGTTTAGCTACCGGCGGTACGCATACAACTAAAGCTACTTGCATGCATTTGCTAAACGGAATTGTAATGCGATCATGTTAGCTGTGTGCTTGGATGGGGGCTATAGTGCTTACCTGGTGAGGGTCTTGTATCCTCAACCTGTGTTGTCTTAGGGTGTCAATTTAACTTGGTGTGTGTGTGTGTGTGTGTTTAAAGGCCGTTTTTTTTTTTCTTTGGCTGGGATTCCCTCTGTATGATTCATTTATATAGCGACCATTTTGAGACCTAGTCTCACCATATAACTCCATCACGGCGTCAACGCCGCCGTCAAGACGGTACCCCTTAGCCCTGTCTGTGCGTCACAAGGCTGAGGCTATCATATTAAAACTATAATTATCAACACTACATCCTTTCAAGTACTAGGCTTTGAGCGCTTATTACTGTATGAAGGCGCCATGTCCTCGAACGTATACGGAATAGAAGCGAAACCAGGTAATACAATCATGTCACTTCATGCTGAACTTAGGCGTGCGTCAGTTCTGCCAGAGTCTGCAGCTACAATCAAGCACAATCATAAAATTCGACACATTTTCGCGCGGTCATGGTTTTCGCGACGCAGAGTTGCAAGGTAAAGCGGCCAGGGCATTTAGCTAGCTCAATGTTGTCTGCTATACACATTGCAATCCATCTCTGCCGAGAGGAGCTCTGAATAATCCACCCCCAATCCCATCACTTCAAAAAATCACCCCAAAGCCACGTGAAGGAACCGAGTTCCAAAATCCTGCCCACTCACGTGGTAACATAGCCTAAACATACCACGCGGGCTTTGAGGTGCCCGCTTGCGAAAAGAATCGTCCGCCCATCCCATTTTCTCAGCCAATTCTTCAAAAAAGCCAACACCAGAGGATGACCAACAATAAAGGGCACGGCCTGATTTGTAGACTACCCCCAGGGTTGTGCGGCCGTTCCTTGGCAGAATCCAGTAAAAAGACAAAAGGAACAAGTGTTGTCGAAAAAAAAAATATGTACAGCGAGCGAGAAGTGGATATTGTCAGGCTGTCTGTATACAGAGCCGTGTTTGGGAGGGGTATCGTCAAAAGGTCGAATATGTACAGGTGTAAGATGAATCGAACTTGAAGGGTTTACTGATGCGCCGGCTCCCGTCATTCATGTTGATCAGATCGGTCCGCCTCGGCGTCTTCGACCACGGCTTGGGCCGTCTGGTCTCTGCGACAGAACATCGCGTAATTCCGGGTCGTCCTTGTCCTTATCCACGTGGTGAACTCGAACGTGTCTGTAATTTGTAAGCAAGACTAGCCAGCGCTGGGAGCTTCCTGGGTTGCACAAACCTCTGCAGATTGTCCGGCCTGGGATATTTATGCTCCCGATCTGGGCAGAACGGACATACGTATCCAGGAGACTCGTGGACGAGCCCATGGCGGATCATTTCGTTCTTGCGCTTGAAACCCTTGCCGCCCTCCGATCGAGAACACCCCTTCACTGGGCAATAGTGCGGCCGGGATTGAGAATGGACGTTCGCGTGAGAGTTGAGAAGATACTGAGTCTGGAAAGGGGGGGCCCTACACCCCTCAAATTTACAGACGTATTGGCCCACATCTTGAGGATTTGAAAAGGCCATCCCGTCCAGGCTCATTCTATCCGCGACCGAGTGCGTCGAAGTCGCAGGCGTGGAGGCTGAATGATCCGTGCTTGGCGTGCTGCCGCTGTTGTAGTCGATGCTCGGTCGATGTGTCATGCCGCCCGGAGGGAAAGGATAGTACGGGCTGGGTGGCAACAAGACAGAGTGCGGCGAGCGGGGGTCGCGGGCATAGAGCTCATGCGGTGAGATGGGCGGAGAGGCATGGCTGATGGATGGCAACCGGGTCATATTGGGGCCCGGTAAGGAAGGTGGAGACTGCTGGAACGATGCGGGAGAGAGCGCCTCAGGCCCCAGATGGTCTCTGATGGACGGAAGCGCGATGCCGGCATTTGACTCTGACCTTGGTGAGGCATTCTGGATCGGCGGGAGCTCGCCGGGGCCATGACCCGCGACGCTGCTCGTAGGTGATGCGAAAGTCCCAGTTCGAGGCGAGTAGTAGTCGGGAGGACTGTACGGGGCAGGAAAAACGGGTTGTGGCCTGTCGTCTCTCCTGATGGCTGTCTCGGGCCGGGGCACGGCGGGAGGTGACGACTCTGAAGGTCTCGACGCCTCCGAATTCGTGTCCCCGACAGTCGTCGTTGTGCGCCCGTCCTCGCTGGGAGACTTGTGATCGCCCAAGGCCAGGGCCGCCAGAGCGCCTCCAGCTAGCGTCTGCAGGTCGGCAGGAGAGCCCGGCTGGGCGCCATTCTTTTCGCCGGGCCGTGTAGGCCCCTTGTCAGCCCCTTTTGTTCCTCCTAGCTCGTCGGAGTCGGCCATGATATCCAGGTCGTCCACCGAGCTGTCCGTGTCGGGGCTGCTGGAGGCTTCCTCCGAGTCGCTCGGTAATGCCTCCTGACCAGCCATGGTAGCGATGTCCGGATGCCTTCCATTGTCCATGATATTTATCAGAACGGCATCGCCTTGACTTGGACGTACCTTGTATCGACGTTTAGTTTTCCTGCTACCACGACTGGGAGATGGACTGACTTGAACCAGCGGGATGTCTGGTGGAGGACTTATGCTTGGTCGGAATGATACCTTTTTCGGGACGAGCAAGGGACTATTCCGGGGCACCACACCATCCGGGTCGTACACGTCGTGGGCAGGCGCCGGGGCAGTGGCTGTAGTCATTGCTTCAGGTGTGCTCGCAGCTTTGCGTACGTGTGTGGTCAACTCGCCATGAGAGTAGGAGGCTGGGTCATAGGGCCGAACTTGGTGGAACAGGCGTGCGCACACGGCTCCACCGATGCTGCCGTCCTCGCGAAGGCGCCAGCAAGAAACCCGTCCTATGAACGACCGATCCTCTCACGCGGTGGCCAAGCCCACTCGTTCGCGTTGCGTTCCCTAGCTCTTTTGTGCCCTCTTGTCTTGTTGTGTGGGCAGGTGTGTGTATGTAGAGAAGTACGGGCAGCGTTTGTCTGGGTGTGGGTTGTGTTTCTCCCTGTCCACTCTCGTTTCCCTTGGCGGCACCTTTGCGCCGGGTGGTACGAAATCGGCTAGACGGAGGCTAGAACAATGGGCGAGGACGCCTTTGTTGCGCGGTGGTCGTGGTCATCCAAGGGGGCAGTTTGTGGGTGTTGTGGCCCAGGCAGCGGTAGGGCGCGAGGGTGAGGGTCAGGCGGGAAGGTTGGGGAGTGGAGGTGTCCAGGACGGTGTAAACGAGGTAGCCCGCAGAGCCCCAAGCCTAGGAATGCGGCGAAACAGAGCCTCTTAATGATATGGGGAAATGCTTGGCGCGTGACCGGGTCCCCCAAGTCCAGTCCCCAAAGCGACAGGGTGAGCGGGGCAAACAAACTGCTGGGAACAAAAACCGGGGGAACACGCCGGGCGGCAAGGATGATGGGGGTATGAAGAGAGGGAGGCGCTGGGTTGGTGCTTGACCACGGGTCCCCTGGTGAGGGGGTTTTTCGACCTGGGGTCGGGAGGGATGGGCGGCTTTTTGCTGTTACTCCAGACCAGACCAGAACAGACCAGAGCCGAGCCGACAGTCCCCGTAGCACGAGATACTGAGTAGTAAACTGCGCGCTGCCCACTGACACTTGACACTGACAGTGACACCTGGTCACCGACAGCGACACCGACTGGCGACCGACCAAGGCACCAGCGCTGTTCTATCGTGGGGCCGGCGTTGGGACAGGGCTAGTCTCAGTCCAACCGATTTAGCAAGGGCCCAACCTGAGCCCACCCAACCGTGCTCGTGGGCGGCGCTTGAGACGGGAAATGATATGAAGCGGTGGATGCGATGGGCGCGATGGATGCGATCTGATGGGATGCTTTGCGCTTGCGCTGCGCTATGCTGTGAATGGCGGTTCGCGTGGATACACAATGTCTCGTAATCAGGTCATGAACTGCACAATATGGACAGCACCTGGCTGACCTGGCTGCCTTGCGGGTGTGTACGTATGTATGTATGTGCGCGAGCCTCGTACGTGCCTGTGTGTATGTGTGTATGACTGACAGGTCGACAAGGTGAGTGACTGACTGACTTGGCCGGTGGACTGACTGACTGACTGACGAGGTTGGGGTCGAGACGGTTGATCAGCAAGCAAGCTCGGATGGTGGAGGGAGCAGGCCAAGCAGGGCGAGGCGAGGCGAGGCGAGGCTCTGGGTGGATCTCGCTGGAGGCTGGAGGCGGGCTTGAGAAGGCAAATGCGACGCCAATGCAATGCAGTCTCTGCTGCGTTTCTCCGTTTCCCGGGCCCTCGAGTTGTTAGGTTTGGGACGGGGCTGGTTTGGCTGGCTCGCAACCGTCGTCGAAGCTGGCAGCCAAGGTAACCTGGGAAAACAAGGCGGAGCAAGCAGGCAGGCGGACAGGGAGCTGGCCGTTGGCGTTTTCTGGGTTTGTTAGTCGACCAGCCGAGCCTGGTCGGCAAGACAAGACAAGAGACAAGCAATAAGATTGGACGGGACAAGGGAGGTGGGACGGGGGTGCGGCCGAGGTGGTGTCGGTCAGGTATAGATTGGGGGGGGTGTCAGGGAAGGCGAGGATCTTAGTAGTAGTAGTGGTGGTGGTGGTGGTAGTAGCGTATAGTTTCTGGGTACTCCGTACGGTGGTATTCCGAGTGCAGTGCGAGGTGCAATTGCGCGGGAGTGCGTGCACTGCAGCCTGCACGAGCAGAACTGGGAGCGAGATGGGCAGGAACGGCTGGGCAGGTTGCTCCTTGCTGCTGCTGCCGTTTACTGCTGCCGTTGCTGCACAATGACCGAGGGCAGTTGGGGGGGCACCCAGAATCTACCGAGTCTAGAATCGAGTCGGTCTGGCTATGTCTGGGCGCCGCCCAAACTTTGAGGCTGAGAAGCCGTGGGGACTCGTGAGAAAAGCAAAGCATGAAAAAGAGTCAAAGTTCCCCTAGTGTGGCACACGTCACCCACAACGCCCACGCAGCCACGCCGCCCACGCCGTCATTACTGCAGCATCAATGCTTGTTGATAACATCTCCCCCCCAGGGACCCAAGAGACAGTCGAGAAGAATGGTCTTGTGGTGACTGACCTGTGCCATGTGTCACGTCACGAGCGGGTTAGATTGGCAGGGCGAGGGTTTGGGCTGATTCTGGGGTCATTCCGCAGCTGATGATGGAACGGGCCAGGCTGAAGCCGCCCGTCTGTGCATCTATCTGTCTGCCTACTTGTCGACTCACCCGTCAGTCCGTCAGTCCGCCAGTCCGCCAGTCCGCCAGTCTTCTCTCTACTTGGTGCTGGGCTGCGTGGTGCGCCCTGCTGCTACGGGGTGATGACAATAATAATAAATGTGGACTGCATGCAGCACAGCACAGCACATACTGGTATACATCACCTAAAGCCAAAAGCACAAGCACAAGCACGCACACAGTGTAAACACACAGGCACGATCCTGGGTTAGGGCACACTCGACAGCCCAGACAGAGAGGAACGGAGTGAATGATTCAGGCACATGACGACTAACTTATTAGTAAAGGGTGGGGAGAGAGAGAGAGACTAAGAAATTGGGGAGGACACACGCCTACGGTTCTACGGTACCACCTAGGAATCAGTGTTGTACGGAGTACGGAGTACGAGGACGACCACTGCAGTGTGGCCTCGGGCTCGGGGAGGTCGAGCCGTCCCTTGCCCCCAGGCTGGGCCCTCTGCTGTGCTGGGCCGGGCTGGGCCGGGCTGAGTGACCTGTGCGTGCTCTGCTGAGGCATACTGTAGGTTCGTTCCGACCCCCTGGAGAGAAACCTTGAGATGCGGGCGGCGGGCGCCCAGGGCGAATGTGGGTGCCAGGCGCCGCGGGAGGGGTGGATGGAAATCAAAAGTGGGTAATAGGGCCCGTCAGCAAGCGTCAAAGGGCTCGCAAGACTCGGGGCGCTGAGTCGTTGCCCAAAATTCAAATGTGCAAGCGGGATTGCAAAACAAAAAACGGGTTGCGGCAACAGACAAACATGCTCAGTGCGGGTGGGGACGGGGACCATGAGGAAGAAGCTCTTGTCGACCCTCTTCTCCTTTCTACCGAGGTTCTGCCCCCGATTAAGCCTCATCATGACCCGAATAAAAGAGCGTGTTATGCATTTCCCGGCTCCCCTTCCTTTCGTCGGGTATATTATCAACACACCTGGTGAGCCAGTCAAGTCCACCCCACTCCAGCCCAGTCCTATTTTGGTACAGTACGCCCATGGTTAATGCACCACACCGACCGATAAACAACCAGCACTGCTTGAAACTGAGCTAGGCGGTAGAAACAAGAAACAACCTGTCATGCCGTATTTAGCTCATTGGGACTTGGTATATACCACAGTACGCCAGGTATAACAGGGTGCTACGGGCATAGTAGTGTAAAGGACCAAGACCAAGACCACAATTATTCGATCAAAGCCGCGGCGGGAACTGAGCTGTCAAACAAAGCGATCACGGGTCCTGCTCCCCCAATTCCACATTCCAACAAACCCCCTCCCCCCTCCCCCCCCTACTTCCATCCCCCCGGTGCGACGCTGGGGGAACCAACGGTTCCTAGGCTGGGCTGGCTGGGTTTGCTGGCGGGCTGTCTGATTGTCAGACTGTCTGACTGTACCTGTACCCGACCACGGGGAAGCCCGTTACGCGAGCGATGGGGCGGGGGAGACCCCCGTCAGCATATTAAGCCGCATGACGAGCCAACCACTCAGGCCGTCTCACGGCCGCCTGGTGCCAACGACATGACTTGGAAGTGCCCGCACAGCGTTGCAGTGGTGCTGTTCAGCTCATGTGCTTGCCGACCCGTCCTGGCGACGGCCGCCCCCTTCGTCACCTGCACCACCCGAGCTGGCCTCGAGACCCTCTTCGACGGGCCATTGTGTGCGGCAGATGCAGATGCAGGTTTATTGTGTGTTCAGGACAATAGACAGCAATAAAATGCCAGACTCACGACTCACTGCCTGAGACCTGGTGTTCAGCGGGTGTGCATCCATCCACCCATCCAGCCATCCCACAGGTCCAGGCATGCAGCCTACCTGCCTGCTAGCTAGTGCAAGCTAGCCTGCCTTGTACGAACCGACGAACAATGGGCACACTGTGGACACATCTATTGACAGAGATGCAGGCCGTGTCCAGAAATGACAGCAGCAACTACGGAGTACTCCCTTCGGATAATCAACCAGTCAAGTCCTTGATTCGGCGGCAGCTACAGCCCCATGGGTGCCCAACGCCTGCGCGCTTGGTACCTGTCTGCCTGTCTACATCTCACCTGCTTGTGCGCCCTCCGAGCTCCAGTCCTGCCAGTCCCGCTGCGCGGCGCAAGCTCATTTCCTGGGCTCTGGTCGGATTTCTCGGAACCTTCAAGCCCTCACCCGCCCTCGAATCGGCGGCTTCAGCCTCCTCCACGGCCGTGGGAACAGCGCCAGATTGCCCAATCTTGCGCCGCCGATTCGCAATGGCATTCGATCCTTCGACGGCCTCCAGAGCAAACCTAATCCGCTCGTCCTTGAGACAGAAGAAGTCGGACCCTTGGAGAGTATCCACGGGGTATCCTGTCCCGTCCCATGCCCACCCAGCCCAATAATACCGCTACCCCGTCCCATATACTTGAACTTGGCTCTGCTGTGTGCTGTGGAAGGAGCCAGCACTCCCATCCCATCTCGTCTTTTCCCACTAGCGCTGATGGGGGACGAGGCTCAGCTGCGGTTTATTTGTGCAAGATGTCCCGGACGTCGAATGTCGAATCTCGCTCGCCTGGCCGCCGGTAACGGTTGGCTGCAGCCGACGCGTGGGGACAGTAACACGTTGAAACGTAACGGTGGCCAGCCCGTCAAGCCCGTCTGGCCCGTCAGCACCCCTCGCCTGGACCGTTTTGTGTGGATGAGCCTCCATTCCTCCATCTCCAAGTGGGGGAAGGAGCGCCTGCCATTGGGCGAGGACGGCCTCGCCCCCACTTGTTGCGCGACCATCCTCCCCACGCTTTCCCCAGTCCAGTCCAGTCGCACGGCGTCTCCTCACCTCGACTCCCATCTCGCAGTGGCTGCCACTCCAGTGGGAGATGACCCATTATGCTCGACCATCATGGCCCAATTTGCCCGGATTTGCTAATGGCGAGATTGTGGGAGGAGGCACCCAGGGCCCCAGGCACCCAGGCAACTGCGGATGCTACTGTGGACAGACCAGACAGTAACACAGTACAGAGGCCGCCGCACCTGATTCCATCCTCCCAGCCCACCCCTCCTTCTCGAAGTCTCGGCGACTATAACACGACGGATTATCACGCCTGCAGCAACGAGACCCCGATGAGGGAATTGCTAAAATGAAGCTCCCACTCACCGGCCTGCTTGGCCCCCTCCTGCCCCCCAGAGGCACATCATGCTCGTCCCGGCACCGCCTATCTGCGTCCAGCCTGTCGATGCCCTTTCCCGAGCGCGCTTGTCGATTTTTGTCGTGTGCATCCGCTCATCGCATGACTCCATGTGGGACTGATGGAGACGTCGCGTGGCCCAAGTCTCGAGTGCGGAGAAGGACCTGGCCTGTTGAGGCTAAAGCTTGAACGACCGACGACCGACGACCGACGCTTGGTGCCACAGGGTCTGCCTGTATCTACACAGTATGCACCAGAGAGGAACCCTCCCCGAGCATGCTGGATGCGCCTTCGCACACACTCACACACACACACATACTGACACTCACCCTCACAAGTAACATGCTCGCCCATCGAAACGCTTGCGCGTTCCATAGGCGGCATGCTTTCCGGCATATAGTTCAAGGGTTCCCCGGAGATGAGAACTCTTTTCAAATAAGAAAGAGGGTGGCTGAGCCCGACAAAGTGTTGCGAATGAATGCCTCGAACACGCACAAGTGTCGTGACGGGAATAGCGCCGGCCAACGTCGCACACGCTCGCTCAGCCTCAAAAATGGCCCGGCCCAATAGATTTGGCCAACCAGCAAAGCGCACAGGACTCCCGCGAACACGTCTGCATACAGCGGTACGCCGTACTGCCTACAGGCACCCTCAGGCACCCTCGATCTCCCACGCACCCAATAGCCCTTGCTGAGGAATCGCAACCTTTCTTTCGGTGGCCATCTTTTTGCCGATGGGCCCGACAAGGTTTTCATTCTGCCAAATTATCCTTCGGGACCGGGAAAACCAAAGACACCCGACGACTCCGCCCAAGGTCTCGGTGACTGTCAATTTATTATTGTCGAATATCACAGGCCGATCAGGAGCTGACGTCAATCGGCACGGGGCGTTGGGGGATCCCTCCTGGCTTTCCCGCCTTGACGATCGTCCGCGGTGTGCTGATGCTGCTGCAGAAGAGCAACACGCGCTAGCATGCACGCACCCGCCTATGAAAATTGAGGCTCTGAGCATGGCGGCTGGCTAGCCCGCTGCTAGCACTGCCAAACAAGACAATCTCATTTTGTGAGCTGCCGGTTTTGGCATCACCTCGGCTTACGCTGTGCGACCGACCACCGCTCGCTATCTTCGACTTCCTAGCCGACGAGCCCTTCTGACCCTCTGACCGTCTGACCCTCCGGGTGGGGTCAATGATGACCAGCAGCGCTCTGGAGTTCATCTTGCTAGCAAGGTGGCTGCGGCACTACGGGATGGGAGCGAAGGGAGGTGTTCTTCGCCCTGACAGATCGTCGCCCCCTGTGGCTTGTCATTCGCCCGCCGCAGTTGCTACCTACCAGTCCTGCCAGTTTCTCGCCCGTGGGATGGACAAGACCTGCACCACGTGAACGTCTGACTTGCATCCGTCACGAATGCAACAAGCTGAGGATGCCCACCTGGCTCCGCGGGGAACTCAGCGGTGTGCAATGCAGCTAGCTATACGGCACCTGAACGAGCCTAGACGCCCAGTGCCGCTGCGCTGGATCCTACCCGCCCAGTATGGCTAGAGGTTAAGTAGAAGCAGACCTAGGGTGGCCTCGTCATCCGCTGCCATGCATGCGATACCAGACAATGGCCTTCAGCTTCTCAGTGGCGGTGATGGCCTCGCAGCACCGGCCACGCCCAACATCTCCGGAAATGTTTCGGTCGAGTGCTGTGCCGCTTGGAATCCCAGGCCGGGCTCTTCACCGAAAAAAATGGTCATCCTCGTACCCATGTCGCAGCTGGGCTTGGCTCGGCGAGCTGCTATTTTTCCCAACCTTTCGAGTGACTCGTCACATATAGTCGCCAGCAGGTCTGGCCTCAAGCGAGGTGTGGCCTGGACGATGTGTGTGTTGAACAGAAAGTGGGATGTGTGGTCAGAATTATTATTGAAGATGCCTTGCTTGATAAGGGGTTGAAAGGTGGTTGTGGTACTCAGTCCCGGGCCCTCCGAATGCATCGGTGGTCATCGAGCTCTTCAAGTGAAGCTGCTCTGGTGTAGACTACGGGTTATCGAGCTATCCAGGGGGTTGAGTACATACCATGAGCCCCGCGACCATGTTTGTCCTACCCAGGGTGTCAGTGTCCTCGAGGAGTATTTGGCCATCAGTCACTGCTGCAGCAGTGAGACGACCGAATCGGGTCAGCAAGACCACATGCGAGATATCCGTTATCTGACATCCATCAGCACACCATACTCCCACTCCACTGCTACGCAGATATACCAGCGTATGATCCTGTTCATCCTGGGCTACTTCAGACACGGTGCCCAGTCGTCGTTGGTCCGCCCCGCGGGGGCCAGCCACCGCGGACGTGGGGGTCCCCTCGAGAGGCCGTGGCGGTGGCGGAAAAATACTACGCAGAGGCTAGCGACTATGCTTTCGTAGTACACGAGGGCATTCCTTAGGTGTGTGGCTTCAAGCGGACACCATGACGCCTTCATCGGCCAAGATGAACAAACACGACTAGATGCAAGTTCCCGTACTTGGGTCAGAGTAGCCGAAATGGATTGAATTCAAGTGTTCTCTGAGAAGACATTCTTCGTCCCCAACAATAGTCAGTCCATCACTTCTCGTTCTCGGAACCACGTCTGTCCTCGAGCTCAGTATATTCTACTGTATTACCTTATCCGCTGTGACTCGATTCGTGGCTGCTTTGTAGATGGGCCACAAAGCTGTAGAGATGCCCACATACGAACCGTGATGGGATGCTCTACCCATGGGTAGAGCCATAAGGCGAATAGTAGCACGATGTCTGCTTCCTCTGGACTCAGTTCTCCAAGCTACCAAAGAGAAAACCTTGCCAGCTAGCAGGTCTCTAGGTCTCCCTCCATGAAATGCCTCCGTGTACTTGATAAAGACGTGGGGGTTGGGATTACTAGTCTTTGTCGTTCGAGCTCGCTTGAGAGTAGATGTCTGCATCAGGGTGCGCTTCCAATACACAGTCAATGTACTGTTACAGTTTCAAACAACAAGTGTCATTCGCAGGAGTCTACATTTCGAAAGCCAAGCGTGCAATGCAAGTGTGACAGTTTTCAAAAGAATTGGGGCAATGTTCTCTATAATCTTTTGGGTCATTTCAACGCCACGAGCACCCTCGGACACCCTATGACATAAATTCACGCTTGAACAGCCTAGACCTGGCCACCGCAAGGCCCGACTTCGCCGAGCAGACAAACTCAGCATTGGCAACCTGCTCAGGGAAGGTCCCGCTCGTGGGCGGGATGACGGAGCAGTCCGGCGCGCGGCAGCCCTCGTCAAAACCGCAGTCCTCGGCCTCGAGCGCCCGCCTCGCCAGCCCGGCGTCCAGGTCCACGGCGTTGGCAGGGTCCTTGACATCGCTCGGCCACCCGGCCCCGAGGCCGATCGTGAAGGCGCGCCCGGCGTCGCAGCGCAGGCTCTGCGCGTCCGTCATGTGCTCCATGCGCGCCGTGTCCGTGGCGATGATGAGCCGCTCCCGCGCGTCCGCGCCGGGCCCGGACCAAGCCGCCCACTCCGGGGAGCCGCCCGCCCTGTCGGTGTTGGGGTCCTGGTTGCGCACGAAGCTGGTCCAGTAGTCGCGGGCGACCTTGAGGGCGGCCGCGTGGGCGCCCGCCTTGTAGCTCGCCGGCGCGTTCATGTCGGTGCTGTTGGCGCCGTAGAAGGCGTAGTTGTTCACTACGTGCCAGGCGCCCAGCCCCTCGGCCTCGTCCTCGGCGTCGCGGATGGCGTACTTGTAGTTGTAGGTTGGGGTTCCTTTTGCTGCTAGGGCGTTTTGGATGAATTTGATTCTGGGGTGGGTGGGTGTGTTAGAGATATGCTGCGGGCTGTTGGATACAACATTTGTTCGGGGATTCATATAGCAAAGACTGTACTCACGGGCAGTTGGTGCCAAGGTCAGCAATGGCGTTGGCTCCCTGGCGGTACAGGTTCCCGGACTTGGGGAAGTGAGGCGCCGGCTGGTCCGCATAGAGGTCCCTGATGATGGCAAGCGAGGAGTTGGTCAGGGTGGGGACCTGGCCGAGCATGTACCTGTCGAAGGCCTCGGTCGTGTTGGCGGAGCTGTCGAAGATGTAGAGGGTGCCCTCGTTGGCGCAGGCGCCCATGATGCTCGGCACGTCGGCGACGTCGCCGGCCTCGTACATCTCGACCAGCCTGTCGCCGAACAGCTCGCCGTCGACGTTGGGGCCGAACCAGCACGTGCTGCTGTACAGGTCCTCCAGCGCCACCTCGCGCAGGCACTGCAGGCTGTCGACGCCGGTGCCGTTGCAGCTTTTCTCGGCTGTGAGGCAGTCGTACTGGTCCTGGCCCTGGTCGAGCTTGCGCATCGTCACCCACCCGCCGGACTCGACGATCCCGCCGTGGAAGAGGGTGCCTCCCAGTGCGCCCTTGTTGGCTGCCATGAGGAGGGCTACGGCGCCTGCTCCGGCGCTGACGCCGTCGATTGTCACCCGGGTTGGGTCACCTCCGACTGGGACGTGTCAGTGGACTGCCTGATCGCCCTGGACTGACGTCTTCTGGTCTCTTCCCAGAACATGACGGACAGCGACTTACACTTGGATATGTGTTCCTGGATCCACTCGAGGACTTTGATCATGTCCTTGATCCCGGCGTTGGGGCTGCCGTCTGCAATAGCCTCCTCACTGAAGAGGAAGCCGGTCATTCCAACGCGATAGTTCTGCGTTCCAGGTCAGCACAATATATAACACCACGGGTGAGCCGTCGGGGCCGGCAGGCTCGGTGCGTCACCCACGAATTGCACAGAGACGATCTCGGCGTCTGTCACCACCTCGCTGGCATTGTAGTTGGCGTTGGAGTTGGAAGTGAACCCGCCGCCTTGGATGAACACATGCACCGGCTTGGGATCTGTCGTGCTCGATGGAGCAGTGATGCTGAGGAACAGGCAGTCCTCGTCCACGTGGAACCGGTCGGACTGCCCACTCAGGCTGAAGTCACTTGCTTGTTGAGGCGGGCAGATCGCGCCGAACTCGGTGGCATCTTGCACGCCCTCGAAAGGCTCAGGGTCCTGCGGGTCCCGGAAGCGGTTGTTGCCCGTGGGGGGAGCGGCGAAGCGGACGCCGTACCACTTGCGGGCGCCGCCGTCTTCGAAGCCCCGGTACTTGCCATATCCGACATCGACAGTCAGGGGGTCGGTTGTGTTTTGGGCGTGGGCCACCGCTAGCAGAGCGGACAGAACAAGGAACGGCCGCATAGCTATGTGTGGAGTCATATATGTACGACGGAAGGTGTAAAGAACGAAAGACAACACAGTTGTCACTTGACGAAAAGAGTGGAAACAGACAAGCCTGTGAAATGAAAGAATACGTGTGGCTCAAAGATGAGATCCAAACGAATGCGTAGGGAGTTCGGCCCATGGGACAGAGTTCATCGTGCAATTAATATATGAATCTTGTTTTAGTAATAGACTCAGTCGCCGCATGCCTATGTCCGCATCTCACGGGCTATCCGGACCGCCCGCGAGCCACCTCGCCAAGCGCCCAGAAATGAGGATGGATAAAAGCTACTTTCACTACCATGACGGAGAGTCATGCATCCAAATAAAAGGGTCGTCAGCATTGGAAAATAACGACGCTTCAACGTGTGGATTATGACTATGGTCGACACAAGATTCTGCTGTGGCTTTTGAGAAGGATATTTTGGTCGTGTTCTCCTTGGCGGCGTTCTAGTCGACGCAGCCGTCAAGATGGTGCCCCTTATTACCCCTTGTCTGTGCGTCGCAAGGCTGAGGCCATGTGCAGCTATCGTATTTTTACCACTATTATTGACTCTACGTGTTTTTTAAACATGGGTGTTGAGTGTTTACTACTATATGGAGGTGTCATGTATGCCCTCAGACGTATGTGGAATAGAAGCGAAACCAATCTCATTCTCTCCAGTGCTGGGAGCAACCGTGTACGATTTGAGACCTGAACTACAAGTATGATCCGCTCTGATTAATCGACACAGGGATCCCGCTAGTGCATTCAGGGGCGTATGTTTAAAAACAAAATCTTAATTTTGGCGCAAAGGCTCTTACAGATGGAGTGGCTCCAAGGCACATGCATGGCTTGTTGAACGATACCGAATAAATAAATTCCCACATCATCTCGCCGCTTCGGGATAAATATGTTTCAACCCCACACCTTTACCTGAATGAGGGTATTATGATTGGATCTGGAAGTTGATATATTGTTCACGACCTCACATTATCTTTACCGATGGAGATGAAATCTCTATTGAATACAATCTCATCACGTCCACGGGGTACCACGGATTCTCCCATTGACCCGATTCCCGAGTTCTCGTCAGGAAAAATGGATAGTCTCACATCAGCCTCTATGTTGCACTTAATTTGAAGCCCATTACGATGAGTCTCGGGTGGTAGTTGTCCGGAATTCTAGCAAGGGTGCTTGCCACAACGCTCCTTGAATTTTCCATTGGACAGACTCAATCCAGATGTCCTGCTACGCCACAAGTGTATGCGCCTTTCAGTTCCCCATCTACCTAGGCATTGCACGCGCGCCCCACGGGAAGCCAGAGGCAAGATAATGACACAAAAATCTAGAAAGATTGGCTCTTGACTTGAGCGTCTCAACACTTTAATCATCATGAAGATATCGGATGAAGCAATTCTAGAGATGTGTTGGCATCCTCTATCGCATCCCGATGTCATGATATTTCAGCTCGAGAGGAATGCTATCTGACAGTTCATTCAATGACCGCTCGAAGATCAGAATTTCAGTGTTCGGGCAACAGCAAACTGATCTATCTCATATTGCAAGCAGGTAATCCAGGCTTGCACACCATGATTGATTGCCAAGCTGCAAGCATGAAGTAAAGGGCCTGTCCTCTCCATGGGCTACAGCTAACCCCTGGAAATTCTTGACTGAATGTTATGCACGCTCAGTGCTACAAGAACCTACAGTCTTTGCGCATACAACAGGAAACATCTTTTATGTACAGGAATTGTGTCAATGCAATATCTCTGCGTACGTTAAATAAAAGCACCTGGGAGGAGAACAAGCTACCTAGGTACCTGGGTAGTTATTACGGGCGGCTGGTCATAGTTGTACAAGCTATTATATCACTCATATAGTCCTTACCACAGTACAGCGTCTTCCCTTTATTCTCATTATACAGGCACTTCCAATCTCCTCTCATATAACTTCTTCCCACCAACTAATCATCCTCATTGTACGTTATAAACAATTAGCTACATTTATAAATATAACACTATAAAAGAGCTACCTAAACTCTAAGCTAAATTTACTCATCTAATATGATTTGTCTGTACCTAGGTAATTACACACAGACTTTAAATTTACTCTGGGGATCATTTCCTGACCACTAAGAAGTCCCCCACGACGAGAATCAAGGGAAGAGCCTGTACCAATAGTTAACGATGGCTAGTAAGATAAGCTGCTCAAATTTGCACGTCCATGGTCAAGTCTTTGACACCTTGGAGACATGTACTCGCACGCCTTGCAGCAATCCTCAAATGATTGAAGAAACCATGTGGACAGTTGAGTCAAATTTCGGCAGGTTATCAAACTTGATTACACGGGCATCAAGCCGATCCAATCTCCTCAAGTGCTTACATTATCTGCCCCGGGTGATCATACTGACTGTCAGATAAGGGGTCCCCCCTCAGGAATCGCACCACCTTTGCAGTATCGCTCGACTGAAGCTGATGTCGGCTTTTCTTTACGAGCGAACTATTACTTGATCAACTGTCACGGCTGGGTTGTAACTTCAAAATCACATACTAATGCTAGTCTCGCAGACGGTCAATTATCAATTCAGCGAACCGCCAGGCGATGTGTTTTCCAACAGATATTATAGGGACAGGATTCCACTGCCTGTATAGCCGACGGGAGTGAGCGCGGTATCTTCCGAGCAATCCAGAGCGAAGCATTTGGGGGTGCAGTCTTTATTCGGCCTTAATCATGAATATGACCGCCATCTGGGGAATACGAGGCTCTCCGTTGCGCAATACTACGCTATCTGGCATGCTGCAGCCTGTCAGGGGTATAAGTCTAGGCGATGTCACCTAACAAAGTTGCCCGTTAGGCTATCGGACTAAGATAGCCACGGAATTTCGCGACACAACCTGGCATTGTCCCTGGGGCCACAGCAATCAATGATTTTACAGGGTAGTAGTGGTTGTCATATGTGCAGTGCACTTTACTACTAGTATTCCACAGACATGATCGACATGCAGCGCAAGGCACATGTGAGATACCTGCCTAGGTACTGTATTGGGACGCACAATATATCATCTTCCCCTCGCGCTGTTGCGTTCCGGAACAGAAGATTTCCTCAGTTCATGAAAGAAATGGCCTATCAATCGCCCTCCAACGCAGTCAATTAATTCCCTGCGCGATTGCAGCGGGTCAGTCTTCCCAAGAAGGAAGCTCAATTGCAGAGGGAACGGCGATGTCGCCGGGAAGGTTCTTGGCTAATTCCCGTATCCGCAATACGACGTTGCAAGGGAGAGTCAAATTCATGGGTCTCGCAGTGGGATCCACCACCGTATCTTCCGCGTATGGGAGAATATCCCTTGACACGTTATAAGGGCAGTCCGCCGACGCGCATCCTGGTGAAAGAGATCGCAGCTTCAAGCGACGAGGCATCTTGGACACCTGGCTCATCCCAAGATGCAACTTCTCAGCATCGCCGGCCTGCTCCTCTGCACGCTCCCCTCCCTGGGGAGCGCCAAAACATTCGTTACTCGCCAGGCCCCGGCAGAGGCAAACGTGACGACCGCGGTTCCCCGGAGCTACATCATCGAGTATGCTGCGGTGAGCAAATTATCCCCGTCCACACATCCGGAAAGCCATAAGAAAGCCCGCTAATTTCCCCTCAGGGCTCGACCAAGTCCCGCCGTGACATTGCGCTTGCTGCCGATATCAAGGTCGTCAAGGACTTTGAGACGGACGTCTTCTCGGGCGCGAGCATCGAGACGGACAACCACAATGTCGACAGTTTGTTGAAAGTTGCGGGCATTGTTCGCGCCTGGCCCAACAAGCTTGTTGCCGTCTCCCCTGTGGAGGGTTTGACGTCTATCGAGGATGCCGCCACGGCTACTAATTACACAACGCACAATGCCACCGGTGTCAGTAAGCTTCACGACAGGGGCATCTTCGGTAAGGGTGTCAAAGTCGGGGTTGTTGATTCTGGGACGTGGTATAACCATCCCGCGGTATGTTGTCCAACTTCTGCAGGAAACGCGGCGGCGATGCTGAAACGTATCTTATAGTTGGGTGGAGGCTTTGGGCCCGGTTTTAAGGTAGCCGGTGGATATGACCTGGTTGGCGACGGGCGTAAGATGAATTCAGAGCGGACGATGATGGCGTGTTCGACTGACACTGTTTATAGTGTGGCCATCCGGCGGTCCCAAGGAGCCTGACGATGACCCACAAGATCAGATTGGACATGGTGAGAATTGTCGAAATACTTAAGGCGAGGAGCAATGACTGATTCTTTTGAAGGTACACATGTTGCTGGAATCATCGCTGGCAAGAATGAATTGTGAGTTTTGATATGATAGTCATCACTCGGCACTAGTCGTCCGTCCCACTGACGATTGACATTCAATAGTTGGACTGGAGTGGCACCAGAAGCGGAATTGTATTCCTACAAAATCTTTGCTCAATATGTGAGTATTTGGGTTAGGCAGGACTGCTACATCTGCGATGCTGATATCAAACAGGAATCAACGGATGATGCAACGCTCATTGAGGCTTTCCTCAGGGCATACACTGATGGTGTAGGTGACTCCTCATCCGGTAATTTACAATTGCGTCGCTAAAATTTCGGTTAGGTTGATATCATCACCGCCAGTATTGGTAGCCCAGGAGGTTGGTCAAGCGACGCCTGGGCTGAAGTCGCCTCTCGTCTTGTAGACGAGGGTGTGGTTGTTACCATCGCAAACGGCAACGCTGGCGCTGCGGGGGCATTCTTCGGGAGCGACGGTTCATCTGGAGCGAACGTGCTTGCGGTCGCCTCAGTTGAGACCGAGATTTATCCCGCGTCGCCCTTTGAGCTCACCTCGACGCTTGATGGCGAGACGGTAACTGTCAAGGTATCTTCACCCTCTTCCCTCAACGCGGTTGATCTGTCGAGAAATTGAAACTGAGAATTCATAGGCTGGGTATTTACCATCGACTTTCTATTTCTCGTCCAACGTGACCGACTGGCCCATCATACCCATGAACTTCAACACCACTGACCCTGCCGATGGCTGCCAGCCCTACCCTAACGGCACGCGAAGACTAGAGGGCGTGATCCCCTTGGTCAGGAGGGGCACCTGCACGTTCGCCACCAAGCAGCAGAACCTGTTTGCTTTGGGTGCAGAGTACATGCTGTTTTATAACAACGAAAGTCCACTCGCCACGCCTGGCACTGATGACGACGATGGCCTCATCGGGCTCATCACTGCAGAGGCAGGCAAGTCTATCATCGAGACAGTCCAAGCGGGTGGCAATGTCACCGCAGATTTCTCCCTAAATCCCGAGGCAGTCGTTGGCCTGGAATACCCTGCTGGCGGTCGGCCTAGCGTGTTCACGTCCTGGGGAGCCTCGAACGATTTGCAGATCAAGCCCGATATTGCTGCTCCTGGTGGCCAGGTAGGATGTATTGTGCCTGGTACTTTTCTTCTTTTGCTAAACGTTGCCACAGATCTTCAGTACATATCTTGACAACACGTACGTTCTGCTTTCAGGGACTTCAATGGCGACCCCTTATGTTGCTGGCGTCGCGGCTCTGTACATCAGTGTTCATGGTGGCCGATCTGTACATGGTGAGTATTCGAAGACCTTGCCGTCTCTCCTGTGGCTAACACTAGAACACAGGCAAGGATTTCGCCCGGTCGCTGCACCGCCGCATTATCGCGAGCGGGACATCCCTCCCCTGGTCAGATGGAACAGCCACCGACTATGGCTTTGCCGCTCCAGTAGCCCAAGTTGGTAACGGGTTGATTAACGCCTTCAAGATTGTCAACTATACCACGGATATCTCATTCGACAAGATGGCTCTCAACGACACCAAGCATTTTAACCCTAACCACGATTTGACCATCACTAACAACGGAGGCGAGGCGGTGAGCTACGAGTTCTCCTACGAGGCTGCTGCTGGGGTAGAAACCTTGGGGTGGTACAAGTTTAGTGAGCCTTGGGTGGGGGAGAAGAGGCTTAAGGATTTCTCCGCGATGAAGCCCACCAGTCTTCCAATCGACGTCTCTTTGCCAGACGGCTTTTCCCTTGGTCCAGGTGAAAGCAAGACCGTAACGTGAGTACCGCGAGGAGAACTCCAGATTCAACTAGTGCCCGCTTACTGACGGGGCTTGTCAGGGTAACGTTCCCCAACCCGAACGGCCTGGGCTGGAACGCATCAGCACTCCCTGTCTACAGCGGCAAGGTCATCGTCTCTGGCAACAATGGAGAGCAACTCTCGGTTCCATACCTAGGTGAGCCCTTGATAAATCATTCAGAATATCTGTAATTTGGAAAATACTGACCATAAGTCGCAGGCCTCGCGGCGGACCTGAATGCTGAGGTCAGCCCCATAAACCGGCCTTCATACCCTTTCACCAATCAAAGGGACTAGTGAGTAAATACATACACTTCTTTAACCTTTTATTTTCCTAACAGAAAATAGTGTCTACTCTTTCAACCTGAGCATAAGAGTCCAAGACTTCCCAACAATCTACTCTAAGCTCATCTGGGGAAGCAAGGAGGTCCGCTGGGACGTAAGTTGCTTCAAGGACAGTGTGCCTCTACAGCTGGGTCCCAAAGCTGACAAGAATACCCTAGATCTACGAGGCAGGTTGGACGGAAGAGCAATGGGAATATCCACCGGTGCCGGGCGAGAACGGCTACATCGGCCCCGCCACCAGCCACGTCCAAGCCGAAACTCTGAGTGTCTTCGATCCGAGCCGTTACGACCCGGACGACACCTTTACCTACCCGGTGATGGACTTGAACCGTAACGCCCAAACGCAGAATGCGGCTCACCAGTTCTGGTGGTTTGGCAAACTGGGCAACGGGAGTCAGATCGAGCTGGGGAACTACACGTGAGAGAAGCCTCCCTTTCTTTATCTAGGGTCTTGCGTTTCATGCTAATCTGATTATTGCGGTCACAGGATGCGTTTTGCTACACTTCGACCGTTTGGAGACCCTACTGTTAGCGATGGCTGGGACATCTTCAAGACCCCAGATATTCAGGTGACTGGGAAGTACCCGAGATCAAATGGAACGGTGTTTTAGCCTCATCTGTGGCGGTCTTAGACCCCGACCAAGAGTTGCAGATTTTAAAATCAAGGTCTGCTGCTACAGATTTGAGAACTCAGGCGGTCAACGGGAAGAAGACGAGATACAAAATAAAACAACATTTGAAATTCAACAGCCAAGCCGGTCATCACCACGCTCGGACTTGCCATATAGCCAAGTCCAGATAAGATATCAACGAATCGTGAATTAGATATGCAAAATTACTTGAATGGTGGGTGATATACAATGTTTGACACAGTGTAGTCCTGCCTGCATCAACTCAAAGGCGGGAACAGATAATCCGCGAGGAGAGTGGCTGGTCGACGCGTAACCAGCCCTGAGATCTAAGCTGAACTTGTTCATTATTGTTGCCCTCGTCAAATCGTGTACAGCGTTGAACGTGAACGGACCCCCCAGAACGAAGACCCATCAGAGAAACCCCCGGGAATGTTGCTGTGGGAATCCGTGTTATACCATTGGCCAGCCACAACTCCGGGACAGCCTCCGTCTCGCGTTCTCCCACGTGGAGCAAAGCCGGGGGGCCACTCAGCATCCAGCTTTGTGAATCCTACTTTGACAAGAAACGAAGGCGTTCATCGCGATCTGGACATACCACAAAGCAAATGCAGCACGCACTGCTAGCATGTGAGGACCGTCATTAGGCGTCTCCCGAACCCCACACCCACGCCGGTTCTCGGCGCTGTGTGACGCTACTGCCACCAGCGGGACCCGCTGTCCACCCTTCCCCGCAGAAGTCGAACAAATGCCGTCTCGCAGAAGGGTAGACACGGCAGCCGAGGTACGGATTTCTACGGACCAGTGAGGGCAAAAGCTGCTCGTCGAGTCTGGTACATCTCAACCGTCTCATAGAGGTTCTCGATTGACGACCCTGCTACGGAGTACTGCTACCACGTCGCCCGTCGATTACTCCCTGTACGGAAATGGCCCAGCAAACTATGAAGGCCGTCGTTTTCGACGGCCCTCACAAGGTGTCGATTCAGGACCGGCCGGTCCCCAAGCGTGAGTGCGACACCCGGGCGGCCGTTGAAGCTTACTTGAGTCAAAGTTGCATGCTGTGAAGAGAGGCATTGGTCAATTTTGAACGTGATTCTTTTCTGTCTGTGCTAACTCCAAGACTTGCCCAGTGCAACATGGCGGGGACATCATCGTCAAGGTCCAAGCGGCGGCGCTGTGTGGCTCGTACGTGTCGCCCAGCACCAGAACATGGTCGAGACTGGCTTCAGATATGCCGATACTGACTCTTATGCAGTGAGCTGCATACGTTCCGCGGACATGCCGCGTCCGAGACGGGCTTCATCATGGGCCACGAGTTTACTGGGGTCGTGGTCGAGGCTGGTTCGGACGTGAAGACAGTCAAGGAAGGCGACAAGATTGTCTCTCCCTTCACAACTACCTGGTGCGCCTCCACCTTAGTCCATGCGACCAACAGTTCAACCCAGGATAGAACGATAAGGGGCATGAGAGTGCTGGCTGACCATTAACGCAATGATACAGTGGGAAGTGCTTCTATTGTGAGAATGGCTACTCCTCCCGCTGCGTCGAAAGCCTACTCTTCGGTTGCCCAAAACTGTAAGCCTGGAGAGATAGCCTCACTAAAGGGTTGATGCCCGAGAGGAAGATGGGCTCCCGGCTGACGGTTTGAACTAGAGACGGAGCGCAGGCCGAGTACGTCCGGGTGCCCAATGCCGACGGCACCGTAGTGAAGGCACCCCCGGAGATCGACGACCAGTCCCTCGTGCTCATGGCGGACATCTTCCCGACGGGCTACTTTGGCGCCAAGAACGCCTTCACTCGGCTGACGGCCAACGAGATCGCCAACGGGACCGTGGTGGTTGTCGGGTGCGGGCCCGTCGGGCTGTGCGCCATCATCGCCGCGCTGGAGTACAAGCCGAAGCACCTCTTTGCCGTGGACAGCGTGGACAGCCGCCTGGAGGAGGCGAGGAAGCTAGGCGCGGAGCCTCTGAACTTTGTCAAGGACAAGGAGGGCATGTTTGAGAAGGTGAAGAGTGTCACCGAGGGGCGGGGCGCGGATGCTGTGATTGAGGTCGTTGGGCTGCCCCCGGCGCTGAGGACGGCCTTCGATCTTTTGAGGCCCTGGGGCGTCATCTCGAGCATTGGTGTGCACAACGCCGAGGTAAGTCCCAGTCGAGCTGCATTTAGAGGAAGTCATAGAACGTGATTTCGCTGACGACTCGGACAGATCCCCTGGAGTGGTACCGAGGGTTACAAGTGAGTCGCGTATTCGATGCGGTCTGCCTGTCTCCGTGCTAACACCGAATAGCAAAAACGTCAGGCTTCAGATGGGCCGTTGCCCGGTGAGGTCGTTGTTCCCCGAGGCGCTAGCCCTGCTGGCGAAGAAGCAGGACAAGCTGAGGTGAGTTGAGCCCATCTTGCACTCGCTGCCGCCCAGGCCGCTTTGGATACCCTTTTCTGACTTTTATCGTAGCTTCATGTTCGACAAGATCATGCCCCTGACGGATGCGGTAGAAGGCTATGACATCTTCGACAAGATGAAGGTCCAGAAGGTTATTTTCAGGCCTTGAGCCGGGCAAGAAACCTGAGCGAGATACCTCATGCCATCACGAGGTAGCCACTCAGCGCCTCAGACCTCAGGTCTCAAGCCCTTCAGGGTCTGCAGTGAACGCGATAAAATAAGTCGAGCCCCAATGAGTACCACCGTCTGGCCCCTTAGTTCTGTCTCGGCTTCACAATGCCATCGTGCATCATGTAGTAGACTACAGTAGAGTCGTTGTGAACCGTAGCAAGGAGGACTCTCTTCCCGCGCCATGCACCCCTCCACTTCCTCCAGTCGGGCGCGGCATCTCCCCCAGCGTCGGCCTCGGCCAGCCTGGTGGCAGGCGGCAGGGCGTCGAGGGCGTCAAAGACGGCGGCGAAGGCGCGGAGCGTGGGCTTCTCTGAGATGTGGATGGGCAGGACCCACTCGTAGTCGGGCTCCTGGTGCGGGACGGTGGTGCCGAGGGCCTTCTCGGCCTTGATGATGTCGATCTGCTCGTCCGGGTGGACGTACATGCGGCGAGGGGGCAGGCCGGAGAGCAGGGGCCGGGGCTGTGAGGGCTCCGAGTGCGATGTGACGTGCTTCCAGTCCTGCGAGTTTTCTAGGTTGTCGCGCACGACCTTTGCCAGGCCTTCTAGGTGAGAGGGGAACTGCATCCTGGCAGGATGATTTTTGTCTGGTGTATGTTGTGTTTGGAGAAATCAAGGAGGTGAGTTTGTGGTTTTGATGATACAAAACTTAGGAGGTCTGATGAATTAGTTAGTTGCTGGTGGAATTCAGTGAAATATTCGACTAGCAACCCAAGTCCCATGTCGGTTGTCGACGGGCCCAGTCTTAGGGTCTAACCCTGACAATAAGTCAAAATCTCAAGCACTCCGTACCTACTTAAGTAGGTACAGAGCATCCTCCCTGCTCTGCTATCTGTCGAGTCTATACTGGACTTGTATCCTAACAAAACAGTTTGTTGAACCAAAACCTGATACTGCGCACAGCTTACATGAGCCTCGAATTCAAACAGGGCTACTTGAGGCGGAATGTGGCGTTGCATTAGACTTTCTGCAGGCTGAATACGCTCAAGACATACGGAAGACTCCGTATAGCAGACAATAGAGAGCGAATACGACCATGCTGACTAGGACAAAGTCAAAATCGGAAGCAGACACACATTTTCGCTGACAGCACCTCCACCGATGCGGTAGAGCCACTTTTCAGGACCCGCATGAAATCTAGACCGCGCTGTCAAATCTAATGTACCTACAGAGGTCCCTGAAACGAATTGACGATCTCCATGACTATAGGGCAGGCTCATCTGCCGAACTCACATGCCTGCTGCAAATTGGTGGTGCTCACACTCCCATCACAGTACAACATCCAATACTATCAATGCCTCGTCAGGCTCGTCAATCACTGAGCTCACACAATCACACTCGCGGATGACATGACATCACCCGCGACGGGAATTCCCTAGCCGTGCAGCCATGCAGCCATGATTAGCACTGACTGCATGGCTTGTTACAGCACACAACCGTTGTAACAAGTCATGGCCAGGTCCTGTCAGGCAGGCCAGTGCAGGCGGCCCCGACCAATGCTGAACGGTACTGCCAATGCTCAATGACGCTTGTCATCCTTGTAGGACGCGGCCTCTGGGCACTGGGCCGCGCGTGAGTGGCCACCAGTAGCTCTGGCCACCTCCAAGCCAAGGCATTGGGGGTTGCTAGCTGGAAGGTATGACCCGCCCCTGCCTCTTGCGCCACACTCATCACCTCGTTACCTCCCGCTTTCCCCATGCGCTCAATCCTTGTTTGCTGCGCTTGCTTGTTTGATTGTGTTGTTACCGTGCCAAATATTCCTATTCGACTTCCTCTGTTTCTCCTTTCTCACCATTTTCAAGACTCGACGTCCTAATCCTTCCTTGTCATCTCCATCTTCATAATCGTCGCCATATTCCTGACGACAGACTGCATTCACGTTGCCATCATAACAATTCTTGACCAGCAGCTTATCCTGTCCCCCTCCTACTCTCGCTCCTAATCGGTCAGACTGATCAGATAAATCACCACACTGATAGCCCTATGTCTGAGCCGGTATAGAATATCAGCACCTCTGTGGACTGGGAATCGGCCACGGCTAAGCTCATCATCATGGCCGAATCCGACGGGCCAAACCAGGCCGCCGCCGGCGCCACCACTCCAGGACCTGAGTTTCCTCGTCCAACAGACAATGAACGCCCTAGGCGTCCGTCTGTAGCCTCCAGGATATCCTACAAGGTCCGCAGCCTGTCAAAGGACTTTGACGAGTCAAACCCGCCCGTCGGCTTCATGGCTGCCAGCAGCGAATTCGCCTCATCAGCCATCGCCGGCGCAGAATCCCCGAGGAGAAACAGCTACACTAACAGCGCCCACTCTCTCCCCCGGCGGCGCACCACCATGTCTGACCAGTCCGTCGACCCTGCTCCACGCGAGAGCGCCGAGTTCAACACCGCGGCGGACCGCCAAAAAGACGCCAAGACGCCAACCACAACACACGACCACAAAGGAGCAGCCCCAGTCGCGGCGGGGCCAACCTCAGACCCAGTTGAGAAGGACTCCTCGACAGCAACCTCCAACGAGGCCACGATCGCCGCCCCGGGCAGCGAGCCAGGGCCCAAGGCGCACGACGACAAGCCCGCGGCGCTGACCGAGCCCTTCGACAACGGCTACCACTTCCCGCCCTCGTACCCGAAGCGGGAGGCCTTCAAGCACGGCACCATGGCCTTCCTGCGCTACTCCATTACGCCCGTGGGCTTCTGCGTCGTGCTGTACGGCCTGAACGTGGTCGCCTGGGGTGGCATGCTGTTCCTGCTGCTCTGCAACGCCTCTCCTGCCATGTGCTACCCGAACTGCAACGACATCAACTCGCCCCGGCGGAAGTGGGTCGAGTACGATTCGCAGGTCCTGACCGCGCTCTTCAGCCTGACTGGTTTCGGTCTCGCGCCGTGGCGCTTCCGGGACCTCTATTACCTCATGAAATACCGCCTGCAGCACAAGCCGGAGGGCCTGCGCCGCCTGGCCGGCATCCACCGCAACTGGTTCCGCATGCCCGGCACCGAGGCCCTCCCCGTCGATGTCGGCCCGAAGAACGTGGAGGAGCTGGTCAGCGCGGGAGCCGTGCAGGAGGGCCTCGTCCCCGTCCCGATGAGCAAGATGCCCGAGGCGCCGCTGACGGGGGTCCGGGCCCCCGCCACGAAGGTGTGGAAGATGGACTTTATGATCTGGATGATGGTCTGGAACACGCTGTTCCAGTGCGTGCTCTCCGGCGTCATGTGGGGGATGAACCGCTACGACCGCCCCAGCTGGTCGACGGGCCTCTTCGTCGCGCTGGGCTGCATCGTCGCGGCGGTGGGCGGGCTCATCATGTTCTTCGAGGGCAAGAAGGTCAAGAGCATCGAGGGCGTGCCCCTCACGGACCGCGACAGGGCCAGGCTGGAGCGGGACCAGGAGATGGGCATCACGCACTACAACAACATCAAGGACAAGCCGCTCAAGAAGGAGAAGAGCAAGCGGAGCAAGAAGAGCAAGAACAGCGACGCCACCGAGAAGGCGGCTTCTTGAGAGATTGGCTGGCGCTCCGGCGTGGGGTTTGCTACATACAACACGAGGCACGGGGGGCGTTTATTCTTTCACAGACACGGGTTTGAGCAAAAAGCATGATGCTACGCGATCAGAGTTGTATACGATTTTTTGTAATCGCCTTCGAAGAGTACATATTATGGCTGTCGCCGACCCTCAAATTCACATATCAAACACGCAGCATTTGCCACCTCCATGGGATCCTGTATGATGGTGTCTTGATCGCCTTGTGAATTTACGTGTTGGTAGTGGTATTACGTCCTGGCAACAATGGCAGGACCGCAAGACCAAGCGTGGGGGCGCGACGAATAGGGTGTAAGTGCAATATGTGGATACTGACCTGTGAACCACTACATGTATGTATGTGTGGATCATGGTAGCCTCCCGAAAACATGTGAAGGCCCTTGCTGATGACTTTACCGGAGGGAATGGGATATTCAGATATTCATTCATGTCTCTAGCTAGTATTGTTTACTGTAGAGTTGAATCACAAAACGCCGTGATCCCAAGATACCTGTTGTCCTCCTAGATGCCCGTAACGCCAGCCGCCCTATGCAATCTGTACACAGCAGTCCAGCAAGAAATATAAGCCCGTCTGCGCCTTGACTTCCCAACCTTCTCTCACTGGCCCTATAAATCCATCTGTATAAAACTCGCGGAGTACCCCTTACAGGATACCCTCCTGTGAGACAGCCTCCTATGGGACAGCGTCCTGTGGACTATCCTCCTGTAGGGGAGCCCTCTTTAAAAGAACCATCCTGCTCAGATGTGCTCCACGGGCTCCTCTGGCAGCAGCTCCTCGACCTCCTCCTTGGGCCGCAGGAACTCGAAGGGCGGCTGGACAATGCCGTTGAACAGGAAGGTGAAGTAGACGAGAAGGGCGAAACCAGCGACCTGTAGCCACTTGAATGTCTCCCAGCCAAGACCGAGCGAGACGACCCAGATGAAGAGGGTCCTGCAGGTGTCGATGGTCGAGCGGGAAGTGGCGCTGACGGTCCGGGTGACGGAGAGACCAAAGAAGTTGAACCCGCTGTTGAATTCATCCTTGTTAGCTTATTCACCGACTCCAGATTGTTCCGAACCAGAAATGATCCTTCTTACCCAATGCTGATCATGATCAGGAAGCTCGATATCAAGACCTCGGGGTTCTGGGTCCACTGCCTCCAGCCCTCGACCATGTCGAAGGGCCCGTACTTGCCCGCCTCGGTGCGGCCGATGGCAAAGTGCAGCACGATCATGCCCAGCAGGGTGACGGAGAAGCCAAAGATGCCCTCCCAGCCGACGACGCGGATGGGGTCGATGGTGGACCGCTCGAGGAGGTACTCCTCGAGGACGAACTGGGTGGCGGTGAAGATCTGCGCGCCGGCGATCATGAGCACGCCGACGATGGCGAGGAGGGCGTCGGCGCCGACCTCGTCCGCGTGCGCGCCGTCGCCGCCGCCGCCGGGCAGCTTCTTCTTCTGCTGGTCGGGCCAGATGGCGCCGGCGAGCCCCACGACCGCCACGCCCAGCACCACGCCGACCAGGGAGACCCACTGGAACAGGTGCAGCCGCCGCTTGAGGAACAGCACGCTGAACAGCCCCACGAAGAGCACGAGCGCGCCGCGCGTCATCTGGTAGATCGAGGCGGCCACCAGGAGCAGGCCGGCGTTCATGAGCGTCGTGCCCAGGATGTCGCAGATGGCCGGGAGCGAGAGCAGCAGCACGCGGAAGCCGCTGAGGGCGGAGTCGCTGGGGACGGGCTTGCTGCCCCTTGACGAGGACCCGTTGGCGTTGTTGCTGGTATTGCCGTCCGCAGAGGGGTTCAGGGGCTCGGTGGAGCGGATGCTGGCGGCGTCGGCGTCGGCGTCTGCCTCGGAGGTGTGGACGGCCTCGTATCCTGCGTCGCCCTTGGAGACATAGCGCTTCCAGAGTGCCATGAGACCCACGACGAGCCAGCAGCCCATCTCGCCGACGAACATCTGGGCGGTCTGGATGACGGGCTGCTCGAAGTGGGCGCGCTTCTTGGGGTCGGGGTCATCGCAGTTCCGGACGCATTGGTTGTCCTGTTGTGCCATGGCCTCTGGTTAGCTCTTCGTTTTCCCGAGAACAGCGCCTGCTTGTATGACGGCGTCGCATACAATGCAGGAATCCCATTGGGAGATGGAACGGTACGAACCTGGTACTTGGTGAGGAGGGTGTTGCACACTCCAGTGAGCAACATCATCCCCACGAGGAAGGGAATCACGGCCTTGGAGGCCATTTTGGGTCGGTCGCCTTGGGGCTGCACCGCTGGATTGAGTGCGGTATGCTGCTGTGAGAGTACGGGAGCCGTGAGCTGTGGTTGTTGTACGTTCCAGGAGTACCGGTGTCGTCAGCCGAGGTGGTTGCCCGAGAGTGGTCCTGTGACGTTTCGAGGCCGTTCCTTATCGGGCGGAAGCGAGATATGGCTGAAACCCGGCAGCCGTGACAGCAGCAGAGCGCCTGATACAAGTATATCCTGCAGTCTCAACGTCTATTCATGACCCAATCTCGTAAGGTTGACGGTACAGCCCGGTCTTTGTGTCAAAGGTTGGGTGGCTGGACGGTCCAAGTCCGTCTTGATGGGGAAGGTAGCCTGGACGGAACAGCCGTGCTGATAAGAGGAGCTGCGGCCTGGGCCTAAGTACCCTGGAAAAGGACCCTGGGACGGCTGTCCTCGTGCCCCTCTGGCCGGCACTTAGACAGAAGACGGCTGACTCGCCCCATGACGACCGAAGATCGGTCAGCTGAGAAGCCAGAACTGTGTTTGCAGTCATGTCAATGTTCCATCGCTCGTTGGAAGCTTGTGAAGATTAAGAACGTGTACAAATTGCCGGCTGTGCAGGCAACGACTGCAATACGATGCGGCGGGACTAGTGTGATTTGACTGATGGTGATGATTGTTGCTGCGACTATTCAGGCGAAGCCAGCCGTGGCCCCGTAGTCCCGCGCTTACGGTGAAGAGAAAGGAAAACAAAAAGAATAAGAAATTACGATTGCTCTGGTCCCATCCAAGTCTGTTGGCCGTCCTGGCCATCCTGATGCCTGGTTGCCCGACCGGTCCTAAAAACGCCAGAAACCCCAATCTATGCAAATGGAAATGGCCGCTCCCGGCTACGGCGAGCCAAGTCGATCTCTCATCGCCGTAGTCATCTCGTTGAATGCTGGGGAGAGCTCGCCCCGCCCTACGCGCCTGCGGATGACGGGCTCTTCGTCCTCAACAGACAGCTCGGTATCCTGCTCGGCGGGCGTCTAGCTGACGACGCTCAGCAGTTCCGCCTCGAGGATGAACTTGCCCTCCTTGTACTTCTCGCTCGACTCGTACGCCTTGTCGTACTTCCAGCCGACGCAGGTGTTGCAGCCGCGGCAGTTGATGTCCCGCACGACGTGCCGGCCCGTGGTCATGTTGCGCTCGTTGGGCTCGGCGCTGTCGACGTTGACGACGGTGTTGAAGAGGTAGGCCTTACCGTGCTGGCCGCGGAAGTTCTGGTTGGGGGGCCAAGGTCAGCTGGTGTGTCCCTGTTGGACCTCGGCTATACCTCCGTCCCTCACTCCCTGCTGCAGTGGACTTACCCGGCTGAGGATGTCATCGTGATCGGCAAGATGGGCCTTGCAGTTGAGACAGCCGTAGATCTTGCTGCCGTTGAGATAGGTATTGTACCTGAGACCCATGGCTTCCGATGGCGGGCTCGTCTGTGCAAGTGGCGCAGGACGTCAAGCGGCGTTGTAAGCAGTATGTATGTATGGGGTTTGGTGCACGAGCGGAATGCTCGTGTCTACTCGCTGCGGTCACAGAATTGATTGACTGCTCAGAGTGGCGCGGACACCAGATCGCCAGGAACCCAAGGGAGAAGACAGGCAGGCAATCAGGCACCCAGGCACTCGGGCAACTCCAAGGTGCAGGCGCGGACACAAATGTGGCGGGCCCGGTCGGCGTCGACGTCTAGCAGGCTGGGCTTACCTTCTTCCTTGCTCCTTTGGGCAGGAAGTGGGATCCGGGCAGGGACAGAAAGGTGGCAGGCAGGCACTTGATAACAGAGTGGATGGGGGAGGGCAAAGTGTTGTCGCTGCTGCTGGCTGGCGAGAAGAAGAGGGTGAGATGGACTTTCCAAGGCCCAGGCACTAACTACGGCCTGGCTACTTGTCGTGGTGGATGATGCGTTACGAGAACGTGACCGTTGGCCCCCGACGGCGTCCGAGAATGGGCTGGCCAGCTGTGTGACCTCATAAACGGGGGTTGCAGTGCCACTGCTCTGGACGAACTGCATATGGAGACAGCTAAGGTGCGGATCCCTGCTACCAATTAAACCCCTGGCAGCCTCGACTCCATTTCACCTCCCGCGGGCTGTCTTGTGGTAACTCGTAGAACACTCCTGGATATTACTATGACATGATACAATCTTCCGTACTATACTTTTCTGTTCGTGAGAACGGTGGCTATCCATACAATCGCCTGCTAGAAGATAATGGTAGTTTGCATGATGAGGCAGGCGGCTTGCAGCTAAATAGTCCCGAGTGAGCATACGCTTGCCAGGCAAGGGAAACCCGCAGACCCTTTCGGTCCGTTCTGATCTCTCGTTATATGCCGTTCCCTTCGGCCTTCCAACGGACCCCCTGCACATGCTCTCCCTTAGCTTGGGTTTCTGCCATGCCAATCCTCAAATGCGATCCAGACAGAATGGCCTGCTTCAGTGCCGAACTCTATCCTCAGCTAGAAAGCATATTCCGTTTCACAAGGCTGCCGGCGTGATCACCTATGACGATACTTGAAATCATGCATAAAAGCAGCCCAGCCACTATCAGTCTCTGCCGAAAAGTGTGCAGCACTTCCTTCCAAGGCATTGTTGCAGAAGCATCACTTTGTGTTGCGAACAAGAAGACATCCATCTGGATTGAGCTTGGGTTGTGGACAGCTCAATGACCCAGGCGGATCCAACGCCTGGGGGCCTAGAAGATTTCTGTAAGGAATATATTCCAATGGACTTTTGTTGAAGTGTCTTCGCCGTATCCTTCAAAGACTCGCACTGGCAAATGCTGGTCTGGCCAATGCTCTTGTCGGTACGCCGTCATTTACAGACCGCAAAATTGAGGTCGACTTGACTGGCAATGTAGTTGTCCCTTCAAAAGCTGCATGTCTTTGAGATGGCCAACTCAGGGATTGAAGACGAACTGGAAAGTAAGAAGGCGAATAACTCAGGCCTTCGACCAAATCACAACATGAGGATCAAGTGCCACCGGGAATGATACCCGGCAAAGGAATGTTCTTCCTGGGTCTCAGGGATGGAAGACATCCGTCAAAATCCAGTCGAGACATCTCAACCTTTTCTGGATTTCTGTCAAATTGTTGACTTCCACTGTCAAAATTTCCCGGGCCCTGCAGTCGAAGCAGATGACAGCCGGGCAGATAACATACCCCGACAACGCGAGTGACGTGCGGGAAAAGCACAATACAAGCCCAATGCCAATGTCAATGTCAAACCTGAACCCCAAGCTCACCGACACCGTTGACAGGGCTGGGAGCTGTCCCCCCACCCTTCCCCACGCCGCCTCGGTTTGATTGGTCCGAGTCATTGCTAAGGGCCCGTGCTCCCGCAACCCATGGCCTGCAGCCCTGCCGTCTGTACCTAGACTATTTCAATACCGCAGCCTCGGCCTTGACGTCGCCAACTTTTCTCCTCACCTACAACAATTCAAGTTGTCAGACCCGATGATGCACGTAAATACCCAGGCTGGTCCTGATATGCACACTAACATCAGCCAGCAGCCACCAGTAGCCAATTACCGATTCCCATAATCTACCACCGACAAGGCCGGACACCCAGCATAGCATCCAATGCCTTCGGACAGCGAAACGGGCCCTGCCAAGGACGAGGCGCCGCCCGTGGCAGCGGCGCCGCAGTCTGATGAGCACTCCGAAGAAGGAGAGGCCAGCGAGGGCGAAACCCCACCACGCAACGGCCACGGCAGAAGCGATTCAGACGACACACCACCTCGGGAATCAGGCCCGGGGACAGAACACAGCGACGCACCGCCATTACCAGACGAGCCAATACCCGGCCAGAGCTCCACACACGGGCAAGCTGGCGGCAGCGCAAGCGACGGTGATGCGCCTCCCCTACCAGACGAGGCACCCCCTCCAGAAGATGACGGCTGGGATGCGATGTGGGACGCCGCGAGGCAGGCGTGGTACTTCTACAACCGGTTCACGGGGCTGTCACAGTGGGACAACCCAAGGGTCCAGACAGCGGCGGCCCCTGGCGAGCCATCATCGTCCTCAGCCGCGGCAGCAACGATATCACAGCCCACCTCGGTAGCAGGAGGGTACAACCCCGCGATCCACGGGTCGTGGGACCCAAACGCGCCGTATGCGCAGGCCTACAAACAAGCCGACGCAGGGGACGAGGACGCCACGACTGCCGCGCAGTACGCGGCGGTCGTAGCAGCAGGCGGTGCAGGAGGGGAGCCAGGGCTAGACGGAGGGGACGCCTACGCGCAGGCGGCGGCGTTCAACAGCCGGACGGGGCGGGTGCAGGCGGCGGACATGAACCCGGACCACTTCTCGGACGCGGCCAAGTCGCACCGGCAGATGAACGCGTACTTTGACGTCGACCGCGCGGCCAACTCGCACGACGGGCGCAGCCTCAAGGCCGAGAGGAGGGGCAAGCAGCCCACCAAGAAGGAGCTGGCGCAGTGGAAGGAGAAGCGGAAGGCCAGGAAGGAGGAGAAGAGGAGGGCGTGGCTGAGGGACTAGTCACCGTCCCAGCCCGTCTGCCCTCCATATCCCGGACAGAGGATTTTGAGAAGCTCTCGCGTGCATTTTTACGGCGTTCGGACAAACCCCCGGGACCGCTTGGAGAATCAAGGCAGGTCCGCTGGGGACACACATAGAGGGGCCATTGTTGGTTTGGTTATGGAAATGGTTGGCTGGTTTTGGTCAACAGGACCCCGTCAGCATAACCTGGCGGGATATTGCCAGGCCTTCTTATACCCCCAATTCTCTCCATGCTGGAACTGCATTCTAGCCTTTTTCTTATTTAATCATATACAATGTCGACATGATGATACTGATTTCCGGCAAGATTTGGTTGAATGACACCCGGTTTTGCTATGGTGATCATCATTTGAGAAAGACGGCAACAGCCAAGAATTTTCACTTGGGCGGGGGGCCAGCCGGAGATGCGAATGATGACCTCGACCACCAATTGATTTTGGTATGCGGCAGCTAATGTGCGAATTCTCAACGATCTCGATTCTAAGCTACTCTTCCTCGCCGTCATCTGAATCGTCGTCCAGAGCTGCATTGAGATGCACACTACCGTCACTGTCGCTGTCGCTCTCATCATCCCCAGCCTCATCAACATCCATCTTGGCCTCAGCACCAGCTGACCCGCCAAACACCTCGGGGGCCTTGCCCGTATCGACACGCTTCGCAGGGGGCTCCTCTAACTCCTCACTCTTGCGTTTTAGCGTGGACGACAGCATGGCCGTCTGCTTGGACACACCGGGGGCGGTCTCGGATATCACCGTGGTGGTCTCGGTCGTAGTGACGGCCGCGGCGCCCGCCCTGGAGCCGAGGTCGAAGCCCGCCGGCGGGGCAGGAGCAGCATCAGCCATCTCCTCATCCTCGGCCTTGCCACCGGTCCAGCCGTTCCCCCACCCTTGCTTCTCACCAGCCGACGCGCCATCCACCTCCTCCTCCTCCTGCTCCGCAATCCCGCCCTGCATTTGCGCGAGCACCGCCTCGTCATCCGCACCTTCGACACCGACGGCGGGGGGCCCAGACCCAGTGCGCAGGTTGGACCTAAGCACCTCGACGGCCTGGTCGCGCGGGAAGTCCCTCGCCAGGAACGGGAACACGCTCGCCAGCGCCTTGCCCGTGTGCGTCCGGTACGGGTTCAGGACGCTGGCGACCAGCGCGTCCCGGTCGTGCGAGAGGACCGCCGTGCGGTCGACCAGCGCCCGCAGGGTCTGCTTCAGGTGCCGCTGGGGCAGGTGGGACAGCAGCGTCGCGAGCAGCGCCGACGCCGCCTCGACGTGGGCCGCGGGCAGGTCGGAGGCGGCCGCGCTCGCCTTGTCCTGCGTGCTGAGGTAGGCGTCTGCGTTGGTGGATGCCTTTGCCTGTGAGGGCTTGCTGCTGCCGGCCTGCTTCTGGGCGTCGTTTCCTGCGGGCGGCTTGGTCGCGGCGTGGCCTGACGCTTGTAGCAGGTCCCGGCAGCAGCCCTGGATGATGCGGTCGAGAGAGTTGACGCTGAACTTTGGCATGGTGGGTCCGTAGGCGAGCAGGAGCAGTCTGAGGAGGATATATCCTCGCTCCCGCACCAGTGGGATCTGCTGACTTGCGTCGATGATTCGCACGGCTTGTAGGAGAACGTCTGCTGCGATGGGAACAGTGCCCTCCTCGAGTCTTTGTAACAGGGCTGTGAGTAGGTCGAGAGTGGCAACATGGATGTCCGGGAGGGCGCTCCACAGCTCGTCCTTCTCTTCTCTGCCGATTGCCGAGTTGAGCTGGGTTTCGTCTTGTCCTCGTGACCCCTTCTTTGGGGGAAGCACCATGGAAATTCGCGCCGTCAAGTCGAGGAACGAAGAGACGGGCAAAGCGACAGGTGTCTTTGTGGGACACCTCAATGATTCCGCAATAGTCTCCAAGAGCCCTACAAGCCGTTCCCCTCCGCTGGAGACGCCCATCCACGGGGGGAAATCCTCGGCAGAATCACTGCCACCTTGCGGGTCCTCGTCGTAGTCGACGGCTTTCCGGGTGTAGCCACTGTTCGATTCCCATGACTCCTGGACAGCACGGAATACCTGATCTGCGGTGGCGTGGCTGGCATTAAGGAAGCCTGAAACGGCCTTGATCCACTCTTCCGCGTTCCCGTTCTTTGGAGTGGTGTGATGCTGAATGACAACAAGTTGCCGGGACGCAACCCGCAGGCCTTGAGGGGCTGTCAGCTTGTCTGATGCGGTGGGAGCCAAGTACGGTCTGAAAGCTGCCTTGACTTGGGCGCTGAATGGGCGCAAGGTCGTAGGGTAAAGGGGGGTGATGGCGCAGAGGGCGTTGGCTATAGTCTCCACCAGTCGTACTGGTGGTTGTCCGGCTTTAGAAGATGCCGGTGACTTGAGAATCTGCAGACACGCGGTGACAAAGTCGCGGAGAGTGGGAGTAGCTATCTCCCTGACCAGTGCCTGATACTCGTGCAGTAATGTATAAATTCTCGTCAAAGTGATAACCGCAATCTCTTTTGACTGATATGGGTCATTTTTCTATGTCATATTAGTTTCCGCGACGACGTCTATGGTAGCATTTCACCACGTACCTGCAGAATGGTCAGAAGTCCTCGGACCCAGGGCTCTGATGTCCGAAGGCATTCCCACCCACCAGCATCGATGATGCTCTTGATTAGAATTGCGGCAGAGAAGCGTCCAGACAGGCTTCTGCCATTGTTCAGCAGTGTTGTGATCTGTGTCCTGAACTTGTGTACGAGGATGGATGATTCTGAGGCACCTTCTTTCGGCTTCTGGTCTGACGGCTGAGAGAGCACTCCTCCACAGCGCTGAATCTGTCTGGCCAAAGATGGACATAGGCGTGGAAGGTCGTCAGGCTCTGTTGAGGCCAGACGCCGGCAGAGAACCTGAAGATCTGGAGGGAGTGACATGGTCATTTTGTACAGGCCTGGTGTTTCAACAGCAGTATATGGAACTTTTTGATATCCAACCGCAACCTTCTGGGGCTGTACAAGTGTTCACAACCGAGGACGTCTCGAAGCTCGAAGAGGATAGAGTCTGAAAATTTGATGTTATTTTCACAATCCTTATCAAGTCACATGCGAAACGAATGCAACGCAATGCGACGATGATTTGCGACTCGAGGTTGAGGTCTTGACGCTCTTCTCACAAGCTTCACGAAAAAAAATCCAATTTGGGTTAGAGAACTCAACAAGGCATTCCCGTCCACTGTCCCGGGTACTGCTGCACTGTGTACAGGGGTTATGCAGACAGTCAGGGACAATCTTTAGTGTGGGGCTACTGGTCCCAGGCGGGGACCCGGCAGGCAGAACCCTGCAAAGCTTCCCCTGCAGGTGTCATCTCGTTCCCAGTGAACTGGTTTATTGCGGCCTTGGGGATGTGCTTGATGTGGCTTGCACTGCGACCTTGTGAACGTCGTGGGTTGCGCTGCGGGCTGCTGATGCCGACGCCGATGCCAGTGCTGATGAGAGCAAGCGCATTCCCTCTCGACACCGCATTCCGACCCCAATCACGGTTTCCATCTTTAGACGATCCAATTCCACGCTGATCCCACTCAGTGGCCCCGGTGGAGGCCCCCTGCTGCTGCGCCCAGCCTGCTTAATTGACCACCATCGCCGCTTCGTTACGCACCGCCTTGCACCGCTTCCGTCCCACCCGCCCAACTTCGACACACTCCTTTCCCAGATGACAGTGCCCAACCCAGAGCAGCTCGACATCACCTATTGCCATCCAACCGCCGCCCAGCAGCCACAGCGACTACCCTCCTCATCGACCTGCGACCGACCCATCGAGAACCACACAGTCAGTCCCCTGAGCCAGAGCCACAATGGCTCCCAATGCCACCAAGGGGAGGAACTACCTGGACCAGCTTGACAATGCCCGGTGCGAGGGTGACTGGGACGCTGTCCCGGAGCTCGTCCGCAAGGTGCGCAAGCATGCGCCAGCACGCGCCTGTCTCGCCCTGACCGCCGAGATCGAGCACGGCATCGTCAAGTCCACCAAGTCCCAGAGGCCTACTGCAGCACGACCGACCACCGCCGGCTCTGAGAACGGTTCCGCCACCGAGGTCGGTGCGGCAGCCGACCTGCCCAAACTGTTGACCCTCATCGACGAAGAGCACACATACGCCGAGGACAGGTTTCAGGCCCAGGTCTGTGTCGGCTGGTTGCACTGGGTTGTTGGGGAATATAACCTGGCCTTCGTCCGCCTGCCCGAGGGCCTCGAAGAGAACCAGGTGGAGAGCTTGGACAATATCTCAGAGTGGACAAGGGTCTGCATGTTGAAGTCCGCTTACCTGCGGGCCAATTGCCTGGCGCGCAACGAGAAGGAGATTGACGCGCTTGGCGTCTTCGAGGGCGCGATCCCGCGGAGCTCCTTCTCTTGGAGCAGCCAGACGGCCAAGAAGGAGCTGCGCTACTGGTCTGAGCTGTTCCTCACGGAATACTGTATGCTGTCTAATGGGTGTCGTGGAAAGGGGGATGTCTCACTGGAGGACGATAATTCACTGGCAGGCTTCCGGTCCTGGGCAAGGTGGTGGGATGCGTCGAAAGGGTCAACCATGGCCGGTGGCTTCGGTTTCAAAGGCTCGGTCCCCCGGCGTCGTATATGGTTCGAATACTACGAGGCCTTGTCGACGATCCTACAGGAGGACCTCGTTTACCCTTCCAAGTACATGTTTCCCGCGCAAACCGAGCCGTCTGCAAGGGCCCAACTCCTAGTTGAGTTGAAGAGAACAGAGTCAGCATTCGAGGCCCTCTTGCTCAGCGAGACAACTTTCCCAAAGGCCGATGAGGATAGGGAAGAGGTCGAGCTCTTTGTGGAGATGTTTATGCGGAACTGGACCATTCTTACTGGTCGCGGGTGGAGTGAAAGGGACTTGGGCCAAGGAGGCAAGGCGGCTCTAAGTGCGGCTGTTCTTGAGATGCTATACCGCGCATCGACCAAGACGTTTCATTCGACTGCAATACTGAGGAACCTGTTCCTGGTACACCTTTCCCTGGCAGAGTTCGACCTGGCCTTGAAGGCATTTGACTCGTACCTCGAGATTGTCAAGAAAGGCAAGGCTCGGGTTGAGAAGACAGGGCACGAAGAAAAGGCTCTCGATGACGACGCGACTGTGCTTGAGACAATATGTTTGTGTGTCTCGGTGCTGAGTCGTTTCGGAGAGAGAGAGGCCGCTGATAGGGCGAAAGAACTGGCCGTGGAGCTTGAGCACTGGCTTGGAAAGATCGAGTCGCCCGTGCCGAGTGGTGCGATGGCTTCTGTCCGGGAAGATGGAGGCAGGTCTTCGGCTACTGGTGATCGTGTACCGGCCAAGACCCTGGCTTTGGCATGGCAGTCCATTGGCTTGGCCCAGGCTCAATGGGCTCGCACAACGTTCGATCCATCGTCCCGAACAGATATCCAGAAGAAGGCCATTACGTCGTTGCGCACCTCACTGTCTGCGGACTTCTCAACCTCTGCTGACTTCCGGGGGGTGTTTGCGCTTGGACTGCTGCTTGCGGAGCAGAGGCAACTTACCACCGCTATCGAGCTTGTGAAGACGGCTCTTCTGACCAAAGCACCAGGAGATGAGATGCTGGTGTTGCATTACGGCCCGTTCTGGCGTGAAAGGGCGCTCATCCCACTCTGGCACCTGCTGTCGTTGCTGCTCAGTGCCAGGCAGGAATATGTCCTGGCAGCTAGGACCTGCGAGTGCGCCTTCGAACAGTTCAGGGACCCGGTCGTGCTGTTTGGCCGCCAGGCTCAGTTCAAGAGTGACCATCTGAATGAGGCGGAGAAGGATCCTGATGCGAGCCAAGGCCTGGTTGATGAGATGGACGATTTCGAGAAGGAGAATATTCTGGAGATCAAGATGACCCAATTGGCGATCGTCGAGGTCACGGAGGGGCCAAGAGTTGCAGTCAACGCCAGCCTGGAACTCTTAACTTTGTTCTCACGCCTGTTTGGCAGCGTGCAGTCGAAACAAAGCCTTGAACCACCGAAGCAGGCAGTTCTGCCAAGGACCTCAGGAACTTTCCGTAGCATCAGGAGCGGCTTATTTGGTAATCGCAATAGTCGCGCGGAGAGACGAGACAGCAACGGTACAATACGACCACCCGAGGACAATGCGGGAACAACTCAACAACGCCCGCAAACTCAACAGTCTATACAACCCGTCAGCCGGGCACCCACCATTCAGATCACGCAAGAAAACGGCGGCAGCCCGCGGGCGCGCCGGAAATCGACTAGCAACGAGAAACGGAGCGAGTCGGTGACCAGGAACTCGCTGCGTAAAAGAGATAGCCAGGGACCAAGACGCCGTGCGGCGAGCACCGGGCCGACCCCACATGCTGCGACAGTCGTCGATGGGGAAACCTTTTACACGCCCATGCCTGGACCTGACGGCTTACAGGCTTCTGATTTCTTCACATTTGCCAACAAGCGAAACCCACTGTCGCGGCCCTCATCCGCTAGCCGGGCGAACTCGCAAATGTCCGACTGGTCTGCCCGGCCGCCGCCCGGGCCAGATATGTCTGGTATCGCACTGGAGGGCATCGAGCCTGTCGGTGCAGTGTTGCCGGTCATCCAGTTCGACAAAGACCAGGTGAAAGCGAGGAGGAGCTCAATCCTATTGAAGGTCTGGCTCATGATCGCCGGGTTCTATCGCAGAGCGGAGATGTTTGACGATGCCAAGGGTGCTGTCAACGAAGCACAGAAACTGGTTCAAGCAATGGAATCGGAGATGGGCAAGGCCTCGACGGACAGTGCCAAGAAATCACCGGGCTCTTCATCACTCAGAAAGGGCGGTTGGGCCGGCCAGAAATCGATTGAGGAATTATGGGCTGATGTCTGGAACGAGGTGAGTTGACCCAAACTTTATGATGTGACAAAGTAGGCGTACTAAGCCGATGCAGAATGCCCGCCTCCAGCTGGACAAGGGAGATGCCGATGCCGCGCGCAAAGATTTCGAGGCTGCTCTGACACATTTCCCCGACCATCCCGGCGCAATCGTGGGCCTATCCAATATCCTGCTGGATCTCTACTGCGAGAAGACAGTGCCACCCCCGGCGTTCCCAGGCCTCAACCTCGTGGGCGGATCTGACGCCATGCCCGGTACGGATCGGAGCACATCAGAGGTGGTGTTCCCCGAGCGGAAGCACGCGGACTCGCCCAAGCTCCTCCCCACGGGTCCTCTCGGCCTGGGGGCCTTCAGGCCACAGAACCACGAGCCATTGAAGCAGACCAGCCTGCCCAAGAGCCCGACCTCACTACACCACGAGAGTCAGCTCGAGCCGCCCTACAAGGCGGCTTCGATACCGAAGGTGGACCGCCTCGCCTCCCGGGACAGGGCGTACGGGCTGCTGTCGAACCTCACGAAGCTCGGCGCCGGGTGGAACAACTCGGAGGCGTGGTTCGCGCTGGCCAGGGCGTACGAGGAGAGCGGGCAGCTCGACAAGGCCAAGGATGTACTGTGGTGGTGCGTCGAGCTCGAGGAGGGGGCTGGCGTCAGGGAGTGGACTTGTGTCAATACGGGGGGATACGTCCTGTAAACACCATTGAGGGGTTGGTTGACCTGTATATACGAAAACATTCCGCAACCGACTGATCCCGCGCACAACATATATCGGTTGCCTGTAGGGCAACTAGCTATTCCGTAGTCTATCTATTTATTAATGACAAGGCCTAAGGGGCATGGTACTGATGTGCCAGTCATTGCGTGCGAGAAAAGCGGTATTCCTCATCAGATTTCGTGCATTGGATCTACTTATTACTTGCCCCTGTTGCTGAGATTCACCAAGCAGCAGGTAGGTAGGTACCTGGGTACCTGGGTACATTGGTGTGGGCAGGGGTAGATGAGGTTGGAGCTTCTGGAAGGGGTTCAGCAGCTTCGGGGGTGCACGGGCCACGACGCGGTGCGCGTCCGGTCCTGCCCGCCCTTGTTTTTCCTCCACACCACCACCGCCTACCGAGAGCTGGCCCCTTCATTCCCAGCGAGAGATCCTTACATGTGTTAAGCACGGCGACATCTCTCGCCTCAGTGACGCAATCTGTCCATCTGGATCGTGCCCATTTTACTGCACCTACCGAGCATCTTTTGTAATCATAAACAAACACAAGCACCCGCAATGCCGCGACCAACACGGTCTCGAGCCGCCGCGTCGCGCAGGGCAGACTCCTCGTCCGACGCTGCGGCGCCCCTGCCCCCCACCACCGAGGCGCCGATCCGATCCGACTCGACAGATAACATCTACGGCGTCAGCGATCGCGAGCTCGAGCGCCAGAGGCAGAAGAACAACAGCAACAAGAAGGCCGCCACGCCCGCGTCGGAGCGGAGCACACGCAGCCGCACGAGCATGGCCAACAGCGGCGCCAGAAACGCGATGGCCACCGCCGCCGTGCAGGGCTCGAGGGGCCGCCGCGACGCCGCCATGAAACAGCTCGACGCCCTCTCGTCCACGACCACCGACGCCCGCGACAGCTCCGACGTCGTCGGTAGCCCCGTCGTCGAGACGGGCCGCAACGCCGCGCCGATGGAGGCGTCCTCGCTGCTTGGGGGCGGCGGCAGCAGCATTATCCCCGGACACCGCGCCGGCGACCTCTCCGGGCTGGAGATCAACGACAGCGAGATCTTTGGGCACCTTGACAGCAGCTTCGACATCACGGGGGACGGTGGCAAGGGCGACGAGAGCAGCGGTACCGCGGGGCAGGGGCAGCAGTCGGGCACGCGCTCGGCTGACACGTCCACGTTCAATGTTAGTGTGTTCAAGCGCCAGCCGCGCCGCCGCCAGTCTAGTATCGTGGGGAGGGATGACGCGCCCATTCGTCCCAGCAGCAGGGGCCCGACGACGCCGGGCCTGAGCTCGACCTTCAACCTCGGCAACTTCAAGAGACGCGCGCGGCAGCCCAGTATCTTGCTCTCGTCTGCGCAGAAGGCTTCAATGTCGGTGCAGCGGTCAAGAGCTGCGTCTGAGGCTAGTGAGAATGCCATCGGCTCGGACGGCGAGGAGGAGTCCTTCCTCCCAGAGGCGGAAGGGACACCTGTGCGGCCGTCGCGGAGGAGGGCCAGTGTTGCACAGGACATAATTGAATCTGTGGAGGGCGCAACGCGCTCGCGCAAGAGAAAGTCGACGGAAAGCCACGAGGTTGAGGCTGCCAAGCGACAAGCGGTCGAAGCGGACCACGAACCCTTGCACCAATCCATTGAGATGGACGACCGGTCTTCGCCGCCCAGTATCTTGTCGCATACTCCAGAGCTGGACGACGACAGTGTCCTCGCCCCACCGGCCAGCAGCTCCTCGTCCGAGGCTGGGAGCCCGATGGCATGGCCCTCGCTGAACAACCTGGCCAAGAAACAACGCAACCGCGCGGCACCCCGGGGCACCAGGACGCCAGCACTTGACGACGATATGTCTGACATATCAGAGCCGCCCTCACTGACACACTCGCCAAATCTAAAGCCAGCAAACTCGGCGCCCAAGGGAAAGGGCAAGACTGCCGTGCGCAGGGAGTCACCAAAGCTATCCACCGCTGATCTCGCCGCACTTCTTCCCCGCCGCCGGCGCAAGGTTCGCCGGGACGATGAGGGTTCAGACAACGAGGGTGGGTCTGACCAAGACATGTACGGCGTCCCGAGCGAGCCCCGGGCTTCGAGAAAGAGGACGGCCCGGCCCCTGAACGGACAGTCGTCCAAGGCAGATCAGACGAACCACGCAAAGGCCACAGCCCCGGCAACAAAACGGTCAACGAGGCGGACGTACGGATCACGCAGGTTCGACAAGGAGAACACCGTTGACGGGGACTCTGTCGAGGTGAACGAGGACGCGTCCACGCCCCTCGACGACACCATCTTTGACGCGGACAGGACCGGGGCGGAGACCCAGGAGCTGGGCGAGGAGCTGCGGGCCGCGTCCAAGAAGTTCAAGGAGGTGGACAAGTGGGAGCTGGACTACGAGGAGGTTGTCGAGTCCTCATCGCCCCTGCCCGAGGGCCGGTAGGCCGGAGGGTGGGAGAGAGAGCAAGGCAAGCGCTCTCCGGCTTTTTTCTCCTTTTTCACACTTCTGTATCATGCACGTGCGAGGTTTGGGATACCCCTTTTGCTTGTTCTGTGTTCGGGACTTGACTGGTGCGGTAATTTGGATGACGGACTGTAACGTGGTGTCACGGTGGGGCACGCATGGCTTTTGCTAGATAGACTCTTTTCTAGCTGAATCGAACCCCGCGGTCACCAGTATGTGCACTTCCTTTGTGACACCTTGCATTTGTCTGAGCCTGAGATGTAGTGGTTGTCCTCGACTCTACCATCTGCCTAGGACGTCGTCACCTTCCAAGTCTCTATATCACCAAGGATACCGGGCATAATTGAGGTTGCGCCTGCTCTCGATTGTGAGCACGGTTCCGGTCAACTAGGTAACGGACTCGACACAGCTTTGCTGGTTCAGGGTTTGCCTATATGGGCCCATTCGATCTGTCTCAGATCATTGAAGCTGTCGGTACTCTGAGGAGCCATGCGCTATCAGTGGTCGTCGTCCAACCCAACGCCGACTCGGATTGCGCAAAGTCACATAAGCTGTCTGCAGGTGCACGTTGGGTATCCTGCGATTTCCAAGCCATCTCATGTGCTTGCTAGCCCACCTGAAGTGAGCTATACTTGGTCCCGCCCCGGAGCCGCTCTTGTCTTTCTGTGCCAGCCTCGTGGGCGAGCAGTCGCTCTGGCTCCGTGATTCAGTGTCACAGCCATGTGTGACACTCTCTGAAGCACCAGTCCGCATGTCAAGATTCATGTCTGCGTGAGAGACACAGCAGAACGTCATGATGAAAGCGAGACGGTGTCTATCTGCTGCTCGACGACGGGCAGCAAGTGGGCCACTTGGTTTGCGTCCCGGAAGGCAGCGGTGACAGCGTCAGGGTGCAAGCCAGACATGCGCAAGGCCTAAAGAGGCAGAGACAATAGTTTCAGCGGCAGACTTTCAGATGCGCATACACCAACAAGCACTTACCCTCGTCACATTCTCATGGTTGTCCTCCTTGGCCGTGTACTCACGGATGACCTCGTCCGTCTCAAAGTCGACGTAGACGCGGGTGTCGCGGACGCGGACGACGACGCCGTCGAGGCGCATGTACAGCCTGCACAGCAGCAGCATGCGCTGCTCCATGACGCGCAGCTTGCAGCTGAGGACGGAGACGCCGTTGTCGTCGAGCTCGGACTCGAAGAGGACGACCTCGTCGAAGAAGAGGATGGGGTCGCGCCTCTTGAGCAGCTCCAGCGGGATCTGCTTGGCCCCTGGCGGCGCGCTGGCCAGGGCCCGGGCCCGGGCGCCGTCGTGCCCGGCGGGCGTCTCGGAGCCGCGGTAGGTGGTGCTGTAGCTCCAATCGTAGGGCTTGACGACCTCGCGGATGTCGTGGGCGGACGAGCGCTCGCGCGACGAGGACCACTCGCCGGCGTAGGCGACCTGCAGCATGTTGGCGCCGGTCTTGTCGACGGCGTCGAGGGCGGGCTCGGCGGCGAACTCGATGGCCCAGCCCGAGGGGGCGTGGCGTATCGCCACCAGGTTGTCGCCAAAGATCATCTCGGGGATGGGGATGCCCAGGCGCGAGGACATGTCGTCTATGGGCCCCGACTTGGAGATGGGCAGCTTGCGCGACGAGATCTCAAAGTTGCCCTGCCTGTGCGTCGTCGTCGCCTGCGCCAGCATGGTCGGCGTGGGGAAGGGCTCGTTGGGCGAGCTGATGTGGTTCATGATGGGCGGCGTTTGAGTTTCCTTGTCGAGAGTGAGACTGTGTGAAGTGTGTGAAACCGTCTCGACGTCCCATACTTGGGGTTGTGAGAGCTCCGAGCTACATCGGGATAGCTGCTGAGTGGGGTATTATACGTACTTAGGTACTCTTGGCCTATAAGCTACGGCCCACCCGGCGATGCCCAGTGCAAATGTTCGGGGGCGTAACATATTTTCAAGTAAAACATCATTTACTATAGCTCGGTCTTATCTGGCAGTCATGATATATTTGTAGCCATCGCATGGTTCCCCTGTACTTCAAGCTGTGACACGGGCTCGAAAGGACAGGGTGAAGACAGAAGACGGATGGCAGAACAGGTTCGACTCAAAAGCTATATCGGCCCCTGGCGAGGGAATACCGAACAGTTCCCTGGTCGACAGTTACATACTCTGCTCGGGTGTGCGCTACACGGCTTCGGCGTCTATTCTAGAACCTTGTGTGGGACAACTTCTTCCAGGACATACTCCTGTACAGCAACCTGACATAGGACGACTCCCTATGGGCTAATCTCATAAACGACTTCCTTCAGACTCTCCTCCTATGGGGTCATCTCCCATGGGATAATCTCCTGTAAGACATGCTCCTAACCTCTATAGGACAACTTCTTAAATTACTAAATGACAGCCATCTATGAGATACCCTCCGTCAAGATAAACTCCTCTCAATTAGATGTAGCCATGCTGTCATGAAGTCACCAAAAAAAAAAAGAAGGTTTGATTGTCGGAGTGTTAATTGAGAGCCGCACAGGGCTCCGACTCTCCGAGGGGTGACAGGGGTGCCCAGGCGTAGCCTCCGCAACCAACCTCGAGAGGAAGGGCCCCACCACGCACCCCGTTGCTCGGCAACTGACCCAAATATCAATACAAGCTTACAGGTCCAGCCACCAAGAAATCTAACTCCTGCCCGCTTCTACAACCTGGACAGCCTGATCCTGCCATCCGACACCCCAATCCATCCACCCCAACCCACTTCACACCTAATTGCTACAAACACACACACAGTCGAGACCCGTCCCCGTTCTCCATCCCAACCTAGAACTCCAAATCGTCAGCGAATTGCAGAATCGACCTCTCCTCCCTCGCAAGATGGCTGCAACCAGAGCACTGGAGACCGGCCTCCAGCGGATGTCCATTGCAGATGAGAACAACCCTGGCGAGGCCGGCCGCATCTACCAAAAGTCAAAGGTGAGCATCACTTCTCCTTTTTCCCCGTGGGATCCTCGTTTTGATGAACCTGAATGCTTAGACTGTCGCCAATTCTTCCGTACAGCTCTCCCAGTCCATCAGCAGACCAGGCCTGTTCAAGGTTGCTCTCCAGTCCCAGAACACGAACACGGTCACAACAGTGACTCTGCCTTCCCAGCAGGCTGTGCAAAAGAAGGGCTCAGCATCGTCAACCGTCTCAACATTACCTCCCTCGCCCACAAAGAAAAGTGCCCAGTCCACCACCGTCACCCTGCCCTCTCAAACAGCCCAGCGGAAAGCCCAGGCGGCCAGCAGCAACCCCCCCTCGCCGACCAAGAAGCAAAAGTCGAGCTCCGCCAGCTCGATCGCCTCCCGGAGGTCAGACGAGGCCGAGTCGGAGCAGCAGCAGCAGCAGTCCCAGCAGCTGACCCTGCTGGACGAGCCGCGGATATTCCACCTCGGCATGTTCGAGATCGGCAAGCCGCTGGGCAAGGGCAAGTTCGGGCGGGTGTACCTGGTCAAGGAGCGCAGCAGCGGCTTCATCTGCGCCCTCAAGGTCATGTACAAGTCGGAGCTGCAGCAGGGGTCGGGCGTCGAGAAGCAGGTGCGCCGCGAGATCGAGATCCAGAGCAACCTGCGGCACCCCAACATCCTGCGCCTGTACGGGCACTTCCACGACCCCAAGCGCATCTTCCTCATCCTCGAGTATGCCGGCCAGGGCGAGCTGTACAAGCTCCTGCGCAAGGCGAACCGGTTCCCCGAGTGGAAGGCGGCCCAGTACGTCGCCCAGATGGCCTCGGCGCTGAGGTACCTGCACCGCAAGCACGTCATCCACAGGGATATCAAGCCTGAGAACATCCTGGTTGGTATCCATGACGAGATCAAGATCTCGGACTTCGGCTGGAGTGTTCACGCCCCTAACCACAGGCGGGCTACCCTCTGCGGTACCCTGGATTACCTCCCTCCCGAGATGATCAAGTCCGGAAGCAAGGATAACTGGTACGACGAGAAGGTTGACCTGTGGAGTCTGGGTGTTTTGACCTACGAGTTCTTGGTTGGCGAGGCGCCCTTTGAGGACACCCCCGTCATGACCCAGCGACGTATTGCCCGGGCGGACATGACCATCCCATCCTTCGTCAGCCCTGAGGCTAGGGACCTCATTAAAAAGGCACGTCGACTCCACACCCACCATCTTTCCCAAGATCATAATCTAAGGACTCGGCTAACAATCAACCGCAGTTGCTGGTGCTGGACCCGGAGAAGAGATTGCCGCTCGAGGATGTCCACACACACCCTTGGATCCTTAAGCACTGCGTCAAGGGAGAGCGGGCCACTAACCGGGAGAGTAAATGACCAAAAGCTGTATCGTGATGCGTAGTGACATGCTTGTTTACATTTGTATGGCGTTAAGGTACTCATGGGAGGGTATGGTGCCGGCACAAGGCGTAGGACACGGCAGGGTCTAGGCGTTTTCTGATCTGCATTTAAGCGTTTTCCTGTTAATCTTGCCTCATTGCAGTATCGTGAGCCCTTTCACAACGGGGTGTCCACAGCATACATAGGCAGGCGGCTCACAATGTCATCGTCTGTCTATACAAATACAATTTTGTTAAGCGTTAAGTGGTATCATGGTATATTCATCCCAGCCCGTTTTATATGTCCTTGGCATGCCTCTCTTCTTCATCTGTACACCTCGTCGAAGGGCCGAGTGTCTGAGAAGCACGAGTCCCAGACCTCGTTGACGACCTTGACGGCCTGAACGTCGTTCTTGACCCACGGCCGCGCCATCATGGACTGTACCGCCCGCCGCCGCACGCAGTTCTGGAACTGCTCCGTGAGGGTGTAGTTGCCGCGCGTGAGGACTTCTCGCGTCCACCTGCACTCGCCGCTCAACATCGAGGCTCGGATCTGTACGTGAAGGGGGGATTTCCAAGGTCAGCCGCCAGTTGGTAAACAAACAAATGAATATATAAATATCAACGTACCTCGGTGCACGCCGCCTGCCGCAGGTCCCTCTCCCCGCGGAAGTCAACCTCGAACCTGAGCTGGTCGTAGGCGTGGACCATCTCGTGGGCGAGGGTGTCCTCGAGGTGGCCCCTGTTGCGCACCTCGTTGGCGCAGACCAGGATGCCGTGGCGCGGCTCGAAGCCGCCGCTCTGGCGCTCGACCTGGCCGCCCGGGGTCAGGCGGGCGGGGCAGCGGCGGCACACGACGCTGGCCGGGGTCATGCCCCGGCCGTGGTTGAGCTCGGCGATCTTGTCGTTGAGGAAGCGCACGGTGGGCGAGTAGGCGAAGAGCCAGTCGCGGTACTCCTCGCAGCGGGCGACGTCGCGGGCCTCGTTGGCGCGGTAGCGGTCCTCGCGGTAGTGGAAGATGCCCTCGTTTGTCACGCCGCCCGTGAGGATCTTGAAGTAGTTCACCCACCACTGCGTCTTGGGGTCGAAGCCGGTGCGGGCCGGGTCGTTCTCGAGGTAGAGGTTTGGGGTGGTGGGTTTTGGGTGGTCTGGTTGTTGCGCTGTTGCTGTTGCTGCTGCTGCTGCTGCTGCTGCTGCTGCTGCTGCTGCTGCTTGCGTGGAGGTGCTGGTTGTGGTGGTGGGTGTTGTTGTCGTGGACGAGGATGGTGAAGGAGGAGCAGAGGTTGCTATCTTTTGGTCTGAGCCCGACGTGCTCGGGGCTGTTGGTGTTGTGCTCCACCAGGCCATCTTGGTGGTCTGGCTGTCTAGGTCGAGGTCGAGGTCGAGGGTGAGGGCGGATTCGAGCACTCGAGGTGACAAGCTTGGAAGCTAGCCAGGCCAAGCTACAGCTGCAGCAGCTCGATGTTGTGTGCCCGAATTGGTCGTTGTCCGTTGGGAATGGTGTTACGGTTACGGTTACGGTTACGGTCAAGAGGGTGTGCTCGAGAATTCTCGACTCGGCTCGGGTAGTTTCAATCCTGTCGTGCGTGCACAATCATGTTGTACGGAGGACCTCACTCGCCCACCAACCCCCAAGAAATTTAGTAGACTAGACCTACAGACGCGGCAGGAACGGAACGGACTGACAGGGGAGCAGCAGGGATCCGCCGCCGCGACTTCTCCGCGTTTAAAACGGCCGGCGCTGAAGGGCTGGCAGGGCTGGGCGGTCCAAAAGGGACCGAACGGCCAACGCTTTTGCACCTGCCCCACCGGGTCCCGCGCCCTCGAATCCTTGGCGGTAGTCATCGAAACCTGTAAGTCCCTTTCTGCGAAACCGCTTACGGGCTGCTCACTTGCGCACCGCGGTCGCGGGATCCAGGCTATAACTCGGCAAAGCACTCAGCACTCAGCACTTAATTCGCTCTCCCACTCCGGGCCCTCCAGGGATACTTGCAGAATCACACCATGGATCCTGGCGACGAGTCGCAATGTGAGTTGTGTTGTAGCACGCAAAATAGATGAAAAAGGGGACCGGTTCCCCCTCCCCCACGCCGTCTGTTTTTTGGTTTTTCCATGGAGCTTCACTCGTTATTTCTTGCTCATTCCTTGGGCTGCTTGGCTGATTATATGTGGCAGACATGAAGGGTCCAAAGTCTCTCGGGATAGTCATCAAACTTGGTGAGTAGACTGCCGCTCTCTCGGCCTCAAGATCTCAACTTGACCCTGGTCTTGGGTCTTGTACAACATTAAACGACAAGGCTGGCTCACACGCACACTTGTACAGGGACTAGCTCTATTATAGATGAGAAGACCCACCAGCCTCTCCTCTCAAACCTGTCCCTCATAGTCGAGACTGCCCACAAGCTCCGGACAGATGGCCACCGGGTCGTCATTGTCTCGTCCGGCGCCATCGGCGTCGGCTTGAGACGCATGGAGAGGGACAAGAGGCCAAAACATCTTGCCCAGCTCCAGGCCCTGGCTGCTATCGGCCAGTGCCGCCTGATGAGCATATGGGACGACCTGTTCAGCCACCTCAAGCAGCCAGTCGCCCAGATCCTCCTCACCCGGAACGATATAGCAGATGTGAGCCGAGCCAGTTCTTTGCTGGTGCCGATCCTCCCGGATGACTGACCGCCCCCCCTCCTAGCGATCGAGGTATCTGAACGCGCAAAACACCTTCAACGAGCTGCTGGACCTGGGCGTCATCCCCATCGTGAATGAGAACGACACCCTCGCCGTCTCGGAGATCAAGTTTGGAGACAACGACACCCTGTCTGCCATCACAGCAGCCATGGTCCACGCCGACCTCCTCTTCCTCATGACCGATGTGGACTGTCTGTACGACAAGAACCCCCGCACAAACCCAGACGCCCAGCCCATCGAGGTGGTAGAGGACATCGCCTCCATCCACGCCGACACCTCCTCAGCCGGCTCATCCCTCGGCACCGGAGGCATGTCCACCAAGCTCGTCGCCGCCCGCCTGGCCACCGCCGCCGGCGTCACCACCGTCATCACCCGCGCCTCCAACCCGGGAAACATCAGCAAGATCGCCCAGCACATCCAGGCCATCAAGTCGCCAGGCAGCGGGTCGAACCACTCCCATCACACCAACGGCAACGGGGCTGACGACCACCACGCCGACGACCCCCTGGCCCAGTCCAGGCACTCGGTCCAGAGCATCGAGCTCAACTGGCCCGACGTGCCCCTGCACACGCGCTTCCTCCCCTCCCCCTCGCCCTACCGGGACCGCTCCTTCTGGCTGCTCCACGGGCTCAAGCCCCACGGCGACGTCTACATCGACGCCGGCTGCTACCGCGCCCTGCTGGACAAGGCGGGCCTGCTCCCCGCGGGCATCGTCGACGTCGACGGCCACTTTGGGCAGCACGAGTCGGTGCGGCTGCTGGTCGTCGAGCGCGACGACGCCGGTGCCGAGGCGGGCGGTAAGCCCTGGCGCGGCGAGCCGCTCGACGTCGGCCGCGCCCTCGTCAACTACTCGTCCACCCAGGTCGCCCTCATCAAGGGCCACCAGAGCAAGGAGATCGAGGGCCTGCTGGGCTATGCCGACAGCGGCTACGTCGCCGAGCGGGAGCACATCACCTTCTTTATGAGCAGCAGGCCGCAGACGCCGATACCCACCACGTAGGGTGTGTGGTGGTGGCTTGACGTGGACGCGTAGTGAGCTGGGGTGAGGCCCCAAGTTGCTAGGATTCAAAAAAAAGGGATTAGAGGCTTTTTGATATAGAAGCTCGGTTAAGAGTGATATACGTTTGCATCCCAGGCGAACCAACGCCTGGCTCACTTGTCACCCCCATAGCATACATTTCAACAATACCATGCATAGGAATGCTTTGCTTTAGATGGTGGTATCTAGAAAGGTAGGCTCACTCGGTAGATGCCCTCGGCGGTGACATCTCCGATCCAAATTGAATTTTTGAACTCCAAAACGCCTCTCCATCATGCTTGCTTGTTCGTGGACGGACTCCACACCCACCCATATGTGTGCTCTTCTCGCAGCACGTCACGTCCAGCCTGCCAACACTTCCTTCCTCCATCTTAGCTTCATAAGCCCCGGCATTCGAGCTGCCCCATCAGTAGGGCAAGGTGATACACGGGGAGCCCGGGATACACGCTCCAGGCAAAGGCCAGTACCCACCCTCCTCTTCAACCCGTCGCGAACAGATTGTCCTCATCCCGCAGGTACTCCCCACAGTCGGCCTGGCGGAAACAGGTGATGCCCGTTGGGTCGAGCCGCCTCGCCTCGGCCGTGGAGCGGGCGGTGACGCCGAACCCGAGCGGGGTGTCGTTCATGGAGTAGACGATGACGCCCTGGTGCTCGGGGCAGTCCTCGGACCAGCGGCCGACGTGGGCCTTGACGATGTTGCCGCCGTAGAGGAAGGGCATCTCGCCGTTGGGCTTGACCCAGACCTTGTAGCGCGCGTGCTCGGCCAGGATGGGCAGCGCCGTGATGTGCAGCCTGAACTTGCCCGACTTGGTGAACTTGCCGAGGCAGATGCCGAGGGAGACGAGCTTCTCGCGTTCTGCGGTGGCGGGGAGGGGTGTGGTCAGCTAGCTGGTTGGGTCTGGACTTTCTTTTGTTCTTTTCCCTGGGTTTCTTGTTCTTATCTCTCCCATCTCCGTCCGTACGGCCCTATGTTTCTCTCTTGGGGGGCGATGGATGGATGTGGTTTCATGTAAAAGGACAAGGTGTGCGGCTTACCAAGTGACACGGCCAGGTTGGCTATGGACAGACGAACATAGTAGACGCGGTCCTTTTGTATCCTGAAGACATAGCGGTCGGCGTTGGGCGAGTCGTCCAGCGGCGCGATGAGGTTCTTGAGAGAGTTGCCCGTGTAGTGCGCCAGCTTCTGGAAGAGCGTCTGCGTCTCTTGTTCTGTGAGGGGCCGCATCTTGACTGTTCTGACCGTGACGCAGCGAACGAGGACTGTTCGGTTGGCGGTGGTACACTCACTGCTGGGTTTTGGGGGGAGGGAAATGCGGCCGGCCAACAGAAAAAAGTTACAGCCTCGCCGATAAGATAAGGCGGTCCCACCTCTTAGCACGACGCCTTGTGGGAATACAGCCTATCCTATCCTGTCCCGCTCACTCTACATTTCCAAGTCGAGATCTTGCTCGATTTCTTGTCACCAAGCCAAGCAAGTGCCTTGGCAAATAAGGGGAATTCGCAGCTTATGGCATATATAAAACTTTTGAAGGGGCTGCGAGGAACCGCACCACTGCTACTCTTTTACAATTACAGATATGGACTTGGTCGGGGATGCACCATCGCTTCATTCTCTAGACCGCGACTGCTAACCTAAAAGACAAACCCTCCGCAATAGACAGCGATTGAATCCTGTATAACTCCTGGGGCACGTTACTTCATGAACTGGCCTACTGGCCAGCCTGGTCCCGAAGGTGCCTTGGAACCCATTTCCCGGGCGCACGCGAGGCCGTCAGCGTCTCGGTGGGGGCAGCGTCCCTTCCATTCTCGCCCCTGCCAGAGCCCTGGCGAGCCGCTGGAGGTGCGCTTCGCTCCGAGTCGCCAGCCGCATCACCACCTGCCTCACGCTTAGCAGCTTCACGGTCACGCCAGCTGCTGGCAGGCTTGCCGCCGCGACCAGCCAAGTTGAGACGCGGGGGTCCCGAAGGCCGCTCGCCCGAGTCGGTACGCTCGACCGGCGGCGCTCTCTCGGTCCTCTCGGCCCTCTCGAACCTCTCAGTCCTCTCGGGGCGCTCAGCTCGCTCGGGGCGCTCAGCCCTCTCAAATGGTGGGGGAGTGGCGCGCGCGGGAGGTGCATCCGTAGAAGTGGTCTCGCCGGCTGCCTCCTTCGCAGCCTGGCGCTCACGCCAGCTGGGCTTGCCACCAGCGAGGGCCAGACGTGGTGGGCCAGACGGCCGATCGGCAGAGTCGGAGCGCTCCAGCGGTGCTCCGGCGCGGATGGGAATGGGAATGGCGCGAGCCTGCTCCTTCTCCTTTTGCCTGCGTGCCAGAGCCTCCTCCTCGCGGCGGGCCTGCAGTGCCGCCTTCTCCAGGGCCTCCTGGCGCTCCGAGTCGCGCTGCGCCTTGATTCTTGCCATCTCCTCGCGGCGCTGGGCCTCGCGCTGCTCGCGCTCCTCCTTCTCGCGGGCGGCCTTCTCCTCGGCTTCCCGCAGGGCACGCTCCTTCTCCTCGCGCTCCCTCTTCTCGCGGATCTTCCTGTCCCGGAACTCCTTCTTGCGCGCGGCGATCGCCTTCTCCATCTCCCGGTCCGCGTCACGCCGCTTCTTGTCAAACTCGTCGCGGCGACGCTCATACAGGTTCTCCTTGAACCTCTCGTAGAAGGGAACAAGACGCTCCACGCGGTGCTTCAGCTCCACAGCTTCTTCGTGCTGGCGCCTCTTCTCGATCAGAGTCTCCTGCTTGGTCTTCTCATAGGCGGCGAGATCTTGAGCGCGCTGCCTCTCGTAGTCCTCGCCCAGCTTCTTGGCCTCCTCCTTACGGAAAGCACGCTCAAGGTGATCGATACGCTTGCCAGTGATGCGCAGCTTCTCGTTGACGTCGTTCTTCTCACGCTCAAGCTGGGCCAGCTTGATGGCGCGGAGACGGCTGCTGTCCAGGTTGGCCAGGTCATCAGGATCAATGCCGAGTTGCTTAGTTCCAATCTTGAGCTCCTTGATGGTGTTCTCGATCTCGATCTTGTGGATCTCCTCGCGCTCCTTCTGCAACCTCCTCTGCTCACGCTCCTTGAGCTCCTGCTGCAACCGTTGGGCCTCGGCCTCTTGCAGCTGCTGCTCACGGAGGCGCTTGGCATTGGCGGTCTCCCGCTCGATACGCGCGCGAATCTCAGAGGCCTGTTCCTTGCGCTTCTGGATGACCTCCTTGCGAGCCAGGATCTCCCGGTGCTCCTCCTCAGCACCTGCCTTGGCCCGAGCGAGGGCCGCCTGGCGGGCCTTGATACGGTCCTCATTGAAAGTAGGGTCGATGAAGTAGCAGGTGGTGTGCAGGGTCTTGAACAGCCGAGTCAGCTGAGTACGCACAATCTCAGCCGGGGTGCTCTGCAGTCTCTGAACAGATCCCAGGCCGGCGTCGGCCTCGGCAGAGCCACCAGCAGAACCGGCACTGGCAGCCTTGGCTGACGAGAAGATGTCCTTGTCGAAGCTCAACACGCCAGTGGCATGGTCCATGCGGATGGCAAGGTCGCCCTTCTTGTTGCCGTTCATGATGAACTTCTCGATGGTAGCACGGGTGACCTGGAAGGGCTCAGGGAACTTGGCAAGCCCCTCCACGTAGGCCAGGTCGACAGTCTCGTACACCTGAGACAGCTGCTGGAACAGGCGCGTCAGGATGACCTGCTGCAGAGGCAGGACGTACTTCTGCATGTCAGGGTCTGCGCCGATCTGGGCCAGAATCGGCGAGATCTTCTCACAGATGGAGAGAGGGTGGAAGTCAACCTCGAGGATGTTGTAGAGGTCTCGGATCTCGGGGCGGACACGGCGGATGAGCTGCTTGGCACGGATGTCCTGGAAGAGGACAGCACGGGTGGGCGCCGAGTTCATGCCCAGCAGGTGAGTCAGACGAGAGTTCTTGTTCTTCCTGGCCTCATCAAAGTCGACCATGGCACCGCGGGATCGCGTAGTGCTGATGACGGGAATGGACAGAGCCGACAGCAGGACGAAGGAGGCAGCCTTCTGGAGGTCGGCCTCGGTAGCCGCGGGGTTGTCAGACTTCTTGCTCTGGCCGGTCGCGACCTGGGTGGCGGACTGGCGGAGGAGCTGGTAGTAGCGGGACCAGGCAGCGGCGTGGAACAGGTAGTTCTCGCCAACGAGGAAGATGCGGGTGAGCTTCTCGTAGTAGTTGGCCATCATGATGTTCTTTGGTGGGCGCTTGCTGAGGTTGAGGAGGGTGTGGATGTCCTCGACGCTGCGGAAGGCCTCCTGCCACAGCTCGAGCTCGACGGCCACGTTCAGCTGTTGAAAGCGGGTCTCCAGGTGACGCTGCAGTGTATCAGGGTCGTTCAGGTTGATAGCATGCATCTGCTGAGAGTACTTGGCAGCCGTCTGGACGTGGTTTCGGAGCAGCTCACACAGGCGGCGGAACTCGGTCTTTCGGGTGTACTTGAGACAGAAGTCGAAGGCCTGCATGGCAGTGCTCTGGTAGAGGATCTCGAGGCGGGCATTGTTTCGGAGGATGTCGAGGACTGTCCGGTAAGCCTCCCAGAGGAACTTGAGCCATGGAGTGACGATGGCACGGTCGGTGCGGTCCTTGGACTGCTCGCCGGAGACGGTGGCGAGCAGGATGGACTCTGGGGTCTCGGTGGCCTCGAGGTCGTCGACGCCGGCCTCGCCGGTGGTGGCGTCGATGGTTGACTGAACCTCGTCGGCCTTGGCCTGGGCGGCGGTGACCTTGTCGGCAGCGAGCTCGAGGAACTTCTTGAGGACCAGCTCGATGGTGCCGATGTTGCTGTTCTGGGCGATGTTCTTGTATTGGTACATGGCATCCTTTGTCAGCTTGCCCTTCTTCTGCTCGACCGACAGCTCGACGAGGAGGAGCATGACGGGCTCCAGCGACGCGATGGGGACATTTCGAGATCGCTTTGAGGTGATGTGCTCGTGCAGCAGGGTCAGGGCGGCTGGAGCCTGGCCGACGCCGATGAGCTCGTGGGCGCGCTTGAGAACATTCTCAGGTTTTTGATGCGGCGGGGGCGGCATGCTGGGCAGGTTGTGTCTGGTCTCCTCTCAGTGGTGGGTAGGCGGTGTTGTAGAGGAGGGGGAGGAGATTCCCAGGGCGCGAGAGTCAACAGAATTCGCCGCAAGACCGAAAGTCGATGGACTTTGGCTCTGTTGAGTCTCGTTGGAAAGTCTGCCTGTCTGACGGACGGACTGGCAGTCAGGTCGAGGCTGTGACGAGACAGCAGAACAGGCCGGGCCGACTCAAAACTCTGCCTGCTGCAAAAATTCTTGGGAGGGACAGGCAGTGGGTTTGCCCGACAGACTGTGAAATGTGTGAAGGGCGCTAGTCCAAAACGGGCAGGCTCAAGTCACGTGCATCACATGTTCGCGTTCAGATACGCAGCGGCCAGCGAGGAGACATGGTTGTCCAGAGAATCAGATCATGAGTCACAGAATGACTGATTTGTGAGGTTTACGAGTTGACCCAACGACGGCAAGTAGCATTTTTGGTAGGAAAGAAACCGCTCGGTTGGTGATGCTGCTGGTCAAAGGACGGACGCGGCAACCGCAGGCAGCCACTAACAGTAGTTTGAGCGGCAGCGGCATGGGTATGGAGGGCCAGAGGGCATGGATGGGGCGTCAGAGTACCCCGCCATTCGCGGTAGGTTACTATCTCTGTACGAAGGAATCGTTGATATGGACATGCCGGGTAAATGCAATACTGTGGAATATGCTTTCTCCTGAGACCTGACAAAAACCCCTTGTTGGACGTGCTCCCGCGTCGCGCTCGGATGCTGCAAGGATTTCCTCCGACGGAGCGAACAGTCGAGGCTGAGAGTTTGATAAGCTTCAACGCGGGTCAGAGGTCAGAGACAGGGCACAAGGCACGAAGTACCAGACACCAGACACCTCTCGCTTTGGAGTATATATAGTATGCGAGTAAGGACAAGCAGTGCACACTGTACATGACAGATGCGAGCGCAATGCTGTAATGCAGTACACAGCAGTAGTCGAAACAGCTCGCCAAGACCTTGCTCGACTTGTGTTTCCCGTCTGAGCTGCACGCTAATAAACCTCAGTCGGGTGTATACGCCATGCATAGCGCGTGCTGGTAGGAAGGGATGGAATACTGTATAGTATATGTACAGTATATACACTACTATAGTGCTCTGGCTCCCCGGCTCCCCCCGCCGATCCATCAGATTGAAAAAATTGTGTGCGAGCTGTGTGCGTGGTGTGTGACTGCCGTTCAGTCTTCGCACAATCTCTCATTAAACGGTGAGACAAATGGGCAAAGTCAAAGTCTCATTTCCGTGATGGGGTGGGAAAGGTGGGGAGAAGGCCGAAGAGGGCAATGGGCATTTGGGCACGAGGCCCAGGCGACCAGGAGGGCTGGGCTGGGCTGGGCTGGCTGGCTGGCAGGCTGGGTTGGCCCACTGGCGGCGGAAGGGCCCTTGGGTCCGTCCTACCGTTGGAGCCATGTCCAGCTGCAATCTCATAGACCTGTTTCCGAGCCAATCGCCACCCTGCAATCTGGGGCTTGGTTCGCGTCTTCTCCTTTTGCCTGCTGCCCATCTCCCAAAGCGAGATCCCGGCCGCCCTGTTTTCTTTTCCAACAGGTATTCTTTAATTCCTTTTCCCCCCATCCCGTGCATCGTCCAGCAGTGTCAGTCCCCTCTTTCTTGCGTGTCTGTTGCGTGCGTGCGTGCGTGTGTGTGTGGTCGTGGTCAGCTCAAGCTCTCATAAGCCCACCCGCTGCCAAGGGAGAAGAGAAACCAGTGCGACCTGCCAGCCTGCTTGATTGCAGCTTCAGCCCCCCGCCCCAGTCCTGGGAGAGACAGCAGCAGCTTTGACCCCTGACCACCCGCCATCCCGGCCAGGCCAACCCTGATTGCAGTGTTGCAGTGCAGCGCAAGAGAGCAGCATCTCACCTCACCTACAGAGGTGGATAGTGCATGTGTGCAGGCCTTCACCGCACCCAGAGAAGCCAAACCCCTAGGCCTCTTCAGGTACCACCAGTCCACGACGAGGTAGGCAACTGTTTCCCCCGTACCCGTACCCGAGCCCACCCCCACCCGCCTCTCCTCTCCTTGACGGTACTTGTGTCTGCCCCGTCCACCCGCCATCGTCTGTCCCTGCGGCTGGGCCCACCTTGCCTGCTTACCTGATCGGCCACAGCAGCACCCGGCCTATCTCCCCAGGGCCGGCTTCTCCTCTTCCCAACCCGCTACCCGTTACTGCTCACTGTACTCACTGCACTGCACAGCTTCGTCCAGAGCGTGTTGTCGTCGTCCTCCAATTCCTCATTCCCTCCTTTGCACATTCCAATCCAGTCCAATCCAGCCCGCCATCCTCTCCTTTGATCGCCCACCAATACCTGCCCGCACTTCTTGCCGAGCCTCAACCGTAAGTCAGTCCCTTTTTTCCTCCCCTTGTGCAGCCCTGGGGCTCCAACATCCGACCGGTTGCCAATCGTCCTACCGTCCTACCGTCCTACCGCTTGTCAAACCTCACCGTCGCAGAGACTGGTGATCCGCCAGCCCAGTCCAGCCCTGCCCTGCCGACCCTCCGAACGAGAGACAACACCAAACCCATCCCCTCCCGTCGCCCGTTCTTCGTCAAACCAACCCCAGCCTCAATCGCCAATCTCGCCAGATCATTACTAACCATCGCCATGTTCGAACAACAGGATCAAGACAGGGATAAGGATCGACTCCGCCATCACATACCTCAGTCGCCAGCCCGACCGGATCTCGCAGTTGGGGGCCCCGACTCCGCATATTCATCATCTCCCCGACGATCTTCTCGCAACCGGGCCAATTCGGCATCGAATTCCTCTCACACAACCAACATGCCTCAGTACACTTCTCGTGATGTCGGCGACCCGACCCAGATCAAGAAGAACAAGCAGAGCATGGCAGACCTGAAGCTGCGTCGCCTTACCGAGCTCAACAACCGCCTCCGTGAGGACCTCGAACGAGAACGCATCCCCGTCAGCCAGGCAAGCAAAAGGTAAGACCCGCCCGACCGAGGCAACGTCACGCAGCACCACACACGCTGACACGAGGCCTCCTCTTACAGCATCATTGCCTACTGCAACAGCACCAGAGACTATATGGTCGTCACTGTATGGGGTGTGGTGCCAAAGGGCGAGGACCCCTATGCACCACAACAAAGCGGAGGTTGCTGCTTGGTCATGTAATATCTGCGACGACAAATCAACGATGGATGCGATGTTTCTAAGGGATCTCGATACGATGGAAAAGCCCAAGCGATGAGCGGCGATCTTTCGAGACACACGAACGGCGAAGGCGATGGCGATGGCGACGCCCCGGGGAGGAAACCTTGCGTTTTGCCTTGTGCTTTATTTTGTTTGCTCGGCCGGCGTTGACACTCGGAAAAACGGTACCCCTACGAGACCCTCGTTGGCCGTCAGGGCTATGGGACAGAGAAAAGGCAAAGGAGCGAGCACGGATCCAACGACGAAAGGGGAGAACAGACTCGACAGTCCCCCCCTCCACCCTGGGGGCAACAGAAGGGCCCGACCCGATATACCCGCCCACGACACCCCCGACCTCTTCGCCGCCGTACTCGCCCTGGCCCGTGGAATCCGAGGGAGGAGAGCCTCTCACCTGGGGCGGTTACGATAATGGTCTTGTTTTATATTTCTTCATACAGACCTCTTGCTTATGGGCTTTGTGGATACCGGCAAGAGGGATATAATTCTGCATGCTATTAATACTGCACCACACTATCTTTTTTTCACTTGTACCTCGTCAGTCTAGGCCTCTCCACAACGTGAATACCACCTCTGTCACGACGAACATACCAGGGCGGGCTCCTGCTCAAAGCGCGACACGCGGGTGCGGCGCAAGCATTTTGACCGTGACATCTTTTTGCAAGAAACAACGCATGCTGCTAACGTACTATCTATCTATTGTGCACGGTAAGTGCTCATCAAGCTTTCGAGTCAGGTTTCTAATTTGATTACCCATCAAGACGTAATGCCACAGATAGGCGTTTCTTCAAGACTGCTTAGGAACCTAGGAATTTATTTGCCTTGGACCAAACAGCCGGGTCCACGCGTTTTTGTTCCCCCACACGCTCGCCCTCCAGTCTCCAGCCACGCCGACGAGCCCCGCAACGACACAAGGCCAGTGGATCCGGTGTTCCCCTCGCGCATGTGCTTGGGTGCGGCCCGAAGGACAGACAACCTTGAGAGCCCTCCCGAGACAACTCTTGCACACGCACACACGCACACGCACACGCACGGGCACGGGCCCAGGGGAGAGGGAGGAGAGGAGAAAAGGGAACGGCTTCCGGTCGCCGGGGAGAAGCTCTGCTCTGCTCTCCTCGTTTCCCTGTGCGACGTCTTGGCTGCGGCTGCCCGCTCGCCCGGCCTCCTTTCTTCCCGGCCCTTCTACCTCTCTTGTCTTCTTCTTTTCGGAGCTTGGTGGGACACCCGGCGGGGAAGTCGTGGAGTTGTGACACTGACTGACTGATTGACTGACTGATCGGGCTTCTCCATTTCCACGTCAACGGCAGGCAACTGTTGCACTTTAAATCAGGATGGACCCTTGGCCTGCTTGCTGCTAACCCGGCGTGAATCAATTACATGCCTCCTCCCCACTCACATGTGTGGGATATTGGTATCCTCTGTTGGGCTACCACTGGCGCGGGCTCTCCCCCTCGGCAGCTGCTCGGTTCTCTTTCATTTCCCCACGCTTGGGGGGGTTCGCTAGTCGTCCGTTTTCGTGAACATGTCTCACGCAACAGCACGTGGATGGGGGCATCTAGTATCATTCCGGTGTGCAGGGGCCCTGGGGCCCTGGGCCTTGGTGTGTTCACCCATCATTCCCACCCGCGCACCTTCCCAGTTCTCCAAAGCAGTTGCGAGCTGTCCCTGGGAGCAACGTCAAGCACAGTAGCAAGAGCATCATGTGGCTTGCCTTCCCGTGTGATCCCGCAACAGGTTATCTTATGGGAAGCCGGTCCTATAGGAGCTTATCTTGGGTGAAGGAACGAGTGACTCGAAGGCAGGAAGGCAGGGGCAGGGTCGATGGTATTGTCCCTTTGTCAGTGGCCTACTGTGACTAACAGAGTTGGAATACTCACTGCACGCCAACCAATCCAACATCGCCGACCTCGCGCGCACGACCTCGAGCCCCATAGCTCAAGCTGGCCGCATTAAGGAGCGATCGACCCATCGTCTCTCTCCTTCTTAAGGTAGAAAAAGCCTCCCTCCTGGTCGCGGAACGGTTGGCGGTTGCCGAGGCGTTCAAGACACCCACATTCCAACGCCTCAAGCCTCCATTTGTTCCTGATCGACGCGTCTGCCCCCTGTCGCTCACGATACATAACTCTCGTTTGCGGCCAAGTCTTTCCCTGGGCACCCAGGCAGACATCCAATCTCCCCTTCGCCCCACCCTCTCAGGAAGCACCATGCCACGGCTCGCCACCATCCTCGGGGCCGTCCTCCTGGCCCTCGTCGGCATCGCGGCCGGCCACCCGGTGCGCCCCTCGGTCACCGCACGCGCTCACTCGAGCCCCGTCCATCGCAGCGTCGGTCTTGGTAGGGACACCGTCCGCGAGGACGACAGGCTGGAACGGCGCGACTGTAAGCAGCTCCTCCCCCACCCCCTTTTGTCCCTTTTCCCCAGCACACTCCACTCATTCTCTCCCGCCGCGCCCCCCATCTCCTCAAATGTTAATTTTACCGCCGGAAAAAGTGTGAGGATGAGAGAGAGGCTCACGCCACCTGGGGGTTTCGCAGTCACATGGGCAAACTCCGAGACGCCCCAGAACCTTTGCGGCGACAGCACCTTCGCCACGAGCGAGGAGGACCAGGGCCCCTTGGTGAGCCACTGCAAGACGTTCCTCGACTACGTCAAGGACAGGGACGGGTTCTGGCTCGTGACGAGGTTCAGCTCGCCGGACTCGTGGGAGGAGTTTGCGCGCGTCGAGTCTTGTGTCGTTGCTGTGCGGCATACCGATCGGGTTACTGGGACGATACCGTAAGTAGTGTCTTGCTAGCCCTCCCCCCCCCTTCCTTTCTTTTTACTGCTTTGGCCTGTTTGGTTCACTGCATGGTTTCTTCTTGGTTTGCTGACGAGGTGACTGCACACACAGTATCGGCAACCAGGACGTCAGCGACATTATCAAGTCAGTCATATCACAGTTTGGCGAGGGCGTTGAGAGGTTGCCATCTGTACGGGGCAGGATGGGCTGTGATCGAGATCCCTCCTTTGCGGGCGTGGAGTGGAAGGTCTACAAGGCATAAGGACTGGTGGTTGGAAGAACTCGGCGTCCATCACAGAACAATCATCTGGGGTCACTGAAACTGTCGATATTGATTGAGAAGAATGGCAACGGGTCATGGAGGGGAGAGGCCAGTTTTGCTGCACATGTTGATACCCCCTTTGTCTCGGTCAAAGGCTAGACGATTTTCTGGAGTTGGGGAAGGCTTAACTTGATACTTGGTCTTTCTGCTTGCTCATAAATCCAAATTAATCACTCATTCGCCTACTAAAGTAATCATTTGCGTGGTCTCTGGAAGGAAACGTCCATAAATGGCGAGCAACCTACCGGCCTAGGTAATGTCATAATTCACGAAAAATACGGAAGAATTTTTTTTTAACAACAAACTAAAAACTGAAAAGTTCAACTGAAAAAAAAGCCGGGGGGGCCTATGTGAGACATTTCTGGTTATGATATATCAAATGTCGGTTCGGACGGAGTAATGCAGCACGAACCAACGGAGCGGTGCATCTCCCTCCTGTCTCGGATCTCATGACTTCTTGCACTAGTTTTAATAGTTACCTACTAAAGAGACAAACGTTGAACCCAGGGTCGAAGTTAAATTAAAACCAGCTGGTGCGCGGTCCCGAAGTGGACGAAAAAACGGTACCGGGCTCCGGTGCGCTGGGACGGCCAGGGGTTTCCCACCCTCTCACCTCCCACCTCCCCACACCCAACGGCGCTCTCGGAGAAGGGCCCCGGTGACGACAGGCCGGCTGCAACCACACCATTGACCTCATCGCCGAGGACGGGGTAGCATTTTCTTTCCGGGGTAGACAGCCGTTGTCTCTCTAACATAGACCCGTGAACGCCAGTGAAAAGAGTGTCTTTCGATCACAGCACCTATCATACGATCGAAGACTTGCTCGACAACACACTCACAAACTTACTTATTCGGCCATGGCGGACGGCGTCGATACTGGGGCACCTTTCCCACTGCCTCGTGTGACCATCAAGTTCTGCACCCAGTGAGTTGGACACGCCAGCGGGAACAGAAAGAACCTGGTTCTCAAAGCTCATTCATCATGGAAGAGAATGTCACCAAGACTAACCAGTCACCAGGTGCAAGTGGATGCTAAGAGCAGCATATGTACGCCCAGAACTCACACTCCTCTCTCAATTTTCCGAACCACTCACACAGCCATGAACACACACACACAACCCTCAACCCATCATGAATCCGACGACCTTGATATACTGACCAAGCCCCTTACAGTACGCCCAAGAGCTCCTCTCAACATTCTCCACCTCGCTGGGCGAGGTCGCACTCCAGCCATCCACAGGCGGGACCTTCGTGGTCGAGATCCTGTACTCCTCCCCCCCGCCGTCCTCCACCTCAACCCCACAACAACCGGGTGACGGGGGAGGGGCCATCGCCTCCCCGGCCCGAAAGGTCCTCTGGGACCGCAAGACAGACGGCGGCTTCCCCGAGACCAAGGAGCTGAAGCGCCGCGTGAGGGACGTCATCGAGCCGGGCCGCGACCTCGGGCACGTCGACAGGGACCACGCGAGGCCGGGTCCCACTACTTCTGGTGCTGCTACTGCTACTACTACTACCGCCACTGCGACTGCCACCACCAGTGATTCAACAAAGGTGGCAGCCGCCGCGGCGGCGGACGCCCGGCAACCCCACAAGGCCAAGCCGTCCAGGGCCGAGCTCGAGGCCGCGGGGCCCGCGGGCGCGGGCTACCCGGGGGCGAGCGAGGCCGCCGCGGAGGCGACTGCCGCAGCTGCCTCGTGCGAGAGCAAGAAGGAGTGCGAGGACTGCGACTAAGCCGGTGGTGGGTGGGGGCGCCCTGGGTTGCAAGTGGGTGACGACGACGACGACGACGACGAGGAGACGTTCAGGCGGCGATCTATCTGGGTGGTTCTTCACCAGTACCTACCTAACCTAACTGGTCAAATATGCATTCGGCCGGGCATGGGAGTCTTCACCAGGGGGCACGGTTTTCCGCAATGCCTACTTGCTTCTTGTGGCTGGCATAGTCGCCGCGCGGCTTCGGGGTCTTTCTTCGTCAACACAAGGCTCTGGCTGGCTGGCTGGCTGGCTGGCTGGCTCGGTACACACGCCGGTTTACTACTTCATCCTATTGGACTCGATCATGTGGGACATGTGTGGAATAGTCATTGTATCGTATATCGTCACGACTGTCCGGACGAGGAAGTGGGATACTCTGTTTGGTCGAGGGCTTTTCCATCTCCAGCCTGGCAACCGCGGTGGCCTGGCCCAAACAACCACCCCCATGAAGGCCAGGCGCTGACGGTCTCTAAGATTTCGAAAGAGGGCTGCAAGGCGGAAACGCCTGACACGGGACTCCGTCACGAACAATCACAAACAGACGCGGCCAGGTCAAATCAGCAAGAAACCGCAAACTCGACAAGTAACAATACTTAAACATGGCGATTAAGGAAATCCCTCTTCCTCCCCCCTTTTTCTCCTCGTTTAGTGATCCGACCTGACCCGACCGGCCCGGCACAACCGAACCATCCGCTGTCAACCGCCCACGTATCAAAACGGGCCCCCTTCATTATAAGGACACACAGTATCCCCCTTACTACCGATCTCGGTTTCAAAGAGTTTTTGTAGGAGCATCGCTCCACAGCCATCCATCCGTATTCCCACGACGTCGACCAGGGAAAAAGAACGGCCTTGCCACCCCGCTTCGGCTGCAACTAGACGAGGACGGATCCAGGTGATCGGGGACGTCCTGTACCAAAATTGCAGAAGGCAGGCGTCAATTAGTTGTCGGCATGATAGTCAGGAGCTGTAAGGACTTTGGTGCACTTGATGATAGACTGTGGCCGCCGTTCATCTTTAGAATGAGGTGAAGCGAAAGACTATCATTAATACATATTCGACAATGTCGGGGCCCTTCAAAGACTGCAACCGTGGGAGCCGGTTGAGCAGGCGGAAGTCCCTCCTGGGCTAATCGAGCGGGTCAGGCCATGGCGCTTTGTCGACGCGGAGGTCGGTATGTACTTCGAGGCGAGGGTTCGGTACGAGGAGAACCTGGGGTAGAGGGCCTTGTTCTGGCACGGGGTTTCCAGCAAAGTTCCGCCTGTGATGGGGGTCAAGATAAAAGTGTCGTCGGGCACTTCAAGGATGAAGCAATCATCGTCGTCCGAACCTAAAAATACCAGGTGTTGGTGCGTGAATTCAAACTAGGTTTTGGACGGTTTCCTGGGAGCAGTGATGGATCTACTGCCTCCGAGGCCGGGGACGTACTTTTGTTTCTTTTCAGCGGGTTTGAGAATCTGCATGGGGATTTGAAATTAGCAACATGTCTAGGAAACGCCTATCATGGTTGTCTGGGCCTGGTACGAACCTGGAACGAGCAGAGCAAACTCTCGTCGACACTCATCATGGCACCCGCATTGTCAAACTCCCCACAGTAGTTCGGTGCGCTAAACAAGGTGACGAGCTGGCGTTTGGAGAAGAACTCGTATCCGTCCTCGACCACTTGATGGGCACGGCAGATGAGATCCATGTCATGTTTTTGCAGGAAGCGGGAAACGACGTCAGGACCGAAGGTGAAGCTGACGCCTCGGTCGTTTTCGCTCCAGCCAGTGATATCCTTGTCGGGGTCGGACCACAGGAGATCACAGAGCAGGCCGCAGTCAGGGATCTGCAATATGCCGTCAGTACCAATGTCAACACGTCCCAGGAGGTGTGTGCGTCAGAAAGGCGCAGCTATGAAAGGCAGGCTGCCCTCGAAGGGGTGGCTTACGTCAGTTGGTCGCATGACACGGCGGATCTGCTCCATTGAGTTCAAATCGGGGCTGAGACCGCCGTGCATGGTGAAGATCTTCTCGTCGATGATGGCTGCGATAGGCAGGCAGTTGAAGCAGTCCGTAAATGTCTTCCACAACTTGATGTTGTACCGGCGCTTGCACTCATCGTAGAAACCATAGATGCGGTTAATGGAGGCGCACTCGTGGTTGCCACGCAGGATGAAGAAGTTCTCGGGATACTTGATCTTGTATGCCAGGAGAAGGCAGATGGTCTCTAGAGATTGCTTGCCACGGTCGACGTAGTCACCAAGGAACAGGTAGTTTGCCTCTGGGGGGAAACCGCCGTATTCGAACAGACGCAGGAGGTCATAGTATTGACCGTGGATGTCGCCGCAGATCTGTTGGGGTTGAAGGAGTGGGGTCAGCACAGCGCCGAGACTCTGAGCTGGCCTGCCGCGACCAGAAAAGTGCACGGGGGGTTGCTTACCTTGATAGGAGCCTCGAGCTCGAGCAGGATGGGCTGGGAGATGAAGATCTCGCGGGCCTTGGTGCAAAGGTATCGAATCTCGGCCTCGAGCAGCTGGACCTGCTTGCCCGGACGGCTGCCGCGGACCTCCAGGAGCCGGTCGATTATAGAGTCCAAATCAACATCATGTTGATCTGCCATGGTGGTGTCGGAGGGCCGCCAGGAGCTGGCGGGAGGGGGCAGAGGAGGGAGGAGGAGCGGACGCGCCGGAGGGGATGGTGTGCGCTGCGGCCGGACGTGGTTTCACGCAGTCAGGCAGTCCAGTGGTTTGATGCACTTCTCGTGTCTAGATGAAAAATACAGATTTAGCATTTGCCATGCAGCCCATGTGCATGGGGTGGTGGGTGGACAAGCAGGCCGAGGATTTGGATCCATAATGCAGCGGCAGGGGGAGGCGAGGAAGGCAATGGAATCGACAGTCGGGAGGAGGGCGAGGCAACAAGGCTGGAGGGAGGGGACAGACAAGCCGGGCGGCGTAGGCGGGACGCATCAAAGTACGTACTGTTTGGAAGTGATCTCAGCTGTGGTAGGCTTTCAAAAATGAAAGCGTCTGCGGCGGGCGTGTTGTGTCGCAGACGGTGATGAGGGCCAGATGAAGTTGGTCTGAGGGGGAGTCGACTGGTTACGAGGCTTTGTGTGGTGCCAGAAGCCTTGGGGTGTCGCGTCAAGACAGCGACAGCGACAGCTTCAGCTTCAGCTTCAGCGGCAGAAGCAGCGGGGGGAGGCAGGAGTGGATCGCCTTGCCGCAGGGGCGGTTCGCTGCAGGGTGAATCGCGTGGAAGTTTTACCTCTCGCTGTGGTTCTCTGGAGATGAACCGTCGTCGCCTCGGGGAGGGGTTGATCGCCTGTTTGCCGTGTGCAGTTCGAGGGCGGGAAGCACGGGGTTGAGGGAGGAGACCACGACAGTGGATTTTTTTTCGCCTTTGGGTCGCCGGGGACGGGGAATGGGGGAGATGGGGCTAGGAAGCCTGGTCGCCAGAGGTTTGTCGCCTTGTTGTATGGGTGGAAAAAACTGGGGATGCAGTTTCTCGGTCGCAGTGGTCAAGAGCAGCGTCAAAGAATATGCCTCGATCGGGTCTTGATGTCGCCGTAAGGATGGATTGATTGACAGTTTGACTCTTCAGGTCGCTCTTGGTTTTGGGGGGAGGGAAGGAAGAGATGTCGGTCAACAAAACTTCCCAGGTCCCCAGGTCGGATTGGAAATGGCAGTTCGGGCCCGTCAGGCCAAAACGGGGGGAGGGAGGGGGGGCTTGCAAATTCTCAAAGGGCTGTGCCCGTTGCTGGCTGCCACCCAGTCTACCAGTACCACAACCGCAACAACAGTACGCTGGTGTTTCGGAGGCGACGGGGGGGCGGGGTTACGACGCTCAGGGCGTGGGTGTTGTGCGCTAGGCTGGCAGGCAGGCAGGCTGGTTGGCAGAACGGCAGAACGGCAGAACGGCAGAACGGCGACCAAGAATGGCAGCAGAGTCAGTGAGTGCCTCGTGGTAGCTGGGCAGCAGTGACAGGGCACCCGTGGGCTGGTTGCCTAGGGGCCTGGGCGGCTTGGGCAGGTGCACTGGGCCTGGGGGCGGCCCAGCAGGAGCTCGGTGTCTAAACAGTGGTATTCCAGTTGCAGACTACCCCCTCTTTTAGCGCGAATACGGCGTAGTGCCCAATCACAGCCCTCCGCTTGCACCGCCCGACCAGGACCCACCCCTTCCTCTCCCTGCTCTCCCAGGGCCCGAATAAGGTTCAGTCTCTCACTCGACTCCCGACACTTTTGATGGTCGTCTAGTCGTCTAGTCGTCGTGTCGCCCACGGCCGGCCCCAACAACGGGAGATTGTGCGTCTTCTCGCCTGCCCTGCTTACACCTGGATCCCTAGTTTACATCCGAGCCAGCTATTGTGGTCTAACAAGCTTGGCGACAGCTCCCATGTTCGTCATCGCACTCGAGCCTCAATGCCTCAGTCTGCAGTCTGCAGCCTGCAATACAAAGACCTGCACCTGTCCGCGAGCGGCAACACTCTGCCCTCTTGCAGCCCAGCTTTCTCTTCAACTTCTGTTTCGTGTCTCTCCTGTTGCTACCGTCCTTTGTTCCCTGCCGAGGCACTATTGCCCTTGTGGAATGCATCTGTGCCGCCCTTGCGGGATCAACATCGGGCTACTCGGACCACTGGGCACTGGGCCATCAACGCAAAGGGCCCGTCGGCTTTGTGGTCTAGGCGTGGACAATACGGAGTCGGTCCTGTACAATCCGTATCCATCACCGATCGCGACTGCGGGACCTCTGCCATGTCTCCACCTACGCGGGATCTAGAAGCCCAACTGCGGATATCTCATCCTCCTAAAATTTCCTGCCGAGGCGCCACGAACCACTGCCTGCCTGCCTGCCTGTCTGCTTGGGCCGACGTGCAAGAACATGGAAACCCGACGTCGAGACTTGGTTGTCTCACAGGACAGACAGCTTCACATGAGCTTTGACGAAACACTGATTCAGGGCCAGAGACTGCAAATTTCACCCCAGCGGATGCTCCATCCGGACCAGAGTCGCTTGTGGGAGCCCTTGGAGCCCTCCTGGGACCTGGACACCACTACCACTACGAACCGCTCCCTCAGGATCCAAAGATCCCAAGTCCCCAAGTCATCATCATCCACTCACGACTGCCAGGACGGCTTCCCCCCACGGCCGCTTGCGCGCCGGCCGGCCTGGCCTGGCCTGGCCTGCCCACCACCCATCCATCACCTATCACCTGCAGGCCGTCGATTCGAGCAATGCAGCGCTCTAAAATCACTCACGGATGCTTGTCTAATTCACCTGCCTATCAAGCCTCGACCACACGCGTGGACTGACGGAGCACGGCTAGCAGCCTAAACAACCAACGCCCGCCCGGGCGCATTCTGCCTTGTCAGAGTCGTCACACTCCGCAGCACTGATTCTCCATGACAGAGCGGCCCTGCGCCCGACAGAGAGAGGGCTCAGGGGGGCCTTGGTCCAGCCGCCCCAGTCGCCGCCCCCGGGCTCATAACTCTGGTGCTAATACTTAGATTACGACGGCACCCTCACTGGCACTTGCCAAAGCCTCATGGTCACCTTGGGGCCGCCTATAGATCCGTCTCATTCGCAGCCCGCGACAGTAGCTGCAGTGAAATCCCAGACCCGACATGAGCTGACTCCGGTCTAACGCGCGAGCTTGTCAGACTGCCAAGTTTCCAAGACTAGCTCGCCGGTGACTTGTGGACGCCTGCTGGGTGGTGAGAAGCCACTCCAAAGCTTCAGTGTCGCTTTCTGCAGTCTCACGGCTGCCCGCCGCCCGCGCCAAGCACGAAACTGCTTCTGTGGCACAGGACAGCCAACAAATGCTGGTTGGCAGGCACAAAAGACGTCCCGGGGGCAGCTGTGCGTGCGCCCCGCTCTGAAACTGCTGTATAAGTCGCGCAGTCTCATCACCGAAGGCTTGCCTGCCCCAGTCTTGAGTGGCTTGCCCTCGCCCCAAGACCCCGGCTCCCACCCGCTTTCTACTCCGTGTGACCGGCCCGTATGACAGCACTGAGCTCCGCCAGTACTCCGTTTCCCGCCTTGACGGGCCATACAGCACTCTACTCATTGCATGTCCCCGAGTTATCATCGCGGGTACGCCTGCACAACATTCAACATTTGCATGGCCGAAATAGGCTAGAAATGCAAAACTCAGACGAGAGAGGCCAACTGGTGGGTCCCCAATTTCCTCGCCAACGTGTCGTCTCTGTCCTCGACTGCCCTCTTCTACGCGCAAGAAAAGATCGAGACCCCCGTAGTGTCCTTGACGGGTTTCAACATAGCCTGCTCCTACCTATCAGCTACATTCTCGTTGTACCTAGAAGAAGTACGCCTAAGAAGAACATCCCTTCTGGGGAATTGTAGTTTTCCTGGAAATGTCGTCCACTGTTCACTGCGACGAGATACATAACGCAAAGCCAGCATAGGCTTCACTCTGCTACAGCACGAGAAGATCGCATTCGCCACCAAAGTGATCACGGATTACCTGGATATGCGACAATCTGGGTCTACGTGGAGAGGCGGTCTGCAGGTCTCTGTGCTCCTCAATCCGGCTCCGCCCACATACACCAACTGTCTTGCGGGAGTCCCTCCAATATCGCTTCCCGCGCGACGACTGGGCCTGAGCCGACTCCAACGTCGGTAGCTGGGTCTTGGCCCCTCCGGCAAACCACACAAGCCTCACTCTCCCCGTGATAGGGTAAGCCGCGGACTTGACGCGGCCTCCGTCATTCAGCCCCAAGGCGACTGATTCCTGTGCACCACTGTGCAACTGCCTCACTTATCATGCAGTCATCCACGACACCCAAAAAGCCCATCATCATCATCAATGCATGCTGTTGCGTGCACAGCCATGAGTCAAGGAAAGTTTACTCCCTTTCACATGTGCCACCGGCGTTCGGGCCACCAGCGCGAATGACAATTGGCTTTTCTCTGGGACCCTTTTGGGGTTGCCGCCGGTGCGACTGGAAAGATGCTGTTGTGGTTGTCAGGAGGTTAGTGACCCGTACGGCGGACGCGTAGTCCTTGACGGCGGCGTCTGGCCGAGAAGATCGGGCCCATAAGGATGAGATTCAAGATGTCAGCCCTCACGTTGCTTCTTCTTTAGGCACCCCAGTAATAGCCAGCTTCGAGAATCGTGTCCGCCTGGACCACCTAGTCTTGCTCATATGTCGCACAGCTCGGCGGCGCCCGTGGAAAGACGAATGAGGCGGAGCGTGGTGAGTCTCCCCGACGGATAAGCAAGACATAGACTACATGTTTCCTGGTCCTGCTCCAGCTGCACTGCTACCCTGTTTCTTCATTCAGCCACTCTGGCGGCTCTCGCGATACATGAGACGAGAAATTACCAAAGCACGTACCAGCAGGGTGACTATGGGGTCAAGGCTAGTCATCAAGACGCATTATCAAGACCGAGAATGCTGTCACAGACCTGTGCCTAAGCTTGCAGTGCATACACAGTAGCTGCCCGGGCTAGGCACTTCCGTGGAGCATAGCATGTCTGAGCGCCTCCAACATTGTACAAGCTTTTGCGTCCAACCTACCTGCCTACCTGAGTACGGGCTCGGCACTTGCCGTGCGTGTTGCGATAGGCCTTCGGGGGCTCATGATCGTCACTGGACGTGAGACCTGGGGCATAAACGGCCTTGCCAGTGGTTGATATTACTACTCTCGTCTTGTTGCTATTGGCTAGGTTTTAATGAGATCCATGTGCCGGACTAGGTAGGCATTCTCTGGAGCAGTCTCCGTCCACAGGTGTTTACATATCGGTATATTCCTCTTGTCAGCAGTTTTGTGTCAGAACTCATTGTATTCTATGCGATGACCACATTGGGCCCCGAGTGAGGGAGAAGCTTTTTTTGGGCGGGGGTCTCTTTTTTTTCAAACTGCGGTCGGCCCCTATGGCTTCTTCTTTGTCCAGCAGAAACAACTAGTTTCACTGCTCATGAACTTCTGGTCTACATAGTGGCCTAGAGTTTTGATAACCGTGGAACTCTCAGATACGCCCAGCCTTTAGTGAAACTCTATTACCACACACAGTGCTAAACGCAACACATTCTCAGATAGACTAATGATACTACAACTGCGACACGGAGTTTCTCATGGGTTGACCTGGCATAGTCCACAATGACCCTCTGCCATTATTTCCAAGTCGTCTTCAAATCCACTGTGTATATACATGTCCACGAAGGCCCTGACTCGCAACGTGGTAGTCGGGCTCACAATAAGCTCGCGACGTCAAGAAGTCCGAGTCCAGCGGGTGAGACAATTGTGCTTGTTACCTAGCAACGACGGGTATGTGGTGTACCGACGATCATCATAGACGTGGTGGAATGGCGGAATCGGGATATCGCAGGCTACTAGTATGTTCTAGTCCAGGGGATAGAATTGGTGTCTATTATATCTCGTCTGGTAGTGTGAAGGCCTAACAGAAAGGAGAACCGCAAGGAGCAACTATCTGATCTCTTGATGCATCTATTTTTTCGAAATCGCCAATGGACACTGAACAGCATAGGCATCACACCTCATGTACCTACCTACGTATGTTCTTTGAGTCGATTCAATATCTCTCACGGATTGGATGACAGCTCTGACTTGATTCACAATTGGGGAGACTGTGCCACTATGGGTGCGCCTTTCTGAACATATGCCAAGATTATTCTGGATCAGGGCTGCGTTAGCAAATGCTGGCCTTCTTCAAGAACGTCCCCTAATACTGAGCAGTCCAGTCCATGTTCTAATTATGCGGTATGAGATTCGTTGACTTAATTCAGGTCCAACTGACGATGCCTGCCATTCCGATGAAACCGCCATAAGGAAGCGGCAACTGCAAGCTGACAGCACTGAGACACAAGACCGTGAATCAACACGTTCGTGCCGGTGCCGATATAATTTTTGGAACCAATGTCAGCTCCTTCCACCCCAAATTGAGAAGTCACTGAACAACAATCCAGGACTCGAAGCCATGCCCAGCCTCTGGCCCAACATCAGGCGAAAATACCGGGCTTTCGAATTTGCTGCGCAAGCTGCCCAACGTCACCAGATTGCTATCCAATTTGCATCATTATTGGTTGGTCGGGATGAGCCCTCGAATCTTTGACATCTCGGTGTCTGCCAGATCATTGTCTGGAGAAGACACGCAAAAGCTGTGTCATACATTGCTTGCTGGAGACAATGCGGTGATGTCCGTCTGGCTTCATTATTCTGCCTAGCCGCTTGCCCCGTGCCCACTCATGCCAACTTAATACAATTGTCATTTTCATTTGGGCAAGCATCCTAACTATATCGGATATTCACAACTGTGTGGATTGGCGGTGTGGTTCCAGAGCAAACATACCTGGGCATGTGCAAGCAGCAGATGTCAGGCACGGATCACTGCTTCGTACGGCGAATCAAGGGACGCCCAAACTGAGATGAGAGATGGAGGACCTTCCGCAGCCATTCGGTCTATCGCGACAAGAATATATACTCGGAGCATTTTCATCGATGGAATAATGAGATTTTCTTCTTCTCCATCTCCTTTGTCAAATCTTGTTTCCTTCCACATATATATATTTGAACCAATTTTGAACGAGCCAAGCTCGACACTCCGAAGGGCCCTTTGCAAAAAGGAAAAGCTTCTCCGTCACTACCATCGCAGTAGAACTCGCCACGGAGGTCTTGTTCTATGGGCCACACTAAATGATGCCCAAACTGGACCTCTTTATTTCATGTTCTTTACTGATGATGCATCCCGGTTCACCTTGAAAAAGGGATTTCGGACAAAAGATCAAATCCCTGCGGTCTTCCGCTCAATGCACAACGACGTTAAGAGCCGATTCAATGTCACTGTTCGTATATATCGGTTAGACGGCGAATTTCATTAAAGAGCGATAGTGAGCGTGAGTCTGTTGAGAAAGGGAGTTGAATGCGTGCTGACATCTTCGTACAGGCATCCTGGCCATCCAGACACTTCCACGAGTGCAGGAGCCAAACGACAAGCAGGGCGAGGTCGACAACAACCGACCGATCAATCTGCAGATCGAAAACCCGTACCTCACGGCCAGCTTTCCAAGTCGGTGGACGAAGAGTGCCGATACCACCATGCAGCGGATACTCGATGTTAGCCCGGAGCCGCAACCTGGGAAGCTCGACTGTGTTGATTGCTGCTTGTTTGGCTTTCACAGAAGGTCGAGTGAGGCACGACGCCTCGCGATCCGCCCTTGTCCACTCGTTCGATACCTATCGACAACAATCACAAAGCTCAAGTGCTCCAGAGGCAGATGACATACCGCACGGTGCTCTCCTTTCCTCCTACCGTACTGGCCGCTGTGATACCTCACTCACGAGCAAGAAGCCGCGTAGCTTTATATCTTCACCACTGCCAATGACGGACGTGAGTGTCTGAACACCAACCATAAAGTGATCGAGGCGGCCAAGGATTTTCTTCGCACCTATCCTCATCTGAATCTCGAGCATCGTGAGTCAGACCAGTATTTTGGCAACAACCTTGGTCTCGCTCATCGTCTCGTTCATCACACAGAGGGAGTGATCCTTCGTGAGGAGCATGTCGGCATCGTCCGCTCTCTTCTCTCCTTTTTTCGGCAAGCCACCAAGGACGTCGGTGGACAACAATTGCAACAATTTGCGAGTCCCTGTCAGCGGCACCGGAGTGACGGGAATGAAGACAAGCTTGACCTCGTGGCGGCCATCTGGGTAATCTGGGGTTGGCCAACTGCTGTACGACAGCATGCTTGGAAATTGCGATCCGAAGAAGTTGGAACAAGCCATACGAGACTCCGTCAACGCTCACTATGGGATGCTCGTCCCAAAGAAACCCACAGCGGCACGCAAAGGGAAAGAATCCGTCCCCCACCTGATCATTTGGCGTTTCTGCTGCGACTACCGTCAGCTTAATTCTCGTACGAAGAAACACGCCCACCCCATGCCCAACGCTATGGACCAGATCCAACGTGCTGCGGGCCACCGGTGGTACGCTTTCATAGACCCGAAGAACGGCTTCTGGCATGTCCGCCTTGATCCTCGGACTGCTGAGAAGACAGCGTTTATTACCGCGTTTGGGCTTTGCAGCCACCTGCACACTTCAGCACCGGCACCAAGTCTTAATTCGTGAAGGGATTCGAGCTGAACGACCTAATGCGTCGTTTAGCCGAGAAATTACAGGAGTCTCACAGGACTCAGGCCAAAAAATGAGCCGAGTTCCAGCGGCAGATCAACGCTCCTCCCAGTTTTCATCTTCATTGTCTTAAGCGTTTACCACTGTATGAAGGCGCCACGTATGTCTTCGGACGTGTGCGGAATAAAAGCGAAACCAGTTAGCTGTTTTTGTTAGAATATTTCCGAACTAAATTTCTATTTATCTTCTAAAAGAATTATAACCGCTAACGCTTATCTATCGCCGCTGTATCCAGCGCAGTAATGCTTCCTGTTGGGACGCCTTAGTTGGGAAATTTAGAGGGTTCCCAACGGTTGAAGCCCTGTCGTCTCCCACCCACTCTGGCGGCGGCATCTCTCTCTCCCACACATCACGATAAACGCCAGTTACGCTGAAAGGCTCCTCTGGGTCAACACGGTGCAAATTGGTCTCATCCGGCAAGATGGGCAAAGGGCGTTTTCCTCCAAGATCCCTACTCTCGTGTTTTCCCCCATGGCCTCCTTTTGGCTCGTCATTCTGTGCCCTCTTCGTCCTCAGAAAGCTCAACAGGGCAGACTTTTGCTCGTCTGTAAGCTTCGAGATCCTATACGTGACCTCGTTGCGGTCGGGGTGTAGATAGACAGCCTCCGGATCCGACCCTGAGCGATCGAAAAGGACCACCCCCCCAAAGATGCGGGACTCAGCCCAGTAGCCCGCCATGTCCGCCGCACCTTCAGGGTAATGAGCATGGTTGGTGTACCAAACGTGATGGAAGAGCGTAGAAGGCGGCCCATGAGGGTGAAACTCCCACCATGTTTTCCAGAAGCTGTCTGGGTCTCTGGGTGGTTCCCAGACGTGTACCTCGTGCACTGCAGATGAGGACTCAGGAGATAGGTCGGGATTGTTCTTGTAAAGCAACACAGCCATTTGGTGAATTGCTACAGCAATGATCTCGACGAGCCGGACGTTGAAGGCTCTAGAACCGGGCGAGGCGGCCTGGAACGCATTCAAAAGCCTTGTGTCGAAAGATAAAAGCAGAAAATCAAAGCTCTCGCGAAACGCAAGAACTTTTTCAAGACTACCGGGTTTGAGTTGGGTGTGCTTAAAGACTGGATGGTCCGGCAACATGACTTCACTACAACCATCCTCGACGACCTCTGCAAGAGGCAGTCAGTACAACTCACTCGCCTATAAATCGATCTAATTGGTTTCGCTTCTATTCCACCAGCTAAGAGTCATATCATCGGTCTGGTCCTCCTAGACGCCGGTCACACCTTCAAACAGACATCCGCAACCGCCACGGCAGCTTCCAGAAAGCCAAACACCACCAACAGAGGCAAGCCTCGAGCAAAGACCACACGCACCGCCAAGCCTGGCCCTCAGAACCGGTCAAAGGTCGTCACGGACTATGAGGAGCTTAGGTATCCCGGGCCGGACCCTGACGGGCTCGAGTCCCCTGTGTTGGAGCCTTCTGAAGCGGATGATGACATGCACACACGGATGGGGTTGCAATGGACAAGTCCGCTTCCGAGCGACGTCTACTAGACATATTGACATTGTGGGGGTCGGGCCAGGAAATAGGACATTTCACACAGCAAGGATATGTAGTGCGAACTGATTGTGCAAGGCAACCGAACTCTTCTCTTCTGTATTGGCACACAGCGCACTCCGAAATGAGGCAGTCCAGCAACTGCCGGCTTAGCCACGCCAGACCTCACCGGCCCAGCCTAAACGAAGCGTCTCTCTTGCACGAACTAATCAAAGAGTAACGGTAAAAAAAGACAACATGCAATCAATGATGCTGCAGTCTCCGTCCGCGGTAATAAAAAGTGATGGCCCCCGTAGGGTAAGACGCACCATCCTCAAAAAATAGACTTGAAAAACCAACTTGCAAACTTCCTCGAGATCGATTATAACACACGGGTGTTTTGTTGTATGCCGAGCCGATTCTCCTGACGCCGTAGAAATGTATACCACTCCACGCATTGTTCCAAAAAGAGAGAGAGAAAACACAGTCGGTATACTTGCGGCCATCCAAATAAGCAACCAGAACAATGAAAGAGGGGGAATCAATCTCTCCGGTCAAGCAGCAAACGAGAACGCAAAAGCAAAAGGATCAAAGCGACGGCCTACTAGTACAACCGAATCTATACATATCCATCGGACCTCGCCTCTCCTAACGTCTCCTGCCCGAGGATCGTAGTCGCTTCCTCGGGTTCCCGACCCCGGTGCTGCTGCCGTAGCGGAGCTTCCTAGCTGACGACCCGGACGGGACAGCCAGCGGCGCGTCCACGGGTGATGCAGTGATAGTGCTATCTTCCACGTTGAACTCGAGGTCGTTGAGCTCTTCCTCATCCATATCAGTCAGCTCCTCGCTCAAGCTGCGCACGGCATCCCTGCCAGCCCACTGCTCCTCGATGGCTGTTGTGCCGTCGGGCTCGAAGTTCTTGAGATACCAGGGTATGCCGCCTTCTGTGAGAGTGGTGTCTGCCCCTCGGCCAAGGCTTCCGTTAGATTGTGGTGGTGTGAGAGGCGTGGGCTGCTGTGAGTGCTGGGAGACAGGCACGTAGCCATTGGTGTCTGGTGGCGTGGGTGCCGATTTCACAAGGCTCGGTAGACCTTTGTCGTTGGCACCGGCACCGTCCTCGCCAACGGCTGCAGCCTCTTGGTCTATACCACCGTTGGCCTGGGCAGTGTCCTCCTCCTTAACTTCGATGCTTTGTTCGTCGATGTCCATCTGATCAGCACTCTCCGCAGCCGCGCCGGCGGGGTCTTGCGCCGCGACTGTGATGGGTCCTTCGGCAGCGTCAACCATGATGACATCCTGGCTAGACTGTGCGGGGGGCTCAGGTTGCGGGTGAGACCCAAAGGGTTTTCGGATTTCCAAGGATGCGTCAATCATGCCCTCCAGCTCTTGCTGCAGGCTGTCGAAGGATTTCGAGGTAATGTCCGCCTCCGCCTTGAGAGCGATTTCTAGTTGCGGCTGAGCTGACTTGAGTATTCGTTTGCCGAGCCTCTTACGGTCTCTGGCCTCCGAGTATGAGCTGTGCTTAGTAGGCGACACGTCGATCGGCTCGAACCTGGGCTGGTCGGATATAGGGGGCTTTGCCTCGGCATTGATGCCAACATGGATGACCTCGCAGAGATCATGGGCAAATGCGAGAGTGGTGGTGTAGAATCGCTTCTCGAACTTGGCTTCCATTTGTACCAGACCGTCTTTGAAGACATTCTTGTCGAGCCTAGTCAGGTCACATGTTAGCCTTAAGGGTTCTAGCTTAATCAAGGATGGAGGAAGTACTCACGCTTCAGCCTTGCTGATGATGGGCTGCAGCAGCTTGAAGATCGGGAAATAGCAACTGTCGACAAAGTCTTGCTCCATCTCCGCAGCCTCCAGCTTGTAGGCTTCCCGGGACACAACGTCGTTCGCCAGAGATTTCAGCTGCTCAAGGTCTCTCAGTAGGGTCTCCGCAAATTCAATGCGCCTGGCAAGCCTGTTCCTTCCTGAGGGGCCCATGGCTGCGAAGTCTCGCCTTGTGAGCTCCATAGACGAGAAAGACTCCATCTGCAGCTGCAGACGCTTGAGGAGCGCGGCACCACGGCGCGATTCCCGCTTCAGTGTCCAATAACGACAGGCCTCCGCAACATATTCCTTTCGCTTGCGAAGAGAAAACCGAGCCAACCCGCTGTCGACGAGGTCGAAGACCGCCTGTGGAATGACAGGCGCTCCGGAAGGCAATTTCCATATCTTGCCTGATTGGCCCTTTTTCTTGTCGCCTGCTCCTGCGAGCTTGTCGCCAAGTAACTGCGACTCCTGAGGAGGGTGTTCTGTGATGGCGTTGCGATGGATGGCAGCAAGCTCCTGAGCCACTGCCTGGCTGTCAGCCCAGATACGCCCCTTCATTGTTCGCTTGTAGAATTTCTTCGCGTCCTTGGTAGCCGCGCCGACAGCATGCTCCTTGTCATAGTCTGGAGGGCAGTGCTTATCACAAAATGCCTTCAAGACCCCGTCAAGCGCAAGCGCGCCTTGCGGTGTCTTCATTTTCAAGTACAAACGGGCACGTCGTGCGCATGTGACATGGAAGGCCTGGTAACAAGCCTTGTTACTGCATTGAATGCAGGCGCCCATCTTCTGATTACAGATGTAGCATTGAAGCTTCCAACGGTTTTTGGGGACCTTGTCAACGTCCATGACTGGTTCCAAGAAAACATTGTTTCCCAGGTTGACCTCAGGGATCCATATGGCACAAAGAAGGTGTGCCCATTTGGAGAAGTTGGTTTGCTTGAAGGCACCATCAGTGTTGGGGCAGAAAATGCAAGTCTGACGAATCAACGTTAGCCAACGAATTTCCTTGGATCAAACAGCCAGAATGGTGCATAAACTACTTACTGGGATGCCACGACCCGCGAGCTGGCATTTCCGACACATCCACTGCCCCTCCGGGATGAATGGTACGCCGTAACAATCTTGATGCACTGCAAGATCGCAGCCGTCGCAAAAGACTATCGCATTGGTATTTTCGCAGTCCCCGTCGTCGCAGATGGCGCACTTGCTGTCTTGCTCTTCGCCGGGTTGGGTCTCGCCGTTCACGGCTGCAGCAGAACTAGACCGCGGCCTGTGGGTTTGCGGTGGTTTTGGATTCGGCTTCGGTATCTTCTTCTCCAAGGCATGCCATTCCTTCTCAATCTTGGTAATTGTGATTTCAAAGACCTCACGGGTGACGAGTTCGAGCCCGTTGGCCTTTCGCTGGCCGTTGAGCGTCTCCAACCACATGTCGTCCTGCTCGTCCATGTCGTATTCGACACGGCCAAGGTTGGAGCCGCTGTGCGAGACAATCACCTCGCCGTCGGGTCTCTGCCCGAGTAGCTGATCCACATCCTCGTCGATATGGGCATCACTGGCCTTCAGAAGACCGCGCTCGGGCCTGATGAAGTTGTCGCTCTCCTGGTAACCGACATTCATCATGGCCTTTTCGACATATTTTGCCTGGCCAAAGGTCTTGCTCTCAAAGAGCAGTATCCGATCTGTCTTGCGGTAGGACGGGTTCTTCAGGTCGAGGCGCTCTTTTGGGGTCTGGTTCAGGGTGGACAACACCTTGGGTGTCTTTGGGGTCAGCGCAAAGTCGGGTCGCGTGGCGTAAAAAGACACGGCATCTCTGGTTGGACGAGGTCTTCGGCGCGACGGCGTCTCCGGGTTTTGAGAAGATGCGGCGGCGCCCTCTGCCTGGGCGGCCGAGTCACCTGTGACACCAGGATTTGCTTGTTCGGCATCCTTCGATGGCGTACCGACGCCGTTGACAGAAGCGCGAGTGGGAGGGGGAGGTGGTGTCGACTTTCTGGTGCCGTCTACGTCTTCCGAGTGGAACATCAGAAAGGTCCCCTCGATATCAAGGTTCGGGTGGAACTCCTCCCAGCCGCGCTCCTCTCGTGGCTTATATCCCTCGCTCTGGGCTACAGCTGCCGCGACAGCGGCGGCGGAGCTGAACTCGACATCGCCCTCTCCAGAACGGCTGGCGGCGGCGCCGAGGCGGGTGCTTCTCTCCCGGGGGAGGACTGTGGTGTTTCGGTTCGATGTCCTGCGGGCGGTGCTCCGTGGCCTCGGTGGGGTCGATGTGGACGAGGGCCCGGCCGGCGACTCGGTGTTCCCGTCGTCGAGAACAAACCTGCCACCACCGCCTGGGCCGCCAGGGACATATTTTCTCTTCTTAAGAGGGGGTTCTTCTAATTCGTGCGGGGGCCTTGCTCTACCACGACCTGCCACACGACCAGAGCGCGAGCTCCGGGGTGTAGAAGGCCTGGAAGCCATGGCGGCTCTGGTTTGCGGGCGACGTGTTGTATCAGGCAGACACGGAGGGCAAGTGTCGCGGTGTGGGGGTTCGCGTCGTCAAGGGGTGGCGGGGGCAAGGCTGCGGATGGGCATAAGTCGGGGATGGCATCGGGTTGGACGTGTCTGAGTGGCCAGGTGCAGTGTTGGCTGGCGGCAGCAACAGGTCACGAGGAGGCGCGATGTGGCCGATGCGATATGGCAGGCGTGGGAGGATGGATGCGGTGCGACAGATGGCCAAATCGAAGGGCGAGAATTGGGGTGAAGTCGAACGCGCACAGCTCTAATTAGGTAAGGCGCGAGCTGGGTTGGAAAAGCAGCCGGGGAAGGTGGGGACCCACCTTCTGCCGGCTTACATAAGTCACCGATCTGGTGCATGTGGACTTGGTCGTGCAGAGTGCAGTAGTCAGGAACAGGAACAGCTACCACCCCTGTCAATCAATCATCTAATCGCTTTCCCGGCAACCAGGCCAAGGCAGCACAAGCACAACCCACAGAGGGACCCGATGAATCACGATGCACATCCGTCATGGTCTCTACGGCACGGCACACCCATCTCCAGCTTCGCCAGCTCCAGATTTGGTTGAAAACTGTGACAAAACCAACCAGGTCTGGCCGTGTGTTGTTCCACAGCCACCCAGCAGACAGGTAGATCTGTATGCAGGATGAATCTCACCGCTCAGCAGTCCGACAGATACAGTACAGTCCTGGATGAAGCAGACAGTAGCCTATCGAGTCCCTCAGCCTGGTGTGGACAAACTGCCCGATGGGTGTTCAATGCCGATCAGCCACACGCTGCTCCACAGGGGGGTCGTCCTGATGTACCCCAGATTACCGGATCTTGACGTGCGTCCTGGATCTCTCCGACCCGCGCCCCATCAGACAAGCAATTGGCCCGGCATGTTTCCGAGGGGGCGGGAAGAGAGGGTCGTACTGTGGTGTGCTGGAAACATCTGGGGCTGGGTGAGAACATGGGGGCCCGCCTGACCTGCAGGTCACCTCGTCGCTACTACTTCCCTGCCCTCCACCGCAGCCGCCACATGGCACTGCAGATGATGATGCAGTCAGTCAGGTTGTGGTCGACCCAGACCAGGAGTCCAAGACCCAGACCTGGGGCCCAGACCCACAGCTGCTGCTATGCATTCCAACACTTTCTTTCCACCTCTGTCGCATCACCGTGACCACTCGAAACCTACATGTCTTTCCTCTTTTGTGTGCGGGCGTCAGCCACACACTCTTGTATCCACACCCACATACTTACCCGCAGCTGCAACGCTGGCCGCACCAAAGAAACCTCCTCAAGTCTTTATTAGTTTGTTAGCTTCCCCAAGCTCTCGGGAACTTTCCAACTCTCCCCTGCACAATGCCACGCTATGCCACCCATGCTGCCCACGCCTTCGCTTCCTCCCGTCCCGAGAGTCTTACCACCCTCCCCAGGTTAAACCACACACCCGCGTTTGTACGCCTTCTAGCTTCGAGACTACCTGTTCCAGCTACCTAGGTATTCATCGTTGCCAAGCGGCCTTGACGCCGTCCAATCCGACCCATCAATTCTGGATTGCCCCTTTCGGCTCTCTGCTCCTCCATGATTCGTCCTCTCAAAGAACCAGGAAACGGCATTGGCCGACAGTAGCGTCTATCTTAATCCACCGCTTACCATTGAGGCCAATGATCATCTCAACAAACCAACTGTCTACTGGGTACTCTCCTCCCCGTTCATGCAGGATTCGAGCTTCCCGCAAGATCCCCACTTCCACTGGCCACACAACCTGCAGATTACATCACACCCAAGCCAAACTCGTGGGTTTTACCCAATCGCTCATTCAAAATACTGATTCATGACCAAAGCAAACATCCCTTCTAGGGCGCATGCATTCACATCCTACCCCCACGCATTTTACCACACTTAGTCTAGAATTAATCAACACCATGATGACACGGCCCTTTCGTCAGGAACTACTCTCTATCTATTCAGCAACACTCCAACACCCCTATCTTGCAGAGATACACACCCAGAAAAGCTCTGTCATCTTGACTTGTCCTGGCCTTTGATGATTTTTGCCAAGATGTCTTTGATAATTTCCTTCCATGACAGTGTCAGTTTGTCAATCAGAAGGCAGTTGAACAAAGTACTTCGGACATATGCGGGATAGAAGCGAAACGAGTCAAACAAAGTGGTCATGGGTTTTCCGCCTCGTTGAACATTCCATGTTAGACAGGCTGATGGGCAAGGCAATGGAAGGCCCCAGAGCTAACACCTATCTACTTTTTAATTTAGACGTTTAGGGACCCTGCCGGTCAAGTGAGGTTGATGTTGACTTGAATGTTGTTGCTGGTATGTGTCGGCAACCACAGAGATAGCCACGAGGACCCAACCTCTGCCGAGGTCTGTGTGTTGAGCCACCTACCATCAGGACAGTGGCGTGGAATGTGAGGACATGATTGAGGGATAGGATGTTCAGAGACCACACGAAGCCCTGCCAGAAACGAGAATCAAGTGCTGGTCTCCACATCCAGGCTTGCCTCAGGGCACCAACGTTGATAAGCAGTCTATGAACCCGACCACGCGGCCAAGTGGCTGTAGGTGAGATGTGACAGCATGAACCATCCCTGAGGATTCGTATCCATGGTGCTCGTTTAAACTGTCTCATGCCAAACATTCTTGCACCTGATCAAGCCACACATCAGCCGGCTGCGCTGTTCACGTCAAGCAAGTAGTTCATTTGCAGGACTGGGCCATGCGTTCGATATCGGCAATTGTGCAAGGGCCTTGTTCACTAGTCTTGGAACAAGCCCATTTCCTTTGGTCTGCTATAAAGCCTCTATATGAAGTCCCGAGTCAACCATAGGTGCCTAACGTGGATTGCACCGAGCTATGATCAGCAGCATGCGGCATTTTCATTGCAGAGTGTGAGCTACTACTTCCAGCACACCTCAGTCGCCTCATGGACGTTCATCAGAACACCTTCGGAACGCCCGCCGCAGCTGTATCGCCCGAAGCTCTGCTCGCATCACCTCCTCATCTCCTCCATGCACATGACCTCCATCTCCGCCGTCACCCCCAGGCAACTCAACTTCCTCAACAGACTTCTCCACGGGGCGTGACACCCTCACGAACTTCTCGCCCGCGTCTCCAACGCTGACGCTGGCCAGCTCGAGGTCCCTGGCGAGGCAGTGCAGCAGGAAACGTCGCACCCGGATCGCCGGCTCGAAGTCGACCGTGGCGCCTGGCCCGGCGGTCTCGGTCCTCACGCCCACCGCGAAGGCTAGCATGCGGACGAGCTCGTCCCGGGTCCGCCTCTCGTCCGCCTCGGCGTTGACGAAGTACGCGGTGCTCGACTGCTTGGACCAGTACACCCAGCCGAGGGCCCTGAAGTCGAGTTCCGGTGTCGCGAGGCCGTTCTTGCGTGCCTGGGTTAGTGTTCGCTGTCAGTTCCGTGTGTAATTTGGCCCATTAGAGGATGAAGACCCGGTGATTCACGGCCAAATCTCCAGAAGCACACGACTGACTCACCTCATTCCGGATCTGAATAAGCCTCGTCTCAAAGGCATAATCACCCCTCGCCAGGCCCCTCACATCAACACCCCAGCAGAGACAGACGAGCCCCAACCTCAACCTCGTCGGCTCATCAGCCGGGCCCTTGATGTACTCGCCCGCGAACGGGACCTTCCCCCCCGCCCCGGCATCAAGCACACTCATGCGGCCCATCTGCGCCTCAAGGGCAAGCCGCGGGTCCAGGATCTCCAACCCCGCCTCGACGACCCGCCGCGCCTTGGACGGCACGGCGCCGCCGAGGGAGATAGACACCCCGCCGGCCCCCTCATACACCCCAAACAGCGCGGCCGCGATCTTCCGCACGCCGTCCTCGCACCCCACGAGGAACGGCCTGTTGCGCGCGTCCAGCACGTTGGCGCGCACCCAGTCGGGCCGCCACGTCGCCATCCACACCGGCACGGGCGTGAGATCCAGCACGACGCTCTCGACGGCCCCGGCCCCGTCCCCGTCCCCGGGCCGCGGCAGCGCCCCCACGCACCGCAGCCACGCGTCGACGTCGAAGCACCCCTCGTCGTGCGCGCCGAGCGGCGCCACGCGGCGCATCCGCTTCAGGTCCAGGTCCGCGAACAGGCGCAGGCTGACCCGGCGCATCTGCGCGACGTCGTCGTCGTCGTCGCGGCCCCGCTGGCCCCGCTGCTGCGAGCGGACGTAAAAAGCCCGCGGGTCCTCGATGTGGTACAGCGGGGACCAGGACCGCAGCAGCTCCAGGACGTCGAGGCGGACCGCCCTGCAGGTGAGGAGGAGCGGGAGGAGGGCCGCCGTCCGGGGCGCGACGCCTGCGTTGTGGACGTCGGCGGGGAGGCAGGGGGAGAGGATGTGCTGGCGGAGCTCGGGGGGTAGGCTTAGGAGGGTGGGCATTATTGTGGTTTGGTTGGTTGGTTGGCTGGTGGTGTGCCTGTCTGTGTCATATGGGGTTATGTTATGCTCTTGTTGTTGTTGAGGTTCAATGGTAAAGTATGAAATGATGGGCCTGAAATAATGAATGGATGGGACATCTACATGTAAGTGTATACATGTAAGTGTTAGAGTCATAGGTGAGAAAGAAGCCTTGGGGGCGAATGGGCATGCTGGCTGACTCACTTGGTCGGATTGGGCTGTTGGTGCCAACAGAGCTAGGCAGCCATGCAAGGAGATGTAAGAAGTCACAATCAAAGTCAAAGAATGGAATATGGAGTATGTCTGCCGTGATATCATTTCTCTCTTGGGCCACCCTGGCACCTCGCTACCTAGGCCGGCCGCCTCTAAGGCCGACCAATTATCTATCATCCAACCATAACATACCGCACAACAAATACGGTACTGACGAGTCTCCTCCTAATTCGCAACAGACAAGAAGACATGAACCCTGCCCTCCCCGTTTCGCCAGGCAATCAATATCAGACAACGCAGCGCTCAGGATAGTATGCTCAATCGGACAAAAAAAGAAGAACCCAGGCAGACATTCGTTGAGAACCTTCGAGCAATGGAGCAATTCAAATGCAAGATTTGTCAGAGCCAACATGCGAAAATGAGACTGGGACAAGAAAGGTCAACAAGGGATACGCCAGATCCTGTCATGAAAAAGATGTCTTTGCCGAAGAGAAATTCCTGGACTCCAGCCAGCAGCCCGAGGGCCAGGTATTGCCGAGCTCGCGACATCACCTCGTGCCCACTATTCTACCGGTGCCATGTAAAAAGACACGCCAAAAAAGATTCCATCTGCCATGGCATCATCCGGATGACACCGGTGCCATGCAAGCAATAAGACAACGCAAAATACACAGCCAAGCAGGCTGATGACTCGATCCAGAGTCATGGGAACTGACATGAACATCGTCGCCAGGTCGTACGTAGCCTCGTAATTACGCAGATCGTCGTCTTTGTGGGACGATATGGACGCAGTGGTGGGCGGGTCGAGAGAGTCTTGTGATTTTGTAGTTTAGGTCGGTAAGAATTGAGGTGAACCATGAAAACGCCTTTTTTCCGCTATGCTCCGGTGAAATGATATGAATCTTGAAAAAGCCAACCATGAAGCCGCGCTACTCTTTTGCAGGAAAAACAACAAAACAATTGGGTATTTTGAAAGGACTCGGGATATATGTATTAACAGCCAGACCGCCCACTGCGAAAAGGGCGGGCGTTGGGTATCATCGTGGTCGGCTGTCATGGCTTCGAGTGTGTCGAGTGTGAGTGGTTTAGTATGCGGCGCTCATCCAAGAGTTCGGCCGCTATGTATTGGTTGCAAGGTTGGCCGATGCGTAGCAGGACTCGGGTGTAGGGGCGAGTCGGCATGACCAAAATGCGAACCTGTGAAGTGTGGTGCACCGTTGACATCCCAGTGCTCCTCACTAAGAACGTTCAGGTAGCCCTCGCCAACCTGTCTGCGCAGGACCTCGATCCTGCGTCGGTATATGTCAGGGTCGACATATTTCTGGGCATCCGTCCATGAGGACGGAGTTCCGATTTCCTGAGTCGGCGTCACGGGTGGTAGCTTCGGGATGACGGACGTATCGATGCGGGGAACACCACGGCCCGCCTGGGTGCGGCTTTCCTCTACCACGTCTGGCTTCTTCTGCACCTCGGTGGTTTGTGATATGCGATAGTTGCTATCGAGGCCACTTATGGGCCCCATCGTCTCGTTTTCGTCTGGCTGCCTTGGAGGGTGAGCCTGAGAATCGGCCAGGTCGACGATTCGCCTCTTTGGGGCCCTGCGGCGGGCTCGAGTGGAGCTTGTGTTGATCTCACTGGCTGTCACCTTCGGTGTGGGCCGCTCTTTGCGGAGCACAGCAGGCTCCTTTGCGCTTTCGTAGATGATCGCCGGCTTGCTGACATCGACGGCCTTGAACTCTGGGACCGGCGGTTTGATGACAGGAACAGGAGCAGGCTCCTTGGTGCGCTCGACGAGGTATTTCCTCTCCGAGTACGTGGGGCCGGTCATGTCAATCAAGACATCCTCGGTGTAGCCAGGCGACTGCCTGAACAGATTGAAGATTGTGATGCGGTAGTCCTTGTGAGTCCTGGTGAAGGGGTTTCCCTCAACCCAGATTTCCCGAATGTCAGGTATTCTCGTCAGACGCGCCAGCTCGACAGGGTCCTTCAGGCGGTTGTCCCTTAGGTCCAGCCTCTCGAGCGGGTACAATCTCTCGACGCCCGCCAGAGATTGCAGGCGGTTGTCCCGCAGGTTCAGTGCCGTTATGGCTGGCAGCGGGTTACGAGTCAGCGAATGAAGAGACTCAATGGTGCACTTGGAGAGGTTCAGGGCGCGAAGGGCAGTGAGCGACGCCAAGCTGTCAGGGATCTCGTTGAACTCGTTCGAGGACAGGTCAAGCGAATACAGAGTGTTCGCCAAGGGGGCAAGGCTGGCCTCAGGAATAGACACGAGGCCATTCTCTGCGAGACTGAGGTGCCTCAAGAATCGCCATTTCGACGCGGGGAGCGAGCCTGTAGACAGGAGGTTCGAAGTGCTACCCCGGCCCTGGTGCCAGGAATCGGACATGCTCGACTGCGAGCTGCCCGAGCCTGAGCGGTGGACCTTGTGTGAGCCGCGTACGTGATGGGAACCATGGCGAGCGCTAGCAGGCCTCCTTGGAGAGTGGCTTCTCGGACGTGAGCTCTTTGTCGGTGACTTGGGGAGCTCGACGACGGCGACAGACGCCCGCCTGCTGTTTCGGGCGGCAAGCTCGGCCTCATGATCGAGTGCGGCTTCACTGCCTATGGAACCAACATTCAAGTCGGCAGCCCGTGTGCCTGGTGACCCTGGTGCCGAGGTCGACTTGTGCAACTCGGCAGGCGTCGCCATCGTCATACTCCTCCGTGGGCTGGCAGTACCAGGCCATGTTGATGTTGGTGACGCATGTGACTTTGACGTTCGCCGTCTCCTCTTGTCCATGTCGTCAAGCACGATGTCGATCAGGATGTCGGCGGGGTCAGACAGGCTCGCCCGCTTGACGGTCAGGGATCTCAGCTGGTCCGCCATGCGATCCCAACCAAAGAATTGCCGGAAGTCAATGTCGCAAACCTCGAGTGCCTGGCAGTTTTTGAAGATGTGCAGCGGCACTGCAGAGTCGAAGGGGAACTCCTCGTAACCCTTGATGAGCCGCGCACGAAAGTCTGGGGCCAGGCGAAGGCAGGGTACCTTGGTGAAGGCAGAATACAAGTACTTCAGGTCAGCGTCCAGAGCAGCCTTCTGCTTCTCGGTGCGCGCGGCAGCGCTCGATCCGATGCCAAAATTGGTCCACAGTGCAGACATCCCGGACATGACGCTTCTGATGCTCGAGACGGAGCGAATGGAACCAACCTCAGAGTTTCGGGTCTTGGAGCGCTGAGACTGGCCCAGGAATGACACATAGTTCGCCGAGCTGCTCGTGTCGTGCAAGTTCTCGAGGCGCACCTTCATCGGGCCAACCGGTATCTTGAGCTCCTCAAACCGCGAGAGAAGGTAGAAGAGGTGGTGCGGCGTGAGAGCCAGCTTTGCTGACTTGGCCGTCTGCGATGTAAAGTTCAAGGAGCCGAAGGACAGGGCGGCGGCGAGCCCGTTGGAAGAGGACGCTGTAGCGGTAGACGGTCGTTCGGGAATGGTCGTCGGAGTCGTGAGCCCTGCGGTCGGCACCGAGGACACGCTTTGCGAGGCTCCATGTCGAGGAGGGTTTTGCCTCCGCAGTTGCAAAGCGTTGGCGAGAGCCTTCTCGTGGGTGCGCACGAAAGTGGCCAGTTGCTGTAGGAAGAGGTCCGAGTCAGTTTCTTGTATCTCACCGGGGTGGTTGTTTGCAACCGTGCGTACCTTTATGAACAACTCTCCGTCTTCTGAGTCCATGATTATTTCCTGGGAGGCATTGGGGACAGAGCCAGCAAGTAGAGAGAGTGTCGGTGGGTCGTGAGGCGGATATGAGCGACGATAACACCCCGAATTGGCAGGCAGTCGATGCGACAGAGAGCCGAGACAAGCTGAGCGCGCCCTCGTTACTTTTTAACGGGCGGTCTGGAGGAGAGGAAAGGGGGAGGAGGCTCAGGGGAGCAAGTGTGGCGGCCGTTGGTCGCAGGCAGCCTGTGCAAGGTGGTATTGTTAGTGTACGGCGCACAGGAGGCGTCACAGTTATTTAACATGAAAAGGGGTTGTGAAGCAGTGCGATGCAGGGCGAGTGACTCGACTGGAAGAGCCGAGACGTGGTGCGATGGGAGAGCGCAGTGTGGTGTGCTGTGCAAGTCTGCAAGAGTGTACCCAGAGATGCAGCTCCAGAAGTGGGCCAGTGCCTTAGTCTCGGGTCCGACCGTTGGAAACAACGAGGGAAGCCGGGCGGGTCGTCGTGCTGCGGTAATATAAGATTCAAAAGGATTCGGCGTGCGGGGCGCTGCTGCGCTGCTGCCGTGGCCTTGGTCGTGGTCGTGGCCGTGGTCGCGGCCGTGGAGTGTGGGCGAGGCCGCGAGAAAAGGACCCGGGAGAGGGCTTCTGTACCGTGATCCGTTGGGTTTCAAGCGTGCCCTCGAGGTTTCAAGGCGGCTATTGTCACGAGAGCAGTGTCGAGGGCATGTTTCCAGCAGCCCAGGCAGTCGAATTCCGAGAGGCTGAGGGCCCAAGTCCGGAGGATTGTTTTGTTTGTGTGAGGCGCCCTTGTGGCTTTCAGGTTGCGGTGCACGTTGGACCGGGTGGGAGAGACGGCGCACATGCCCCAGTCGCCTCAGTGACAAGGGCACAGCAGCAGGACTCGATCCCATACACACTGCAAAGTGATGTGTGCTTGTCAAACGGCACGCAGTGGACAAGAGGCCAGCACACAGTTGGGGGCATCCGGGATAGGACAATACAGGGACAGAACGGTTCATATGGGACGATGCCGGCAAGAGGTTTCGATTGCGGTGTCGAGTTGGTCTCTCTTTTTTTTGTTCCCTCTTCCTCGTGCCAACCCGGGGGCATGTCTTTTTCCCTGGGAGGCTCTCTCGTCGGGCTCTGTTGGACTTCTGGTTTCTCCTCTCAAGGCACACGTGGGCACACAGCTCGCAGCTCGCAGCTCGCAGCTCGCAGCAAGAATGGACGGAGGCAGCCGGGCAAGGTGAATCATTCCGGGCAACGGCGACAGAGGGGGGAGGCGAGGGGAGCAGAGACAAGGCAAAACACGGGAGAGATAAGGCGACCGGCGAGGCCGCGATAAGAAAGCACGAGGTAGCAAATGTTGACTTACTGTCACTGTTGTTGACTCTTCCAAAAGTCCAAGTGACTGGCCGCAGCGTCAACTGGTCGCAGCGACGACAATGACCGACAGCAGGGCAGAGAGGGATGGGAGATGTCCAGAAGGAGGAGGGCGACGAGTCGGCCGAGGCGGAGGTGGAGGCGGAGGTGGTGGTGAAGAAGGGGGAAGGCAGAGAGGCAGGCCCCGGGAGGGTTGACGAACAGGCGCTAGGTATACCGCCCTGCTACTAGCCTGGTCGCTTCCTCTTGTGTACGTCTGTACAGGATGGTGCCGTGCGTGTTGTGTGGTTGGTCTCTCGTCTCTCGGCTGCGGATGCGTCGACGGGGGCGGGAGAAGGAGGAGAGGGGGTGGGAGGTGAATGGCCCTCCGTCCCAGCTGGTAGGCATTGAGCTAGTCTTATGCCAGTGTGTGCAGGAGGTGGCAGGGTTGTCGAGGTGGGTGGTGGGTCGGCACCAGCAGCAGTCCCCAGTCAAGATTCAGGGTGCAGCTGCCCAGGGGGCCCCTGCCTAGCGGGACTGCCAGGTAGCTGATAGTGCACGGGGCGCGTCTTCTGGAGATTTCTTGTCGTCGAGAACCTGAGAACCTGTCTATAGCCGACAGCTGGACGGGGTTGCGAGCGGTGATATTCCTCTTGCGGCCCACCTCAACCCACCTGCACACGCGCAGCACCCACGCGCCCACGCACACACTTACTTGTACGTAGTGTGCATGCTGTGTGGACTCTCGAGCCGCGGTGGGTTGTGGACGCTCGTTCGGGCGAGCACTCCAGTCCCGGTTATTACACAGTATTCGGTCAATCAAATGGAGATAAAACGTCGTTTCTTCTGGCTCAGACTCCAGCCTTGAGTACGAGGGCGGCGGGCACAGGGGCGACATGCCAGGCTGCGGCTGCTCTGCTCAGCTCATCTCCCATCGTACATTAGTCTTGTTCCCTCACTCTATATCCTTTCCTCATGCTGCATGCCTCCCCTGGAGGGAGCAGCCCGTTTGTTTACTCGGTACAGCTTGCTGTGACCCCCCCCCCCCGGACTCGGGCGAGTTCCATGCGGTTCGCACGGCTGGTCCGTATAAATATCGCCAGTCTCGTGATCATACCCTGTGCGTGGGATGCAGGCCGGGAGAAGGGCTGCAGCGTACGGAGTGGTATGTAGTAGATAGACAGACTATGGTGGTCTTTCAGTGACCATCAGACTTTTGATTTCGGTGGCCTTCTGGAGGGGTCACGACAGCATCCCGTCCGCAAGCCGTTGCCGCCGCAAGGGCCGGAAAGACTCGACTTTGCAGCATGAGCAGGTCAGCCGTCCAATCCGGTGGTGAAGGCTGCTGGCAAGGTTGGATGAGGCTGCATTAGCAGTTGCATCACGCTACAGAGTACAGGGTGTGGTGGGTGTGGGAGGGTGTGGTGGGATGGGCTGGATGGACGATGGCAGGGCGTTGGGGCTCTGGGCCAGGCCAGACTCGGGCTTGTGCACATCCACAATAGTCAAGAGACTCCTACCACAGGCTCGTAGGGCGCATATGTGAGATGCATGTCTGAGTCTTTTGACAAGACGGCAGCACGGTATAGACAGGTCGTCTCAAGCCCAGACTAGCCTGGCTTATTTGAGCCCCTATGCACGTATGCACGCTGCAGGTCAGGTCAGCACTCTCCAACCCCGCTGCCGCCCATGTGTGTCTCGCCTCCTCGCGACCGCCTCGAAACATCAGTCTTTGCGGTCAACTGAGACTTGCGGCGTGGGCGACTGGGCGAGACTGGGGGACTGGGCGGGCGGTAACGACAGTCCAGCATCGGACTCAGGCCGAGGGGACGAGATCAGCAGGCCAAGGGACCTCCCAGCCGCCCGCCTCCAAGGCATTGACTCCGAGCCATGGCCACGGAAAAGGTTTTGTGCCCGTCTTCATGCTAACAAGGAACGGTGTGATGCCCCATCCGCGCCGCCCCAGCACCTGGGCAGCTATGGCAACCACCGCCGGCTTGGACGGGCAGTACCGCGACGAGATGAGACGCGACTCGACTCGACTGGGCCCGACTCAAAGGGCAGGGGCGAACCGACACGGCAGCCGGATGCATATGGGTCCCTCTCCCTATCTCTTGACTACTCACTCGTACAGTCCACTATGTGTGTAGGATACTCGGTACTCCGTAGCCTATGTATGTAGGATGGGTACTCCGTATGCCCTCCGTCCCTGGCTCTCCAGGGTGACATGGACCAACAGACCACCCCATATCCGCCTCCCCGTTCTCCACAACAGGTCCAACTTGTCGAACGCGCAGGCTGCTGGCAGGGCAGCAGGGGAGGTCTCGCACCATTCCCACAATTGAAACTTCTGCACCTGCGGACCACGGGTGCGGCTTGTTGTGGGCTGTCTGGCTGCAGCTCCCCAAGAGCCTCCTCCTTCCTTTCTCAGGCCCTGCCATCCCCTTTGGTGTCTGGTGGTTGGCTGATGGGCATTTGGGGGCTTTCTACGGGGGACCTGGCAACCCCGACCTGCGTTCCTTCCCTGCCTATCCGTATCAACAACACAACAAAACAGCCTTACGTACCTGCCTAGGTTGGCCTGGCTGGTCTGGTTGGCAGAGCAGGCACGAACCGGGCTGCTCGTCACCAAGGCAATGGATCCTCCCGAGCACAAAGTTTATGTTTACTTGTCGGCTCATTGACACGCCACTGGCGTTGGTCTTGTTATTGGTCCTGCCGGAGCTCCCTGGTCGGTGCTCATTACTTCTCGTCTGAGCAATTCATGCACAAACCGTTAGTGGCCCTCCCGTCAAATTGCGGTGCCACTTGGGGATTGATGGCGTCAGTCGGCTTCTGGGATCCTTCCATGACTGCCCCGCCCGCAAGCAACCACCAAGCCGAGAGCCTGCGAGCTGGCATTACTGGCAGGCTGGACGCGCACGACTAAGACCGGGCGAGCTCTGCGGAGCTCGGTGCTGGTCAGAGCGCCGGGGTGGCACAGCGGCACGGCAGCATGCCACAAAGAGGATGCCAGAATGCGATCAAGGCTTACACCGACTTACACGCTCCTTGCAGAAAATCTTTTTCTTCTCGCCAGTCCCCCAGCTGAAATGGCAGCTTCACCGGCATGGTAATTTGCCGCCCTCGTGTGAAATGGCATTATCATTACATCAAACGGCCGCTGACCGCTCTTCGACCCCTTCGACCCCTTGGACCCCGTCGACTCTTCTCCGACTCTTCAGGGCCCAATTGGCTCCTCGCACAGACGGACCCGACTCTTCAGGATCGACGAGGTGCCGAGAGAGTGCGTGCGCCGTGCGTCGTGCACACGGGCAGAACAGGCACCCGCCCACACAGACGAGCCCTCAATCGATCTCGTTATCTCGTCTTGCTGCTGCTCAGCCTGCCAGCCCTGCTCTATCATTGCCCCCCAACCCCCGGTCCCGGGACGCGCAGACACGACAACCCCCCGTCTTCCTTCCAATGCAGTCGAGGAAACGGGGTCCTTCTGCCATGGTCACTCCATGAACCGCGCCAACCCTGTCCCCCAGGAGACCCTGACATGCCGCCTGCTCTGCATCCATTCGTCAGTCTTCTAGCGCCCGTGTTGCTCACCAGGACTAATCGACGCCACTACTTGACGCCAATTGCTGGGCCACCAACACCGCCATGCTGACAGGCCAACGCCTTGCCAGAAACAAAAAAAAGTCTGGTTTTCTCACCCGTCGGCCGACTGTTGGCTCGGATTACTTACTCTCTGGAACTCCAGGCAGCGCTATTCTCACGGCTGCCGGCCCTTTCTGAGAGCCGCCTAGCCCTCAAAGCTGGCCCGTTTCAGCAAAGCCTCACCTTCTCTTGTGTCACCAGGACACCTGGAATGGACCCTGAAACAGCATCCGCAAATCATTTCCCCATGCCTCTCACGTCGGACAGACCTGCCTTCCCCGCGAACCGCCGGTTTTTTTGAGGAGGCAGTCAGCTTCGGACCGTCGACGCCACTGTGCACCCAAACTGCCGATCGCATGAGAATGTGTCCTTTCTTTGCGGCCTGTCCGGTCCACAAGCCGACCTGCTGGCCGTGAGCCGACCACATGGCTCCCAAGGATACTCAGAAATCCAATCATTGCTGCCTCTCGGTCTCGACGCACATGTCCTTGG